AGCTCCTAGCCCGGGAAAGCTAGGTAGTAGTTGTGGTCTGACCATCCACACAACTTTACCATACGTTTCTTTTTGATTAATATTAGACTCCTAAGTTTTGAACCTTATATAGACCGTTAGGTAGTTTAATGATCAATTTTATATACACTCACTGTATCTAGATCATGTGCGTAGGTGAGGCTGCTAACTTCACTCGTGCAGCGATTGTAGGCTGATCGAGACCCAATGCAGATTTTGACAGAGCTCAGGCCTGAGGTCTGCTTACTCTATACAAATTATGCGAATCTCACTATTTCATCTTGTATACGTAGCTATTTCTTATGATCCTTGTTCTTGAGGTCCTACAATTCGGTTCCAAATACTTGAATTGGCCGGCCCAGAAGACTTTTGAATCAGGACTCAACCAGACAGCCGATGCTGTTCATCACGCAGTTCTAGAAGAAGCAAATTCTATACTTCATAACCTGTTCCAATCGTAGCATCTTACACGCAAGCATTTATCCTCAATGGCAGATCCGACAGTGGCGTTTTGATTAAGGACCATTTGTGATTGAGTGTGATCACTCTCATTATTTAGTTACATGGCACAGTGTCCTCAGAATTATAGACACCGAGCGGCGAAGCATACGGAGTAAATCCGAGTTATTGGGTAGGGAAATTAACATCTAAGTAAAGGTGGGCGGGTTTCGGTCACAAAATCATGCCCTGCCTTTACTTCGCTACCTTCACCTGTCCCCCTCTACTGCTTAACTACCAACTGACCCGCCCCCCTCCAAAACCTTCCTCCCTTCCTCCCAATTTCTTCATCACCTAGAAATCTCTCCTAAGGGATCCATGTTTGATCCCACTTGTTCCATTCCTTTTTCCTACTACAGATCACTTTGAGAAAAAATGTCCGATCGCGAGGCCACCGCTGAGGATTCCTTCGACTCTCTTACTGCAGCCGAGAAGGTGGATGTAGTCCGTCGTGTTGACAGTGCCCTCTGGGGCCTCCGTGAAGACGATGTAGCTATTCGCAAGGCCATGCTTTGCATGATACAGATGGACGACGAGACTCTAAAGAGCACTCGGGAGCGGCTCCTTGGAAATAAGCAGTTGGCGGGCGTAACTAGATCCATACAGATCTCAACCGTTTTTGAAGCGCAACCCCACCACCATTCCATCACAGGTATGTATTGTAATCGAGGCCGAACCGTCTTTCAATCAGTAGCCGTCACTAACCCCGATTTAGGGCCTTCAGAGACAACAGCACCGGCAGAGTCGACTTCAAATTTGCTGCCGTATTCCGATGAGGCTGCTATAAGCAGCGACACAGCACCGAACAATCCTTCTCGATCTCGCCCAAGAGCTGAACATATCAATACTCTCGGATCTCGTATGAATCTAGGCGACCAACCTGCACCATCCAACCTCAACAAGCGTAAAGCTGCAGAAGTTCCTGAAATAGAGCGACAACCAAAACAAAGGCGCAAAAACAAGCAACATCGGATCTCAAAGAAGGCGGATGGCTCGCAGGTCGCCGCCAGGCCTAAGGTTTATGAGTGGGTGAAGCCACTCAAGGAGCCCAAGGTCGGGTCTTGGAAGTGCCGCGTATGCTACAACTGGAACTCTAAGTTCCATCAGCGGTGCAAAGGTTACGATAACTCGGACCCGGACGATCATACCAGATGCCGTGGCCGAAAATACTCTCACACCTTGTGTTTACAAGAGGCCGATGGCAAGGCCGCAAGAGAAAAGGAACCATATGCCGGTGAGTGGCTATGCCGCTTCTGCGGCTATTGGAACCTGCGGTCGGCCCAAGACTGCGAGAACAAGGGGGAGGGCCTCGATTTTGGAATGTGTGCGATCGACGTTGAAGAGGCTTGCGAGTATCGACAGGAGGAAGACGCTACCCACCAGCGTCGTCCTTGATCTTTCGCTTTCGATGAGGTGCTTAACATTGGTAAAGTGAGTCTCTTAGAAAAGAGACTTTAAGTACGCACTTCTAGAAGCATCTCCCCCGGATCGGCCACCGGTTTCTAATTAGGAACCAGAGCTTTTGAACAGCTACCATGACTGTAGATAATATATGTACCAATCCAATAAGAAACACCATGAAACTTCTCTTCTTGACCGATCTCTGCTTATCAACTATGTGTTTTTAGTTGATAATTGAAGATGTGATATAAGGTAAGATCCTGTTACCCTTCGAACGACTCCTTAAGACACCTGAGAATGGTGAATTGGCTGTGGTTGCAGACTTCTCTACCGATATGAAGACCTTACCTTCTTATTTGCGCAGTACACACGGTAGGTATACTGATGACTTTTTCGAGGAAAGATGTTCACCCTCGCATCGCTTACAGTGGTCGAATAGCACGAGTCGCATGTCCGAGGTAGCTCCGCACCACCCCCTCGATCTGTACGTAATAACATGGCGAACTGGCATCTGATTATATTGAGTAAAACTCAAAAGGCAGGTCATTTCCAGTTACTTGAAGGAACTATCATATATAGGTTTCATGTAGTCTATCATTTTCAATTACGAAGATGGCCCCAGAGCTACAAAACGTGCTGGTTGAGCGCTTGTCTGAAGGCACAGTATTGCTGAGTTACAATTCTCCGAAGAGATCCAACGCTTTTACTCCGCAGCAGTATCTTGATCTTAGAGATGCTCTAGCTTGGGCTAGAGATGAGCCTGCCGTGAGAGTTATCGTAGTGTAAGTCCATAGGCCTCAAACGATTAGAGGGGAAAACGAACTCTGATATAACATGACCAGGGCCGGAAAAGGCAAACACTATTGTGCAGGTAATCAAGACCTAGCAGTAGCTCTGAATCGTACAGCTGACAGCAACCAAGGGCGAGCGATGGGCGGAAGCGACACTATCGATGCTGAAGTAGCCGCAGGGAGTGCATTATCCGCAGTCCTCACCAACTACCCAAAGGTGCTCATTGCCGCTGTACACGGTGCCAGTATCGGCTGGGGTTGCACGCAGCTCAGCAACTTTGACCTCATCTATGCCCACCAATCTGCCTTCTTTCAGACGCCATTCCTGCCGCTTGGCATCGTCCCGGAGGGTGGTTCCTCATACAACTTCCCCAAGGTGATGGGGAAGCCCCGAGCGAACGCTTTACTGTTGGCTGGAGATAGACTGTCAGCACAGGAAGCCTACGTCGGGGGATTGATCACGGCAGTCATCGATGCTCCTTCGCCTGAAGAGTTCCAGAAGAAGGTCTTGGAGAAGGCGAAAATGATTGGCACTTATAGCCCCGAGGCTTTACATATGACAAAGGCATTAACGCAGGATGCATTGGATGATCTAGATTCAAGGAGAAAGGCCGGCGAAAGGGAGAGAAGAGATATTCTAATTCGGTTCTCTAGGGAGGAAACGAAGGCGAGTATGGCGACCTTTGGAAAGAAAGATACCAAATCAAAGATATAGGACGGAACCATACGCATGTTAGAGGGGATCATAAGAGACGTGGTTCTCAGGAAGGGCCTAAGACAGCATTGTTAGTTGAGGAATTGGGCATCGAAGTCTGAAGTTTGAAGTCTGACGTCTTGAAGTCTGGAGTGACCGTGCAGCGGGACCATCCTGCTTGTTCCGACACTAACCTTAAGCTTATCGATAACTCTAACACTGCAACAGCCGACAGCCGGGGCGGCGGTTCATGCACTCCACCAGTTCTCTCCCCACGTATCACTTTCCTTAGCATACATACCCAGGTACCTTCGCAGATTCATCCTTCCTTCTCTTCGATTTCCACAATGGCCGAAGGAGCACCTGCATTCGGATCTGTGGCACATTTGCTGCCGCAGACCTATAAACGCTTAGTGTCGGAATGGCTGGAAGAAGACACTCCCAGCTTTGACTATGGCGGGTTTGTGGTGGGGGAGGAGATCTCAGAGGCCAAGCTCCTTGGAAAGAGCGAGGTACAATCCGTCCAAATCTGATTAATGTGCCATATTAACAAATTGAAGGGAATCGTCGCTGGAGTTCCATTTTTCGATGAAGTTTTCAAGCAATTGGACTGCACGTGAGTCATCTATCGAATTTATGCAAAGTCTACAGAACCTTTTCTGAATACAACGACAGTGTTGAATGGCACGTGAAGGAGGGAGATGCATTCTCCCCCATTAAGCACTGTGCCACCGTTCGAGGCCCTGTTCGAAAATTGCTTCTCGGTGAGAGAGTCGCTCTCAACACTCTGGCAAGATGCTCAGGAATTGCTACAAAGTACCATTTCACCGCCTCTGAAACACATCACGGATACTAACCTTGGCGTAAGATCAGCACGTCTATTGACGCTATTGCGAAAAGCTGGCTACCCTAACATTCTTGCCGGAACTCGCAAAACAACTCCTGGCTTCCGCGTCGTTGAGAAATATGGCATGTTAGTTGGAGGTGTCGATGCGCACCGCGTTGACTTGTCTGCGATGACGATGCTCAAGGACAATCACATCGTTGCAGCTGGGAGCATCACGAACGCTGTGCGCGCAGCCAAATCTGCTGGAGGCTTTGCCATCAAGGTGGAAGTCGAATGCCAAAGCTTTGAAGAAGCCGACGAAGCCATTGCAGCTGGTGCCGACATTGTCATGTTGGATAACTTCACGCCTGACGGTGTCAAGGTAGCCGCAGCACAGTTGAAGGATAAGTGGGGAAGGGGCACTGGCGACAGGAAAGCATTCTTGGTAGAGGTCAGCGGAGGGTTGACGGAAGAAAATGTTGAAGGTTATGTTTGCGGAGACATCGATATCGTGAGCACGAGCAGCATCCATCAAGGTGTCAAGCATGTGGATTTCTCATTAAAGATTGTCCCCAAGGGTAGTGGAACTGCGAAGGGAAGTGGTGAAAGTTTGGCTGTGTGAGATGCGGAACTATCTCTCGTAATCCGGAACGAGTCCACAGCTTCTGTATAAATTTACCATAAATATAACATATATCAATCAAAATTTGTTTGAAGTCAGATCGATTGTCGCATTGAACGAAGGCCGATTCACCGATTACGTCCCGCTGGTTCCCGATGAGCCTGATTGGCTTAGCGCACGATGGGCTCAAAGCTCGGCTTGGAACCGAGCACAGCATCCTTCAGCTCAAAGAGCATCATCAGCCATTTTCTCTTGTCCAAGTTCCGTACACTCATTACTTACTCGCTATGACTCAGTACAGGGCGTTGGGATATTCTTCATGAAGCGGGCGCGCATTGGGGAAACGCTAAACTAGTCCTCATCTTGGTCAATCTTTTTATACTTCAGTGACGGAACCGTGGCAACACGATCAAACACAATGGACTCAGCAACACCAACGACAACAACACCGGATCCCAGGCGCTTAGACCGTGTCGCATTAGCTTGCATTCAGTGCCGGGGCCGTCATGTCAAATGCGATGCTACACAGCCAATCTGCAATCGATGTCGAAGAGATGGAAAGGAATGTAATTATCAAAAGTCGCGAAGAGGAGGATTGGACAAAGCCGCACTCGCTGCGCGACGACTCAAGCTAAAGCAGCAGCAGGAGCGCGAAAAATGCCTGCAATCTGATGAGACGCCTGCAACATCCTCAAATGGATCCTCGGGATCTACAACGAGTGAGCAACATGACCAACTCACAGTACCAAATCTGCAAAACTTGAACATCACAAATCCCATTCTAGATACTGCAGGTGCTATGTCATTTGCGATCAGTACGGACCGGTTGGTGGATCTCTACTATGAGAACTTCTTCCCAGCACATCCATATACCATGCCACAACAATTCGTTGCACTTAGAGGAACCCACGGCATGGAACTCCTCTTACTGTCCATGCATTTCGTCGGATCAGTATACGCTCCTTGGACACCCACAGAACCATACTACGAGGCTGCTTATCAGGCTCTTTGCCAGCCAAACATTCCAAGGACCGGATTCACGATACAAGCGCTGTTGATGTTCGCAACAGCCCAACACCACATGGACCGCCGGCCAGAATCTCGAAAGATGCTTGACCGCGCGATCGAACTGGCCGTGGAATTGCGTATCAACCACAAGGATTTCGCCCAGCTCCACGGCGAGGGTAATCCGGTATTGGAAGAATCCTTCCGGAGAACGTACTATTTCTTGTTGATCACCGATCAGCATTTCGCGGTTGTTGTGAATTCCCCTATTTATGGTATGAGAGATGTTGCCAATTTTCTTGATTTGCCATGTGATGATGACCTCTATGTAACGGGGGTATGTTCCAACGTCTTGAAATGATGTATGCACTTCTAATAGATGACAGCAAATACCGACCCCAACCCCGCTATCCGAGTACGAGGTCAGAGAATTTGCGGACGAAGAAATTGTCTTCTCTTCTCTTGCGTACATGTATGACATTGGAAGGGTAGTTGCTCATATCAGTAAGATTCTTCATGCGATGACCCTTGATCCTCGAGTTAACATAAGCAGTGCGAGTTTTCACGGAGACAGGGCAGTTTTCAGAAGCTTTGATTGCGTCTGCCGACACAAAAGTGGCCATTTGGCGGTCGTTACTGCCGGCGTGCAAAAGAGACGCTGTAAAACCAGATGGGTCCGTGGATGAGGTGATGTTTATGGCGCATATGAGCTGTATCGTGTAAGTACTTACTCGCGCCAACATCATAAGAATGATCAATAACACCTTTAGACTCCAAACAAGCCTCCACAGACCTTTGTCATCATTAGCGTACAGTCTTGAGGAGTTGTCAACAGAGAGCTTCGCGTCACCAGTTCCATTCCTCGAATCTCCGAATAACGGGCGAGGTGCACATACAGCTCGAGCGCTCAAAGCCGCGGAGATGCAGACAAGACTTCTCGCCATCCCGTGTGCAGCTGAACGGCACAATCTCTTCACACTGTGTATCACGGCAACACTCGCAACAGCCCAGATATCCGCCTGTAACATTTTGTTAGAAGATCGCGCACAGTCGATTGCACGCGACAGGATCCGACTTAGCATTGGCTATCTAAGTCAGGTAAGAAAGCCCGTCCAATTAAGCAGTGCATGGAGACTGATTAGCACTCCAGATGGGAACATTCTGGCCTTTAGCAAAGAAAATGGCCAAGGAAGTGCGTTATGTTGCTCGTGCGACGCTCTCCGGAAACCCTCATGTAACTCTACCACCTGAGCCGGATGCGAATGATGAGATCGATATACCCCGCGACGAACTGATATGGCCCATCAATCCGTCCGCACAGATCGACATTTACACGGGTCTCACAATGCCGGAATGGAGTCCCGGTCTCACTCAAATGCAACCTCGGAATGTTCCCTGAACACAATGAACACGGATTGTGATGAAAGCAATCTCTTTCTTGAAGACAGAGTGCACATGATCGGAGAGCCAAGAAGTGTACAGTTTGGCACAAGATGCGAGATGGGGTGTAGTACATTTACAAACGAGTCGTACACAACTACCCCACTACTGCTTGTGCATGGGTAGCTGCGACACGAACAAGCATGATGATAGCCATCCGGATAGCTTTCCCAGATGTCTGGGACAAGCTGAATTATTGCGGAACACACAGGATTCAGGAGCAGCAAGAATGTTCAACTGAACTTGACTAGCCTGGATGTTTTTCCTGGCAATAATAACCACCAGTTTCGCTTATAAAGCAGACCGGCCATCTAACGCCGAGTCGTGCTCAAACGCCGACGAACAGGAGGATGAAGTTTCTCTTAATACGAGATATTCAAATTCGAATTATGTATTCATCATAGTCAGAGAGATGCTCCGGCTGACATAAAGTTGACTTCTTTACGAGTTATTGCACAAGTAGCAGAGACATGCCACAACCGAGCGCATGAGGATGGTGCGATGTCGTCTGGGTTATCTATGGAATCTAACACGCCAGCCTTATATGGTTAGCGTCATTATTGCATCACCCAATTGCCCCGCGTCTGGATCTTCTCAAGTGGGTCTATCATTTTTTCAAGTCCTCGGGAAAGGGAATGAGACCATTTTTTTCCGACTTGACTGACTGACTGACCGGATGACTACTTACCTCCTTGGGACAATATAAGACCGATGTCGCCCCTTCGTATATGAGACTCTTCTCCCTTCTTCCCATCACCATTACAGTTCAGTCTTGAACCACAGAAACAACATTCACACCTAAACACACAGAATATGTCCTTCCTACGAACACCTACTTCTCGTCAATTCCTCTGACTTTGTGACGCAAACACCGTCAGCGTTCTGCGCGTATAATCCGATCTAAGTCAACATCAAGCTATCAACTAAATATAGCATTTCTCTTCAAGAGCGAACCAGTGGGGCACCCCTTACGGTTGATCTGATTGATTGCCATTTACAAAGCAATATACACCACTGAACCTCTCTATCACGAGAACAAGCCTCGAAAAAGTCATGAGTGGCTTCAACAAAGCCATGGGCGAGGAGCCAATCGCCACGCCTGGGACCACCGACTTTGAGGACACTGATGTCGAAGGCCTGATTCAAGAGATAGACCCCATTGAGGAGGCGAAGTTGGTACGGAAGTTGGATCTGTTCCTGATCCCTGTGGTCATGCTGTTGTATCTGCTCAGTTTCCTCGATCGGTAAGTCGGCGCTTCAGTATTTCTTGCGTGCAACATAAGACGTGAATGACATCGAGAAGAACTTTGACTCCTTGATTACATCAAACACTAGTGGCACTGTAAAAGTCCTAGGGCTAACAAAATCCCTAGTGTCAACATTGGCAATGCTCGACTGTATGATCTCGAATCAGATCTCAATCTCAGCCCAAATCAATTTCAGACTGCTGTTTCGATTCTCTTCGTGACGTACATCTTATCAGAGGTCCCGTCCAACCTGGTACTCAAGAAACTGCGTCCCTCCCGCTGGATCGCCTTCATCACTGTATCATGGGGCGCGGTCGCCACGCTCACTGGCGTTGTCCAGAACTACGCCGGACTCCTTGTCTGCCGTCTCTTTCTCGGTGCTGTAGAAGGAGGTCTCTTTCCCGGGATGGCCATCTATCTCACCTTCTTCTACACCAAGCGTGAGCTTGCCCTCCGGATCGGGTACCTCTTCGTCTCCGCCGCACTCGCCGGTGCTTGTGGTGGCCTCCTGGCCTTCGCAATCGGTCACATGCACGGCACCGCTGGACAGTCAGGCTGGCGCTGGATCATGATCATTGAAGGAGCTCCCACCTTTGTCCTCGGCATCGCTACCTGGTGGATTCTGCCCGACAACCCACAGACTGCGTACTTCCTCGACGATCGACAGCGCGCACTAGCTGTACGCCGTCTGACGCTGCAAACAGGATACACCAAGAGCGCCGTCGAGTTCCACTGGGAGGACGTCAGGAAGGCAGTAAAGGACTGGAAGGTATGGGCGTTCTGTCTTGCGCTCTTCGGCAGTGATTGTATGCTTTACGGATACTCGACCTTCCTCCCGACCATCATTCGCGGTATCAACCCCGGGGCTTCGACTGCCATGGTACAAGTCCTGACCATCCCCTGCTACGCTCTGGGCGCCATCACCTACCTCATCGTTGCGAGGGTCTCCGACCACCAACAGAAGAGAGGACTATGGACGGTAATGCTGGGTCTCGTGAGTATCATCGGCTACGCGCTTCTGATCAGCGACACCAGTTCGTCAGTCCATTATGCGGGGTGCTTCCTCGTAGCGATGGGATTGTACGTTTTTGTCGGTTTGCCGCTCGCTTGGCTGCCGACGAATTGCCCAAGATACGGCAAGCGAACGACAGCTACGGGGCTGCAGTTGTCGATGGGAAATTGTGCGGGTATCATGTCTAGTTTCGTAAGTCTCCGACTTGGTGCCACGTCGTCTTTTGCGGATGCAATGTACTAACAGATGAATAGCTCTATCCAAAGGGCGAGTCTCCGAGATTCATTCGCGGTCATGCGGTCACTATGGCTATGGTTGCGTTTGCAATTATCATCTACACCGTCATGTGGCGGTACTTCTCAATGGTCAATGCGAGGAGGGAGGCTGGAAAGGAGGATCATTTGATCGAGGGTATGGATGAGCATGAGATCGCCGAAATGGGTGATGAAAGTCCCAAATTCAGATATGCCGTCTAAGGGAAGGAAGGGATGAGGAATGAGGGGGCATGCATCTAGCTTGGAGAGGGGCTAGGTCATGGTTCGAAGAAGTTGAAGGAGAGGCAAGTCAGAAGTAGGAGGTGTAGGGGTTGAGTCAAATTGGTATGGCTCGAGATGTTGGTTGTTAGCTGTGGGTAATGGTGGGAAGTGGTATATGTTGGAATCATTAAATTGCTTGTCTTGATAGTCTGTGAGTACGCTTGTACTGGGTATATAAATCTCCACTCTTTTATACTCCATCATTCAGTCAATTGTGAAATCGCCGAACAAAAGTTCGCGCCCGCGAGATGGCTTTTTTGCCCGTTCTCTCGACTGTCTGGAGGACTATACAGGACATTACCAACATAATCTTTGCAACGTCCGGGGCAATTGTCGTAACTTGAACTCGATTCATGACTTTCCCTCACGTCTTGAACGGTACGCTGCGCAGGCTGTCTCAGGCCGTCTAGGAGTTGGACAACGCACGTGTTCGAAATCGTTGTTTGACCAATCTTTTGTATATCAAAACTTCCTCACGACAGTCCCTTGGGCGGGAAACTCGATTCCTTCTTGACACCATCCCTCGACAGTCTGACGAACTTCATTGTCGCCAGATTCGCCCATTGTCCGTTCCAGGCCTTCAACTTCTTCAAAACCTCCATATCCTCCAACTCCGGCAACCAGAATCCGGATGTGTATTCGCCCTGTTCGACGTCTCTATTCTGTTTGAGAAGCGTCTCCCGCGTGCTGGGCGGCCTGCCAGCGCGGCGCTCAGCCTGTAATTTCGAAATTTCATCGTCATCGCGGCCGAGGTAGTCTTCGATCATGCGCTGAAGTTCTGGGATTGTGCAGGGCTCGTCGTGTTCGACTGTGTACGATTGGAAGGATTTGATTCGGAGGACTGCACACACAACAATTAGAACAGCTCCCCGCAAATGGATGGCAAAGGGGCAAAGAAACTTACGAAATGGTCTGTTCTGCTTTTCCCGGACTGAGGCCAGTCGGTTGAGTTTATTGTCTCGCATATGGGCACTGTGAAGTCGCTTTGTGTCGCGGCTGTTCTCATGGAGATTTAGATCTTTACCCTTCTTCTTCGTGATGTGCTTTTGCACTTTTGACAAGCGATTGCTAGTTAAAGGCATGTTGTGGTACTGTCTGAAGGTGCGTAAGGTAGGGTATTGTATTGTATGTTGGCTTTTTTAGAGAGTGAATGTTCGATTGATGGTCACGGTTCCAAAAATTTTGGTGGGGTCGGCAAGTCGGCGTCAGGGCATGGGCAGGGATATAGATAGGGCTTAGTGGCTTGGGGATTTGACTGATTGGCTGTGACCATCGAGAATGTCGCGTCGAGCCCTTGCATTCGTCCCCACGCGTCACACAGGACGAATCGTCGAACCAACAGCTGGCGGTCACGAATACTTCTTCACTTCACTTCACTTTACTTGCAGTCCCTTACTTAAGCGCCCCCCCGACCTCCCCTCTTCTATTGTACCTTTAGTTGCCTGCCTATTGTACCTGCTCTGTTACATCACAGACCACCCTAGATTGCTACGTACTTGAGCGCCTCTCCTCTTCCACACCCTTTCAGTATGCTCTCTTAGCCACCACCACCACCGATTCGGTCTACTGCTTGAATACAGCTCGACAGGCAGCAAAGTCTCCACAATGGGTATCTCAGGTGTGTATATTAGAGCCATACAAGCTCACCTTGCTCAAGCCACTGACATGTCTTTGAAGGCCTTCTACCGCTTCTCAAGTCTATTCAGAGGCCATGTTCACTCAAGAAATTCTCCGGCCAGACCATTGGTGTCGATGCGTATGGCTGGCTTCATCGAGGCACTGCTGCTTGTGCCATCGATCTAGCGCTCGATAAACCTACCACTAAGTATGTATTTACATTAATCACGTCACTTGACAGTGAACTTCGCTCACCAGATACGCCTCTTAGATATGTTGATTTTGCGATGAACCGAGTTCGCATGTTGATCCATTTTGGTATAACACCTTTCATTGTATTCGACGGCGATTATCTTCCCAGCAAAGCGGGAACCGAGAAAGAAAGATCTGAGAGGAGGAAGGAGGGCAAGCGACTCGGGTTGGAACTATTAAAAGTCGGAAAGGCCTCTCAGGCCCAGATGGAATTACAAAAGGCTGTCGATGTCACGCCGGAAATGGCACGCATGCTAATCGAGGAATTGAAGCACCACAACATTCGATATGTTGTTGCTCCGTACGAGGCCGATTCGCAGCTTGCCTACCTCGAGCGACAGGGACTTATCGATGGCATTCTGTCGGAAGATTCCGACCTTCTAGTCTTCGGAGCAAAACGTCTCCTCACCAAGCTCGACAAGTACGGCGAGTGCGTCGAGATCTGCCGCGACAACTTCACGGCTTGTAGGGAGGTCAGCTTGGTAGGCTGGTCAGATGCGGACTTCCGACGCATGGCTATGCTCAGCGGATGTGATTATCTTCCCGGCATCGGCAAGATGGGATTGAAGACAGCGTATCGCATGCTACGTAAGCATAAGACTGTGGAGAGGCTGGTCAAGGCAGCTCAATTCGACGGCCAGTATAAGGTCGCTCCAGGTTACCTCGATGCCTTTTACCAAGCGGAGAATACGTTCCTCTACCAATGGGTTTTCTGCCCTAACAGCAACCGGCTAGTTAACTTGACGGATCCTGCATCTGGGGTGGATGTGTTAGCAATGCCATATATCGGTGCAGAGGTACCTGCAAATATTGCTGTGGGTGTCGCAAGAGGGGATCTACATCCTCACTCAAAGGAGCCACTCACGGTCCTCTTCAGGGAAAAGCCGAACGCTAGGCCATTACGTCCATCACCAAGGGCGCAAGTCACTGCTCAAACTCCAGATATGAAGGGATCAAAGCCAATCGACTCATTCTTCAAGCCAAAGCGTACACCACTTGCTGAGCTGGATCCCAACATCTTCACCCCATCGCCCAGCCAACAAGTTCTTCTCGAGCAACAACGAAATGCTAGTTGGGATCCTGTCATGGCGCCTCCTTTGTTGACGCAAGCGCGTTCCGCGATTCCCAGGACAGCACCTCAACCTCCGAGGCGGACCGTATCTGAATCTTTCACCAGGCGCTCTGCTCCACAGCCAGCTAAGAGAAACCGTTTGTGCTCTGACAACTTTCTCATTACTCCACTTGGTGCGAAGCATGGAGAGGAACGGAGCCCATTCTTCGAGCCCTCCATCACAGAACCCAGCCCATCTCTACGAAACAGCAAAAAGCATAGAAAGTCGAGCAATGATTTCGAATTGTACTCCGATGACTCAATTGAGGAAGCAATGGCTATCCTTGCTTCCACTCAAGAATCGGCCAAACGCCCTAAGAAGAAAAAGAAGTTGGCTGTCTTCACGGAAGATGAAACTCGTTCGAGCCTTGCCAGTGCCGATTCACAGTCTACCATCGCATCAACGAGCACAGCAGAACTTTCGCAGGAGTCAACTGGAACCCTTACGCCAGCAACATCTTTTGGTAGCCCTGCACCGGAGTCGTCGCTCGATACGCCATTCACCAAAGCACTATCATCTCAAGTGAAAAGCCTGCGCTCCAAGTTCTCCTATCATGCTCTGAAGATGGCAGGAAACGTTCCTTCTGAGATGCCTACTGCGTCAGGTTCAGCCATCACGGATGCTTCTCCAAAATGTGAAACCGTAGAGAAGGCCTCGTCGGAGAAAACGGCAGCGACTCCTGAAGATGAGGTCGGTGAGCTCGAGCATGCTGCTTGGGCTAGCATGGAGGCTCAAGTTGTTGTTGCTGCCGAGGCAAAGAATACCACAGTTATACCAAACTCGTCCCCTGTTGCTGCACCGCCAAAGCCCCAAAGGCTCCAGCTCCGTGGCAGTGAGGATATGTTCGTCCCTGATAGCGATGGCGAGAGCGATGGCTCGCCACGCAGGCCTATTCTGAGCCTAGATCGATTCGCATATGTTGGTTAGACCATTCAACATACTCATATGTGATTCAGTACATTATACAGCGGATTATTGCGATGTCTATGACCTTTGCTACAGGTCATGGCGCCAAGCTAAAACAATTGTTTATTTCAACAGGATATTTTTTGAATCAGCGAGGGGAAAAAGCAGCTGATATCCGGTTTCACAATTTTTTCTTACACAGAGGATACCCTTGAGGCGTTCAAGCACTATGCATAAGCTGGGATGGTTATAGTACACAGATCGGGATACCCACATTAATGACTCTCTATTCTCAAAAATTTGGACATCATTGCAATCTTTTGATCCGTATTCGGTGCAGTATCAGTGACCTAGAAACTCTTACGATGTGTACGTGACTTGACGAAGACCCTGAACGACGCAGCTAGTACAGCCAATCTATCTACTCGCACTTGTCAATGCGACTTCAGTGACAATGCTACAAATATCTGAAAGGATCATTTGCATTCCCTTTGTTCTTTTCCCTTGTCTGGCCCTAACAACGTTCACAACAAAGCACAATCACAACATCTAGTACACTACATACACTGTTGTGAAGGGGAACAATTAATAATGGTGTCGATAATAGCATACATCCCGCAAACTACGAACAGTGCTTTAGGTCGTGAAAACATGATATAAATTTTGCATGATCTTGAACATTTGATGGCATCCAACTCGTTATTTTCGGATCTCTTTCACCAAAAGACTAAATCTCCAACCCCAAGAGTATTAACAGATTCAGAACTGTGCTCCGGAACAAGCATAGAGCTCAACTCAAAGATATTATCAATCACAATGGTTGTGCGTTCCCCTCCCCCTTCTTTCAAACCGCATCCCTTGTTCCACTGAGAAGTCAGTCGAACTGAATCATTACTCCACTCCACCAGGATACCCATCACTAACACATCTCCCCGCCAGACTTGTACCAAACGCCCATGGGGCCCATGGGCTTTTGATCCCAGACGTAACACATCTTCGTGCCGGGCTTATGATCCCAGACGTAACACAGCTTCGTGCCAGGCTTATGATCCCAGACGTGACATAGCTCCGCACCGGACTAGTCCCAGACTTGCAGCTGCACAGAGGCCCCAAAACTTCTACAACGAGACCAGGCTATCTCGAGAGTCCGCCAGACCCGTCATCGTCCCAGCCGGCACGCTCCACCCACGGCGTCGCAAGAAGAAACCAACCGCCGTCAAAAATGGAGGAGTAAAGAAAGCAAATGGACGCAAGAACGGACGCAAGAACGGACGCAAGAACGGGCGCAAGAACGGAGTCAAGAAGAACGGAGTCAAGAAGAACGGAGTCAAGAAGAACGGAGTCAAGAACGGAGTCAAGAATGGCGGCAAAAGCATCAGGCACCCTACCCCATTCCCATCTCCTCATCCATCTCCTCCTCCATTTCCCCCTCCATCTCCTCCTACATCTCCTCCTCAACTTCAATTTTCAACTTGGTATTCATCTCCCTCCCCTTCTTTGCCCGAGCCCGCCACCGCTGTCGCAGTTGGACAACCTTCCTCGTCGGACCACGTCGCCCCATCGCCTCCGAACGACCCCGCCACTTCTATCATCATGAAACAATCGTGCTCGGACCACAACATTCCTCCCACGCCCGCGAACGTGCCTGCCGCCCCTCCTACCGTGCTTAAATCCTCTCCATCCTCGCCTACCTCTGTCTATATTAAGGCGTGTTCCTCACCGACGCCTCTCGGTATCATTGGCACGGCGGGTGGCTTTGCCATGTCGCCGTCATCCTCGCCGTCGTCGGGTGAGAGTTCTCCTTCTTCCCCTCCTGCACATGCGGTGAGGACTGGTGGCGGTGTCACCTGTGGTAAGTAGTATATCTGTGACCGTTGTTGAGAGTCTCATGCTAACTTGTGAATGCTACAGATAGTGACAGTGACTCCGACCCGGATCTTTGAATAACGAGGTAAAGGACTGGTTAGTTTGTTGCGGCATGGAGAGTTAGATAGTAGGAGTGGAGGATAGTTAGAATTGATTAAGCTGTATTTGAAAGGTGAATCTGGGTTGTTTATCACTAATTAGTGTTTCATTTCGTCTATTGGTATGCTGTGCTGGATCACTGTTTCCATGGGAGCGAAAATTGGTTGAGGGTTTGCATGACCCAACAGGCATGTACACACATCCGTCCATTTAGTAATCGAAAATCGACATTGAAAGTGATCTGGTTAAGTATCTGCTATACGCTCTAAGCAACAAAATGAGAAAAATTGTAAATAAAAAAAATTGGCAAAAAAAAAAAGAAAAAAAAGAAAAAGTGGTGGAAACACCCAGGTTTGAACCTGAGATGTTTCCGGAAAAGCAGAACAGAAAACAACGCTTATTCGCAGTATCCGATGTATGACCCTTTAACATTGTGCAGGTTTCATGAAATCAAGATTGATTCCACTCCGGCCACACAAGTCGTGGAAAAGCTATTCTTGGTAGAGCCTGATTTCCCTACTTCGGTGGTAGCCTCGGAATTCTTGAAAGTTCTTGCAAATTAAGGCCTTTATATATGCCAAAAAGGTTGAGGTGAAGGTGAGAGAAGACACCCCATTGGCTCATTGGCCCCAACGTCATGACACCTTTACCAAACAACATGTGTAGTCACTTCACTGTTGAGCACTGATCATTCAGTTTTACGTTTGCATAGTCTCGTGTTGTATAACATGGAGCCGGACCTCAACGAATCAAAGCTTTGGAATGGTAGTATATAAGTCGGTGATCCGAAGGGCGTTTGGCATAGTGCCTGTCCATCACGCGTAAGATAGTCTTGCGGTGTATTTATGCAAGGGATCGGTCTCTCAGTAATAGTAACGGTGAGCATTGAGTGAGTCAAGTGGTCTCGATTGGGTATATATTTTGTACCAGATCCCATGACGCATCAAAATGCTTCACATTTACTGATTGAAGGTCCAGGAATCTCCCAGTCTCTATAAATGCTGTCCGCCTAGTGATCAAGTCGTCTCTCTATTTCTCCCACATCTTGATATACTTGGAAGTCTTAACACTTATACAGATCTATATCAATTCTTTTGCATCATTATAGTCATATAATACCCTTTTCTGAGCTCGATGCATTTCTTTAAGCTCGGCTTTGTCGCTATGGCGATACCTATTATCGTCTCTGCAGCTGCGATATCTGCCAGTGGTCTGCCGGCCGATGTCCTTGGCGGCGAGGTCACCGACATTATGAAGGACCGCTGCCAGCCGGAGTGTGAACCGGGACTTCTAAGATGCGTTCGCGTAAGTTTCGTATTCCAGCATTGCCATCTGTAGACCTCCAACACTGACCATTATGCACAGCAGATAGGATTCACCGGCCTTTGCCACACTCTCTGGTGCACGCACAGATCCCGAGCTGTAAGGCTTCGAAATTCTCTCACTTGTGCGTTTAGCATGCTAAGTTCTAATCGATTGCTAGTGTGGCGGCTGCTTTTCCTGCAAGCACAAGCTTACTCCGCCCGCGCGGGTTGAGGCTCAGGTCAAGGCCCAAACCGTTCCTAAGATCCTAGAGGGCGACAATGAGGGTTCGTCCTCGAACATCAGCGCTCAGAGTCTCGAGGTCGAAGCTAGGGCGCAGGATGAAGAAGTGGACCCCGATGCCGACCAGAACTACTTCAACAACTGCAACAAGCAGTGGAGAAAGTGCACCAAAGCATTCGCTTATGACTGGAATCTCTGCAAGGAGAGGCTTTGCCCCGCCATTGTAAGTTCTTACTGTTTGTATACATATCAAAGATTTCCCTAACATTGTGATAGTGCAAGAAGGACAAGATCATCTGTGGTCACTTTCTCGCTCAGCCGGATGCCCTTGAGGGGTAGAGGAGACAATGAAGGGTTGAGAAACATAGAAGGGAGCAATCAGGCAGGATATCCCGTTAGATGCTGGCTCTAGAGGACCGACCTTCATAAATACTGATTTCGCAGTTCACATGCTGTTAATGCAATCTATATCATAGGCTCACAATATAACTTGGAGCTGCTCTATCTGCAGTTATCCTTACCATCAATTGCGGAACAGTATAGAAAGATGGTTTGGTCGTGTGAATATGTGTAGCCATTGGATAAGGTATGAGTTAGATGATGCTCGATGCTTAAGCTGAGGAGACGTTTTCTCCTACACTCTTGTCGCAATACAATGGGAAGTTCCAGGCTCAATCATGAACAGTCATGGCTTTGTCTTCATGCTCATTCGACTCGATAGCGGGAATGATCATTGAATTCATTGTACATATGATACATTATACTACAGCATCAAACGCCCTCCGTACGAGGTTGCCATATCACATGACTCTTAACTCCAAGAACTTTAGGACTTCGGCCCTGTGATGTCCCTTAATCGTCACATGTTTTGTCAACTGGTTGATTTTGACATCCTCATCCTTCTTTCCTAACAGCACGCGGAGCTCGTCCCTCAACGCCGAGCGGTCGCCGGTAATCTTGCGTATCGTCGTCAAATGCAGGTTCCCGCCGCGCTTGTAGTCCTGGTATACAGGTAGATTGCCGCTTTTTGATCGCTCAACGTGGTACTTCGCGGGTGGAAGTTCTAATGTAGTAGTGCTTTGAGGTGTGGATGTGGCTTTGTTCTCTTTGGCCGTCTTGGAGGTTTGCGCTTTCGGCTTGGATACCTGAGCGATGTTGGAGGCTGCGGCTCGTCCCGAAGAAACAGGTACTGAGTCGGTCTGAGCCGTCGTTTGTGAGGGATTCGTGTGGTCTGATGGGAGGACTGGTTTTGGAGCTGGGGCTTGCGCGCTGTCGCCATCCGTTAAGGCTTCAGCTGCTGCAAGATCGGCCGCTCGTGCGGCTTCCTTGGGCGATGATGGCGGAGGAGGGGCTTTGGTTGAGGGGCTTTTCGCAGGCGTAGCTGGTTCTATAGGGGTATGAGCCATTGATTTAGTATTTGAACTTGCTGCTGGAAGCGCAAGGAACGGTATATACCCTCAGCGTTGAAGCGTGCGGCACTCGAGAAGCGCATCATTGGTCGAAAGATGGCACTTCTGGGTGCCACTGCGGGCCTCAAAAAGGCCATAATTGGTTGGATGCGAGACATTGCACAACTCAATTCCCTGAAGAAGAGTAAAGGCTGAGGATTGAGTGTAAAATGGTGATGTTGATCGGGTCGCAGTGAATGCAAAGCTTTTGGTTGGAGGTTGCAACTGTAATTCAGTCTCAGTCGTACCAAAACCTACCGACATAATACTTCAACACCAAACTTTTAGCGTGGAACAGGGGTCCTCGCTACGCACAGTCATTTTTCATTGCCCACCTCAACCCCACCGCGAAACTCGCGAATTCCGCCCGCTGCCTCACGACAAATCCATCTGCTCCTCCGCAGCACCTCGAGTACGCGCTCCTCTTCGCCGGCCGCATTTCGAATCGCGATAAGGAACCCAACCGTGGGATTTACCATCATGGCCGACTCTGCGACCGACGGCGGCATCGCCGAAAAATACAGTCTCCTCCCAAAACTCATGCCACATCTCGATCGCCAGCTCATCTACCCTCTCCTCAATTTCCCTGATGACGAGAATGTCGAGAAGCCTTTGTCGCAGAAGAAGCTTCTCCTCGAGCTCCTCAAGCCAACCAACATGACGGATTTCGTGGGCGAGCTCCACCGTGAAGTGCACGGCTTGAGCGAGGTACCGGACGAGTACAGGCAGAAGCGGGAGCAGGTCTTCAAGAGGAGGGATCAGTTGGAGGAGGAGACAGCGAAGATCTCAGGTCTTTTGGATGACGAAAACGTGGTCACAAACCTCAGGAGTGACAAGGTGCAGAACTTGCAGTACCTGAAGGAGAACCACGGCGTCACTGTGGAGATGGTGAACCAGCTCTATGAGCTTGGTCAGTTCAAATACAGCTATGGTGATTACGGCCATGCCTCAGAGCTTTTGTACCGATTCCGAGTTTTGGTATGTTCGATCGGCCTTATACCTTCGTTGCTTGGCGCCATACTAACAATCACAGTCAACCGATAACGACAAGACCCACGAGGCAACCTGGGGAAAGCTCGCTTGCGAAATCCTCTCCGCAAACTGGGAAGATGCCATTGAGGAGATCAACAAGATCAAGGAGTCCATCGACACCCGCCTCTTCAACAATCCTCTCGCCCAACTCCAGCACCGCACTTGGTTGATCCACTGGTCGCTCTTCCCTCTCTTCAACTACGAACAGGCCCGTGAGACCCTCACCGAGCTTTTCTTCTCCGCCCCATACATCAACACTATCCAGACAAACTGCCCATGGATCCTCCGCTACCTCGCCGCCGCTGTCATCACCGGACGAAACCGCGGATCTGCCGGTCGCAACACCAGCAGCTACCAGAAGCAAGTCAAGGATCTTGTTCGTATCGTCAGACAAGAAGGTTACGAATACAGCGATCCCGTGACGGACTTCATCAAGGCGTTGTACATCGACTTCGATTTTGAGGAGGCGCAAAAGAAGCTCAGCGAGACGGAGGAAATCCTCAGAAATGACTTCTTCTTGCTCCACTCTGCAGACGCATTCATTGATTCCGCAAGACATTTGATCTCCGAGTCTTACTGCAAGATTCATCAAAGGATCGACATCAAGTAAGCCCCCTTGACCCTGATTGATCAGTTATATCAGTAACTAACAGACGTTCAGGGACCTCTCTACCCGTCTCGGCCTCTCCCAAGATGAGGGTGAGAAATGGATTGTTAACCTCATCCGTGACACCCGCGTCGACGCAAAGATTGACTACCAGGCCGGTACGGTAGTCATGAACCACCCCCCGCAATCCGTCTACCAGCAAGTTATTGAGCGAACGAAGGGTGGCTTCTTCAGGACACAAGTCCTTAGTGCTGCCGTGGCGAAATGAGTTTATGACTAGAGTATTTGGGAGAGTTTCTACTACGCGGTTTATGCTGCTTCTGGGGATGATGTTTGGTCTAGGAGCAAGGATTCGGTGGAAATACTTCGAGGAAGTTGAAAAAGGTTTATGCGGCTAAGGGATCCCCGGAGAAAAAGAAGGCATAGTGCATATCCAGGCGTCTAATTACGACTCTCCGATTTTTCCAGCTCAGATTTATAGGCCGGGGGCTCGTGTGGCTTCCTTGGGTGATGATGCTGTATTCATAGACGCAAAAATAAGGGCGCCTCTTACAGGATAGAGTCAGATGTAGTGGAAGAATATTAAGCACATTTCAAATCCAATGAAGGCGCGTTTTGACCTGTCAGCGGTTTCTGGTTTGATTTCGAGAGAAATGGAAACGGCCTCAACGCATTGCTTATGAATGTCCATTTTCACCAAGGAAATGCCTTGTAGGCCAATGGAACAGTCACAAATGGACGAATATGGCAGCCCGTGGCGATTTACTCTGCAAAACCAATATTAAATGCACATGTTCAAAAGAACTTTGCAACCTCGGATGGTAATTGTTGTTCGAATCAATCACCTTCCAGAAACTCACAGGTAACGCTCAACCATAACCTCTCTCAATGCTGCTAGCACGTACTCGATAGACTTGCCACTCAAAACTTAATCAATTGTTGGAATACTCTTGTATATTTCTAATCGCTACTCTAATGATATTGTCTAATTCCACTTGCAGACAGGATAATTTTCCGCACAATGATGAGCACTAACCAATTTGCCGAAATGCTCTACTAAGCTTTCCCCGACGCGAAACTAGCCACTCAAGCGAACTTCTTCGAGCGACGATTACTGATTTAAGATCTCCTCCGTGATAATGATTCGTCAGGAGTCACACTTCAAGGCCGACTGCCGATTTAGCGGCATAGATGCCGCCCCAAACTGGAGCAATTCCCACATGTTGGGGTAGGTTTTGCGTCCTTACCTGCGGACAATGTTATAGTGTGAACACCCGCGTAAGTTTCAGATGAATATTAAAGATCTACTTTGTCCGATCGTTCTAAGATTTATGGATACTATCAAAGGACTTCTTTCCCTGTCTTTGCCTTTCCTTACTGAGTACTCAATCTTGGATTCATCAAAATGGCCCCAATGCTTTCTTCTGTTCCACAAGTCACCGCCCCGGAAATAGGGTTGACCACGGACAAAAACATTGCTTTTGACTCAACCCCTTCTAAGAAAGAAGCTTCCGTTGTTGATACAACAATATCACCACCTCCCGATGGGGGACTGAAAGCATGGACTCAAGTACTCATGGGCCACCTCGTCCTGATTAACACCTGGGGGTACTTGACCTCGTTCGGCTTATTCCAGTCGTATTACACAACCGCCCTGAATTCGACACCTTCGGCCGTGAGTTGGATTGGATCTGTTCAGATCTTTTGTGTTTACATTATCGGCGCTTTTTCTGGTAGGGCACTCGATGCAGGTCAATACCGTCCGATCCTCATCGTGGGATCCCTTCTGCAACTCATCGGCATTTTCATGACATCTCTCTCCACCAAGTACTGGCATCTTTTTCTTGCCCAAGGTGTATGCAAAGGACTTGGGGACGGGCTGCTCTTCTGTCCTACGGTGTCGTTAGTGGCCACTTATTTCTCGACTAAACGGGTTTTAGCCATGTCGTGTACCGCATCAGGGGCTGCTACTGGAGGCATCATCTTCCCAATCATCGCTCGACAGCTACTACCAACCATCGGGTTTGGGTGGACGGTGCGGGTGATGGGGTTTGTAGTATTGTTCAATGCTATCATCGTCGTCTCTATTGCACGAGTACGTCTGCCACCACGCAAGACTGGACCATTAGTTGAATTGGCCGCATTCCGCGAACCGTCATATACTTTGTTTTGCATCGGCATGTTCTTCAACTTGTGGGCCGTTTACTATGCATACTTTTACGTGAGTCTCGGTCATGTTTCGTATACTTCTAGTGTTCATCTGACAGTCCATAATAGATAAGTTCATTCGGTAAAGACATCATCGGCGTCTCGTCATCGACTTCTATAGTCCTACTTCTTGTCATGAACGCGATCGGAATACCAGGACGTCTCATCCCCGCCCTCATCGCCGACTACTTCCTCGGCCCCGTCAACACCATCGTCATCGTCTCCCTCTTCGCCGGCACCCTATTCTTCTGCTGGGCTGCAATCTCAAACGTCGGATCCCTCTATGCCTTCTGCATCCTCTACGGTTTCTTTGGCGCAGGAATCCAATCCCTCTTCCCGGCCTCGTGCGTCAGTCTAACGAGCGACCCGCAAAAGATTGGCGTAAGGACGGGCATGGTGTTCACCGTGATGTCGATACCAAGTTTGACTGGGCCGCCCATTGCTGGTGCGCTTATCGAGTCTCGTGGTGGGAGCTTCTTGTATGCCCAGATGTTTGGTGGGGCCGCTTTTATGGGCGGCATGTTGACGTTGATGTCTGCGAGGGTGGCGAAGACGGGTTGGGTTTGGAGGAAGAGGATGTAGATGAAGTGGAGAGGGGAGTGTGAATGATACCAGATAGACTATAATAGACTTAGAACCTAAGTAACAACTACTTTGCATTAATACTGATTATCTGATGTCCCTGTGATGCAATACACAGTTTGAACGTTTTGTGAAAACAACTTGTTCTAATTCACTCTTGTGTGTGTCGTTTCATGTCCACATCATGTCTGAGAAATTAGCGAAATGATGATGTAGCAGGTCTTATTTTGATCTTCTGACCGCTTCCCCGTACCAGGTTCGACTCAGCGAGAAGCTGAGGTTCTTCTCATCATTCGGGGAAGGACAGCATATATTGAATTGAGTCAGAATCAAAGCACACCTGTCGGAACCGTTTCGTCGTTTGGTCAAATCAGTCTCAGTCAAATCTCGCGTGGTTGTTGTGTAGCATGAGAAGTTCCACGCGTGCAGCTGAAAAGCCATGATTTTGCAGATCTCTATGGTCCCGAGGATATTGGAGCACCACCACGTAATGTTTTCCGAGACCTTCAAAAGAGTGGTTGGGATGGCTTTGAGCCTTCGAAACATCACGCCCAGCTACATTCACGGGGCGGGCCTGCACTTGGTCATGTTTTGGTGGAAACCGGAAATCATCCCGTGGATCTATGGAGTTTGGGAAACAACCTAAACTGATAGGATGATGTAACGCAGCCATAACGATGCAATCAAAACGATGCACATTCGAAACTCCGTGATGTGTAGTGAGCAACGCCATCGTACATCCGTGGGCCGCTCACCTGACGTTGACCTTCGGCCAGCTGCCAAATCAATGTTGTAGACCAATAGTTGTATCCGGTACGTTCAAGTCATTTGAAAGTTGCTGTGTGCCATCAGCACGCACACTCCCTACGCAAACCTGCGCTACACGAGTATATCAGAGTTGGCATAGTAGTATATCTCCGGAGATGCTACTTCACCACGCCCACTATCTCTTCAACTTGACCACGCGTATCTCGTGCGGGTTATCGTGCCGGACTGCATGTCATGAACAAATTGGCGGTGAAACTATTGGGCACATGCGGTGCATTCCGATCTGTCTGAGCTGCTCTTCAGCGTAAACGTCTATACTGAGTCATTGTCTACACTTTCAAGCCATGTCTCATAGCTCCTTGGTCGCTATGTATAGTAAGAACAGACTTGAGAGCTGCGACCCCTTTTGAAGTGGAAGTGCAGATCGAAAGCTTTATAGTTACTGCCGTGTCGAAGAAGAGAAAGCATTATAGAGCTACTTCCAACATCACGAATAGGAAGTCAAGAATATGTACCTAGGTCAAGTCTCCGACAGGTCTGGCATGGCATGCTCAAATAAAGAATAGCGTTTCTTTTCGCATGGTATTCCAGGACACAGAGTACATGGCTTAATACCGACGCTCTCGACAAAAACAATGTTTATGGCATGCTTGAACATACGAATTACCTATCTGCGCGAGATTAGCTTGAATGTGACAACGCCAATTCCTTGATGCAGACCTCCCAGGTCCGAAAGCTGTCTTCTTATGGAAAATGATCAATTAGTGGCTGCATAAAGGCGGAGCTGCATGTAGCCGTCCGCTTGAGTGCGGAGCAGTTGTGCAACGCGACAAGTTACCTGGAGGAGCTGATAGAATCGGGGTTGACTCCGCAAGACAACGCTGGACCGTCTAAAATCATTTCATAGAGAACACTGTAATCCCCGAAAACCCGCAGATGCTTCCCTCAAACAATGCACATGATCCCGCGTAAACCTAAATGCAACTTCAAAGAACTAAGAGGCTCCTGCGTCGACCGTCCCGCGTCCCGCGTCCCCTGTTCACCTTTAGCAAATGCGGATTATTGCTTTGCATAGAAACTTGAGGGCTAGAACACCGTGCATTTATTGGTTGTTGGGACAGCAGAATACGTTGACGGTAAGCTCCATGCGAGAAGGAGAGAGGCGCGTTTGATAGCAATTGGTTCCTAGGTAAGACCGTATCTTGGTACGGGATTTCGAGCAGCATGTTGAAGAGTCTATAATTAAATAATACGGTAAAGTGAACCATGCTCCACTTAGCTGCAATTGAACCAACACATTGGTGCCCACTGGACTTGTTCGCACATTGTATCTTTCTCGCCCGTGGGAGCTGTGTCTGTCCCGAAGGCCAATGTATCCACGGCGTGCCGCCAAATCTGCATGGGAATTTCACTTGAACTGAAGCAAGGTCTGTATATTATAGTACTAGTATATCTAACTACTTTTCCATATTTTACGAGGCTGATACCCGTATAGTACTACGACCAAGTGGAAGGCTCCAAGCGCAAGCATTCGGAGTTTGGTTCCCGCTTCCGCATCGTTCAGGTGGGGTAAAGCTAAGGCGTTGCTGAGTGGTTACGGCACACCCCACTGAGCGGCAGATACTCATGCATATTGAATGCGAAGAGAGCGGCTACAAAATACCGGTGGCGAATAACCAGAACATCACTACATTTTGATTTCTAAAATGAGGAGTCTGCGGAAGACCGCGGTTGATCTCGGCGGCTTGCCTAGATGCGTCGAGTAAGGGTCTCCGAGATATTCAATCAGCTTTGGCATGAGGCGCAAAGCCTTGGTTTCGCGCAAGGCTGTGCATGGTAAAGACAGAACCCGAGTGTGAAATTGCATGTAGACCCTGAATGGCAGTGTTTCGTTGCAGAATCAGGAAGTTGCGCTGCCTCGTGAAGAACTGGTGAAATCGATGTTTTCTCCCTCTTCAGAACGTGGCTTGCGCCATTTCACATCTTAGGTACCTACATACATATCTGCCGGATTGTGAGAACGCGGGGCGAGACTGCCTCTATGTGGTGCAGGCATGCAGTACGGAGTAGAATACAAACCACCAATTTGTCTATCCAATTTGATCTTCAGAGAACTTCTACTTTCACATGAGATGATCTGTCCAGATGTACGCAAGTGCTTTGAATATCCTACTTTTTCACTTTATACGTCATCGGCTCACTAATGAGACGCACACTGCAATTCTTGCCAGGCGATGTCATCGTTTCTCCTAGTGGACAATTATTTGTGATATGTTTGTCTAGACTTACGCGCCAAAGCTTCGCACGGGCCGTTGGACAGAGGTCAGTATCCGATAAACTGAGTGACGTACGAGTAAATTCAATCTCAAAGAGAGAATTGAGGACGCGGGACTTGAAGAGTATTGTGGTATTGGATGAAGTATGTGCGAAGCACCATTCAGTAGCTGTTTTTGAGGCCCCATCATCTTCACCTTTGTAAAGATTCCTCGCCGACTCTAGTTGACTTGCTGGAATTACATACCACACAAAACACTATGATCTATCAAGAGCAGCAATCTTGGAATCTGACGAAAATGATTGGCATCAGAGTAGAGACCTTGGTACGAGTATTTTAACTCGGGCGCAAGCCTGCTGCTCCTGGTAGAGCTAGGCGATCCTGAATTTATTCCAGAGTACGGAGTAGTCCATAACTATTCGACATCTTAATTCTTGACGTTTCCATCGTCAGGGACAACAAAATGCGAGACAGCATTGGTATGACCATCAAAACCCCAGGAACCAAAGGGCCCTGACCCTGGCATGAACTACACGCGAGAGATCTACACCTGATGTGATCTTCTCATCGGCCAATTGATAGATCGATTTGCGCACGGTGATGGGTCTACGCAGAGATGGAAGGAAAAGGGCTGTGGATGATGATGATTTACCTCGTACCTTTGACCATGTGGGCATTGAGATCGATCAGATGTCGACGATCGAAGCTATTCCATTCTAGGCACCTCGCTTATCTGATAGTTGGGTTTATCCTGCTTACCAAGGTGATGATCCCTGCAACCCGACAATCATCGGGCGAATAGGCCAAACTTTCTCTTCTCTCTGTCTTCGTCTCTAACCACCTACCCACTCACCACCCACTCACCACCCACTCACCACCCCCTCCACTCCCCAAGTTGCCAACCTCTCGGTACTCCGTACTGCTTTTATGTCTAACCTCAGGCTCCATCTGCCTATGACCCACCGCTAAAGATGTCTAAAGCCACTTACAATACTCCTTACAGGTACTTGCTATTCCTTTGTATTACAGTCCAGGAAGCTACTTGGTGCTTTCTCCCTGAGCGTGAGCACCTCGCAATAAGCTCTCCACATGTCCAGGTTCCCGTCACTTTCAGCATGCCAACGATACGAGTAGCTCGTATGTGCTTCCGAGCGTTGGTGAGGGTTGGACATTGGCTGTAAGAGCTAGCTATCAGCAACAAGAACCATGGGTATTGTATTGAGGGGTTCGGGCCACCACGGGCCCAGATCTGCAGTTGAAGCGCCAGTCGGAGAGGCCTCCTCCTCTTCTGGCGCACTGGTTCACCCAGCGTCGCGCTAAATGGTGGACTGCGCGGGCGTGCGTGATCTCGCGTTTCGTAGAGACAAAAAGCGAACGTGTGCTCGATCTCTAATGAAGGCTCGGCGCCGGCAGCTCATCGCGAATGCGAGTCGGACGCGGTACAATTACAAGTACAAGTAGCATCGCTTAAATCGGACTTGGGAGAAAGAGTACCACGAGTCACGACAGCCAAATAGACATCTGCTAGCAGACTGACCTGACATCCGAACTCCCCCTACACTATCTATTTATTGCTTGGGCGAACTTCTCCAGGAGCGTCCGTGAAATGCACTCTGGTCGTGTTGTCACACAGGATCCTATTGGGACTAGGGGGCCATCGTTTGGCAACACAGCTATCGGCTGTTGAAGGCACCATCCCCATGCCAGTTGGTGTCTTCCTGCTGTAGTCGGGGAGAACTCAGAACTCTAACGACCTTCCGCAATCCTCCTCGTAGGAAGGCGAACGAGTTGGCACAGCATTCTGGGGTTGCTCTTTCTCCAGTTCCTACTATCCAAAGTGTATCTTCAGATGAAGATCCTAGATCCTCGTCTATCTAGGTCGCAGGGAATAATGAGATTCTAGCGCAGCAAACGGAGCAACGATCGTCAGAGTAGCTGTTCAGTGCGAGAGACTGATTTGACCTGGCAATATGGGTGAGGTTTCCGGAGTGGTAGATCTAGATAACTAGCCTCCCATATGGTCGCAGGCATAATACCTCCCACAATTCGTCACTGAGAGCGTCCGCGGAGCAGGTGTTCGATCTCATAGGCGCGACATGGACATGTGCCGGTCCTTTCGCCACTCTGCCCTGCCTCTCTATTGCTCTTTCTCCCTTACACGGCAAACCCATATCAACTGCCCTTGCTCGCGCACATTGCCTCTCAGTTGTTCTATTCATCAACGTTTCATACACCACAGATCTACTACTAAGGTCATACGGAGTACAGGCTTTCTCTTTTGTTGGAAGCCTACAAATATCCCAAAGAAAGCAATTGTTTCCATCCGCCAACGACTTGTACATAATTGTGGCCCCAACTCTTCTTGTTATTAGACAAGTCTGCGGGCACTGGAGCAAAGTCAACGATTTTACGACCAAATTTACCATCAGGATTATCTGCATCTCAGCAGAAGTGCGAAGTCCTCAATCGATTCACATCCAACAATCTTGCTGCAAAGCAAAGGAAGGGTGTGCCATTGCCATCACCAACACCAGCAGGCGAACCCTAGCAATCCTGTCCGCCTAGAGAGCCCTACAAGGTTCCAAGTAGACAGTTACCGCGACCTACGCTTGCTCCCGCCCGCCGGCCATCGACGCTTCGACACATCGACCCATCCATCGAGACATCGAACTCTTTTCCCCACCGGCGCCGGATGCGAAGCCAACATAGCTTTTCTCGATCCCCAAACCCCCGTACAAAGTACTTGACCATCTCACTCCCGCTCGCACCCCCTTCGATTCCTGTTCGAATCGACTCGCCGTTCACCTTCCCACTTCAATCTACTGTCCGCTTTAGCTGCTTCGCCTACGAGTATTAATTACCCATATTTTTTTTTTCTTTTCTTCCTTCTCGTCCGAATCGGTTGTGTCGATTTCGTTCCCTGGTATCGGAGGCGCATCCACTTTAGCTCCCATCATCCTCGGGCTCATTATTGTTAGGCCAACAACCGCCCACCTACCCACAACCAATCCACCAACCCAGTTGTACTTGACCATTCCCCCCCCCCCCCCCCCCGGCTCAAGAGCTCAGCAGTTGGCTACTTTCTCTTTTCCCCTCACACTATCTACAATCAACTCTATCATCCGCTTCCCTCTTCTTACTTCTCTTCCTCACCCTCTTCTTCCTTGCCACCGTTCCACGTTGCATTCCTTGTTGCAACTGTCGGTTGCTGTGTTGTTATCATCGCAATACCTTATTTTCCCCTCCGTGTTGTCGAATCAGGAAGCCTCGCATTTGCTGGTCCTAAGCTGGTACTACCGCCAGACCATTTTCGCGCATTTGCCACAGCACTGCTCGACCACAACTGTAAACCATGCCTCCAATCCGTAGTGTCGCGCCTATGAAGCCGATGAAGACTGAGCGCACGCATGAAGAAAACCAAGAACGGTAAGACCATGGTCAATTACCTCTGGCATAGGTCTAATTCTAACGTTGTCCCATCAGAGCTTACATCGCTGCATCTAGACGCAGTGACCGGAGTCTCGAGGCGCGCATTGAGTCTGCGCGTCGAGCTTCAGAAATTCACAAGAAAAGAACAGGACGCGGTCTTCGCGTTACTGAGCAAGATGTCATTAACGAAGAAATGTACGAAGAGGAGGATGAAGACATGCCATCACAGTATCAACGACTTAGTGCACACCTTCACACTAATTCGATGTTGTTCAACCGTAAACTTCAGGATTACATCGCGACACAAGCCGCAGTCCGACAGTCCTTTTATGCACAATATCAAAACCAGCCGCTTGCTCTCGGGCACGGTCAGTTCTCATCTAATGTTTCCCGAAGCCAGTTCTCGCAAGGAGTAAACCCATTCATGCATCAACAGATGCCCCCACCTCAAACTGTCAATCAGGCCCCTCAAAATTTCGGGCAGAATCAGCAGCCGTACACACCACAGATGTATCCTTATTCTATTCCACAAAGGCCCAATGCACATCAAAGATCAGCATCGTTATCCGTTGCTCCGCATATGGCCGGTTACCAAAACCCCGCACAAACCTCCACAGGTGGAGCTACTACACCGGGTGAGGAGCAGAGGAGATTGTCACTGCCGCCGCAAATGCTCGAGCAGGCCTCCCAGAATTTTTCCGAATCACAGTCACGTCCGTCACCATCACGATCCAACACATCCCAAAGCGTACATAACCACGCCGGTTCTCCGCAGCTCACCCACTCTGCTACTACAAACAGTCCTCCTTCAGTGCAATCGACACCAACCTTGGCTGCAGGTGCGACCCCAGGCGCCACAACGCCGATGAACTTTTCCAACGGGCAACTACTCCAATCCAACTTGTTCTCCATGTCTCTACCACCTGAGTCTCAACAGCTCGTTGCACCAGCTCTTGACCCGAAGGATCCGACTGCAGCTATGTTCATGGCGGGTAGTGAGAATATCCCCATGCCTATGCTAACGTACCATTACAACCCCAACTTGTCGCCCAAGTCATCACAGATGGCCACTACTGTCATACCCAGTATGACTGTCTCGAACGACGATATTAGCATGGAAAAGTCGCGGCACGCCCTTGACGGAGTTCCCTCCGCAGATCCTAGTGTCTCAGACGACATGATGTTTTCTTCTATGATGGCATCTAACCTGTCGTTTGATCTAGGCAGTCAAGACGATCTGTTCCAGAGTATGGGTCTTCCCCAGAGCCAAGAAGAGTATGATCCCAGTATATTCTTGGATTTTGATCAGTCATGATCGATTCAATTTTGGAGTAGATGGTCATAATACTGGGATGGGTGTTGCGGCGTTACATGATTATCATGAAATACCCACTTTTGATTTCGAATTGGCCTTGTCATGGTTCTCAAGTACGAGACAATTCGATTCGATTACACTATGCTTGTATAGTTGTACATACGATCTTTTCGAAGTTTTTGGGTGGTATGCTATCTAGTCCCCCTTTTTGTTTGTTCTCAATCCTTCTCAATTTCGAAAGGACGAGGTTGCACGACGGCGACCCGACAGATGTCTTCTCTTCGCAGAAAGCGGTGATTTATGGAGTTATCAAAATGTTTTACATGGGAGATCTGGGATCACGGGATACAAATGATTATATTTTTATGGCTGGACATAGTTTACACACCTGGGATGTATATGGAGTTCCTCAGGGCTTTGCACATAGCGACTCATGAAACACGTCGCAAGAAATAATATATAATTTTCCTAAAGCATCACTCAAAACTTATCAAGTATCCAAGAAGTTCTGGTTGCACACGGGCACAACGACCAACGGCTGACAGCAAGACGGACGGATGGGAAATGGTGGCGACACGGGACGGCTAATACCCATTATGCAAGTAGGCTGAATGGGATGGGTCACGGATTACGAATGCAGGCATCAGAGCACTACGCATGCATAACTTCGCACTCGAGGGAAGGTGACGATTCACCAGTTACACAACACACCCAGAGGCTAAGACCCCAAACTGAGAGGCCTGCTACCAGACCGACCGAACTAACTCTGTGTGTACAGTACGGACGAACCCAGGCCACGATTTGATCTCATCATTGGACCCTTGAAGCTCATGAGCCCTAGACTTGCACCGTTTCTACCACTTACATCACCATCTTCAACGAACAACGGATGGACAAGCACCCGCCGCTAGTGACCGTTTCCCGTTCGCTGGAAATATGAGCCGGCTTTACGATAATGATCATTGCCAGATCTGCGACCCAAGATCTATACGTTGATCCCTCCCGCTACTGTACGGAGTTGCACCCTTCTTTCGGCCTCGCGTACGACACGGCAGGTCTCATTATCTGGGTCACTGCTGTGTCACTCTTGTGAAAATGTCAGCAGTGAAACATGAAATATCGGGTCGGCTTTGTGCTTGATGGCAGCTTTAAGCTACCACTGTGCCGGGTCCATTGGCACTTGTTGCATCGCAAGCGACCTCTTGCCGTCCTGACACCTGTGGCGAACATGGCTACTTCGAGGTTTGTAAATATTCCCCACGTCGATAGAAAATTTCTCTTTAAAGTTCTAATAGCCAGAAAATCGTGTTGGTTCTTTTGAGGCTTTAGGTTACTTAGCATGGAGGCTCGAGCAATGTAATAACTAGGAAGCTTAGTGCATGTAGTCGAGCCATTTCAGTCCTGTACTCCACCTTACTCTCTTGGAATTGAATGAAGCAGCCTCTATCAGTTGTCGAGTCTTTAGCAGCTCCCGTATTACTGTTGCTGTAGCACTTCGGAATCATGTTACAAGGACACGGCCACCTCCCGTACATGGCTGCTACTCCTATTTGGACCACTTGACCCCGACGGTCGCAACCAAATTTTCCCCTAAGATTGTGGTCAATCATAGCTAAAATGCGTTATCACCACCGATGATATTACCACCAGAATCTTGTGTGCGATGATTGCCAGCGTCGTCACTAAACTATAGTACTACAAATGGCTGAAAGAGGCGCCACTTGTCAGTTGCCGTACTCAATCAAAAGCCCGTCTCCCGTTATCGTCACTCACCATTCAATGTTGCAGAACAGGTGTCGTTCGGAGTGACCGCTACTAGGTTGCTCAGGAATCCAATTCCCCATTCATTGATCATGATTCACGCCATGACAATTTGATAACGGCTGTCATTATCGTCCATCATCTTGCGGCTCTTCCTATGTAACCCGGGTATTCCAGGTGGCCATTCTGTGTACACTAGGCAGATCATCAGGCACAGTACTCGTTAATTAGACGGGCGGATCTTGACACCAAAATGCAACTTTCCGTTTCATAGAGCACCGATAGCTAGAAAAGGCCATTTTTAACATGGTTTCTGTTGCTGACCATTCAAGCACACCACATGTGGTCGTTCAACTTCCCTATATATAGTCCTGTCTGCCTCAACAGTGTGTTCCGTGTAGGTACAGCGGCGTTGAGTTGACTAGGCTTGTCTCTTTTACACCCCGTTCGTTTGGTGTTTTTCTCTCTCGTTGGTAGCCGGCTTGCTCAGTGTTCGTCATGAAGCCCATTGGTATCGCTCTCCTGGCCATCGCCGTGACTTTCGTTAGCGCTGATGATTTGCCGTGTAAGTTTGGATCATCCACATCGCTGATTGATTCTTCCTCATGTTGGACTTCCATTCCAAATGATGTTCCTGCGAACTTTATTATAGTTCTCTCGCTAATTGATGTGGTAACATAGATCATATTCCTAAGGGGTTGAAACCCCGATACTACTCATCGTACCCACCGCCTTATTACCCACCTTATCCAAGCAGTACAACATCGGACGAAGATGTACCGACATCAACACCAAGCAGTAGCAGCAAAACAAGCACGAGAAGTGTATCTTCTAGCAGGGCTCCAGTTTCAGAGACCACTTCCTCGTCATCGTCGACCAGCGCTCAGCGACGGACTTCGTCCGCTCGCAGCACCATAACTATCACCACCACCACTTTCATTACGACTACGCCGATTGTAACAATTTCGTCGTCATCATCTTCGTGGACATCGACTCTGGCCTCATGTACGTTAGATGGCGTTGGTCTTCATTTTGTTACAACATTCCTTTATCTACTCATTCTCTCCTGACTTCGTTGACCACTCATTCTCCCACAGCCAACTCTTCTGCCATCACTTCCACGAGTGTTACGACGGATACCACGGCAAGCTCATCTTTCACAGCCACTGAGAATTCCACTACGTCTGCAACTGGCTCGACAGGTAGCATAACAAGCTCTTCAAGCTCTGCTTCTAGGAACAGCACAACGTTTTTGTCAACTACAACTACTGCTTCAACTGGTACAATCACGAGCTCAGCTTTTACAAGCAATTCTACTACAACTGGGTCTACAACTATCTCGACAGGTAATACAACCACTCCTGTTTGGACGAACAGCACAACGTTTTTCCCATCTACGACAACAGCTTCGACAGATACCATCACAAGCTCAACTTTCACAACGAACTCTACTTCTACCGAGTCTGCAACTACCTCGACAGGCACCATAACAAGCTCTGCTTGGACGAACAGCACAACTTTCTCATCTACCGCGACGATTTCTACCGACTCGACAACAAGCTCAGCATTGACGACCAACTCAACGTCAACTAGCTCTGCAACTGCTCCCACGGACACCACGACAAGCTTTTCTTGGACGAACAGCACAACGTTTTCGTCTACTGCAACTTCTTCTACGAGCTTCTCAACCAGCTCGGCATTAACAACCAATAGCACCTTGACCAGTTCGGCAACTGCCCCGACTGATACCACGACGAGCTCCGTATTCACAACCAACTCCACGTCCACTAGGTTCGTGACTACGAACAGCACCACCATACCGTTAACCACTTCAGTACCTACATCAGGTTCATCAGGTTTATCAAGCTCATCTACTTCACCACCTCCTTTTGCAAACACTACTACTACTTCTTCAGCACGGAGTTCTACAACCGGAACGATTACCCTGCCATCAACTCATTCCACAACTTCGGAATATCCAGATGAAAGCAGTACTGGCCCTTACCCTAGTACAACTGAATCGTCCTCTTCATCATCCCTGGAGTCTACTTCTTGCATCAGCAGCAGTGTCGTAAACACCACTAGCGTCCCGTCCATGTCAATACCCACTACATCTCGTAACGACAGAACTCCTTCTCCACGATCAAGCTCAAGCGTGAAGTCATCTAGTGGCTCGGTAATACCTTCCACCAGTACCGCTCTCTCCTTCTCGACAACAATCATTTCATCGAGCAGCACTAGCTCGAGCCGCGCAACAACCCAAACATCACAGTCTAGTTCTTCCTCGACTCCAGATTTGACAAGCGTATGTGTATTGAGCAGTGTACAGAAAATAAAACTAACAACTATAGTCTACTACTACACGTACGCCTTCGTCTACGAACAGGCCCACAAGTTCCACGTCTACAACATTCAGAAGAAGTACGAGCGGGCTCACTTCCTCTACATCTAGCACCTTCTTGCTCCCAACGACACGATCATCCTCATCCTCGTCGATCTTGCCATCCTCTTCGTCGTCGGCATCATCATCCTTGACCTCAACGTCTTCTTTTTCTACGTCTTCCTCGCGTTCTTCCTCAACCTCGTTGACATCTTCGAGGTCGTCCACAACGTCTTCGCAGTCCCAATCCGACGACCCCACTCCAACTCCGTCTTCTTCATCGACCCGGCCATCGACCCGGTCATCGACTCGGTCATCGTCGTCGTCATCACCATCATCATCGTCAAGGAGTATCTTCACTCCAACTACTCGTTCTAGATTGAGCTCTAGAACATCATCCTCAGTCTCATCCACATCTTTCACAGATGCTACCAATATTTCATCGTCCACAAGTTCCGCCGGTCACTCATACCCTCCATCATCTTCCCCGTCGACGTCGGAGCCGACGAGCTTCACGGATGCAACACGCATCTCCTCTTCACCTACTCCTACCACCCCACCTTCGCCGACGAAATCATACTACGGAGGTGACAAGACCGATACGATTACCGATGATTCCGAATCCACGGCTACAGAAGCTACACGGATCAGCTCCAGTCTCAGCACCTCTTCAACATCAATTGCGTCCTCGTCCACCTTCAAGACGAGCACCCGCAGGACGCTTAGTCGCTCCTCAACCACGACCGATGAAGCCGAGCCCAGCACCACAGGCCCTTACTATCCTCCCGAACCAACCTATACGCCCTACAAGGCATACGAACCTGAGAACGGGAAGAAGTCAAGCATTGGTATGCGAGGCCTGCACGCCTTCAAAAGCTTCTGGGATATCGAACATAAGGACATCGGCACGGATAAGGCAGACGACGTAAAGCATAAAGCGAAGAGAGCCATGGTGAGTTTCCCATTCGACCGTTGATATGACCCAATGTACGTAGACATATATTGACGGTTCTCTCTTCGCGATGTAGGCTGGGCAATGGTATGTTTAGATGGATGGGTATGTATCGGCGTTGTGGTGGGAGTATCATTGGGGTGACGTAATGAGGTTTACTTTCTTCGAGTCTTGTGTATTGGTTATGCATGTGAGCTGCTTGACTTAAAAAGATGTTTTCACTTCGCTTCTCTACAGTCCTTACTTGCTTAATAGAGACCGGATTATTTCTTCTTGTCCTTCTACTTTTCTTTCCATTTGATGTATTACTATGTGAAAAGACTTTCGGATTTGATAAATGACCGCGCTATCTACTGATTTGTGATTCACGATATCATTACTTACATTGTGAGGGTTGATCTTTGCTGTGATCTGATCTTAGGGTCCCTAGGTTTCAAAGGCGTGATCTAATAGTTCAGCTTACCATAACAGAGAGCTGTGGCTTTACTCAACCCTTAGTCTATTACTATCCGAGGGCACCAAGAAGGCGAGTTGTGATACACACGTAGTCGGTCAGCCAGCACGTCTTTCTTGCATATAGTGACACCAAGACAACTCTAAGAATGTATTCATCCTGGATAACATTCATAGCATACTATATACTTAAAATGACAGTGTCCAATTTACCCCTACCCAAGAAGAAGCAAGACACACCCACTCGACGCTTGACTTTGGAAACCAGTTCCACTATCGCTATGAGCCCCGATCCTACGCCGAATTCCCCGTATTCGTAAAAGTTTTCCGTCATCATTGACACATTGGTCTTGAGTCACAGCCGTGCCTAGTCCTGCTACCCGCGCCCAAGTTCTCAACTTCAAAGGCAACAACGCAACGACCTGTCCTCGCAAACCTTCTCTCAGTACACTGCCTAAGTCCGACTTCGAAACGGACAACCCACCATACACTTGAACGTCCCTAAACCCCCTAGTCCTCTCGAAGTGAGTGGACCCCCAAGTCCACCCCCTCACACCTTCAACAAAGCCGTCTCCTCACCAACCCTCGTCTCCAAGCTCTCCCTCGGCACAGCATCCTCATCGAGGTCACCATCAGCAATGACATCAGCATTGCCGCCCTCGTTCTGATTGTCAGCAGCGTTAGCATTAGCATTGACATCTGCGCCCGCACCAGCCTCCTCCTCGTCCCTGAACCCGGTCTCGGCGAGCGCAGTGTACGCGTGGCCGCCGCTGCCACCGACGGTCCTGGTAGCTTGGGAAGCGGGACGCGCCGCGACGTTGTGGCCGCAGTTGGGGCACTCGACCTCGGACTTCTTGCAGAACTTGCAGTAGTCGGCGATGCTGCCAATGAAGGTGATCAGGTGGTGGAGTGCGAAGTAGGCGTGGATGTACCTGTGGAGATGTTTGCGTTAGCCACGATTGGGGATATATCATCATGGATATTGAGAGTGAAAGGGGGTGAGATGTTGTTGGACGGGCTTACATGTTGGCGAAGACGAATGGAATGAAGAAGGACTCTGCAACGCCTGCGGCACGACTCCACTGCAGTCTCGAGAGCTCCCGGGACATAAAGGGGATGAGAAATCCGACATATAGACCAAATGCAGTGAGGTCAACGAGGGGGGAAAGCAAGATCCGCCAGAGGAGGTTGACCCTTCGCTCGTTGTTGTGAACGGAGCTCTGCTTTCGGTTGGCGGCGTAAAATGCAACTGATGTGATTGCAGAGAGAACCGTAGTCAGAAGGACGGGAATACCGAAGCCATTGAAATCTCTATTATCGTAACCGTAGTAGTTATAGTTATATCGATTGGAGGTTGAAAGGATCACGACCAGGAGGATGAATGAGGGGAGAGTATTGAAGGCGAGGACGCCACGGAGGGGTCCCTCGCCTCTTGCAGATCGAAGTGGTGCCATGTTGTTTGTTGTCTTGTCTACGAGGTTCAATTGATAGAGACCGGTGAGAAGTGCTTTTCTGAACAAGTAGGCCGTTGGTGATTGATATATCCAATGTATTGCCTGGTGTTGAAGTCCACGATGCAGGTACGACGTGTGAAACTCAGTTATGTATAGTGGTTAGATGATACGGGCGCTATTCTTTGCCATGTTCATTAGGCAACAACAAAACAGAAACAACATCTGTATCTAGTTCTATCGCTACGCATGAAGGACTATTAACGCGTGTTGCTGCATGCTCCGCCATGCCAAGGGTGAAACGATAGCCTATCAGCGAGCCTTACGAGGCAGACTCGAGACAATAAGAACCTTGGTCCTAGCCCCCGTCCAATCAGTTACACTCTGAAGGATTCCGAATATGTAGAGATGATGTTACACGGCTCCCAATGCAGTAGAGTCTAGAGTAAACAGAGTAACCATCGAGAAGCGATGAGGTCTACACGAAGGAGGCTAACCTTCTATAGCAAACCTAACAGGTTTTACGTCCGTACCTCAAGCGATCGGGTATCCATGGGACTAGTTGACAGCAACAGCGTAATAAGCTCACGAGCTTTGCGTTATAAAGAAAGCTGTTGCCTGGTAGACAAGAAACTTGAGAGCTCAGATGGGCCACATCGGTAGACCTTCTTTGATAACCTGATGGTTCGGAAACGAAGCAAGATATGTTGATCCATCCCCACTCTTTCAAGAATTGATCTATTTCTGAAGATTAGTCCAGTCAGAATTAACAAAGAAGACGCGTATCGAAGTGCTGGGTGCGTCATTGTCTAAGCCATACACCATCTATCTCCTCCGTAGAGGATGTTAGTCCATGATTTGTAGCAAGATCGTGATGGAAACCAATGTCAGAGGAGGCACTTCATCGAGTTTCTAGGACGAAATATAGTTATTCGTACCTACCATTACGATTATAAAAGATCGCTCATTGGACACTGCATGCTGGAGTCTTTGGAGACCATACGACTATCAGTGCTGGGAGGGCACTGTGCGGACTAAGATCGAAACGAGTTTTTCCGATTATGATGGCAAAAAGAAACAAATCACTGGGGCTACGTAAACAAAGGCGTAACGGTCATTTGTGAGTGGATGCCTTAATCGGGCAAGTTGAAGACCGCGCGTCGGAGGATTCGACCCAGTGGGCGCAGCACGTTTGGGAGTCGCATGGCATAATTAGGCGAATTGAGTGCACACAAGTATACTGTGTAAGCAGTGCGTCAAGTAAGAGACCGGTGCTATGGCTACGGACTCAAAGAAACAAGGTAATGCACACATCATTCGCTCATTTGAGATTCTGAAGGATCAAAATATGCATCAAAGAATTACAGCATCTTTCTGTTGATGGATATGTGTGAGGAGTCTAAATGCGGAACTAGCTCGTTCAAAGCAGTAATGGTACGCGCGCCTGGAGCGGAGCTTGCCCCTTTCTACTATGGAGTATTTGCAGATGCCATGTCTTAGTACTAAATAGTATCCCACTGCGTGTGTTTAACTTCACTACACTGTTGGCTGTGGGCGCCTTTTCAAAGGCCTGTCGGTTACGTACGAGTAGTGCAGGGGACGCGGACTTTGATGACCCAGAACAGTTCGGCCCCCGGCTCAAACGTCGAACCACTAAGAGCAGCAGTTACCCAACTACAGAATGCCGTTTCTTCCTGTAGTTTCGAATTCAAAGTAAATAATGGGGCATGGAAAAAGTGATCTACATCCCCGAATTGTATGATCTGTTCAGAGGAATACTTCGAAAGACTGACAGTCCTGGAAAGGATCGCCAACGGGGCGATGTTGGCACAGGTCATGGAGCATGGTTACTGTATCTTTGCATTCTGCCGGCCAATTAGCGCATGGCAAGGCTCATCCTTCGTGGGATCTGGAAGATTGTTTTGGACATGGCCCCTCGGAGAAATGTTACAAACGAGAACCTGTACTGCACAAAGTAGATTCCAAACAAAGTGCACCACCCATAGAATAGCGAAATCGTCAGGAGATTGAGTCCCTCGGTCGAGCAAATGAAAGATGAAAATGCCTTCATACTATATGTATCGCCTTGTTGGTATTGACGGGATATGCAAAAAGTATGGTATGCCGGTACATACCCGCATGATATGTATCGTCCTGCACTTGGCACAACCCCCCTGGGGCGCCTCGAGCACGGCCTGTGTCAGGCGCCCGATCTTGGGTTGACAAGGCAGAAGGTATGGAACAGATTGAATTTTGGTGAGAAGGATCCTTCAGAATCTTACTCCTCGTCTTCTTCATCCTTTGACAGATTTTCTCTTGTCGCCTTACGTCCAGACAACAGTGGTAATTTGGCCGTCCATGGTCTACACCTATCGAGTAACTCCAGCGTATTTGGATGTCGGCACCCGCGACGGCGACAGAATGGATAGTAGTGTAGAGAAGCTGAAGCCTCAAGAGGCAGACTGTTTCCAGAGTCGATTTTGGGATGTCGCAGATGCACCGCGAAGTCGATATGTGTACATCTGGGCTCTGTGTGCCAGTGCGTCGCTCTACACTTCCAAATTCATCCTGGTGGACCTCAATGTACACTATCCATTCCACCTCTTCATTTGGCAAGCGGTCGGCATCGCAGCGTTCACTTTGCTGAGCCAGTGGACGACATCGCGGCCCATCAACAATCGATCATCCGGTTCCACAAGGCAGCCATGGTTTCTTCCTCTACTCCTGGCGATGAGCATAGCGTTGTCGATGATATTCGGCCTGATAACCACATTACATTTCCCGAATGTCCCGACCTTGGCTCAGCTATCGGTAAGCTTTCATGGACAGTATGGTTCATCGAGGAGGGATCCGCTAACTAGAGAAAGGTATTGTGTTTCTTGCCAGAAATGCTCGTTGCTTTCGTTATAGACCGGACAGACCGTTCCAAAACAACCCTTCTTGGATCGCTATTCCTTACTGCTAGTTGTTCCGGGATTTTGTTTGGAGAATACAGGCTGTTAGTAAACGGAATGATCTCCTGGCTCCTCGCCATAGTATTCTTTGCCGCTTCGAGGATCATTCACACGGTCGTGGTCAGTCGATCTCCGGACACGTTATCGAACGAGAAACGACTCGACCTTTTTACTGCCAACTCGGGCATCCTCATCGCAATAATTGCTATCTGGGGTTTGGGCTGGGAAGACGCATGGCAGGTTAAGAACTCCATCAAGGCATCATATGTACCGCTTCTGTTGGTGAACATGGTAACCACAACGGTGGCGGTGGTTCTTGGAAAATCGACGCTGTTCCCGACATACATAACAGATCATCGAAAGCTAGGGTCATCAGTCAACATCTCGCACATGCTGGGTATCACCGCAATTGTAATGCAGTCCGGTATTGTTGGATTTTTGTCAACGCTCAGCCTGAGAAGGGCATACACTAGCAACGTCCAGCTCCTCTCATTCTTCGCGGCCATACTTTGCGTAGTCGGCACCGCATTGATGAGCGGTCTACGTGGGTCGAGGGACGCCGAGTCTACAGTATACTCTTTGATGCCGGAAGATGAAAGTGTCGAGTCGCTTGGACGGATTCGTAGCAATGTCTCTGATGCTTCAGGATGGACAAATGAGACTCACGTCTCGGATGCCTATGAATACCGTCCTGCAAAAGCTGGCCGAGCACTCCTCGTTGCTTTGCTTACAGGAGCAACGTGGTTGCTTTATACGTTTTTGAACTTTTCAGACAAGGTCCATGCCGAGACATGGAGTGCCGGTGCCATCCTTGATACTGCCTACGTCCCGCAAAGGGACCACGACATCATCATCAGCATGTACAAAGAGCCTACCGAGCATGTTGCATCCTTAATATCGGGACTGAGGGATATTCCGGGACTGTCCAATGCCCATGTCCTAATATATATCAAAGACGCGGAAGCAGATCTGGAAGTTATTGAACGTGGCACTGGTGCAGATGAAGTCACATCTCTACCCAATCTGGGTAGAGAAGGGGAGACCTATCTCAACCACATCGTGAACCGCTGGGATAACCTCGCTCGGCAAACATTCTTCCTCCAGGCCGATGTCCACAATCCCCGGGAATTCTGGCCACGTATCACCGATTACTTCGACCCGGTCCGAACAGGAATGTTGAGCCTTGGTTGGTCTGGCAACGTCTGCAATTGTTATGAATGCGGGGACAAGTGGGATGTGCGTGACCCTACAGGGCTCTTTCCGAAAGTGTATGGGCAGATCAACAACAGTACGTCCTGCGACCAAGTCCTCCTGAGCTACAAAGGCCAATTTGTGGTTTCTGCACAACGAATTAGAGGTGTAAAGAAATCGGTGTACGAGGACTTGCGTGACGCTCTTGTCAATCCGGACAGTTGGGCACACCAGGAGACTTATCTACAGGGCCGCCCGGATTCTTTGAATGCGCCACAGTTCGGTTTCCAGCTGGAAAGAATGTGGAACCTCCTCTTCCAATGTTCCGACTTGGATGTTGCCTTCAAATGTCCTTCTTTACTGAGTGGCTCGGGAATTGGAACAGGAAGGATAGGAGGAAGCAAGGAGGACTGTCAGTGTCTCGATCCTGCACGTTGACGCATGGCGAAGTAAGGGCAATGCTGTGGGGGTTTTTGTTGAAAGCATTTTCGAGGCGTTATTTAGTTAATGTTGTATTTAGATACCCGGGCACATGCTCCATGGATACTCAATAGTTGTGCATCAACAACAATTAATAGATATTGAAAAGAAAAGGACCTAGAATGTCGCGGCCATACGTGTAAAGAAGAGAAGCAGCAGGCCCCATCTTCACTTCAAAAGGTAGAAGTGAAGAAGTATGTACTGCGACACCAGGAGGTTATCATTTGGAAACTACGTTAGGAAGCGCCGGATAGGTAACACCCTGACTTTCACCTGATTGGTATTAGCGCATTGAACGCGATCGTATCAGCGTATCTCGTATGCCAGTCCAAGTCCTCTGGCTCGCGCCAGAATACGATAAATCAGTTCCTAGGACTCGTTTGGTCTCCACTTCCGGAGAAATGATTCGAAGATAGGCTGGTCTTCATGACGCTAACATGACCCGTTGGGGCTCGTTCTTTGCAGCCACAACAACACGGATGTGAGGAACTTGGACGTTCCGAGACCTGCCACTTGTTAGGCAGGTCGCAAGCGGGCAACGTTGTGTTGCATCAGTAGCGAATATCATAGGAAATGGTAAAACACAGCAGCATGTGGCGTCGCTACACCAAACACATACGCGCAGAGATAGGAACTACTCGTCATTGATCGCCGATCCAGGTGTTGTTTACGCCTTGAACTAGTCCACTCCATTCTGCAAGGTGAAAATAGATGACCAGAGATGTAAGGGAACTCCTTCTGGGCTACGGAGGATAGATAACGACTACGAGAATAATGACCATTTGCTCCATGTTTCCCTTTCACAACCCAAGTTACGCCATTGCCAAGTTAGCCGTTATGATGGGAACGGTGGTATAAAGTTGGAAAGAGACCATCATAAATCGAAAACAAATGAACGCCGAGTAATGCCACGAATGCTCGGAGACAATGCAGATTGAAACAGCTGCGTGCGCCTCCAAGGAGAGCCTACATCTCCAGAGCGTTGATCATATAGAAGAGCAAGTACGCTTCCGCACCAAGCACTTCTGCCTCGCTGACCAACACTACCTTACTATCGTCGAACATGAACCATTCGTTTCCTTCTCGAGAATAGCTAACGTAGTGGCCAGAATCCATCTTCCCCTTATGAACGATGACGGTAGCTAGTTCGTAGATAAGGCTATTTGCGGGTGTGTTGGCATTGTGGTTGGACGGTGGGAGTTTTGCATTTTTCGAGCCCTTGGGATGTGTGGATTTATATTTCGACGTGTACGGGTAAAGATCAATCTTCATAGGAAAGTTGACCTTGGTCTCAATCTTTGTAGAGGTTGACTTGTGATGCTCGAAACGCTAGACGACTGTTAATATCCATAGAGTTCTAGAAATCTCATCTCACATACCTTCAGATGTATGGGAAGAACTGGTGGTAGTCGTTTGATGCTCAGTTGCTTCGTGGCTGGGTGCTCTTTCTTACAGTTCGAGCAAGTGTATTCGTCGGAGCCCAATTTCTCGCGACCTGTGAAGCGCTCTAGACAGTCACGCAAGGTCAGTTGTATATCCTCTGGGTTTTGGTTCGCTGCATCGTCCTTTTTCCTCTTCTTTGGAAGGTTCCGAACGTCGAGGCTCAAATCCATGTATGGATCCAAAGCTGTAGTTACGTTCTTGCATCCATCGCATGTGACGGTGCTGGAAAGCTTGCCGTAAAATGTTTGATGAATTATGCAGGTACAGTTTGTTTCAGACGAGCCGCCATTCTGCAAATGCAGGGTGTTTAGCATGAACTGCATATACTCGTGTGCGTCTTGCTGTTGGTAGCCCGCGAGAGCCTAGATATCAATTAGTATGTGACATGGGGACATACCAGCAAGTCTGAGCTAGTCTGCATTGTACAGCACGTACCTCGCCAGCCGTCCAACTTGCCTGAAGCATGTTGACAGCACCAAACCCTTCAGTTTTCTCGTTCGAATGGAATTCGACAAACATCTCATCCAACGCGCAGCTCACACATGCCTCTTTGCCGCAATCTTCCTTCTTGTGACCCTCGGAAAGATAGAAGTTCCTAATGAAGGGGTTGTGAATGAGCGTCTGCAGTATGACACTCATGAAGCATGTTTGCCCCATGTTGTAAAGCCCACGTAGGCCGATCGCGCGACAAGGGAGAAAGGTGGAATTATTGATGATAAGTTTATGTTCCTCGGCCGTGGTCGTGTCTTCGAATTTGCGCTTCTTGCCTTCACATCTATTGTCAACTGGGGTCACAAGTAACAGTAGCACTAGAGTGTCACCAACCTTTCTGCATCCTTCGAGTCTCCAATTCAGGGTCGTAAATGAAGTCGTTGCACTGCCCGCAGTACACATGCCCATTCCGCGATTCAACCGCTAGACGTTATGTCAGCTTTCGCACAATCAATATGCTGGACTATAAACCCACAAAAGCAATGTAGCTTTGTCTCGACATGCTGATCCCGATCGGCTTCGGAGCTTATATTGGGGCACTGGAGGCAGAGGTAGAGGGGGCGAATGGATACGGCTGGTCGACCTTCCGAGTTCTTGTGTGTCTGCGCATTTATACTGGGCTTTTCGTGAATACTTTGGAGGATGAGGCGGTAGTTGTGTAAGGTAGGCTTTTTCGCGGCTTCGAGCATTTCCCGTATATGCTCTACAGGACCTGTCAGTCGCGCAATGTAACTCAGTCTTGATGTGCGGCAACTCACCACATCCCGATTCAACATGTGCCATCTGGCTGCTTGGAACTATGGCGCCTTTAGAGTTCTTCACAACCTTGGGTGAGGCCATTGCCGCCCCTTTTGGAATGGCAGCGATGCTGTCCATGATGCGACTTTTGATAACGAGAGATGTGGGCGCATCTACATAACTCGGCAAGGACTCGGTGAGAGCGAGGCAGCGGGGAAAGAAAGACGGCGGAGATAGTCTTCCCTCGCTCTTGTCGCAGCAGACAAGCCCCTTGGGTTCTCAAAGATGTTTATTCGGGGTTCAAGTAGGGTCATCAACATGAATGAGTGAATTGGAGCTGCTGTTCAAAGGGTCTGCATGGAGGCCAAACCAATCAGCTCGGATAAAGTTGCGCCACCGATTTCCCGCGACAGACGCGTGCACGTCCCCTCACGAACATCCAGACAGAGTCACCGACACATTCACGATTGAGCTACGAATAGTCTACCCCGTAGATTCTCAGTGGTAATAGGTACAGCCGACACCAAGGGTTTGTATGCAGGTACAGATACATGAAGGATGAGTGCGCACCACCCAAAGCAGCCGACTCATGGTGTGCACGGGTGTCTATGTGCTGTGTAGATCCTCTGGTCGGAAGGCTACAGACTCGGCCGATGAACGCCGCCGTTAAACAATTAGTTGATGCTCGACTTAGGTAGCCAACAACTTTGTTACTTTGCATGAGTAATCGTAGTTAGCGCAGTGATGCTGACTAGATACTTGTTAGTAAAAATGGGGTTGCTATCCCCCAAGTACTACAAATCATGGAGAACCTAATGTTCCTATACTACGAGGTATGGTTACAATATATCGAAATGATGTTCCAGAGCTTGAAGCTGGTCCTTATCATCGAACAGTATGTCCAATACCTTCTAATTGCAGCCGTTGCGATAGCTCTTTGATAAGGAAATCAGCATCGATTTACACACATATATTTGATTGGTAGTGAATATGAACCATGCATATACAGTACAACTTTCCTTTGCTGGTGAGCAAGTCTGCCACACTGAAATATATAATTCATATCAACAGATAAATAAGTGTGTAGCAGCAAGTAAGTCTCGAGGTTGGTTTCCTGTGTAAATCGAAGTCGCAGGGATACGTATCGGCGTATTTTGTCGCGTATCGTGTCGTACACCGTATTGGGACGCTGTAATAATTCAAGTATACACGACTCAATATCAAATCCAAATCCAAGTAATGATACGAATTGACAATTGCAACATTGGAACCCTTGGCTCAATTATGGATTTCAGGTACGGGATAGAAGATTTCTCAACCCAAAAACAAAAGTCGTTCAAGACAATTGCTATGGCTACTCGTCCTTTTGCATCCACTTTTCACACGACTAGTTGCATACATCCGGGAATGATGTCACATCTCTGCAGAGAAGTAGTAAGACGGTTCTTGATGGTCGGTTCAGAATAAATCCAAAGTCAATGTGAGGCATATATCCGGATTGGAATCGCACCATCCGAACCTCCGTGAGAAGTTAAAGGACCTAACACGACAAAATGGATTATTACAGTAACGAAATATAGCTGTCTTTTTTCTTTTTCTTTATCTTTTCTGGTCCAGGTGGAAAACCCAAACCCGTTGCGTCGGCTGTGCACAGGCCCAATGATCGGCGTTAATGGCATCAACAGTCAGCATTTCGCAGGCACCCCATCCATCCACATTCACCGTCCACTCTATCCACTCAATCTCGCGCCGACCTTTTGAATGCGCCAACGAAGGCTTGCGCTCATTTATTAGACCAAGCTTCCGGCATGCGCCATTAAATCCTTCTCGCGACAAAATATCACTATTGCTATTACTACTCACCCTTCTGCTCCCATCTCCAAAAGTTTTCAACTTGTTCCTCTTCCTCTACGTTCCTCCGCGACCTCGCCGTTTCCCTCCGATCCGTTTCGCAACAACTGTTCCAGCACCTCCGGAACCCCGCGGCAGCATTACTACATTTCTGCACATTGACCTACCTACTTAATACAATACTCTAGTAATGGTTCATCGATTCTGAAAACTTCCATTTCACACCATCTCGAATCTTTTGACTCCATTTCTGGCCGCGCGGGCCTGGCGCATCCTTCGATATGCCTCTCCTCAACGTGAGGGAGCTCCTCCCGTTCCCCAACGGCGATAATACATCTCATACCATAATCAACGGCGTCGATTTCAACTTGACTGCCCTCAAATTCTTCAATTATACCATCTACTCCAACAACACAATATCCAATAGATCGAAATGCTATCTCATCTTCGACCAATTCAAACCGCACATGTTCAGCAATGGTAGCTGGGTCAACGGTTCGACTTGCTACATCCCATACTATGGAATCAAAACTCGAGGCTACGCAAGCATTGCGTTCGGCACCGCATTCGGAATGAGCATTATGTTCACGTTGATCAATCTACGAAAACACGGAAAGCGCTTCGTGCGAGAGGACAAAAGGTTCAGGATCGTTGGTCGTAGATGGCAATGGTACTGGATGCTGTTCGCTGCAGCATGTGGTATGATCAGCTGCTTGACAGGTATCGATGTGGATCGCAATTATTTGCAGGATCTTTCCATCATTCTGCAAAGCTTCTTCTTCACACTCATGGTCCCGGGAACACTTGCAATGGTCTGGGAAAGTGTCAGGCATTGGTAAGTTCACCGCTCAGATCTATCGCCCTTTTTACGTCTTGCTTACCATTCACTGCAGGGGCTCGTGGCAGGAAAGACAACTAGTAGATGTGGATCCCTATTCTTACCCGGATGACGATACAAGGACCAGGACCGAGTTCTGGCTCCCGCTGATGTTCTACCTTATTGCTTGGCTCAATTTCTTCATGACTATTCCTCGATCGTGGAACGCGTTCAGACAGCAGAACACGCCAGAGCAACAACGTGACATAGCAGCACCAGCCGCTACAAACAATCGAACAAAGGCGGGCGCTATCATTGCCGCTGTAGCTTGGTTCATCATTGTCTATTCACTCTGGCATTCGCTGAAACATTACAAGCGACGGAATACAGGATTCTTCGGCAAGATCAACGGATTTTGTCGGGACTGCCCGACCAAGCTCTTCGTCGTCATTATTCTGCTTGCCGTTCGTGTGGCGTATGGCCTTGCCAGTGCATGGATATTTGAGCTTACGATCATGAAAGACGATGTCATGATTGGTTGGCCGTTCGGATTGGGCTATGGACCCATTCTAGCCATCATCATCGTCTTCGAGGTCTTCGGCTATATTGAAGAGAATGAAGACAAGGTGATCATGGAGCAGAGACGATTACGAGGCATCGAACACGATCGTGAGCTCAATCTGACGAAGAAACCTGGTTGGTGGAACAAGAACTTTACGAATCGATTCAAGTCGGACGATGAGCGTCTGCGTGACATGGCAGCGATTGACAATAGTGGAGCTACTACAACAACGACCCGTCGTCAACCTCAGAACATTGAGATGGGAGACATGACTCTTCGCAATCGGTCCAGGAGCAGACCTCCAGAGGATCCATTCCGGGATCAAAGTTCGTCAGAAAACTCTCGACAGTCTTCCGTGGCTGTCGGTGCGAGATTAGATCCCAGTCGCACCGAAAGCGATGCAGCTAGTGCAAAGTCTGGCCTAACGGGACGCACCTTGACGGCTGAGCAGATGGCTAATGCCCGGCCACAAAACGTGAGGAGCATGCTGGATGTTTGAGAGAAATAATAGATTGCGTGGACGATCAGTTGTAATGTATATGTACATACCTACACGGTTGAATTTTGATGGCCATATACCATGGTACCTATATTACTGAACCAATACTTATGAATCGAAATACCTTCCAAGGACGTGAAGAGAGCATTGCACATAATAATCCAAGGTCGTGCTTTATTATCTGTATTAGTAGTCATGCTTTGCGGAACATTGGTTGCCAGAAGACAGGCTTGCCATTAAGCGATTGGCGTGCGTCCTAACAGTCGCATCCTCCAGTGGTGATGATGTCAATGGTGAGGAAATATATATATACGGAGTAGTAATGTATCAAAACGACACGTACAACATGACTTGCTTTGGCAACAGCAGCCACCCACAAGCCATTTTAATTGCTCGATCCTCATGGTAATCAATTCGGCACGAATACGCGTCCAATCAGCGCCTTGGTCGATAGCGAGTGCAGTGCGGAGGCGGGTTGTTTTTTTTATCTCAAGGCTGGGCGTTCAAGTAAGTGCAGGTGCAAATGCTCCCTATCCCATCTCGACCTCCCTCCCCCACTCCGCGCACCTCACCTCATCCTATGTCACAGCGCCGCCCATACCGTGACTTCTCCACCTTTGCATAATTTCACAACTTCACCGACCATTTGCGACAATACCCAACCTAAAAAAAGCACGGAACATATTCTCTTAACACCCAGCAATACACCAGAGCCGTCGACAGAGAACATATCACATCCTTTCCGTCACCATTCGAGCTTCCGCCCGTCTACACGACTACTTTGCCCCGCCTTCGGTTGCTCATTGCCCTCCTCTATTCCTTTCCGTCACTGGCCGCCTACCTTCGCAATGGCCGATAACAACATTACCGAAGACTCAAGTCTCTCCCCAAAACAGTCTCCGTCTATTCCAACTCCACTACAGCCAATTGGGAATGTTGCAAGCCCGCGATCACCACCGCCCACCGGTCTGAAGATAGGCTCGCCGAACCCAAACTCACATACCCCCAGTGCTCACCGTTCAAGCTTTGCGGAGAATATGCGCGGCATTCCTCACAGCCCACGAGCATCAAGACAGCCCAGCTTGACCCAACAAGCTCTTCAGGATCTCCTAAATAACCCTCCGAATAAGAATGCAGACCCCAAGTTCATAGGGAGAGACTGGAAAAGCATTAGGATTGGAGAGGTTGTAGATAAGGGTCTAGTGAGATGGGTGGAGGACGGAACAAGTGTCGAGGAAGCTACGAATGTCAGTCATCCCGTTTTTGATCCCCGGTGCTGAAAGGGCAATCCCATTTCCCTTCCGTAGATACACGGAGCTGTTGCATGGAAATGGACTGACACTGGACTAGTTACTCGTTGAATCCGGTGCACCTAACGTCGTTCTTCTTCGAGAGTCAAAAGAATCCCAGACCGCGACTGGAACCTTCGATTACAGCGATCTGAATGCCTACCTCCTACTCGTCGTTGGACTGGCTCACCCATCTGAGGATGAAGTCGCATCCTTCGACCAACTCGCCAAGAAGGGGCGAGAAGGCAAGCCTATCCCATTGAAAGATGTCAAAGAGCTTGGAAAGAAGGAACCAATGATATTTCTGCCTCATACTGCGGATTTGACGAAGGCAATGGAGGTATTCGGCAGTGGAGTGCATCGAGTGCTAGTGGTTGAGGAGCATACAACAAACGTTGTAGGTGTCCTCACACAGCTCCGAATGGTGAAGTTCTTCTGGGAGAATCGCTCTGCTTTCCCAGCGGTTGATCAATTGTATCCGCAGCTGATCAAGGATCTGCACATCGGCTCGCAGACAGTTGTTGCTATAAAGTAAGTTACAGTACCCTTTACTTCGGACGCTGGAGAGCCGAGATATTGAACCTCAGCGATCTTGGTGTTCGCATCCATACGTGCTGTCGAGCAACAGTACTTTTAAGAATTGCAAAACTGACATGGAAGCAGTGGTGACAAGCCCTTGACCGACGCGCTAGAGCTCATGCACAACGAGGGGATCAGCTCTCTGCCCGTCCTTGACGCTCAAAATAATGTCATTGGTAACATCTCTCACATCGACGTTCGCGTAAGTATCCTCATATCCTGAACCCATATTTTTGTTAATCTAGCTGTTAGCTGCTCACCAAGTCAACATCTCTTCCACTTCTACGCTCCTCCTGCATCCACTTCATTTCTGTTATTCTTACAGAACGCGGCGTGAATGACGGTAAAGACTCTTTCCCCGTCTTTCATGTCACACCAGTCTCAACTGTCGCCCATACGGTCGCGAAGCTCGTTGCCACCCGTTCTCATCGAATGTGGGTCGTAGAGACACCATCACCAGCCTCTTCTGGACCTCCAACGCCAGCTGCAACGCCCGCTATTCTTGTCCCACCTTCCCCCATTACGCCCCTCCCCTCGGCCCAACAGCCATTTGCCCAAGGTCCTCCCACCTCTCCCCACCTCTCCTCATCAGCTGCCGCACCCGCGCCTGCTATCTCTGCAGCCTCCATCCCTGGCGCAAGCCTCTCTGGTAGACTCAATGGTGTGATCAGCTTGACAGACATCCTCAATCTCTTCGCCAGGGCAAGCGGCCTGCATCCCCACGACCCCGATGAGGCGAGACGCGCTAGGCGGAGATCTAGCAGCTCTTCCATGCGTCGCAGCATCGACAGCTCACGAAGTGAAAGCATGAGCGGCAGGAGGGGCAGCATCAGTGAGCGGAGCCAAGCCCAAGGCTTAGGCATCATCCGTGGAAGGGGGAGCACAGCCGAGAGAGGAGGGCAGCAATAGTGTGCTCTCTTCCATGTGGCACAATGAAATGAACGTCGATTACGAAATGAATTTTAACAGAAAAAAGCATATTAAGGACTCCACACTGTCTGATCCAATTCACTTTTGCGCTACTATGGAAGTCTTTGTTTTTCCCCGTCCCCTTCCCCTTCCCACCCGTTCAACGAGTCAATTGCGTGTTTTACTTTGCGAGATGTGCGGCGTTTCTCTTTTTGGGCGGTATCACATGTGTTTACTTCATTTCTTTACTTCCCTTGCTCAATCTAACGGGTGGAAGGATATGTTTTCCCCTTTCCTATAACGAAAGCCAGGACAACCTGGCGACAGAATGGAATTTTTCTAGAATATGTTTTTTTTTGTAAGCATGGGACTGCAACAGGGCGGGGAAGGGAAAGCAATTATCATGAGATTATGAGAGTGACGCAATTGAAATAATAATTTCAGATGTGTGTGTTATGGTTCTCGTTTACTGGATGTGGTCTATTACCTATTTGTCGTGTATGTGGCAGACGCCTGGATATTCGACGTCCGTGGCTGTATAAGTGGACTCGAGTCTGAGTTTCCCATCGTACTCTGTACTTCGATATGTTGCATATCCTGACTTTTGCGACCGGTCTGGTTCTTGCAAAGTTAGATAACTATGCCTTGGTGGGCTTATAGATCCCCTTACGAGTCCATAGACCAGACGGCTATTGGACTCGCAACGCCATATGCTGCGCTTTGGGTGTCCTGGCGGCTTGGATGAATCTCAACACTATGGCCACGTCCCCTTCAATCCGGATTGTATCGTCTCCGTGCCTCCCTCTCCCTCCATTCTTGCCGCCGTTGAACTGCATTCGGACTTCGCGATCGAGTTCTACATCGTTTCCTCCTCCAGACCGGTTTCCCATCCGCATCGAAATAATCTGGCAACCTTTCCTGATACTGCACATGGCTATCCCAGTCCTCCAACTTCGTATAAGGACTCCTAAGCCAAGCATTCAACTCATGTAAAAACAGCCTCGCGCTCTCCCGGCCTATGAATTCGCTCAAGAGATCCTCCGCGTGGCCATCGCTGGCCTTGATATCAACGGTCTTTAGTATAGAGACGATGTACGACAGCAGCCATTCCGCGTTGCTGCTAGTCGTAGGCGCGTTCGCCGTACTCCCATCTGCATCGTTGTACAGGAACGAAAAGACTCGAAGTTCTCGACGTATAAACATGCGCGCCCGGGATTGGAGGTCGGGAGAGGAAGAGAATGACTCGGGTGTCCAATTGCTGTGTGCGGAGATTCGATTTGCGCCTACGTACGCCGAGTAAAGATTCTCTCTATAGACATGACGGCGACGGAGTAGAGCGAGACTTGGGCTTGGGCGTGTGTATGGTCGTGGCGGACGAGGACGTCTCGGGGGAGGAGGGCGAGAAGTGTTATTTGAACGAGACGATGCCGCAGCAGGTGGAGCGGGTTTGGAGGAATGGGTCCTCTTCACATGGAATATCTTGAAGTCTTTATCGCTTTTGCGGTCGTACTCGACAGTTGTTACTTCGGCTTTGCAAAGTGGACAATTCGATCGCTCTTGCAGCCAGCTCACCAAGCAGATGAAATCGAAAGCTGTATGATTGCAAGGCCTTGTTTGCGCTCGCTCTGTGATGTTGGATAGACAAATGACACAATCATCGTGGGGAGTCACCTTGCTTGACTCTACATCAGTCTCCATGCGCAAGTGAAAAGGCAAACATTAGCATAGTACTCGTAGTAGTTACAAAAATGAGAGAATGTAACTGGAGAGCGGCGGTGGGGGCAACGAATGACGGAAAGAGAGGGTTCGGGAGTGCGCACAGACCCATGCGCGCGATTGATCGGTCGCGATTACCTGTGAACTTTCTCCATCTTTTAGTCGCAAGCTGCTGAAGGAATCATTGACATCATTCCGTTCACACCAGCTGCCTCGTTGTTACCGCGCACCGCGCTGTCATATCGGCGAAAATAATCCTCCAAAGGTCACATCCATCTTGTTCTTTTGTATGCTTCTGAAAGCTCTCTGTTCGAGTCGAGTTTCGTTGGCACAGGCCGTCCGTCGTTCATTACCAACCATGTCTGCATACGCTGCAATTGCTGCCTCTCAGCCGGCCGCACAACCAACTCCTATTAGCACGATACCTGGGCGTTCCGCAATTCACACAGTCACTGGTCTGAAGCGCTGGAGTTGTGGAGAAAGAAACTTACCTCCTGTTTCCGAGATAAAGGGTATTCATGTATACGACTTCGATAATACGCGTATGTATCAGTTCAACAGGGTATGACAAAACGAGTGGAGTACTTACATGATCAGTGTTTGCGAGTCCTCTCCCCAACAAAAGCCTCTGGAACGGTCCAACCTTCGGTACCCTTGCTTCCCCTGATGTGTTCTTGAATGGAGGATGGTGGCACGATTCGTCGATTTTGGCAGCGACCGGAGAGGGTGCGGATAAGGAGGAGCCTCGTGCATGGAACGGTTGGTGGAATGAGCAGATTGTCTCACTCGTCGAGCTATCGATGCAGCAGAAGGATGCGCTCACGGTGCTCCTCACCGGTCGATCAGAAGGCGGCTTCTCTGATCTTATCAAGCGCATTGTAAGGAGCAGGAACCTCGAGTTCGACATGGTGTGTCTGAAGCCTGCGATTGGACCGGCGAACCAGAAGTTCAGTTCAACTATGGCTTTCAAACAGGAACTCCTAAAAGAGATCGTGTATACCTACACAGACGCGGAGGAGATTCGCATATACGAGGACAGGGTGAAGCAGTAAGTTGCTCTACTGATCATGACACTCATTTTCTCATCTCGAAACAGCACGAAAGGGTTCCGCGACTTCTTTTTCCAGTTCAATAAGGATCTGATGTCAAACCTGCTCCCTACCTCGAGGAAACCACTAGTGGCAGAAGTCATACAGGTTTCTGAAAATGCCACGACGTTGGAGCCTGTCACCGAGCTTGCCGAAGTCCAAAAGATGTGCAACGCACATAACCTGATTGTCAAGAGCGGCAAGGCTCCGCCGGGAACACGTCCACTTCAGATCAAGAAGACGGTCTTCTATACCGGATATATGATCCCAAGCAACATGACTGACAAACTGACATCTTTAGTGAAGCTTCCACCCGGTACGCCAGATGGCGACATTCGCTACCTCGCCAATAGCATTCTGATCACCCCTAAACCATGTCCTAAGAGCATTCTTGATAAAGTTGGGGGCATTGGTGCTAAGGTGACGTGGAAAATCACAGGCGTGTCCTGCTTTGAGAACAAGCTTTGGGCAGCCAGGGTAGAACCTGTACCATCAACGACGAAATACTATTCCGAGAATCCTATCCCCACGATAGTGCTAGCCATTCGTAAGGGAGGCAGGCCCGCTGACGCTGTCCGCATCAACAACTGGCATCCAGTTTCAGAGGATCAGGCCTACACATTTGAGAGCACTGTCGGCGAGAAGGTGCTCTTGCGTGTAGATACTGAGACCGCGAATGAAAGCCAGTGGGAAAGCTACTTCCCCAATAAGACCCACGGCAAACGAGGCCGCGAAGAGGACCAACAGGAACCCAACGGGAACTACTATCAAGCTTTACAAAGTGTCCGCCGAGAGGATGATCGTCCGCCGCGGAATGCACCAAACTCCTACCGTGGAGGTAATAGGGACCGTGGCCGAGGTGGTCACCGAAATACCTCGTATGGTTCACGGGGTGGTAGAGGAGGTGGTCGTGGAGGTTCTTCGAATCGAGGCCGAGGTCGCGGTGGTTCGCAGTACAAGAGCCTGGATGATGTGGGCGACAAAAACTACGGTCAACCGAATTATGATGACCCGAATGGATTTTACTGAGCGTCGTTAGCTGGCAGCGTCTCTTCTTCTTTCGTGACATCTTGTATGCATGATATTTCTCAGCATGCTGTTGTCGATCATCTTTGGCCGCTTAGAGTTCACTCTTTAGGGCCGTTATCCACAGGAGGGAGCGAAGTTCCGAAGCGCTTATGCTTACGATTACATGCTCGGCGTCGCCGATGTACAAAGACTTTCTGTTCTTTTCCTAAGTTAAAAACTGACGTATGGAACAGACTCCAAACAGGTGTCGCTGATACCTGTAGTACGGACACGAATCTGGACGGGATGTGTGTGTATGTTGTTGAATGGCGTTCTCGGCCATGGGCTTGTCTGTCTACTTGATACCCGGTCATTTTCTAAGACTTGTTTATTTCGTTATGTCAATCACGATTCAGAATCCGTAGAGTATTCACTATTAATGATATTTTCGTTGGCCATGCAGTCGATTCAGTTTGAATAAGTGAATTTTAAGGACCTAACCGCTGAGAATAATTTGCTGGTCTTCAATTAGCACGTACTATTTGTATTTGCTAGTTGTAACAGACATGTGCCTAGTTGTATTTTGTATGAGGCATATTGCAATGGTTCCCCCACGCACGAATTGCAGTTGCGGTTAGTGCTTCGAAGTTATAATTCGCCATGACACGATCCACCGCTAGCTTTGCCCACACCGACTTGATTAACCTCAATCGCAATAATTCCCACACACAGTATCATTTTCACGTGGTATATATTTTATTTAAATTTTGAAAACATCATTAGTAATCACCGACTTGAAGTCGCTTTAGCTCACTTGGGAGAGCGCCAGGTTAGTACTCAACAACATATCTTCTGTCTTCCGAATCATCACTAACATACAAATCAGACTGAAGCAATCAGCCATCAACAGCTGCAAACTTCGGTTTCTACTGAACATCTGGAGGTACTGTGTTCGATCCACAGAAGCGACACTTCTTCTTTTTTTGCTCTTTTTTGCCTTTTTATTTGCGTGTGGGTATGAATCTGTAGTAGGCAAACTAGTACTTTATAGTATATGTATCCGTCCCACTATACTCTGATTACGTGCAGTGGTGCATTACAAAAGGCATTCTTTGAATGTCATCTCTCAAAATGACTATCTCAGTGACATATCACCACTGGAAATGTTCTACTTCCTCTGCAGATTATACTTAATTGGTCTATTCCAGTATTACTATGTGTCACCAAAGATGGAGTACTACATTGGATCCTGCCTTGAGGAATTGCCGAATATAGTAGCCACTGGATCCAGTCTTGAACAATGTCGAATTGAGTGGCATTCTCATACGCAACAGATTGTACAGCATATATCACCGGTATCTTCGGCACTCACAAGCTGTGATACATAATCGTCCTTTATGAATGAGGCATACACATACAGATGTCGATCGTTGTAGTCAAGTCCGTAGCGGTACCTGAATGCCGAGAGATTGGACCCTTTGCGGCTAATAGGGAATCAGGGATGCACGTGCGGGCCCTGCATCGCCTCAATCGCCGCGCCTCACTGGCTCGTGATGCATGCGACGTCAGCGATCCTCATCACGCACTCCATATCACGCTGGACAGCTGCCTCGTCTTGTCTCGTATCAGTCATAGCAGTGCCTATCATAAACCTTGCTGCGCGTGAACCTCACCAGCGCTGCTTCCGGCGATGACTGGCTGAGCTTATCTCCATCCGCCGTCCCTTTAATACCCTCTTCGCGCCCCTCGACTTTCATGCAATTCCATACCACCTCCCGCTTTCACTCTTAGCCTCAACTCCCCCATCTATCTGAGTAACAAGTCGCGGCGAATCGGAGCAACCCATTCAGGATCGTGGGAAACGAATCGCCACTCCCGGAGACGATCGACCCGCAAAGCTTGTACTTGTAATTAGGTTATAGTCCGTAGTCGACTTACACACGGTCATACCGAGGTGATTCGCTAGTATCGTAGGCAAGCAGTAATTACATGCCGGCCATGGTCGAAGATTGGATTCAGACTGCGAAAGATGCTGTACAAGATGCAGTACAAAATGCAGCGAGCGCCCACGTATGGAAGGACACCACCGCAGCCTCTTTGTCTACCGCAGTAGCTTCGACAATGCCTTCCTCTATGCCTTCTGTTCGCACCCTATCCAAGCTCGCCTTTGGCGGAGCTGGTGTCATCCTTGGTGGTGGACAAACCGTGCTCGGTACCTTCAGCCAGTCGTGCCCGAATCCTCAACTGAGCTGTCACAATACCACCGTAGTTGAGAACCTTTGCTGCTTCAACGCTCCAGGTGGTCAACTACTATTAACCCAGTTCTGGGATACGGATCCAGTGACTGGTCCAGAGGATAGTTGGACCATCCATGGACTCTGGTACGATCGACACCCAGTACAGCATTCCTACATAACAAACTAATTGTTCTGACACAGGCCTGATCGATGCGACGGATCCTTTGAAGCCAACTGCGACCCTTCGCGTGAATACACCAATATCTCGGCCATCATCAAGTCTTTCGGCAAGGATGACCTGTTAAACGACATGGAAACGTACTGGAAAGACTACAAGGGCAACGATGATTCGTTCTGGTCCCACGAATGGGGCAAGCATGGTACCTGCATTTCTACCATGGAGCCGGAATGTTACGACGAGCACAAGGCTACCGAGGAGGTTGTCGATTTCTTCCAGAAGACCGTCGACTTGTTCAAGGAGTTGCCCTCGTATAAGGTGTGTAGCTGTTCCTGTCCATGTAGAGGAACTACTGGGTATGCTAATTCAATCCAGTGGCTCGAAGAGGCCGGTATCACACCCTCGGACTCTGAGACATATACCACCGACGCCATTCAGGCTGCATTGTCTGCCAAACGTCCCGGCGTCGAAGTTACCTTGGGCTGCAAGTCTGGCCGTCTGAACGAGATCTGGTATCACTACGATGTCCGCGGTCCCGTTCAGACAGGAGAGTTCGTCCCAGCCAACCCTGACGGCCCCAAGTCATCGTGCCCCAAATCCGGTATCAAATACCTCCCCAAGAACGGCGGTGGTTCGCAACCCAAGCCCACCGGCACGAAGCCTACCACCGGTGTTCCCACGAGCACCAGCGCACCCGGCACTCCGTTCAGCGGAAGAGGCACCCTCAATGTCCAAGTCGACGGCTCCAAGAAGGGCTGCATCATCTCGGCAGGCACGTGGTACACCTCCGGCACCTGCGCAACCTTCACCGCGACCTCTAGCGACTCCGGCTTCACGCTCAGTTCCTCCAAGGGCCCTTGCGGCGTTGTGGGCGGCGCTCTCACCTGCGCGAGCAAAGTTCCGGCTACGACGTTCACGGCTGTCGATGGCAAGCTGGCGGCCGGTGGCAACGCGGCTTGGAGCTCGAATAAGGTCGCTTCTGGTACCACCCAGCAGAAGGTCTATGCGGGTGCCGACCACGATACGGGTTTCGAGATCGTCTGGGGCTAGGACGTTTCCTTCAGCCATTGGCTTCCTGGGATTTTTCTCTTTCGCTGTTTTCTTGTTATTATGGTGAATGAACATATGGTTGCGATTTGGGTTCTTTGCTTTCTTTCCTTTTCTGCATCTATTGGGAGTAAGATGGGCATAGCATAGTTCGAACGTAGCATCTATAAGGCGCCAATTTTCTGGTCATATAAGCATGAATCCACTATAAATATTGGAATTTATATATTTGTTTATGAAGAGAAAAAGACTCGCTCATTGAAAGGTGCATTCAATCGCTCCATTGGACACTATGCGATGCATACTCAATATAACATACTAGATCTCTTGCCTCTCGAGGTTCGGTCCGGGGCATAGTATATACGTATAGTTGGAAATTCAAGGCATGTGATAATAGCACAGAGCCTGAAGGTTGAAGCATTTTTGAGACAATTACGAACGATAAATGGTCTTACAGATATATCAATGCACAACAGCCATATCACATGTTTTGAGCATTTCATAGCATTCATTGCGTGAGAATCTGACTCTTGAAAATAGAAATGACAATCCATAATGACGTCTTCGTTCATGTCATCCATCCACTCCTACAAGAACCGTCCATAAAAATTTTCCCAATCCACACATGTACAAATACATATACGAACAGCCTCTTTCTCTTTACCAAAACCACCATCCGCATGGGGAACCCCCAATGCTCACCCAACTCAAACACGTCAACCTAATACGCTCCCCATATCTCCTTTTATCTTCACCAAGGCAACAGCAGAGGCGTAGGGAGGTTGTCGGCGGGCCCCAAGACGGCCGTTGCAGTCTCGATATCTGCGGCCCCGCGTACAGCCCACAACTGGCCCGACTTGTCCATGTCGAAGGTTTCTATCCAGGCGCGGAGGGCTTCGGCTGCCTCGTCTGGTTTCACAGCTATTTTGAGATTTCATTAGTACCATTCTTGTCACACTTCTATACCTGGAAAGGGAAAATGGATAATGATGCTTCACGTACCATTCTTATCCCCAGTCTCGAAGAACCCGTCTCTGTTCTGCTTCCTCAGATATCCCGTATGCACGATGGCGACGGGGATGCCCCTGGGCTTGAGGTCGATGCTGAGGAGCTTGCCGACCATGTTGAGCGCTGCTTTGGCGCCGTGGCCGCCGTAGTTCCCACCTCCCGCGCTCTCGTGCCGGAGCGCTATGCTGCCGGATTCGCCGCCGACGAGGACGACGCGGCTGTTCTTCTGGAGGATGTTGGCGCGGAGGAGGTGGTGGATGAGGAAGGTTGGTCCTATTGCGCAGGTCTGATGGTGGGCTGGTCAGTGGGATTCCAAAGGATCGTGTCTCCTTTTGATATCGAAGTACGGGGACTCGACTTGCCTTGTACATGGTGACCTCCTTGTCGTAGTCCAAGTGGTCGAGCGTCTCCTTCGCAAAGTATCCGGCGCACACGACCAGCAGATCGATCTTGGTCTCCTCCATCCATGACGCAGATATCCTTCGCCCGGCACCCTCGCTCGTGATGTCGATGTTGGGTATCCAGTGGACGCCATTGCTGGACTGCTGGGGCACGGAGTAGCGAGCTGTTGCATAGACAGTCAGGCCTGCTTTTGCGTACTGGTTTGCGAGGGACTGGCCCAGGCCGCGGGTTGCGCCGATGATGAGGACGTTGCGCATGGTTTTGGGGGGTGTTATGATCTGCTGAAAATGTGTGCTGTTGTTTTTGGAATTCGGATAGCAGTTCTCGTGGTTTAGTCTGGGAGGTTTATGGGTAGGGAATAGTTGAAATGGGTTATAGTATCAAGGTTTCGAATGTACTTAAATGTGCGAGGCAATTGAATACTTCAGTGGAAATATGTCGAGCTTCAAACGATCACAAGAGATACAAATGATGTCATAGTAAACAACATAATTATACGTAGATCATGGAGCAAACCCACCTTTATACCCATTTCTCTCTGGCGCTGTTGCGTGGATATTCTGCCATCGTACGATCATTTGATGTTCCAAGTGAGTTACATTCGGGCGAAGTTGGATCATGGCACTTCCGATGCATGAAGAAACATCAGCTCCGCATTATTGGCAGGGCGGGAGGAAAACCAAGAGGGATAATCTGGGGAATGAGGCACGGAATCCATCGGAATGTGGATGTCTCCTGACGCTTTTGCCTGTTTGTAGTGCACAAGACTGGTTACTGTAATTGGGTTCGATGTGATGTGTTGTTCGAGTATTAATGGTGCGTGGCGTGATGTTGGCGGAAGATCCTTACAAGGTTCTTACTTGAGAGTAATGTGGGGATTTCATGGAGAATCTGTCACATGGGGAAGCTACATTGTAAATTTAGAAAGAATCACACGATTGACATTGCAGACCATTGGATTCGGTCGAAGTTGCTAGACTCGTGGTTGACATATACTACCGTGATTTATTGAGGTCGAGGGAATGATCTAGTACAAGATGCAGTAACATCGCTTTGCCACATCAATGATCAGCTACTTCATAACAACACGGCAGTTGGCTATCGAAGTGCGGCTGAGCTCCTGGAGGAGATAATTTTACAAGCACGTGGAATACACAATAGATCCGATGTGACAATAGAGGGTCGAGATGAACGGTAGTATGTGGATGGATCTACTCTACAAGGGTTTGGTCCTACGAGCACGTTACTGATCCATTGTACTTCTCAATTGATCCTCGAAATTCTTTAATTATGTCCCTTATGATTGTAATGATCATGGTTATTATTCTTCTAACTCAATTCGATACAGCCAATTCCAAGAAAATTCTCTTCGTCTATACCAAATGTCAAAACATCAAAATAATGAATACCTAACACACATTTTCATAAGCCACCATATAACCAATAAAACCCCCAACATCATACTCTACAAATAAAAGCACCATAACACTCTCGAATCCAATCCATAGGTCATGAGAAACATTTTAAAAATTGATTTCTTCAATACCACATTAAAACCCCCCGAGAGAGCATATTTGGTGATGCCATCTGTGTACATCAAACCTCCCGTATACATTGCTACATATAGACATTTATATATACTGTACGTATACATACACCCATCATATGATGCACGCAAATGCTAGGAGGAGGTATTCCACTTCAGCATGGAAACAAAAACGAAAGAGACGAAAACCCCTGGACACAAGACATCTGATGGCCCTTTCTGTCGTGCCTCACAAGCAAAGCACCACTAACTGGCTACTACATATCATGCTGGCAAGAGCTTTCCTTGCACGTTGATAACAGATCCATGGAGTTACCAGTCTTCTTGATATACGGATGGATAAATTGGTGAGTTTCGTGGTTTGACTCCTAGAGCTAGATATATAGAAATACGACAGGTAAGAACGATACAAGCTCCGCCTCGATATCTCCATGCTACTGTTGTATGTAGTCGATCCGATTAAAAATATCCGGGAGATGGCGATCGGCGAGACGGTACAGAGAGAGGCATGTGCTTTGATTAGCAACACTTTGCAAGACAAGCTTTTGACATCTTCACGACAAGAACGGTGGTGGTATTCTAGACCTTGGATGGTATAGTGAGGATGCAGAATATTCATTACTCGCTGAAATTAGAATGTTACTATGTGAATCCCTTTTGAATGAAAACGTATGAGCTTTCTAAAGAAGTTTGTACAGTGCCAACCACGAAATCCATTCCTTTGGAGTCCTTTGGTACGAGTGAACGCCGATCACGAAATATGGCAAAAGATGCATCTCAATGTACAGAAGGCGGCGGCTGGGTTTTGATTGACTATGAGTGTTGAAAAACCCCTTCTCGCCTTATGGAATTACCTAACCAACGCGTGACAAGATGTCGATGAAAAGTTTCGATCCATTTTCGGATGGTTACAACGAGCAATATCATGCCATCGCATGCAGGTGAAAAGAGATCGCTTCTTATGTAAAGGAAAATTGGAAAAGAACATTTACAAGACAACGAGGGCAGCGCCAGAAAAGACGGCCACGATGACGTAGAGGCCGAGGGAGAAGAGGCCACTGTTGAATTGAGGAGCAATAAGGCCTGAAGCGGCACCAGGGGAGCTGGTGCTGTTGCCAGTACCGGGAGACGCGGTGACGGTTCCGGTACCCTCAGCACCGGCCTGGGAGAGCAAGCTCTTGCACTGGCTGCTGCCCTCCTTAGCAGTCTGGGTCTTGGCCTTGCCCTTGAAGTCGCATCCGTTGGCCACGTTCTTTGCGTACTGTCCGATGGCAAAGGAGAGCTGCTCCTGGTCAGAGCACATGCCGTAGGCACCGTATGGGCCGCTGGTGACGTTTCGGTTGATACCGGCACAGAACGCGCCATCCTTCTTGCTGCAGATGAAATCGAAGAGATCCTTGTAGTCATCCTCGGTGGTCTTGGAGCTGTCAACAACGCAGGAAAGGTTGTCAGTCATGCAGGAGCAGAGCTGAGCATTGGCAACCGGGGGAAGGGGATCAGATGGGGCCTTCCAGTCCTTGCCAGTGGCCGGGCACTTGGCCTTAGCGGTGTTGGTAGGGGTGTACTCGGACATCTTAACACCGGTTGGGTTGACCTTGGCGATCTCGCTCTTCAAGTTGGCAAAATCCTTGTTGGTGGTGACCTTGTTGCCGCTGACAGTGGCAAGACCTGGATAGTGTTAGAACGAATTACAAACTGACAAAATGGAGCAATGGGTACGAACCGAACTTGTTAGCCTCCTCGAAGTACATGTAGACGATACCGCCGGACCAGACACCAGTCATCTGCTTGCCGTAAAGAGCACCGACCTCAGTGAAGAGACGAGGGCGAGGAGTGTTGCAGCCGTACTCGGCGAAGAAGACGGGGACATCGTACTTCTCGAACTCCTTGGTGCGAACGTCGAAGCCAGACTCGGTGAAGGAAGAATCACCGCACCACGAGTAGATGTTGTAACCCCAGAAGTCGATGGCATCCTCAGCGTTGCCGCAGTCGAAGTAGTTAGCGAGGTTCTCACGAATCTCAGCATCGTCATTGGTAGCATAACCAACACCCAACGGGCGGTAGTTCTTGGACTTAATGTAGGCCTTGGTGTCACGAACGGCAGCCTTGACGAAAGCGCTGGCCTCAGTGTTGTTCACGGCGTTGGAGACCTCGTTACCGGCGAAGAAACCGAGCGTGTTGTCGTACTTGGCGAGCTCGTCAACAACGGCGGTGTATCGCTCGAGCAATGTGGTGGTCCACTGGGCGCTGTCACGGTTGATGGAGAGTCCAGGCTCAGAAAGATCGGCAATAACGTAGATGCCGGCGGCGGCGAGCGCGTCCATGCATTCCTTGTGGTCCTGTGTGGGATCGATGGCGTAGACACGGATGGTGTTGGTGTGGACCTCAGAGAGGAACTGGATGTCTCTTTTGCAGGACGCGGAGTCGGCGAGGGGATCGGTGTACTTGATCTTCTCGGTGCTGGTGGTGTTGCTGTTGAGCTCTTGCTGGTAAGCAACACCCTTCATGAAGAATTGGGTGCCATTGGTCTTGTAGAAGAACTTGGAGCCCTTGATGACGATGGGGTCGATGGCGGCGCTGGCAGTGCCGAATATGGCCGCGGCAGCAGCGACGAGAGTGAAACCCTTCATGGTGATCTCTAGCCAGAGAAATCAGAAGAATAGGCAAAGAATAATGGTGTGGGTTGGCGAGAGCTTGGTATTGAAGGGAGAAGTTCTCGGCGGTGGATGGTCGGTGGAATTTGAGGAGTGACCTGTTTGATGGATGAGGAGGAAGGGGGAAAGCGCGACCTGTTAGGAGGGAAACGTGTAAAGCGTTTGATGCTGTAAGGAGCGTTGAGAAGATGATATTATTAAGAGAGGAATAAAGAATGAGTGATTGAGTGAGTGTAGATGAAGTGGTTTAGAAAACAACACACGAAAAAATGGAGGACCGGAGGAGGGAAACGAGAGTGAAGCCGTGGAGGTTTTGGTGTTGCAGGTCGTGAATGAAGAAAGGGCAAGCTTTGCTTCTTTCCTTGGGGCGAAGGAGACAATCCCTTGGCCTGACTGGTCGAACTTGGGTTGAGCTCGTTTGCTGATTGGCTGGTACCTGGGTTGGCCTGGTCTCAGGGGTATGGTCAATTGATGGCATACAATATTAACTAACAACTAAGGATAGTGCGAGGGACCGCTCCTTCCCCCTTCCCCCGACCTGAAACAGTTAGCGTGACGCGGACTGGTGGCAACCACAAACACAAAAATACCCCTGGAGGATCCCTAGCAAACAGAAATCAACACCACCTTATCCAACTTAACTGTGCCTATCATCACCATCATAAGATTGATGAGAACAATATGACGGTACTCCGTGATCATCATTAGTATGGTATCCAGATGAAGGGGAATCGTTCTATATCGCTGATATAGCCATTCCATTTCGCCAGTCAATGTTCTCATGTGAAGCCATATCATATACGATCAACTAACCATTGCACTGTTCTCTCCATTCGCAGCAACAGCAATAATGGTAATAATATTTCCTACTATGATACTTTGTAATACTTGTCATACCGGAGACAATCTACATTATTCCTACCCTCAATCGTGGGTCTGGTCTCATTCGTACATACGTACAGTCAGTGAGTGGTCGTACTCCGTATGTACAACCGCTCTGGAGGTAATACGGAGTACGGAGTATCCATCCCCCCTCTCAGACTCCACCGTTACAAATGCACCCATATGCAAGGTACAGAACCCAATCTCGACGCCCTATTCGCAGGCAACCCCCAAGTTCCAACCCTCCGCTCTCCCATCGTTTTGCATGTGTCAGAAGTCTGGAGCCTGCGCGCTCCCCTACTGGCCATCAGTCCATGACTGACTGCCTCTCCGAGAAGGCTCACCGAACATCAGGAGAGGTCGAGTACATGTTATGTATGTATTGTCTGAGGCTGTCGCGCGGATGCCGGATCGTCATCTTCTGTGGTGTCAGCGGCCCCAAAATATAGCTATTCCAGAAATCCAAGTTGTTCTAGGGCAACATTAATCCAGATCTGAATATGGTGTGGTGTATGTCATAATAATAATGACTGCTCGCGAGTTGTGCAGTTGCGGATGCAGCTGGCAACTGGAGACAAGAGCCGCGCCGCCGCACCGCACCGCACCGCAGCACAGCGCAGCGGAGTGCACGTATCGATACCATCAATCGCCTCATCAACTCGCCTCGCTTCGGCTCTTGAGCGTATGCGTATCCATACGTCAAGGCTCAAGGCGTGTCTGGACTCTGGACTCTGGATTTAAGGCAAACCTCTGCTGTCAAATCAATCCACGAAATGTCAGCGAAGGGAATTAATGAGTATCCGCTCCCGCTGTCGTCTAACGGACTAGCGGTTTCGGCCATCGCCTGTTCCAGCTTGCATTACGCAGCTGCTCCAGTAGTCTTTTGTGGCGGAGTCACTCCTGGATTCTACAATTTGGCGAATGGGCACGCCGTTTCAACATAACTATTGGGACATTTGTGGCCGTGCCTCACAAGTACCTGTACACTAACCAACGCGCACTGAAGCTACTCGCTGTCTCAGCGGACAGATTCTTTCGCCTCGATCGAATCAATATCGTTTAGTAAAAGAGAATTCGGGGCAGGATGGCAATGTCCTACATAGTACATACTAGCCGCCGCCGCGGGCGTAGACTTGTGTAGACAGCGCGCGCGGCGTACCCATTTAGTCGGCCGACCTTTTTTTTATGTCTCCAGTCGTGAGCAGTGAGTCGTGCAGGATCGAGCATGATCATCGTGCAGGTTGCAGCACACCTTCTCTCTCCTGAGTCGCGACGCTACTAAACATATTATGTATCTGCATTTTCTATTTCGGGACGGTGGGCATCTTCGTTTATGTCGGTGAGATCGATAGTGACTGACATAAACGACCAAATAGAACATAGCGGGTAAAATCCGTCTGTTCGTATAGCGAATTCGAGAACGTTGGCATCGGGTTCGTTTAGAAAATTGGGCAAACCTTCCTAACGATGATTCTGTCTCTCTCTTTTTTTTTTTGTCCGGAGAAGGATCTTCGATCTGGTGGAGAGAAAAGTGCAATAATATGTGGGAACTTGGAAAAGGTCCATTATTAACTTACCTAGTTGAACGACGCCAGGGGGGGACCTGGACGTTAACTTGTAGTCTTGTAGCGAATCCGGTTCGGCTGGTGGGAAGAGTACTCGTCATCCGCGATTGATCACTGCGATTACCGTTCAGTTGCAGGGCCTTTTTTTAAATTGTTGCCATGCGCTCCTCAGGGGAAATTAAGGCTAGACACTATCTGGAGATTGTGGTCCTACCTACCTAGGTGAGCTCCCACAGCGTACGTAGCACACTGATGTGGATGTATGATCTGCGCAAGAAGGAGAAGAGGAGTAAAAAACAAAACCCACATCATCCCCAGGACCCATCCAGAGCCTCCGTTCTCAGGGGTGGACTGGTGGTGCGCGCCCGCGAAGAATGAATACAGAAGGGGAAGTGCGGCACTCAGACAGACAGACACCGACAGCCAGAGAGACCCAGGCAAAACTGCGGCCGTTGGGGCTACTAGGATTCGGAGGCAGCGGGAGAGACATACCGCGCGCGCAGAACGCCCCACGCACGCCCAACGCCACGGTGACACTGCTATCGACAACGAACAAGGTCGAACAACACGATGGGAAAAGCCCACTTCTACTTTCGAACGTTATCTTATCGAAAAAAACCGATGCCGCGCCGCTTGTAAGTTGCAAGTCCAAGTAAGCTGTACAACTAGCCGACTTGTAATATGCACGCTTGCACATGGGAAATGGCCGGCCAAGACTTGCGGGTGGGCACATCCAATCTACTGTGTATCTACCTGTTGTAGCGTACGCCGTACACTGTGTCGGACACTGGTGCATCCGGCCAGGCAAGCAAGCAAGCAAGCAAGCAAGCAAGCCAGCAAGCAAAGCTCAGAGCTGTGAAGCTCCCCCCCGGTCATGATTGGAAATCTCTCTCTCTCTCTTGACTCTCTCGACTCCCCTTCGTTTCAGTCTAGCTTGATCGGCCGGGTGTCTGTGCCGCCAATGGAAAGCACTCATAGCTTGAGCTTTGTCCCGGTGCCACTTGTGTGCACACAGTATGGCTTCGGCTCAGGGAGACGCTGCGGACCGATGACGTCCTCGATGCGTTTTTTATTTCAATGTCTTTTTTTGTTGAGTTAGTTTGCATGAATAACAAGCCCGCCGTTAATCAAATCAAAGTCGAGGGTAGAGTGGGTTGTGGGTTATTTAGCATAGAAGAAACGGTTTTAGCGATGGAAGACAGGGCGTAGAAACAGGTATGGAGTGCATATAGGTACGGGGCATATATACCGAAAAGCAGGCTTTTGTGGCTGCTGCAGATGTGGATATGGGAAAGTTGGCGAGTGGTAAGGTGTGAACTTGTTTGTTTGACTTCACCATGGGTTGTTCCCTGCTTTATGAAAGAGACGAGCAGGTAAGTAAGATAGATGTGGAAAGGAAGGGAGTTATTCAATACATGCGGTAACTATGGCATCCAGAGGAAGCTGGGGAATGTCTTGTCTGGATTGAAGCATGGACATGGATGAACGAACGCGCGCACATGCTTTTCCTCGAATGTAGTAGTGGGGAAAAACTTCCCGATGATTCGATCTGCCTCGTTCGTGATTGGATTTTCTGTTTCTTTTATTTGTTGATACGCGACTGGATGGTCCGAGGAGTCGATTGAGGATTTTCGCATACAGACGAGCGCGTGCGGGTGATTTGGATGGGAGGAGAACTCCGTAGAGAGCGTAGAGTAGTCGGGCGGCGGGTGGGGGAGAATGGCGACTCTAAGAATGTGAAACAAACAGGACAATCGTTAGGACGTGATCATCAATTACACTAACTGCTGCTATCCAATTATGTATCTAAAGTTAGGTTACAGGATAGCTCCCAACAATGGTACTCGTAGAGCTGGGCGGTGTTTAGGTCAATAATGTTTGGCTCCCGCACGTCTACCAGTGGTACGGCGTTTGGCGTGTGTGTATGGTGTATGGTAGAGAGGATGGATAGCTCGGTATCCTAACTATTATGGATAAGTTTACATACTCGTGCCAGCCATCCAATAGTTTTAAGTATTTACTTGTGTACGGTCCGCGAACCAGAACCCGTCTTACAAGTTCCCCCTGCCAGCCACGGGAAACTCGGTATGTACCTAAGTTGAGCTGAGGGGAGCGCGTTGAGTAGGTAGGCGGTAGGTGGAAGGTCGTGGTAGACACTCTTACCCCGTCTACGGCGTACCTACACGCGATCCCCATTCCCCATCATGAGGCGAATGCGTGGATGTGCGGGTGCGTGGCGAAACGTAACGCTTGTTCGACAAAGATAGAAAACGCAACTACGAAAAGGGAAATATGATAGACAATGCAATACTCCGTAGCATCAATACACACACAACAAACAATGTCCCGCCCCCTCACTTTGATCGATCTACCTACGGCGTACTACGTCGGCATGGCAGACATTGGTAGTTGGGAAATAGTTGAATGGCTAGTTGGTTGTCACCCACGTAATCGATAGATGCAGCCTTCCCGAGTGCGGGTGTGACGGGGGGAGTTAGACGAATACAAGCCTGTTTCCTCGGTGTTGATTGTGCGGTGTTTGTGTTGTTGTCTTGTGTTGTTGTACAGTAGCCCCTCCAATTATGAGAGATGGATCTACAGAGCAACGCCCAGCTGGTTAATCGAATGGATTGATTGATTGCTTGACTGATCGTTGATGCATCTCAGGATAGCTACTCGGAGTGGCGAGAGACAGCATTGGGTTAGGAGGATCAGGATCAGGATTAGGGATTAGGGATTAGGGATTAGGGATTAGGATAAGATAGGACAGGAAGCACTGAACTGAACTGGAACTGGAACTGGAACTGAATGAAGGAGTGAATGAGAACGGGGCGATCCTATGCAAAAGGTCATGGATGTGATTGGTCGGAGGTGAAGGGGGTGGTGTGTGTCAAGGATCAAGGATGAGTACAGGGGGGGAAAACTGTTGATGAAGCGGCGAACGGACGAGGCGGCGGAGGAGGCGGCGGCGGCGACAAACGACGACGGCGCGGCGGACATGGGTATGGCTAGGAGGACGACGACGACGATGATGATGATAATGGAAGGATTCGATTCAAGGATGAAAGTGTTTGGTTGGTTGATTAATGGCTTGTAACTTATTGCCCGTGGGATATATGTGGATGATGGATAAGTATAGGTAGTAATGCAGGAAGTGAGTGAGCGATTGATTGATTAAGTGAGTTGAGCATGGGAGAAAGACAAGGATTGAACAAGAGTGAGAGTGGAAGTGAACGGATCGATGGGCAATAATGGGGGGATGAGGATAAGGGGTAGATACAGTAGGTACGGAGTACACGCTGCGCAGTACAACCTGGTGTAGTTGGTTAGGTACCTTGCCTGTTGAACTAGTAGGAAAAGGTACAGGATTGGTATTCGTCCTGCCCTGCCCATTGCCCTGCCCATTGCCCTGCCATCCACCCATCCATCCCTCTCTCCCCCCTGTTGCCTGCATTCCGATCTCTCTTTTCTCCAATCTCCCTCCCACCATCCATTCCAAACCTACTCTATTCTCTCTCTCTATCCTACTACTTTTCTCCCTCCTCCTTCAAACCTGATCTCCTTCTCCCTCGCGTGTTTCCTATTCTCTTCCCTTTCTTTGCCCGTCGCTCACTCTTTTGCAAAGGCAAAAAAAAGAAAAGAAGAGACCTTCCTGTCGTTGACTTTCCATCGTCATCACCAATATCAACAGCAACTACATACATCACCATCACCGTCAGTAGTACTCCGTACTATACTGAGTGAGTGAAGCTTGTGTGTATACTCCTTAAGTGAGTGAGACTCTTCCTACCTCCTACCTCCTACCTCCTACCTCCTACCTCCCTCTCCCTACTTTGTCCGCCAAAGAGAGGAGCCGCGACCTACACAAAAGCCAGCCAACCGCCGCCGCGCGTACCTGCCTCCTCTCAATTGTCGTCGCAGCAACCACGACCTTACCTCCTCTCACCTGTCACCTCCCACCTCTCACCTCTCACACCTCTCATCCACCCTAGCTACCACCAACACGCCCTTACGCCAAAACAATCCACTCGTTACCATAATCAACTCATTAACCACCCCATCCAGCCAACCAATCGACTTTTTTTCACCCATCAAAAGTCGTGCAAGCACGGGCAGAGCAGGCTGTGCACCGAGACCGAGACCTCCCAACCGTCGGGTTGATTCACTTTGTTCTAAGGCCACCGCGTTTCATCTTCCTACCCACGGTCCGCCTACCACAAATCACCCGCAGAACGTCAACAACAACCTCTCCAACGGCACTCCCGAACCTGACATTCGCTCCCCATTCCCACCGCTCGCTTCAACCGAACCAACTACCAGCATAATTGCTCAATTTTTCCGGCGATCGCTTTATTACGATTTTAATACTCCTCCGCTGCCCTAATGCCCATTGTTTGAGGTATGTAGACGATACCAACACCAACCCCTGAGAACGCATCCCACCCCTTCCCTCCATGTCTCAGACAAACGTGCACGTCGCCCTTGCTGGCGCACCCTCGCAGACACACAACTGACATCTGCTCTTCTAGTCTCAACATTGTGCTTTAATTCCTCCCCAAGATGTCAGGACATCCACAAGGAGGCCAATACGACGATGGCTATGGCCGCCAGGGCCAGGGCCAGGACTCGTACTATCAGGACGACCAGTACGGTCAATACCATGACCAGCCAGGTCAACATGCCTACAGCGACAACCGTGGAGGCTATGGCGACCAGCACGGCGATGCATACTACGATGAATCGTGAGTTTCCCTCTCCCACGACGGGTGCGCGGCTCCGCTAATAAACTCCGCAGTGCCTATTACGATGACCGCGGCGGACAGCAGGGCCACTACCAGGATGGCTACTATGACGATCGTGGTCAACAGGGTTATCAGGATGAATATTACAACGATCAGTACTATGATCAGGGAGGTGCTCAAGGCGGCTACGGGTACGTTTCACCCCACAATACCCAGATTGCCTCGCAAGCTAACCCACTCGACAACAGCCAGAAGCCTCGACGTCCCCATGATTCCGAAGACGACTCAGAGACCTTCAGCGACTTCACCATGCGATCCGACATGGCGCGGGCCACCGATATGGACTACTACGGACGCAACGACGAGCGCTATAACAGCTATGGCGAGGGCATGAACCGTGGGTATCGCCCTCCGTCCTCCCAGGTCTCCTACGGCGGCAACCGTTCGTCAGGTGCTTCAACCCCCATCTACGGCATGGACTACACCAACGCACTTCCCGCTGGACAGCGTTCGAGGGAGCCGTACCCCGCCTGGACTTCGGAGGCACAGATTCCTTGCACCAAGGAGGAGATTGAGGACATTTTCATCGACTTGACCTCCAAATTCGGTTTCCAGAGGGACAGCATGAGGAACATGTACGACCATTTTATGACTCTTCTCGACTCGCGAGCTTCTCGCATGTCTCCTAACCAAGCTCTTCTCTCTCTCCACGCCGACTACATCGGTGGAGAAAACGCCAACTACCGCCGTTGGTACTTTGCCGCTCATCTCGATCTCGACGATGCTGTTGGATTTGCCAACATGAAACTTGGCAAGGCCAACCGGAGAACACGCAAAGCCCGCAAGGCCGCAAAGAAGAAGGCTGGTGAGAATCCCGAGAACGAGGCCCAGACTCTCGAGGCATATGAGGGCGATAACAGTCTCGAGGCTGCCGAGTACCGCTGGAAGACCCGTATGAACCGCATGTCCCAGCAAGATCGTGTCCGCCAGATTGCGCTGTACTTACTCTGCTGGGGCGAGGCCAACCAGGTCCGCTTCATGCCCGAGTGTCTCTGCTTCATCTTCAAGTGCGCAGATGATTATCTCAATTCTCCCGCTGGCCAGGCCCAGACCGAGCCTATCGAGGAGTTCACCTACCTGAACAACGTAGTCACCCCCATCTATCAGTTCTGCCGTGACCAAGGTTACGAGATCCAGGATGGAAAGTACGTTCGACGTGAGCGTGATCACGCTTCGATCATCGGCTACGACGATATCAACCAGCTCTTCTGGTACCCCGAGGGCATTGAGCGAATCGTTATGGAAGACAAATCCCGTATCGTCGATCTGCCTCCCGCAGAGCGTTACAACAAGCTCAAGGACGTCGTGTGGAAGAAGGTATTTTTCAAGACATATTACGAGCGCCGTTCCTGGTTCCATATGTTGGTCAATTTCAACCGTATCTGGGTCATCCACGTCACATCCTTCTGGTTTTACACATCTTATAACTCTCAGCCGATTTACACCAAGAATTACGAACAACAATTCGACAACAAGCCCCCCAAGGCTGCTATCCTCTCTGCTGTCGCTCTCGGTGGCTCTATCGCGTCCCTCCTCATGGTTTTGGCAACGATCACAGAATGGCTTTACGTGCCTCGCAAGTGGGCTGGAGCTCAGCATTTGACCAAGCGCCTGCTCTTCCTCATCCTTGTTTTCGCCATCAATCTCGCTCCCAGTGTTTATATCTTCTTCATTGCCACCGACCAAAAGAGCAAGATTTCAGAAATCCTCGGTGTTGTCCAGTTCATCATTGCATTGGCGACCTTCGTATTCTTCTCCGTCATGCCATTGGGTGGTCTTTTCGGTAGCTACTTGACCCGTAACTCTCGTCAATACGTTGCTAGCCAGACCTTTACTGCCAGCTACCCACGCCTCAAGGGCAACGACATGTGGATGTCCTACGGTCTTTGGGTCATGGTCTTTGCCGCAAAGTTGGCTGAGTCTTACTTCTTCTTGGCCCTCTCGCTCAAAGACCCTACGCGTATCCTTTCGCATATGAAGAAGCCCGACTGTGTCGGTGACGAGATCCTCAAGACCTACCTCTGCCAGTACCAGCCCAAGATCTTGCTCGGACTCATGTTCTTCACCGACTTGATCCTCTTCTTCCTCGACACCTATCTATGGTACATTATCTTGAACATGTTGTTCTCCGTCTCCCGGTCATTCTACCTTGGTGTCTCCATCTGGACGCCTTGGAGGAACATCTTCTCTCGCCTGCCCAAGCGTATCTACTCTAAGATCTTGGCCACCACCGATATGGAGATCAAGTACAAGCCCAAGGTCCTCATTTCCCAGATCTGGAATGCAATTGTCATCTCCATGTACCGAGAGCATCTCCTTGCCATTGATCATGTCCAGAAGCTCTTGTACCACCAGGTTCCTTCAGAGCAAGAGGGCAAGCGCACGCTCCGAGCTCCCACCTTCTTCGTTTCCCAGGAAGATCACTCATTCAAGACCGAGTTTTTCCCTGCTCAGAGCGAGGCTGAACGTCGTATCTCCTTCTTCGCCCAGTCTTTGTCCACACCAATTCCCGAGCCTCTTCCCGTCGACAACATGCCCACCTTCACCGTTATGATCCCCCACTACAGCGAGAAGATTCTCTTGTCGCTTCGTGAGATTATTCGTGAGGACGAGCCTTATTCGCGAGTCACTCTTCTCGAGTACCTCAAGCAGCTCCACCCCCATGAGTGGGATTGCTTCGTCAAGGACACCAAGATTCTTGCGGATGAGACCTCCCAATTCAACGGCGACCCCGAAAAGTCTGAGAAGGACACTGCTAAGAGCAAGATCGATGATCTTCCGTTCTACTGCATTGGTTTCAAGTCTGCTGCTCCCGAGTACACCCTCCGTACGCGTATTTGGGCGTCGCTCCGATCCCAAACCCTGTACCGTACCATCTCTGGTTTCATGAACTACAGCCGTGCCATCAAGCTTTTGTACCGTGTCGAGAACCCCGAGGTGGTTCAGATGTTTGGTGGAAACTCTGACAAGCTCGAACGTGAGTTGGAGCGTATGGCTAGGCGCAAATACAAGATCTGTGTTTCCATGCAGCGCTACGCCAAGTTCTCCAAGGAAGAGCGTGAGAACACTGAGTTCTTGCTTCGTGCATACCCCGATCTCCAGATTGCCTACTTGGACGAGGAGCCACCAATCAACGAAGGCGATGAGCCTCGCATCTACTCTGCTCTGATTGACGGTCACTCCGAGATCATGGAAAATGGGATGCGTCGCCCCAAGTTCCGCATCCAGCTTTCCGGCAACCCTATCCTTGGAGACGGAAAGTCCGACAACCAGAACCACTGCATCATCTTCTACCGTGGCGAGTACATCCAGCTCATCGACGCTAATCAGGACAACTACCTCGAGGAGTGTCTCAAGATCCGAAGCGTTTTGGCTGAGTTCGAAGAGCTGACTACCGACAATGTTTCTCCCTACACTCCTGGTATTCCCAACCCCAACTTCAACCCTGTTGCCATTCTTGGTGCTCGTGAATACATTTTCTCCGAGAACATTGGTATCCTTGGTGACGTTGCTGCCGGAAAGGAACAGACGTTCGGTACTATGTTTGCTCGTACACTTGCTCAGATTGGTGGTAAGCTCCATTATGGTCATCCTGATTTCTTGAACGGTATTTTCATGACCACTCGTGGTGGTGTCTCGAAAGCCCAGAAGGGTCTCCATCTCAACGAGGATATTTACGCCGGTATGAACGCCCTCATTCGTGGTGGTAGAATAAAGCACTGCGAGTACTACCAGTGCGGTAAGGGTCGTGATCTTGGTTTTGGTTCCATTCTCAACTTCACAACCAAGATTGGTACCGGTATGGGTGAGCAGATGCTGTCCCGTGAATACTACTACCTCGGCACCCAGCTCCCATTGGATCGATTCCTCTCTTTCTACTACGCCCATCCTGGTTTCCACATCAACAACTTGTTCATCATGTTGTCGGTGCAGTGCTTCATGTTCGTCCTCCTCAACTTGGGTGCTCTCAACCACGAGACGATTCTCTGCCGATACAACAAGGATACCCCCATCACCGATCCTCTCTGGCCCAATGGTTGCGCGAACTTGGTCCCTGTCTTTGACTGGGTTGCCCGTTGCATCATGTCCATTTTCATCGTGTTCTTCATCTCCTTCGTTCCCCTCGTTGTCCAGGAACTCACGGAGCGTGGCTTCTGGCGCGCTGCAACCCGTCTCGCTAAGCATTTCTCTTCTGGCTCGCCCTTCTTCGAAGTGTTCGTCTGCCAGATCTATGCCAATGCCCTTCACACCGATTTGGCATTTGGTGGTGCTCGTTACATCGGTACTGGACGTGGTTTCGCGACTGCCCGTATTCCTTTCGGTATCTTGTACTCTCGATTTGCCGGTCCCTCCATCTACATCGGTGCTCGATCTCTCATGATGCTTCTCTTCGGTACCATGACTGTCTGGGGTCCTTGGCTCATCTACTTCTGGGCGTCCCTGCTGTCTCTCTGCGTCTGCCCCTTCCTGTTCAACCCTCACCAGTTCTCCTGGGACGACTTCTTCATTGACTACAGGGAGTACCTCCGCTGGCTCTCTCGCGGCAACACTCGCTCTCACAGCGCGTCATGGATCGGTTACTGCCGCCTTTCGCGTACTCGTATCACTGGTTACAAGCGCAAGGTTCTTGGTGACCCCTCATCTAAGCTCTCTGGAGATGTTCCGCGTGCCCAGTTCGGCAACATCTTCTTCAGTGAGATCCTCGGCCCTCTCGTTTTGGTCGCCATTACCCTCATTCCTTACTTGTTCATCAATGCCCAGACAGGTGTAGCCGGTGACACTCGTAATGACCAGGCAGACGTCAAGGCTACCAACTCGCTCATTCGTGTTGCCCTTGTTGCCTTTGGACCCATCGCCGTCAATGCTGGTGTACTCGCAGGCCTTTTCGCAATGGCCTGCTGCGCTGGTCCATTGCTCAGCATGTGCTGCAAGAAGTTCGGTGCCGTCTTGGCTGCTATTGCTCACGCTATCGCTGTCATCATGCTTCTTGCCTTCTTCGTCGTCATGATGTTCCTCGAGGGCTTCAGCTTCGTCAAGGCCTTGTCAGGCATGATTGCTGTGGTTGCGATCCAGCGATTCTTCTTCAAGCTCCTTATCTCCTTGGCCCTTACCCGTGAATTCAAGGCTGATACTTCGAACATCGCTTGGTGGACTGGTAAATGGTACACCATGGGCTGGCACACAATCTCTCAACCCGGTCGTGAATTCCTTTGCAAGATCACCGAGCTTGGAATGTTCGCCGCTGATTTCATCTTGGGTCACTTCATCCTCTTTGTCATGCTTCCCGTCCTATTGATCCCCTACGTCGACAAATTCCATTCCGTCATGCTTTTCTGGCTTCGTCCAAGGTACGTTTTGTCAATTATCATCAGTTCAACTTGACTGTACTAACCCATCACAGTCGTCAAATCCGACCTCCGATCTACTCGCTCAAGCAAACCAAACTGCGAAAGCGACGCGTCATTCGCTATGCCATCCTCTACTTCGTTATCTTGGTCGTTTTCGTGGCCCTCATCGCCGGCCCCATTGTCGGTGGCAAGTACATCAAACTCAACTTCAACATCCCCATGGAGTTGCTCCAGCCTACCGGTCTCAAGAACAACGACACCAAGACCCAGGTCACTGGCTCATGTATTCTCGGTGCCTGCCCTGGTCCTGGCGGCGACTCCGAACCCACTAGCCTTGACCGTCGCTGGATGGCGTTTTAAGCGACTGAGTTTGGATACAAATAGATTGTGAACACACATGCCTCAGAAGGCATTTTTTATTGCATTGTACAACATGGCGCAAGCATGAAAATGGCAGACCGATATGGTCCCATAATGATTGTAATATTCAAGTCATGGACTTGGGCATTCGTTTTCCTAGGGGTGTTAAAGGTGGTAACTAGAAGTGCCTTCGTTTCCAACACCTTCCCTTTCTTTTTTCCTCTAGGTTGTCTTCTACCGCCAAAGCGCGGCTTGCACATATACTATGACGGGACTGGTTGACAGGTTTTTTGGGCGGCGAAATATGTTAGATAGTGAATGCATCGCGGAATAAATATGAAATTTCCTGATCAATTGAGTTGTCACTTGCTACGTGATGTGAACAGGAAAACTGTCAATCATAGACAAAGGTCTTTTTCAAAGGGGTTGTGCCTGTCAGATTAACGTTGCACCTATTATGGCACGCAGAGTTTACGCCGTAATCAGTGGGAAAGGGGCAACACGTGAGAATGCTGAAATTGGCTTGGCAAAGTCGCCAGGCAGTTGCGTAGGAAAGAAACCCCCGAGACCTCCGCGCCTCCGCGGTGTCCACCCTACTTAAGTCTCAGAAAGTGAATAATTCCGCACTACGCAACGCCTCTCCTTTGAACACTTCCAAGATGGACCTACAAGAAGCGCAAAGTACGGTCGTACGATTCTTTCAGGATGCGAACGCGCAATTCCACAAGATGCCGGGCTCGGCCATCATTCTCCGCTACATTAAGAGCAGCTACCAAAACGACCCTGTTCGCAGTGCCATAGAGCTTTTCCTGTTCTTGTTCGCCGTGAGGTACCTGCTCGCACCTACCTATAGTACAGACAAAAAGACACAGGTCCGATTGACCGAGGAGGAGATTGATGAGCTTGTTGAGGACTGGACTCCTGAGCCACTTGTCGCGCCCCCAACGCCATGGGAACAGATGGAGAATGAGAAGAGGCCGGTTCTTGTTGGGTAAATGCGGCACAAAAGCTCAAGGGAGCAGCGATATACTAACGATTCAATGTTAGACCTACCGGACCGAAATCAAAGCTCTCCAATGGCCGCACCGTAACGAATCTCGCATCCTATAACCTCTACAACTTCATCGCGAACGAAACTCTCAAGGAGAAGGCAATCCAGACACTCCGAGCATATGGTGTGGGGCCCTGCGGACCTCCTGGTTTCTACGGAACGCAAGATGTACATATGAAGACGGAGGCGGATGTCGCGGCTCATCTCGGCACTGCTGCGTGTATCATTTACGCCCAATCGTTCTCGACAATTAGTAGTGTTATTCCTTCCTTCTCTAAGCGTGGAGATATTATCGTTGCGGACAAGGCCGTCAATTTTGCGGTGAGGAAGGGCATCCAGATTTCCAGAAGCACAGTCCGATGGTACGAGCACAATGACATGGAGGACTTGGAGAGGGTGCTCCAAAAGGTCACAAAAGAGATGGCTAAGAAACCGCTGACGAGGAGATTCATCATCACTGAGGGACTTTTCGAGAATGTGGGAGATGTTGCAGATTTGCCCAAGCTTGTAAGTTTTTGTCTGGGGTTGTCCCTACACACCGGTAGATACATTTGAGCTGACTGGACTAGGTTGCACTCAAGCTTCGATACAAGTTCCGCCTCATCCTCGACGAGACATGGTCGTATGGCGTTTTGGGAAGGACGGGTCGCGGCTTGACTGAGGCCCAAAACGTGGATGCCACCGAAGTCGACATGATCATTGGATCTCTCTCTGGTGCTCTTTGTGCAGCAGGAGGATTCTGTGCCGGTACTGAGGAAGTCGTGGAGCATCAGCGTATCTCTTCTGCCGCCTACACTTATTCTGCTGCCCTTCCTGCCCTTCTCGCCACCACCGCAAGCGAAACTATCAATATGCTCCAGGAACAGCCGGAGATCTTGACCACGTCGCGGGAGAATGTCAAAGCCATGCGGGCTCAATTGGATCCTCGCAGCGATTGGGTGCTCTGCACTAGCGCCGTGGAGAACCCGGTGATGATACTAGTTCTCAAGCCGGAAGTCGTGGCTTCGAAGAACCTTTCCATCCAAGACCAAAACCAGCTCTTCCAAGACGTTGTCGATGAGGTAAGTTTTGGACGTGATTGGTTGCTTTAGATCATCACTAATCCTGCCACAGTGCATCGCCAACAACGTTCTCATCACAAGATTGAAGGTGCCCCCTCCAAGCCTCAGCCCACAGGGCAGGGAGCAGGAATGGCAGCCCACTCCTGCACTCAAGGTCTGCGTGACGACTGGCTTGACGAAGAAGGAGACCGAGAAGGCCGGCATAGTCATTAGGCACGCCATCACCAAGATTATTACCAAGCGGAAGTGATGGAACAAACAATGCTGCCTTTTGGTTTCCATTATTTACTCATCATCACCTTCTCTGTATTCTTATTTCTACACACTAGATTATTGCATGGTCGGCGTCCGGGTACCGAGCTGGTGTTGAGTTTGTACACGGCACCCCGTCCAGAGGTACATGCTCTCTACGCATGATGTAATGCTCAAAACAAATTAATGTTAATAGTGAGGGGAGGAAAGGGGGGTGAAAGTGCACGATGCAGAATACTGCTAAGCTTTTTCAGCTGAAGCAATTGGGCTGGTTTGAGCCATGGGGCGCAGCCCAGTCCTCTAGAGACCAGCCCTGTGGCTTTTTCCTGTGGTGAAGAAAATAGATTTTTGGCGTTGCGACCATTTTAGAGCTCCATATGCACATTGCACGATTCGTATCCATCCACCATTAATTGTTTGGCGTTCATAAAAGCTGGGCGCGGTCCTGCTGTGCAGGAGCTGAAAACCCCATGATATATCTACACATTCTTCCACGGCAGAGGAATTGTTGACTGATAAACAACAACATGTCTTCCAACGGCTTCCAGTACGTTGTCAAACCGCTACAATACAACAGCGAATGCATCAACTTCCCAGAGTGGATCTCGATCCTGACTCTCTGTCTGGCGCCGCTGCTCGTCCACATTGTATCTGGAGCCCCCCCGTTCTCCTTTCTCGCTCATACAAGACCGGGCATGTTTGATATGCTCACTCACTACAACCCAACGTCCATCATCTGGCGGTACGCAGCGATAACCGACCGACGGCTCCGGGCGAAGCAGTGGACGCATACCGACCTCGCCGCCGCCAATGCCATCTTCTGGACGAACAAGGGCTGGGATGGCAGCGAGGAGATGGCGAGAATTTCCGCCCCGCACTGTATACGGTATCCGGAGCATACATACGTCCGCATCTTCTCGATCGCGACCTTCAAGACCCTCATCACGACGCTGCAGGGCGTGGCGGCCGTGTACACGCTCGTGGGATCGTTGACCGGGTTGGCGGACGTGGATTTCATCCAGCAGCTGGGAGTGGACATGATCTTCTACCCGCTGGCGGTCATTGGACTCTTGCGTCTCTGTGCCGGAGTATGGCTCACCGAGGAGTTCGAGTATGCCTTGAAGGATGACCACGACGCGACGAACGTGATGAATCTGAATGTGGTGAACGACCCGACCGACAAGAGCGCCCACGGGGTAACAGCTCACCAATCGACCACCTTCGAAGCCTTCGACCCCTTCATCGCGAGACCAACCCAGGGGTCCCAATACCGTAGGCCGGGACGATCCATCCCCAGCATACTGTTCCGCACCGTGTTCTTCCTCATCATGGTGGCCTGCCTGGGCCTATGCAGCATGTTCGTTGCGCCCTTCGGGATCGCCAACGGCAAGGCCGAATTCACCTTGACGTCCTTCTCCGTCGGCGTCTTCTACCTCTTCCTGCTGCTCTCCTCGGTCATCATCTACGCAGTGTCCTTATATCGTGGACAGATGACCACCACGCTGCTCCCTTGCATCTCGAAGGCCTGGTACAAGATCTACACGCTGGTCGTCTTCGCCGCCATGACGGCGCTCATCGTCCTGGCGTCCGTCGAGACGAACCGGCTGCCCAACGGCCTCTACGCCAGCTTCCGGCTCAACGTGCAGCTCACATGCGAGCAGTCCAAGTTCTGGTACATCTTCGAGCCCGGGATGGTGCAGCTCGCGATGCCAGTCGCGGACGACGCGAAGAGGAAGTGGGTGCAGGAGGAGTTCAAGGGCCTGACCGTGGGGGAGACGACAGGGGCGATGGGCGGTATCAATGATACGTTGGTGGTGGACGGGGGAAGGTACTATTTGAACGACTTCGCGGGATATTGCGTTGGTAATAATAAGGAGTCGAAGAGGAGGAATGTGACGGCATAGTTGTGGGAGAGCGATTGATTGACCAGGATCGTGCGCTCTCTCTCCTTTGTCCTCTCTTCGCCATTACTATCTCTTTTCAAAACTGTTCATTGGCATTACATGTTGGGCGTTTCTTCGCATTAACAGTTTTTTTCTTCAAAGGGAAGAAGATGCACCAGCTGTGCTTGCCGGTGCCTCCGTTGTCTGCATACTGGAGTGGGAGTTGGGAAGACGAGGCGGAAGTCCAGTCTCACGATGTCAAATTGACGGGCCAATGACGAGAGAGCGGTGTTTTAAGATGTAAGACTGATGGGATTGCGAAACAGATAGGCTTACTTTGTTTCCTGCAATTGTCCTGACTGGCTTACTCAAGAAGAGAAAAGTAGTAATAATAGTAGTCACAACAAAAACAATAGTTCATCAATGGTGGTGCCGCTGCTATGTTGGTAGTGTAGGATTCCCAGCCCCGCCCAGCCATTGGATATTGCGGCCAACAACCCCAACCCACCAAGAAGACCAAGACAAGAAGACGAGCCCCGGATAACAACACCGACGCCCACTGCCACCATCTTACCAACTCACCACCACCACTCCCCTCAATCGCTGCAATCGCAATCCTCATTCTTTCGCCGGGTTATTTCCTTTCCTCTTCGACATTAATTCCCCGCCAGATCTCTGTGCTTTGCGACACCTGCGACTAAGCCTTACGCCCCGTACACACGCTCCTCGTCGCGAACGTCATTCCCTAAACAACCGGCTTTGCGGACAATTGCGGAGAGCGCATACTTCCCTACACCCACATTACGCTGTCGGACGAAGCATACACTCCGATTGAGCGATCAGAAGATATAGCGGAACATTGCAAATCGCATATCACGACAAACAAGTTGTCGAGTCCCCCCGCATTTCTTGTGGAGGAATACCCTTTCGCGGCTACACGGCAACGCAACAACAACAACGGGAACGACCAAGTACCGCAGCAACAAAGACCAACTCCACGCGACCGGCGAAGCGCATCCACGCCAGCACAAGTCTACCATCAAAACCGAACAAAGCGGTGCGATTGAAAGTCCTCGAGACGATCCGCGAACCACCGGACATATCCGGCGCCAACATCGTCGAACCAGGCTACTCAGCCTGCCGCTTTACATATTCCACCGCCATCGCGACACACAACCGGTGTGCCCTGTCGAAGCACAAATTATAACCAGAAGGTAGCAAGATGGCACGAACAGTTGTAGGCTCCGCCGTCGTGGTCCGGGAGAAATATTATTGGCCCGATGCTCAACTCAATATCTGGACTATCATCATGCTTGCGACAGCAGGCTTGATATTAGGCGTGAGCGCGCAATTCATGATGATCCAGAATACGATGAGATTGCAGACCCCATGGTACGTTTGCTACACCCGAGATCCCTTTGCGCGCATCGTTCTTCGTGTTTCGGTTCGTTTCAAGGAAATGGCATTTTCTAACATGTGAAATTGATAGGATCCTCCCATACGGCGTGACGGTCGGCGCCCTCACGATCGTCTTCATCATCGTCGAACTCATCCTGATCGCGCAGCGCCGTCTGCTCCCCGGCGTCATGATGCTGCTATCATTCATCCTCCTCGTGCTCTTCATCACCGGCATAATCGGCACCGCCATACAACTCTTCGGCGGCCCCAACATCAACAACCAATGCAATGCATACGTTTTCAATAGGAGAGAGAGGGGCGCATCGCTGGAGACGCTGGCATGGCTGCAACAACAGAGCATCTGTAAGTGACCATTTGAGTTTCCAGAAGGTCTGAAGGAGGGGCTATACGGAATCACAAGATGAAATACGGACGAGTGCTAACGTACAGACTCTACAGGTCAAAGTTGGCAAGCCGCCTTCGCATTCTGGATCATCGGATCCGTCTTCATGGTGTGGATGATGGTCATGGCCAGCCAGGTCAACCAGAACCAATATGACTGATTTGCATGCCTGTTTTGTCCTTCCTCCTTTTCTTTCTGATTGTCTTCTCCGCACATACAACCTTTGCTCCCTTCTTTGTTTCTGAAAATTCGTTTTCTGTTGGCTTTCAATGCCTGTTTACAAATATTCCCCCCCTTTTTCCGGAAATTTTCCGAGATGATTGTATGTATGTCTGGTGAATGCGCGTGGGGCGAGAAAGTTACTGGTTCGCGCGATCTGTTGTTGCATTTGGGTTGCGCATGGCTTTATATTCCCCATCCCCCGGCGGCGTTGTTCAATGTTCAGTGATCGGTGTTGCATGGGTCGAATCCATCATGCTGGAATGGAATGGGATGGGATATTAAATACGGGCGGGATATGGGATATGGGATACGGATTGTATGTGACTATAAGGTTCTGGATCAATGGATCGGGTATGTTTTACCTTGCGGTCCCAGACGATGGACGATAGTTCATGGACGAAGGACGTTCCGATCTCGCGCATTTGTGTATATCAGAAGAAGATCCGAGACGAACCAAACAATATCGAGCGAGATAGAATCTGTGAGGAGAAAAGAAATACAATCCGATATTGAAACTTCATTCTTCGGGCTCAGATATGCGCTTCTGCCTTTCAGTAGAACTCATCTCCTCTTAACATCATCCGTAGAGAGGAGAGAACGACATACAACATCCCCTTCACCCGTCCTCTCACGAAGACAGATAGACATACACTTTGCATGTAATCCGAATGCAATCATCAATCAGGAAAGCAAGTACTCCGTAGACGAACATCACAAATCACACCGACTTCCCCTCTACCGATCAAGCATCGGTTTGGGTGTTAATCTGCTCAACTCTGATACACTAAGACCTTACACATGGCACAACGAGCAAGCAAACACCAAGCACGGATCCCAGCTTTCCCTCAACACGCGCACGTCCATCCGCATCGGCAATGTCGATACGATACGACGTGATGTGATGGCAGATGCGATGCGATGCGAGGTGATGATGCGCGGCGATTGCAATACAATGGGGCAAAGCGTATCTTTGCTATTGGCGGGTGAATTGTGCTGGAAAGGATAGGACGCTTGCGCCTTTTTCCAATACATAAACTATGCATGGACAACACTCTACTTTCGTGGTATTTGCGGCCCTATTCTCGGATATGAGTTGCTTGGGAATTGGAACGACCTGGATTCAACGCCTGATATGAATCGTCCGGGAAGGGGTAAGAGGGGAAACGAAGGTAAAACATGGGAAAGCCGCAATGGAATCACAATGTTGATATGCATAGCATAAAGCGACGCCGCGTGAGCCAACCAACCAGCCAGCCCAGCCAGCCAACGAGCCAGTTGACAGATAAAAAGAAAGGGGAAAATGCCGTGATATCCAACATCCGATTGTTCTCATGGAGAAGAAAATAAGGGCCGACACAGGACGGAGGGCATTGGTTAGTACAAGTATGGGGATCTCGATCGCCAAGGCCGTAATTACAATTCACGATCAAGATTCCACGATGTGAATATCAAGGAAATGGAGAGAAAGAGCATGATGGGACCCCTGTAGATACTAAGAGGTACATCCAGAAACGGCCATTGCAATCAAGGATCCCTGTCACTCATCATCGTGTGGATGGTGGACCTGCTCGCCTCGCTCAAGTGCGCTATCGTGGCTTTGGGTTCCATCCGATACCTGAGAACAGGTTACAGTTGAGCTAGTCATACTTTACATAATCAGGACAGCTTCATTGATACCGCCATTATGTTTCAATACGACAAGGCTCGCCTACGCCAGAAACGAACGAAACCAAGTGGTAATCAATGATGCAAGGATTCCATTAGCCGAGCAGGGATGACACGCATGGCGCGAACCTGACACGTAGCTCGCGTCGGCGCCATGCCCGTTTAGGCATCTTAATTGGTTTTTCTAGGCTTGGGTTCTCTCTCTTTTCTCTCTTTTCCTGAGGGGAGAGGGGAGGGGGGGCATGTTTGGTCAATGGTCCGGGGTGGGCGATTGGAACAGATGGGAAGAAAGGGCGCGTAGGTTGCGGTTGATCTGGAGAATGGCTGGCTGATTGATTGCCTGAATAGCATGTACGGACGGCAGTGTTGCGTGATAGCATGTGAGCGAGTTGAAGAGAGAGTGACTACGGAGTAGGGGGGGAGGGCATTGGACGTGAGACTCAAGATTTCGTCTTTCGTCGCCGCTGTCGTCGTCTCAAGGAAGACTCTCTCGCACGGTAAGGAAGTAAAATCTTATCAAATTATGGAGCTCTTTTCTTTGCTTGTTTCGTCACCCGTCTTGTCGGTCGGTCGTCGTCGTCGTCGGGTTAACGTACAGTGTGGACCTGGTGGGTTTTCTTTCCCTGCGCAATGACTACAGTACGGTACGCACTCTATTGTATGCAATCATTATTAGTTGGTCGACCGACATACCAACCCTTCTTGTTCCTCTCTCGCTCCGAGCTCGTATATTCTCTCTTCCTTGCCCATGTCATAATTACAAGCACATTTAATCTTCCAATTACTCGAACAATGGTTGGCCAACTTAATTACCCTTTCCATGCCGCATGGGAGCGCTCTCGTCACGCAGGCGAACCAAAGTTCTACTTGTCATCGCTACCAGTATCTCTGACATATAATTAAAAGAATAAAAACAATTCATTATCATCATCCTCGTCAGTGGTCGCCCTTTCATACTCTTTGTGTGAATGACTTTGGTCCCGCCCAACCCCATCCCAACACGACTTTCTTTGTATACGTAGAACTCGACATGCGTCGTGATGTGATATGCTCTTGACGTGATGCAAACCATTGGCAAACCCTTTGTCTACGCTCGCTCTGCACTCTGCACTCTGCATGCCCCGAAGATCATGTTCGCGTCGCTCCTAATCCTAAGGCAATCCACTATCCTACCAAACAAACCTCCCCAAGCTTTCTGCCCTATGCTGCCCTACGTACGGAGTACCTAACGCTATTGTTATCTGCCATTCATTCAAACCCAATCCCCAAATAAAGAAAAATATGCCGAACATGCAATGTGCAACGACATGCAGTACACCCCCCTTCCCCTCCTCCTCCCCGCTACCAATGTCCGTCCGTTCGGTTGGCTCTCGGTGATCGTCGCCTAAAGTAGAGGGTGTAACCTGCGACTTTGGGGTAGGGTCGTCCAATGATTGGGCCGTGTAGGGTGTGCGGCGCAGCCCCAGCCTGCCTGCTCGGTAGGCTGACAGGAAAGGGACTTGGATCTGGAGAGACAGAGAGAGAGAGAGAGAGAGAGAGAGAGAGAGAGTGTGTGTGTGTGTGTATGTGCTGGCGCATGGTCAGAGATAAAAGGAATAGATAGTAACATGACTTAATCTGTGAGGCTAGAACGTTGTAATGTACCACCTGGTTATCGTGCGTACGACCAAGTCCATGGACTACCTACCATGTGTCCCTTCCTTTCACCTCACTAAGGCTGCAGTGCTCAAATCGTTGGTTTTGAATATTTCGATTCTTTGTCCGTCGTGCAGCTGGCCTTTCATTATTTACCGCCATGCTGCACCCGTCACTAACTACGTACGGGATGTTGTTTGGTTATGCCGCTATACTACTATTTCGTATCCATCCCTCTCATTCTTCTCCCGCATGTTGCAAAATTTCCTCCATTGGATATCCAGACCGTGATGAAAACATTCCTCCAAAAAAAGGCAAAAGGAAAATAGAAAAAAAAAAAGGGAACACAATGAAAATGATTAGGGACGGGAGCTCCATGTTGTACACTGCGTGTGAATCAGGGGGTGGACGTTAGGAAATGTTCTCGCACAAGGCGCTTGCTGTGGCGCCAATGCAAAGGAACCGATGAACGCATTCGCGTGAACCATTCAAGGTGGAAGAAAAAGACATGGGAAAGGAAAATCTAGGTGGGGCTGCCCCTGTCCATGGAAGGCCTCTCGCCTTCAAAAATGAGAAGCCATGATGTATGTAAATGAACAAGTAGAAGCAAGAACCGGACACGAAGGGAATGGAATGCTGGTTCCGGTAATGGGGCGATGGGGCCATGAAGGTATGCGTAAATCTACATTGCACAACGTAGAGAAAAGAAGATCAACTCCTCGCAAAACGCCGTGCTTTTGGTAAGGACAGTAGGAAGTGAAGTCGACACAAGCCCTCGTGCGTGTCAGTCGATCGAATCAAATATGCTTGACTGCAACGGTCACGTAGCTGACTGGGGTGGGTCGTTTTTGGTGTCATTAGTCATATCTCGAGGTTATCGAGAGATCAGTCGCCAGGGCAATGGAGTATCATAATACCATCATGAAACGAGCTCGCCACCCAGATCCATGCCAAGGCCTTCGACCTTGAGCGTCCGTGCCGTTTCGTTCGTTGGTGGGACGATATTATCAAAGTTCAATCGGCGTCGAGCCTCGCGAGCTGCTGCCGGTGTCTTTCCGCCGGCAGGTGTGCGACCCCACGAACCCGTTGCCTGCGCAGGACTAGGCGTCATGTTTAGGAAATCGGCGAAGTTCAGGTTGGTGGACGGGGTGCTGAGGCCGAACGGGAAAGTGGCATCACCTCCCCTCGGGGTGGTCATCATCGACGACGGCAGCGGGGTCTGTTTCGGCGGCGGCGTGGAGGGAGCGAGCATGACTGGTTTCGAATCACCAGGTCGTGCTGGGGAGGGGGAGGTAGCTAGATACATAAGCAAATTGGCTTCGTCTTGGCCGGGGTTGCCCTCACGGGCAGCGGCGGCAGCAGTGAACCCACTTTGACGTAGACGAGCTGACCGAGCAACGGCTGGTGGGGGCGTGCGCGGTGCTCGAGGAGGAGAGGAACGGAGATGCGAGCCATTGCCGAGCTGGAACGAGGTTATCGGCAAATCTTCGTCGTCGTCTTCGGAGAGGATGGGTGATCGTGAGCCGTCTGGGACTGTGGAGGTTTCTGAGACAAATGAAAGACTAGGGGCGTGGATGGTTCCGAAGCGAGCATGTCGGCGAGCGTAGACGGGGGAGGATTCTGGGAGGCGGTGCATGGATTTCCACGATGCGGATGCTGTGTGCGAGGTCCTGACCTTGGTTCGGTTGTGGTTGCTGGTGCCAGGATAGTTATTGAATGACGGGTTGTACCGAGTTCTCTTATTATGACCATGACTGCTGCCAGAACGACTTCCTGCCCTGCTTCCCGAGCGCTGGAGCTCATCCGAGAATATGGGGGCGGCGAGAGGGGAGGAGTCGAGCACGCCTGTGGGATAGAAGCGTTCGGATACGCTCGAGGCATCGGACATGGTTTCGTTGCTAGAACCGGGACGTTTGCGCTTGAGCTCGACATCGACTCTGGGCTCGAGAGCATCGAGACTGAGACTTTCCCAGCCATGCTTGATCTTGACATTAGCCAAAGCGAGACGGTTCTGCAGGGTGCGGGTCATCTATTGAACGCAACGTTAGCCATCAATGCTGATTTTCTGGAAGGACAAGATTGTCCACAATTAGTTGGTACATGGGGAGGTCAAACCTTGGAGACTTGAGCCCTCCGCAGGACTTTGTTTGCGACCTCGGCGGGTTGATCCATTCTGTCGGTGGTGGCAGTGACGATGGTAGAGGTGTTAGTAGAGGCTATGATGGTAGAAGTCATGAAGCCGGCTCGAAAGGAAGAAAGGTACAGCCGGAAGGAAGAAAAGGAGCGGGGAGGGGGGGGGAGGAGGAGGAGGGGAAAAGAAAAGATTTAGATCCCTTCGAGAGAGGAGGTTTCAAGGCGAGCACGAGAGAGAGAGAGGGAGCTGAACAGCCGGAGGTGGTAGGAGAGGGAGAGGAATGTGAGGAGGTTTGACTGGTCTGGGCACGGTGCGGTTGGAGCTAGGTGAAAGCGGGATAGCTTCAGGCTGCGAGCACAGGCGCTCCTTTGATTATTGGCGTGAGGGCAATTGGCATGCAGCCCTTGTCTCTCTCTCTGTAGTGAGTAACTACTCGTATGAGTAAGTAAGCAGGCAAGCGAGAGAGTAGAGAAGTGAAGAGAGATTGGTGAAGGCAGAGAGAAAGAGAGGGGAAGGTGTAAAGTGTGAGTGAATATTATTCTTCCGTGGATTTAGGTAGGATAGGTACGAGCTATCGGTCTACGAGGTGAAGCTCAGCAATGTGGTGCTGTAGGTAGGTAGCTACAAGCATGGCGCAGTACAATATAGTACAGCATAGACAGTAGAATGCATTACTCGGTTTGCAAGTTCAAGTTCAGCAGGGCAAGGATGAAGGTTAAGTTAGACTTATTGTTGGAAAAAGGGCTGCAGGGGTGGTGATGGTTGTCCTCATTGATGTAATAATGTTCAGTATCAGTAGCATCATTTTAGGAAGAGGATGCTGTAATCTGTGTTAGATTACATACAATACAGTACAGTACAGTACAGTACAAAGGATGGATCCGCTTCTACCGGTCTCCCGCAACATCTCGCACGCAGATTCGCCAACTAATTACTCGTTCACGACTAACCGAAAGCTTGTTCTTATCTATCTCTCTCTTCCTGTTCCTGTTCCTGCTTCTGTTCTCGTTCTCGTTGCTGTTCCTGTGTCTTGTTCCTGTTCTAGCGACTCGTAGTTACTACCCACCTAAGTTACTACTCGTACCTAGGTAGGTACTCGTAGGTATGTTCTTGTAGTCTTGTAGGAGTTCAACTCATATTCCTGCCTCTTGGACTCTATTGAAGGCCTGACCTTTCCTTTCCGATGGTCTCCCCATCGTTATTGGCTGATTTGTTTGTTTGTATCTTTCCACATGCAGCCACAGCAATTAACCCCCACCCATTTCCGTCACCTCCTCCCAACATATTGTGTACTATCTATGATAAGTTACTCCCTACCTATGTACTCCGTATATGCTATGTACATACGCTGTACATACGGAGTAGTATAGTAGCGATTGCGCAGCAAACAGCTTGCATTACTTGCTGCATCCCATTGACTGCCTAACTCTTCATCCCTTCATCCTCTCCCCCCTCCCATTCATCCGACTATCCGTCCACAACAGCTACTTAGATTAGGTACCTAACCTATGTGCGGTGTGGAGTATGTACACGTACTGTCGCAATCCAGCACTCAGCTACGAGTTCACTTGTTAAGTTAACTAAGTAGGTACCTGGTACCACCCCTAGTCCCCCAAGACGTCATCACCCGGATTGCTCGGTTCATTTTCCATCTTCAACAGATCAGATTCCACATTGCCAATCCCCCCAATAACCCACCCCCATCATATCCTATTGTATCACAATTCCCATCTTGTTGTGTGCAACATCCTGCACTGCACCGCCCTGCCCTGTTGCTTGCCCTGCTGCTTGCCGTCCGTGTCGGCTAGTACCTCTTTCATAACCTCTTGCGTCTCCCTCCACCCATCAGGAATCAACTTGTACCACAACATCCAACCTGTCCTCCCTTCCTCCCGCCCTGCTGCTGCCCTGCAGTAGATACCACCGGAAGCATTATCTGCTCATCCACCACTTTCGCTCACTCCTCAAGATACACCACCGCATATCCTTCAAACACCCTACCTCCCGCGCTTGCGCTGCGTTCCCTGCGTGCGACATTGCGATTCCTCTCTTGTGGCGTTGTTTCCTAATTGCATGTACCTATTCTCCACAAGAAAAGAAAGATAAACGTCCCAACCTCAACTGCCTGCCAACGCTCTCTTCGTCAACACTGCTCGCTCTCACAATCGTAGCCTTTTCCCGGATTACGCGTCCGACATAGCCCATCTTCTTCATTTATTCAATACCTCGACACCTCGGCGCATTCATGTTGCCATAGGTCATACACACTCCTTGTTCAGACTCGCCAAGCGCCTGCAATCACAATATCATGCCTTCATTCCTCGCCAGTCTTCGGCGGAGATCCAAGGGCGATGTTAGAGCAAAGCAATTCGAAGGCGAGCCAAAAGCCGCAACTTCCGCTACGGCCAATGGCCATGCCGTCAATACTATTAATAATGCCATCGGTCGAAGGAAGTCTTCCTCAACACTGGCATCCTCCGCTACAACACCTGCAACATCCTCCGCATCTGACGACGTGCATCCAGCTTCTAAAGGTCCAAAAACTGGCAATACACCATTACCTCCTGCCCTCCCTGTGCGACCAACTATAAATACCAACACCAAACGATACAGCATGAATGTGAGTGTGCCGGAGCATTGTATCCTCGACTTTCTTCTGATCTCGACCACAGGGCCTAAACTCCGCCTCCTCCAATGGCTCCCAAATGTCAATCAATCGCTCATCGCTGCTTGCCCCACGCGTCACCTCCGTTTCGGATAATTCTTGGGTATGGACGGAGATCTAATGCGCAAAGGAAGGTAGCGCTCGCTAATTAGGCAAAACAGGTACACCAGCAAGTTCTGCTCATCAATGGTCAGATCGGCGACACCATAGCTAGGCCATTGGACGGTCAAATCGTCGTAAACCATCATCAAGGTCGATTCCCAGCCACCGTGTGGCCAGTCTGTGACTCCCACTTCAAAGCCCTCATTCACCTTGAACCGGGACATAACCAGATTCGGCTTGATTTTACTTCACCGAAAGTCTCGAACGGTGGTTCGTCGGTTCCATCTCACGCCTCCTTCTTGCATGTCAATTACCTACCTCTCAACGACTGTCCTCCCCTGCAGCTGGCCATCATCCTTGGCAGCGATTCCGACGGCACATACGATGCTACCCCCGATCGAAAGAACCGGGAAGGCAATGGACTCGATCTTGCCATCAAGAAATTCCGCATGTCTGCGTACCTGTGGCAAGCTTTCACCGGGGAGCAAATGTACAGGCAGGGCTTCGGCCGTCGATGTTTCCGGTTCGAGGATTCATGGGAGCCAGGCACCCTCAATGTCCAGGATTGGAATTCCGGAGAGTACAGGTCTCAGGCCAAGATACATCTCATCCGATCAAAAAGGACCGTTGCGGAGATCCGAGACTTGGAATTTGCCCAACAATATGGACCAGCTAAGAAGAAGAACGAGCTGTATGACATTGCTATGGATGAAGTCAAGACATATTTCGGCTCTCGCCAGGGCCAGAAAACCTTTGTCTCATGCCTGTTCCTCGATACGCAATGGGATCCAAAGGTCAAAACTATCCGAGGTCACGCTGCACTGGGTGGAGGGGATAATAACTTTGGGCTAGCCATCTTTGGTTCTCATGCACTACAGAGCTACCCAGCTTGTCTCCAGGAGGTTCCACCAGCTTTCGGCGATTGCACCCGCACTGACACAGCATTCGTGGCCAATGATCTGAACGAATGCGGCAGCAGTTGGGAGGCGGCCAATATCGGGATTGGCGCACATATGCACGAAACTGGCCATTTGTTTGGCTGCCCACATCAAGAGAGCGGCGTCATGCTGCGTGACTACGTCACTCTGAATCGAACATTTGTTGCGAGAGAACCGTACTCGACACGCACCAAATCCCCCGGCCAGCGGCTCGTCCTTCCGCAACACGAGTGTGCGTGGCATAGACTCGACACTCTGCGGTTTCGATTCCATCCATGCTTTCGTATCCCACTGGATGCTAATGTGGTCGACAATAGTGTGCAGGTATGGACTGTAGACAGCGGCCAAGGAGGGGTAATAGCTACATCCAAGTCGGGCGTTGCGTGGGTGGAACTGTATACTCCCGATGATGATGTATGTCACCATTGGAAAGAGTGGCCCGAGATCGATATGCAGTACCCTCGACAGGTTACACTAGTCGACGCAGAACTCCGCGGCATGTTACCCAAAGATAAGCGCAATTCCCGATTGAAGCTCGAAATTTTCTCCGCAGGTGGCGGAAAGCTCGTAGTAGAGGACTTTGCAAAATTGACCGATCAGAAATCTGCACGAGTCAAACTGCCCGATGGGCGATTGGGATACCGTGGGGGAAAGTTGGGTTATTCGCAGATGGAGGGATCTCAGCCTCAAGAGGTTATCTTGGATAGTGCCTACATTCAGACGAAACTGCTGGTGTCCATCAAAGTCTATCACGGATTTGCATTGGATGGGGTCGAGTTCATATATGAAGATTCGACTACCCAACTTTTTGGCAAGCGAGGCGGAAAGCCTGGAGGATCCGATTTCTTCCTTGACACCCGGAAAGGAGAAATGCTTATGGGTTTTGCACTCCGGGCTGGTTTGTGGATTGATGGATTGCAAATTTTGACCACCCAGGGACGGAAGAGCGAGTGGTTTGGAAATCCCACTGGCGGTAGCGGGTACGTTTGATTCCACACCCAACATTATTCATTATACTAACACTCTCAGCCACACGCTCATCCCTCCTCGCGGTTATACCATTGGCGGCATATCTGGTTCTTGTGCTCAGTGGGTCGATGGTTTCTCGCTGATCATCACGCGATGAGATAGATATTATGGACTGGTTTTTTCTTTGACAGCTCCCAGGGGAGAATGGGAGAACATCCGGACATACACGATACCCAATCATACATAATGGCGTAATTACTTAACCTGCCTGTAATAGTACATACATATCGAATATAGCGTATACAGTATCAACCGTTATATATAAAAAGTACGCAACCAAAACGTTACTCCAAGCAACTTACCATTCCCCCCAGGCGAAAAAAAAAAACCAGCAAAAAAAAAGAAACCAATGTTAACTCGAGGTCCTACCCGGACTCGAACCGGGGTCCCCGGAAGGAATGCTTCTGATGTGAATCAGAATCCGATGTGATGACCAACTACACTATAGAACCGAACCTCTTTGGTTGCTGCTTGGTGTGATGGAAGCGTCGTTCCCACTAGAATCAACATATACCCCACAAACTAACAAATATAGTCATCGTCTCACCTCCTGGCCTTGTCAATTGTATCCATCCACCACGGACATGAAACCTAAGTTAGATGTGACGAATTGCAGATACAACGGGCCAGAATTGGGCAGAATAATAATGTGATATTCGTATGTTTACTCGCACTCGCACTCGCTACTTATAGGCCGGCCGTCCATTATGCCGATCGATATTTCTGCCAGAAGAATGATGTCCCTCCCTTTTTGTTCTCCCTTCATATTACAAGCCGAGGAGAAAAGAAAAACAATCGCCACTGAGGGAGAAATAAAAAAAATGGAAAAGAAAGGAGCCCGGTGCGCCCAGCATTTGCAAATTCTAAAGTGGTCAAAATCTCTCCCGTCAGTGGAAGAAAAGTAGTACACAGGCCGGTGGGTGAGAAGGCTGCCTCGTCTGTCGCCAAAACAATCCACGAAACCACCGTACGACTGCCATAATCACCCCGTTCCCTGCCTTCTTTCCCCCTCGCTGTCATCTCTCTCCTTGATTCGGGTTGGAATCAATCAAGGCTTAGGTATATGGATGGTCTTGCTGACCATCAAGCAACCATGCACGACCCAGAGACCGACGATGGGATGGAACTCCGCCCACGTCCCCTGTCCCCAGACGCCGAAGGGAATGTTATCGCCGATCAAGCCGTTGTAGACCCAGTACGCCATGGTGGCCGCGAGCGCCAGACTAGTCGGGATCGGGGTGCCTTCGAAGTACTGGCTCTTGCCAGAGGCGTCCTTTGGCAGCATTGCGACGGTGACGTTGAACCTGGCGAGGCGGGTGAGGCCGCAGAGGACGAAGAAGGTCAGAAGGAGGTGGTCGAGCGGGGTGCGGAATCCGAGGCTGAAGGCGGCGGCGGCGGGCGACACGCCGAAGGAGATGAGGTCGGCGAGGGAGTCGAGCTCCTGGCCCATGAGGCTGGCCTTCTTGCGCCATCGCGCCACCTTGCCGTCCATGAAGTCGAAGAACAGGCCCAGCGGGATGAAGCCCAGCGCGAGGTACAGGTTCGTCGTCTGCGTGGGATCCGCCTGCACGCAGTATCGGAGCGAGCTAAAGACTGACATGACGCCGCAGAAGCCGTTGAGCTCGGTGATGAAATCCGCGAGGTGGAGGGCGCTGTTCGTTCAAGCACATACATGTTAGTCAATAGGTCCAAAAATGGCACACAGGGCCCATCTGTCTATGTAGGATTCACGTACCGGACCATGGAGAAGTGGCCAGCTTCAGCGGATAGAAGGCGGGCCTGCTTGTCCTGAGCTGCGCGCGGGTTTCGGTCAGTTGTGGAACGGATGAGGAGGTGTGATCTGAGGTTGTGCGGGAAACTCACTCAGGTCTTTGGATGGTGGAGCAGCGTCCTTGGGACCTGATGGCGCGCCGTTTCTTCGTGACATTGTGAATGATTGGGGATTTTCGTGATGTCGTCGTTTGTTGTGCGGTTAAGGCAACAGAAAGGGAAGCAGGAGGTTAGGCTGTTGAAATAGCAAGATATGTCCTAGAGAGAGGACAATGAGGAAAGGGTTTCAGGAGGAGAGAGCCCTAGGATGCTTCAATAACTCTGTCTGGGAGGAAGGAGGGGTGGTAATGGTCGTGGTAGGAGGTGTCGCGGGATGGGTTTGGTGTGTCTTTGGTCAAGGTGTGGAAGCGGGAATTTGGAGAAGTTGGTTGTGGTTGTTCCTAAACGTCATCAAGCCGCAGCCAGAAGGAAACACAAGCCACACACAAACCACGGCTGTTCTCTGTCTTCCTCGTGATCGGAACAAGGATGTTGCTCATGGGTTAGCACGCGCGCGCTCTTCCTCCCTCTTCCTTTAACTAATCCCTTCTCTTCTCTATGCGCATATTCGGCAGTGCGATCATTGGCCCAGCGTTCCGACTAATTATAGGGCTCTCTCATCATGGTTGCGTAGATGCTTTATGAGCAGTACGTACCTACGAGGTCGTTTAGAGAAACCTTCTTGGCCGAACATTGTTGTGATGGCGACTCACCCGTGAACAGATTCAATCTAGACACATTATCCTGATCCATCTGAACCATGATTTACAAATGACAATCCACACGCAAAACCTGTTTGCATAGGAGTTGAGGCATTTGATGGCGGCGTCTAGGTCTTGTATATGGCTCAGACTGGAGCTCATTACATCAAGGTAGTTGCCTATACGATGTTCTCAAATTCTAGTTTAATGGCACTGTCTCGCCGGCGTAGAGAAGCCAATGATACTCAAGATCACATATCTTCAAGACCTCACTAGACAGCTGTAATAAATCTTATCGGACTTGACATTGGTATAAATTGGATCCTGGCTTTTTTATGTGACAATCGACACTGCGCCCAAATGCCATTGGTGCCTTCAAAGAGAACCATGAAAAGAGTACAGAAGAGCAACCCATCCCATTTCCTGAACGCCGTAGGAGATCGCGATAGTATCGGTGGAAAGCCAGCGCTTCTACCACCAAATGCGTCTTCAATCGTGACAATATCGTATGGCAGACATTTCGACCGCAGCTTAGAAGCCTCGGCCACGTCCACCGAAGCCACCCCTGCCACCACCACGGGGTGCTCCCCTCGAGAATCCTCCGCTACCACCACGGCCGCCACCACGTCCGCCTCCGAATCCACGAGAACCACCGCGTCCACCACGGTCGCCGAAACCTCCCCTTCCTCTTGGTGCGCCACGACCTCCACGGCCTCCTGCTCCTCGTGGTCCGCCACGTCCGCCGGCTCGCTTAGGCTTAGGTGCACCCGGGGGTGCCTTGGGCTTAGGAAGGAACCTATTCTTGAATCAGCGAAATCGACAGGTTGGTGGTAGCATCCTGACTCACCTGTCAAGAGGAAGGAGTTTGTCACCTCCGATGAAAAACTTGTCGCCTGACTTGAATGATCCTGCCTGGATGCCTTCTTGTGGTTTGATCGTGAAATAGACTTGGTTGAGCGGTCCAAGGATCTCATCGACCTTGCCCACAGGTGTCTAGTTCGAATATCAGCTTCTGTAGAGACTCAATCGCGTAGAGCGTCCTTGCTGACCTTGTTCTCGAGGTAGATGGGTGCGTTGAAGTATGGGATCTTGGTATTTATGGATTCGCAAAACATTTCGCCCTCGCATGCATGCACAAAGGTACCCATTTCTTTCGCGGCCTGTCAGCTTTGATCAAATACTATTCGAATGCGCACGACTTACCGAGCACTTCAGCTGGGGGACCGAAAGATTGAGACGCTCCGCCGCGACCTGCAAAAGTTAGACCTCGCTCTACATAGCTCCTGATCTGCCAGCTGCGTACCTCCACGGGGAGCAAATCCACCTCGTCCTCCTCCAAATCCACCGCCACGACCTCGGGGTGCACCGCGAAAAGACATTGTGTATTGATGTGTTGGTTGCGCGCGCAATTGCTGTTGGTAGGGCTCTAGTTCCGTTTTTTCAGAAAATCTTCCCAAAGCTCGAGCCCGGCGTTTTATTTTTCCAACCACCGACCGCCAAGAGTTCTTATAGTGGGATGGTAAAGTTAAAGTTATAGTGGCCCCAGTGGGATTTCTACATTTGAGTCACATTGAACAATTAATAAGGCCTAAAGATTGGCACCTTGTGTTCTTTCCTACAAAGCCGATCGATTCCTGTGGTCTGGTCAGCAATTCAGCCCTTGCATGTTTTGTTGAACCGTATCCTCAATTGACTCAGAGTAGTGTTACGATATATATCTACCCCACCATCAACCTCGAGACCCACGACCATAATACCAACAAAACATGGCGGACGCAGTCAAACAAGCCGTCGAGGGTGTCGTAGAGAATGTCAAGAAATTAGCCGTATCGAACGAGGAGAAGCCACAGAAAGAGAAGAAGGAGAAGAAGAAGAAGGGCGGAGAGGCTGCAGATGGCCGTCCCTTAGAGTTGAAGCCCCAAGCGGCGTTCATTGACCACCGAATCCAGATATTGTGAGTTACAGAAATAAACACCATAATTTTCAATTTGCTGATTTATGACAGCGAGAAGCTCAAGGCGAAGTATGACGAGGAGATTGCCCAAAAGCCCCGCGGTAAGCAGTGATCTCCTGCAGCAGCAGTATCTTTGCTCTAACGTATAATTTGCGGAACAGAGGATATCACGGTCACGCTCGGAGACGGTAAGACTATCATCGGAAAGTCATGGGAGACGAGCCCTGCAGAAATCGCCAGAAACATCAGCAAGAGCTTGTTTGAGCGCACGGTTATTGCGCGCTTGGATAAGGGAACTGAGAACGAGACCCTTTGGGATTTGGAACGACCACTGGAGAAGAGCTGCGCGCTAGAACTTCTGCCATTCGAGGATCCAGAAGGAAAAAGGGTTTTCTGGCACTCCAGTGCGCATATCTTGGGAGAGGCTGCTGAACGTCGTTTTGGCTGCGACCTTTGCATCGGTCCCCCTATCGATGATGGATTCTATTACGAAATGGCCTTGCCAGAGAAGGCTGCTGTTGAGACCACCGATCACAAGCCTCTTGAGACCATTGTCAGCAGCATTGTCAAGGAGAAGCAAGTGTTCCAACGTCTCAGCCTATCCAAGGATGATCTCTTGGAAATGTTCAAGTCAAACCCATACAAACAGCACATCATCAAGGACAAGATCCCTGACGGCACTTTCACCACGGTCTATCGAAACGGTCCCCTTATCGATCTTTGCAGAGGACCCCATGTTCCCCACACTGGACGCATAAAACAGTTCAAGGTCATGAAGAACAGTGCCTCGTATTTCCTCGGAGACGCCAACAACGACAGTCTTCAACGAATCTACGGCGTCTCATTCCCAGACAAGGATCAAATGCAGGCGCATCTTAAGTATCTCGAGGAGGCCGCCAAGCGTGACCACCGAAAGATTGGTAAGGAACAAGAGCTCTTCTTCTTCCACGAGTACAGTCCAGGTTCTTGCTTCTTCTTGCCCCATGGCATGATCATCTACAACACACTTCAAGCCTACCTTCGCCAGCAGTACTGGGTACGCGGATATCAGGAGGTCGGATCACCGAACATGTACAACTCAGCGCTTTGGAAGACCTCTGGACATTGGCAACACTACGCAGACGATATGTTCACCTTTGATGTAGAGAAGGAGAAATGGGCCTTGAAACCAATGAACTGTCCTGGCCACTGTCTGATCTTCCGACACCGCGAACGAAGCTACCGTGAGCTTCCCATCCGTATGGCCGACTTTGGTATTCTCCACCGAAATGAAGCCTCTGGAGCATTGACAGGACTTACCCGAGTCCGTCGTTTCCAGCAAGACGACACGCACATCTTCTGTACGGAAGACCAAATCACTGAAGAGATCTCTGAGCTATTCGATTTCTTGAGGGAGGTCTACGGCAAGTTTGGCTTTACCTTCAAGCTCAAGCTTAGCACGCGTCCGGAAGGCCATCTTGGAGCCATTGAGACCTGGAACAAGGCCGAGTCTAAGCTCACAGAAGCTCTTGATAAGTTCACTGCTGAGGGAGGTGATAAATGGGAACTGAACCCTGGTGACGGTGCCTTCTACGGACCCAAGATTGACATCACCATCTCCGATGCCCTGAAACGTGAGTTCCAGTGCGCAACAATCCAGCTCGACTTCCAGTTGCCAATCCAATTTGAGCTTGAGTACATGACCTCCGAGGTGGCCACAAAGCCCAAGGAAGATGCGAAGGCCAAGGATGAGACTGTCGAGGTCGCCGATGCCGGCGAGGCCAAGAAGGACGTCAAGAAGGTCAAGGAACCTCAGCCTGGATACGCCCGTCCTGTTATGATCCATCGTGCTATTTACGGATCGTTCGAGCGATTCATTGCGTAAGTATCAAATCCTTTCCAAGATGCGAGCATAGAATAACGCCATGATAGCATTCTCACAGAGCACTTCGCGGGTCGCTGGCCTTTCTGGATCTCCCCTCGCCAAGTCATGGTCATTCCAGTCATGCCTGCAGTCAATGATTATGTGAAGGAGGTTCAGAAGAAACTGAGAGAACAGGGTCTCCATGCCGACATTGACATTAGTGGAAATACCATGCAAAAGAAGATTCGTACCGCTCAGCTACAACTTTACAACTTCATCTTCGTCGTTGGTGCTGAAGAGAGGGACAGCCAGGTAAAGTTCCAGCGATCGTGTTCCATTGATATTTGACTGACGATTCCAGACTGTCAACATTCGCAACCGTGACGACCAAGGTACACAGCAGCGAGGCGAGATCATTCCTCTTGCCACCGCCATCCAGCAGTTGACGGCCTTGCGAGACGAGAGGAGATTGGAGAACAAGATCTAAGCATGATCACAGGTTAGAATGCTTGTTGGTATCTTCTTGAAGACGAAAAGAATCTTCAAGCCGGGAGATGTTGAATTTTAGGGTTTATACGTTTATTCACCAATGAGGTCATGGGAAGGCGCTTCGGTGGAAGGAATGACAAAATCAGTGAGTGCCTAGGTAGGTATCTTACAACCAGTTCCATTGCTGGAAATATAAGGGAATAAATTACTTCTACATTTGATTAGTCCCACTACTTGGTCCTCGTTGTCTTTTGGTCCTTGACCCTGGCCATTCTTCACTACCCACCTGCTCCATTTAGCCATACCAATGGAGCAATCATGCATCTAGTAAGAGATAAATTGCCAACCACGCATGCCTAATTCACAATACCCTACTCGTCCCAAGTCCTACCTGCAGCAGTAAATTCAAGGACTTGCTCCATACTCTTCTTCCAGGGAAGGTACAGCAAGTGAAATGACAATCAATCACTACACAGCACACTAAAGTATGGCCTCGACTTCTTTTAGTCGATGACCATATCAATCATACTTACCAGCATGTCAACCTCAACCGACCACAGCACAACGAAACATCTTCGTACACAGCTTTCCACGCGAATATCCAGCTTCCTTTTACGACCTAGTCTCTCCCTTCGTAAATGCAAAAGGGCACATTCCTGCAGATCCATTACATGACAATGTTCGCTAGAATCATCCTTCGCTCCAATGCCATTTGAGCTTATCAGCAACAAGCATGAACGCGCGTGGCTTGTTATTCCCGCCTCTCGCATATACTGCGTCATGAACAGGGGGTTGTCGAAAGAAAAAGCACTTATCATTACGTCCGCCCGTTTGGGAAGCTCATGATTGCAACGCAGATATCGATCTGCATGTGGAGAGGTGCATGCAGAGCTCGTTGCACGACAGGGCAATGCATATGCCAGGATAGGGATGTCGAGAGGAGTATTAAACAATGTGCTTTGCCTGTCGAATTTTTCTTAGAGGTGCAGAACCCTTCAATTGAAAATTGTCTTTATTGTTCCCCATGCCTCCCCATTGTGAAGTTTTCGAGTAGACTTTTAGCATAGCAATTGTGATATCGAAATGGCGCAACCTGCGGCAGCGTTTGCACTTGACGGTGGTGACCCTCGTTTGAGCGGCACAACCAGATTGACTGAGAGGAAACTGCATGATCCCCTGTATGGTTGATACGCAACCTCCATCGAGTGTTTCTTCTATCTGACCTAACACGAAGCATTACGTTCGAAGAATACGTCTACTTCGCCAAACTTGAACGAGAATACGAAAAGTCGCTTCCATCGAGTGGTCAATACACTTCGTTGAAATCGGTACTGACCAGGACAACGGCTACACGGACTGTCGACATCAGTAGCCTAGCCGCTGATGGAGGTGCCACAAAGGCGACAGAAGCCGGCGATGCGTCCGCGTCCAGTGCTCTCGTCACAGATGATGAATGGCACAACGCTTCACGTGCCATGCGGACAGCTACCTGGGGAGCTGTATTCTACTTGATCACGACGGATGTTTTGGGTCCCTACTCGGTGCCGTAAGTCCTACTCATGCTGGCATCTTGCTATCTAGATTTGGATACACGCGACTGACATTCAGAGCAGCTGGGCACTGAGTCAAATGGGATATGGACCAGGAGCGGTCCTCTACACAATCTTCGGGGCTCTAGCTGGCTAGTAATACATCCCTACTCCTCTTCATGTCTCCAAAGACTCTGGCTTACCCTTTACAACTAGTACTGGCTACCAGATCTGGCGCATGTTCCTCCTTCTCGACTCGTCGCGATATCCACTGAGCTCCTTCGGCACAATCGCCTTCAGGATCTACGGCTCCTGGGCCCGCCACATTGTCAATGTACTGCAGACGCTACAGCTTATCTTCAATGTAGGTTTGATTGTGATATCCAACGGTCAGGGGCTCTACCAGATCCAACCCAAGATATGCTACGTTGTCTGCTGCGTTATATGGACCGTCCTCGGCATGGTTCTCGGACAGGTTCGAACGCTGCAGAGAATGGGCTGGCTAGCCAACGTCGCCATCTGGATCAACGTCGCAGTGATGATCCTTACAATGGCAATGGTGACCCGTAGCTCTCCCAACTACACCGCGTCGCTCAACTCCAACGGCCGAGGCGAGGATGACGGGCCTATCCGCACCTACGGCTCCGCGCCCCCTTACTCGGAGGGCTTCAAGACGGGCATCTCGGGCCTCATGCAGGCGGTATATTCGTACGGTGGACAGCTCATCTTCTGCGAGTTCATCTCCGAGATGCGGCGGCCGCACGACTTCTGGAAGGCGCTCGTCATCGCCGAGGCCTTCATCACCGCCGTTTACCTTTTCTTCGGCATCTTCGTGTACTCGTTCCACGGGCAGTACGTCATAAATCCAGCCTACCAGGGCCTGTCGTCGCAGGTCGCCCTCAAGGCAGGCAACATCCTTGGCCTGACGAGTGCACTGCTGGCCGCGGCGCTGTACTCCAACATCGGGATCAAGGTCATCTACTCCAACGTCCTCGTCGAGGTGTTCCGCGCGCCTCCCCTATCTTCCAGGGTCGGGAAACTCCTCTGGGTGGCTCTCGTCCCACTATACTGGTCCCTGGCGTTCCTGCTCGCAGCATCAATCCCGAACTTCCCCTACTTGTCCGGCCTCGTGGCTGCTGTGTGCATCCTGCAGTTCACGTACACGTTCCCACCTCTGCTGATGCTAGGTGCAGATATCCAGTACCACGCCATACAGGAGGGTGAGGGCTTCGACCCAAGAACGGGAACAACCACGAGGAGGGACGGAGGCTGGACGCGGTGGAAGAGGGGCATCAAGACGTACTGGTATGTGAATGCTTGGAACCTCGTGCTCGGGCTCGGTGCATTGTGCACGGCGGGATTGGGCGTGTATGCGAGTGTGGAGGGATTAAGGGCCGCCTTTGCGGTGGGCAGGAGCACGAGCTTTAGTTGTAAGGGGCCGTTGGGGAGTGGTTGAATTGTGAAAAGTGTTCGGTAGTTTTGTATACAGTGTTGTTGTTCGCAGGTGGAGGTGTCAACATTACTTCCCCAACCACTGACAGCTGACTTCGGAATTTACATACATTTGTTTCAGTGTCGGTAGCCATGGCAAATAAACGAGAGTGGGTGTACCACGCTTGACCTTCTTACTGTTCTAGAGGAGTGTTGGAGCCTTTTGAGTGAGAGAGCCGAAGGATTTAAATTGTGTCAACGTCGTCACCTACATGTTATTATCCCGTATGTATGAGTACCACAGTTCCATCATAATACCAGCATATATCACAATTATGATTGTAGATCAATACGAGCAAACATTTAAAACAAACAACATAAGCACAAATAATTCAAGGATGCCTATTCTAGAATACAAACGCACGTAAATACTTGACGATATATAGTTGATGAGATGGAGATGTATGGTCTATCAGGGGGGTATTGAACATGCTGAAGAATAGACAGTAACATGAAACCCAGAAACATTGGGCGGTTAAAGTAATGAAATGAAAAGACAACGCTATAGAGAAAATCCCGACCTGGCTATGAGATTTGAAATATTGGCATGATCACATCAGCGGCATCTCAAGAGTATTGATGCTTACAAAAGCTCCTTTACCACTTGTACGTCCTTCCACTGGAGTGCACAAGAGATCGGCGTCTCCTCTGAGGTTGAGGCTGAGGCTGAGGCTCAAATGAGGGCGAGCCTGGTGCCGCGGACGACGAAGATGATACCGAAGACGAAGATGATGATTCAGACGCAGGAGGCCCTGTCGGCACCGCGCCCGGCTGCGTAGCTTCCATCTGTGGGGCACCCGTAGTCTGCGTGCTCGACAGGGCTGAACTCTGAGAGCCTGACGGGGCTGGCATGGTCGAGTTGCCGTTGCCACCCTTCTCGTACCAGTACATATCGTAGATCTCGAAGTAGGACTCGCGGAACTTCTCTGGGTACTTCGAGACGTAATCGTTGCAAGAGCCAACGCCCGTCTTCGCCGCACAGCCGCCTGACTCCCACTCCTTGCCGGCCCATTGACCGCAGAATGCTATGTTGAAGATGATTCGCATATCCTTGAAGCGTTGCTCGAAATCACATTCCGTGCTGGTGAACTTGGCGATGGGCTTGCCGAAGGTAGAGATGTCCGGGGACTCCCAATTGATCTTTTCCGTGTCGGGGAAGGGAATGAACCATGTTGTGATGGACTTGGACAGGATCTCTGTGGCCCAGGCTCCACCTACGTTATAGTTGTAGTTTGCTCCGTATGTAGGAGGGTTGCCACCCGGGGGTCTTGTGATGTTCTCCACAGTGAAGTTGGAGTTCAAGTCTGGGAAGGTAAGGTTATAATTCCCTGGAAGGGCCTTGATAGAGCAGCCCACGTTTTTGCCCTGATCTGCCGCGTTAACATCGCAGTCTTTTGTGGCCAGATGACCCGAGAAGCTGAGATCTTGTGTGTTGCCATTCGGACTGGCGTTGGGATCGCCAGAGGTGCTGTTGTCGACAATACACTTTTCCGAAGTGTGAAGTGTTACGGCATTACGGTCAAGGTCGTTGACGCCCTCGAGGATGTCGATTTCACCACCCTTGGGCCATTCCTCCTGTCCAAGAAGCCAGAATGCAGGCCAGGAACCGCATTCATTGGTTGGCATGTGGGCAATGTCGGCAATCAGAAGACCTTGGTTGAGGTTGAAGTTGCCTTCCACTCGCACTGATTCACGGCCTTTAGGGTCGCTGTTCATGGAATCGGCTCCTAGGTAGACTGAACCAGTATCATCATAATTGGCGGCTAATTGCAAATCGAAGGCCTTCTCCTTGGGCAAGTACTGTACGTGTCCTTCTGTCGGGTCTGGGCCTGAATAAAAATTGAAGTGCTCCCAGAACTTGTCGTACGACATGTTTCTCTGTATTGAATATCCTGAGCCACCATTTTCCTGAGCTACCGTGACGGATCCTAGGGAAAGAAAGGCGGCCAGCGCCGTGTGGGGTCTTCTAAGGATGTGCGGATGCATGGTTGCAGAGTCGAAATATTGGCTGGTATAAATTCTCTTGTAGTAGATCTAGGAGCAGTGTTCGAAATGGAAAAATGTTTCCGATTTACGCGCCAGAACTTATGAACAAATAAGGATAGTGGCGAGTATTGTGCAGCGATGGACAATACAAAATGATCGAAAGCCGATATGCAAATTTTCGAAAACAATAGCTATTGTGCAACTGTGAAGGCACTACTATTGGTCAACTCTAATGGTGAAAGAATGGATGGTGAAGGGAGGAGAAGTGAAATCGCGGTCAACACGCCTTTGGGAAGAAGTGAAGGGAGCGTTCGCGAAGGAATGCGGTCGTAAAGTGAATGGAAACGTCGATTTTGCAAACACGCGAGACAAAACAACAAGACAAAGATGGAAGAGGAAATGGGAGAGCGCGAAAGAACGACAATGGATGGAATTCTGGTCTTCATGTTCAATGGATGCCTTACTTATGGTTGTTGCATCTCAACTGACCAGATCGAGCAATTGTGTAGTTGGATACTCGCTTGCCTCTGATTGGCCGGTTTGCCCCCGGTCGTTGTTTCATTCGACAGAACACACGTGTAGACGCCAGCCTGTCATCCAATCGTCGTCACTCTGAGCCTCATCCTCGAAACTTGCGCTCTTGGACAACTCTCCAAGCCGCGTCGCACCAGATCCTCTTACCAAGATCGTGGCCTGTCCATCTGTTCCTCCATATACTTAATACTTCGTCATACGTATCTACCATCCTTTCCTTTTCAATTCGACCACGATCTAGGCCACAGTGTGTACATTAGTAGTACAATACATACCTACATACCTACCTACCTCGTAGTCATAGCATGTAAGTACCTACATACGGTAATTACACGAAGAAGATCGATCGAGCAGATAGAACACAGACGGAAGCATGGATCTAATCATAATGTGGCAACAAAACTATCGAATTTTCGTCATTATCTTCCTCTTCGCTACCAGCAACCCCCGTAACTAACGAGCATGGAATAAAATAAGCAAATTTAGAGCATATATGCATAACATGTCATTCGACATCCAAAGGTGTTCCTCTCGTCCAGAGACTAACGCCCTCCTGTCCCTGTTCCATTTGCGTCTAACCCTCGCTGGATAAAGAATACAGACGTGGAGAATCGGTAGAAGTAGTGGACACCTGTGACCGGCTACGATGCGTCGATCCGAAATCATTATCTAATGTGCAAACTATGTTGTCGGAAAATAGGATTCCAGCACGGCATGCTTATTTCAGCTTGCCTGCATCCTTGGCCTCTTTGACCTGTTCGAAGACCTGGCAGTCCGTTAGTATTGGAACACTTTATCAGATTGAACCGGGCTGAATGAAAACATACCTTTAACATTTTTCGTCGTGCACCCAGTGCGTTGACACCGCGCTTCTCAAGACCCTCATCATCCAGCTCGATCAATTCGTGCCATTTTAGGTCTTTCAGGTTGTCGGTGTACTTGTGTAGACGGAGACTCCTAAGCCAGCTTGGGATGTCTTGGAGGAGGGTGGGATCAGTAGGGTCCTCCGGAGGCTTGGATGAGCCACGTCGACCCCTTGGAGACCTTCCCCGGTTGATCTCACCGTGGTCGGAGAGATAGCCAGGATGAGATTCACCGGGTACGCCGAGGCCGAACTGGCTGAGAGTCAACCCGGCCAGGCCATTGTTCATGAGAGGAGAAGATCCGTAGTCCGCCGCTAAGAAGCCGTTGTTCTGGGGTGATGCGAAGTTCATAGCGCCGAGACCCTGTCCCTGCATGGCGATACCGGGGGAGTTAGGGCGCGAACGATGACCTTGCATAACGGCGAGCTGTTGAGCCTGCAGAGCGGCTGCTTGCTGTGGGGTGAGAACCTGGGGAAAGTTGTTAGTCATGAGGCGATCAGCATTGGGAATTGGGTACCTACAAGACCTGGAGAAAGGGGAACATTTCCAGCTCCACCCTCTGAGGACCGAGCTCGGCGGTACTTCTTGACATCGTCAAGTTGGATACGGTTGTTAACGGTAGAAAGAGCAGCCAATTTCATGGCCGTAGCATTGGCGACCATATCGGCCTGCGTGGCCGATTGTTGGCCAAAATTGCCTACCATTGGCGTGCTCAATTGCGAAGCCCAGCTGCCACCTGGGGCATAGGATGGGGAAAGCATTGGCATGTTGGCAGCATTTGGATCCGGAGCATTAAGTGTGGTTTGTTGTACATTGCCGCCATCGCCAGAGAGAGGCAGGCGAGGTGAGCGCAAGCCTGCGGAGGGAGGAGGCTGAGAGAACTGACCCATAGGCTGGTGTTGACCCGAAGACTTAGGACGCTGGCCTTCATTCCACGGTGAGAGTGGTGCAGCGTTTTCCTTCCTGTTGTTCTCATCGGGGGCTGAGATGATCGGGGCAACCAAAGAGCTGCGGTCTCCTACCGTGCTGTTGCGATTGGATGCCGGTGCCAGGCCTGTGATGTCGGTGAACTCGGCCTTCTGCTTGGCGATGGCAGCAGCAGCGTCTGGGAACATGCGGTTGATCATCGTAGTGTCCAGGCCGGAATTGCGCTTAGCACCAGGGGACGGAGGTGGGCGGCCAATTCCTACAGAGCTGCGGTCTCCCGCAGTCAATTTGCTCATGGCGTCGGTCAACTTTTGAGTCATTGGATCTTTGAAAAAAGTTAGTGAGACGAGAACAATTTTCTAAACCATCAGAGAGAACATACCCTTCTCGCCAAAATTGGCTGGAGATAAGACACCCGACATGGGCAGGCTCTTGGACATCTGCTGCAGAACCTGGATGAAGAAGCGAATCTGCACCTGAGTGGTCTGCTGAAGCAGAGCGTACAAAGCAGCGGTCCTCTCAGCCTCGCTCAGTACGCGGAACCATTGTTCGATGGCGCTCAATTCGTCCTTGAAGTCCTGGTCCAAGGTGGCCGTAGCCATCTCCTCGAGAGTGACCTCGTACTGGTCAATGTCTGCAAGCCATTGCTGAGCAGCACGTTCCATTTCGTCCGGGTTGCCAGAGTTGGTGTTGTTCCGTCCAAAGTAGATCTCGGAATTGGGACGAAGGCCACGATTCGTGAGAGGAGAGGAGAAGCCACCCATGTCGGCGGAGGCCCGCAAGTGGTGACCAGCGCCGATGGCGCTGCGGCTGTTGGGAGGACGGAGAGAGCTAGACCCTTCAGGGGTGCTATTCCTGTTGGCAGCGTTCAGACCGGACGACATGATGATGGCGAAGTTGGATCGACGGTTCGATGGATTGAGGGGTTTAAATATGTGGATTCTGGAGGACAAGGATAAGTATCATCAAAGTGAGAAGTCCGGTTGGATATTGAGGGAGGTAATTATACGGCGGGCGAAAAGCATACAGTAAGTTTCGTGGTAAATGAGACGATCTTCAAGAGGTCGGGATGCGATCGAACTCTCCTGCAGTTCCTGCTGACCAGGAGTTCGCTGGGTGGATTGACAAGAGACGAGCGTGGCTGAGAGAGCAGAGCAGCAGAGTAGGCAGGCAGGCAGGCGGACGAATTGAGAGGGACCTCGGCGGCAGTGGGGATCGGAGGAAGAGGTCGACTCTGGCTGTACGATGGGCGCGCAGCAGTAAGAAGAGCGATCTAAAATGCCAAAGTGCAAAAACGAAGGGCGAGAAGAAGGTGGAGAGGAGGAGTGGGACGGGAGAGAGGGGAAGAGAGAGAGAGGGAAATAGAGGACAATGAGAAGCCCTTAGGCAGTGAAGTGGAGGAAGAAAAGAGGAAGAGGAAGAGGAAGAGGAGAGAAGAGAGAGGTATTAGTTAGTGGAAGGTAACTAGAGAAGTATTGGATTGGCTGTAGTAAGAGTAGTAAGAGAGTAAGAGTAGTAAGAGTGTAAGGTCCAGTCCAAGACTTCCCAGGGTAAGAAAGACTTAAGGTAAGAGAGTGTGATTAAGGATTGGGAGGCTGGCCACTTTGGGTTTAGCGGCTGAAGGGGAGCGGAGGAAACGAAGACCGTAGCTTCGGTCTCGAAGGAACAAGAACAAGTTACGAATAATGACCATCCAGTCCGCAATCAGGTACCTAGTTATTCGATATATCCAGATACCAGATACCCTATTTCCCTATTGTCTCTACGGAGTACAATTTTACTATTATCCTCAATAGACACTAACTAAAACCTAGAGACGCTTCTGCCTGGCCCTACACAGTGTATAAAGTACCAGGGAGCAGTAGTGACTTCCAAGAGATGATCATGTTTCAACGAGTCAATTCGTTAACAGTCCGAGTATGGTTGGCCTGTGAAAGTGTTGTCTCTTTTGTTCTACAATACCGGATAGTTACCAAGGTACCGACACCAGTATCAATAACCTAAACTACCCACGGAGTCCCCAACCAATGATTGCTGCCTACTGCCTGTCAACGTCCAACTTCAGCTCCTACTCAGTCCCTTACGATTACGCCACAGAGTGTTGCAATCTATTACGCCACCCAGCTGCAACCAGTACGGTGTTTCCTTCGCCACCATCATCTAGGTACTGTAACTATACCTAGGTATGCAGACACTGAGGCTATGTGCTGAGGGCGGATCAGATGTTACACTACAACGGACTTGGGTCCGTCTATCACAAGAGAGGGAGTCAGTACAAATACCATGTGCCTATGTGTTCCGTATATGTATACCTATTTGAAGATTGAATACGACCAGTATCACAATTGTCGGTGCAACTAACCAGACTCCTCAACGCTACCATCCCAAAACGAAAAGAAAACGCCCAAATCATCAGATGAGTTTCCATCAATTATCATACAATGCACTGTGCCCTTTCCCTACATGGTCCTAGTCTGGAATAAAACTACTCGTACCGTACCGTACTAACTGCTTGTACAATACCCTTAACCGTCTTCTGTCTGTCGTTGCTTATCACAGGTCGGGTCTGGCTTATTTTCTTTTACCCTGGACTCCACACTTGGACCCACCATGTTTCATCTTCTACGCTCTGCCACCACCACCACCACCTCTGCCACATGGGGATGGATGGATGGATGGATGGATGGATGTACGGATAGACACTCCTCGATCGACTGACAGTCCTCTCCTCTCTCTCCTATCCCTACTCGTAACGCAATCGTTGCCCAGTCTCCGTGCGTGCATCATCCTTCTAACCAACCCCCATTCACCGACGACCCATAACCACCGTGCCACCTCCACCACCTACAAACACCACCCGCTGCAAAAACGGACTCTTCCAAAACCCTACGTTCCCTTTCCCCATACACAAGATCCGCAAGTATTGATCAATCAATCAATCACTTTCTTAAATCTAGCCCCCGATCCCATCCTCCCATCCTGTGACAAAAGACCAACCGTACGGTTCCCGCTCTTGTTACAATCCTGATGCGTAGCGCCCACCAATTGTGCCTTTCGCTCTTTGCGTACGCATGAACTCGCACTCCGGAAATCTACCACTTCGCCCGTTTCTTCTCCCCGTCCCGTTTCTAGAAGCGGGATCCCTTAAATATAATATCCTTCCCTGTTTGCGTTTGCTTGTACCTTTTATTTTTGGATCTGCTTCTGCTTCTCCTCCTCCACCTCCGCCTCTGATCTGATCTCATGTAAATCGATAATTACCCCTCTCCATCTTTGGCCATGGGTTCACGCTCCCCCTCGTCTCCATGCAGACAAGCTAGGGTGGGATAGCTATAGATGGACACGCGTGGTGGTGTGTAACTATGTGCGTGTCTGCGACATAGATTGTGAAAATCCCCGGCACCGGCAACACACATCTCTTCTCCGGGTAGATATTCCCCGTCCAGGAACCGAGTTTCGATTCGAAACCCCTGCCTTTGCCATGCACGATATATACAAGTACACGCACACATACGTAAGGCGCTTAGGCAGGTACCTGACTTGCCTGGTATATCTGTCCAGCATTTGAAGATCTATGCGGAGTTGTCTACGCGGCTTTGCTACTGGTGTTGATATGTGAATCAAATGAGAAAGGATACTTGATCGCATGTGACAGCACGACAAGGTTGAAATAGGAAAAGTGGTGGAATAGTTCGTCCCCCTCATATATGCCGAGTATCATGTCATACCATACCATCAATATCGAGACGCCACCAACAGTAGAAGAATGCTTCAATAGATCAATTCCATCGTTCAATTGTCGATGCCGAGATGTACAGGGTGAGCATGAAACTCTGGGAAATAAAATGATATATTCCTTCCTCATAAGGTCGCCTTACATTAGGTGGTAGTTGGAGGTGCTGAGAATGCGGTTCAGCTCTGGATTCAGATCGCTTTTATGTGTATAATTCGAACCAACCATACTGATGAATGCCATTCGTCTCCTTCGTATGTTACAACTGTAGGTGAGGGAGTTGTTTCCCCAGCTTGACAAGGAACTGGCTTCTTTGCCAGCCCACATAACCGTATTCATCAAACAAATACAACTAGATGCCATGCATGCATATTCAGGTTGATAGACCAAAAGGCCTACCCTCAGCGAAATAATTGGACTTTCCACTCTGGAGGCATTATATCTCCGTCAACTAGATCATCATCGGATCTGTCCTATGATCGCCCCGTTCATCACCGCGGCCTCCCGCTCCCAACCCCCTGCAACCACCGTCTTGCCCTTGTTCAACGGCCCACTAGGCAACTGCGATCCGCGGTTGACGCACTCCCGTATTGAGTCCCGCACCTGGTCCTTCCTCGAACGCAGCGTCCTGGCTGATACCCCGCCTCTCTGCATGATCTCTTGCACTTTTGGCGACAGGTTCGAGGCGAGGGATCGCCAGAAGTAGGATGGCAGAGAAGACGTGTCGAGGGAGCTGAGCAACGGCTGGAGAAAGTTGGTTATGGGCGATCGTGTTGTTGATCCTTCGTCGAGGAGCGGGTGTGATGGGGGCTTGATGGTCTCGAGGAGCGTCTCCAGAGCTACAATGTTCTGGCAGCGGGCCGATACCTCCAGAAGGGTTCGATCCAGCGAAGGCAGTTGTGCTAGTGCTCTCGCAAGGGATGCGAGAGACGACTTGAGCGCAGTCTGTAGATAGTCCTGCAGCGCATTGAGGAGCAATACCGGCTGGAAGTTGTCGATTGTCGTCGCCGAGGACGTGGGCGAAAGCAGGTAGAGCGTGAGCAAGGCAGACGTCGTCCTCGACCTCGTGTCCTCCGTCTGCGAATACGTCGACGCCGCAGACTGCCCCGCAGAGGTGAGAAGTGAAGACATTGAGAATTCCTTGACAACTTGCTGCGCCCGCGACCCTATGCTCCTCTCGCCCGGGTTGACTAGCTCATTTTTCAACGAATTCACCACATTGACCCTGTCCAATCCTTCGCCCTCCTGTCCAGGCCCAGAAGCGGTGAATATCTGGCGTAGCGACAACAATGTGTCCGCAGACCGCACCATCGCCCGGTGATCCTCCTTCTTTGCACCGCCGACCCCACCCAATTCCGACATGCGCACCTCCAGTTGTCTCCCCAGCATCAAGCATCGAGCGACCGCCCTTCCTAGCCTTACGGTCTCGACCAGTCGCTCGGCGGTGAGTCGAACCTGTTCCGCGACCTCGTATCTTTCTACAACTTCCTTCTCCAGCGTCTTGTAGGACTCCGTCAAGCTGGCAACCTGTCCCTCCACCTCGTGTAATATCCTCCCGCTCGCATCTGCATGCTCCCTAGTGTGTTCTAGCAACGGAAGCGCGGACTTGGTCGTCAACGTATCGATGTGCGTGTCGATTTCCTGAACGTCGAAGAGGACACGGGAGAGGGGTGTCGAAAGATCCAGAGGTGTATCCGAGGGGTTGTTCGTCGACAGGACCAGCGTGTTGGCGAACGCTGTGGCGGAGAAGCCGGGGTCCAGAAACGCTTCGTAGTCGATATACGACGGCTCTGAGTCTGCCATGTCTGCTACTCAATGGAATCAACCCGAATCGCAGACACGGATATTATTGTTGTTGATGTTGACGTGCATGCCTTGGCAGAGTGGTACGGCATAGCAAGGGTCTACTCGAGCTGTTATCGATAAAATCAATCCTAGCGCAATCGAGACTCCCGAGCTCGCTGGTTCGTCCATCTCCACTTTCACAAGCTTCCAACGACCACCTCCTTGCTCGGCATCTCCTCTCTATCTTCCTCACTCCCTCTCCCACCTCACATCACAGCGAACTCACGGTCCGGCCTGGTACCGTCCACCAAACCGCCCAATATGCCTCCCTCGATGCCCAGCCCATCGATCCGGATCCCCGTCGAGCTGCTCTCGCAATCCTCGTTCGCGCAATTCGGCACCGTGATCGAGAACCCCGCGCACTCGACGCTGCCGCGCTCCCAGCGGCCGCCCCTTCTCGACACCGTCTCCGCGAACCAGGGCACCGCCGTCAAGATCCTCGATGTCACCCGCATGACGGACCTGTACCACCTGGCGCCCTCCACGAAGCCCGCAAAGGCCGTCATGAACATGTTTGTGTGCGCGCCGCGCGACCTGCGGCCCCACGAACCGTCCGACAGCATGCCGTCCAGCTGGGGGGACATCGACTTCGACGAGGAGGACTACGAGGACGGGGGATCCGAGAGGCAATTGTTCGACGTCCAGATCCTGGAGCGCCATCCCTTCACCACGCAGACGTTCATACCGATGGGATTGTCGCAGGCGGATAAACACACGCAGTATCTCGTGATTGTGGCGCCGACGTTGCCGGCATCTGCCTCGAGGAGACACACGGGTCGCCCGCCGCCGTATCCCACGCCGAAGATCAAGAAGTCGAGGTCGATAAAGGATATATTCGCGAGGGCGAGGCCGTCGCCGTTCACGAACGAGAAGGGACCTCCGCCTAGCCAATTTATTCGATCGCACCCTTCGCAGAGACCGAAGGGGCCGGGCTTGCCTGACCTGAAGAATCTGAGAGCCTTCGTCGCGACGGGGAACCAGGCCGTGACCTATGGTGCGGGAACATGGCATGCGCCAATGGCAGTTATTGGGGATAGACCGATTGATTTCGTGGTTGTGCAATTCGCCAACGGAGTGAGCGATGAGGATGTTCAGGAGGTCATATTGAAGCCAGCTCCGAGCGCGGAGGAGGGAATGGTAGTGTCGGTCGATTCTGACAGATCGGGGAGGGTGCTGGTGAAGGCGGGCGTGGGCTCTGTAAAAGCTAAGCTGTGATAACAACTCACACTATCATATCTATAGCACCAAGAGGATATTGGATGCACACGAAAATCTTGTTGAATAATACCAATGTAATGAATTATAACGCTCTGTAATGTCCTTTTCCCCTTATGCAAGTGCTTCACAGAGCAACCCATGGTATAATACAAAGCAAGATAGAAACAGAAACACCAGTGAGATGCATGCAGCAAATTCAAGCCCCCAATATTCGAACAAAGCTCACCCGCACATCATCTCACAACTTCAACCCTTCGAGCGCCAATTCAACCTCGTCGACCTGCTTTTCCATCTTCTTCTCCTTCCACGTCCTGTACTCTCTCGCGACAACCTCCATGACCTTACCCATCTGCGCGTCCTTGCCTTCCCTCTCCAAATCTGCCTTGACCCTCTTGAAGTTCTCCTTGACAAAGATCTGGTATTCCGACTTGGGCTTCACCACTTTCTCTCCACCCTTCTCCATTGTTGTTGCACCACCACCTCGCGGGGTAGGCTTCGTCTGGACTAACCGCCCCTTGCACTTTCCACACGAATGTCTCAGCGGATCCACGCTCTTGGAATGCCTCTTAAACTCGTATCCACATCCCACGCACTGCCAGACATACTTGTATGCGATCTGGTAGCTGTGCTTCGTCGTGACCTCGACGCCATCATCCTGGAACGCATCGCTGACCTGCCTCGCCCAGGCCTTGAACTCCGCGCCGTGTGGGTTGTTGCGCACATTGGATATCATGAATGTTGTCAAGTGGCAGTACTCGTGGGCTAGAACATTATACAGACGGGAGACGTCGTCGATGACCTTCTCTGCGAGTTCAATGGAGCAATGGTGGTGGATGGTGGTTTTGATGTCTCCTGGGTTTGGTCCTGTCCGAGTGCGGATCTGCTCTCTGCGCCAGTTTGCGCGCCCGGCTGTGGTCTTGAGCGTCTTGGACCAGAGAAGCTGGATACCGCCGGTGGATGTGGTTAGGGCTGCTATCCGACCGGAGGTGATGGTCGTATCGAGCTTAGTTAGGAATGCTTCAGCAAGAGAATGTTTCTGGTCGGAGAAGGCTTTGCGTTGGGCACGGAGCTGGGAGACAGTCGGAGAGGTGCCGGACGTTGGTTTCTTGACCGGGGACTGGGAAGACTTCTTTCGCGGTGAGGTAGATGGAGACGGCAGCGATGCATCACTCAGTTCGCCATCACTATCAATAGAGATACTGTTCGAAGTATGCACACCTTGCTCGAGTGCTTGGAGCCACTTCTGTTTCCGAGGAGAGACGAGAGGTTTTGAGGGGGAGTGCTTATCATTCCAGTCGTTCACAACCTCCGGATTCCAGAATCCATCAAGGCTAGGGCGTAGGTCTGCAGCAGATGGTATCCTGGGCTTTCTTTTTGAGGGCGAAACAAGCTTCGATGGCGAGACTGGCTGGGGAGGCGTACTGGGCCTGGAGACCGGAGGAGCCTTTCGAGGGGATTTCAGTTTCTTGGGGGTAGGTGAACTAAATTCTTGATTAGCCCTTTTTTGTCCTGACTTCTGTCTAGAGATCAATCACGTACAAATATAACATCGCATCCACATCGTCCGAGTGCGAGCTCATGGGACGAGATTTGGGTTCGAGTGATGTGTTACGAGTGGGTGGGAGAAAAACGGAATGTTGAGGTAGCTCAGGTGAGCTTGTCAGATCCACAACATCTTGAGCCCAATCCGAGACGGCACTACTGCCTTTCTGAAAGGGAATTCGGGGTGCGGTTGTGTCCAAAGTCGACTGTGGTTCAGACAATGGTTCAGAATTGCCTCGCTTGTCTTCTTGAGTCTCGTAGAAGACATCCGAATCCGAATCAGAATCATCCTCCACAACAACACGAGTTCGAGCAGGAGTTCTCCTGGTTCTCGCGTCAATTATAGGCTCGTCATCCTCTTCTTCGCTCTCTTCCGACTCTTTCTCCACTACCACCTCTTCCTTTTCCTCTGTCTCATCGTCGTCACCACACCACAAACTCTGGTCCGGCTCCTCGTCCTCATCGAGCACAGTGTCCTCGTCAACTCTGATCTCAATCTTCCCTTCTCTCATCGCAAAGTCCTGACTCTTATTCTTCACCTTACTCCTCGCGACCGTCTTCGCCAAATTCCTGGCATACAGATTGCTCTTCCTCTCACCGAACCCATCGCCATTGTCCAGCCCCCTCACTCGCGCTTTCGGTTCCGGCGTCGCCAGGCTCTCATCGCTTAACCGCCTCAGCAAGCGACTATTGCTCGCGACTGGCTTCAGTATGCGCTGCCTGCGCGGTGTCTGGCTTTGTCCTGCGATAGATGCAGGCACTTTCGGAACTAGAATCAAATCCTCATTGTCCTGCCATGTGTAACGGAGCTCGCGCTTCGTAGGAGATTCGGTTGAGGACTTGCGCGGACTTGAGCGTGTAGTTCGAGATGCTGTGGAGGGAGGTGCGAGGATAGGCGTCTCGTCTGGGCTGCTAGCTTTTCGTAACCGCGCCATGGTCGTAGAGTAATGATATGTAGGCAAAAAGAAATGTACAATTTTCTGGCAATGTTGGTGATGGGACAGGTTGCATGGGTTTGGAAATTTGTTGATTTAGTTGGTTGCGGGGCAACGGCTAGCGCGGAATTTCTTTGGCGGCGGAAGTTGCGTCCGAGGGATGGTCCCCGCAATCTGACAAAGGCTCGGCGTTCGTCAGAGTGAAGGTCCCCACAGATTCTCTTTGTGGTGTTGCTCGTGGGCGCAAGTCCATACACGCTACCTACAAAGTATGAAAACAAGTGAATTGAAGATCAAAAGGAAATGTTCAGTACATAGCATGCTAAGAACACCATACAAGTTTACAAGCCCAGCCCGTTCTAACCGGGGCCAGGATGATCAGAGCGCCATAAAGTAGGAAAAAGATACATCTGCTTCCTCTCTGCCAGAGTTCCATTTCACTCGGTCACTCCAGATATTTCTGGTTTCATTGTCCTCCCCAGAATCCGGTGCTCATTCAGATCATGTCGTGATAAGTTCTGCGCCTCGGTGTCGTAGTCACTCTCGATATATACATCCCCAGTAGCGATTTATGTGAATTTTCTCCCCGTATTCATTCATTTCATTTAAGCCTTGGTCTTCTTGGCCATGGTGTTAAGGGCACTTCCGTTCTTGAACCATTCAATCTGGCCAGCGTTGAAAGTGTGAGAGAGCTTGATCTCGAAGGACTCGCTGCCATCGGCAGGGTGGACAACGAGAGTGAAGGGCTTGCCAACGGCGAGCTCGGTGGCCTTGAGGTCAACCTTGTCGTTGGGTCCAATCTTCTCGTAGTCGGCAGGATCCGAGAAGGTAAGAGGAAGCATACCCTGCTTCTTCAAGTTCGTCTCGTGGATACGGGCGAATGATCGAGTGATGATGGCAATACCACCAAGATGCCTGGGCTCGAGAGCGGCATGCTCACGGGAAGAACCCTCTCCGTAGTTCCAGTCACCAACAACGACCCACTTGATTCCATTCTTCTTGTAGTCACGGGCAACAGCGGGGACGGCATCGTACTCGCCGGTGAGCATGTTCTTGATCTTGTTGGCCTCGCCGCTGTCAGCGCTGATGGCACCGATAAGCATGTTGTTGGAGATGTTGTCAAGATGTCCACGGTACTTCAACCAGGGACCGGCCATGGAGATATGATCGGTGGTGGTCTTGCCGACGGTCTTGATCAGGACGGGGAGGTTCTTGAGATCCTCGCCAGACCAGGCATCGAAGGGCTCGAGGATCTGGAGACGGTCAGAGGTAGGCGAGACGGCGACAGAGACGGAGGATCGATCAGCAGGGGGGGCCTGGTAAGTGTCCTGTCCCGGGTCGTAGCCGTTCTGGGGAAGACCATCGCCAGAGGGCTCCTTAAGCTTGAACTCCTTTCCGTCCTTATCCTTCAAGGTGTCGGTCAAGGGGTTGAAGTTGAGGGTTCCAGCAACGGTCATGGCGACAACGAGATCGGGAGAGGCGACGAAAGAGTGGGTGGCGGGGTTGGCATCGTTACGGCCAGTGAAGTTACGGTTGTAAGAAGAGATGATAGAGTTGGGTTCACCCTTCTTGACATCACGACGATCCCATTGACCTGAGAAAGTTAGTTGGTCCAATAGAAAGCGAAAGAGGTCGGAATTTAGGTGACAGGTACTTACCAATGCAAGGACCGCAGGCGTTGGCAAGGACCATTCCGCCAAACTCCTCGAAGGTCTTCAATTGACCGTCACGAGCAATGGTCTGATATTGAGTCAGTTGAAATCATCCAATCAGGGCCACAGGAATACTTACGGCGCGAATCTGCTCAGATCCGGGAGTGACAGTGAAGAGGGACTTGGCCTTGATACCGTGGGCCATGGCATCTTCGGCAATGGAGGCGGCACGGCTCATATCCTCGTACGAGGAGTTGGTGCAAGATCCGATGAGACCGACCTTGAGCTCCTCGGGCCACTTGTTGTCCTTGACAGCTTGCTTGAACTTGCTGATGGGAGTAGCAAGATCAGGAGTGAAGGGTCCGTTGATGTGGGGCTCAAGCTCGTCAAGGTTGATCTCAATGAGCTGGTCATATTCGGTGCCCTCGTCCTCGCGGAGCTCCTTGGCATACTCACGAGCGAAGTCGCCAATCTCAGTTCGCTTGGTAGCCTGGAGGTACTCATACATACGCTGGTTGAAGGGGAAGACGGAGGTGGTGGCACCAATTTCAGCACCCTGGGCAAGAGGTTAGTTCCAGAACACTTTGATCAACGCAACCGGCTACAGGGAATTAAAATGGGGGGGACTGACCATGTTACAGATGGTTGCCATTCCAGTGCAAGAAAGAGTTTCAGTTCCTGGTCCATGATATTCCACAATGGCACCAGTTCCACCCTTGACAGTCAAGATACCAGCGACGCGGAGGATGATGTCTAGAAAGAGGTTAGCCGATTTTGGTCATAATTGGCAGGTGCGTGCAAGAACACGTGGAAACGCAAAACCAAAAATCAAAGACAAAAATAAATTTGGAACTTACCCTTGGGAGTGGTCCAGCCAGACATCCTTCCGGTGAGCTTGACACCAATGACCTTGGGTGCCTTCAACTCCCAGGGAATGTTGGCCATGACGTCGACGGCGTCGGCACCACCGACACCGATAGCAGCCATACCGAGACCACCAGCGTTAGGGGTGTGGGAGTCAGTACCGATCATCAAACCACCAGGGAAAGCGTAGTTCTCCATGATGATCTGGTGAATGATACCAGAGCCGGGCTTCCAGAAACCGATGTTGTACTTGGCGCAAGAGGTGGACAGGAAGTCGTAGACCTCACGGTTGATCTCGTTGGCGCGAGCAAGATCCTTCTCGTTGCCGACCTGGGCCTCGATAAGATGGTCGCAGTGGACGGTGGAGGGGGTTGCGACTGAGGGCATGCCGGCGGACATGAACTGGAGAATGGCCATCTGTGCGGTGGCATCCTGGCAAGCGACACGATCCGGGCGGAGCTTGAGGTAGCTGGAACCTCGCTCGATTTCCTGACCGTGGGGGTCGTCCAAGTGGGAGTAGAGGATCTTCTCAGCGTAGGCAAGAGGACGGTTGAGGCGCTGGCGGACAATGGCCAGGTTCTCGCTCATCTTCTTGTAGTTGATGTAGTTGCCCTTCTCCCAGTTGGTCATTTCGACCTTGCGGGAGAGAGGAGCATCGCTGACGGTGGCCAATTGCCTCTTGCCAAAGCTCTGGCCGATGCGGCCGAGCCTGGAGAACTTCTGCATTGTGTGCAAAGGTTTGGGGAGAGGGGGGAGGGAGGGTGAGGAGGAAGAGAGTGGAGTGGAGAAGCGATGGTGATGGGGGAGGGTAGGAATAAAAGAAGGTTAAGCAAGAGTTGGTGTCCCTACGCAACAAGTGCGATAACTAATGATGAACAGGTGGGCTGTGATTGGACGGACAACCGTTGCAACGGAAATGCAACCTCGGCGTGGGCAGAGCAAATGGGGGACGGTTAAGAACTTCCCGCGGGCTGCCCGCTGGACCGGCCTTATCCTAACGAGGTGTTTCACGTGCGTTAACTGTGTAGTAACTAGTAGTAACTACTCCGTATGTGCCTCGTAGGAAAGGATGGGATGTAAGAACTTGGGCCACAATCCTAGCGGATGTCCGAAGCGAGTTTGGAATGTAATTATTACAATACGCCTTAGTGTACTCCGTAAGTGCGTATGTATGTATATATATTCGGGAGGAACAAAGACTAGGAGAGAATATGAGATGGTGTTTTGTTCTTGTTATCAATCAAGGGATTGACATAGATATGGGATGGAAGTAGGGACGAATGGGTGAGTGGATGGATGGACGGATGTCTTGTCTGTGTGGGATGGGATTGGGAGGGCTATGTAATGGTGACGGGGGATGAAGTCTTGTCAGCCGCGCATGAAGCGAGAGATCAGAACTGAAGAGACGAATCGCACAAAGTAGTCCCTGGTTAAACACCATGGTGATGATGATGGCCGAGGCTTTGAGGCGGTTCGGCGGTTCGACGGCTATGAGGTCACCGATGAACGAGACAATGCATACTCGGTATGTATGTACATAGTCGTAACTCGTAAGTATCTACCTGTCTGGCTTGTATCTTTGAACCTACCCGATGTAATTGGGTGGATGTGTCTTGACTCTCGAGTACCTAGTAGCTAGGTATAGAAATTGGGTTGTTTTATTGGAGGGCTATGGATGGCATAACTGCCTTGTGGCTGTATACTACTGTGTACTGTGCGTGTCTGCGTTTGCGCTATATCGTGGGCGAGATACGCAACCCCGCCAAACACAGGCCGGCGGGCGATGGAAGGGATTCTAGCCATTGAGAGACGTTTGTTTGGGTGGAACACATTTGACAAGGCATGAGGCATTCCGGCGAGAGAGTTCAACAGAATTACAAAGGTGCATGTCGCTAGAACGAAAAGAGGTGGAAAAGAGGTCTGCAGGTCAATTCTGAATTTCTGATACAACTAGCCCGTCACCACAAATCTCCCCAAAGGACATAGCGCCGTGAAGCAGCGAAAAATCTGAAGTGTCTGCAGGTTGATTTCCAGCATTTGCCCACTCAGTGCCACTCGCACAGACCCGCGCCCAGACCGAGCATCCTATGGATCCATGGATCCATCCGGCATACACTGTAGTAGTATGTACTCGTAACTAAACTACGAGGTAGATGATACTCGTACCTGGGTAGTCAGTAATTATTACCTCTTCCTTTGATTTTTCTCAAATGTAACTATTATTATTGTTATTCCCTCTAGATTACGGACTACATCTACCGCCGTACAGCAATTGACAAGACACAATTAGTATCCGGAGCGCGGCCGACACTTCCCCTTCCCTTCCCTACCCTTCCGTCCTACTTTGCCCCAATCCAAATTCATACAAACCAACAAACCCACTTTGCTGCCCGACCTCAATTCGTCCTCATCTTCATAGTCTTCGGCAATAGTTGTAGGGACCGTACTCCTCCGTTCCGTACATACCTCGTACCAACTGCCTAGTACCACCTACCGCCTTGGAGAGCTCCGCCTGCTCGTGCACTACCGCAATTGCACATATCCGGAGATCCTGACAGCCACACACACACACCACTTCTCATCACACCTAACCCTACCCTACCCTACCCTACCCTATTCTAAGTACCGTTCAATCCCATACCCACAATATGCCTGCCATCCGGGGCGAGAACTCCAAAAAGAAGACCCGCCGTCATACTCGCGATCTCGATCAGATTCACGCTGATCTGAAGTCCGAGAAGCACCTTTCCCAGTACAAAGATACAAAGGCCATCGAGGACCTTCCTGGTCTCGGTCAATACTACTGCAAGGAATGCGCGAAATGGTTTGAGAGCGAGACCAATATGGTCGCCCATCAGAAGGGCAAAGTCCACAAGCGCAGGTAAGAACATTGATGAGGTTGTCCCTCTCTGTGTCTGGTGGAACAGCCCGCTGACTTATGTCCTGTCGTAGAGTGCGACAACTTCGCGACGAGCCGTATACCCAGAAGGAAGCAGAGGCTGCTGCTGGCATTACAACAGATAATGGCAAGCGCACAACGACGCTCATGGACGTAGACGACGGAATTGCAGCGTGAAAAAAGCGCATGGGAATGGGATGCATACTGTCTGGTGTAGTAGGATAAAGAATTTTTGTTTGGTTATAGAAGGCAAAGGGAACTGCACAACGACGACGTCAAGGCCTTCCTCAACATTGGCAGCCAGGCACGATGCATTCTTTCTGCCTGGGACGTCGGCCTGGTTGCCTTTGCCTGGTTCATTTCTGCATCTGCATTGTGCGGCGTTTGGAACGGTGGGAACAAAAAAAATATACAGGAAATGGGACCAATAGATTTCGACAAAAGTTCAATGATACCCCAGGCAATTTTTTTCAATTGCTCAGAATGGCATATACATGTTTCAAATATCTACGACAGTTAACTTTTTTTGGTGGAATCGGGGATTAGGTAGCGACTTTTTTTGGTGCCTGAGCCTGCCTGGTCGCTACCTAGAGTACCTACCGTACCTAGCAAAATCCCGTCGTGCAAAGAACATCAACTTCAATGATATAAAATGCAACACAAACCTTCAATTATATGACCCAACCCACAGACAAGCTCGAACAATATCTCGCATTCCAGGATTAAACCACCCGCACACAAACAATTTCCTACACAAACTCGCAGAAAATAATCATGTCTTTCAAATCCACTCCTCTTTACGGCGGTGCCATCACCGTAGACTTCCCAACCGGATTCGGCGACGCGAGGTGAGTACTCTCCACTTCCCTTTTCCATATCTCGGGAGCCGCATGTGAAATCTCCTCCACATGTTCCGAAACGACCGACCGCGGAAAAGAAAGAGGGAAATCATGTCCAAGGGCTAACATACCGTAGCAACATCCGCCAAATTCCAGACCACCAGGAGGTGTGGCTCGATGCCGATGGCTACTCGAGCATCGTCGTCGACATCCTCGAGTACGTGAACAAGACAAGCGATGAGGAGGCGCTGCAGTACCACTTCCACGACCTGATCGATGGCACGGGTGATAGTACGAATATGCTCGAACAGGCCAGCGCGTCCATGCCCAAGACACCGTAAGTTCTGATCTCTCCGTTATTTTGCGACACTGTGAACCCGCCGTCGTCGTCAATGTCACATGATCAAGCACTTCACATCCTCAACTCCCCCCACTTTCGCATGCATTGTATATCCCAGTCTGATTATGAATACTAATTCGTAAACCCTAGAAACAAACCCGTCTACACTCTCTCTTTCATCCAGACACCACAACCCAACCCCCGGAAGAAGGAGCCCGAGTTCGTAGCCATCCATCTCATCCTCCTCCGTCTCAAGGAGCAGGCCACAGACATCATGGTCACGGTCAACCTCCCGCACTACGCCAACGAGTACGTCAAGGCCGGAGAGGGCGACGCGGGCGTCACGCCGTTGATGAGGAGTGGGGAGGCGGTTGCGAAGAGGATTCTCGAGAGCTTCCAGGTCAACGATTGGGGGCTTTTCGAAGGGTGAAGAGGGGAACGTTTGACGATAGTTGTAGAGGATTCCTCTAGATAGCAGTTTTTTGGATAAAGGGATTTTACGATGAGATCATTCAGAAATAGAAGTTGTTCAAGTCATTGTTGCACTGCATATGTGTTCACTCGCTCATTCACTGCTCGTTCACCACACTTTCACTGCTTGTTCACTACACTTTCACTACACTTGCGTTGCAGATAGGACTAGCAACGTTTTAGAAATCAATAGGCAAGGAACTAAATCTCTTCGTTACATAGCACTGCCTATAAAAAGAGCATTTGATACTTATTTTATTACGCTATAGTTAGTTAAGTGTACCCCCATTCTGTCCAACAAATGCAATCATGTCCTCTACCTATCATCTACGTACACATACACACTAACAACGTGTCCCTCGCCTGAACCTAAATTATACATCCTAACCATTAATGACACAACGATATCTAGCCAGATCTGTCGGATTAGGTAGCCATCTTTCTCGCCCACAAGAACATAGGATTACAGCTCCTTCCCGTCGGGTTCAATATCACGGAATATGAGAAGGACAGTCTATCTTGTGGTATTTACCTCAGTTGAAAAGATATATTTCTAATCTGCTCTTTCTTTTCTTTCTTATATATACTTTTCTACATGTATGTGTATATGTATAGCCTCGATTATACAACAGTGTCTTCCCCAAGCGTAGCGTTATATAAACAGTCGAATATCTTTCAAACATGTCCAGATACATGTTCCCTCCATCCACGAACAATCCATCCCAATCAACCCCACGGCGTTCCTAAAACCCCAACTCAGCAGCCACCTCCGCAAGCGCCTTGACCAGCCCGTCCAGCGTCCCCCTCCTCGTCTTCCCATTCACCACGACCCTGAAGAACTTGCCCCTCTCCCCGGGCGCAAAGTCAATCATGAATCCCCTCGCAATGACGCCGTGCGCCACCGCCGCCGTCACCCGTCCGTTCTCCTCTGCATCCTCGCCCAGGAGACCCCCCCTCGCGAGGTAGAAACACACCTGGTGGCAGGGCACGGGGTCGGGACTGATGGTGAGGAAGTCCGGGTGGTCGTCGAGCAGGGCGAGGAGGTACTCTGCGTTTTGGTAGCCGGTGGCGACGAGGTCGGAGAAGTGCTGGGCGCCGTGGTAGGAGAGGGCGAGGAAGAACTTGAGGCTGTCGGCGCGGCGGCCGCAGTGCGGAGTCAGGTCCGCGAGGTCGTAGATGTCGTTGACGGAGGCGGACGGCGAGTTGTGGAAGAGGTAGCCCGCGGGCAGCGTCATGGCAGACCAGAATTGCCGGAGGTCGCGGCCGAGGAGGAACGAGCAGGTCACTGGGGCGCCGAGCATCTTATGCGGGTTGATGGTTATGGAGTCGGCGAGGTGGGAGCCCGCAAGGCGGGAGGCGCGGTAGGTAGGGTTGAAGACGACGGAACCGCCCCAGGAGCCGTCGATGTGGAGCCAGAGGTTGTGGGCTTTGGCGATGGGAGAGATGGCTTCGAAGGGGTCGAAGGAGCCGTGGACGGTGGTGCCGGCCGTGGCGTTGATGAAGAAGGGCGTTTCGCCTCGGGATTTGCTCTCCTTGACGAGTCGTTCCAGTTCCGTGGGGATGAGTCGCCCGCTGGCGTCTACGGGGACGGAGATGACGTTCTTGGATCCGAGGCCGATGATCTGAGCTGCTTTCTCCAGACTGTAGTGGCCGTGCTCCGAGGTGAAGATGGTGAACCTGCGCCCGCCTAGGCCGTCTGTCTTGGTTTCGGGGTAAAGAGTGTTCCTTGCGATGACCATGGCAGTGCTATTCGAGGCGCTGCCTCCGGGTTGTGATATGCCACCACTATGCTCCGAGTCGAGTCCGAAGAGGTTGGCCAGATACTTGGTCGTATGCTTCTCGACCAAGGTGAGTACGGGCGAGACTTGATATACATGGGCATTGGTATTGAGCGTCGCAAGGAGAAGTTCGGCAACGAGGCCAACAGCATCGGTCGAAGCATAGAGCTTGTCCATGAATCCTTGGTCCCAAGTATTCACCGAATACTGAAGCACTTTCTCTACTAGAGATATGAGCTCCTCTTTTCCACCTCTTTTCTCCGGGATGTTCAACTTCAGCAGAGACTTGAGCTCGGCAGGTGGATGTTGCTCGACGAGTGCCGTTCGCGGTCCCTCTCCTCTTCCTGGAATTGCCAGACCATGTCCGGTGTGTTTTACGTCGGCATCCTCGTCAGCAGCTCGTATGAAGGGAACTATGAGCTCTTGGACAGCAGTGAGGAGCTTTTGAGCTTTGTCAGATTTTTTCCTATTGCATTTCAATTTGCAAAGGTTCACAATTGAAACGTACCTCCTGGACCTCTTCCGCCCGCTTTAGTGGCGGTTCCTGACGGTGGCCATTCAGTGTTTCTTTGACCGTCATGATTCAATGGTGGTGTGATACTTGATTGGATGAGTCAATTTAGAGAAAAAGAAAAAGAGCTAAAAAGTTACAAATAGTTAAATAAGACGACGATCAGAGTCGAAACAGTGATTTGGCTTTCTTAAAATCACACAGGACAGTCACAATCCGAAGATGACGCACAAAGGACTGATACGGACGTAATTGAAGGCGGACAGGGCAGATGTCGACATCGACTCAAGTAATTGCCTACTGATTATTCGAGAAAAAGAAAAACTGCCGGCAGAAAGCCCTCACCGCATCGATTGCCGAGGCCAAAAGGTATCTAAAGTAGCGCGAAAATCAAAACATTTTGGAACAAGCAAACCTCCAGATGCGCCATGCCTTTAATGCTCAGTCAGTCTCTTGATAGCTATGCAGAATCGTACCATCCCAGTTCGTCTTGCTGCTCCTCGCAATGTCTCACTATGTATATATCATTCAGATCAAATTTGATCAAGTTCAAGTCAACACTGGAGCTTTCCCCTTATTTCCGCCGGTCCTACCAGTGTGTTTTGCCACATGCTTCTTCTCTTTGTGGTCCTTCTTCGCCTGTCCGGCTTTTGCCGCCGCGTGTCGTTGTCGAGCCAGCTCGATTGCTGTAAGATGTTTGCCAGGCTTGTTGCCCTTTGCAGTCGGTGCATCTCCGTTGTTCTCAGGGAACGATTGGAATCCTTCATTGCCTGCCGTGTATCGTGATTGTTTGACCCAATCTCCACGTCGTCGCTTGTACAGATCCATCTGCCAGTTCCGCCAAACCGCTCGTCCGACGAAAGACTCGCGCAGAGCAGCTTCATTCTCGGCAAGCTCCTCTGCGATGCGTTCGCGGATGAAAGCGAGCCCATGCGTACCTTCCCATATAGCGTCGATTGCATGAGATCCTGCGGGGTCAAGCGCAAGCTCCCCAATGTGGCCATAGAATTGTTGGATAACTTTTCTTCGGAATATGACAGTCGCATTAGGAGACTTCAATGCCGCCTGGAGCGTGCGTGACGCGATCGGATCCCGGGCAACAATGAGTGATAGATGTGTACCAAGCGATTCGAGCGAATCGAAGATGAGTTTTCCCAACGGGCCAGGAACGGACATCATCGCCTGGGCGAGGAGAGAACCATGGACCTTCTCAGGATGGGAGGCGTCGTGTTTCGATTGTGACTTTTCGTCTTCCGATGGAGTCTCCTGCAGCTTGAGGATCCTAGTGATCTCAAAACCATTGTTGCCACTGTACGCCTTCTCGAGTTGCGCCTTGATGGGCGCTGTGTCAACGTTGCGGACTGCACACCGCTCGATCAGCGTCTTCAGGATAGCTGTACGATTGCGCTCTACCAGGTTGGGGATTTGCTCCGATATTTGGCGGACAGCATCTGCCAAATCCTCTTTGCTCAACCTCTCCAAGATCCTACCAGCAACATATCCCGCAATCTCATTGCGAGCCAAGCTGCCCATGCGCTCCTTGAAGAAGTCGGCGTATATGGCCTTGAACATTTTACCGGGGGCATGTTGAATGATCGTCTCGAGTAACCGCGATCCGATGGTGCTATAAACCAGACCATTGATGAAGGAGGCACTCTCTGTACCTTCGGCGATGGGGTCGTCTGGAAGAAGCTTGTGGATGATCGATGTCTCATCTTTCGCACGCGATTTTCCGAATTTGGTAAGTTCGAGTTGCAATAGCAACTGCAAGGTTGGGTTTCCTGTGGGGTGCTCGGCAAGGGTGCGGAGCCAGGTCGACTCCAAGCTTGCAGCGCTGTCCTTGATCACTTTCTCCAGGGCATCGAGGAAAGATTTCGGGACCACCCTCTGTTCCAAGGTACGTTCCTGCACTTGTTCGCTTCCCGCAACGGTGATTTTTTCCTTCCTTTTGCTTTGCACGGTCGACTTGTTGGCTTGCTTCTCAAGAGGCTCACCAGAGAGCACGATCAAGAAAACGCGCAGGACGTGGGAGGCAAAGCGGTCTGTCATGAGGTATCCCAGGTAACCTTCCAACTCCGCTAGGGTGTACAGAAATAGATTTTCCATCGACACGACGACATCGTTGGGATCGGAGGACGGGGGTGTCTGGGTGAGTTCGGGTTTGGCGACTTCCTGTGTGACGGTAGGTGCAGCTTTGATGAACAGTGCTTCGCAGCAGTGTGATGCAAAGCGATGTTGGACAAGGTTAAGGAAGCTGCAAGTGTTAGTGATGCACGCGACGGTGCGACGGATGTACTCACTGTCCGCTAAATTTTTGGAACAATCCCTTCAACTGCACGGGAGTGGAGAGAAGGATGAGTCGCTCCATGAGCCGCGAGCATGACTGGCTGCTGGCGATTTTCAATTCCTTGCCGTCGGCTTCCTTGTAGACGTTTTCGAGGAATAATGAGCGCTCTTCGGCGTCGGCGAATTGGTTCAATTCGAGCAATTCGTCAGCACGCTTGAAGTACTCCTGCTCGTCCTCGTCGAGCATTCCATAGAAGGGAAGAGCCTCAGGGCGAGTGACGCCATCAATTGCTCCATCTTCGTACTGGTAGTCCTCGTAGTATTCCTCCTCTGCTCCGGTCGTGGGGTCGATGGCGAGTTGTTGGAAATCTTCTTCGGCGTGCTTGGAGCGCTTTGCGTCGGTTTCTTCGTCTTGGTGCTGCTCGCGCTTCCGCTTTTTCTCTTCGTCGCGGCGACCGCGCTTTCTATGTTCCTTGGGCATAATGTGGCAGCGGGCAAGACGTAAAGGAAAGAAAAGAAGAGGAAGGATATGTGTGCGTGTTTGTGTTTGTGTTTGTATGAAGAGGTAGGTGGGTATCAGAGGTATAGTAATGTACGAGTAGTAAGATGTCGGAGCTGGGAGGGGCGCAAATAAAAAAAATATCGACCGAGTCGTTCGGTTATCTAGGAATGGATCTGGTACAAGCACTACTGGTACGTCGGTGCGTACAATAGGGTAGGTGCTAATCAATCGAGATCGATCTTGGGGGGAGCTTGACAGCCGCCGCGCGCGTTGGACCGACCTTGGACTACCACCAAACCAACACCCAACAAGGTATAATTAGACGTGAACTGACCTGACCTGGTCTGACCTGGCCTGATTTTGATCTGATCGGATCGGAGCTGAGCTGAGCTGGGCTTTGTTCGTACCATATAACTCAAGTTATACGTTCTGTGCAGTGCTTCCGTGAACTCTGATTGCTGTTGATACTGCTGTTAGGGCAAGATTATACCTCCACCAGGTAAGAAATTATCAGCAAGGCAAGGGGTCACACGGCAGATGTGGCGAATGAGTATTGGAGAGTCGGGCATCAGAAGATTTCCAGCTGTTGCAATTCAGGGACGGGGAGAGGCACGGGGGGCGAATAAAGAAGATAGATGGAGTTTAGTAGCCGACAATTGGGCACGGCAATTGGAGAGCTGGCAGACGGAAGAGTGCGTGTGTGTGTGTGTGTGCGTGTGTGTGTGTGGAACAGAAGTTAGGCAGCATGCATAATAAGAAAGGGAATTGACTATTGATGCGACGTTCATGTATACAAGTAGTAAATGCTCGACTTCCAACCCATGGCCTAGCAAGAGGGAAAGCCTGGAAAGGGAAGGGAATTGGTGGGCCCCGATCTTGGTGACAGGAAGAGAAGGATACATGGTTTGCAACGATCGACGTTGGCAACTGCAGACCCCGGGCGACTGTAGGGATTCGATAATGTGGATTGTGGAGTAGCTAGGGCGTTTGGCAGTGAATGGGGTTACACGAGGGAGAGGCTGATGACTTTTTGCGCAGGATGGGGATGGAATTGTCCTATCGTATTCGGTGGCTTGACCTTGGTTGGCGAGTTGCAACCGAAGCAGGGCACGCAGCGTTAACGGTCATGCTGTTAAGGGCGGTGATGGTCAAGGTGAATGGAGGATAGGCTCATTGAATGCATTTGGTGGCTTTCCTTTGACGATACTAAATGCTAATTTACCTTAATGATGATGATGACTGCCCCTGTGCCCCTCCAGGTACCTACACAGTAAGCTAAGCTACCACAACGTACACATCATCGTATCCAGTAATACTCACTGTACCGACTATGTGCTGTACTACTACTACCCACACCACAACAACAATCCCATATTCCACCACATATTGACTCTGTACTTTACTGTCTGCTCTGCTCCAGTCTGGACTCTGCTACGGAATACATACCTAGTGCCAGTAATTATCTATTGCTCCCACATACGCACCCCTCCACCCGTTTTCCGTTTCCCGTTTAGCCACCACCACCACTACTCGTACCTCCACCACCTCCACGGCTACATCCTTCCACCCCTCCTCCACCAACCTTCTCGTACATACCAGCTACCTCCGTTCAAAGATCTTGGGCCCCAATGGACCCCATTCGCCTGGACGACACCCGCGTCGCCGACTATCTGGATGACAAGCTGCAGACCCTCGGAGATCTCGAATCCCTTGACGAATTGCTCGCCAACATCCACAAGCAGCATGGCGAGCTCAAACAACAAGTGAGCCACATAGCCCTTCCGCGGCCCGCGACCGCCCATCCCATCCCTCCCTCACGCTGACTGCCAATCCAAAGCTCCACGATGCTCAGCAGGTCTTTGCCGATGCGAAACAGGGCTCCGTCGAGCACAACGCCTCTCTCAAGCAACGCTCCCATGCATTCAATAAAGATCTGGTTGATATAGAAAAGCGTTTGCTCGTGGTCACCGAGTCCGAGACGAGCGAAGAGGCTACCCCTCGCTTCGAAGCCCTTCTTGACAATCTGCACCGGTTGGACGTTGCCAATGCATATCTTGAGCTTCTGAAAGAGGTTGATACATTGAGGTGGGACAGTTCTGATCCTCTCCGCTGATTGCGCGCCCTCTAAGCTGATCACCGCATAGCAATGACGCCCAGTCTAAGCTCCAGACCTCAAACGAAGCCGCATTAGCCCCGTACAAGCAGCTTCGCTCCCTCCACACCCGCCTGATATCTTTGCAAACAGATGCAGAGGGCGCTGCTCCTCAATTGCTACATCATGTAGGCCAGATAACCGACGCGCTGCGGGCCAAAATCCTAGATGCCCTTTCCGCCGATCTGGAAACCGTCCTGAAGAAGATACGCTGGCCCACCCCCAAAGCCACAATTCCAAGTCATCTACAAGAGGAATGGGAGATGGCAGTCACCAAGCTGTTGGATCTACAAACACCAGAGTTGGAGGCTACAGATCCTACACGGGCAACAGGAGATGTGCTTCAGCTCCCCCCGGTGCTATTCCCTCTCGAGGTACTCGTGCAACCGCTAGAGATGCGATTCCGATATCACTTCGACGGCGATAAAGCGACCAACCGCATCGATAGGCCCGAGTATTTTCTCACCCATGTCACCACGCTTCTCGACGATTACAGTGTTTTCGTCGCCGATCACATACAGCCCATCCTTTTGAAGCGGTTTCAAGGGACTGACCTGGCGCTCCATCCGCTTTATATTGACGCATCATCTGCTTTCATAACCGCGGTCTTACCCATGTTGAGAACGAAGATTAGCGCATTGCTACCGAAGGTAGCGAGAGATGCGCAGCTGTTGAGCCACCTCATGCACGAGCTCATGAAGTTCGATACCACAATCAGGGATGAATGGCGCTACGATGGTGGCTTTGGTGTCGAGGGCTGGAACGGTTTGTCTGGGGAATTCCTCGTTCAAGGTGACTGGTTTGGGCGGTGGCTGCAGGTCGAGAAAGATTGTATGGCAAAACCCGCACCTAACCGAAAGACATGTCTGGTTCGATTTCTAACATGCAACAGTCGCACTTGCGCGTTACCAGAGTATTATTGATGCACCGGACTTTGGGGACCTTGATTATGAGAGTGTCGATCCGAAAGCCACAAAGCCCACTAAGGGTGCCATCCGTGTCAACGATCTGCTAGAGACCATTACAGGTGGGCATGCATGCTATTCATCTATATCAACTCGTTTCTGATCACTTTGCAGATCGATATCGTCCCCTGACCTCGTTCACGCTGAAGCTACGCTTCCTGATCGACATTCAGATTGCTATATTCGACAAACTCCACGAGCGGCTGCAGGGTAGCCTAGATGCATATCTCAGGATGACGACCTCAATTGGCCGTGCGGTAGGTGGTATCACCAAAGAAGAGCAGGACAAGCTGCTTGGCGTCGAGGGACTGGAACGTCTCTGCAAGACGTACGGCAGCGCGGACTACCTAGAAAGGGCGATGCGGGACTGGAGCGACGACGTGGTTAGTATTTACTTCCGCAGGGCCTGCAGGATCAGCACCGCGACTAACAGCCATGCAGTTCTTCCTTGATCTGTGGGAAGAGCTCAATGACCGTGCACGGCAAGCAAAGAACATTGGGAACATGACGATCGCCGATGTTGCGGAACGTACGTCAAGTGCCGTCGGCACAGATGGCGATGGCGACGGTGTAGCTCTCTTCGACGAAACGGCAGGCTGGTACTCCCGACTCCGCATCAGCAGTGAAAAGATCATTAGCGACACGTTGAACAACAATGTGCGGGAGGCGTTGCGGGCCTATCGACATATGTACGTATCCAAATCCGGCCGTCTTCCTATGTCGTACCATTTACTTACTTTTTCCGCTCCACAGCAATCCCTGGGCTTCGCTCACTGGACCCTCAGCCTCAACCGGCGCCACGCTGTCGCCTACTGCGGAGCTTGACCCACTGCTCTCCCAACTGACAACCTCGCTGGGCTTCCTCTCGCATGCTCTGGCGCCGGCTCCACTGCGCCGCATTACCAGAACGGTGCTCGCCACCATCTCCAACACGCTTTGGGATAACGTTCTCTCACGCCACCGCTTCTCGACCAGCGGTGCTGCCCAATTGCGAGCCGATCTTGCAGCCATATGTCGGATCATTGACGGTGCAGTCGGGCCAGGGGTAGCCGAGGCCGGATTGAGGAAATGTCTGGAGGGGGTGCAACTCATTGGGCTGCCAGTCAAGGGTGGCAAATCCGAATCTGTTTCTACGCCTGCGGAGGAAGGCGACGACACATGGGATGCGTGGGGCGGGGAAGACGGCGGAGAACCCGAAAGCCCTGTCGCTTCTCCCGCGAAGGTGTCCAATGCAATTGCTGGGGAGGAAGAGGATCTGGGGTTGTGGGAGGTGGAGAAGAGATTGTTCGCCGATAACCAGAGCGCCAGAGAGGTATTGGAGGCTCTTGGCATCGAATCAATCACAGAGGCAGAGGCAAGGACCGTTCTGGGACGGAGAGTCGAGCTGGCTGGGTAGACAGTGTTCGGTCGAACCGCCATGTCGGATGTGATATGCTCGTAGATATCAAGGAGATCATCCTGGCCAAGGGTTTAGAGATATAATCCAGACGAGCAGCCACCAAAAAGCATTGAGTAGACGCAAATCATAACAACCAACATCAGGCGATGAACAAAACACAATCGTTAGAATGGTCCAGCCTGAGAATGAATCAGCAACATGTCATTCCGGTGAGTACAAGTGTGTTGTCAACAGACTCTCCCATATCACATACTAAGTCATATTCCCACACCGCCGTCGTGATCGATACTACCACTCACCCGTTCTTCCCCTCCCCAGCACCATGATCCTGCGGGGTCTATCTTCTCTCCGGACGAAGAAGAGCAAGTGCAGATTCGAAAGTCAACACGGCGGGTGGCAGAAGAAAAGAGAAGAATGAGAAATTATTCCGCGTCTTGGCTACCGCCTTATGCGATTTCTTCCATGAGAGACGTACATGATTCAAAAGTCTAAAGACAGAGGATATGGGGGATTGGGAGCGGAAGCAATGATTCAAATAACGATCAGACTTGAAGACTATCTATAGTACTCGACTGGACTCAACTTGACCTGCCCTCTCTCTCATGAGTACCACAATCAACATCGGCAATTGCCCTCTCACTCTTTCCTGTGAAAGAGGAGAACTCGAGGGGTTTGAAATGTACTTCAATGCTGCTGCCAGTGTGTGTCAATTACTTTTCGTCTATGTGATAAAATATAAAGAGTGACTACAGCGCATACATGTCATTTCATGTTGTGATTGAAGGAAAAGGAAAGACATGATTTCTGAAATATGGAATGCGTGATTGATCGTGTTGTTGCAATGTGATCCAGGAAACAAGGACGTATGTATATATACATTGTCACTCCACGCTTTGGGCGGATCCCCTATTAGAGCTCGAGGGTGGGTGAAGAAGCCTGGAGGCTGATGGTTTCGCATCAAGATCTATATCTTCAATCAAATAGCACTTTATATCTACTTATCCTTCTAATGTTCTATTTATCAGAGAAGCATAGGCACCTACAGTACATTGACCATATCTTCTACTATTTTCACTCATCCATTATCCATGTCACTATATAAAATCACAACTCTGCTGGGAGCTACTGATATGACCAGAGCGATGCACCATACAGCATGGATGATCCTCGAAACGAGAACGGCATGTGACTCCCTCCCCCCATGCCCCCGTATATGATAACTAACCAACTACGTGTAACTAATACAATACTTCCCTCGAGCAAAGCGACGCACGCGATCAGCAATCGAATCGGAGCCACGCTATGCACAATACAGCTACAACGAGGAATGCCACGTGTTCTACGGAGTCGGAAATGGGACTGGTCCGGATCGAGGACAGATGCGTAGGCGGGTTGGTTTCCTCGCCAAAGCAATGCACAAAATCGGTTGGGCCATGATGGGCATTGGGGTGTAAATACGAGGAGAGCGCTGGTGCTGGTTCCGTTCATCGCGTATCTTGCCCTCCGTCTCGCCTCGGTTAGCGAGGTTCGTCGTTCACATATCGATTCCAGTATCTAGTGAGAAAATGCTAGATGTGGTGTGTGTGTGTGTGGTGGCACAATCATAAAGTACTGTGTAAATGATCCGACCAGTCCAGCGGTGAGCAAATTGTACCGAAGATGAGTAGAAGATGGCTTATGATATGGTGTGGTGTGGTGTGGTTGTTGTGCAGTTGATAGGGCTCGGTTCGACTGTTGTGCGTATCTGACAACACCCCAATCAGAACGCCCTGATTGAAAAAGCGCCCAATGATGGATCTTGTTATTTGGTCAATTAATATCCCGATTATGCATGTCTTGTATCGTGTGCGACATGAATGACACGAGGGTCAGCTGTGTTGATGAGAACAATGCTCCGTCGATGTCGTTTCAAAAGTAGGAAAGGTAGCCGAATGTTACGAGTGGTTCATGTTGTACGTGTTCATTGTGAGGAAGTGGTGTTCCATAGCAGGCATTTGCTGTACATGTGCATGCAGTGCTATGATTGCAAGAACGCGCATGACGTGCTATGATTAGTGGTTATGTTTAGGGATGTTATGGCCGGCAGAAATTGAATCGTTTCAGATTTCCCTCGTGGCGGCGGCCGCGGTAGGCGACGGAGGCGAATACCGGATTGGCGAATGGCAATGACAAGGCCCCCAGATCCAGAAGCGAACCAGGAGATTCTGGGCCTTGAAATCCCATCGGACGATGGCCATGTACGAGGCTACGAGTACGATAGGGCAGTCAATACCTACACCTACTACCTAGTGGAGAGAGCGAGATTGAGGCGAATGGGGGACGACTGGTTTGATGGAAACGCCAGGCGGCAATGATGTGGTGGCGATGTCCTACCACCTCTCTTAACATCTATGTACTCCGTATGTAAACAGTCAATGTGCTCGCACGAGGTAGTATATTCGTTGCACCTGTAGCATATCGCAGGCCTAAATCGTGAACAAAGCCCAGTACGGGAATTGTGTACATAGTCTGATCCGTCCCGTCTAGGCTGGTGAAGTGTTGTCCATCCCCCTGTCTGGCCCGCGGCTAGGATTGTCGTTATGTACCTAGTTACTCCGTAGAGAACATGACATTCTGACCTCCAGTCCAGCATAATCCCCCATCCGTTCCCATCTATCGGGTTTCGAACACTTTGCCTAGACGGCCCTCATACTGACCTGCTCGTGCTCGTGCTTGTGCGCGTGCCTACTTACCCATACATCTCATCGTCCTGTCGTTGCTTGACGTCGGCTCGCTTTCGCTCACCGACCAACATCCTCCGTTCTTCACACATCCCCCCTTTCTTTCATGTTGCACACTTCCTAATCTCCTACATGGCCGCCTCTTCTTCTGCTTCCTGTTCCTCTTGATCATGACTCTGACGCTGCCTATCATTGTGGCCCAGCGCGCTGCAGAATCGCCCCGTGCATTCTCCGTTGCATAGACCCCGCTGCCAGACAGCTCACCCAGGACTTGCGGGCTATTCTTTCGCCTTCTCCCTCGGAATTTCTAGTCCTTCTGTACCACATATTGGTGGATTCAGGACGTCTGTTTTGGCCCGAGGCGCGGTTAGTTGAAGTGGTATCAATGGAGAGGTTTCGCCGGTATAATTCGCCACCAGACAGCGCGCGGTCTGGGGTCTTACTCGTCGCTTCCAAGGACCCTACAAACTATGGATATGAGAATAGACCGTATGCCGCTCGGAAAAGGCCGAGTATTGGTCGCGCTGCCGAGAGCATTCAAATCAAGCTGCTTGCATCGCTCAAGAGCGTGAGAAGTAGTAGTCACAGACAAGGCAAGACAAGGTAGGTTCCCCGCATATTATACACTATGATTTGCCGAAGCATGAAGTCGAGTACCAGCACTGACGAAAAGCCATTGCAGTGCTTTCTTGACAGCATTCTTCCGCCTACCAAATGAAATTCACATCCATATACTCAACCTACTATGTATATCAGACCTACTCGCCCTGCGGAGGACATCACATGCACTCAACGAACTCATCGCAGCATGTGGTCCAGCCATCGTCCGCTTCTGGGTGAGAAGACGCCTGGGCTCACTCCACATGAAACTCTACCCACCACCTGGACCGAATGAAGCCCAACTCCAATATCTCCTGGCCATGCGAAGACGACACATCGCATCGGTGCGACTGACACGGGAACTGGCCAACTTCGTACTCAAAGACACCTGCAAGCACGCCTCATCGCTCAACCAGCGCCAACGCCAGCGCCAACACCAACTATGGACATCCGTCTACGAGACGTTGATTCCCCTGGTCTTCGCAGTCGGCTACTTCCTCGAAGAGCATCGGCGAGTCATCCTCGAGCGCGACCTGGGCCGCATCCGTCCCCGCTACCACATCGGGTATGATATATGTTCGGCTCCCGGCATCATGGCGGAAGAGAGAGCCATATTCAGGAACCTTGACCAGCCTTTACGTCTGCAGTATTTCTACATGTACTGCTTCATCCTGCAGGTGCTGACGCGGAAGTTGCAACCGCCCGCACCGGCAATGCACGCAGGAGAGAGGAAGAAGAGACTGCTAGCACGAGGCTGCTGGACCGGCCAGCCGGCGTGCGACGAAGACATAGCCTTCGTGCTGGTGCTCGGCGGGATCAACCAGGTCGCCAAGTTGCTCGCATGCCGGAACTACAGCGAGCGACGACGGCTACTGCACTCCTTCATAACGCGGCTGTCGCCCCACGAGAGCAGCGCGTGGCGCTCGCACTGGCGCGACCTGGGCGTCTACTCGCCCGCCCTCCTCGACGACATCCCGTGCTCGTCCATCGGCATCACCCAGCTCGACCAGATCTGGCAGCCGCTCGTCACCGAGATGATGAGGCCCGAGAGCAGGGAGTTCACGGAGCACCAGAAGGCGCAGTACGGGGAGGTGCGCGCCTCGAAGAAGTACATCAACGAACTCATGGGATACGACATCTTGCGCGGGAGATCCGCGTTCGGGGGCGACGAGTCGGACGGCGAAGAAGACGACGAGTGGGAGAACAATGATGTAAACGCATAGTTGGAGGTGCTGTCAATGTCGAGCATTTGGAGATTATACTGCTCTGTTGGGGGAGTGGTTGATTCTTGCCGACCGGTTCTTTCACAACTGCGAGCGACGATGATACGATCTAGTGAACTGTTCATTCGTAAATACCACATACCCTTGATTACAAACGATGAATCCAAAGATAGGATAACATCGCAAATCCAATATTCCTGTATCATGATTTCACACATACGTACCCTTCTCCAGACCTTAAGCAATGTACATACTCCAGAGATAAAAAGCGAACGTTATAAAATAGCAAACAATCACTTATGAATCGAAACATCCATGAATAAAGCAAAAATGCCAGATCGCGGTTTGTCGTATTCAGATAAACATAACCACCTTCTGCACGGCGGAGCTCCGCCCGGATCCTCGTCCGCCTCCACCTCCACTTCATTACACTCGTTCTCGTACTCTTTCGCCTCATCCTCATATTCGGCCCGTATAATCACCCATGAAATACAAACCGTAGATCGATCCACCGCTCTTTTCCCGACCCGACGTACTGTGTTGCGTTGCGTGGAGTGAGCATAAGCTGACTGATTGCATACTGTACTGCAAGCCACTACGTCATTAAAGCCTCGATGATCTCTTCCGCATCACTGGTAGAGAAAAGGAAACCTTTTGCTTTTCATCTGCCTTACCAATGTACTTACTAGATGGGGAAGATGTGATGGGATGACATCATATATCACCATCTCCGCCGAGGGGCCAATCTAAAGACTGAAGAACATGTGTAGTATATTAATCAATGCCGCGTCGAGAGCAACGTTAGCATTTCGAGGGATTTTTGTTCGCGTGTATGAGATCATATGTTCCTTCTTGTATGTCTGTTTATCGGCTCATGGGACGTAACGTTAGACGTATGTCTATCAAAGTTCGGTCCAAATTCATGTCAATCCCCTTATTCTCCTCAGGAAGAAAACAAAATAGAGAGGAAGGAAATAGTTCACATTCGTCTATCAATTCCCTCTTCAGTGAAAGAAGAAGTAGATTTCTCGAAACGGAAGAAAATATAAGTTATACTACGAGTAATCCGTGGTCAAGATGCAACATAAATCGTATTGTAGTCGGTCTAAGTCCTTATAAAGTAACAAACCCACGATTGAATATCATCATCTCAGATTGTGTGTCAGTGAAATGAGTGGATAGATGAGTGCTTTAAAGACGTTCAAATGAAGTTTAAACGAAAATATTGAGGATATCAATATTCTACTGTGGGCTTTGCTCCTTTTTGCAATTGCGAAGACCCCGCGGTCAGAGCATTGGACCAAGTCAAATTGAACCCCTCACAGGCTATGGACTATTTCCAACGAAAGAAGGAAAGAAAGTCGTCAAAGAGAAAAGGGGAAAGAGGAAGTGAGAAGTAGTATCGTGAAGACATCCGTTCTGCTTGCGGTGCACATTTAGACACTTGTTCTGCTTCTTTCTTTTTCCCCTTGTCTCTCGCTCCTTCTTGGTTACATCTATACACACAATTACGTCTAGGCATTCCTTCCCTCCTAACATAGTAACTACGGACGGAGAATTAGACAAATCCAGCCTCTCATCATTAGCTCTGCCAATAGTACTCGTAGAAACGAAAATGCAATCTAGTCCGAGTTCTTCGTGCGTTCTTTTTCTCCTTCTTCCTCTTGTTTATCTGGTACACTATAATAGACGCATATTGGGTGGGAACTATCTTAGCATATTGCAGCTACGGTAGATTGGACCCTGAGGATACCGTAATGAAGTGCGTGGGCGTGGGCGTTGGTCGCGTGGGCGTAGCGCGGTAAAGCAAGTGCGAAAAAAAAGGCCCACGAGGACCCTGGTTTCCAACATTGGTTCCTTTCCGTTTTGGTAGTTTTTGTTACTTGATAGGTTGGGGAATGGTGGGGTTCTTGAGGATGGTCTGGATTGGTTTGTTGTTTTATTTACTTTTTTGCCTGAACTGCACGAGGGGTTTGAGGTCTAGGGATTGTTTTTGTGTGCGTGAGGGTGAGGGTGGTATGCGAGAACACGGGTAGTCGTTGTGTATGATCGGTACACGCATCTACTTCCTTCCGTTGAAAGTGAACTACCGTTTCAATGGATGAATGAAATGGTATACGGACAAAGAATTATCCCTGGGACATGGTAAAATCAAGAGGTATCACGAGGCGATAATTGTTACCTGCAGGAGTATGCGACGCAAAACCGGGGCGCATAAGTTCCATCCTATTACCATCACATGCCTCGGAAACCCGTTGGAAAAAAAGAGAAATGGAGATTAGGAAATTAAACCATGTCCAAGGGTGGTAACTATGGAAGAATTGTTTCTAGAAGGCCCGGCGTAGATTAAGAGGCACACATACGTGCAACGACGATGCACTCAAGACAGATGGGTAGATTCCTTTTGGCGTGCATGCATGCATATACGACGGGCATTATGCGGGTGACCAGGGTCGATCAGTGGAAAATTAGATTGATTCTGGAGTGCAGAGGCTGGACAGAAATAAAGATGCCCGGGTTTTTGGGAACGTCATTCCGGATACACGATTTTTCCTTCTGCGCAAGATGTTCCGCCGCTGAGGATGGGAGAAGCGTTCTGTGGCTGTCATTTGATGTCGTCACGAAGTACGACGGATGATCTGCGAGCGAATGAAATGACAAGGACAGAAAAGGAAAGAGTTGACATGTCGGAACTTGACCGAACTCGAGGTTCTGTTCTGCACGCACCGAACAGAATAGGTATGGGTGCATGTTGATGCATGCACGGGCGGAAATTGAAGTTACAGAGATCGGATGTGCGCTGTGCGAGGTTTGAACATCAGTGATTAATGCCTAAACGGTAGTTGGGTGTGATGGTTCTGGGCTAAGTTCTGGGTCCGGATATGGTGCAGGATGACTTTGAACGAGTTGAAGACTGGCGATTGACGACTGACGATGAAAGTGATCATCATTGGAGATTGGAGATTGGAGACTGTCAATTGGAGTTGGAGTTGATTCGGAGTATGCAGATCGGCCGGAATGTGAGCTAGACCTTCACGAGAATAGTATACTTGTACTATTATGGAAAGAGCATCGCTAACATCCATTAGTACGACCGGCCACTGTGCGGCCACCAGAAAATTATATTTGCTTGCAGATTGATTGATACTGTCACCGGCCGGTAAAGGTAACTGAGCAATCGAAAGCCACCATTGGTAAGGAGTCGAAGACGACATCTTCGGCCGAACAACGTGATACTTACTGTAGGACGAAGAACACGACATGACGTAGGGAGGTCAAGACAATACCTTTTGCGTGGGTGGCTGGCTCGCTGCGCCCATGTGTTTACGAATGTTAGCTGTCCGTGTCCATACAAGTAGTCTCGCGCAAAGATCAATAATCGAACAAAGGCCCACATGGAAGGAAGTGGAGAACCTTTGACGGACGGTGACGGACCCTTTTCTTTCCTTTTCTCTTCTGGAAGGCCGTCACATGTGTCTTTTACTGCGGCCAGCTCCACAATTGGTGGCTACTGTAGCGTGTGCAATGGTAACAGTGACTTCTAGTGAGCGGTATTTTCTCCGTGCTAAAGCTCTCGGCTTCTTCACTGGCTCGGAGACAGGCGCGTCGTCCAAGTCCCCCTAAGCCTTAAGCCTCAGGTTCCAACCCTACACAGTAGTTAGAGCCTAGTGGAACACTCCGTACATGCGGCATGCCTCTATTCCTATTAGCAGATGGTGAGGACAGGCTATTACTCATGTTGGGTCACCATCTTGAAAACATGAACGTTCACCGCTTTACTGTGCCTGCGTTTGTGTAGTCTTTTTTTTTTTAATTGAAGGTGCAGGCGTAGGTGTAACAGTGCCGGCAGGAACATGACATGAATGCACGGTGGTTTTAAGGCGGACGCGTCTGTCTGTCCTTGTTGTCCATTTGCAAGGATGGTCCTAACCATTGAACGAGCCGTGAGCCCTCTACCGGGCGATTGGTTCTCCGAATACTTCCAGAACACCAAGCGTAGTCTGCGAGACTCACGAGACATGCGAGACGCTCAATACGATCAGGACTCATCTAGCGAGATGTTAGCGTATTTAATTCAGTGCATTCGTAAAGACAGATGATTACAGATGGAAGGTGGTGGCGATAAGGACGACGACGACGACGATGAACGATGGCGACGGGTGTCAGGCACAGGTGGAGCACGGGAAGAGGCACAGATGGAGGATCGGGAGGGGGCTCGATTGGGAAGGCCGCTTACACAGGAGCAACGCTGGTGTTTTGAATACATACACCTTCATCACATGAAAGGAATTGATATACGGAGAGTTGCTGCTCCCTACTACTTGAACGAGTGCCTACATGCAGTCAACGTGTATTATCCGGGGAACACCAATTGCACTGCACCTTTTGATTGTTTGACGGATCCAGGAGTGATGCTGCATCCAGGAACGGAAGTGACAGTCGAGGGATCATCTGTGAGGTATTGCATTGCATTCAGTATTACCTGTGATGGGCGATGAAGATTGGGGGAACATCTACACAGTAGTTGGGTGGTGGGATCGTGTCGTATCGTATCGGGATCGTATTATTGATGGTGCCTCGGGCGCGTCATTGGGAAAGGAAAATTGTGGGTAATGCAAAAGCTTCTGGGTTCTGTTCCGTTCTGGGTGCTTGTCGTTCTCGTAAGGTGGAGGTGAAGAGGCTGAGGAAAGCATACGCAGTACTAATTACGAGGATGAGATCGAGTCAGGTTCCATTGATGCGTACTGCGTAGATGCCATGTATGCGTGCGGAGTACTCCGCATGTGTAACTGGTGTGTAATTCCATTCCTTATGGGCGCAGCTGCTGAGCCAGAAGCAATTCCACACTTGGATGGATGGATGGATGGATGGATGGATGTACCATTATCGTTCAAAGTCTTCAGACATGCATGGATGGATACCAGGGAAGGAGGGACGGTTGTTGATGGACACGAGGTGGATAAAACGATGGTGGTACGACAGATAGACGAGGGGAGACAGGGCATGGCATGAGGGCTACGAGAATGCACTCCACATGTCTCTGGCTGGATATGCATTGTATACATAGTACATACATACATGGTGTAGTCTATCGTATGTAGTCTATTGTAGGCGTACTGCAGGGTGGTCGTGTGAGAGGTTGCATACATACAATATTTACTGTGAGGCATCGTCTGTCTACTGCAATAAGTCATCTTCACCATACACCATACCATAGAGAGTCGAGATGATGGACCAATCAAGGGGGAGATCAAAGTGTCAAAAGTATGTAATTGGACCGATTGAGCACCGATTGACCGCCCCTCTTCCATTACCCGTTCCTGCCTCTCTCCCAGTTCACTACCCGTACCTGCCCTCTGCCCTCTGCCCTCTCCCCTCTGCCCTCTCCCCTCTGCCCTCCTCCGTCCCTTCCCTTCCCTTCCCTTCACTCGCCACCACTATAAACCATTGAGACTCAGCATAACAATATCATCTTAACAGTCACAGTTATGGTATTAGCAATCAGTAATTAGTAGAAGTAGAAGCAATGATGAAGTAACATGTTGGAATAGTAAGAGAATTAGTGAAAAGCCCAGGCCAATGCCCTCTTCCTCATCCAGCCAGTCCAAGTTGTCTCGTAGTAAATTACTAAACCCTCACTAACAACTCGTCCCGAGTCCACCACCATCCATGATCCATGAATCCATGATCCTTGATGATCCATCCCATCCCATCCCATCCCATCCCATCCACGATCCGTCTCTCCAACTTAAGCGTCCTCCCCCTCCGTTTCGCTCCACCGCCTTCGTTCACACCCACCATCATCACCTCCCCCCTCCTACTCTTCTCTCATATAACTCCCGATAACCATCCATCCCTCCACTACATCCAATCCTTCTCTCACCCTCATACAAAAAATAACAACCACATTATTGTTATTGTTTTTTCTTCTCAACAATAATCAATCGACCCATCACATCACATCTCATTGTGGTGTTCCTGCATCGATCGACTGTTGTGATCGTCCACTTTCCCCGACATTCAACAACGTCTCGTCGCATCCGGCCCTGTGAACGGACACGCCGGACACGCCAAAAGCCGCCATCGAACCCCCCCACCACCATCACTGACCACACACGACCACCCATACCCATACCTCCCTCTGCCGGTACATCTATCTCCCAGTGCCACCATTCGTCGCCATCAATCAACCACACAACCACACCTCCTCCTCCTCCTCCACCACCTACACCTCCGCCTCAACGTGAATCAACACTCCGACTTCCAACCTCCCATACGCCGCCACTCACCTCACTCCCCAGAGTCTCCTCTCTTACAATACATACACCACCACATTCCTCTTCATCCACCCTTCCGTTGCGCGCGACTTTCTCCTCCACACACCCACCCATCTCGTCATACTAGGGGGGCCTCCCATCGTCAGCTGAACCACCACCTCTCCCTCTCACCCTCACAACCCTTCTGAACACGAGATCAATCATGAATTCGCTATAAGAGCATAGAGGAGGAAAACATGGATTTCACGGTATGAATCCCTATCCATCTTCACACACGCACACCCGCACGCCTACACACCCTCCCGCGCCCCTGTGAACATCCCCCAACGCCATCGGGAACACCCACATCCATCAAGGCACCATGCCACGCTCATGCCTCGCGCTGTGTGCGCCTCATGATCAACCAACCCCCCATAGATCATAGCTAACGGCAGTCTGAATAGATCTCGCTCGCCCACTTCTGCGAGGTCCACGGTCCTACATCTATCATCTGCACCCAGGCTTCCACTTCGCCATGCGGTTCTTGCAACCCATGCGCTACACCCCCATCCGATGACGCGCCTCTCTCCTCATACTCACAATCAGGCCTCTACGACAACCCTTCCCTAAAGCTCAGCGCACGCTTACCACAGCTCTCCTCTCCCTTCGAGACTCCACCCACCAGCCCGCGATCCCCGACACATAATCCATACTTCCCGAGCTTCTCTTCCGACAGCAGCTTCGGCGGCCGGAGACCAAGCAGTACTATTGATTCCGATCCGGAGGTCTGCGAGCACTGCACCATTGTCGTCCCCAAGAAGTACAGCGACAAGCTACCGAATGGAGCCCCCGGCAGTCCCTCCAAGGATGGCCGTGGACGCAACGGCAGCCCGGTGCTTCGAAGCTCCCAAAACTTTCCCGTGCGAGGATCCGGATCGCCAGAAGTCTTCTCCAGTTCCCCCGAGTCGTCGGACACGGAGCAGAGTCGATCCTTTCCGGACTCGATGCCATCGTCTCCCATGTACATCTCCCGAGGCGTGCATACCCATACCCTCAATTACATCTCCACCAGCCAGCCACAGTCACCAGCCACCTACTCTCTATTAAGAAGAACATGCATTCGCACCCTCTCCTGCGAAGCTCTTCCCTGCGGAAAACCCTCCGGACCACTCATGTTCGGTGACCCGGTCGCAGGCTATACCATCGCATATATATTCCGCCTCCAGGACCCACGATCGCGCGGAGCAAAGAGAACATATGCTCTCATTGCAATGGCCGGTCGGGACGACCGCCGGGCCAGCAGAGCCATGGTCAAGGTGACCGAGGTCTTTGAGAGCATCGCGAACTCGATCGTGGCCCTCGCCGAGAAAGAATTGGAACGTGAGTCGGCGGCTTCCGTTTCGAGTCTCTCCAGTTCAAGGCCGACCACAGCAGTCCCGAGCACTCCACCTTTTGGCACCTCTGCATCTTCCATGCCCATGTTCCTGTCCCCGCAAAAGGAGAAGGTTCTGCCCTCGTCAGCGAGCACTCCGGCGACCCGCAACATCACCCCAGTCTCTTCCTTCCTCTCAGCGAAGAAGGTCGACCCGGACGGCTATCCCCGGGTGAGCCGTGATGCTATGCGGCCCAAGACCTTAACCGAGATCGTGGGAAATGAGGGCGTCTTCGTAATGCTGCATGCCCGCTTCTGTGGGCTACTCCATTCTCTGATCAAAGAGTTCGGAACCTGAAATGCCGGCCTTGCCCTCACATACGTTTGCACCCGGCCAGCACTTGTGCTCCTTTACACGTCCATTTTCCTTTTCATACCCTCTGTATTCTTATCTTATCTTCATGGATCTCTTGAATGATCCATTGTCTGCTGCGTTCTAGCGTTTGTCCGTGCCGTACGATATGGCACTGGCGTATTTGGATTGCTGATTTCCCTTTGAATTTCTTTACGCATATGTATTTGGTATCCGGCTCCATTGCCTTCATATTCCACAACGGCCGCCTTTGAGTTTCTTTTTTCTCCTAATGATCCTTGTTGCTTTAGCAAGCGTAGCGAGTGGACCATTTTATACCTCTCAATATACCCCTCCCGACTGGTTCCATGTTCGCGGTCGGATTCTGGGATATCGAAGAACGGTTACAATATAGACGATCTGTTCCGAGGTGGGACATAGTTAGACGGAAGCATGATTGGATGAATTTCGATGGAGAAACGCTCGAGGAGTCGAGATGTTACGGCCTGGTTCTCATGAGGAGCTGTCTTGTCGAAGTCGTTCACAGACGGCATATCCGAATTAGTCACGAAGAATCGAACATTTTTAGTACATACTATCCAACTGTCCAGCCTGCGGCCTTGATGTGATTTAATAGTGTTCGATGAGTTACATTTGAGACTCAATCAGGTACTCACTGCATGACATACACCTGGGTACGCTCCTGAACTAACGCCAACATGGTGTTCCATGTCCGTGATGGGTCAAGTTTAGAAGAAGGTAGGAAGACGGAAAAGAAATCGCTCATTCATAATCATCATTCAAGGAGGTATGTCAGTGAGCTGTCGTTCTCTAGGTAGCAAATTTTCCTTCGCCAAAGCACAAGGCAGCCAGTATCCTGATGAACGTGGTCGTAGCGAGCAGCGGAAGGCAGAAACAACAGCACCGCTATCGATACCGACACCGGCGTTACTTATTACGGTTTAGCGTGACTGTTGTCCAATTGTCCCAGGCTGAACGTCTTCTCTTCGAGACGAATTACTCGCATGCCACGTTTGCATAGAAAAAGCAATATTCACGTGCTTGGAGATTGCAGCATGTTTTCTCGGATAGCTGCCAAATAATCCTCCTATATTTACTTATGGCCTAAAGTGGTAAGACGTAGACCCTTGATCCTCACGGAACCACGACTCCACTGTCCACGCTACACTCTGGAAACGACATGTGAACTCAATCACCACAGCAAAGCCGTTTCCAGTCGTCCCTCAATAGATCGAACGATGAAAGACACTGACGTATCACGGAGCATTTCTATTGTATCATGCCATCCCTCGATTTAGATCCGCCTAGTGTCGATCAGTATATCTGGGATAGGGAACGAGCGATGGCGGGAGAATGGGTGACGTCAGACCAATCGGGGTAAACCATTCATGAGCCTATCGCACATCCTCCACAACGTCACCTCTCCCCCCATACGGACCGACTTCACCGTCACTCAATTGGTCTGATCGACAGACAGAATGCTGCGTCACTCGTACCCGACAGCTCTTCCCTCTTAACAACCTCCTTTCCCTATCCCCAAACTTGGCTTTGGACCCTACATCCTAGCTTGACGCCCTTTGAAACTTGGCAGTAGCTTGGTTTCTTTCAACTTTTGCAACCCTACTCTTGCTATCTTAGCTCTTAACAAGTTAACACTATTGAACCACGGTCTTGATTGATTTTAGCTGAAAGTGGAGAAAGGCCCTGAACGGAGAAGTGGGCAGTGAGGGAACGAGTAAGTAGCGACTATATAAAGAGCTGTTTGCACTTCAAATGAACCTCTCTCCTCCCATCTCCAAACATCAAACATCTCCAAATTTATCTTTCCAACCACTACAACTTGCCCAATCTTAACAGTCTCTCAGACTCAAACCCCAAAAAAACCACACACAATGAACAACCAACAAGCCGGAGCCCCCGCCAACGCCAACAACAAAGACTACCTCGATAAGGGCCTCGAGTCGGCGGAGAAGAAGTTCGGCGGCGCATGGGGCCAGAACACGGAGAAGAACCGCGGCATCAACGAGAAGATCACCGATGGCGCGCGGGGCCTATTTGAAAAGGCTACGGGGAAGAAAGTCGTACGTTCATCCTTCCCCCCTCTCTCTCTCTCCCTCTCCCTCCTAGTCACACACACTCCTGACATGTGTCATATGTATGTATGTATCATACACTTACTAACGAACACCAAACAGCCTAACAAGGTCAGCAACTAAGAAGCACGCGACGATGACATCTGCGAACGCGAATAACGAACCTACCGTCATGATGAAAGTGAGGAGGTTCATCGAGAGGTTGGATGGTTGTAGCGGATTGTTCGTGTGATGTGCTGTGCTACGACCTTTTTCTCAAATATTTCTTATGTGTACGTTTTATAATGATAATCTAAACGAAATAAATAAACATGTGTTCTACACCAAAATAAGTTGAGAACTTTTGCTACGTGACCGGCTTCATCCGTGAAGGAATGGGGTGGGACAGGGAGTTCACTGAGACAGCGAGAGTCGATTTGTTACCAGTTTGAACTATTCTTGGGGTCTTCTCTTTCGTCTTCATTGGACTCTGGTATGTATGTTGGTGTGAAGACCATATCACATACGAAACGGCTACAAATCTTAGAATAATGCTTGCTTTGCATCAATTAACTAACTATGCACGCCATAGAAGCGGCAGGTATCTTTCCTCCAACGTTATTTCCCCCCACCCATGCCAAAACGCCAGTAGTAGTGTGTGTGCATCTTCAATGAGACTGTACAGATTTATAAAACAGTCCATCGTTCACTTTTTGACCCCCCAGACGCCGCCGCCCATAGCAACGATTCTTTCCTCCTTCTCCAGGCCCTGGAGCAGCCAGTCCAGCTCCTCCCCGCTGATGGTAAAGTTCCCTATCATCCGCAACATCATCCCGATGCTTTGGCCCGGCATGTTCCCCTGGTTCGTCAGCATTCCCATGATGAAGTTGCAGTAGACGTCCTTGTTCTCCGCGAGCAGGTCCGCCTGGCTGCGGACGGCGCCCGCCTGCGCGCTCGCCTGCACCTCAGCCAGCTCCTGCGCGGCCGCCGCGGCGTTCTCGTCCACCTTGGTCGCGGACTGGTTCTCGATGACGGTGAAGGTGTCTGGGTGGCTCTCGCGGAGCACGGCCTTGCCGACCCAGAAGGAGAGCGACTGCCGGACGAGTGCCTCGTCCATTTCCAGCATCTCTTCGAGCTGCTCCACGTTCCTCGTGATGGCGGGGGCGGGGGTTTTGCTGCTCTTCTTCTGGTGGCCTTTACCTCTTCCTCCTCCCTTGCCGCCGCCGCCGCCGGCCCACTCCTCGCCCGGCTGGGGCTGGAAGGCGTAGATCACGCTGACTTGCCACGGCATCAGGCCCGAGAACTCTTCGGTCCGGTCTTCGAGTTCGAGGGTCACGGTTCCGTCGCCGAGGGCGTTCATCCAGCGGAGCTTGCGCATGCCCTTGACCCGTTCGAAGCGCGTTTCATACTCCTTCTGCAGGGTCTGGATCTCCAAGGGGACGAGGAAGTGGTCGTCGCGAAGCAGTGGCCAGAAGAAGGAGGAAATGATCTGAGCGTTGAGCTGGGGATCTTCCGCGACCTTTGCTGAAACAGGCGTCTTCAATAACTGACTCGAAGGCGTGGCTGCAGCGAGACGTCGTGGGCGCGGCGTCGATGGAAGTGGACCTGCATTCGCCGGAGTTTCTGGGGCACCACCATTGTCCTTTGTGGATGGCTTGCCGGTGCTGGAATGGATTGCCGCGTTGATTCGCTTCGACTCCAGTACATCGCGCAGCATGACTTCGCACGCTTGCAACTTTTCGTCTCCGAGTCGGACTTTGATCAGCTCCAATAGTCGTATCTCCCTTTCAAAGTGAGGATCTTGGCATTTGAGCAAATGGTCTCCCAGAAGATTCTTAAGCTCGTTGATGAAATCCTCCCTCTCCCAAAGCGTAAGTAGAAACCACACGACATCTTCCGCTTTGGACTTCTTATAGTCTGGTGAAGCGTCGGAAGGCAAGGGCTGCCAGTTCATGTCATTATAGTTGAGTTCTTCGTCTGCCTCCTGGCCAAAGATATTCCCACTAGGCCTCTCCATTTCACAAGCAATCTCATAGGAAAGCTCGCTGTTCGACGAGAATTTCCGGCCACCCTCGGCGTTCAGATCTGCCAGCAAACTTAATATTATTATTTTTGCTGTATCATCCCGTTCTTTCAGGTAGCGTCGAATGGGTCGCGCAACTCTTTCGAGCAAGACGCCTTTGGGTTCCAGCTCGTAGAACGCACGAATGATCCTGATGTAGACGTTCAGGATGTAAGTAGTCGTAGCACCAGCGTGGAGCAATCTCCTCAGAACCTGCTGCGAGAAACTAGACGTGAGATGCTGTTTTGCACCAGGCACTTTGAGATACTCCTACTGTTGGTCAGGAAAGAAATCGCTGATCGAGAAATCGTATGACGACGTACCTTGATATCAAGTATTGCGCCCAAACTATGGTCCCAATTGATTACGAAATCAAACATGGTGTCTACTCTTGCCCTGCCCAGCCTACTAAGAGCCATGTCCTGCCATGACTGTAACTCCGTGGGTTGCACCGTACTGTCACAGTTCAAGCATTCCATGACCAGCTTGACATGTGGATAGAATCCATCCCGGATGAACAAACGTAGTTGCGGAACGACAGGCTGCTTGTCGAACCAATCTACCTTGAGATAGTGGCTGGATATGAAGGAATTCATGATCTTGTCCATGGCGTGGGCAAATGCCTGTTGCGCAGGCTCTCCACCAAGGCCTACCCTCTCCAAGCCTCGCAATAGTGACACTAATCGCTCGCGGGTCCTAGCAGGGTTCATAGTCAAATCCTCCTGCATCTCATCTTGTCGGAGGTAGATACGAAACATGCGGCATCCTGCCTCGTATAGCGCATAGCTTAGCGTCTTTATGTATCTTTTTGGCGGTAGACAGTGCACAAATATGGCATTGACTTCTTGACGGAACCGCCAAATTGCATGTTCCGCTTGGTTAGGTTGTATAGTCTGTGTAGGCTTTGTAGGGCGCGGCGTAGGAGGGAAGGAATGCTCCAGGAAAGGCATGATATGATCTTGAAAAGGTTCAAGATAAAGGGCTTGGGCTTGCTGAAATATCTGTTGTGTACGTTCGAGAACGCTCCAGGCTTGCTCGGTTTCAACCTCCTAAAGTCAAGTCAGCTATGTTTTACTAGGCCTCGACGACATGCAACTCTCACCTTGTCCCAGAAATTGTTGACTGTCGGCCGAACAACATTCGCAAAGTGAAGCCTCGCTTCATTTGTATACCATTCTACTAAAGTCTCCTCTTGTGCCTCTTCGCTCCTGCCGTCGCCAATCAACAAATAATGTAATGCATCTTCCACCTCGGCACCTCTGTGTCGATTCTGGATATCGAACGACGTTCCTGACCCTAATGATGTGTTCAGACCGTGCAATTGCTTCGGTAGGCTCAAGAAACGCGTTGCGGTGCTCCAGGCAAGATTGCGCTTGACGGTGCGATGCTGTCCGTCGAGATTTTGGCTAGACGGGCCTCCGAAGGCTTCACCTGGTGTGGTATATCGTAGATCAGGCGTGGAAATAGGTGTCGGTGTCGAATGGGAGATCGAGGGTACCGGGAAGACAGTTGCGAAAATGAGAGTTCGGTGGTCCATTGTTGGTTGAGGTAAATGGGTTATTCAAACCCCACTTGCAAGGCGAACGCGAGGAAGCGCATGCCTATTGACTAGAGGGCAGAGTTGGAGGACATGGACTTGCCCAGTGTGAGCCTCTGGTTCTTGTACTTGATTTGTAGGGCTCTCGAGACAATGTTCGGATTACTGGTGGGAGGATGAGGTCGCGAGCTTGTTTGAAACCCCACGCTTCGAGAGCAAGCCCGTGCTAATACAACCCTAGCTTTCTCGCGCGCTCACGTGCCACTCGTAGGGCTACCAGTTTAACATTAATCAGTTGGTGTCACGATGCGTTGAGTGTAATCCATGCATGTTGCGATATATCATATTACCGATGTTCTCATCTATCAATTAATGCATCAATGTCTGTGGTTCATTTGAATAAAACTATACTGATAGGGCCCTCTGATGGCCATCCGAAATCCTGCAAACCGAGTTAAACTCCCCTCAACATACAGTGATATCTTCCAGACCCGCGCCTTTCGCCTTCCTATGTTCCCCGAAAACCATGCTCCCAAAGATAGGAAAGTGTAATGAATAATTCGCTCAAGAAAAACTGCCAGAGTGTTCGTTGTATCGCCCGTCGCAACTTGATCATGCCGCCATGAACCTTGGAGGTCGAGGCTGATGATCGTTGCCTTACGGCTTGAGTACGCCATGTCGCGCCTTGTAAACCGATATTCTTTCTTCATAATATAAAATTTCTCGTATTCGGAGCTTCGTGCCTTTTCTGTCATCTTGAACAAAGGAGTCTTCATCCGAGTCATCATGGCGATCATCGGAAGCCTCCGATTCTGTTTCGTCCATATCGCCCACAGGGTCCACACCTCCATCAAAGTCGTCATCGTCTTCTTCCTCTGTCGCTTCGGACTCCTCGTCGGACATGAGAGGATCGTGGGTGGCGTAACCACCGCCCATTCCGTGTGTCCCACCATCGCCACCATTGAGGCCATCCGGTCGGAGGTCATAATTAGAGGGCCGATTTTCGAGAATTTCAAAGCATTTCTGGGATATACCCATATAGCATATCTCAATTTCAGGTCGTAAGTGTACAATGTCCAGAATCTGCATTGCTAGCTCTCGCGGGTCGATGTTGTTCCCATGAGCATGATCTGCAATATACGGAATGTACAAAGACCGGATATGTGGTATGAGCGGAAGTCGCTGTAGGAAATGGTGCTAGAAAGTGTTAGTGAAGACCAGTCTAGGCATTTATAGTGAACATACCCAATCTTTGTAATCGATTGAAACGGCAAGTTCCCGTAAACTAATCATTCGACCACTTGTGATGAATGTAATAATCTCGCGAGTCAACATCCACCTACGCCATCTTGAACTCGTTGTGGTATGACCATCTTGGCCCCTCTCACTGCTGTCGATCATCAATTTCTTGAGGCTTGTCCGATGTCTGCGAAGGGGGCCGCGATAGATTGCATCTACCGATACCGTCGAGGAGTACGTCCTTCCTTCCTGGAGGAAGAGAACCTCGAGTGTGTTTGGGGCAAGGGTTTCCTTCAGAAACGATATCAGAGATGGAGAAACCGTGTTGGTATGGATCTTCTTCAGACCCAAACAGTACTCTGACCGAAGAGTATAAGATGCCTTGTAGGCCTTTGAAGAGGATGGAGAACCGTTTGGATATGAGGAGCGAGGAGTGTAAGAACGCCGTAGTGACTTCCATAGATGTTCGTGATTGGTGCAGTGTAGTAGTGTCAGATTCGTCAGGACGGTCCAGTCAAACGCCTTGAGCAAGACTGTTACTGACAGTGGCACGCGTTCCAACTCTAGCACTTCCACCTTCAATTGTCCTGTTAAAGCTGGCTCTGTTGGCTCGAGTGCCTTTTCGTTCATTCTAAAGACATCCCCTTCAGTTTTTGAATCCGTGTGACTTGGATGCAAGGGTTCAAAGCCCTGGCTAGCATGCGCTCCTTTTGTATTAGTAGCTGGCTGTTCAACCTCTGGTGCATCTAGAACACCATCACCTCCTCCACTCGCTCCGTGTTCGATCTGTTCTGAATGCTCTGCGTGTTCGGGATGGTCCGTTTCTCGTTCATTGTGTTGCATTGAAGATTGGTTCGCGTCCGAGGCCTCGATCTTCACACCGGCCAGTTGATTTGCAAGTTGTGCCGTCGTGACCGATGGACGAGACTGTGCGCTGTTGCTCTGGCGCAAGTTGTGGACTCTTCCCACCAGAACGCCTAGCACGCCCCCAAGCCGCTTTTCACCAATGGTACTGCTTGCTGTGGATGTCGTGCTGTAGTCCACCTGCTGGACACCATCGCCTTCCCAGACTGTTACCCAGTCGCGCTGCTGCGCATGAGAAGCAATTCCAACTCTTAATTCTCGCAATTTCTTTTGCGACCTTGCAATCAGAATGGCCATCTCATCTAGATACGGAAGTTCATCAATGTCCAATACGCTCAAACTCTTCAAGGCAGGGATTACGGAGAAATTAGGATGCTCGACTCGTTCTATGGCGGAAGCTATCGGCTGGGAATACGGAACAGGCGTGGCTATAGGAGCCTGCACAATGCCGACCCCGCTCGGGTGTGCAGTGTTTGGTGGTGGGGGTACGTTGATTAAGTTCATCGGCGGGGCAGGCAAAGGAGCCGGCGTGTCTATTGTGTTATTATGCCACCGTATCCAGAGACGTTCAAGGCGGCATTCCTCGCCATCAGTTCGATGCGCAAGGCTGGATAATGCCATCCAAACATCCCGCAAAACACCGGTGGGCATGTCCCAGACAAATGTTTCGAGGTTGATCATACGAGCGATTCCAAGAGCAACGAGTGTGCCTAGCATCTTTCCGCCCTCCTTCGTTATCATGTACTCCTGAACCCATGCGGCAGGGCCGTCGCCTAGAGAGAATTTCTTGGTGAATTGTGCATAGTAGTTCCCGAATCGGCGCCTTGTTATAGGATGAGGTGTAGATTCTGGTTCTTCAACTGCGGCATCTTGTTTCCGAGGATGAGCCTGATGAGGGAAGCTGTCTTCGCCCATGACCAGAGTCGCCAGACCATAAGTAAGCGCATCGACACCAGATCTTGGCTCAGCGTGAGTACTCTCATCAGGCCAGACAATGTCAAACCGAGAGTATATGCATGGGATAGTTAAACGATGAAGTGCAGAGTGACAGAGGGCCAAAGATGTCAAGTCATTCGTATGGGGAAGCTGTGCGCGTATGGTTAGCCTCACTTTTGAATGCGCGAGAGTCGGGGCAGTCAAGGACTGATGTCTGAACTGACCTGATGTATGATTTCCTTCAGCACATCTACTGGGAGATCGAGTAAACGTAGAGGGCCTTTCCGAATCTTCTCTTTCCCTTTCATTGACTTGGACGGTGGCTCCGTCATTGAATCCTCCACCTTGTTGTCAACCTCGCCTTCGGATTCTGCTGCGGCCGAAAGGGGACGGGTGTCATCTTGTATGGTAGAGTCGTTCGCAATAAGGTCGTCTTCGAAAGGAGAGGGTGAGCGCGAGCTGAGTGTACCAGGTGCGAAGAGCGGGGAGGAGTCCATGCTGTTCAGAGACGGGCACGTCTCATGTAGCTGCCGAGTGCATTACTCTCATGGATGTGTGGTGGTATTCAGCCGGGAGTGCGAGGCGGCGGGGATTGCGTGTCCTGTCGTGTCTTGTCGTGTTGGGTTTGAGGGACCAGTGAATAAGACAACACCTAACAGTAGGTAATAAAGTAATGGGTAATGGGCATCTACTGGGTGAGTGATCGAGAGGGAGTATTGTGTAGAACAGTAGAAGGCCGGCTGGTTGCGCATGGAAACGCAACTGGTTAGGGAAGCCGCTAAACCCCATAGACCGTGAACCCTTGCCGATCATCAACGCATCAACGTGGGGCTGACTAGTCCATCCCCATAACTATTCTTATGTACTGGTACGTAAACAGTAGTTACTCCGTACACAGCACAAATAGACATCTACATACATCAAAGTAGTGGCAGAGTGGAAGCGAGTATCACAGGTGTCACCCTGTGTACTTGTTCATTCCGATTGTCAGCATTTCATCTAATCACCTCACTGCAGAAAACTTGTCCGAGAAGGTCTGCGTAGCTGTAATTCAATAAATATTTGTTGACCCAACAATTCCCAGTTAGTCCACTCAGTGAAAGTCAGATCATGGCGCCAGTACTTCCTTTGCCTGGCCATTTGGGACCGTCCGGAAGTTGCCCAGCTCATCAGTTCCATGCCTCTATGTTAAGGTATACCCATTAAGTCAACGCCCTAAAAATGCCCCCAAAATCTTAGTTACCTACTATTGTCGCCAACGCCGTGTGAAATTATATCGCATGCGACTTAAATTGATCTTATGCGTCCCTCGCAAGTATGGTATTTACCTCCGAACTGGAAGTGCAGTCTGTCCGCGAATAGGATCGTTCATTCTGGCACAAGTCAGCATCTGGACGATTCTCAATCGAGTATCAATTTCACATACTTGATGATCTTGACGTCAGCTACACTCTGGACGCTATTCATCGCCTGAGGAGTGATGAGGATGTACTGGCGTCCAATCGCCCTTCTGGCTGCACCAATCATCATTTTCATGCTAATGTCTCGGTTGACATTGTCCATGAAGACATCGCTGTACCACCGTAAGCAAAAGATTTTTTTCCAGGGATTAGACTACTTACAACTCATCCAAGCATCGAATTGGAGATCCCATGGCATCCCACAAGGACAGTAGTAAGCAAATGGTAGAGAATGACTTCTCACCGCCAGACAGCGTTTTCGTTTGTCGGCCAACACCATCGACGACTGTAATGTCTGGTTGTACCTATTCGTAATCAGCAGGGGAGACGCCATCAACTGGGCCGCTTATGCATACCTGAATATCGAGCTGTTTTGATGTATGATTCACTTTCAGACCGCCTCGGAATTGACGCTCACTCAGAAGATATGTGAAAGTGATGCGCGCTCGCACCGAAATATCTTGACGGAATCTCTCCCAGCGGTTCTGCCGATTGGACAGTGAGTTTTTGAGCCACTGTGCATGATTAGAAATAGCTTGATAAGGCGTCAGTTACAGTTGAACTTACCCTCGAAATCTCGCGATGCCCAGCTAAAGCTTCGTTTGCCTCCTTGAACATCCTTTTCGCCGTAGTTGCCGCACTGTACAGATCGTCCTCGGAACCACCCAGTCTAAGAAGGTTAGATAGGCTTCAAGAATCATTAGCAGGTGATACGTACGATCTTTGTGTCTCTTCTCGGGTTTTGATCATTGTTTCGCGTTTCTTGATCAACCCTTCCGATGTTGCTCCTGCCGGAACTTCCACACGAGAACAGATCTCGTTCGCTTGTCTTCGAATGTCTTCCACTATGACCAGCTTTTCCCCACGTTTGTGCTCCCATTCCGCCTTGTTCTCTTCGGCCAAACGGGCTCGCTCATGCGCCTTGTTCATCTCCCGTAGATCAGCTTCTCGCTTGCTCTTCATCTTGTCTGCTTTGGTGTTTGCCTTGCCTAACTCCACATTTAGTTGACTAATATCTCTTTGGACATCTTCTAAGGCACTCTTGCAATTCGCGGCTTGAGTGTCAACTTTGTCCATCTCCAGGACTGTGTCTTGGTATTGCTCCTCTGCGAATGTCTTCTCTTCCTGTACCTTCTGCAGACTGGCCTCCAATTGTTCGATCAATCCTGCATCCGGGGTAGCGGTGTTCAGTTCATCTTCTAATTCATCAACCTTCCGCTGGAATTCTTGCTTGCGGAGCAAGAGCTCGCGTTTTCGTGACTTGTGATTATTGACCTCCCGCTGGCAGAGTGTGACACGTTCACCAAGACTTCTGGGTTCAACCTCTAATCCACGGAGATCGGCCTGCAATCTTTCCAGGTTGCTCTTCGCAGCACTATCCGACGTCAGAGGAAATTGATACTTTGGAGTTGGGACTCTCACCTAAGCTGGGATGCTTTGTCGGCTTGCATACGCGACGCACCATCGAATCGATCGATCGGGCCTAAACCGATAGCGCCTGTATTTGGATTCAACGTGATAGAATGGCCTTTTTGTGGGTTTCCGTCCGCAAATGAGAAACACATCTTCACATTGGTCCGTCGGGCGCCGCCATCGTGCATGAAGTTTTCGGCATCTGCGCGTTTGGGGATTAAAACAACTTGGTCAATACTATGATTGATAATCATTTGGTTGCGGACGAGGTCATTTTCAAACTGGAAAGATGGTGAGCAAAGACCATGAATCTGACAAAGGTTACGAACCTTGAGTACTTTCAGCCATGAAAGCAGGTCAGATGCAGGCTCATAACCAGATGTGTCGATCGGGTTCGCTTGGCCGATGAAGATTGGACAAACACTACAACAAGTCAATTGCATGGACGTATTTAATCCGGGGGAAAACTCACTAGTTGGTCTTTCTGAGGAGCTGTGAAAGCAGAGCTTGATCGGCTTTTGAAGTTACCACAAAGGCGTTTAATGACGCACCAGATTGCTTTTCCAGAATGGAACTCCACTCAGGCTTCAGTAATTTGACATACCGACCCATTGGACCCACGGGCGGTTGCTGGAACCGTCGTTCTTGTTGAATTTCGCGTAAGAGCTGTTTCAGGTTGGACGAATTTCTGTATGCATCAATCCAACTCTGCTGGCCCTGCTCTAGATCCCTGAGTGCCATCTGAGCGCGCCGTACTTCAACGCGTTTCTCTTCTACCTTTTCGTCTGCCGTTCTCTTCTTCGACAGTGCATCACGTAGTTGGTGGTCTAGAGCAGGAAGCCCCTCATTGTGCTCCTGCTCTGCTTTTTGGGCTTCTTCGCAATCGGTCTTAGCCTGCTCTAACTCACGAACCTTTTGCGCAAATTGACCGTTGTCGGCTTCTTCTTGATGCTTTCGTTTTTCCCGTATTTCCTTTTTATACGATTTGATGCTCTTGTCTTTACTCTCAAGGATACTTACTAGTCCTCGTTGGCTAGCCTAGAACCAGTTTCAGCGTGTGCAGGAAATACATCGAGAAGTAAATAAAGCCTACCTTGACATCATTCTTGGCCTTCTTGATGTCCTGCATTTGGGATTCAAGCTGTCGGCGTTTGTCGTCGAGCGGTACCCGATCAGCCTGTCGATCTACGGCATCTTTGTTCGCGTTCGAGAATGCTTCGTCCGCAATTTGGTACGCTTGAGATCGTGCTTCCACTTCTTCATTTCTTTTGCGAATAGCACTTTGAACTCGATCTATTTCGGCGTCTATATTGGCCAGTTCCTATGCAGGTCAGCACTAAGTCATGCCCGGTTCTGGGTAGCCTTAGAAGATGGATCACATACCCCTTCCTCTTCCTGCACTCTTGCCCACGCTGCCTGCTGTAAGATGAGTTTCTCTTTCGCCCTCATAGTCTCCAGACTTTGGGCCCTTTTGGCTTTGTCAAGAGCTTCTTGGGCACGCTTTCGCAAAACGTCAATATCCGTAGATACAATTTCGATCTTGGCTTCGGTTTCGTCCAGTTGGGACTTGATCAACTCGTAATCCTTGCTGAGGGTTTCGAGCTGTGTGCCTTTTAAGAAGAATTTATATTTGTCTTTGGGCGTAGAGTCATTAAGGAACTGTCGTGCCATGTCTTGTGTAAGGACGTTCATTGGATTGTCGATCTGTAACGCGAAGGCATCTATAATATCCTCCAACTCTTGTTTCTTGTTCGACACGATTTTCCCATTTACGTCCTTGATTTTGAACCCAGACGTGCCAGTCCTGGTAAAGTGACGCTCGACAATGATTGACCGACCGTAAGTATCCGGTTTATAGGCAGATGATCCCTGATTTTTTATCTTGACTGACAGGTTGCTGAAATCTTTCCCCTCCTTGATAAAGCTCTTGAGACTGCTTCCTCGATTCGTAGCTCCGGGCTTGCCACCAAGACAGAGTGTTAGAGCTGTCAGAACGGCGCTCTTTCCGCTTCCATTATGACCAATGACAAAGTTGATGAGAGGACCCAGTGTAACTGTGAGCTGCTCATGACACATGAAGTTCGTACATTTGATCTCTTCAATAATGCCGTTATCAGCAGGTAGGTTTTGTTTTTGCTCATTGCCGCGGAGTTGATTCGTTACTCGTTGCGTTGCTCGTGGATCGATGTCGTCCTCGCCAGCGGAATCGGAATCGCGCTCGGAAGGGCCAGGCGATTGTGACTCGGAATCACTGTCTTCGTCGTTTGAGTGACGCTGCCTCTTGTTCTACAGGAATGTCAGGACTTCTCTCAATGTTCGGTTTGCGACAAGGCGACAACGTACGCGACCCTTTCGCTTTGCTCCCACAGCGCCATTTGTGGTATCAAAATCATCTGTAAATGCGCGCGGACGCTTGGACGGTTGTCCTGGCGCCATGGTGTGAACGAGTTGTTGTTGGCAGCACTGCTTTTGGTACCTACATGCTCGTCGTAAAGAGGGGATGGCATTAATATTGGCGGGCACGAGCGGGCATCCATGAACGCGTATATCGCGCTAAGTCGGTTTAGTGCACTATGAAGACTACAGTATTTAACTGAAGTGCACTTCCAAGAATCATTGTTGTCAGCTAAATGATGATTTGTTCCAAGCTCGTCTATATAGCTCCGAAATATCGTCGCCCTCTATCCTATTTTGAGATATCTCTTCACCGTGAGATACCGTACAGAACATCTAAGCAATATGCTGATTGTGTCATCACGTGACAACGCGTTCTGCTGGACAAGGAGTCTGATTGCTATGGTCAAAGGCAACCTACCTGATATTCAATGTCAAAAAACTAATATATGAAACGATGACTCAACGCACACACAAAAGACGGACCATGCTGACTTCTTCCTTACACATTGGCCATCCGGAGACACAATTATCACTCGGGTGAGAAATTTCATCTCGGGCTACGAATGGTGGACCTCAAGGAGACGCCTAGACTTTACCAAAATGTTCATTTTATAAGCTCTGGAACTAGACCCCAGATGTTCATAACCACTTATACTCCTGTCAGATTGGAGAGTGGATGTTATACATAACCAATTACTCTTTTGACCGAAACCGAACTCCTTCCCAACACCATGGCCGAAAAGTAACATAACTTGCAGAGCAGATTCGAGCATTGTTATCCAAGCGCAATTGACTGATGAATCTACCAGCAGCGTGAATGACTAGCGTCTCTGAGCATCATTCAAACCCCGGCTTCTTCCGGGTCAACTTGAAGATTCCAATCAATCTCTGATCCCTTGCCGTATTTTTGGACCAACCATTCGTTGGTTTTCTTGAAGTGACCGCAGTCAAACTAAATGGCATTAGTTTCATGTAGAAGAACGTCTCGGCGAGAGTAGGATTGACTCACCCATCCTCTACTTGCACTGAGCGGGCTTGGATGCACGCTCTTGAGTATTAAATGCCGCTCCTTGTTGACTTCCTTAACTCTATTGGCGGCAGGATTACCCCAAGCTAAGAACACCACGCCCTGGTTCCGCGTCTTCGCCACTGTATCAATCACCTTCTGGGTCAATTGCTCCCAACCTTTACCCGAGTGCGAATTAGCCTCTGCGCGTCTCACGGTCAGACACGTATTGATCATGAGAACGCCACGCTCGGCCCAAGGCGTCAGAAGACCGCCATTCTTGGGTGGAGACTGGAACTCTGGATAATCCTTCTTGAGTGCAATGTAGATATTCTTAAGGGAGGGGGGCGCTGCGGTCGGTGGACGGACGGAGAAGCAAAGCCCATGAGCTTGGTTGGGGCCGTGGTATGGGTCCTGGCCCAAGATGACAGCTTTCACGGTGTCAAGGGGAGTGTGTCGAGACCTATGCCGGACCATTGATGAGAAATTGAAGCAAGGTTGAGCAAAGGTACTATATGCAGACATACCAGGAATACACATCCTTCATGGGTGGATACACCGTCTTGCCAGCTGCCAATTCTTTCTTGAGGAACCGCTTCAAGTTGAGAAATTGAGGTGAGACTAGCACATCCTTTAGATGAGGCAGCCAGCTGTCATGCAGAGTGTCAATCTCCAATTGGAGAAGATCTTTCTGTTCGTCGGTGAGATTCGAGACCCAGTCCTCTTTCTTGAACTCGGCTATCTCAGGTTTAGGCTTCACCTTGGGAGCACCGAAAAATGATGTGATGCTTCCATTGGCCTTCGACTTCTTTGCGGCATCAGTGGCGACATCTGCTGCCTTGCGCTTGAGACTCATGATGGGCCTAATGCAATGCTGATGGGGAACACCCAGTCACTGTTAACAACAGGAAAAGAGGGAATCAAATATGTAGATCTCGAAGCACTATGAGGAGAATGTGTTGGATCTTAAAGTATGGTAAATAAAGGAGAGGGGCGAAGAGCTGTATATACCTAAGGTAGAGAAGGGGTGTTGTCTGAAGATGTGAGCTGTCGCGTCGTGGACTGCCAGGCAGCGACACGCGACGATGGCTAGTTTAAGCCAAAGTAGGTCTAGCGGAAACGCGACTTATCCAATCGTCACGGGTAACTAGTAATTGCTTTTTGTCGACAAGACGTCGCTTCTGCACGCGCATGTACTGGGAAAATACACATTTCACTCTTCACCGTACACTTATCAAGTGCTTCACTGAACGATTGTCAGACCAGGCTTGGTTCCCCATATTTCATTACAAGGTATAGCCCCGTTGAATCATAGTCTGGCCTGCACTTTGCCGCTCCATGTGACCTGGCGTTTGCGTGTAGGCACAGAGTCACAGGCGCGTTACCTAGAGGAGTGATGTCATTTGTCCATCTTTCCAAGAACAACTCTTCACTGCTTGCAGGGTATTGGACAAGGCAAGTGTGACATAAAGCGATCTTCGATCGTCTCATGGGCAAATCCCATCATTGGTTCCCCATGCAGTGTAGGATTGCCATTCCAGTGATTTGATTCAAAGGCTGCAACCTTGCGGGGTTGCGGAGGAAACTCCTACCCAGATATATAAATAGGCCTGCTTGATCGCAGGCCTTCTGGAATCCATCATTCATCCAACTCTTCCATTTCACACTCCATACTTGCAAATCTCACCTCACAAACCTATCGAACAAGATGGCTTCCACTAACCCAGGCAACTTTGCCAACCGTCCCACCGAGGAGGTTCGAGAGATTGCTGCCAAGGGCGGTCATGCTTCTCACGGTGGCTCCCATCAAACCTCTGAGGTCCGTATAGTCCAGGATCAGATCAAAGGAAGAGATGCTAATCCACAAAGTAGCCGGGCCGCAACCCTGACGGTACTTTCACCAAGGGCTCTGAGGTGGCGAGGGAGCTTGGGGCCAAAGGAGGTCACATTGCACAGGAGCATCGCGAGGAGAATCAGGCTATCGAGGAGGCCGGTGTGAGTGTATCGAAGCAACATTTACCATCAAGCCCTCTTCTAACTTACATCTAGCGTAACCCGGATGGTACTTTCAAGAAGGGGAGCGAGCTAGCTCACAAGCTCGGCGCTCAAGGAGGGCATGCCGCTCACGAAGGTGCCTAAGATCTCCAAAGATGGACTCTGAAAGTGCTCGTTGAACGTGCAGGTGAACATTGATGAGCATTGTTCGCTTGGACTGGTCTGATTGAGGCTATCTCGACAGAGGATGGGTTGGGCTCTTCATGGCAACGACTAATGGACCTTACGAAATCAATATGCTTCTACCGAGTGTAATGAAAGTAATGAACGCCAATGCAAGATATTATGACTGGCGCTGTATCGAAATGGCAACGTAGAAGCTGTTTTAGGTGATGGTATTGAACTTATTTAATCACCTTATGTAAACTCCAATCGACTTCTGGCGGTGGGCGCCCACCTAGCATGCTCACCAATGTGTACCTTTTTCTTCCAGGGCCCTTCTAGCTAAGAGCATCAACACACATCCTTTCTCAATTAGTGCTTTATCCTAGGGGTGGTGCGTAAGTAGCTGTTCGGCAAGAAAGACAAAGAGAATGTTGCTAGGAAATCCATAGGAGTCTTGTTCGTCTGCCCAGCATTGAATGTCTTTGTCCAAGCAGGCGCTTTTTAGTAGAACTAATTAGCCCAACGAGCTCACGCGCTCCGGTTTGATGGATTGCGCTTGACGTGAGGTATAAAAGCTCATTGGAACCTCTCGTAGTAGAGTATGGCATCGTTCAGCAAACCCACCCGTCAGAAGATCGACTTTCTCCACGCACGTTATGGGTCCATGGCCGCCTCGTTAGCCCCCGTTCACAGCGATCAGTCCACGTAGGTACGAACAGGGCTAAGCGTAACCCGCACGCCTAGGGATCCCATCCCATCCCGTACACGCCGACAGTACATACATATGCAAAACCACGCGCCGTCGCAACCACTCGTTTGCAGATGCGCAATGCCATGTGCCCGCGTTCGTATTCTGCGCATTACCGTCCAATCTGATGAACAATATCGATCTATGTATGGAGTACATTGCTGTAAGGTATTGACAGCCATGATGCAGGACCGATCGGTGTAGTGGTCAGTCAGTCAGTCAGTTAGGATTCCTTATGCGTCCTAGGACTAATTACGGAGTACCAATAATGGACCCCTCACCCTGCTTCGCTGGCAAAGAGAGAGGGAGACGGAGGGAGAGGGAGAAAAGAAAAAGAAAAACAGAAAAATGACCTGGGATACCGTGAGCCTGGAACGAGGACGAGACGAGGGGGGCGGTGAGGAAACTGAGAAGAAGTCCCAACTGTCCAAGCCTTTCGAGAAGCACACAGAGAACAAAATCCAGGCGCCTCGTCCAAACGTTAGAGTGAACAATAATGAGTGGCATTATTGAGTTTAAACTATTACTCGTACGGCGGGGTGAAGACGGGGCGAAGTTCTCATTATTCATGCTGTTGTTGGTTGGACCGGGAGGGCTATTTAGGCGAATGGAGGATGCGCTCCGGTGCCCGCATCCCTGGCCTTGGGACCTACACCACCTCGATTACCCTCCAGCTGGGTTCTGCCTCTCCCACGAGTCGTCCGACACAGGAGCCTCGCCATGACTGCCCTGCCCGACAACATGTCGCTCACCATTCCGGTGCCCCCTCGCGACAACAGTCCGCCTTCGTCGATCGAAGCCCTGAGCCCGCGCTCCATCATCGAAGCCGATGTATGTGATTTGGCCCGATATCCACCCATTGCGGTCCTAGGGACGCGGTCCCAGCCATACACTTAGAATGTCAAGCTAATTCACGATCTTTACGTAGTCTGACCCTTCGGATGGGCAGGAAAGCTGTGGCACGTAAGTCGCCCTCTTTGTTTGCTCGACGGTTCGTCGCGCTCACTACATATCAGGAGTACAAAGTCCGTCAATCAGAGTATATTCGACTTCGTCCGCGAAAATGGAAGGACATACCACCGCTATCAAGCTGGCTGTAAGCATTGGCACATTCTTCAGTGCAATCTAGGTGCTCAGAGCTAATGTTTTCCCAGCATATATGTTTCCCAACGACCAGGTATCTACACCATCACCTTGCCGGCCTTCTGTTCGGTGCCGAGGCTCAACGATAACAACTGACACATCCGGTTTCAATAGTACGAGAACGAGCGCTTAGACCTTCAATATGAGATTCTCAAGGTGCTGTTCAAGGGTCGTAATTACTATGCACCTCTGAAAGAGCCCCGCAAGATATTGGACATTGGTACTGGTACGGGAAAGTGGGCGATTGAAATGGGTTCGTGGCAGCATAACTTTCGGTCAGAGGGCGTTCACTTGCTGACATTTAGCAGGAAACCTATTTCCCCGCGCAGAGGTATGGGGTATAGACTCTACATTGGTAGTTTTTCTAACATTTGGGAAGGTCACCGGGACTGATTTGTCACCCATTCAGCCGGAATGGTATGTATAATTATCTGCGTAACAACATTTCAAGGAGTCGAGTCTAATGGAAATAGGGTGCCGAACAACGTTAAATTCGTCATTGACGATGCTAATGAGGAGGACTGGATGTTGGATCCACATGATTACATACATTCACGAGTTCTTATGGGATGCTTCGAAGACTTCCGCGAGATAATTGCGAAGTCCTATCGCAACCTCAAGCCTGGTGGTTGGATGGAGTCTCAGGAGTACATGCCGACAGTCTACTGTGATGATGGGACGATGGGTACCGACTACGGCTTTGCGGAGTGGACACAGACGCAAGACAAGGCTGCCATGAACATGGGTCGTCCTCTACGCATTGCCAACAAGCTCAAACGATGGTATGAGCAAGCGGGCTTTGTCGACGTGCACGAAGAAGTTTACAAATTACCAATCAACTCCTGGCCGAAGGATCCTCAGTGGAAGATGCTTGGTCGTTTCAACGAGACCAACCTGTTGGACGGATTGCAAGCTTTCAGCCTTCAACCCTTCCAAAAAGGATTGAGCTGGACGAAAGACGAAATTGAAGTGTACTTGGTCCACGTGCGCAAAGCTCTCTCTGACCGTAACGTACATGCTTATCATAAGATGTATGCCTTTCACTCTCCTACAGTATGTCGTTCTATGCTGACAATCCCAGATATGTCGTATGGGGTCGGAAACCGTTCGACCATGAACTTGGGGTCCCAAGCCCGCCTTCGCATCCACCGCCGCCGCCACCAGAATCCTAGGCTGGTGCCTTGCATGACATGCCCTCTCTACGCGTCACGAATTTCCTTGTCGTCTCTTAGCATTTCTCGGTGCAAGCAATCTTCTTTGGTGGTTTTTTTCGGAGTTATATATCTCTCTCTCGCGTTTCCCAGTTGCACAGTGACGGACATCTAGCATTAATGGAGCTAGGCGTTTGGCACATATGCACACATAATTGCAAGGCGGTATTGTACTTGTTTAAAAGCAACCGCATGGGCGATACAATGTGGTGTCGAATATCGAGAGCTAGGCGTATCATTTGTACGTGGAAGGAGATCTAATGACGGGAAACAAATTGGGAATGAAAACTTTTTCCTTTTCCTGGAGGAATCTTTGTTATTAAGTTTTTCTCCATCATTCGGTAAAATTCCTGAACCCCTTATCCCTTGCTTTTGCAGTTTGAACAAGCTTTTAATCCATGGGCTCGTATTCCTATTCTGTCCAGTTAGACTCCTTCTCGGCAGGCTGTCCTTGCTGTCTGGAAACCGATGCTTGCTTGACAAGACCGTTTTCTATGTCCCAAGTGGCCCTATAAGAGTTAGGGTCCAACGAACAGGAGGCTGAATTGCCTTTCTCCTCGGAGCGAACTGGTCATCTCTAATTGGCTCTCCACTATGCTAGGAGCAGATAAGGGAACCACAATCATCCCGCGCTGCTCGGGAGCTAAATCTTTACTCTAACCACAGACGATGTCCATGCGTTCAACATCAGCCCGACCGATCGCTCCACAGATATCAACCGAATGTCGGATGGCAGAACATGAGGCGAGGCATCTTCGAGATTTTATAAGAGCTTCCGTGCGGTTTGAAGGTTATCTGGAGCAATTAGTCCCTTCCTGCTGGTGAGAAAGCTGTCTGTTCTTTCATACCTTGGCAACTATCTCTTCCTTATGAATAAGCTATGCTCGGCCAGTCATGGGCTTGGGTAAGGATGGCTGGGCGACAAGCCAGTGCGACACGATACCAAGGGCGTCCACGGGGCGCTATGGGAAAGACTTAGTTCCGGATTGTACGCTCGAGATGGACCGCGGAGAAAGCAGTTTCGACTGCTTTATATATGCGCTCCCTCTCCCTTCCCCCAGATTGAGAGAGACTGCGTATCACTGATAAGGCCCACATTAAAAGATGCACAGTATACAGCATAGCTACTATCTAGCCACTATCCAAGACTCTCTAGATAAGGAGTTTCGCCATTCGGAACCCATCACGGCCAATCAAAGATGCATCATATCAGTGACAGTCAATACGTACCGACTATTATCTTGTGGTAAATCTTCATTACCTCTTTGGCCGCATCTGACCCTACTGACATTATTGGTCTGTTATAATTCCATGGTCGGTCTTAATCACCAGCTGCATATTTGGCCAAAGATGCATCATATGCGATTGTCTCCGGGAGGCTCTGGCTTATAGCCAATTCTTCGATCTGCAGCCACCCGGCGCCGTTGATGCCTTACGAATGCAGCTGGAGTGATCACTATACCCCGGTTGTGCTAGAGAAACAGATAAGTGAACGGCGTAGTTAGGGAATTCACGGGAGGACCCAAGGGCTGATAAACATATTGGGGGGATCTTACTCCCAGCAGTACGTCAACACAGTCTTCTTTGATACAGGGTCAGATATAAATATACATTCAAGACTTTGTTCAGCCTTCATCCGACTCATCCATTCTACTAACACGACATCGCTACCATCACTGACCACGATCAACAATTTCCTGGTCAGAAATCTGTCGAAACAAAATCTAACCTATCTTTTCATTATCATTCCTTCATTGTCAAGATATCCATCATGGCGCGATTTTCCCAGTTGTGGGAATCCCCCCAAGTGAACCCCGTTAGCCAAAAGGCAAGGTCGATCCCCTTCTTGAACCCGTTCACCAATGTTTATGGAAGAGTCTTCTTCTTTTCGTGGTTTGGTTTCATGATAGCGTTTTGGAGTTGGTATGGTACGTGTTGTCCTCCTTTTTCAATAGCATGGCAGGAGCCTGCTCGTTCGCTTGTCCCCTATTCCCTTACACACAAACCGCAACTTCAACTTCATCACAACTGACATGGATCACAATTATAGCCTTCCCACCACTTCTGGCCGATGTTATTGCGCACGATATACACATGAAACCCTACCAAGTTGCCAACTCCAATATCATCGCACTGACAGCTACGTAAGTTCATCATCTCTCTCTGTCCACAAGCCCATCACTAACGTTGTCAGCCTTATTGTTCGGCTTATAGCAGGCCCTTGCTGTGATCGTTTTGGTCCTCGAATCACTTTCGCTGGCTGTCTGTTGGCAGGAGCGGTGCCCACCTTCCTTGCAGGTGCCGTTTTCAATGCGTCTGGTCTTTAGTAAGCTCCCAGTGCCTCCAAAGTGACATCAAATGCTAACATCAAATAGTGCCCTTCGTTTCTTCATCGGTATCCTCGGCGGCAGCTTCGTGCCTTGCCAGGTCTGGACGACAAGTTTCTTCGATAAGAATGTTGTAGGCACGGCGAACGCGCTGACAGGAGGCCTTGGCAACCTTGGTGGAGGTATAACGTATTTCGTCATGCCCGCTGTTTACAACTCTCTCGTACAGGATGGCCTGAGCACATCCAAGGCCTGGCGAGTATCCTTCGTCGTCCCAGGCATCTTGATCATCTTCGTCGCCGTGTGCCTGCTTTGTCTCTGCCCCGACACGCCTTCCGGATCCTGGAACGACCGCTTCGCCGTTGCTGAGGAGAACCTCCGCCGCCTTTCTGTGGAAGGCATCGTCACTGTTCCTGGTCAAATCAGCGAGGCCACTCCTGCTTCCACGAATTTCTCATCTCCCAACTCCTCGAACCCTGCTCTCGTGAGGGAAAAACCACATGGCTGGAAGGACAATGAGGCACAGGTGTCTGATAAGGATATGCTCGCAACAGCCCAGGGAGAGCTTATCCAGAAGCCATCCTTCAAGGAAGTCTTCTCAGTCATGTTCTCTCCTCAGACCATCGTCACTGCTGCCTGCTACTTCTGCACATTTGGTGCCGAATTGGCCATCAACTCCATCCTAGGAAACTACTACATGGAGAACTTCACCACACTTGGCCTACAAGAAACCGGCAACTGGGCTGCAATGTTTGGTTTACTCAACGGTGTCGCAAGACCACTCGGCGGCTACATGAGCGATCTTGCATACCAACAGACCAAATCAGTGTGGATGAAGAAGGTAGTCCTTCACACATACAGCATTCTGACTGGTGTGTTCTTGATCATAATCGGAGTCCTAAACCCCAAGGATCAGGCAACCATGTTCGGCCTCGTCGCTGTGATGGCAGTGTTCCTCGAGGGTGGCAATGGCGCAAACTTTGGACTTGTGCCACATGTACACCCATATGCAAATGGTGTTGTCAGTGGTTTCACAGGTGCAGCTGGAAACTTCGGAGGAATCATCTTCGCGATCATTTTCCGATACAATGGCAAGGACTACGCGAGAGTTCTCTGGATCATTGGCGCCATCACCATCGGTATCAACCTGGCTGTATCTTGGATCAGGCCTATACCAAAGGGGCAAGTCGGCGGTCGTTGATTAAAGAACATTGGGGGTTGGAGAAAAATATATCATCAGCATTGTTTGTTGCTTTCCAGTCACGATTAGCGTTTAGATTTTAGAACCAGAGATATCCAGGACTACCATACTGTCCAAAACTTCTATGAATATGATAGACTTTTACACTACATGCTCTTCATCTCTTTGGAATAGACATGATATGCTACCGTCCTCATACAATCTAAGCACACGATTAAGTGTATCTCGCTCTTCCCTATGAACCCGGAACCACGATGATTCGACTTGGGACGTTGTCGTGTTTTTCTTATCTTGTTCAATTTTACTATAAGCTTGCCCGATCTTTTTGAATAGCTTCATCATTGCCACTGTGAATGTTCACCACTGCACTGCACTAAGATAGTCTTGAACATGCCTTGTGACGTCATTCACGTCCCTCGGATCATATCATTCGCTATAGGGCGAGAATAGCCGTCAGTATACAGTCAAGATGACCAAGTTTTTCTATAGTAGTGCGTGTAATTTCCGCATTGATATTGTTGTATTTACAGGAGATTTCTCAATCTTTGAACAACATCCTTGTGCAAATGATGTCTCCCACATCGCCCACTCTTCCATGGCATCCAATACCTCGATCGCCGTCGGGCGAAACATGCAAAGTACATTTACTGCAAGCTGGAGGGCTCAACATACCATATGAGCTTACTCTCCTCCCAGGACCTAATGAACCCAATGTATCCACCTCTTTGGATAACAACAACCAGAAAGGAAAACATTTCTACGCCCCCGACTACGTGTTCCTAATCCAGCACACCCCAACAAAAGAGCAATACGTCTTTGATCTTGGCATGAGGACCGACTTGGAGAATCTGCCTCCATACTTGGTGAAAAACACACTACCCGTATTCAAATGCGATCCGATAGCGGCCGCCGACATAATCAGAAAGCATGGCACGCCCGAACAGCAGCCTGAGAAGGCCAAGGCGGTAATCTTCTCGCACATGCATTTCGACCATGTGGGCGATGGCGCGAAGGCGGGATTCGAGAGCGCTGAGCTTTGGGTTGGCCCGACTTGTTGTACATACGCCCGGCCTGGCTACCCAGTAGAACCCAACGCTCCCGTGTTGACTGAGAACCTTCCCCCGGACGGCAGCAGGAAGATTGTGGAACTGTTTGTTTCCGACGCACTGCTGGAAAGGGCAGGCGATAAGCGAGTTGGTCAAGTTCAGGAGGCAAAGTCCAAAGGTCTGTACGAGGCTGTACACTTTCGGGACCCTGGAGATGAAGGTTGGATCGGTGTGGCTGCATTTGATCGCGCTGTCGACGTCTTCGGAGATGGGTCAGCTTATCTCATCGATGCGCCTGGCCATTCTGCGGGTCATCAGATGATGTTGGTTCGAGTGAAGACGGGAGGTACTGATGATGACCACTTCGTGCTGCTTGCAGGCGATTGCTATCATCATCCCGAGCTACTTCAGGACCCTCGGAGCATGGCTCGACCGCCATACTCTAAGGGCTCCATGCATTTGATCCCGGAGGTTGCCATTGAAACTGTGTATAGGACGAGAGCTTGTGCTCAACGGGATAACATTTGGGTCATCGGCGCCCATGACTTTAGTGTTGGAAACGAAATCTGCTCGGATAGAAAAGTCATCGAAGGTCTTGTTTCCCTCGACGATTGGAAAGAGAGAGGGTGGAAAAATAGACTGGTCTGATACATCCCGCACTCAATGCAATGCTACAGCATGTATTTTGCGTTTTGGTCCGATGTCCAGTTTCGAGACCGATGAGTTTTGTAGATTGCCACACCATTGTCGAGGATTGGCCAGACTTGTTCCATGTCGGGATATTCAGTGATCGGAAATAGCATGGTGTAAACAGTGGCCGGATAGCCAGCATGAAACATCGTGCTGACTCAGTGAACATCCAAGTCGTCAATTCACCAACAGCGTCTTACCATGCCGCGTTGTTGTTATCTCCATAGTGATTTTTGTTCCATAAGCGCAATTGTTCTTCAGACAAGAATACCCTGGTGCGACGAAACTCGGCACCAAGCTTGTCTTTGCAATCAACCAATCCAGATGTCCCCTTCGTGATGTCGAACCCGGAAATGGGCCCACAGCTATCGACACATGTCGCATCCGCATACCCAAAACCGCAAGCCCCAAGACCGTCGAAAAAGCTTGTCTCAAGGTCCGCGTCCTCGGAAAGCGGCATCTTGATCGAATTGGTAATACCCTCGTAGGGCTGAGTCGGTTAAGTTCCGCTGGGCTAGGCGGGGCCAACGGTATGCAGAGACGGGTGCTGTCTCAGATCCCGTGCGTGCGGCCGGCCTATCGCTGGGGCTATGGTGAGTTCGGCGACGGTTGGTGTTTGAGTGGCTGGGGAGCATGAGATGAAGTGGCGTGATTTCTGCATCCAAGGACCTGGGAGTCTGTACGGGAGTTGTTTGATTAAGCTTGGGATTACCGGGTTCATCTGAGAAATCAGCTCATCAGGAGAAGGTCAAGACTCAAGAGTTTGAAGTTGAAATTTTTGATTTTTTTGGGTTTATTCGTGTAGATATCTAATTTCTGCTGGCTATTGCTTCGCAGAGCTTCTGTCTAGGTAATCAAGCCATCTCAAAAGCTGCAAGCAGCTTGGAGACCGCATGATTGGACTCGGAAGTTTGGGGAATATGATTATGTCCGAATAAACACTAACAGAAGAAAAAGCCACAGCAGTGACGAAAAAGGGTAGTAGAGGATAAGACTATATACCGAATTGAGGCTCGAAAGTTGTTATGGAAAAATGGGTTTGTTAAGATGCAAATGCGCTAAAGGGGTTACCTCAATTAACCCAGAAAACAATACAGCTGATGCACTTTCTCTCTTCTTGGATATCATTAGCGGCGTCTAGAAATTTTCCTTGCCCCACACGAAGTTGAAGCCAGGTTCAGAGTACATATTACACTTTACGTGCAATGTGGAACCGAGACCTTTGGGACCACAGAAGAAGACTCCTGCTTCGGCGGGTGAGTGAATCTTCCTGATGGACTTGAAAATCATGTCCCAGTTGGGACGGCCGAAATTTGTTGGTGCGCGGAGTCCTGTAATGGCATCTTGTTCTGCGTTGGCATCGTTGATCATGATGTTGGTCGCGTCGTCTGCTTTGATCTTTGCCGTGAGATAGGTGTGGATTTCGATGTGGTCGTCCAAATCCTGCGCTTCAATGGCCAACAATAACGACCTGAACCACTCAAACGATCCGAAGTCTCGGCAGATCCAGAAGAAATAGACCTTTCGAAGTCTTGTCTTTCCTTGCGGGTAGTTCATCCGGTACCAGATACTCTTGAGAATGGATGCGAAGGGAGTCACACCGATACCAGCACCGACTAGGACTGCAATTTCGAACTTGAAAACATCCTCAGAGGCAGATCCAAAGGGTCCATCTATGTAGACACGGGGTAGAATCTTGCGTAATGCGACGTCGTTGCCATCATCGCCCTTGCCCTTCTCGCCTCCAGCTTTTCTATCAAGGCTGCAACCGAGAGCCTTGCCAAATGCCTTGGTGAAATTACCGACCATACGGATATGGACTGAGATGTAGTCTTCCTCGGGTGCACTTGTAAGCGTAAATGGATGGTATTGCCAGACGGAAACTTCGGGGCAGCAGAGGAAAATGTACTGTGCGTATTGGTCAGTGGCAAATGGAACAAAGTTGGTAACTATAACTTACCTGGCCGGCCTGTGTCTTGGTGTGCTCTTTCTTGATTTGGACTTCGACGACATTGCTGGGATGCTGGATAACCTTGGAGATGAAAGTCTTGTGCCTTCCTCGAACCTCACGAGAGATGCGTTCAGCCAGATAAGCGAATCCACCATACATCCAGTACTCCCAGAAAACACCAATACCAGCACAGAAGGGTTCGAAGTCGGGTTTGATCATGCAGAATGCTCCGTGGATGGACCAGAAAACGAAGAAGATGATAAATAGGTGGTGAGTGTACCAGAATCGCTCGAATTGAGCACGTCGAGGGGCTTCCATCGCAGTAAGCACCATTGCGGTCAAAGCGACCAACATGATGTAGCCAGTCCATCCCGGTCCGGTCAATAGGTTGGCAGCAATAAATCCCTTGAAACCAAGCTTGTTCTTTGCGGAAAATCGAGCAAGATTGTTCCAGTGAGCGATTGTGTGAACCCAAGAGAAGAAGAAAATCGACCATCCGACCAGCTTGTGAAATGTGATGTTCTTGTCGAAAGGAATGATACCATTCAAGGGCGTTCGGCGGACCATGGAGATCAAGTTTCTGCAAACGGGAAACAGGATGAGAGCTACGTCAACGTGGAGCGTTAAGGCCGCTGAACGAGCAATGGGAAACGTGAGACCGAAATCGCGTCGAGCGTTATTCGAATTATCCTATCGTTGTGTTAGCAAGCGCTTGCGACTTACGTCAAGAAGCACAAATTAGTCCGTACCTTAAATCCGTAGTGCATCATGCCAAAAACGAAGACCATGATGTGTAGAATCAAGAATACGAAGACGAATCTGTTGGGGTCAGTCAAGTCAATCGAATGGGACGATTTCTGAAGCGCATACAATCGCCGATATCCCTCGTTCACCATCCACCTATCGATCTTTTCTTTCAGATACAGTTGTCGCGGTTTTTCGTCGGACATCTCGCCCGACATCAACATTCGGGTGAGTGGCGGCCATCTTGATCGCTCTCGACCCGTTAGACTTGAGTAGCCAGACATGGCTTCGGAGGGGAGCGAAGGTGTTGGTCGACGGCGACGTAGGGGCCCGGTATTAGGTGTCGCCTTTGTTCAGAGCCTGCTGAAAGTGGCCTAAGATACAATTCAAAGAATAAAAAGAATGGATATCGGATCTATAGAAGAGAATGTCAGTAAATATGGTGGTGGATGGGAGGCGCTGCCATTGCCATGATGGTGGTGATGATGTTGGAAGTCGAGTGAGTACGTACTAACAGTGGTGCCCGCACATAAGAAGAGAAGTCAAGTCACAACGGGAAAGGGAACTGCTTCAGGACCGGTTAAAGAGTCACCGGCATGAAAACGGAGAGGCTCTTTCGAGTACAGTATGGGAAACAAAAGACTATAAGCAAAGCACTTGTACGAAGAAATGGGGCTTATGGGTGTGGTGGGGAAAGGATACAATATCATATCATGGCGGCACCAAGTGGATATGCCAGTCACGGACGCGTGGAGACGGAAGCAAAGCTTAATGGTAAGTAACAGGATGATTGTAGGCAAAGAAATCGAACCACTTTTCGGAGGGCTTGCACCAGAAAAGTTGCGACAGGAGGATGGCGACGAGCTATGAAGGCGTATCGCAGGGAGGAGGTGCGGCGCCCAGAGCCACACAGGTACGGGGAGACGAGTCAGACGACCAATGGGGACAATGATCAGCGCCCAGTTCGGACAGGTTCAAGCACGATTGGCATAGTCTGAATATCTGAAACCCGAAAGGCTATGGCAGTCTGTACTTTTTCCCATTTCTCCCCCTTAGTGGGAGCGGTTAGGAGAGCGTGCACGACGTTTGAGTGGTGTTTGGAGCCCCGGTCTCAAAACCGAAGCGAGTTTGAGGTCGGCGCTCTAGTCGATTGTCCGACACCTTTCTCTGTCTAAATCTCTCGTGAGTCTAGTAAAGGGAGTCGTCACCTCTATCTCGGTCTCTCTCTATCTTACGTACTGTGCAGAGATACCCTGAATCTTCGTACATACTAATTACATGATCCTGATGAATGATCTGATATAGGCTAGGCAGACGACTGACTGTCATGAGCAATCGAACCCCTTCAGGTTTCCTTCGTACATTACTCATGTGCGACCACAAGGACAACAACACTCTATCGTGAGACGTCTTTCGGTGGCTGCCGGGGCTGTGACCTGACAGTCGCACCGTTTGCACGCAGCATGTGGGTCGAACTCCAGCGGTAACTGACGTTTGGCCAAGGGAATGTAACGATCTATGAGAGCAATGATGGGTTCGGCAGTTCCCCTATTACAATAGCCATTGATGGTTACTGGTCGTGGATGTGAGCCACTCGCCAATCCATATGATATGGACGAACTATATCATTACACAGTAGATGTATGAAGTACCCCGTACTTGAATGTATGTACGATGATTTGTACAAATCCACCGTACTTCGCTGCCCTACCTATGCACATAATAGTCCGGTGCCTAGTCCAGTCTTACCTTGGCGATCCCGGCGGCTATACGTTCGTGCCATTCTACCTTTCTTTCATCCCATTGTGTATATTGGCATTGATTCGCACTCGTAAGCGCCCGAAAAGCGAAAGCTCCGAAGCCCCCTAGGGACGGGTTGATTCCGCCTGGGAAAGAGTTTGGGCTCGAGTCGAACATCTTTCAAGAATTGCATCACGGATATTGCGGCACGTTCTTCACAATGTCCAAACGCACCCTTTCAAAGAGCTAGAGTAATATGGTGTTTCTCATACGTTTCTATTTCGGATGTCTCTCCACCACATTTCGACTTCCCTGTGTGCCCTTTTCCGACCATCTTTCCAGTTGTTCCATAAAACATCTGTCGTCTTAGGTCACCGTTGCTGCAAGGAAGCTTATCTGGGGAAACACCCGCAGAAACACGGTTGGAACTGACCATCGTCTACGAATCTCATTTATAGCATAAGAAAACCACCGGAAGCGGAAATAGACTGTCCCGATATCCATTTCGACTGTTCCTCTGCGAGCCATCCCACTACTTGCGCTATCTCCTCACTGGTGCCCACCCTATGTCCTACAGGTGTCGTCTTCAGCTGGATGTCGACAAACTCTTTATCGACATTGTCTAGCATTTCGGACGCTGTCGGTCCCGGATTCACCGTGTTCACAGTATGACCATCGTCTCCGAGTTCCGCAGCCCAACATCGCGTCAAGCCTTCCAGTGCAGCTTTGGAAGAACAGTAAAGAGCCATTTTAGCGAACCCTATGCGTGATCCAACGGACGAAACGTTGATGATTCTACCAGGTGCTCGTAGGTGCAGCAACACGGCCTTCGTCATCAAGATGGGGCCGCGTACGTTGACATCGAACATCCGCGCATAATCTTCTGGCGTTGTGTCAAGGATAGTCCTATCGAACTCGACAGCAGCATTGTTAACGAGGATGTCAACAGACTGTCCGAAGGTTTCTAAGGTTGCTGCCACGATCTTGTCCCCCGCTTCTACCGTGCTTAAGTCTGCTTGGACCTTTGTCGCTCGACTTCCCGTTCCTAGCTTTTCGATTTTAGAAACGACTTCAGAAGCCAAAGCTTCGCTTCCAGGTGAAGTGAACACGATAGTAATCTAATCAATGGTTTGTGGTTAGTATGCATCTGCCATGGATATGGTCGACCTACATTGGCACCTCTCCGCGCCAGCTCTATCGCTATGCTTGCACCTATTCCTCGGGAGCTACCGGTAACGATAGCTACCTTTCCCTTGAGCGGGAGGTGTTGTGGTGAAGAATGATCTTTAGAAGGTGAAGATGACATGATGAGTTGAGGTTATTTTGGTGAATGTTTATTGAAGCGGAAAGCCTGCTAAATTTTAATCTCTGTCATTACATTCATGGTCCTTTTAAATAATTTCTCAAGCCACTTTCATAGAGTTTCTACATGGTGTTAACGTCAAATCACTTGCTTATCACCTGGTTGTCCATTCTCTTGGGTGGCTCCGATGGGACAACTGGCTACCGATAGCTATCGGAAGCTACAGACGCATATGCCTGACTGTTGATATACAAGAGAATTTACAGCAAATAATACGCCTTGCATCTGGAGTATGACGCTCCTTCGCAGAATAAAAGCAGAATAGGATAAAATGATACAGCGCCGAGATCAGCACTACTCGCCGATGGTTGTCGGGCCTTCATCCAGGTAGTAGACCTACGTCAACATCGTGACTTTATCATCTACAGAACTTTTAATGTATTTATAAAGGTCCCTATTGTATACCAATGCTATGGAATCCGTACATCTGGGATTGTCGAGGATGCAAATATCTACCCAATGTGGAGGTGTGTATCATGATCACGTGATTTAAAACTTTTCACACAATCAAGTGACCTCTCTGATTCTGATAAAGAATGTGTCGTGCAAATCTGCACAGCCATGATTTTAGGTCGATTCGTACTCAGATACCAACGTAGTAAGATGGAAGTTGGTGATACGGAGTGTCGGTTGTCAACGTCAAGTTGCAGGGTTAGCATTGTTGTCTAGCCCGACTTACGTGAGCCATCGCAAGCGAGGGGAAATCTCCTCTCCGCCAGTTCCCTCGACTACTGTTCGCGCAAGATCAACCATCATTTCTCAAAATATACATTTGGCGCGACACTGACTACCAGGTTTCTGATATAAAGCAGACTCATATTACTACTACTAACTTCCATAGCTAAGCAATTGCCATCCTTCATCCTATCGCCATGGCCGGAGTCAAAAATGAGAATGAGCAGGAAAGGCCCTCGAGGGACTCTCCTGAGCGCGGCAAGAAGCGAATAAGTCAGTTTTCAATTCCTCTTGTAGATTCTTCCGAATCTACACACGGTGGGTTCGATATCATAGACCACCCCTCATTATCACTTGCGACTTTCCGGTCGCTCTCCAATGCAAGAGTTGATGACTGACATTGGTACCTTCTACCTACAGGAACCTCGAAATCCCTTCCACCACCCGACCTCCCCAAACTTGTCGCCGAGCAGGCTACTCCCATTCCTAGCACCGATAAAGACACTCAACGCCTCATCGTTGTTCTCTGCAATGCCACTTTGGAGACTTACAAGGCCTCCCATGGGTCCGCACGTGGACCCGGCGGTCGCGAGGACAAATATAATTTATTGAACAGCGACGACCACATTGGCGTCATGAGGAAGATGGGGCGAGATATCAGCGAGGCACGACCGGACATTACGCACCAGGTACGTAGCTGCAAATTTTCCGACTTGAAAAATAATCAAAAGGTAACACTCGACCGTAGTGCCTACTCACCCTACTGGACTCGCCGATCAACAAAGCTGGGAAGCTGCAGATCTACGTCCAGACAGCAAAGAACGTACTCATCGAAGTCAGCCCAACAGTCCGCATTCCACGTACATTCAAGCGATTTGCTGGTCTCATGGTCCAATTGCTTCACAGGCACCAGATCAGGTCTACCACGTCTCAAGAGAAGCTTATTCAAGTCATCAAGAACCCGATCACAGACCACCTCCCTCCGAATTGTCGCAAGGTCACTTTGAGTTTTGATGCTCCTGTGGTCCGCGTACGAGATTACATTCAGGGCTTGGGCCCGAAGGAGAGTATCTGTGTTTTCATTGGTGCTATGGCCAAAGGAAGCGATGATTTTGCGGATTCGATCAAGGATGATTCCATTGGTATCAGCAACTACAACCTCAGTGCTAGTGTAGCATGCAGCAAGTTCTGCCACGCTGCAGAAGATGTATGGAGCATCATCTAGCCGTTCTCATACCGTAACGACTCAACCACTCACACGACACAAACACACCACACAATGATTGCTCCACGGATCTGGAACGCCACCGATGGCCTCGACAATCCATCCGGATTGTCAAAAATATTGGTTTGGCAGCAGGTGGGCACACACTTTAGATCACAACATCGAAAGTGGTGCCACTATGCTTTTTTGAGCGTTCAGGAATGTCTTCGTGTTTTTACAACAATTCCACAAGGCCTCAACGTGCTCAAGAACCCTTGAATCTTTTGTGGAGTAATCAACTTGCTCTACGTCTCCTTTTTTCTCTCCCATGTCTCCTTTTGTCAATACTGGACGCTCTTCTACCGAGTCTGTGCTGTTAGGTGCAGTGAGTCTCGACGATGTAAATTCTCTTCTTCCATATTTGTATGCATATAGACATCTGACATAGTTCTAATGGATGTAATGACGTAAATCTGGGGCATCCAACATCGAACATAACACACACCTCGCTGGCTATGCGTCACTGAAGAAGATGTAGCAGGATTTGCATCATATATATCACCATGCAACGTGATCCTGATTCTGAGGCCTGCAGGCGTTCCAATAAAGATGTATGCATATTACATACTCCGTGCTGTATTCATGTCCCAGCGCATATGGCGGCTCAAGTGAAAAGGAGGGGGAGGGGCAGACAGCTCAACCATCCACATATCTGACATAGGTATGCATGCGCCGAATCGGTGCTACAGCACATACATACATACATACATATGTCCGTACATGGATGACTCGGCCCAACTGTGCTCGATCACGCATGATTAGACGATTACTACAGTAGACAACAGACTCAAATCAGACATTGCAGAAAACCAATGCCTTGGGTCAGTGGATTCCGATGACGCTTGTAGCCTCATCTGATATCATTCAATCGATTCGCGACCATTGCCTTGGTTAACATAGTACTTGTATAAGGAGTACTAGGGAATGCTCGCAGCTTCTTCCCACCGTTCATCCACTACTCTGGCCGTCGAGTGCTAGGGCGTCGCGTGTCACCCACAGCAAAGTTCCAGACCGACGGGAGATCGGGAAATTGTATCACGATCATGGGCCCCAATACCACAAGGATGATAGAATCTACTCCGTACACGATAATTGAATAAAGAAAAGGCTAAATTTTGCACAATGTACAGTACAGTACCGTAATCACGCCTAGATATTCGAGGCAATTGTTCCGTATGGTCGCATCGCAACACAGTAATGATTCTAATGAATAATGTGAGGCGAGAGAACCGCTGGGATCAAGTCGCGGACACGGCCCGCCGTGGGAAGATCCAATCCGCAGTGTTCGCTTCCACCAACGTCTTTAGCTGCATACGCTGGCCATGTGGCAGCTCGAGAGCCCCCTTTGACAACGGACTCCTTGTACACCAACGACATCAGTGGGGCGGACTATACACGGCTTTCCCGTCAATGTATGGATGCCCTGCCTAATGCCTCTCTCTACAAGTACTCTACTTTCTCCGTCAGCATTTCCCTCCGCCTATTATCGTGGTCTCCATATATCGTATTACCATACACACCGCATACAAGTACAAGTACAAAGTACAAGTATCGTGACTTGTCCATTGTGCTTTGCTCCATCATCAACTACATTCCCACCATCATCATCATCCACGGTTGTCTGCGTCTTCACTGACCGCAGACTGTATCATTATCATATTCTTTAAGCATATTTCCAATCGTTTTTCCCATTCGTTCCTATTTTTATATATCTAATACTCATATCGGTCCACCGCTCTTTCGTCCCTTTCAAACATCTACACTTTCCAACAAGCAATATGCCAGTTTCTCACATCGGCCTCACGGTTTCCCATCTTCCAACTTCGTGTTCATTTTTCCTCTCTGCACTTCAGCCACTTGGGTACCGCTTCATTGGACAGCAAGGAAATCAAATTGGTCTCGGAATCCGCGATGCAGACTTCTTCTTGTGCCAAGAATCGCCTGGGTAAGTCTTGCCGGACATGATGAATCGTACAGTCACTGACTCGGAGTACAGTGTAAAAGCCGGAGCTGCACACATTGCATTCACTGCGCACAGCCGGACGGCTGTACGCGACTTCTATACCGCTGCCCTGACCGCTGGCGGTCGACCAAATGGAGCCCCAGCAAACCGAACCGGCGAAGAGGAACACTTCAATGCTGCCATTCTTGACTTCGACGGTAACAGTATCGAGGTTGTGTATAGGAATGGACCAGATATCAGAGACGACGGCACGGTCATGCAGCATAGTCGGGTCATAACATGGCGGAGGACTGTGACTGAGAGTATACGTGACGATAGAAGTGTCGTCAGCTCTCGAACCTCCAAGCCAGCATCGGTCGTTGCTCCTCCTGCTTCGGTGGCACCCTCTCAGGACCCATTCGCAGCTTCTGGTGTCTCCAAAGCTGCAAGCCTGGTTCGGAGTCTGTCTGAGCCTTGTGCTGTTCCTCAGGCCCCCGCCGCGAGTGCAGCACCTGCACCAACCGTCACCGCCCCTGCGTCAAATGGCGATAGTGCCGCGAAGACCATCATCGGAACTCTCCTTGGAGCCGCTGCCGGTGCAGCCATCACCTATGCCATGTGCAAGAGTGAGCGAGATAGTGCTAAGAAGGAGGCAGAGTTCGAGGCCTTCCAGTTGGCCAAAGCAGCATTGCAGACCGCCACAGCCCAGACCAACTCGGAGAGCAAGCTATCCATGCAGGACCCACACCAGATCTACGAGACAACTCCCAGGTCAGTTGTACACCGCAACATCAACGATACCAACTCTCAGTATGCGCCGGCCCAAGCTCGTAGTGTCTACGTCCAGGGCGCAATCGAGCCCGCGCCTCAAAGCTATGTCTCCCAGTCGTACCCTTCCGCTCCGCCTTCCCGAATCTCAGAGCGCAGAGCGATCGAGTATGTCCCCCAGCAAGCGATCGAGTATGCCCCATCTCGACAGGCCATTGAGTATCTGCCGGCTCCTTCCGCCGCGCCCTCACGGTCTCAATTCACCGCTCATCGATCGATGACAAGTCCCGAATTATCCACGGTTTCCAAGGCCAAGAGCACAGCTTCGAGGGCCCACAGCGTTGCCCACAGCGCAGCCCCCAGCACATTGATCTCGTCCTTCGTGGCAGACAAGGAACCAAAGCGCAGCGATGAGGAAAGCGTTTATTCTCATCACACCAGTAGATCCAAGGCCAGGTCGCATGTCTCGAGGCATACGTCTGCATCGAAGCATGGCAGCAAGGCTGAGAGCAGGACCCCGTCTCCCCCTCCGTCAACGATCAAATCGAAGGCAGCTTCCATCGTTGGAAGCATCCTCGGACGGGACAACGAGTCTCATGTGAGTAAGAGGGACAACGAGTCTCGTGTGAGTAAGAGCAGTAGGAAAAAGCATTCTTCTGATGATGACAACGATGAATTCGAGATCGGGGATCTTGACCTTGACGACAACGACACTGTCGTCCCCAGCGACAGTATTTCGCAAATCTCGACTTCGCGTAGGCGTCGCCACCGCAGCCATAAGGATAGAGACAGCAGTAGCCAGGCCGGCACAAGTGTTAGCAAACACAGCTCCGCATCGAAGCACAGCAAACATTCACGACACACCCACCATTCCAGCAGTTCCCGCAAGTCCTCTCACAGCAAGCATGGGGGTTCGTCGGTGCTTACGGATGAGTGGTGGGATACCGACGACCACATCGACAGCAAACGCCCTTCTGTTGTGTCCGAGTCCAGTGATGTTAGCACTGTTAAACCCGTGAAGTCGAGGACCTCAAGGAAGGACTCGGTCGCTGGAAAGAGCGAGTATGACGACATGTTCAACGGCGTGAGTTATGGAGACGGTGGCGTTGCCAGTATCCCTATCCGTGGGATCACACCCAGTATGGTCGCGGCGCAGACCTCGAACAAAAACAGGGGTATGATCAACTATGCCCATGGACAGAGGATGAAACCTTTTGGGGAGTAGAAGATGATATGGGGGCGACTGTATCCCATGTGAAGTATCATGAATTTCCTATATTTCTCTTCGTTATTTGCATCGTACCAATCTCGTCTCTTAGATTTTACGATTTCATGGTCATGACTCTACATGTTGATCAAGCATACTCATTTAGCATAACATCGCATGGCTACTCTCTGTTTTTATGTTTTGGGTCGTTTATATTCTTCTCCTGCTTCCATTTTCACTTCGATGTAGACATTGTAGCATGAACTTGCATTGGGGTTTGCATCTGCATTAGCATCGGCTGCCACATATTCTGTTACCTTTTAGCATTGTCAGTTTGGAGTACTTGTATAAGAATCATAGAAAACCCTTTCGACGACCGATCATACAGTGCCTATTCATATTGGTGACATCTTGGTGACATCCGTACCTATGCAACAGGTATACTGCTGGGAGTGACACGGTGACAAGGGGTGGCAATGCCCATCGCAATGTCCAATTCATAAAGTTGTAATTTGAATCCCTTCATGTCGTTGACTATCTTTGGCTATCTACATAATCTATACCGAATATGACGGTCAAGTATTGAATGCGTGATCCACGGTGTGTTTTTGTTAATGCTTCCTCAAAAGAAGAATTGGAACTTGAAATCTACTAAATGTCCAAAGGCCTACACAGGGCCTACCATCATTCCAAACCAAGATGCATTGATATATCAAGCGTACTAAAGTCTGCTAAAAATAAAAGACGAGTACCAAGATCACTCATATGGGATGGTATCTTCCCATCGCCCTCATCCCATCCTCGAGTCCTGGCAAGTCTAACCGGGCCACGCTAGTGCCACGGGAAGCTCAATGACATGCAGCGGGCCATACCATAGTAACCATACCATACCTATTATTGCCCCTCCACCAACCAACCAAAGCTACGATCTCCCCTTCCCCCAAAGAAAAAGAAACCAACGACAACATCCCTCCTCCCATGCAACGATGAGTTTCGCACGGGGCGAGCGCGTCCACTTCGACTTCGATACCGGCAGTATCGAGCCTGTCTCGGGCGGAGGAGGCGAAGGCGAGGGCCAGACGAACGAAATTCCAGAAGCGCGAGAACCCGCGACCGCAGCCTTCGTTGGCGAGATCTTCGAGCGCGCACCGGCGCAGAGCAATCCTCCCCAGGCCCCATCGTTCAAGGCGACCGGAACCACGGGGTTTCCTGCACACAAGAAGCGTACGCCCAGGGTATCTGCCTTCAAGCAGCAGCGGGCCGCCAAAAACGAGGCCTCGGCCGTCCCACACGATGTCGTACCGCAGACGAGCCGTGGAGGAGATATCTTCTCGGAGGAAGAGCGAGCGCGGATAGACGAGGAGAACAATAAGCGGTTAGCTGAGATGTCTGCGGACGAGATTGAGAAGGAGCGAAACGAGCTTTTGGAATCGCTCAGCCCGTCTTTGATCCAGAGGCTGCTTGCCCGGTCGAACATTTCCGATGCGAGCAACGAGCGCGAGCTTTTCGACGAGACGCCGCCTCCTCCACCGCCTGAAGTAAAACCCGATGGGGACCTCGAGGCAGAGTCAAAGAAGCAAAAGAGTTCGAGTGATAAGAAAGTCACCTTCAACCCCCCAGACCCCGCCCCAAAACAACGAGAGCACGATATCACCACATCCACGTCCACGGACGCAGAACCAAAACCCACCCACAACGACGGTAGCAAGACCCAAGAAGTCGACCAACTCCCCGCCTCCACGGTACACTTCCCCAAGCCCCCGCAACCCCCAGAACTCGACCCGGACTCCCCCTCCTTCCTGGAAGACCTGCACGAGAAGTACTTCCCGGACCTCGCGTACGACCCGTCGTCGCTGTCGTGGATGGCGCCCATCGACGCCTCGGACACCAAGTCCCCATACCACCCGTCGCAGACGGCGCTCAACGCCTCGGAGCTCCGCTTCGACTTCAAGGGCGCGCTGCTGGCGCCCAGCCAGGCGAGGGAGCTCCCCGTTACCGCGGGTCTGCACCACCACGCCGAGGCGCCCGAGGCCGCGGGCTACACGATCCCCGAGCTCGCGATCCTCGCGCGCAGCGCCGTCCCCGCGCAGAGGTGCATGGCGTACCAGACGCTGGGGAGGATTCTATACCGGCTGGGCAAGGGCGAGTTCGGCAGGGAGACCGAGGAGAGGGACGTCGATGCGCCGGTGCAGGTCGCGAAGGACCCCAATGCGGAGGAAGAGGAGGGCAAGGGAGAGGAGAATGAGGTGGCAGAGGACGAGGACGCGGGGAGCTACATAGCTGCTGGACTGTGGAATTGCATCGAGGAGGGTAGGGTGATAGCTACGCTGACGGAGGAGGCGAAGAAGGAGAGGGGCCATCTGACCGCGAAGACCTACGCGCAGGAAGCACTTTGGAACTGGAGGAGGGGCGGCGGAAGGCTGAGGAAAGCCGTCTGAGGCGACTCCATCGTGAATCTAGGCTGGGTGTGAATCACGCTTGCAAATTAGAGAAAACAAAAAGAGGGCATGGCCTTACTCTGTATCATCATCAAAATCCATGTAGAATTAATGATAATGATTAGACGAAATCATTCAAAAGTGAGACAGCTGATCTCACCTCCGTTGAGATTGATCGATCATCATGACACAACAAAACACAACCTGGACAATGCTTTGGACATCTAAGGAAAACAGTAAACGGGTGTTACCTCGATATGGGAAGAAAAGGGAGTGCATGCACCTCTTCAGAAGATGGTCGGATTGCCTGTTAAGGCAGTTATACGTCACAGGGCGTCACATAAATCAAGCAATGGGGGACGTGATGTTAGATATCCACCAAAAGAAAACATAAAATCACATTCGGAGAGACTATGGAGGGAGCCATTGCTAACCACGATGCGCAAGCGACTAACCGAACCGAGACACGAAGACTGTAGTTGTTCATCGACCACCAATTGGACTGGTCAACCCGTTGCTACCGCCTGTGGGAGTTCTCAACATCAGAGGCTTTGGATTTTGAACCGGGCTCAGAGGGTCACGCTGACTCGAGCTTTGACTGGAGGTTCCTGAGCTCAAGCTGCCACTGCCATTGCTGCCTTTCCTCCCGTTGAGCAGGCCCTGAGGACTGAATGGATGGCCAAGGAGGTAATGGTGCGATGGCGACATTGCGTCTTCAAAGCCGTCGGTGAAACCGGACACATTCGAGAGCATCGATGAGGAGCGACCACGTCCATCACGCCCATTGCGGATTGATCCTGGGGTACTGTTGATTTGGGCAGTGAGGGACGGGAATGAGAAGCCACTGAAAGCGTTGCCAACGGGGGACATGCTATTTCCATTGGTGCCAGGAAGATGCCCCTCGGGCGTGGTAGGAACGGACATTTGTTGTTGAGACTCTTGGAGAATCAGAGCTTCGTAATGCTGGATGGTCTGCAAAGCTTGTGCGGTTGCCATTTGTGACTCAGCAGTGCGACGATCGTATCCGTTGATGTTGCTGCGATATTGATTCTCAATGTTCATCCGATCTTGCAACAAGGCAAAACGCTCCTGTTGACGGCGTTGCTGGGCGGAAAATCCTTCTCGGTTGGCAATGAGGAGACGTTCTTGTTGCTCGTTAAGTCGAATCTGGCGTTGCTGCAGACGTTCGCGTTTCTGCAGAGTACTGGCCATGTCAGATTCGATGCTCTGAACCTGGCGCTCAAAGTCGTTTTTGATCTTCTCGAACTCAGCAACAATTCTGTCCTTGTTGTCTCGCTCCTTCTTCCAAGCTCGTTTTTGAATGGCGGCAGCCTCAGCCTCGTCCTCGGGAACCTCTCCGAGTGCTTCAACTTGCAGAGCAAAGTCAGCGGTAGCATCCTCTGCCTGGCGGATGTTTTGATTGAACTGAAGAACCCTTTGGCGTTGGCGTTCATCGCTACCTCCGGCATTAGCAACCCGATTACTCAAAGTATCCACTTCTTTCTTGATGGCAGTAATTGCAGTCTTGTGGTCCTTTCGGGCCCGCTTCAAACGGTTGCGCTGGTCTTGAAGTTTCTGATCCGCCGCGGCAATGGAGTTCTTCAATGTGGTCGAGGGTGAAGAAGGTCGTAGAGCTTGATGTGGTGGTGGGGAAGTGATAGAAGCTAGGTGTTGTGTGAGTCGTCATGTACAGGGCAATTGATACACGTGAACTAAAATGTCTTACCTTGTTCAGCGACAGGGCCTGTTGAGGTAATAAGGCTGGTCTTATAGAAGACTTCTTCGTCTGCAGTCCTAACGAATTCCAAAACGTAATTCGAAAGGGCTGTCAGGCCAAAAATCTCTCCGACCCAGAAGCCTGTTCCCTCCTCACCAAGGTAACCCAGCGAGTTGCCCTGTCGAATGCGAGTCGAACTCCAATCTGCGCGGTTCACGCGAATATAGAAAGGCTTCGACTTGTCTATCCCAGACCCCGAACCATCCTCTTGCTCATCCTGTGCTCCAGCCTGCTGTTCTCCACCGTATACGCTGACACGGAATGCAATATCGGCGTGTCGGACTTCAGTAATCCAAACTCGGTCGTCTTCCGGTCTCCATATAGCATTCCCTAAGTGATTTACGTCTTTTGCGTGAGCCTCGTCGGCATCGTTAGCCGCTCGGCTGCTCTCCATCTCTTTCAAAACTGTAACTTTTGTACTCGCAAGTGCAGCCCAAAAAGGCTGCTGACTCCGGACATGAGTGGCCTGCTTTCTCTTCCTCCTCGTAGTACTCGTCTTATCCTTTGTCGAAAAAGGTGCTGGCGACGGCCCGGGTGGGCGGCCGTCAGTGCTGGTGGAATTTGGCACATCGGAACTGACATCAAAATTGACGGTAGCGCTGCGAGAAAGATGGCCACCGGCCTCCGGGTCAGCCCTTTTGCCGGTTGGCAGCGAGTGGGCTGCAGCCTCGCGTCGAGAAAGAGAGCGTCGAATGATACGCACGACACCTTGAGCCAAAATATGAATGCCCAATAAACTCCGTGACCACCCGTGAGGGGTAGAAAAACTTTCCTGAAATGTAGGTGTACTTGGTGGGCTCGTTAAAAAATCGAGGCCTCCCCGCGCGAGCCCGGTCCATAGAAATTGGACGATATGTTGCCGGAGAGGCCGAAATCTGAACAGATGGTTCGTGAGAATGATAAAGGAACAAATGAATATACTGCTCGTCGTTCCATTTTTCCCGGCCGCTGCACCTCCCAGGGCTATGGCAATGACGGCTTGGGCGAGATCCAGAAAGAAGTTTTGTACAGGGACCCAGAGTACGAGCCATATGAGCAATATGAGGGCATCGGCGAAGATGATGGTGAACAGAGAAGGGGTGCCACTGGAACCTTGGAAGATGTCGGTAAAGGATGGGAAAGCGGAAAGAGCTGATAGAGGGGTTCCAGCTTGGGGAGGCACAAAGGTGAGGGTAGCGAAGAGGAACTGCACTACGGTGAGGACGGCGGGAGGAAGCTGCAGGAGGATGATGAGGATGGCGAGAACGTCCCGCAGAGGACAGGATGAGAGAATGGTCGTGGCTACGGTCAGCATATTGGGTCGGTAGACGGATGGTGCGCTCTTGCTCGAAAGGGTGTCAGTCCGCCGGGGGGTGCTTGGAGAGGGATCGAGAGGCCCATGCCCGTCGTACTGACGATAGGCGTCAAGTTGATCGAGCGAGGCCTCGGAGCCAGCGCGCGTGCGATCGTCAACCCCCCTCGAGTTCCCAGCGGCGGCGGCCATGTCCGAATTTGCGGTAGACGATCCGTTGGCGTTGGCATTGTCTGAGGACGTGACGGGTCGCTGGGTATTTTGCTGATTTACATCGCTCGAGAGCGGCGGCGTGGATGACTGTGATTTGCCATTGGGGTGACCGTTGATCTGAGGGTTACTCCTTTGCTTGGTGATACGCCTTCCGGGAGCCGCGAGACCATTCTCTCTCTTATCGTGCTGATTTGACGTCCGTTTACCCTTCATAAGGGACGCGGGTGGCCTCCGGTAGAATTGGTCTCTCCACGTCCGCTCGACTGCTAAACAGGACGAGCCAGACTGGAAAGCACCGCTTCACGGTGAGGCGGATCGATCCGAAGTGTCGCGTGTCGGTGATGATGTGGTGGAGGAGGGGAGGTCGGGAGGAAAGGGAGAGGAGAGAAGAAGAGGGAGGGATGGGGAGGGGAGGGGGTTTGTGGTGGTGGTAGGAATCCCGGGAGTGGTGTGTGTATGTGGGATGGAGAATCGTGTTGTGAGAAGTTGCAAGGCAGGAGAAGATGCCAAGGCCTAACTAGAGGAAGAGGGAGAGAGGGAACTGACGGAGGGCAGCGCCACTGCCTGCCAGTTGCTGTTGCCAGTACAAATTTAGTGGGAAGAGTGCCAGTGCCAGTGCCAGAGCCAGAGCCAGTGCCAGGTGCAAGTGCCAGATTACCAGAGAGGGCCCACACCCACGGTTCAAACAAGACACCTACAGGCTACGGACACGCACACACACGCACACACACAAAAGTCAAAGAGAGAGAGGGAGAGTGAACAGAAAATCCAACAACCCCATAATTACTACTAACACTAGGAGAAGTTTGCCTCCCACTTTTCAATCTCCTTTCCTCCCCTCTCTCCAGCCAATCCCTGTTCGCTATAGCGATGCTATGCGATGCGGCTATGGTATTACAAGTATTATTATTTGACTTGTCCCATCTTCGGGGAGGATGATTGCATGGGTGCGTACAACCTACAAGTTCATTACAAGCCTACCTAGGTAGTTACCTACAACTTACAAGGTCATGACATTACATTACATGACGAATGCCCACCTGGCACCACCCACACACGGCTGTATACGGCTTCCGATACAATAATTACCTAAAGTTTCTCTTTTCCTATCCATTTTTTTTTTCAACTAGAAGGATCATCTCACATCATTATTCTTATTACTAGTACGGAGTACCATTTGCTCAACATTCGAAAAGTACACGCATGATTCCGCTGACCATTGGTCATGCCCGTCATAGATGTCACCTTAGATCACCCAGGATGAAAATGGCTGAAAGAGGAGGATGACTGAACTCGGAAAACCTGGGTCATTTACGCACGGAGAATACCTACCTAACTTTACAGTACGGAGTAATTACTACCACTACTGCTGCTGCTGCCTGATTACCTCAAATTTAGTGCACTTCCTCTGGTGTGCTCTGCAGAAGCATCAGCATCAGCATCAGCACTGGTCGAATATCGTCAAAGGCAGAGAACAGATGAGCACACCGTATCTCCATTCATGCGCATTGGTCGTACAGCGTATACCGCTTTACGGCCCCTGTCTCTTTTCAGCCAAAGGCACACGACAAATGTCCGAGACCGCTGCTACGCTACAAGTTACTTCCCTTCCTTTTTCTGCGGGTGCTCAGCATGTATTGTCGATCAAGGACCCAATCAGGCTCTGATCGCTGGTTTTAGGGCTTGATTGAGGGTTGACCACGCCATGACCTGCACTCTACCAGAAAAGAAGCCTCACTGTGAAGGGCGAACACACGCTTGAGTCTTGAGTCTCTTGACTTTGACTGGCCTATTGCTCCAAGGCAGGTGGGGCGCCATCGTCCTTTCTGTCCTTTGAATGCCGCTTCCGGCGCCTCAAAGATCCAAGCAATATCCATTCCGTCGAGCCCGTCCTGCCATCAGGCATACACTGGTAATCATACCAATTCCCGTAATACGAAGATGGGCGTGGAATAGCCCTAGGGCACAGGACAGGAGAGGACATACAACAGCAGCACCATCATCGGGAATAGACTGGGCGGCGAGCGACTCTGCCGCCTCTCGCCGTTCCACACGATGCACAAAACACCTTGTCAAAGGCGATCAATCCCTGAGCCAGCCAATCAAGAGAGATCGGGTGTCAAGTTAGCTCAGCTTCTATTCATTTGCACGCCAGGTCCCCCCCTGAGTAAGCTAAGCTTGCTTCATTGTTCTCACCTTTGCTGGCCGTCCAACGGCGGAGGGGATCGGCATCGAAACTCGATCGAGTCTGGTCGGAGCAAAATACCGCTCGTTTGCCCAATCATAATATACTTGCAATCGTTCTCACACCACTTGTGGAGGGGAGAGGGGCGGAGAAGGAATGCGCTTTTCTTTTGCCTGCTGACATGATCTTTGGTGAACAGAAAGTATGGAGTTACGCAGTACGGAGGGGAGAGATGCAGAAAGCTTCCTCACGACCAGGACTGCAATACACACCTTAAGCCCCATCCGATGCCAGTAAACGCCATGCCCGCTAGCTCCATCGACATGGTGCGTTTGAACCTTGCAAGCACCGCAAAGTAGGCAAACAAGCAATCTAATCTGTGAGTGCAGCATTATCATATGCAAATGTATGCAGCAATTATCACAAGCCTGGATGAGAAGGCAGATCATTCGGCTTTTCCACAATTCCCTACTGTGTGTACATCTGCCTCGGACATTTTTTATTTCCCCAATCTCTTTTGAGTTTACCTGGAAACTCTTCCGCCCCTCCATCATCGTCCATCTTCCCTCTTGGTGGTCTGCCCATGCCCACTCCCAAGTGCCCCCTTTCCTCAATAGGGCCGACCTGGGAAGCTTATCAGTACGGCGCCAATGACAATGGCAATTTGCACTTGGTTTTCTTCTATCAAGTACGAATAAGGAAAGCCGCGCGATCACGCGCCGCAACGGCCTTGCAGATCCCTCAAGCCTTCTGCTGGCCATGCATAGATCACGCCTTATCCACTTTGGATGCCGCTAAAACACATCGAAGAGCTATCACTATTACCGTACGTCTAAGTGTCAGGTTGTAGGTATGGTATGCCATGTTATCTATTCCGTACAACGCATCTGGTTGCCGTGATGGAGCAGTTCAGCTTCTCGCAATAGCCAGTGGCACCACTGTTACGGGTTGTTTGCTGTCCCAAGATCCTCCTTCGCATCTGGCCTGTCCCAGCTATCCTTTTCCAATGCCCGCACTCGCCCAATTAGATCATTGACTTTATGTCCATATGCCTTCTTGGCCTGTTCTTGCAATCGCCATGTCTTGTCAAACATATCGACCATGAACGGCCGTAGTGGGGCCTTCTTGGCCTGCTGATAGTCGTACACTACGATATCCTCAACGCAGCGAGCTGCAGGCCGGCGATGCAGTTCGGAAAGGATGAGCACGTCCAGGATGAAATGGTCCATCTGCGCTGATGGTTTGCTCCTCAGTCGGTGGAGAACGGTTACACGGTCCGGGTACTTCATCGGCTGGATCACAGAACCGTCAGTTACATCATCCCCATTGGCTGACCCGATCCTGTACGTAGCCCATTGAGGCCATCATTCATGTTCTACCAGAGACCACTGCATGTGGGTTGTGTAGCACGGCCAATGTCTAGAAGCGTGCTGCGCAATGCCAAATTAGGGGGGGGTGAAGGGTGATCACATACAAACTTGTAGTCTGTCCGGATACTACGTAGAATCAAACCCACACTCAAGGGAGTCATGAGCTGTAACCAGCCCTCCTTGTGGGTGGGATCCTGTCGAGCGAAGTTGAGCGCCCAATTCACCCGGGCAGACTCTGCCCACCGATTGTACACAACATTGTTGACATGGCCTATGAACGGCGTCAAACGCGGCTACTTCACTTTGAATCTTTCGTGAACGAGAGGAGAGAGAGCTTACCCTTCTCAAAAATTAGCTTCAAACTCCAGGTGTGACGTTCGGATTAGAGTTTATGTCCTTACCATGCTGTCCTAAGATCCCGGGGCGAAAATGAATGCCTATGTTGGCCCAAACCGCTCGCTGTAGCTTCATATGGGGCGACATACCATTTCTCCCCAGACGACCTCCTGCCTGTATAGCCCCCGACTGTCCTTGTCCGTCAAGAATCCCTCACTGCCTGCCACCAATCCTCTCCAGTCATGCGCTACCTCGTGCAGGATCGCGCATGCCTCCTGTGTCTGCGTAGGGTTCAGACCAAACTTGATGCATTCGCCTATCCGAGTCTTGACGTCTGATAGCCATCGTGGGCTCAACGAGGCCGTTGGCGGTTTGTCACTTGTTGTTGTCGACGTCGTTGTCGACGTCGCAGCGGTACGAATCGTTCGGCGGAGGAGGGTGGCCGAGGAAGGGTCTTGGAAGGCGCAACGCGCCAATCGCGGCGCTGCAGTCTTGAAGCAGCTCATGGGTCGAAAGTCAAGCAATGCACCGCGCCCATTGAAAGCGGAATGAAGGTCTTGGGACGGTTGTCGAGCTGTATTCAGACAGACTGTGAGGTTATGACGCGATCTCGGCTGCGGTCCGCGGTTGCGGCTATCATTTGACGCCCTACGACGTCAGGTCCAAGCTCTCTCTCGCCGAGGGGTAGTTAGACACAAGATCTGGTATTGATCAGCCAAGCGTATCTCACAACATCGATATCAACAGTCTAGGTACTCATCCGGACAAGGAAGATATTATTGAAAGAGTAGTGATCAGAAGCAACAACAATTGTTCTGCAAGTTACACACGAGCGACACCCGTACCGTAAGGTCAATATGGCTTCAACCAACACCGAGCTGCGGTTTGCTGTTCTCCGCATTTACAAGGTACCAAATGGACATTCCTACGTGCTATCTCCCCCTGATGACAATAAGACTGATGATTCTGTAGGAGCTGCTGTTCCTTGGTCGAGAATATCCCCTTGGATATGATTATTTTAGAACCCGCCTCCACAAGGCATTCTCCAGCCAGCAGAATGTATCCAACGAGGCAGAAATCCAGAAGGGTATCGAACGAGCCGAATTTGTGAAAAAAGGTATGTAAAATCTCGAGTTGATACTCGCGGTACTGCATTCGAACTTGCTGACGTCCCTACTAGAAATCGAAGCACTGTAAGCATGACGCCACAATTCACTGAGCAAGCAGCATTTGTCCTGAACAACGACCAGGTATTACTTGAAGCGTTATCGCACGCTACGCCATAGATATGATAAATTTTAGAGATTGATGTCCTCAAAATGAGACAAAGTCTTACAACGTCGGCCGTTCCCCATGGGGTATCAAGATTGAAACAGTACGCATATACTCTCCAGGTTCTACACCTTCTTGCACCACCAAACACCTAACTCCAAGCACTCTCCATTCGATGCTCCTTTCTGTTCCAGCAGATTGGTCATCATCCACCCCCACCAGCGCTGCCATTCTTCTTGGTTCTTCCCACTGACTTCCTTCAGCAATGGTTCTAGACTCTCGATCATCTGGATCACCACCAGCAGTGCTGTGTACCGTAGAGCTGCTTGCTCTTCTGTGAGCGCGGAACCTTCAGCCAATCCAACCTTCTTGCTCTTCGCTGCCTCGCTGCTCCGGCGTTGTACAGGATTTCTTTCCGGAACATTCTCCCTCTCCCAACGGAGTTCTCCAAGAGGGATTGCAACCCTGCGGTTCTCGACATTGCATAGAGCCTCCGTTTCTTGCAACAACATCTGAGACACTCGCGCACACGGTGTAGCCTCCAACTTCCTCTTGTCCAAAGCCTCCTGAATCCAATTGTTCGAATCTTGTAAGTACTTGTTGTGAACCTCGGTGAACGGTGTTATAGGTGATATCAGGAAAGTGCCCGTTGACACTGCGCAGTGATATTCTTCTGGATTCTTCCCCGGCGGTGGGGGTGGGTGGGGCAAAATCGACCGGATGATATGGTCCGCGTCCCATATCTCTAATGTTCCCCCAGACCTGAGGATCCGAAGGGCTTCATCCAGCACTCTCTGTGACGGAGTACCATGTGGTACGACCATGCTCATGTCCTTCATGATCACAAGGTCGAACTCTCCGTCGTCGAACGGAAGCGGCACCTTGCGGAGATCATGCTGTACGAATTTCCAATCTATTCCTTGTCTCCTCAAGTCTCCAGCCAGCGGGACGACATCCAAGCCTGTGAATGAAACGTTCTCGATACCCTTGGAGCTTAAATAATCGTGGCACAGGGACGACCAATATCCACTCCCACAGCCAAACTCAAGCACCTTCTTTGGTGGATCATGGGGGTCTGGCGTGGATCCTAAGGCTCGACCGAAGGCGGAGCTCGCGAGGAGTGAGTGGAGATTTTGCCTCTGGAGCTCAGGCAGATCGCATGGGAGGGGGTAGGGCAGGTCACGGAGGTAACGTCGACCATGGCGGAGCACGAAGGGGTTGCTCAGTGCGGTGGAATCGTCTTTGGTGCTCTGCGTCGAGGCGCTCGATATGGAACCTCGAGTGGCATCCATTGGGGTCGCTGGTGTGGGTGTAACGGGTGAAAGTGAACTCGAGGCGCCTGATATTGTTCTCCCAAGTGCGTCAGTGGTGGTCAGATCCCATTGCTTCGTTTCTGCAGTTTTGGGCCGTAGAGGAGTGCCGTTGGCGTTGCCGCCACTATAGCGGTACTGTAGGGTTTCAGATTAGAAGAATAGCTCTCTACATGAATATCGAGAAAAGGTTCACGACCACTAGGAGGAAAAAATAGCCAGTAGATATTGGGAAAGGAATACAACAGGAGAAGGGGAGAGCACACCATCATCCACTCGGCCATCTTGGAGACAACCCTTGCCCCACTGTTTTGATTAGCGTGGGCTCGATATTGAGCCTTTCCTAAGTCGTCTGATAAGCACGTGTGGCAGGGGGTATCGGTGAGCGAGATAGTAGGGGAATAAATTTAAAGATGTAGGCGCGGCGGGACGAGATGCAGGCAGCGGGAGATCCGACGGGAAGGACGTGATAGTGGTATGGATGTTGGTGGGAGGATGAGGAGTTGGAGGAGTAGGAGCTGGAAGAGGAGGAGAGCGGAGTACGAGCACCACTGTACGTTGCAAGGCGAAGAAGCTAGGTATAGGTTAGGTAGGTAGGTACGAGTAGGTATAGGTAGGTATTAATGTCAAGTCTGCTGCAGAGACAATTCCCACACACCTCGCAAGTTTCGACAAGCCAAGTGCAGTTGTCCGGATGTATATCCCATCCCCAACTTACCTGATTCCTACCTAAGTACTCCGTCTCTACTCGCCAGCAGTCTAGAGCCTTGAACATGAGCAGGTGAACAAAAACCCAAGTGGCCCCCCTTCGCAACCCCTCAACGCCTCTCGTCTAAGAGTCTCAGCCGAGGGATACCTGCCATGGTATTTCTCCAATCATATCGCTCTCGTTGCATCCTCTTCCTGTCTCCCTCTGCCTCCTTGAGATCTTGATACTATGGGATTGGGCTGGGCCACATACAAAGTAGCTCCACATTTCACAATATTGCAGCACTACGAACTGCTGCCAGCGGAGATGTGGCGTTTGCCCGTCACACGTGTACATCCATACACTCAGAGCACACCGGTATCTGCTGGACCTCTCCCTTCGTACGGAGTTCCAATCTCATCTTTCCAATTACCTAAGCTTGGCTTTGTATCGGGCCATCCCATGTTAAACACATGACTTGTGAAGAATAAGACAAAACAATCAGGTTGAAACAATGGAGAATGAATCACGCGAGATCGCGCAAGAGAACCAAGACAGAGGGAAATGCATGGTCTATTTGCGTTTGTATGCGCTGACATGATGGTGATAAGATGACAGCTCGCTGCTATGGTCATGTCCGCAGCTCCTTGTACATACATACATACGTTGTAGTACACGAAGTTCCAAAGTTCGAAGAGCTCTCTCCCTTTCTTTGCGACCTGTCTCATGTTCCGAGTCCAATGTTTGCAGTTCAAGTAGATGGGGACTGGAGTCAGAAAACATAAAAGGTCGGCGGTCGAGTCTTGCCTAACGGTACGAAAAATCCATCAAACACCTAATCATTGCTTGCATATATTTTGGACTTGATCCCAAGGCAATGTCATAGGTACGCACTCTGATCTGGCAGGAAGCAATTGACGAGAACATCACTCCGTGCTATCGTGCGGTAAGTTGCTATATTAGCTTCCTTCCTTCGTGATCTGTAACGAGGATATACTATCTTGGGGTGGTCGCCCTGGCCACGTGACATCTTGAACCGCCCGCGCTCGGACGTCAACCACCAGCAGCGCTTGATCGTGAAGCAGCAGCACATCACCTACCACCTTATTATTCTTGCGCGCTCCGGTGAGGATAGCATTCGATCGGCCTGGCACAATTAAGACTGTGTTGTATAGCTTCCATACCTGTCCCACCGTTCCGGCAACGTACGTGCGCCCTCCTCCGCCAACTTCTGCTGTCGTATATTCCGACTTCACATCCATCTCCCACTCCTCTCACTCTCACTCTACTGTGGCTGACATGGCTCTAAATAGGTGCCGCGATATCAATAGAACGACGACGTCAACAGAACGCTTCACTCCGGCCAACCGCCATCTCCGCTGTTCCCGAGCGCTCGACTCACTCTCGCTTCACACCTTTCCCCGCTTGCGAACAGAACCCAACTTCATATTGCTACAAACGCTCGTATAAATGCAGACTGGTGGCAACTTAGTTATCCTCCGCATATGACAACTTGTTATACGCAAACCCATGCCAAAGCGAAGAAAAGCTCGTCCCCGCACCCCGTCTCCGACTTAACACACAACATCCAATCCGCCCTGGGCTATCATCTTCCATTACCGCCCCGGGGAATCACCAAACGAAGCGCCGTGTCAACCTTTCATGGCCGACACCTCAGCTTACCAGAGAGGTACCGGCCAGACCTTCTTTTCCCAGCACGCGCAGAACCTCCACCGCAACCTCCCCTCTCGTGTCCGATCGCCGAATAACCCACGAATCCCTTTCAGAAACCCAGAAACACCGTCTCCAACAAGATCTCCAGGGTCGAACTCTCCCCATCAATACGGCATGTTCAATCAGAACCACGGGCACCAGGGCCACAATGTCATGATGAACGGAGGTGGCCATCAGAGGTACATGCAAATGAACCTGGGAAAACCTTTTAATCATAACCAAAGCCATCAACACCATAATCATGCGCATCAGCAACACCAAGAGCATTCGGGCGCGAACCACAGTGGTCAATACAACCACCAACACAATCTCTCGAGTGGTGGTCTGTCAAATGCGCAACCTCACTTCACACCCGGACACCTCCAGAACGGCACTCCTGGTAGTGTCCACAGTGGCCTGAGTAAACCTGTGAACGAGCATTGGGCAGAACAATTGCAATTAGCGCAACGCTCCCGAGAAATGACCCAATCGCATTCTCATGCACGAAACCACCCCAGCGTGAATAAGAGTGTAGTGGCCGGTACAACCAATGGGACGCAGAAGGAAGAGCCTAAAGAGGAGAGGAACAGGCCGGCAGCCAACCGCGTAGAAGATGCGAAAGCGAATCACGTCTGGACAATCCTTGATTTCGGAGGACAGAACCTGAAGGTTCTGACCAATTCGCTATTCAATTACAATTTCCTTACGAAACTGTACGTGAACTGTAACAAGCTGACGTTCCTTCCGCCTGCCGTTGGTAAACTACGAAACCTCACTCACCTGGATGCCTCTCTCAACAACCTTCATTACCTCCCGCCGGAACTTGGAATGCTAGTCAATTTGAAGCAACTTCTCCTGTTCGACAACCAGCTGGACTCTCTCCCGTATGAACTGGGTTCCTTGTATCAACTCGAAATGTTGGGAATTGAGGGCAACCCGGTTCCTGATGAGTTGAAGTCAATCATTGTAGAGCAGGGAACCACGGAATTGATCAAATACTTCCGAGAGAACGCCCCTGGGCCCGATCCTCCACCAGAGCGTGACTGGATCGTTCTCGATGAAATTTCGGATCCTTCTTCCCAGGAATCCTTGACCGCGCTAAGCTACAACATCTTGTGTGACAAGTATTGCACGCAAACTCAGTATGGATACACACCAAGTGCAGCGTTGGCTTGGGATCACCGAAAGGAGACTATTCTTGCCGAACTGAGGGAGCGCAACGCAGACGTCGTCTGTCTGCAAGAAATCGACCAAGAGAGTTTCAACGACTACTTCCGAGGAGCACTAGCTCATAATGACTACAAGGGAGTCTTCTGGCCAAAATCACGAGCCCGAACGATGGCAGAGAAAGAAGCTAAACTTGTGGATGGATGTGCTATTTTCTACAAGAATAGCAAGTACGTCCTGTTGGACAAGCAGCTCATTGACTTCGCCAATACTGCTATCAACCGGCCCGACATGAAGGGTGAGCATGACATTTTCAACCGAGTCATGCCTCGAGACGATATTGCCGTTGTTGCTTTCCTCGAGAATCGAGCCACCGGGACTAGGTTCATTGTCGCAAACGTCCACGTTTTCTGGAATCCTGCGTTCACCGACGTGAAGCTTGTGCAAGTGGCAATTCTCATGGAGCAGATATCTAAGTTTGCCAACAAATGGGCCAAATTCCCTCCTTGTACCGACAAAGTCATGTTTCGCTTCACGAACGGGGACGGCGATGAGGGCAAGGAGGTCCCAGACACCACACAAGAACCGGGACCGTCCCAGGAATACTCCGATGGGGCTCAGATTCCTTTCCTTTTGTGTGGTGACTTCAACTCCCTGCCCAACTCGGGCATATATGACCTCATCGTGCAAGGCAATCTACCCAACTCTCACCAGGATCTCGGAAGCCGCAAGTACGGAAATTTCACGCGAGATGGCATTTCGCATCCATTCAGTCTCAAGTCAAGTTACTCTGCGATCAATGAGCTCTCCTTCACCAACTACACCCCTGGTTTCATTGGCGTACTCGACTACATCTGGTATTCCACAAACACGCTTCAGGTAGTTGGACTGCTTGGTGACGTGGACAAGGATTACCTTCAGCGGGTACCTGGCTTCCCCAATTACCACTTCCCCAGTGACCACTTGGCTCTTTACGCGCAGTACTTGGTCAAAGGTCGCAAAGAGAAGAAGGCCCTCGTGGAACCCGACTTTGGGCAAGGGCGAGAGCGAGATCGCCGGTAAGCGCGGCAACAAACCACTTTGCGAACACTGAACACTTGCGAACGACATCCGGTCCTCTTCATCACTGTACATTGTTCCACGTTCAGGGTTCTTGCTTTGGAACTTGTCAACAGGCGCGCGTGCGGGAGTTTATTGATTCTGGCGTCCTTGCTCGGGTTATGGTCTACGTTCGATTTCAAGTTGTGTTTTATGGATCAAGTGATGGGTATTTTTGGCTGGTCGACTGGAGCTGATATGGGTTGGATCGGGGCCGAAGTCGAGGGCATTGGTCAAGAGAGGTTGGGGGAGGATGGGCAAACGACGTCGGCTTTAGTACAACAGCAACCTTCATGCTCACGTCCGTTTTGTGAATATCAACACAGGATCGGATGTTATCGGAAATGTTGACGAACTATTACGACTTCCTAAGCAATCGAGGTGGGAATTTAGGTGTATGGCGGCAGCGGTTGTGTGTTTGGCGGCTCCTCCTGCTTGGCCTTGCTCTCTTTATATGCACTTTTCTTTTCTGCAATGTATGAAATAGGTAGTCTACTAAAAAAGGCCTGCACCATCGTTCACCTCATTCTCGGGGCACGGTTGGATCGCGGCTTCACCTTTCACCTCTTTTACCGTCTATCTATGATGGGGTCTCATCGTGTTGATAACGTGACCGCATGCACTGCAATGTGTATGTACCTATTTGGGCAATGATCATGGTGGCTTGGTTCGGTGACGTGCAAAACAAGCCATATGATGGGGGGAAAGACGACGTTGTACCCAGCCAATACAGTTCATACTGTTGGGAACAACGTCAAGGTCTGGCTAGGTCCGATGCTGCGAACGGAGAATGGGTAAATATCCATGTCTCAGCTCAACACAAAATTCTCCTCGGACTTTGTTGCTTGTGGTGCAACATTAATCTGTCCTGTAACTTGTAAAACACTGTGTAGGTACATGTGTGGTTGTGGTGGGTGTCAGTGCCCCTCCTTGGTTCTTCCTCCTTACGAAGGATTATGTACTCCAGAGCCTCCACGTGCTAAATTCTACCTAGACCCAATCGTCATTTCTCAACCACCACCCCAAGGACCCTTGATAACATCGATCACCGCCCTCAACCCTTTCCCTCCTAACTCTTAACTTTAATATCATTCCAACCCTTACCTATCCTCACTGCCGTCACCTTCGCCGCTCTCAATCTGCTCATCATGGCCGCCACAGAGGGCAAAAAGCTCGATCTCGATCCCAAGTACGACGACTACGATTTCCCCGTCATTGCGCCTACCCCACAGAATGGGCATCCCGGCCACACCACGCCCGAGCAGGATGCTCAAGTGTTCCAGCTGAGGAGCCTTCTGGAGGCCGCAGGTTATACGAAGAATTTGGATACTTTGACACTTGTAGGCACTCCATAGCCCCACCGCCTTTTACTAGACCACCTAACTCACCGACTCTCCCCTAGCTACGATTCCTTCGCGCACGAAAGTTCAATGTCGAGGCTTCAAAGCAGATGTAAGCCGTCATAAGGGATGACATATATCGGGCCTTATAATTGACTGGAGCATAGGTTCATTGACTGCGAGAAGTGGCGGAGCGAATACGCCGACATTGGTGTCGAAGAACTTGTCCGCACTTTCGAGTACAAGGAGCGAGCCGAGGTTTTCAAGTACTACCCACAGTATTACCACAAGACCGACAAGGTGCGACCCTATTATTACCCATATCTACAGCTCTCTCGTCGAGCGTCGTCGTTGGTTGCATGCATGTTAACTCAAGTTCATTGTAGGATGGCCGACCCGTGTACATCGAACAGCTCGGCAACGTCGACTTGACTGCTCTGGGCAAAATCACCAGCCAAGAGCGCATGATCCAGAACCTCGTCTGCGAGTACGAGAAGATTGCCGACCCTCGTCTGCCAGCATGCTCTCGCAAGTCTGGCTACCTCCTAGAAACCTCGTGCACAATCATGGATCTCAAGGGTGTAGGCATTGGAAAAGCCACCTCCGTATATGGCTATCTCGGCGCTGTTTCCGCCATCTCTCAGAACTACTACCCAGAGCGTCTCGGAAAGCTTTACGTTATCAATGCTCCTTGGGGTTTCGCTGGTGTCTTCAGCGTTGTCAAGCGATTCCTTGACCCGGTCACCGTTCAGAAGATCCACATCCTGGGCAGCGGCTACGAGAAGGAGCTTTTGGCACAGATCCCAGCAGAGAACCTGCCAAAGATCTTCGGCGGCCAGTGCGAGTGTGAAGGCGGATGCGCGTTGAGTGATGCTGGGCCATGGCAGGACCCAACCTGGGTCAAGGAGCCCAAGTGGGCTAAGAAGGAGGGTGACAAGGTTGATAATGCGATCGATAACTCGAAGATTCCCCCACCTACGGAAGGCGGCAACGATGCAACTGGAGCAACTGCTTCTGCTCCTGAGCCTGCTGCAGCACCCGCCGCTGCACCCAACACCGCTGCCGCAACCTAAGTGAAAACCCCATCAGCGCGGAGTAGGGCGTACAGGCGAGTTGGGGAGTTGGAAAAAAAATGAGCATGTTCGAACATGTGATACGAGGAGTAAAGAGATGCATTGGCTCGAACTGGTCGTTCTTTTCGCTGTCTTCAGATTATGTGGTATAGACGTCGAAGCTGTATAGTCGTAAGGTCTTTTGGCATGTCATCAACTGGAAGCCGGCACCATAGTCTGCCCTGCAAACCTAGGATTAAAAAGAAGCACACGGATCTAGGTCTTTTCATAGAACGATTTCCATGCCTCACTACTTGGTTTTCACTTCCTCCCATCTATCATCATTCAGATCAAATATCCCGTGATTTTAACACTAATCGTAGCTTTGAGCCCCCGTAAATGTCCGTCCCGGGTGCTATCTAGAAACCTGTCTCTGCGCACGTCATCACTAACCTGCACATGCTGACCCGAGCCCCGACTTGTATCCAAATCGTACCAACTATTCCTCAATCAAAAGTACTGCGGATCATCGAGCGAGTGGGAAGAGACCTCACATGTTGTATTGGAGCATCGCAAATTCTATCTTGTGATGCAGTTCATTAGAAAGGCAGCGGACAAAGGCTACGGATGGGTACCGTGCAGTGCTTGGTATGATCATGCTGGCAGAGAAAAGATTGGTACATTTGGGTTGCTGTGAGCATGGTGTAAGCTTACACAACCGTGCTTGAAATTGGTGTGGAGGCACATGATGTTTTGACAGTGCTTCAATTGAGTCCAGTTATGAGGGTCGGAAGGACAGATGCACTTTTGAGGTACTCTCTGTTGATGCAATCTGAACGATCCAAAAAGAATCACCGTCATTGAGTCACAAACACATGGAATTTACAGAACAGAGCAGATCGAACAGTGTTGGCGTTGTAACCCATCCTCACTCAGATGTAGCCAAATTATTGTATTTTATATTGTGGTCCCGGTTGGTGTTCTCTCTAAAAACCCGAGTATTCGAAATGTCTCTCGGGCAGAAGTCTATGTGCCTCGAGAGCGTGATTTGTTGGTGGTACAAATCATTGTCTGTCGTTCCTCCCTGTAGTCGTCCCCCCTCTCGTGATGTATTTGAACATGCTGTAATCTAGCAGTTGGGGATTTGCGTGATCTGGCCGGCAACACCCTTGACGCACATGCCGTGGTCCTGACGGGCGGCAACTTCTACGGAAATATGAGCTTGTGCACTAACAAGGTATACAGACTGGTGATAGACTTACCGTCGACGGCTGGGACGGGCGCGGCAATGGCGAAAGCAGCCATGGAGACAACAGCGGCGATAATGGCAGTGAACTTCATTTTGAAAATAGATTTTTGGTGGGGTATAAAACAATTGTTCTTAGTTCGAAAGAAAATGTGGTTGAGAGTGAAAATGTAGTGTATATGTACGTCGCCCGGCGACAAAAGAGTGTAACTTGATTAAAATGGAGAAAGGAAGTTGTAGGTAGAAGAAGTGGATGAATGCAAGAATGAAAACGGCTCTTCAATATATATCGGCCTGGGCGATCGGTCCTTTTCAATGCAATCCCTCAGGTAACGTCCATGCCCAGCATGGAGTATCAAATCCCCAAGATGGTCATAGCAATAGGGACGAGAAGGCTAGGAAGGCTGGACAACTGCTGCTCAGGATGTATCAGGCCAAGCACCCTGAAACCGGATACATAGCTTCCTGAGTCTGTTCGACGCATGAGGCATCTGTGATGAAGATTGGTGCTCAGGCTTGGGGGGTTGCATACGCAATCCATACAGGGGGAGGAGGGAAGAGTCTGGAGCTGATCGTCAACCGCGTTCCTGATGTGCCTCAGTCGGGTAAGGCCGTTGGCCAACCGCGCGCCAATGATGATAGTCTGTGGAGTTCCAGATTCGTTTCGAGTCGGAGGTTTTGCGTTGAGGACTTGGTACTTCAACTTCCCTATACAGTGGGCTTCAATTCTTGGGCTGCTTTCCTGCCATGAATGCTTCGTTACTTTTGGTCTGCTTTTTATTTGATATTTGAGACTTTATCATGTTAGGAGAATGTTATGATGTCAAGGAGATGCTCGCTCAATGATAAGTTCAAGAGCGAGGCTCTGTTTGTTGTTGTCTAGGTAGAACCGACCGTACAAGTTGCCCTGAAACGTCGATCAAACCGATCCGAGACTGGACAAGCCCTTTCACTCCATTGATCGACCAACTCAGGCCGTTAAAGGAACAATTCTCTACGTCAAATGAACTGGCAGGCAACTTATTAAACACCAAGTGGTTTAAATGGTGTGCACTTCTTTGTGAGCACGAGGGATTGATGCATGCTTGGAGGTTCAGGTCCGAAGTAGCACTTGTCCCGATTAGGCACCGTCATGGGGGGGCAACGTAAATGCAACGACAACGCCTACGAGAAAATACAAACACACTCATAACAAAGACAGAAAGCAGACAAGAAACTCAGTTAGCTTGGCAGCTTTGATTACAGTCAATCTGTGTGAAGGTATCATGGTGGACACCGTGATTGGAAGAGGCCTGTGTCTCCTCGTTCCACGAACGGTGCATCGATTACGCAGCACCGCGAGAGTGGATAAAACAGGTTTGCGTCATCGATAGAACTTTGCAAGAATAAATCCCGTTTCCAAACGGAGTGCACACAGCAACTTGTCCCTGAGGATGGTAGATATGAATGTCGACGTCTCCTGTTCTATCGGTGAATTGTTATGCATCTCAATGCTTTCTCTTGCTTCCTCCATCCACGGCTCTGTTTAACACTCCCAATCAGCGACGAAATCCAGTATCACCAAGAGGCAGATAATGGAAGATGTGATCTTTACTTTACCTCGAGGAATCCAAGCGCCCGACTGGTTCCATCGGCCTGTCCGTGATGAATTTTCTAAGCGTGTTGGTGATGGATAGGTTTGTCAGAATTTAATTTCGAACTTGAACTGTATTCTCGTGGCACTCCTTCCATATTGCTGATACGGAAACAGGCCTTGAAACCCCTGTCAAATTATCTCGAGTATACAACACAAAATATCTGCTACACACAATCAGTTCTATCACCGTGTGACTGTGATGAACATCCTTTCAAAATAGTCCAAGGGATTTCTGCGAAGGCCCTCCGCCATGGGCACCAGACAGAGTTTAAGTCAATTCAGACATCCACTCGGATAGGTGAAGTACTTGTTTGCGTGCATTCAAGATGTATTTAAAGCAATGCATGGAGTCCATGAGAGTGGTCACAGTGAAAACTGTTTACCGAAAGAGAGCGAACCTGATTGATAAGGCAACATCCGATGACTGTCATTTTCCGGAAATCAATTTTCCATAGGGCAAGGCAGCGGAAGGGGATGTTCAGTGATATTTAACTCAATGTACGAGTAGTGGAAATGATTGTTAGTTGGGTGAAGGTGATAGTGGCCATGACGATTCCAAGCAACGCAACTGTCTGTTCGCAAGGCAGGTGCGCCTTCCTTCACCTCGACCAGTCAAACAACACCCACGATCGGATTCCGCCGTAAAAACAACTCTACATCATCTTTGTCGCACATTTTATCTCTACAGACACTCGACGCCCAAGTCGACAAATTCATCACCCATAGTGCCTACAACTTCGAGCAGTCACCTCGACCATGCCTCACAATCCCCGGAAGGTCTGGCGAGACAAATGGGGTGAGAAGCGACCTCGTACGCCAGGTCCTACAAACCCTCCCGAGATCAGTAAGGCTTCGACTTCCTCGAATGTGCCGAACACTGGACTTCAGGTAGCGGGGTTGCCACCTGATCCATCTCCCACAATGCTGCTTCCGGCACCGAAGTCATGGACGAACAACACACTCATGACCCACGAAACGCGTGCCGCTGCGTCTGATTTGTTCGAACGATACGAGGACGAAGAAAGTCACGAACCCAGCCCACAGTTGCAGCGAAGTCACCAAGGGAAACAACATACTGAAAAGTGTTTCCAAGCTTCACTTACACGAGCTTCCCTTGTTGGCGAGCCTTCTGTATTCACCGAAAATCCATTCCTCCACGATGCAAATTCGGAAGAATACGACGATCGGACAACAGTGCGCTCATCGAGACCAAGATTGGCGCGATACATTTCTGACTACCTCACTTTTGGTGGCCCGGATTCCCCAGAATTTTCAGAACCCTGGAGCCAGGATGTGCCCCTAAGACCAGTAACTCCAGTTGATATTACGATGGTAATACAAATGATACAGATGCATATTCATCAATTTCCATTGCGGCCATTACCTGTCGAACATACGAGTGGGCTTCTGCGGATTTTTGAAGAGTACAGAAAGGCAAAAGAAGAAGCGAACGTATCAGGAGAGAAGTGGCGAGATATACTGGTAGACTTCACTAATGCTCAGGCTACGTGGGAAGCGACAGAATCGTCTTATCAGTCAGAGATTATTCGTCTCAGGTCAGTAATCGGGAAGGGTGCATCTGGGATGACCGGGCTGGCAAAAGCACAGCAAGGCATGGCGATGGAAAGACAGAAGACCCAAAGAAGACCGTTCTCAATAGATCGAGGACGATCAGCTTACGATGATTTTACGCTCGAGCAGCTGGATAATGAAATTCGATCCAAGAGCCAGCAAGGTAAGGACCCCCCTACGTAATTATTTGTTGATTGTTATCAGCTAAATTAACATCCGGCAGTACATCCTGCGCGCCCATCGTCACCATCAGAGAAGATGGCTGTGTTGTCCAGGCATCTTTCGAAGATAAATGTGAAGCACGAACTTCTAGTTGGGACTCCGCCGGTACATACTCCGAAGACCGCTTTATCTCGCAAAGTGAAAAGCGAATTGGATCTGATAAATATGGAACGACAGAATTCGAGGAAACAATCTCATCGCGTTCCGTTGCCGACCACGATAACACCGTTCGAATCATCATATAACGGTGACTACGGCTCTAAGGCGACCATGGACCCGGTGGTTGAGACTGAGGCCTTCGTTGCCTTGCGAGAGCTGGCTACTCTGGTGGCACGACGTAAGGGCATTGATCATAATCGTTTTACTTCACAGGTTTTGGAGCTTCTGTTCATCTCTGATATGCACAGTCATGACGAACAGGATGAATTCGAACGGAATGATGCTACTGATCCCAGGGTGAGCGGAGAAACAAGCCAGGCCGACTTAATTCACCAGTCCTATAGCCATCGTTCGCTGGAAGAAAATTCGGAGCAGTCACAATGCCCCGCCATGGCCAAGTCCCGAAGGCACTTCTCTTTTGAACCCGGGGACGACTTCCTGAAATCACTCAACGAAAACTTCCTAGAGCCCAAGTTAAGCCAAGAGCTGGAAATGTTTAAGAACAACCGGCCAAAATCCCAAGCAGGTTCGCAATCAACGCAGTCTTCTGGCACATGTAGTCCTTCACTGGACCAGATGCTTGCAAGCGACCTGAAAGAGAGCCAAGTACTTGGTGCTGATACAAGAAGGTCTTCCAAAATCCCTAGCCCAGTGCATAAGCCTTTGATAGCTGCACAGCGTCGAGAGAGTTCTAGGTCAAACTCGCATAAGAGCACCAGCCTGATCGGTACGCGACGCATTTCAAATTCAAGCATCATCACGACAATTCGTCAAGAATCTAACGAGGCACTACTCCCACGCATGAGTAGAGGCAATTCTGGTATCAGACTGCTCGACACGGAACAGCAACAGCTCGTCGAAAGACATGAGTCTTCTAGGTCATCGAAGAGTGGAAAGCAGAGATCATCTGGTGGCCCTGCGCTGACAGCAGCTCAAAGAGCAGGTAGAATAGTCCAAATGGAACCTGCCCAGGATGTGCACAGTATACCAGGGGAAGAGAATGTGAAGTTTGCAAAAGAAAGGTCTCGGATCAGAAAGTGTTAGCCAAAGGCCAATTAACCTGAATGGCCATGCGAAATCTCATCATTCGGATAATGAGCTGGTGGACTGGGAAGGTAAATGTCGCATGAGGTTAAGAGAACATGGGCTGCGGATGGTGGGAAATTCGAGAGAATCTTTCACCTAACGCAACCAAGGTGAAACCATGGATAGAGTTATCGCCTTGGGATGAGTATTCGATTTGTTCTAACATAAGCACTATACCTGTCACTCGAATTGAATATGTGAGGTCTGTTAGTGGTCAGCGAGTGCAAGTATGGCAGGGGTAGGCTAATATTTTCCAGGATGAAGGAGCAAGGCGAAAAGAAATCAAAGATATCACAAACTTTGTCCATGACAGCACCGGAACTACGGAGTGGATGATATTGAGGGGCATGTCACAGTGCAGCGTAAAATGAGGAGCCGTAAGGAGAATTGCCACTGTCTCGCAAGTCACAGGATGACATCGACCAGCAGCCGACATTAGCACGAACGCAATAGCGGGCTCTTTTCGAAGTGGATGAGTCGAGAGAGCTGTAATATGACCACGTATTCCGAGGAAGTCTGTTCCCTCCCCTTTGGAGGGCCCACGGTCACCATCGGTTTACGACGTAACCTCAATAAGAGGGACCTAGACGGGGCCGATTGTGGCACCTATTGCCACCGTGAGCTGAAAGAAGACATTACGCGTCGTTCTGTGGTAAGTAGAAGATGATCAAGATGCGGGACGTTACGCCGTGACAAGCAATCAATCATGCAGTTCCATACAAAGCAACAGAGACGGAACGCCACAGATCGACACGCCACAATGTGGCGCAGCAGAGAACGCCAAAGGGAACGGTACGGTACAGGATGAAATGCGCTTGGAGGGGAGATGAGATGCGCGCCGATCGGTGGCATCACACGGGATATCATTGATTGGTGAGGAATTATCCGATGTCACCAGAGCCTGGACGGGGGGTTTGATAAAACCTTGTCTACATTGCAGGCTTTTGTGCAGCACGGAAGCAGACCTAACGAGGTGCCGAACAAGACCCAGACCTTACGAGTACCTCGTGCAAGTAGGTGCAGGTACGTACCTAGGTAGGTATGCAACTAACTAACTACTGACCTTGACGAAGATGACAAAACACACGCTGTTGTGTTGTCTCGTCAATTCCGCGACCGCCAGACTGCTCGATGTCACAGTAATTACATTTGTACTGTGCAACTCAAAGTCAAAGTAACCACTTGTAGATTGTCAGTCAGTCCATTTGCGACTCTAGTCTAGGTGAGGTCTACGGCGGGCCACAGACCCGTATGTCTCCACTTGGACCCCGCGGCTCCCATCGCGTGATTGATGTGCGACCGTCTCCCGCATCGCCTTGGGTTCGATTCGCATGTTGTTCCTCGATCGCCGTCTGGCTACCAAATTTCCGCCACACTTATTTTTACACGATAATGACCATTCCGCGCGGCAGAAACTCTCCACTACTCTCTAGTCTCTCCGACCCGACTCGTAACTTTTATTACTACAGCATCGTGTAACTGTGTACACTCTACACCGTACATACACTGTACCAATCTAGGTAGATACTGTACTACTCCATACTGGTACACATTCTACATACCCAGATTTTCCGCCCCTCTGAACAGCGGGACCTCTCGGAGTCCACTACTCTCTTCTAACCATGCAAGCGGAATCTGCCCCGACACTTCATCTTCTTCTTTTCTTCTGCTTTCCTTTTCTTTTTCTGCCAATACGCCAGAGAGAGAGAAAGCCAACCAGCGCGCCCGCCAGCAACTATCTTATCCAGGCTGGGCTGTCATAGTTTGCCATTTGCGATGCGAATCATGCGTTTCCGATCTGCTTCGGCATCGGCTTCTGACTTTGGCACTATTCATGCTGCTTGAAGCTGTTCAATGTTTCATGCTTGATTGCTACGAGTTGCATCACAGTGACCAAAGAGGAAGGGAAATTGACGAGGGTATCCCTCCTGCTGCTGAGGCTATTCGCTCTTTGCCCACGTAGAGTATCAACAGAACGCGTGAACTGTGAGATTGCTATGGAGTTATGACAGAATTGAGAGCTTTGATACCGCTCATTGGTGACCGAAGGGGTAAGGCGCCCGTTTCGCGGACTCCTTAATCTCGGCTCGACCGTACCAGAACAGAGGATTACGTCTGACGGTTGGACTCGAGCAGACTGCCCAGTGCCCACACGTTGGAGGCGGGCGGCGGGCGAGTTGGAAAATTCCCAAGCGATACGGCGGCTGATTGAGCTCGAGCTCGCCCAAGCTACAGGATTGGCCATATGGCCCCCGTGTAACTCTTCTCACCTCGTACTTGTATCAACGTGGTAAGGTGGGCGCGAGGCAAGGCAAAGTAAGGTTAACATCCTAGGCCATCGTTCTGTTGGCGGCGGATGGCGGGGTTTACCCTCGTCGCCCATCCGTCGCTCCCACGCAGGGGCAGAAAGGCTGGAAGCGCAATTCGCATCTCATGCGCGGCTGCTTCATTGCCTGCTGCTGGGTACTCAACTCAGTGGGCGGCGGCCGACGCCGGTAGCGGTAGAAAAGGATGCCGCGTGGAGTGTGCAGCCGGGGAAGCATGGCAAGTAACATGGGGGGTGTGGATGGATGGGATGGGATGTGAGGACACGGAAGGGGAAGGGGAAAGCCAATGTAGCGAAGCGCGCACCCTCGCTGCAAGATGCATTTTGGTCTAGTAAAATGGAAATGAGGGAACAAGAGAATTGGGAATGAGGAAATGAGCTGATGATGGATGAATGGGGGCCTCTAGCGTCTGGCGTGTGGGTGTCTAATCTCTCGCCTTCTGGTCCTCATCTTCGCCTCTGGCGCACTTCCAGATGAGTATTTGGGATTTCTGGTACCTCCGGATCGCGAAATGCCATAAGTTAGTACGGGAAAACGCCGTGAATGCCAACGCACACGCCGCAAAGAAGACGTTTAGGTGGACAGTACGTACCGATTTCCCATGCCAGGCCTGACCAGGGCACCAAGGGCCGTCTAGCGTGGATGTTGCGGACGAGCCCTTTTGGGCTGATAATTACCGGTCCTTTGGGGGGAAATAGGAAAGGTCTTGGACGGACTGGCCGCTTTTACAGCAGTTAGGGTGTACGAGCCACAGAAGCCTCGCACAAACACTCGATCACGACTGGCTGGAATGAGTGTGGCAGTTGAGAGAGGGGAGGGGTGGTTGTGAGATTCGAGAAACGATGCGCTGGGACCGAGTACTGCGTAGTGTGGTCACTGTGGTGTATGGAGTACCTATGGTGTGTATTGGTGTGGCACAGGGGGGGGGAAGGAAGGAGGGGGAAAGGATGGATTCTCAGGGCCGAGAATGCATCGCTCGCGGGCGCCGGTTCTGCAGCGACAATCACTCCCCTTTTGAGGGGAGAAGAAAGCTTCTGGATGAAGATCGTAAGACGTAGGGCAAAGTGGCTGTGCAGTCTGGGATATCACAAGGACGAATAGGTGAATGGATGATAGTCTGATGTGGACGCGACCATGATGATTATGATGATGAATGATGTTGGTGGTGTCGGCTCTCGGAATCCAACAGCGAGAGAAGGTGTAGAGTTAATTAGTTTGATTTGAGATTGGATGAGAGGAAGTGAGATATATGGGAGATATTGATTGATGGAAGTGGAGGAGAGTTAGCATGCCATTAGCCACAGAGGGAAATAAGTGCTGGTTGTGAATATTTTACCTCGTACCTCGTAGGTTCTTGATATTAGGTTATTAGTTACTGGTTATTTGGTTATTCGCAGTATTAACACTCTCTCGCTCTGTACTCCGTACGGAATACGGTAATAATTAACTTGCCATCGATACATACCATCTATCTATGTCTGTCCGTCTTTCCTGATCGTTCTCTGCCGACCTCCATTCTCGAGTCTCGGTATGTACGGAGTACTGATAGTCACCTTGGCTTACACCTGACCGCATCTCTTCTTCTTCCGCTTTACATTGGAATCTGCCTCATGCATCATCAATCTGAAGGTTTCCTATCCGATTTAATTCTTACACCCGCACTTCCCTCTCTATCAACATCTTATCACATCTACTACTCTGTACTGATACCACGTACACACCCATCACCCGATTCATGTATGGATGTACATACTCCGCACAAGTACATACAAGCGCGAGATGAGCCCCATCTACGATTACTGAAAAGGCAAAAGGAACAGCTGCCGTTCGATCCAGTCGAAGCGTTGTAACTGCTAGCTCCGATAAAAAAGACGCCTCACCTGACCGACCCTCTCTCTCTCATAACAACAGTACAAGTACAAGTATCTATCTTACTTTTACTCTTTTTTATTACACTACTTGCACTTGAATCGTTCTATATTCTACTGTGTATACCTACGGAGTACCTGGTTACCCATAATTACAGTTAAAACCATAACAATACCTAAGGCTAGTCCTAGCTCCTGTCCAACCTCATACCCGAATCTTATAGCCTCCTTCTTACGGTTCCCTCTCCTCTCGTCTCTCTCTCACTCTCCCTCCCTCCTGAGTCGGAAGACGTCCTACACCCTACCCTTTCCCCCCCTAGTAAATACCGTAGCTTCAAGTAGCCCACACTACACCTCCCTCCCTCCCTCCCTCCCTCTCACACACACCCCATCCTAGTCCTTGTTGTAGCTCCATCCGCCGACCCTGGGCATTTGTGGCTTGATCTACTTGTGGTTGTGGCATCTACCTCCTCCCGTTTCATCCCAACTTCCTTAAGGTCACTTGAAAGCCTCTCCGTCCGGCCTTTTCTTCCCTAGCCTACCTTACCTTACCCTACTCGTACCCTACGGGCCTACCTACCCTACCTACTACCTAGCCTACCTGGACCTGGACCTACCCTAGCCTACCACTCACTCTCTACCTACCTGGTCCGACCTACTACTTACTTACTTACTTACTTACCTCGACTACCTACCTACCTGCCTACCAACTGTCTCTCCGACTTCTTCATTTTGATCTCTCGATGCTCCACGCTCCCAGTTAACGTGTGCTTCGAGCTCTCCAGCGATGTTTCGAAATAGGTGAGTGCCTTTTCTTACTACTTCTGTTGACCTACTGCTGTCTCGTCCCATCCTGTCATCGACAGGTGGGTGGATGGTTGGTTGGCGATCTCGCGTTGCGCGTATTATTCTCTTCCCACCCAGAGAGCGAACGATACTGTGGGTATGAACAAGATTCTAATGCGCTGGCAGGACAAACTCGCAGAAACCCAACGATGAGCTGCTTGAGACCTTCAGGGCTTCATATCCTCATCTCGCGCACACCACAAGGTCTCAGTCGCTCAGTAGTCCTTCTGGAGTGACTGCACCTTCCTTAACTGATGCGCTCGATGTAGCCCACCACAACACTCGGTACGTTTGGCCGCCCTCCCACCTCCCCCCCCATCGCCTCTCTCTATGCGCGATCCACCAGATTATTCGCAAAAGATGCACTGGCTGGGAGCGCATTCCCAATACTCGTTTTGTCTATATTCTGTTTTCTTTTCTTGATTATACAACCTCATCAGATCTCTTGAATTCCTTACGATTGCGCTTGTATTATTATGGTCATGATTGTTTTGGTGAACCCCCAGCTCACGCTACCTAACAGGCAATTTGGCGACCACGAGGACATCAAAGACCAAGACCCGACGCCTCGTGGTAACAACGAACCATGGAGATTCACACCATCTCTCCTCGACCCAAACAGCTTTGCATTCGCCTCTTTCGCTAATCAACCGCCTGGATACTATACTCCTACTCCTGGTGGCACCAACACCCTCTATCACAACCAGGCCGGCGACCTGCACACGCCCGGCTTCAGCTTTGGACTAGGAACCCCACTGTCCCTGCCCACCTCAGAAGGTGCCCTCCATGTTGGCCAAAATGTCCCTCCCAGCCATCTCCAAGGCTTCAACCCTAATGCCTTGGGGACTCATCATCATTTCCAGAATCAGAATCCATTCGCCTTGCAGCCTACGCATACTTCATCCTTTGCGCCGCACCAATTTTCACACCGTCCCTCTGCTTTTGAGCATGCGCCGCTCGCATCCACCCAGGAGCCCTCTCCCATTGACAACGTCATGCCTGATGTGGAAATGCAGGAGCAGTCGCCCATAGTCGGCTTTGCGGCACAGCCCATCGTGGAGACTATTCAGACCCAACTTGCCCCTCCTCAACCGCCCACCCAGAAGTATGTCAGCCGCAACATCGAAGAAGCAGCGCCATCGCCCCCTCTCCAAAGTCCCAGTTCAATCTCGCTTACAAATAATAGTTTTCGCTATCATGTCACTCTGAATGCCCCCACAGCAATGATCAAGCACGCAGAAGAGATTCCAGTCACATATCTCAACAAAGGTCAAGCCTACTCCATCTCTCTCATCGACACTGCACCTACTCATGCGTCATCTGTCCCCGTAAAGTACAGGACGTTTGTCCGCATCTCTTTCGAGGACGAGCAACAGCGCCAGCGCCCAGCAGCTTGCTGGCAGCTGTGGAAGGAAGGTCGCGGTACGAACGAAGCGCATCAACGAGGCGGGCGCCTACAAGCTGTGGAATTCGTCGATCCTAGCCAGGTTGGTGGCGGCGACATGCAAGGGCGACCAAAAGTCGAACTTGAATGCGCTTCTTTTGATGGCTTCGCAGTAACTTGGACCCCCGTGCACAATACCGCGCCCGAGTGCTCTATCGCTGTGCGCTTTAATTTCCTCTCTACCGACTTCAGTCACTCCAAGGGTGTGAAGGGCATACCCGTCCGATTGTGCGCGAAGACCGAACTGGTTACTACAGGACCTGGGTCGCCTCCGGATGGTGCGCAGGCTGAACTCTGCTACTGTAAAGTGAAGCTATTCCGCGACCATGGCGCCGAGCGCAAGCTTTCCAATGACGTCGCCCACGTGAAGAAAACGATCGACAAACTGAAACAACAGATCGCACAGGTGGAATCAGGCATGAAAGATTTCGGCAAGCGGAAACGAAGCGGTTCCATCTCCAAGGCGACTGCGAGCACGAGGCCCGGCAAGGTTCCAAAGCATAAGAGGACGTGGTCCATGTCTTCAGCCAGCTCGGCGTCCGGAACGAGAGCTCCCGCCGAAGAAGACCTTCATCACAAGCTGGCCACACTGCAGGACATGTTCAGCTCGACCCGGCCGACCAGTGTGCTCTACCTCAAGGGTGAGGAGGCAGACGACCCGGACCTTCACCCTGTGCAACTTTCTGGAACCCCGCAAGATCTCGCTAAGATCGATACCAATGTAGACTCAACCATGTGGGAAGGGCAAAGCTCGAACACTGGTGCAACCTCGTCCATTGTATCTCCGACTCCTAGCTCACTGTCGCTTCACTCCGGTGGGCGAAGGACATCGTTCCAGCAGCCAACTCCCTTTCAGCCGCCGTCTCGAATGCCCTCCAATGATTGGCGGAACCTTCCCCAAACAGCAACAGGAGATCTCAAACCCCACGGAGGAGTCACAGCTGGTTCTGATGTTCCTACGAAAGTCCAAAGGCCATACAGTGACGATCATGCCCTTTCTGGGTGGATTGAGGCCTTGGGTGTCGATCAGACCTACCAACCGCCACCCGAGCCAATGTTGAAGCCAGGTACGTTTGCCGATTGCCCCACTCTCATAACATCATATACTAATTTTATCGTTTCCAGTTGCGTGCTTCTTTGTACAACCTAGAATTGCAGGAAAGCAACCCGACGACAATTACTTCCGCGCCGTCTACCTGATGGAGCGAAGCGTGAAAGCACTCGTTGGATGCATTGCCATGAAGATCAATATCGAACCCACTAAAGTCACACGGACCATTCGAATCAATCAGAAAGGTCTTCAAATCCTAATCGACGACGATGCCGTCCAGGAGATACCAGAGCAGCAAGACATGACCGCCGAGTTCCACGAAATTGTTCCCGTCCAACCAACTATGAAGCGCGAGTGGGATGCAGGTCCAACGGATATTCAAGTAGATGGAGACATCGGCGTTGTTGAGAATGTGAACTCGACCGGTTACGAGCTTCGACTTCTCTTCTAAGAATCCGGCGTTACTCGCGGCCACACACCCCCTTTCACTCGGCTCTACAACCCTAATTGATGAATCATAAAACCATAATGACCACGTACTACCATTCGTATCGTTGAAGCGCACGCTGGTCGCTCTTGGAATCCATTTACATCCGTCGCTTCGCCCCTCGACCTTTTGGCGTTATCTAAACTTCCGAAGATACCACTGCCCTCGGCGACCTTTCATTTACTTTCATTTGTTCGCACGTACCGTTTTTCTTCCTTTCTACGATACCCATTTTACTATCACATTACTCTTTTTGGCAAGTTTAAGATTTGGCAGGGATTGAAGTGGAGGAATAGGGGCCATACCCACGTACACAAGGCACGCATTGGCCATTACAATCATCGTCATTTATCATATCTCGTACACAAGCAATCAGTTGATTACATACACAATGAGGAGGATATTAATCGTTTGGATGGTACATACTCGGAGACAATCTCAGGGGAAGTGAGCAACCCAGACGATGATAATCTATATTCAAGATTCATACCACATACACTCCAAAGGTGCACTCTCTATTCCACTACAACAATCATTGTTGATAATTGGTTCTTACGCTGCGTTTGTCACCCAGCTTCGGCAACCCAAGGATTATCGGAGTTGACCCCATAACGTTTATGCTCCCCCGCAGTCTAGTTAATTGATGACAGGGTGGAACTCCTATCGGGGAAGCTCAGCATACGCACTATTCAGATCATCCAAAGAACAAAGCGTCAAATGCGCCATGACGGTCAACTTTCCACAACAATCAAATCAATAGATTGACCTGAATCAGCCATTGGGTGCAGGGAAGGGTACGTTTGCCACATTCAAGACGCGCGGCTCTTCTTTTCCAATACTGCGGCACAGTAGGTATCTGGACGGTCATCTCATACGACTACCATTGTGTTTTTCTTCTCCATGAGGTCAAGTAAATGCTTGCAGCCACAGCAAAGCTTGGCATTTTCATTGGCGCGTAGAGCCTAGCACGCTTACCTGTTTTAAAGACGGCGAAAATTAGTCTCTGCGTTGGCCTTGTCCGATATGACATGATGGTGAAGAAAAGGGAATAGTTGAGGCTGGGACACATGCTTGGTCGCAACCCGCAGCTAACACTAATCTCAAGGCTTATCGTCATCGTACATAGAGTCTCCACCAATCACGTGTGCGATACTTATACCCCGAATCGCTTCCAAGTCACCGCGACAGTGGCTACAGATCCTGCATCGAGGAGTCAAGGGCCGAATACCAATGGCTTTGAGTTATGGCTTGTCTTTGAAACCATACGTTTTGCGGCTTCGCCCGTTGGCAGACTGTTTGGCAGCACGAGGATTATCCTAGCCGACAAGTGACATTGATGAGCTGGCGGGAACTCTACACCGCATTTCTCCTGCCAGAACGTCGAAGACAAAGATGCTTGATGTCACTCTCACAAATCTATCATGAAAAGTCTGAAGGTTTTTCACTTGAACGGGCCGAAACGTGAACGCAGATGAGGACTTGCAATGAATCGACAATCGCAGGGATTCGGACATATCGCAATATGATGCAAGCTGCAACCCACGTGTTCAGTCTTTTGAAGGACGAACTGCCCCAGCCCAGATACCCTTATGCAAGGGTCTTTGCCTGCGTTCGATTGGCACTTCTCCAATCCGATCAGATAGGGCGGGCCAGGGCTGCTAGTTAGAAGTTTCTTTGGAGACGTATCATAATAACCGCGATCTCTATTCGCCCACGCGGTCACGTCTAAAGCGAAAAGACTTATGGCTGTTCAGCTCCTACGCATTCCATGGTAACGCTCATGTAGGGACGCGTAATGTGACAAAGATCGAGGCCTGTAGATAAATGAGTTTGCCACTTTGCGGTTCCTTGCAACGTCTGGGAACCATTAGGAGAACTCCGTGTGCTCCTCACGTTCGCCTTCGCCTTCAGGCGACTTCCCCACTAAGGAGCCAAGTAACAGTCCGGGCAGTTTGACCGAAAAGTCTGATCCAATATGCGTGTGCACACGTTCGATCAGGGGATAGAATCTAATCATAGCAAGCGAAAGAATTGACAGCTCTGAAACGGAAAGTTAGAGTTGCATCACAGCATTCTTGCCCAATCATGAGTACAGATCTGCAGATCTGCCCTGACGATTACCGCTTTTGGTCATATCAGTTATATGGAATGAGCTACAGGTAACAGCGGCACTAGACTTGGTACTACCGAAGACGTTGGCTTATCGCCACACTTTGCCACAGTTCATGTGAGCCACAATTCTGTGATACGCTTAGAGTCAGGCAAGTCCACGGAGATTCGTTCTGTGTCTTGTGGGAGACGACGACTGTGGCGAAGGCTGAAGATGAATGGATCGGCTCGGCCGCCCGGCCGTGTGCACAAGAACATCAAGCCGCTTCTGAGTCACAAGCTTGGAGGGATGTGTTAACATGTGGCTTTACATTCGCTGCATGGAACAGACCGTACTCGACTCGAGGGTCACGGTGAACAGTTCAGGAAAGCTTTACCCCCGATGGAATGAGCTTGATGAGTCGAAAAGCCGGGCATTTTCTACTATCGGAGCGGAATCAAATTCGGTGCTCCATCCTGAGCCCTGCATATCTTGGAGTAGTCGTAATGGACCTGGCAAGATACGGAGTATTTTACGGCAGTCTGTCAAATGTTCGGACGTTCTGTTCAGTGTATAGTGGTGGACCCTGCGCGCGGACGTGGGGATAAGCTTCTTCCGTCATCGTGGTACACAGGTCACTAGCCCCTTGACGTGGGGAAACGCTGCTCTGCACCATCACAAATTCACAACACAACACACGGGACTGGCACGCCTCGTTCAATCTGAACGCTAATAAGGCCTAATCGGACCTCGCAAAGGTAAACCTTCGCAACCTAGTAATGATCTTCATTCATGTCCGCGTCAATAAATCGTGTCAGTTATTGTCTATACCTTGGCACTCCGGCGCGCCGTTAACGATTCCAATCTTTTGATCATAGCGCAAAATCAGCTTTCTCGTAGGTAGACTCTACCTAGAGTGACATGCCCTCGACTACCGGTATAACGCGTTAGAATTGAACCGTGCGACAGGCGGATACGGGCAATGATTCAATACCCAAATCCTCTCGCCTACACGGAGCAACTAGCCGAGGTCAGCTCAACGCCCATCCCCGACATCGATTCTGAACTCAGGATTGGGTTCGGATGCGCTTGGCTTGGTACCGAGTTCAGGCCTGCAGAGATCTCTCACTCTCTAATATTGGTTTAGCTCACCCGCCTGTGTAGATGTATTGGTACAGCTAGCTTAGGTCTGGTACGAGTAAACAATATTGTTAAAGGAACAATCTTGGGGTGCTCGTCCGTATCCCATTGAGATAAATGCATCATTGCGTTATCTTGACTTGAGTACGGGGCAATCGATGTTCCTACGAGGTACACCTAAATGAGACTTTCCCTTGATCGTCTTAGAGCTATCTTTTGTCCCTATAGTTTGTATTGGGGCTGCAAGCCTCCTCGAGCTAACCACGTGCTCGCTATACCGAATGCTCCCGCATAAGAATGAAAGCTCTGCTGTCACCAATATGAGTCTGAGAATCCTCCCTTTAAACACGATTTTTGATATGAGCCATTCTTCAGAATCCAAAGATGGCCAAAAACAAACACGTTATGTAGTGATCACGTGGAAGATCTGCAGTATATTGAAATCTTGGCTAAGAACTGTTTTTCAATGTCAGGTACACAGCCTCGTTTGTAAACAGAGCCAACTTACTGAACCTCACATTTCCTGCATGTTTCTGTAAACCACATTATTTGGTGAATTCGTTAAAGGCCACGAAAAAATCCCTACGTGTCGATGCTGGCATAATCGGTACACAATGGTGAAATTTTGGAGAGTCCTTTTTCCTCGGCGCAGGGTGTGGCGTCGCCGTATTGTCTTCATCGCGTTCATTACGTTCATTTGCGTGACCGTCGTCCGATTTCTCTTTCCCGTCCCGCAGAGGCCCAAATGGGCCGACACCGCTGTGACGCCTAGCGAACGCGCAGACGCCGTCAAAGAAGTATTTGTAGAGGCATGGGACGGATACTACAAGCATGCATTTCCAAACGACGAGCTTCATCCGCTTTTGAACACATATGGAAATTCTAGGTAAGTCATGCGCGCGCTTTTCGAGAGCTTCAAAACTTAGCAATACTAGGAATGGCTGGGGCGCCAGCGCTGTCGAGGCGTTGGGAACCGCCATTGTCATGGATCTCCCCGAAGTCGTGGATCCGATATTGGACTTCATCCCCACAATCAACTTCCACAAGACGCGAAGTACGGTGGATCTCTTTGAGACCACGATTCGCTATCTAGGTGGCATGCTGTCGGCCTATGATCTATTGACCGGGCCGATGCACCATTTAGCACGAAAGGTTCGATAGCATACATTCAATCGCCATGATGACAATTTTCGCTGACGTTCAATAGTCGGACGGTGTTGATGCTTTGTTGACACAGTCTCAAGGCTTAGCAGACCTACTCAAGGTCGCATTCGACACTCGCACCGGGGTTCCACGGAAGAAAGTCTTCTTCAACAACCCGCAGGGAAACAAAGACGATGCGAACTCCGTGGCCGCGGTGGGCACCCTCATTCTTGAGTGGTGTCGGCTGGCCAACCTGACTGGACAGCCGGAGTACAGGCAGTTGGTCGAAAAAGCTATGAAGCCGCTGCTGAACCCAAGGCCGCGGTGGACTGAACCGATTCCAGGAATTCTGGGCAATTGGGTTAATGTCGACACGGGTCTTATCACGGATGCCTGGGGCGGTTGGGGTGCAGGAGGAGACTCATACTATGAGTATCTCATCAAGATCTTTGCATATGAACAGAGTAGATACACTGCCCACAAGGACCGCTGGGTCATGGCAGCAGATTCTGTCATCAAAAAGATGGCCGAGACCCCGGATGGAACAGACCTCAAATTCATCAGCTCAAGCGACGGGCCACTCCTTGCTCACCAGACAGGCCACCTGACTTGCTTCGCTGGAGGCAACTTTATCCTCGCCTCGAAGGTGCTGAACGATACACGCTACTTGGACTTTGGCTTGGAGCTCACGAGAAGCTGCCATGAAACGTACATACGAACGGCAACTCGGATAGGTCCAGAGACGATCAGGTGGTCTCCCGAAGAGCTGAATGAGAAGCAACTCCAGGAACTCGAAGAAAACGGCTATGCCACTCTCCACGCAAGCTTCTCGCTACGGCCCGAAACAATGGAGAGTTACTACTACGCATGGCGGGCGACAAGGGATCCTAAATACCGGGAATGGGCATGGGATGCATTCGTTGCAATCGTAACCCACTGCAAAATGAGGAACAGCCTCGCGCCCATCAACAATGTCAACACTGTCCGGTGGAATTGGAAAGGGGGTAGGCAGGAGAGCTTCTTGTTCTCGGAGCTGCTGAAATATACATATCTCATATTCGCCGAGGTAAGTACTTTCGTCTGGTCTATTTACCAAGGGTGTGTTTTTATTGATGATGTATACAGGACGCTGAGTATCAGTTCAACTACGTGGGGGAAAACGAATGGGTGTTCAATACTGAGGGACATCTATTGAAGGTCGAAAAACCATGGTAGTGCTTGTAAGACGGGGACCTCTATGCTTGAAAACCACAAGTTGGAGGAAACACTGGTGCATGGCAGCGCCATGCGGATACAGAAAAGGTTATTAAGCACTAGGGAAGAGGATGTCAGAGCAGTTGGCGAGTCCTTCAGGATCTCCCAATTGATGCTCCGGGCTTACTTCAGACTCGAACCTTCAGCGAGATGCGTTAATAGCGTGAGCACCCGGCTTGCGGCTGATGATGATGATACCCGACCACCGTCAGATCGAAGAGAGAAGTGGGGATGATACCAAACTAGAACTCCCAATAGAAGTCGTGTCGACTTTGACAATACTTCTTACACAATAATGTGGCTGCACAGATAACGAAGGGATACCTGGGAACAGGACCGCTAGTGACTGAAAATGGGAAGTGCGAGCTGTGCGAAACAATTTGGATGGAGTCATGCATGTATCGTCGTGCAGCACCTTTTCGTTTCTTTTTCTCCTTTGCTTTTTGCGATGATACCACCGAGCCTGTCTTTTCGCTCGGAAGACTGCAAGGCTACAGTATCCTACTGGGAAGACGTCAAGGGACATCATGGTATCTTCAGATGACCATCGCACTGTCCTCACTCACCACAAGGCCGACTTAGCACGGCTTCGTCGAGGAGCTGTCGAGGATCACGAGCGACCGAGCAAGGCCAGGCCAGGCGGTCGCAGGTCGACTCCTACCGTGTCGAATGGCTTTGCCAATTCGTGAATCCCAGTTGCAATTCAACCAAGATTCGTCTCTCTTTCTTCGTTTATCTCTTGGATTCCCTTTTTGCCTAATGTCACTCAAAACACCGCATGCGTTGTGCTGTGCTGAGCCTACAAGATTCCAAATTTCCAAGGGGGAGGGAAAACGCGCGCAATCTCACTCGGCGCTTTGACATCGTAACACACCCTGAAGGAAGAAAGATGATGATGTTGGATGCACGTCGATGGTTCCGACACGGAACACAGCCGGTTGGGCGAACGAACGAAACAACGAAACGAACGACAGGCAAGCAGACCATGCACGAGCCGGATCCTGATAAGTGCTCACCACCCCCGATGCAATGCAATATGCAAAAGAGACGTGACGAGACCGACACGACACGGAAGAATACGCGCCATCGGACGTGCGTGCAATACTGGGCTTACATCAATCATCACCATGCCTTGCCCTACCCTGCTTTACCATGTCTAAACACAATGGCTACTCTGAAATGGGAGGTTAGGTCGTGAATGTGGCTGATTTGCGCAAGTGGAATTGGCCGATGGTGTCCAGGGGGTAGGAGCTCATCACCGGAAGCGATCTCTCATCTCATATTGCTTGCCAACACGGTCACCAGAGATCTTGGTATCATGATGCACTAATTTTCTCTTTCCCATTTTCTAATAAGATGCTGGATGGGTAGGTGGGTGCTGGGTTGGACCGGATACTAGGTAGGCTTGCTCCTCTAGGATTCGGGACTATTGTTCTAGCTGGGGAACAGGGAAAATAGCGGATCTTGGAAAAGAGAGAAAGAAAGGAAGTGTGTGATATGATTCGAATGATGTTCTGACAGGTCGTGTTCCTGCGGAAATTTGGCTCCGATCTCCACGCCCAACCCTACAAGTACAATGAGAATTGCGCCCGCGACGGTGGTATAGACAGATTTGGGAGATGTGTCAGGCCGCATTCGATAGACAACATGTCAATGTTTGCGGGCATATATCGACTTCCCTTTTCAGAGTTCTAATTCACTCGAGGATCAAAGACCAACCGTTATCAACGGCCGCCCGCCCGCCCGTCGCTCGCGTGCACGGAGGCAAACCCATCGAATGATGTACCTATACCTATGCGTATGGATCTCCGTGCTTGATGGCGACACTAACATGTAGCTGCCCCGGTTGTAGGTACAGTAGCATCCCCACGATCTTGCTCCGTTCGGAACAATATTGATAGACCTTGACAATATTCGCATCCTTCTATTCACTACTACGCTTTCAAAGGGCCGGAAACGGCCGTAGCACTTGGAGCGTGAGGTATACACATAGTATCACATACCATACCTGGATGGTCTTCCGATTCCGCGCCGAACTATTGATGCGACTATGCTGTGCCTATGCCTGTGCTGCTGTGTTGTTTTGTACCTGGGGTAAATAGTGCCGAACCCGGGCGCCGGGGCCTCGCGAAAAGGCATAACTTTCGGCCCCTTGATGGGAAGTCTTGACCCGACGAGGTTATACTATTCTCAACGGAGAATTGACATCATGTCTCCTGCCCTCCCCTGACGCTCTTACTCATTCAATGGACAGTGCTTAAAGCGCGAAGTCCTCGGGGTTTAAATGTTGTTAAAGCGGCGTTGTGATGTATGGAGAACTGTGGCTGGTGAATTATTGGATTTTGCTTGGGGTTCGATGACTTGCTACATGTTAGATTCCGGGTTAGTGTTTGGAGGTATAAAGGCATCATTTCCACTGTTAGAGTGTGGGTCAACCGATACAAAGGGCTGAATGGGTTGCAAAATGAATGTGAAGGCATGACATAGGTCAGAAAGGTAGAGGGAGTTGTGTGCAGGATTATTGAGCTTCTAGTGGTTAGAAAGGAGAATAGGAGGATAGGGAATAGTGCTCATGGGTCATTTTGAATTGGTGACTTGAAAGGTGGAAAGGGGGGACGAAAGGGCAAGTAAGGATATCAGCCAGAAGGTTGTCGTCTCACGATGCGGATCCCCTCATTGTTCACAGGTGCTTTGGTCTTCGATCACTGGGGTGTGATGATTGTGGTATGTTGAATAGTCTCTTCGATTTGAGCGTACTTCGAAAGACCAAACCAAGGGTCAACCGTAACATCAATTGCTGCTGGCCAAAAAAATTCGATACCATCCATTTCCAGCCGAGGACCATGTTCTTCACAGCGCACACGATGATGTTTGTAAGAGGAAACGAGCGGGCACAGGAATTCCATGGGACGAAAGTGTCGAGACACAATTGACGTTCGGCCTGCGTGGCCAACAGATTGATTTTGCCCAAGAGGAGCATGCCTCTTCTACCCAAACGCCGGTATGGTGCACTTTCCCGACGCATCCCTCATGACGAATGAGACCTTGATCCACCCTATTCACATGCGCGAACTTTTTACTTCCTTCGGAAAGAGCAGCCCTCTGTCAAGCGAGCCTTGCCACCAGTTGGCTGGCAAAGGACCTGTGAGCATCCCTGGCAGACGACGACTGTGTTGGCGTGCGAGAAGACGGTGGTGATGGTGAAGCAGCCGGGGCACTTGACATCCATGAAGAAGCTTCGGGGAGCGGGGACGAGGGTCTGGAGGTCTTCGCGTTAGACATTGAATTCGGAGAACGGGGTCATGTTCGTTGGCGAACCTTGAGCTTGTGCTTGCGAGCCTCCGACTGAGGAGTCGGGTTGAGGAGATCGACGGCGAGAACCTGATGGGTTGCAATGTTAGCACTGCGATATTCTTTTCCAACAATCCTGCTCTTTCCCTGCGCTTCTTTCCTTCTCTTTCTTCTCCTCACAATCTCTCGTCCTCAATCAATGCCAATTGCGTTGTGGAGGCATTAGATTTCTCGCGCCCGGGATTTCAGGATTTTTTTCGTCAGCGATTCCCCTTCACGTACCATTTTGCTTGTCTATTCTATGTGACTTCAAAATCGGCGGCCAGCTGGTTGATGGGGTAGTCTCGGGAAAGTTCGCGATATTTGCTAATTTCAACATTGTGGTCCTCGCTTGGATGCTTAGATAAGCACAGCACCATTTCACTAGCGCCATTACGTCGGTGTGTGGACGTCTCTTTAGGACTTATTATCAAAAGCCTCATCAAAAGACTTATTATGGACATTCCTAGTTGTACAAAACTAGGCTATGAAAGGGTTCACTATTCATGAATGTAATATAGTAAATAAACCCTTCGTTTAATGATGTCAGTCGTCGAGTTCTCGTCCAAAGTCTATCAACCGTAGCTTTCGCGCATCTCGAGGATGATACTGTGCTATCTTCGCCCTAACCAGAAATCTCGAGGCGGCAGAATCGCGCTCGAGGTCACAGTAAGCCTTGCCTCCTCCCGGGCCAGTCAATGTAGCAAAAAGACTCTCGATCAGCTTTCGCATGTCATTGTCGGCTGCTTCGGCCTCTCCTAGCTGTTCGCCCTCGTCCATCGCCTTGTCACCCCAGATTTGGTCAATCCTACGCTGTCTCAAAGTATCAGAAGGTGCCTTCTTCGTCGATTTCACCTTGCCCTTCTTCGTGAATCCCACGGCCAGCATGTCGTCTTCGACCTCTGGCAGGTCTCCGACGACCGGCCCTCCAAGTTCTTCAGCTGCAAGCATTGGTGACAAAATCTCAGTGACAAATTCGTGAAATGCTTCGCCGAGCCGGGCGAACTCCCCGTCATAGATCTCCTTCTGCTCGCGCTTAGCTGCTATAAGGTCTTTTGCGAGCTGTGCTGGTGTCTTCTGCGATCGATCCTGACTTTGAGCTCGCAGCCGCTCAAGCCGCCCTTCCAGAGCTTGGGCGAGTAGATGTGCGTCGCGTAAGTTTGCATTCTCTTTCTGTAGGGTCGATTCAGTTCTAGAAAGTCGTGCTTCTGTGCTTGCTATTGCGTCTTTGGTCTCCTTGACAGTCTGCTGGATGGCTCGCGCAGCCAAGAGAGAAGGGAGTTCTGAATCACGAGAAGGCAAGAATGGAGCGACCGGTTGGAATTGTGTGTATGCTTGTTTTACCGCGAGCAACTGCTTAAGTCTTTCTCGAGGATCAATAGCTGCATATGCTGTCCTCTGCACATCGCCCTGCACTGCTAAACGTAACTTTGCAGTCTTAGTATGAGTTCATGTTCGATCTTGATAGCTTTGCACTTACCTTCTCCAGAGCTGCTTGCTGCTCTGAGACGCGGCCTTGCAACTCTTTAATGGTTTGCTCGAGGCGTGTTTTGGTGTGCGACGCGTCCACGTCCATTAATTCACCCTGCATTTCTCGCGCGTCCACAGCATATCTCCGGATATTTGTGAGTGTCAGCTCATGAATTTGTTCCATGTTTATAGAAGAGCCCCAAGACGAGCAGCTTCTACTATTTGCGTTGTGTAGCTGAGTGCTCGTCGTCACACAACAATCTGGGTAGTTAGAGCGGGTAATGATTGATTGGCTTGAAGATCGTTGGTATAAAGATCTCCAAAATTCGAGGAATGGAAGTCAGAACGACCACAGTCAGTACGCAAAGGTCCCTAACGCATGAGACTGAAACGGCACGGGTACTTTTCATTTGTTATTTTCTGAGATCAAATTGAAGAAAACCATACAATCATCGACATGTAAAGAGTAGTCGAGTGCAAAGTCACGTGACCATATGAAGCAGCCAAGCCGCTAAGGAAATCTCCACTTCCCTTAAGGCTTCACGTCGACTTCCTTGATTGTTGTCGACGTTGCTGTTACTCCTCATCAACATCAACCTCTCTACTTCCCCCCATCTCAGCTTTCGCTGCGCTCAACAACGCCCTTTCCCATACTTCAATTGTTTGCGTCTCTGCGTGAAGGACAAGCCCTCATCGAGCCTGCCCTGCCACTTTGGGACAGCGACCTCACCTCAAAAGGTTTGACGAGCGGTCTCTCTACATATCTCCCTCTACTCGACCTCCAATCCTCAACTGCCCATACTCTCCTTTCGGCATCCTCGTCCCTCTTTCACAATCACCAGCAACTCTTCGCTCTCTTGAAAGTTGCTTGCCTCGAACCTCCTATCACCACACACACCTACACGCTCTCCAAGCCCTCAACTCCCAGCTTTTCGACGACACTTCCTCGCTCCTCCCAGCCCAGCCCGTCGCCCAACCCCATTCCAATCGCCAGCACCAGCACGTTTTCTTTCGCAGCCCCCGCTGTATATAACGTGGAAAAGAATCGAAGATTATTCAATCTGCAAATTAGCAGCAGTTCACTTGCGCCTCGGAACGTGACGAGCTTCTGTGCCTTTTTGAACAGCTCATAAAGTTAGGAGATATGTCTGCCTCACCTACTATTGCCGCGTCCTCGACAAAGCGGCCCTTGGAGGAGCCCTCCTCCCCTGCCGGACCCAACGATCAGCCTGATGCCAAGCGCCCTGCCCTTGATAAGGCAGTCAAAGACGACTCTTTGACAGCTGAAGATATTAACATTGCCGAGCCAGTCAAAGGCGATGGTATTGCTGCCGAAGATATCAAGTCTGAGGACACCATTGCTGAGGCAGATGCGGAGGTTGACAGTGCTGCACAGAATGGTACCGAGGCCACACAGCACTCTGATACAGTTGTCCCTGATGCTCCAGCTGCCATTGCCATTCTAGACACACAGCCTATCCAGTCCACCTCTAGCGCCAATGGTCGCCCCGGATCGAACAGCACCCATGAAAATGAGACCAACTGGCTTCACCTGAGGGCTTGTATCAGCACCCAAGAGGCAGCCACGATCATCGGAAAGGGCGGCGAGAACGTAACCCAGATTCGCCGCCTTTCTGGAGCTAAATGCACCGTTAGTGACTACTCTCGCGGTGCTGTCGAGCGCATTCTGACTGTGAGCGGTCCGGTCGATGCGGTCTCAAAGGTAAGAACATCAATCAAAAAATGGGTTGAGATTTGTGTTACTAATCTCTAATAGGCATTTGGTCTCATTGTCCGCACCTTGAACCAGGAAGATCTCGAGTCACCTTCTACTTCTGCGTCCAAAGCCTACCCAATGCGCCTTCTCATCCCACACATTCTCATCGGCTCTATCATTGGCAAGGGTGGTGTTCGCATCCGCGAGATCCAAGAAGCCTCAAACGCTAAGCTCAATGCGTCGGACACGATGTTGCCCAATTCGGGCGAACGCTCACTTGTCGTTCTGGGTGTCGCCGATGCAATCCACATTGCTGTTTATTATGTTGCTCAGACATTGGTGGAGCAGTTGAGTGAGCGCTTTGGCGGTCCTGCTGCTTCGCAGTATGCGACACGTACTGGTGGTGCTGCGAACGTTGTCCCAGGTGGAATGTCGGTCCAGCCTTACGTCCCCCAACCTGCTGGTGGACAATACCAGCAGCCTGCCAACTTCCGCCGCCACGAGCAGCATGCTCAGCGTACTCCGTCAAACTCTGGGTATGGCATGCCATATGGGCAGCATCCTCACCAACAGCCTGCCCAGCCTGCAATGCCTTATGGAGCTGGCTCACCAAGTCGCGGACCATATGGCGCTGCCATGCCACAACAGGCCGGTCCCTATGGTGGTCACCATGCCGGTGCGCCAGTTGCTCATGCAGCTCCTAATCAGCCTGTGCAGATGCCCGGCCAGCCTCTAACCCAGCAGATCTACATTCCCAATGACATGGTCGGCGCCATCATTGGCAAAGGTGGTGCTAAGATCAATGAGATTCGTCAACTTAGTGGCAGTGTCATCAAGATCAATGAGCCCACTGACAACAGCAACGAGCGTCTTGTCACCATTACAGGCACACAAGAGTGCAACCAGATGGCATTGTACATGCTGTATTCTCGACTCGGTACGAACGATTCTCATACTACTCCTGTTTCATCTGCCTATCCTTCCTACTCTTCCTACTCTTCCCAGTCGACCTATTATGCCTAGTATGCTGGGCTCTCTTCTCAAGTTGTTTATCTCAACAATGGCCAACGTCGCGCACGACTTGCGCCGGTGCTTGTATTTGGTTCGCAGCAATCTCTATTACGTCAATATTCCATTGACCATATTTCCACAATTAATTACTAACAAGACCTAGAGTCGGAGAAGCATCGAATTTAGATGGACACCATCGGTACCCATCGGCACAGATGAATAGTGCCTCATCGCTCTCTTGAAGAGATACGGCAGCAATAGCATTTTGAGCACGGCGTACACGGTATGGTTTATATCACTCAAGGTCTGTATTTTATATTGTCTACTTAATTCTGCCTCCTGGTTCTATGAGGACATGCAAAGGGCAATGGTTTGAGTTGGCTAAGGGTTCGGGATCTTTTCACGACTGGCATGATGCTCCTCGCTCGGATTTTCTTACACGTCCACTGACGATGGAGGATCACAAGGAATGGATAGCACCTAGTTTCTACCTCGGTAAACTCTGTCTAAAGGGTTGTTAACAAGATCTCATTAAGCTTACCTTGTGTGTCGTTTTGTCTCCTATGCCCGCTCGGTGAAGTCAGACATGTTCTAGCCCCACCGTCTCTGGTTGATGTTTTGCTCCGTTTCCGGCTTTGTGATTGGCGTCCCGAACTCGTGCCGGACTGGACAATGACCGCACGCGGCTATCAGGGCACGATGGGATGTGCTCCTCATATCGGATCGGAGTCGGGGGGACTCAAAGGTGCATTCCACAGCACGTGCAACCGCATTCCAGGGCACACAAAGAGCTTCCGCTCGCGGGGTCGGTATATGATGAGCCTCAAATTGAGGGGAACACCTGTTCTTGATCGGTTCACCGACCTTATCGCTGTCGTGTGCTCAATTTTTGTTGGGCGTCGCTCGTTTTGTTGGATGAATGTCAGTCCTTTGGGGTCACTGAGAGGTACAGTCTTTTCTCGCTATGCACGCCGACAATATGGCTCGCGAGCCTACCATTCTTCCACCTCCCTATACTTCCACTGGCATGCGTACGGGTTCTTTGAGGTAAGTTTGGATTTGCCACTGATTCAATATTCATGAGAAGAGATGGCTCCACCCGCTATCCTCTTATAGATTATTTGCTTGACAGGAGACTGACCTAAGAGAATAGAAGCAATGCAAGGAACTTCTGTACGATAGCTGAGTTACTTGTGGGACCGGATCCCAGCCCAACACGCTTTCTTCTTCACACGTCACTCCTTACATCCCAGTCGCCGTATTTCCGCGCCGCACTGATGGGTCCTTTCCTTGAGTCGAGTTCCCAGTCGATCCGACTGGCTGACATCACGGTTGATATATTCGAACTCTGCGTAGCATGGCTCTACACAGGAGATATCCACCCGGTACCTTTCAAAGACGGACGACCTGCATATTACACATTGCTCCACCTGTATGGCCTGGCCGATCGACTATGTTTCGAAGGGCTGCGGAATAGAGTGGTGGACCTTATCTCGGATCTGGCTGATTCTACGAATTCTGTTCTGACGCCGTCCGATACGAGGATATTGTACGACACCATTCCCTACACGTCCCCACTGAGGACACTGGTCCTCGATCTCTTTGCGTTCAAGAAGACGGACAAGTTGGTCGAGACGCATGTCGACCGGTGGCACGCGCACTTCCTTCGAGATCTTTGCGTGCGGCTGAAGCGGCCATGCGAGCAAGCTACGACCAGGCACGTGTTACGGATGTGGTGCCCGGAGACCTGGCATGCGACACGTGCGTGTGAAGGTTGTAGGATGTTACTCCCTCCCCGCTATGGTGCCGTGGTCTGCGATGAGTGTGGTTTCGCTTGGTGTGTGAGGTGTATAGGGGAGGGTACGGGCATGGCTGCGTGGGAGGATGGGAGAGGCCGATGGGAGACGTCTAGTCTTTCCAATGGTATGTTTGGGGGCAGTGTTCTCATGGCAAGGAGTGAGCCCGGCAGCCGGGATTCGCACGCAGACAGAGTTGTACCTACGGACGCAATGAAGAAGTTGGCTAGATTGAAGTGCAGGAAATGGGAAAGTTGCAAGCCGTGGAGAGGTGCTCGGTGTATGACCTATCATGAGCATCAGGAGACAGACACATGTGGAGACGTGTTCCGGGGACACTAGAAGGAGGAGGATTAGAGGCGGCGGACGACGATAATGGTGGGAGGCATCGGGGATTGTGAAATAGGTCAGGAGCACATACATGGAAGTGTAACAGTAGACACAGCACGATTTTCTAATTCTGTTTCAAGGTAATTATAGCAAATTCAATCCACAGACCTGGGACCAGTCTGTTTCTCTAAACGTCGCGTATCAATCATGCATTCATTCATTTGTTTGGTGAAGGATTTAATGTGGAGTGGAATCGTTCTGTTTGTTTAGATTGGTTCCTAAGAGTTCGTTTGAGATTGCTACTTTTTTCTTTGGTCACATATATAGTACATTGTCATGAAACGCCAACAGTCCAGATGACTGTGATCGAAGCAAGATATCGTTCGTACAAGAGCATACAAATGCGCGCGCTAACGAAGACATTCGTGCCTTTACTCAACGAACGACTTGACATCTGAAGAAGAGTTAGTGGAGGTCGCGATTAGGGGGAAAGTACGACTTACTCTTCAACCACCTGATGTACTCCTTCTGCTCCTTGTGGTCAATGTAGTCAGGGATGAAGAGTGCGAGGCGAGTGTTGATTTCGCGCTCCTCAAGGTACTTCTCAAGAAGGATCTGTAGGTCCTCATCCAGATTGGAGAAAGGGGGGCCAACGTATAGGCTTCGCCTCTGCCATTCCTGCTCAGCAGTCTTGGGGGCAGCCAGATCGGCGGAAGGGAGGTGCCATAGGTCCTCAATCAAGAAGTCGCCGTCCTGTGCGAGAACATCAATCGCAAGAGCACCCTTGCCTGGCCTCTCGATCCTGATGGAGGCCTTTGCGGGGAAGCCCTGCTCATCCTCACCGTATTCATCGTCAAGCTCTTCGCGGTCGGCTGGAGAAACGCTGTCCTCAGGTGCTACGCGAATGTTTCCATCTGCCGACTTTCCTTGGTTGATAGCTCCCTTGCTGTTGGCTCCACCTGATTGAGCATCGACAATGTCATCAATCTCTCCATCGTATTCCTGCTCGCCGAACTCCTCATCAGAGACACCGTTGTCGAGGTCAGCAGTGGAGAAAACAATCTGGATCTTCTCGTCGCCGAAGGTTCGCGTCAAGATGACTTCTTGTTGACCGGGCTTGTCTTCGATCTGGATCACTGTCAATTTCTGCGCACCCCGCAGCGAAGTTTATTTATGCACATACCTCAAATGGACTTGTCTCGAGATACTCCTTGATATTAGCAGAGAGATCTTCATCCTCCTTCATATCCTCCTCGATGGCAATTTCATTCTGTAGCTTTGCAACAAGCTCTTCGTTGACTATATCATAGTTAGCGGTTGCGAGGTACTTCATACGCCGAGGAGAAGAAATACCAGAGCCACCAGTTTGTCTCCTGACAGCCGAGATATGGAAGGAGGCTGCAAGTCGTGGAGCAGACTGTGCCCAGGCAGGTTGGAAAGCTGCTTGTCTGAGCAATGATGGTTGACGGATAGTCTTTGTGGAGAGGCGGGCGGTTGAGCGCGGAACCGATCGAGCAAGATTCCTGAGGGCAAGCATCTTGATGGTTTTTCTCTAAAGGGTATATGGAGGAATTGAATTGAAGATGTTGGCCTGAGTAGGTAGTTGTGATGCTATGATTTGGATGAACTTTTAGTGCACGAACCACCATTCGACTTAGGAATTCCACCCACCGCCGCCATCACGTGCGCGGAGCTATGACTTCAGACGCCGCCCGATTTGCGGAGATGGGGGGAGATTAAACATTTTCGGATTCACAACGTCAACTGCATCTTTGCGTGCGCGCAATCGGTTTAAGGCGACAAATACCTCGATTCAACGATTGAGGCTGCGAGAAATTGATTCGACAATCTACTTACTATCGTCATACTTCGCAATCCATAAATTATACCCATCTAGACAGAGTTGCTTTTCCTTTGCGCTTCGTCTTCCCTTACGTTCGACGTTCAATCATACTGCCAGAGTATTTTCTCAAGTACACACTTCACAATGGCAACAACGACAGGAGAGAAGGCCAAGGTACTAAGTCAAAGCTATCATTCTAGGTATTGTATTCTGACCAAGTCCTAGCCAAGTCCCATGCGATCAATTATCGCTGGTGCCGCTGCTGGTGCTGTGGAAATTTGTATGTACACTTGAACCTTGATGTAGCCAGCTTGCTAACCATACTCTGTAGCAATAACATATCCTGCCGAATGTACGCAAGTGCTTTACTTCTCCACACTTCCTTCCGTGCCTCGAACATACAACTGAGATCATATACAGTCGCAAAAACACGGTCACAGCTCAATCGACGGTTAGCGGAGGGCAAGAAGCTTCCATGGCCACCGTTCGGGGCCCAATGGTATGCGGGATGCACAACTTTGATCATAGGGAACTCGCTGAAGGCCGGAATTCGTATGTTGCATTCGACCTAGGAGGGTACATGGCACACGGCTAATGCGCCGAGTCTAGGATTTGTCGCCTTTGACCAGTACAAAGCGCTTCTGGCTGATGCTGACGGAAATGTTTCGGGCCCAGCAAATGTCATCGCAGGATTTGGTGCAGGTGCTACCGAGTCACTATTGGCAGTGACGCCGTTTGAGAGTATCAAGACTCAATTGTACAGTGGACCCAAGTCAAACCGTCTGCCTGTTTTTGGTCTGACAAGATACTTAGGATTGACGACCGCAAATCAGCCAAACCTCGAATGCGAGGGTTCTTGCATGGTTCGAAGGTGATTGCGCAGGAAAAGGGCATTCGAGGATTCTTCCAAGGCTTCCTTCCCACGACAGCACGGCAAGCAGCCAACTCCGCCGTTCGATTCTCTAGCTACACGGCGCTACGGCAAATGGCGCAGTCTTACGTAGCCCCCGGCGAAAAGCTTGGGGCCATCAGTACGTTTGGTATTGGTGGTGTTGCTGGCATCATCACAGTCTATGCCACTATGCCTCTTGACACAGTTAAGACTCGGTATGTCAAATCATCCACGCGCACAGCACCACGAGTTTCAGAGAGGCGAAGAAGACAATGGAGAGAATCCGAACTTGAAAAGAGGTACTAATCGAACGTCACAGAATGCAATCTATCGAAGCTCGAGCGCTTTACAAGAATAGTTTCCACTGTGCCGCCAAAATGTTCCGGGAGGAAGGTATTTTAACATTCTGGTCGGGTGCACTACCAAGACTAGGCCGTCTCATTCTGAGTGGTGGTATTGTATTCACAATGTACGTCTCCCCTGGACGATCTAGAGCATCATACTGACCATGACCAGGTACGAGAAGGCAATGGAATTCATGGACAAGATAGATCCACATGGCCGCTACATATAGTGAAAGAGGCGGTTCCTACGTGTATGACATACATACCCCCCTGTACACTTGATGTGTACGTTCATTATTGGCGTACCTTGGGCATTGGCAATGGAAAAGATTACATAGACGATCATGGCCAAGGTAATGTAAAGTATATCTTGCGGGGCATATAATCAGATACCCATAGCGGAAAACAAAGCGGAATTTCCCAGTACTAGAGATGCCTGCAGGCTGCAGTCCACTCCTTTTCATGTCTACACACTACGGCCGTAAAACCAAACTCCCCTACCCAAAACCGTCATCCATTTTTAGATCCACGGTCCCTGTTACCCGCCACAATCCTCTACATCAAACAGCAGCTTACCTAGAACTATTTCCGAAACGGACACGCCTATCCTACCACGGCAATCACTGGCGATTGAAGAGTCATACTTACCGTATCAAGCGTGCCTGTCCAGAAGCAGCCTAAACGAGCCTTTCATTCGAATCCCGTAGGCCACTGTAGATCAGTTGCCGAGAACTGCGGGAACGTAAATGGCGGGATGACGATGTTGCCGGCGGACATCTCAGCCGTGCCGAACAACTTATCCCATTCATTCTAGTGCACACAATTAGGCTCCAATGCTATAATATGGTTGGACGTGTGGGTTCGAAACGACAGGATAGGATACAGCATATTTTAAGACATGGTTTCAATGACCCCAGGGGGTAGAAGTGCCAACAAATGCAATGGAACGCAAACAGGGTATACGTAATTTCTAATCGTATTCTTGTTGGAACGGAAAGTAGGAACTCACCCAGTCGATCTCGGGTAGCATGTCCAGGGGCGAGCCACCAGTGCCACCAAGCATACCAGCTGCATTATTGGGTTCACTGCTGCTGCCAGTAGTAATGCTAGATTCGCTCTGCTCGTGGCTATGTTGGCCTTGAGAAGGCGACGTGCCTGTCCCTGCACTTTGTGAAATTGTCCCGTCATGGGCAGGTCCAGCAAAAGTATAATTATGCACCTCGGCAGAAGCCTGAGGATGTAGTGCAGGAGAGTTACCAGCCCCTAGGCTGTAGTTGAGACTCGCCATGCTATCTAAATTGGCCATTTGAGATTGGTGTTGATAGCCGGGTTGAAGGTGATGTGACGAATTGCCACTGCTCACAGTGAAAGATGAAGACACACCAGACTGAACAGACGAGCTACGGCGATCTCGTTGCTCGCTAGCTCCTGGATCTTCTGGAGGTCCTGCGTGTTCCATCCTTGCTGGAGCGCGAACGCGCCTTGTTGCGTGATATGTTTCGATGCGGCCCCTCAGTTCCTCAAGGACCATCCGACATTTTGCTTCTCCAGTAATCGAGGGCGAAAGACTGAAGACATGATCCAGACAACGCCAAATCCGGGCTTCGACTGAGGGGTCACGCTCATTTGTTATGTAGAATTCGGAAAGCAGCAATAGTGCCGCGTGATTCTGATGGAGAGCCCCTACATACCAAGACCACGTCGAAAGAGCGGGGGTTGTTTCAATGACCATTGAGTGCTCGAGGGTCATGATCGCACAGCTCATGCTCATTGAGCGCAGTCGCTCCGGCATAATTCGGTAGTGTGTGGAGGTAAATTTCTGAAGTACCATGACATACATCCTGCAGCTCAGAATGCCGTATATCTCCATCGCCAGCACATGTAGGGGCTGATTCTTATGCAAGAAAGGGAGGTAGGTTTTCTCCATTGCCTGACAAAATCTTTGGATCTTGGAGAGCAAAGTAGTAAGCGTTGTACGCTTCGAGTCGAGCTTTGGCCTCTCTGTCCAGAGAACACGGTGCATCTCATAGCATTCGATCCTCATTCGCATGATGGTCATGTCTGTGAAATAGTTCCTGTCTTCGTTGACTTGAATCCCTTTCTCCAGGTCGGCATCGTCGATATTGTTTGGGAAGCGGGTATCGAAGTCTTCCCGACGTATCTGAGGGCGCGGCCCTGTAGCTTCGCATGTGCGAAGGTCGAGAAAACAGATCTGGTACCAAACTAGTCTGCGAACGTGTTGTTCGATAGCATTCGAGGTATAATGGGACGGATCGCGGTGTAGGGACATGCATTCTGCCAGTCGGATGCAAGTACCAGTCAAGGCAGAGTGAGCGCGAGTAACCTCAGCGCGGCACAGCGATATCTATTGTCATGAGCTGATATAGACTAATATGGAGCAATGTATCGCCATGTCCGATAGACAGTATCCCTGACCATACTAGACAGAGTAGTACTTGACCAAGCTTGCTTCAGAAGATATTGAATAACAAGATGGATCAAAACACCTATATTGCCAACGAACGACGCGAAGAGAAAGAGATCATTACTTACCAAATACATCACAAACGCCTGGAGTGTCTCCAACCTTGTAGTGTGTAGGAAGTTAGCCCTCGATAAAGCTGCTTCAGTGCCTTCCCTGAAGTTGTCAACCAAACTGTCGCGCGCAACGCCAAATTCTTCCAATATCTTATTCTCGGTCATACTGATCGTCGAAGATAATAAAGCAGCGAAGACGACTGCTTGAAATGAGGACCGCGGCTCGATGCCCACAGAAATATCATTCCAGAATCTCTCATACTGTCTTTCGAAAGAAGGACGATGGACAGTCCGAGCTACAATATGTACTGCCCGCCAGTAATGATCCATTAACTTATCGACCATGACTTTTGATGGTAAGTGGGTCAACAATGTCGTCTTGTGTAGCCCCGAGGAAAAGCAAAACGAAGATGAGGGTGGAATATATTCATGGCCTGGCGCCATCCAAGTACTTGGAGATTGCTTGAGGAAAGGATTCAAGTTCGAGTCCTCCGTCTTAGGGAGCTTTTTGATAGCTTGCCCGAGCTGGCACGCTGATTAGTGGAAATGGTCAGTGGAGAAGCAAGCAAACATACCTCTTCGTTGAATCTGGGCCTCACAAATCCACCCACTCTCTCCGTGATTCGAAGTTTCCCCAGGCTGATACCAAGATCGATAAGATCCTCATTTACGTCTTCGTCCTCATAGTAAGCGGCATCCTCGATAGCTAATGAGGTTGGGACCAGATCCTTAACATCTTCTTCGTCTTCCTGGTCACTCAAATCATCTGCCATACCAGGGAGCTGAGATTTGGAAAGAACTCCCATGCCGGTAATCGATTGTTCGGACCTGGTTCGGCGTGCGATGTCCTCCTCCAGCGTCTTCTCTAGCATGCCCATTTTCTCTTTGAGATTCGCAATCTTCGCCTGACCAGCAGGGTCCAGCGCTGGGGCAATGTAGAGACAATCGCGCGAGAACTTTGTGCAATTGGTACATGGTTGTAGTTTGTCGCATTTGAGTTTCCGTCGACGGCATTCTAGGCAAGATGTAATCAAACGATTTCTGCGGCGTATCCTGGGCTGCTCTTTGGGTGCCTTTCTCTCGCCAGTTACGGAAGGCGAAGCACGGCTAGAGTTTCCATGTGGTGGAGAAGGCGTTGGAAACATATCCACTATATGTCGCTGGAGCTGATGCCCGGTTGCAGATGGCCAGCGCCCTGGTAGCGAATGTGGAAAACGGCCGTACGCACTGCAATTGCTTACGTGCGTAGCTGGAGCAATGGATGACTATTGCAGCACAACGCAACCGATATATAGAAATAACGCTAACTGAGTAGTAACGATGCGTGTGCAGGTGTCGACAAGCTTCTATGATCGCCACTTTCCGGGCGTATCGTTGATATTGCGTTGTAGGTGCGGGTGATTGTCTTGGGCATGTAAGAATATAGTCAGACGTTGCTAGTGCTGCGTAATACAATGATGGGAAATTTGGGAGAAGAGATGTGTGACCGCGCAATATAGTGATGAACGAAGGGTAGATGAAAGGTTTAAAAAAGTAAAATATCTAGGGCGAGGCTTGGGAGGGCTCTGTATATGAAAATAGGCTTACATTGAGTAATGAGAGCACTGCCTGGAGAGGTCGAATGCTAGAGGAGAAGATAGAGTTGGATTGAGGATGGAGAGGGAGATAGGTTCCCAGCCTGCTCAGAGCTTGACCCGAATGAGACCAGATGACAACCTAATACCTAGAGAAGCCTAAAGAAATCCTATAACCAGTTGTGATAATCAATTACTGGTGGTCTCGCTGCCTGTAGCAGTAGGGATCTCTGTAAGCTAGCCAAGGGACTACAGTAGGAGATTCAGCCACTTGAAGATACACTTTACCACACTCGTCCAAAGCCTCTGTCGACATTGTTTTGACGATTTTCTGGATCCATTCACTCTTCCATCGCGTTTTTCATTTCTCTTCTGTGGACCATCAGCCAAAGGAGATAGCCACTAATCTTCTGTTTCATCGTTGCATGTCCCTTATAATAGGAATGTCAAGAAACTGTTGACCGACCATTAATGCCATTGTTCCGCCCGTCAGTTGGAATTAAGACCAAAGACAACAAATGCACCATCCATATTCAATTCAGCATCATACTCTTCCATAAGTCTCGATTAGGGAGTCGGTTCATTCCGCGCGGCTTCGAGCTAAAAATGATTCATCATTCGGCTCCTCGATCCTTTGTTCCAGCATTCGTCCGTTCATCACATTTGAATCCCTACTCGGTAGATAAAATCACAACCGCCTAGCCGTGGATGGAGATGTGATTTTATGGATTTCTCCGGCCCATAATTCCCTCTACCTTGGGGTTTTGATCCTGACAGGAGTTGTAAGGTTGATCCCGCCCCTCCCTGTCATGGTCAAGCGCGTGTCTGTGCTCCCTCAGGTCTCATTCTGCCCTGTCTGGGACTGTGCATTTTCTTCATTTCCATCCAGTCAGTGAGCTGCTTGACGCACTATCCCAATAGCCTACTTATTATCGGGATGTTATCTGGTATCAATATAGACCTTGGGATTTCGAAAGGAAGAAGAAGAAGTCATGACATGGGATGACATATCCATTGCAATGGCGCAACATGCCAAGTTTGCTGACGTACCCACCAGGAAGGTAGGATGCATGTTTGTCTGCTCCGGGTTCACTGTCCGCAGAATACATGTGGAGAGGAGCCACATTGAATAGGTCGACGTCTGGTACATTCAGCTTATCGAGTGTGGAAATAGGTACTTTCCTGGGGTTCGAGTTCTTGTTGTGGATTATGGTCGACAGAATCATGGTCGACAGAATCATGGTCGACAGAATCATGGTCAAAATGTAAGAAGTAGGAATTCCACTTTACATGGACTCACGATACAACCAAAAACATATCTATAGACACCAATCCATATTTTGCAATTATGGGATAGTTCATAGGCTCTCCAGGTCATCATACGGTATTGCTGTTTGAGGATATTCTGTACTCTCGCTTTCCACTTGAAGAATCGAGCCGGCGTTCTAGCGTCTTTGACATCATACCGGCATGTACTCCGTACTGTCTGTGGCTACTTCCACAGTGTGGAATAGCAAGCTCGATGTTTCAGTATGCGAAGAAGTCATCACCGTTGGGTCGACGAGCACTGCTAGTGGTGCTGAAGAAGACGATCAGCGCTTACCTGATAATGTCCACCAATTCGTCTGGCTGATGATAGAGTAGCAGTCTCCAGTCTGAGGACAAGACATTCTTGCAGGCTTTCTACCATGCATCTAGGGGCGGAATATGCTATTTGATCCATCGACTATGAAGTTAGACCGACCATCAATAGGCGGAAGTGGGAAGGTAAATCGGAAAACCACCAATTAATTAATTGCCTGTGGCAGCATGCATGCGATGGGGCCAAAAACCACAGAATTGGACAATGGTGAATCCTTCCGACACTCTTTTCACACTTGACTTTAATCGGATGCTCGCAACGGCAGGGATCTAGTGTGATGCCACGTTCTGGAAGTGCACGATGTTCTAAATGTATCAAACTACTAGGGTCCGCTATGGTCGTTGCAGGGAGTGTGAGAGAGCGCGATCAGGGTGTTTGTTCCTTCCACTCCTACCTCACCATTCTATCCAGGATGTCTGTTGATATATACTGTGAGTGTATGTTTGTACCCAGTATGCGTACGTGTTTTGCACGCAGCACAACACTTTTATTGCCGACGTCCCTATCATTGGACCACACTGATTCACACACTATCTGAGACACCAACACCGAATCCCAACCGCATTCCAAAACAAGTCGTTCATCTGTACATTTTCCATGACCCATGTTTTATCCTTTCCCACTTGATGCCTTTGCTGCGTACCTTTCTCCCCCATTGCTCTCTAGACCCCTATGATTGGGAGACGATGTTTCTAACGCTCCCGTTCACAACGAACTCAAGCAACCTTGAGCACTTGTCCCATCGGGCCGCTGGAAATCGCCAGTAATAACGCCGGGAAGAACGCCTTGCGTCCCAAGACTAATGAGCCAACACTTTAACAAAACTCCACATTGAACATCGCACAAACATCGATCCATCCCCAGTCAGCGACAGCCAGTAACAATCAGTCTTCTTAGCTTACCCTAGCTATCTAAGTTGTGGTCACGACTCGCCGTTGCTGACCATAAACGAAAGTGTAACCATTCGCATTAGCTGCCGGAACAGTTCCGAACAAAGTGCAAATGGTCAGCATTAGCACAGACACAACGGATACCTAGAACACACAAGGATGACGCAGGAACGAACATCGACCTGTAACAAGAGCAACACGAGCATGAGGTTAGCCAATGTTGTGACTGTACCCTTATGTAGTGTGACATGAATGCTATGCACATTCGTACATAGCAGAAGAATTCAATGGAATATTCAACCCCTACAACGATGCCCATATGATGAGGATTGATGTTCAGGACGAGCATGATCCCATTTCCACCAGGGTGCCGGAGCCGCGTTCCGTCCCAGCATCCCACTCCTTTGGCGCGCCAAAACCGCCGGGCCATTTCCTTTCCCAGCTAAAAGTAGTGCGGCCAGGTCGAATGCAATCGATTGACATGTTATGATTAATCATTGAGTCGACAAAGTCATGGCTCTAGTCGTGAGTGGAGAAATATGCCATATTCTAGTACTCTGTGTTAGGGACATTTTCCGAGGAAGTCCAGCAAACAAATCGTTCGGCTTGCCAAACGTGGTATGGCCGATCAAAGAAACCCAAAGCAGTGCTGTGTACATTCACTCTGTCTTACGACTCTGCGGAAATAGGCTGAGAATTGTAGGGGAGTGGGGTAACCGAAATGCATACTACAAAAGGGTAAACTATTGCTACTACGAGTAGTAGCGCGTGGCCGGCTGTCTGGGCTTCTTCAAGCCTGCGGTTCGACAACAAGCATGCCCCTTCTCTTCCCTCCAAACTTCCTCTAATCTGGCTGCCTAGACACTTATGTATACCTAGGTGTTCAATCAGACCTTTTGATCAACAAGCCTGCTTGTACCTTGTCCATTCATTCCGCCCTCACAACGAAGGCCAACTCTCGGTAACCACTTGCCATTCTGTTACCACCTCAGCCAATAGTAAACCCAACATGGCCCCACAAATCACTGAAATTGTCTATATCCCGTTGCGCCCAGATGTTGACCTCGACCATGGCGATGCTGGCAACATATGGACCGATACCCTGAACACCATAGCCACACAGCCTGGATGCCAGTCCGTCCTCTGGGGTCGACAGGTAGAGCAACCGAAAACTGCCGAGCTAGTCATTGGTATGATCCTCTTTCCGCGTGTGCTTTTTCATCGCTCAAGTTACATTGTGTGGTTGTGTGCGTGTGTGCTCATACCCCCACGTAGACTGGGCCACCCTCGACGACCACAAAACATTTATGGCGTCACCAACGTACAAGCCATTCTATGAGAATCTATCGACGCTTCTGGATGGCCCTGTGAAGCTCTACCACGTGGAATCGCCGTCCAGTCAATCCTTCTCGACGCCTGGTTCGGCACCTGTCACCGAGTGCATCTCGATATACTTCGAGCCCTCATACTCTACTGCTGCTTATGACGCCAGCTTTGCCAAGTTTGCAGACGTAGCTTCCAAGACTGCTGACGAGGCCCAAGGTGTCGTCGGTGGCTGGAGTATAGAAGATCATGAGCACGAAAAGGTAGAGGGTGCTGCGAAATTGTTTGCCGTCTTCATCGGCTGGCCTAGCGTCGAGGCACATATGAAGTACAGGCAAACAGAGGGATTCAAGGAATGTATTCCTCATCTGAGAGAGGGCCCAAAAGCATTGCAGATGCACCATGTCGCATTCAAGAAACATTTGAGTTGATGGTGTTCTTTGTGCGGATCTCGAGCAATGATTTGATCTTTTATCAGAACAACAATATTAGTTCATCTTTTCTGCGACCCAGTTTCATCTGTCGCAAATGACCTAAAGCGTTCGTGATTTGATCGTACATGAACCACAAGGTATTGTTCTAGGCGTACGTTGGTTCAGTACTGACTGGAAGGGCACTTTGTGACTTGAACGCTAACCATGATTCTAACCTGTGGATTGTGATAAAATCCTCACTTAGGATTAATTTTTTCATGACAAGAAAGATAGACTCCATTGCAATGCTACCAGTACCCGCGTCGCGCTCCTTGGAAGACTTTCGACCTATGGTGCCGTAAGCCGGCAAGACCCATTTGCGACTTATTGTGCCTGAGAACTATGAAAAAGGGATAACCCCAGTTTTGATATCGTAAGGGCTCCCAAGAGCATAAAAGAACGCCAAATTACCAAATTGCGGGTGACAATGCTACCCAGCGGAAGAGGAACGATGCTAATAACGAATCAAGTTGGTCGTCTGAAGGGATGGGCCTCCGTGTTTAGCACCCACTCATCAAGACTGACCACATTTTCATCTGCAAAGAGTAGATAAAAGTACTTGAGCGTCTCTGCCAACCAAAAGCTCTCTGATTCGTCTAGTAAATCTGGAGCTTGCTTTGTGACATCGTCGATGGCGGAATTGCCATACACAGTTGCCGTGTGTGTGTTTACAGCCTCGAACATCTGCCACCCGGCCTCGCGCCAATAAGGGTCCCCAGTGATACGGTACATGTACCACACAGATTCGATGGCTTCGGGACTACATAGTAACAAGTCAGAGGGAAGGCTCATAATAAGGCGAAAGGCGGCGACTTACCGTAGGATATAATTCTTGGCCCGAAGGGCTGTCACACCTGGGGGCAATCGGTCTTCTTGGACCCTTTGTTTTACGTACTCCTCGTGCGAAAGTGGAGGTTTAGGAGAATAGATGACAGGGAAAACCGGTCTTGACGGAGCCGGTTCCAAGATCGTGCTAGGTTCAAAGTCTGGAGATACTGGTGAAGGTGTATGTTCGCCATCCTCGGTTTCGCCCTCTACCATAAGGTTGGCATGAGGCCGAGGCGGCAGTGGATCCTTGATGGGTAGCCTTTGCTCGGGTGTGATCTGTGGCTCCACGTCTTCCATGTTGACCCATCGCTTCTTAACTGCCGGTCGAAGATCGTCCTGGGCTTGCGGCAATGGTGGGACTACAGCTGGCTGTAAAACGTCAACTGTTGGGATGAGGGCAGGGGCGGGTGTCTGATGGGCTCCTGTAAATGCGGCCATTTCGGATGCATACCATGCAGATGCCGAAGCCCGCTGCACTTCGTACGATTCCATCTGTGATTTGTAGGATGTAACCCTCGAATCTGCGTTGGGATCAATGGCGAGTTTGTAGTGCGTCTCGTTCCAGGTACAATCTGTCATGCTTTCGCAAGGAATTGTTAGGAACGCTTCGGGCATGATGCCTGTTGCTGTCATATTGTAAGACCACACACAGCCATGCGTCAGTTTCTTCGCCAGTTCCAGATCGTCTGCACGATTGAAGATCTTCGCACCCATGCCGAACATGCCCCCAGCGAAGCAGGTAAGATGAGCATTCTCGCCTTCCAGATCACCACCTTTCTTGTTTGGCTCTTCTGGATCATAGGCGGAGACTCGGAGCTTTCCAGAAAACAGGATGTCATCATTGTTTGGCAACATCGGTCGGAATATCAGATTCTTTTTGACAACATCCATGGACTGCTCGTACATCTTTTGGTATTTTTCAACTCTTCCACCCAAAAGCAGCCACTCTTTTGGAAGATACTCATATGTTGAGTCGGACATTCCACCTAAGGTATATTCCTCACTACCGAATTCGGAAGCGGCGTCGAAGCCTTGTTCTTCGCACTCGGGGCGGGCTGCGGTAGGTGAAGCTGGGAGCGCTGTGGCGGGCACAACTGGAGAGGCAGCTTTTTCCAAGGGTTCCTCTGGAAGATCTAATTGTCGTTTCGTCAAGCCCGTCTTTTCCTTATCCAATGAAGTACCCTTTGCCCAGTTCTGGACCTTCTCTTTCTCTGGCTCCTCCGGGACCTGTACAGCAGGTTTCGGGGCTGGCGCGGCAGATTCTCGTGTGAAAACGATTGGCGGGGGTAGATCGAGAGGAATGTATTTGTTACCTCCGGGTGAGAGATGAGGTACTTGTGCTGGTGCTTGCGTTCCGACTTCACCAGCCAGGGGTTGCTGGAAGGGCTCTCCAATATCACTATAATCGATTCTTTTACAACCTGATGCATCGAACGCTGTAGGCCACATGCCGGGTAATCTAGTTTTCCCCTGGAATTCCTCGAGGCTATCGGTGATACGTGCAATAGCGTCGTAGTACTTGCTTTCTCCAGTAAGTTGAGCAAGGCGAGTGAACTCAACTGACAGAGAGCCAATCTCAGCCAAGACGATGTGATTACTGGCACGGTAAGGTCCAGTCGAGAAATTACTATCCCGATTTAGCAGCTAAATAACACAGTAAGGTCAATCACTTACGGCTTCCAATAGTAATATGTTTGGGGCATCCGGTTCGGTGTGTCGAACGCACTCATCAATAGCTCGGCCAGCTCTACTGCTTTCGACAGTAGGTTCTTGTGCACCTTGTCGCTTAGATCATAGGCTGCAAGTAGTCCGCCTAGGTATCGAATCGTGGTTTCGAACAACGGGATGTCATTTCTCTGCGCTGTAGTGAAGTCGATTTGGTCCACGGCCTTTACAGCCTCCTCGAACTCGGCTTTCATACCCATGATCCAGAGCGTGTCCAAAGCATCGACCAGAGTAGCTCCCCAACCAGCGAAAGGATCCCTAAATGTCCCTGACTTGGGCTTGAGCTCATCATGAAGCCAAGCAAATTTCTTGTAGCCATCCCAAGAGCGCTTGAAGGTTTCCTTGATCGAGCCCAGCTTTGCCACTCGATCTGCCTTTGCCGCCTCCGACTCTTTTCCAAACGTTGCCTGAATCTTAGGTATTTGTTTCGCTGCGCCAGTGGGGAGTTGCTGGAGGGAGGCGGAAGGGACTGGGTAGTATTCGCTTGCTTTTTTCCAATGTACCGCTTCTACACTCGATGAAGGCAAGTCTAGTCCTGGTGGCATTGGAATTCCCGGCATCAGCCCTCCAACAGCAGTAGGGACTGGTAGTTTTGGCTTGGTATCATCTGCGACTGCCTCTGGAGTCGGCGTAGGAGTGGGCTTTTCGACGGGTCGATCGACAGGAGCAATCGGTGGTGGAGTATGCCGAGCCAAAGATGTCTTCGCTAAGGGAACGTCTATCGAGAGCTTCTTTGTTTCCAGGGCCACCTCGGGGCGTGGATTTCTGCTAACAACCGCCTCTACGACTTCCTTCTCACCAACGATTTGCGCTGGTGTACTGATACCATCTCGCCAGGATGCATTCGAAACACCAAACTTATAGAGAGCGAATAGTGATATGACGGCAAAGGCGACGAATACACGGTATCGACGGTAGCGCAACATTGTGTAAAGAAGAGAATAGAATAGACACAAGCGTCGCGTGCACGACGTTGGACTGAAAGGATTGGCGCAAAGGCCCTGACAAGTACGACGAGAGCTACCGGTAGCTTTAGGTCGTTGCCGTCATTGGGTTCAAGAAGCGTGATGCGAATTCGGAGAAAGGAGGGCGAAATCCTTGAGGAGCATTAAGAATCGAGTAAAGGAGGGATAGCAATGTAGACAATACTCTGTAGAAGTATTGGAGGACACCTCCACCTCCACGGGCTTGGCTCGATGCCCAGCTGCAATAACGGGTTAGTTGTAGATGATTGAAAACGCCAGGGGCAACCCTGATAGATTGGAAAACAATCTTTGGACACATTCCGAAGCATTTTTCAGACCATGACAGAGATAGAAGGGCGCATTCCGAGCAATTGTATCACTCCAATCCTCACCCAGTTGAACGAAGAGTGGAAGGCTTCCTAGTTGAATCATTTTCCGAGATCTTGAAGAATTGCCGGTTCAAGCCCCAATTTCTACATTGGGACTAGCTTACACTTACCCCCCTGGCTGATCATCGCGTCGCGTGGTGCCTTGCTAAATTGAAACGGAATAACTATCGGCCACTCCCATTATTGCATTCTGAGTATCTTTAATATATGGATATTTGGTTTTAGAATCTTTAAAGAGCGTGCCCCGCCATGGACCATCAGTCCACGATGGAGAGATTTGAAGTTTGTTCTTGAACATCACGGTGCGAAGTCGATAACTAACTTGATGCGAGGATGGCTATATTACGACTAAGTCAGGTACTGTACATTTCACCTCTTCCGAAGCGAATCGGTAAGCTCATTACAGTAGGGATATCGACCGTCTGGTCGGACCTAGGTCGCTACGCATCCATCTAGCTAGGGAGCAAATGATCTATATCGTGCACGTCTAGGATATCATCACTGTCCTTCTCCTGGCTCGGGTTGTCGCCCCTGTGTATCGATTAGTTTTACTCTGTACTTTGCGGGAGGGGTTAACCTACCATTTGCCTAGCCTTGAGCATCTCGTCGCAAAGCAACAGATTTGAAGCAATCCCTGTGCTGGATGCTATGCAATTACGGAGGACGCGGAAGGAATCGTAGACGCCCTCTTGAGTTGGGTCCATTGGCTCTCCAGTGGAGAGGTTCAAACCAACGATGTTTCCTTCGACATGCTCCTCCTGGAGTCCGACCACTGTTCCCGATTAGATACATAGACTCAATCATGAGGTTAGGGCATACTTACGCGCATCCTGGATATCGTGACCAGAGTTCGCCGCGAGCGTCTTGGGAATGACGAGTAAAGCGTCCGCGAAAGCCGTGACACCCCACTTTGCCTTTCCTTTGACGGTCCTTGTGAATGCCTCACTTGTGAGATGCTTTGCACAGGCGATCTGGAAAGCTCCTCCTCCGGGGACAACGCTCTTGTCGACAATCATATTGTAGACACTCCTCAACCCGTCTCGAACGGCGTCCTTGATCTGCGTGATCGTGTGCGCATTTGGTCCCTTGATGAGCAGAGTGACCGACTTCGGCTCCTTAACGTCCTCCTGTATAATGTTACTATATGAACGCTAGGCGTGGTAACGTTTCACTTACAACGAATGTGTACTTCTCCTCGCCCAGTTGATGTTCGTAGACCAAACCGGCCCAGCCCAAAACGTCGGCTGAAAGGTCGTCTACGCTGTTCTGAGCGGTTCCGCCACAGACTAGCTGAAGGCGTTCCATGTTTCTCCTCTTTGCTCTTCTCAAAGCGAAGATACCGTTCTTGACCAAGACATCCAAACTCAATGGATCAATACCCTTCTGGTTGATGATGACAAAACCCTTCTTGGGGTCGTTGCCGCAGACCTCTTTCTTGAGCTCGATGATCTTCCTCAATTTGTCATCCACGAAGCGTCGTTCGCTTTCTACAAGCTTTTCCCGCTGCTCGGCACTGGAATAGTAGAAACCTGAGTTGATCTCGGACTTTTCGTACTCAAGGCTGACGTTCAAAGTGAGGATATATGCATTCTCGACTCGCTTAGGCATATCGGGATGTCTGGCACCGTGATCCAGGGCGAGACCACGGATGAGTTGTGTATCGGCGGCAGTTCGATGTTGCATGGTCATGATCTCGACCATGTGGAGATCGGGCTTTGCGGGGGCTTGATAGATGGCAAGAACCGCGTCGACGATATCGGGGGTCAACTGCTCGGCGAGAGTGCTGTCCAGCTTCGTTGATAGCGAAGTTCGTGCCACTGAAAGTAACAACTCCCGGTCAACCTCCTTTTGTAGCTTGAACTCATCGAGAAACTTTAGCGCCTCCGTCTTCGCTATTTCGTACCCGTCCGTAATCACCCTAGGGTGAAGTCCCTCAGATATGTGTCTATCCGCCTGCTTCAACAATTCGCCGACTAATAGCACGACCGATGTCGTTCCGTCTCCGGTGATTTCGTCTTGGGCGGTTGCGGCTCGTGCAATCATGACCTGGCTCGATTAAGTCTATGATTTCGCGTTAAAACCAACGAGACTTACAGCAGTGGGATTTTGGATTTGCATTTCTTTGAGCAGTACACTTCCATCTTTGGTGAGCTTGATTGCACCAGCGCCGTCCACAAGCATCTTCAGGGTACCGCGGGGTCCTAAGTTGGAGGCCAACACCTATTACACATTTAATAACTGCGAGCCAGAAGCTTCAGAGTAAACCATACCTGCTGTAGGCCCTCTCCGGCCGATATGTTGACCTTCAGAGCCTCCCCACGCCTCTATGCAAATATGTTAGCTCCGCCCACTATAAAGCTTCGAGTGAAGAGGGGGACATACCCTTGACTCCGCCTTAGGGTTGAGAAGTTGAGCGGCAGACATTATGTATAAGCTTGAAACCTGAGTGCAATGAACGTGATGTGATGCGAATCAGGAAGTCCGCTGTGCGATAACAGTCGCGACTCAATAATGTTTGGGGTAGTTCTGGTGCCTTGATCTTTTTCTGAGGGTACGTTGCCAAGACCGTCGGCGTGTCGGTGAAAAAGTCGCTAAAATCTTTTGCTCGCGAAAACCTCGAGACCTTAAGCTTCACCACCCGTAGGTCGACCACGAGCAGCTTCCACCGCGACAAAGCAGATTTTTCAATCCGCAATAGCTTCTGCACATCGGCAGTCGCATACACGATCCCTTCTCATTCGATTCAAGGCTGACGCAGCCTCCATTTCGACGAATTCGACTCAATCGCACATTTCGAGCTCACCATGGTCGACTACCTATTGTCGGAGAGCCCAATCGGCTATGCAGTATACAAGGTCAACATCCAGGCGGATGTGGTTGGAGCCAAGTTGAAGGAGGTTCAGCAATCCGTGCAGGACCTGGCTCGCTTTGGAAAGATGGTTGAGCTAGTTGGGTTCGTTCAGCATGAGCGCAAGGTGCTGCTAGAACTCCAATGCTGATGTTAATAGGTTGGCGCCATTCCAAGGAACGGAGCAGGCTCTCAACGTATGAATTGAACCCGTCGTTTGGTGGTTATGACCCGTTACGCTAACACAATTCACAGGAGATCAACGACGTGTCTGAAGGCATTATGTCCGACTACTTGAAGGCCCACCTCGAGTAAGTTCTACCACTTTCACAAACCGCGCTGGGGATCTCGAGCCTAGGCGGTACTCCAATTTCCGAGTCTTCCTGCGCTCAAGAGGCTCTAAGCGCGAGGGGAGGAATTCCAGATTGGAGCATGTTGGCTAATGTTATGTCTTCAATGTAGGACTACTCTACCAAAGGCCGGAAAGAAGAAGTCTGTCACCCTAGGAGTCTCTGAGAAGAACTTGGCTGGAAGCATTCGAGCCGAGTTTGGCAGCCTCAGCTGCGAGACTGCCGAGACCAGCGAAGCCGTCGCGGATTTACTTCGAGGTCTTCGCCAGCACGGACCCAAACTGATCAAGAAGCTCCAGCCCGGTGATATGGAGCGCAGTATTCTTGGTCTTGGTCATGCTTATTCTCGATCTAAAGTCAAGTGCGTATAGTTCACAATCACCATTTTGCTCGTCGCCAGTCTGACTGTAATTTAGGTTCAATGTTGCAAAGAACGATAAGTTAGTAGCACTTTCGATATCCTGAGAGTCGACAACAGCTAACGGTATCCTAGCCACATCATCCAGGCAATTGCTACCCTCGACCAGCTAGACAAAGACGTCAATCAGTTCGCGATGAGGCTGAGGGAAATTTACGGCTGGCATTTCCCAGAACTCTCCAAGATTGTATGGGAACCTTATCTTTCCCTGGATTTCGAGATTGATCAGGCTAACCAACCCAGGTCTCTAACAATGACATCTATGCCAAAGTTGTCCTCAAGATCGGAGACAAGGCGAAGTTGGGAGACGAGGATGTCGACGAGCTCGCCAACCTCGTAGAGGGCGATGAGAGTACGTTCAAATATTTCGCGTCTACATAAATTAGCTAACAGTTGTTTCACAGGCGTTGCAAATGCCATTGTCAAAGCTGCTAGAGTCAGTATGGGTCGCGACCTCTCTGAGCAGGACATGGAGATTGCAATGCAGACTGCCAAGCGAGCCTCCTCTTTGGCAGCCTACCGCAAGAGTCTTACCAGCTACTTGTCAAGCAGGATGAACACTGTTGCCCCTAACTTGGCCGCTCTTATTGGCGACACCGTTGGCGCACGCTTGATCTCCAAGGCTGGATCTCTCACCAATCTCTCTAAGTACCCTGCGTCTACTGTCCAGATTCTCGGAGCCGAGAAGGTATGTGCATAGTACACCATGATGTTCAGGGTTTTTGATGCTGACTGTACACCCAGGCTCTGTTCCGCGCTCTTAAGACCAAGGGCAACACACCCAAGTACGGATTGATCTACCATTCGTCTTTCATTGGCAGGACTGGAACGAAGTCCAAGGGACGGATCTCCCGTTTCCTTGCCAACAAGTGTATGTCTTTCTGCCACCTTACTGGAATATGCGTTATGATGCTAACGATACACCTAGGCTCGATTGCTTCCAGAATCGACAACTTTTCCGACACTCCTACATCCAAATTCGGTGAGGCTCTGCGAAGACAGGTTGATGAGCGCATCGAGTTCTACGCTACCGGCGCACCACCAGCAAAGAACTCTGCTGTTATGGTAAGTACATGCCTTCTGCCGCCTACGGAATGATTCAAAGTTCTCACAATCTCGTAGCAAGCTGCCATGAACTCCGTCATGGCGGACATGGACTTGGATGACCCGACTGCTCTCGCTGCCGAGGAAGCTGTCCCCGCTGCTGGCGTCACCGCCGGCGCAACTGAGCAGGCTCTTCGCAAGGAAAAGAAGGAAAAGAAAGACAAGAAGGAGAAGAAGGAGAAGAAGAGGAAGCATGGCGAGGATGAGGATGGTGAGAGCAAAAAGAAGAAGAAGAAGAGCAAGGCCTAGACTCATGCATGCGTGTGTTGAGAAGGAGGAGCGCGCGCGAAAGGAAAAAAAAGCATATCCTGAGCCTCACGATCTGCCCTGTTGTGGGCGCGGTACACATACTTGGTACATCTCTTACGACATGGCGATGTATAGCTGGGCTGGCGTAGTTAGGGCGTTCAAGAGGGGATGAACTTTGTCTTTTTTTGTTTTCTTTTTCTTTCCAATGCGGGTTTTCTTTGGTTGAACTGTCGCAATTCCACGGACGTTTGTCAGTCTATTGCACGGCGACTTGAGACGGGATGCGATATTGTGAATTGTATCACCAGAACAGGAATAAATGCAATAGTCTTTCAGTGTAATTGATCCTTGTACAGCTACCATGGGTGTCGTTGAGTGGTGTCGCAGATGATGTTGAGTGTGCTAGCAAAGACGGTAACTGAGGAAGGGAGTCGGGAATAGGGAGAGGTTATTGCCGCATGGGTGCGTGTGTGTGTGTATGTATGTATGTATGTATGTATGTATCAAGTTGTGTACTTGCAGGGCTAAGTTTGAGATGCATTTGCCTGCTACGGAGTATTATTTCGCAGGTATTAATATTTCGTAAATGTAGGTATGTATGATTATTGTATGAGAAGGTGTGGATTTTAAGCCTTGCATAGTGCAGCGGCATCCGGCGTCAAGCAGACATGGGGTGGATGGCAGATGGCAGATGGATCCATGGATGGGCGTGATGGTGTGTGGGACACGGGCAGCGACTGGGAACGATTGCTTATTTAGCCGATGGTCAGCTAGCCCCGATATGGTTAGCAGGCCGATCACCACGCTTACGCTTAAAATGCATCGACGTCCCTAACCTATCCTGGTGGAAACGGCTGCATAACATCGACCCCAACCCGACCATTGTATCTCGTCGACTGTATTATCTCTCTTAACATACGGATGCAATTGACCTGTTGATCATGAATGTTATACTGTAGCTTCAGATATTGTCCCCGCTTAGATGCAATCATACAGTACAACAGTTCGGCCTGTAATGAGATTGTACGGAGTATGGTAGTAATTGTATTACTGCATATCGGATCAGGACACCCACCACCCACGATCAGGTGGCTCTTCTGGGGGACTCAGGGCTGCAGGCTGCATCTGGATGACGAAAGGGGTTTAGCGGGGAACTGCTGTGTTACAAAGATGGGACTATTCCATCCGAAGGAGCATGAGCACTTTTGGTAAATGAGATCTGCTTTTTCCTGCTGGAGTCTGTGATAAGTGGCTGCTGCTCCTACAGTCCTACTCACAGTGCCAGTGTCACATTGTGAAGCTGTACAATAATAACCCTTAGCCTCAGTCTCTCACCCGACCAACAACCAACCTGATCCTGACCTGACCCTGTGCCTCATGCGCCCTCCTTGGGGCCAGCCAGTTGCATCCGATTTGAAGATCATGGGATTGTTTCGAAGAATGACATATGAGGTTTTCCACGTCTCAACATTTCAACCTCTGAACACCGGGCGTCTGGTTCTGATTGTGGAAGAATTATAATAGAGACCAGATATCTTTACGATGCCATCCCCCTCAACCTTTGACAATCTGATATGATGATTTGATGTTGGTCTATCTATTATCTGACTGGCGACAGGGGACTATCCATCCCATACCAGGCCACCCGCTTTCTCCGTGGCAATTCATTCATTATCACTGGGTACTGACTGACATGCTTGGGTGGTAGCAGTTACAGTGTAGCAGCAGTAGTAGTGGTAGTAGTAGTAGTAGTAGTAGTAGTAGTAGTAGTAGTAGCAGTAGCAGTAGTCATAGTCTGATGAGGACGACCAGCCCCAGCAAATAGCCTTTCCCATCTGCCCATCTCCCTCTCCCCTTCTTCCCCTTCTTTTGGGCCAATACCCTAATACCCATCTTCCCTTCTCTTCTCTATTCTCGCTCTCTCTCTCTCTCTCTCTATAGTTACTATTAGTTGTCTTGTCTCTTCTGCTGTCGTAACCGTGTCGCCCGTGCGAGTGGCCCGCCGCCAATGTAATTCTTCTTCTTATTGCTGCCCTTCTTCCCTTTCCCTTTTCCTTTATACCTGATCCCTCCCACCTTCTTCCCACCCCCGAATTCTAAACACGTCAACAACACTTCTTATTCTTCCTCTTCCTCTCCCCATCTCCCCCATCTCCTCTCCTCCTTTCTCCTTCTTCCTCATACAACCAAATACTACGCCTCCCAACCTTCTTTCATCTATATCTTCTTTCCCACTATCCGCGCCATCGATTTCTCGTCAGGAGTAGAGACTCGTGTTCCACGCCCTGAGTTTGCGCCCGCTTAGCCGCCAACTCGGTCCGGCAAACAACGTGCACCTGCAATTTGGTGTTCTCAACCTCTGTCCTCATAGTGAAGTCAAGGTCGCGATCCCAATCCTTGGTGTTGAGTCTCCACATACAACCCAATTTTAGCATTTTCAAACAACACAACACAACAACCCAACACCCGCCCGTACTGCCACCCACTGTTGCTGTTACTGCTGCGATTGCTACTGCACCCTGCCGCAGCAACTTCCGCCCCATCCCAAACCCCGATTTCTCTTGTTGTTCCCCCCTAGAGGATAAGGCTCTTTTGGTGGTCCAACAATTATCATCTTAATTGCAGGTCTTATTTTCTTACCAAAGTCCCTTCTCACTTGGAACTCCTACTGTCCGATCGCGGTCGCGTTCTGCAGATAACGAACGGGGTATCTCCCCTTCCTCCAGGCCATCAATCAACAGGGGAATAATTATCTTTTCTATTTCGTCCTTGCGACGCGCGCTTCCAGATATGGATGAGGTTGGCTCCTCGCCGGGCAGCCTGAGCTCGCCTCCTCATTCGCCCGAGCAGGGCAATGCAAACAGCAGCTCTGCGACCCGCGTCCTCAGCAGTGGTGGCGGTGGTGGTGTTGCTGGAAACACTAGCTCCCCCACACCTGCATCTACCGCGCCCGCGCCTAGACTGACTGCAGCCGGTACCGTTAGGAAGAAGCCAGGTCCCAAGCCAAAACCAAAGGACCCAAATGCCCCAGAGAAGAAGCCTAGGAAGCCCAGAAAGACTGCGGAGCTTAAGGATCCCGCTACAGAACCCGTAGTGCGCAAGAGAAGGACAAAGGCATCACTCGAGGCACAAGCATCACCAATAGCAATTAAGGATGAGCCAGTGCAGCACCAACCACAACCACCGCCGCCTCCACCACCACCACAACAACAATCACTTCATCAACATTTCGCACCAACTCCACCACCCCCGAGGCCCAGTGACTTTGCTGCTGGACGTTCATCGGAGTCAGCGGTACAGGCCATCCAGTCTGTTCAACCAGTCCAGCCTGTGGCTGTTCAGTCTGCACGTGTTTTGAGCAATCCGGAGCCCTTGCACAACAACCCAAATCTATCCCATATCAATACGGCCCCTTCGACACCACGTCCCGCCAGCTCAGGTCAACGGTATGATCCAATTCGTGGCGGTCTGTTCGAGTCGAAGCCCCAGAGTTCCTCCAGTGTCCCGCCGCCTGTTTCTCCTCCCATGAATCGCGCGAGCGCGTCGCCGTCCATCACAAGTCTCATCGACCCCCCTTCTGTTTCCCATTCACATTACGCGCAGGCCCCTAGGCTACAGCAGCATCCTTCTGTCACCTCGGCACCCGCGTCCCCTGCTGCACCTCCTCGCCCCGGCCCGCTCCTTCCCCACGTGGACCAGCAACAGAATCTGTCACCACAGGCTCAGCACCGATCTCCCCAGGCCACTTTGGCGCGTCCATCTGCAGGTGTAGGCGAATCCACGCCAATGGATGTAGATTCGGACTCTGCCTCCAAGGTCTACTCTGCCGTGCCTATGAAGAAGAGTGAGTCGGGCACGGGAACACCGTCCAACTCGAATGCGCCAACGCCTCCAGTGAAGCCTGTGCGGCAGAAAGAGGCACCGCCACCCCTGCCAACTGGAAGTGGCCTTCTCTCCGGAACACCTTTCGGCCCCGTGAACAATGGTTCAAATGGATCAACCGACGCGCAGGGCGTCAATATCTGGCTCACCTTCCCTTTACGAGGACAAAACAACGTAACCATCAATTTCGCGCAAGAGGTGGAGAAGAAGTACGGCTTCGCAGCCTTGCATCCAAAGATTGCCGCTCGCAAAGAGCGTCTGCGTCAGGTCACCGCGGCCGGTGCGGCGCTCGAGAAGGCTGCCGGGGCTGGCTCTAATGACGACATGTCCTTGGATCTTTCTGAGCCAGAGAGCAATGTTGATATGGGTGGTATGGACGACGAGGGATCTGCAGCCGGTAATGGTGTCAAGCGAAGGCGCAAGAGGAAGCAAGAGGATTACGATAAGGAGGACGACTTCATCGATGACACGGAGTTGGCCTGGGAGCAGTCGGCGCTCATGGCCAAGGATGGTTTCTTCGTCTACAGCGGCCCGCTCGTGACCGAGGGTGACAAGCCTGCAGTTGAGAGGTATATACGCCAATTCCAAAAAGTCAATACTGTTCATAAGCTAACATTCAACAGGGCGGATGGTACTGTCAGGCGAGGACGCGGTCGCGGACGGGGTGGCACAGTCCGTGGAGAGGCATCCGGACGAGGTAGAGGACGCGGTGGAGGCCCAGGCTCGCGTGGAGGTAACATATCTCGCAAGCCGCGTGTGACCAAGGCCGAGCGCGCCCTCATGGAGCAAGAAAAGCTTGAGCGTGAAAAGATGGGCGCAGCTATGGCTGCGAAACAGCCGCTGGGACAAGCGAGCGCTTCGGCGTTGTAGGGGGATGACTATTCCCAGACGCTGCTCTGCCCGTGCTGTTGAATCCTGAAATGCATGAGTTCACTAGCGTGGGCGGCCATCTACTTTTTGTAAATCATTATCATCATACCTACCGGCGTTGCTGTGGGTTATTACGTGGAAATGGCGTTATCTCACGGGAATGACTATAGGTAGACTCACCTGTACGGTGTACAGTGTATCCACATAATGGAATAGCGGCAGCTAAGTACGCTGCTGGTAATATAAGAGATTTCTGACATTCCCTGTTCTTCAAATGTGATTGTGCCAAAGACCATCTTTTTGCATGAGTGATTGTCGGTTGCGAGAAGATACATTATGTGCTGGACTATGCAATCTGTCTTTGCGTGACTGGACTGCACGAGTTATGAATCTGACTCACGTGGTGATTCAATATTAAATTCTAACTTGGAGAACAGACATGGGAACCCGATATTGTTGATATCACTATGGCTCTTGTTGTATCAAACTATTGCCACTGACTGAGTTCCATCTTTCACTTGCAAGGCGCATGGGGCAACGTTGTTGTTGTGGTCCGTCGTCGTTATTATGACTGGTCAACAATTGTGACTGCCACAACAGTGCGACTGGGTGAAAGTAAACAGTCAACAACAACCACTCTCTTTCACTCAGACTTTTCAATTTGCTCTCAGATCATTCTACAATCGTCGCTCAGTTGCTTTAACTCCTTCCCTAGCTGCTCATACAAATACCCTACACCGCGCACTCAGCTACCCGACTTCTCCAACTCAACAAGGAAACAACCTCGTCTACCTAGATCAACATGCCGACAAAAGCGAAGATCAAGGTCAACGGGAATGCTCCAAGCAAGGAGTCTCTGCTGAGCGAAAGATCCATGAAGTTTTATGATGGCACATATAGGTGGAACACTGATGGCTTTGAGGACGACACAGGTGGTATGGAAGGATATTCACATATCTTATCGCAAGTAATTCTAAACAGTGCACAGTTTTCCAGGCTTGGGGGTACGACGACCATAACCGGCCGCCCACTCCGAATCCACCTAACTTCAGTGATGCTGAGGATGAGGATGAAGCCAAACCGAACGACCAGGAAGGCTCCACGAATGCCAGCATGGTCAGAGTCCCTCACGGACCATTGATGGCCAACTACTCCCAAGCACTCGTTACAAAGGACTCTCTCTACAGCCACGGACACTACCTACCGTTGCTTTCTGATGAGGCTTTGCTGAAATCTAGCTCACGGCCTGCTGCACCTTCTGTCGAAGTGGGAGGGCAGAGCTTCTCTAGGACAGAGCTGCGCCGTGACATCTTCCTGGAAAAGTCGGAGAGTGATAGGCAGAGGCTCATAGGACGATTGGAGGGCATTCATATTGGTCACTTGTATGCGGGCAATGGCCTCACACTTCAAGAATCTTACAACATAGTCGGGGTGGACTATCCGGACGAGATTATCGACACCATCACCAAGGGGAGACCGGACGTTGCTGCTTCACCTCAATCTGTATCGTCGAGTGACTTGTCGGAACCACCTTCCGATATTGACGAAGCTCATCCACCTAGTCTGTTGGGCAACCTGCAACTCGACACTGCGCTTCAAACCAAGAATGCTTCGATGTCGAGCGGCCCAGATCCGCAGTCTGCCACTTCCGCAGATTCCATCCCATTGATTCAAAATCGCCGAGATAGCGGATTTGACGAGCACCTGCAAAGAGCAAAAGATGCAAGGAAATCACGTCCGAAAACACGTTCTCATACAATTGCGACTCAGGACGACGCGGGATCGGACTCGGACTATGCGCCCGAGGATGGCAAGGGAGAGAAGAAGCGGAAGAAGCGGCCGAGGAAGAAGCAGACAGAGAAGGGAAGTCGAGCGAAGAAGGGCAGTACGAGACAAGACCCTCCAGAGGCAGGATCGATTTCACCGTTGTCCTCCGTCCCTGCTATGAGCCGAAAGCGATCTTCTCGTCAGGCGAAGCAGAAGACACGCTAAGAGGTGGAAGCATTGATCTTGCAACTGAATTTACTTGGTTTCGAGACAATGCGATCCGGTACGGGCACGGCGTGTGCTGCATGTTACGATGATACCCAAATATAGGACTGGCCTCCCATCGGACCGGGAGAACAAGAACTATAAATAAACAAAGCTGAAATGATGTTTTTATACTGCAAAGCTGCAACTCCGGCGGAGGTTTCTTGAATGTGAACAATCAATTTGTATACACGCACTCACATCCCTCGTCCCTTTTCTTGATGCTTCCCGAGTGCCACAACGCCATAATATGCAATGATGATATCATTATATACAAGTACATAGTATGTAGTACAATTGAGTACAGTACATGGGTCGTCTCCTTCCTATATTCCCGCAACCCATAAATCCCGGAGCAAGAATCCTCCTCCGTCCCAGCTTCATCGACTCCCAATCATTTCATACAAATATACCCTCTCTTAATTCGTTCTTCTTCTTTTCTTATGATTCTTTTTTTACTGCCACCTAATCTTCATCTTCCACTCGTCGACTTTCGCCTGGAACCACGACTTTGTGGGCGCGCGCTCGATCTCTCGCATCAGCCGGTCGTAGTACTCCGGGTTCGACGTGGGCTTCAGGACTCCCGGGGACAGCTTGTTCAGGTTGCTGTAGCGGTTCCCGAGGAGCGAGTACAGCGCGTTGATGTTGGCGAGTTCGGCGTCTGCGTTTAGTGTCGACGGTGCGGCGGCGGGGGGTGTTTGTGTGGAGGAGGACGAGGGGGCATCTTTTGAGGAGGGGGAGGGTTTGGGGAGGGGGGTCACGCCGAGGGGGACGGCGCGGTGTTCGATGGCGTTGGTGAAGGGTTGGGCGGGGCGGAGGGGGTCCTTGGGCCAGAGCGAGAGGATGCGCGTGTAGTGGTTTATGATTTGTTTCTACGGAAGAGAGAGAGAGAATATGTTAGCATAGATATTTATGCGGAGAGGTGGGGTTAGGATGGAGGAATCAATCCCATTGGGATTCAATCTCATGGGGGAAATGGATGGGGTTGTAAAGGGAGGAAGGAAGGAAGGAAGGAAGGAAGGAAGGAAGGAAGGAAGGAAGGAAGGAAGGAAGGCTGCATTGACGAGAGAGGCAGCGCAAAGCAATTGTAGGAGCTTGATGTGACGTACGGTGCCTGACATGTTGAAGTGGGTTGGGTGGGAGGTGGTGAATGGGATGTCGTGTGTTGCTGTTTGCGCGAGGGCACGCAAAGAGGGTGGGTGAGGTCGAGAAATCAATTGGCGATTGATTGTTTCGTGTATTGCGTGCGAGTGATATGTGCTATGGCGGTAATTGGATATACTGTACGGAGTTGTGAGGTAGGTAGGTAGGTAGGTAGGTCGTAGTTGATAGTGGGTATGATGATGATGCTTTGACATGGCTGCAATGCTTTGGAAATATTATTCCTCATTACCTGAAAGGGACTAGCGAGGATCTCATGGGCGGGTGGCCGTGCATGGCATGGTTATCGATTACGGGCGTCGTCCTGTAATTTACTTGTGGATGACTGGGTCACGTGCGCATCACAATTGGCGTATTCGCATGCGGAACTCGCCTTTCCCTGCGTCCGCTTAGCACGGCAAAGGTCGACGCAGGGACATTCACTACAAGTACAAGGCAACTAGATTCCTGTGCAGAGGACAGAACACATATAGATAGGTAGAACAAAAGTAAATAATAGATCAGAGACAGAGACAGAGGCAGAGACACAACAGAGGCAAAGGAGGCAGAGACATAAGCACAGTCCTAGATGAATAAATAGATACCTCGATACATACAGGTAGGTAGGTACCTGGACCCATCCTGACAGTTGAGGCAGAGCGACGCTGACGGACGACGGCGGGCGGGAATTCGAAACGCTACGCTTTACCAGATTCATCTCTACCAACTCAACTCACAGTCTCATAATTACTGTAGTTACGACGACTTACGAGGATTACTGCTGTGTAGTTTACACAGTAGGTAGTTAGTTATCTGCTTGTCAAGGGCTAACCCCATCCCCATACAAATCCATAGGGAACGTTACCCGGACGGTCCCTAGCCCGGCCCTACTCATCCACCCATCCATCCTCTCAGCTGCCTGCCCAGTCCCTTCCAGTCCCTTCCCTTCCCTCTCTCCTCTCATACAAGCGCCCGTCGTCCTTCTTGGGAGGGGGCACTGCAACTGTCACTCCTGTTCCTGTCCCTCTTCACCTATTCTTCTTCTTCTTCAACTACTTCTTCTACCACCACTCCTCTTTCGCCGTCCCTTCTGGTTTTCCGTTTCCTGTTTCTCGTCTTCCACCCCGTTTTTTTTTTTAGCGACAGCATGCCTTCACAACGTTACGAACCGGTACGTCCATCCGCTTCCGCCACCTCACCACACCCGTCTGGTGGTCACCTCATTCATGCCTATGCGCCCTTCAACCCTCTCCAACAGCCGCTAACCATGCGATATGTACAGATAGCAGGCAATGACGACGACGATGCCTCGCCCGTAGCCCTACAAGCTCCCTACTCGATCCCCAACAGCCCTCCGCCATCTTTCCACAGCCGCGCCTCCTCTCCCTCAGGCGGCGCTTCTCGCCGCCTCCTATCCGATGACCCTCTCGACAACGATGCCGACCGCACACTCGCCGACACCTTCGCATCCGATGACGACGACAGCGACGACGAAAATGGCGACGGAATGGACGACCGACAGCGACTGATGAGAGGTCAACCGGAGCCGCAGCCCGCAGAAGATCCCGCCGCACCAGACACCGTACGCCAAGGTATCCAGAGGAGAATGACACAATTACCCAGCTTCCCAGAGCCGACAGGAGCGTCTCGAGGGAGAATAATGGGCGGCGGTCAGAACGACGGTGTATTCGCAAATCTGAGTGCGAAACCCACGCGCGGGGAGGAAGTTGAGGAGAAGCCTCCGGTGCGTTAACCCCGAACAATCGCGATCCTGAAGGATCCATCGGACGTTTCGAATTATAATAGTAGCTGACTTCTTTCAATTAGACATACGAACAAGCCGCCGCAGATGCGACACCACCATATTGGGAGACCACGATCCTCGCACCCGGTACCTTTGGCGACGAGGTCTTCGTCGAAGGCCTTCCCGTCGGCTCCGTCTTCTCGTTTGTATGGAATGCCATGATCTCCATGTCCTTCCAGCTCGTCGGTTTCCTCCTCACATACCTCCTTCACACCACCCATGCCGCAAAGAACGGTTCCCGCGCCGGCCTCGGCATCACTCTCGTCCAGTATGGTTTCACAATGAAAGGCGCCTCGAGCCTTGCACCGTCAGATTCCCCGAGCGACTTCACCGGCGGCGTACCAGACGACCCAAATTCGCACGACTTTGATCCAAACCAGGTCGCACCATCAAGTGGCACCATGTCGACGCCTGCCAACTCAGGAATTAGCTCTGCGGACTGGCTAGCGTACGGGTTGATGATAGTTGGGTGGTTCGTCTTGATCAAGAGCATATCGGATTTCATTCGCGCAAGGAGACACGAGCAGCTTGTACTTCAGAGCCCCGATCGAGGTCTGGGCGTTCCGATAGTGGCGGAGGGTGAGAGGCCCGAACAAAGCGTATAGACTCAAATCGACTTCCCATCTTCATGGGCTTTTCATTTCTTACACTTCTGAATCGTCACCATCATCGACAAATGAGCTACATAAAAGGGTAACAGCCATATATGCCAACACATGAGGGATGTATTTATTCGATCGTCATATCCCATTCCACCACTCTGTATACGAGTAAAGAAACAAAGTCTACATTACCAAGAGTCGACTATATTTTTCTCTTGTATAACACCCACGCGCGCGAATGCGCACATCATGGGAATACCTCTTCCCAGTTGCCATCCTTATTTCATTTTCCTCATCCTTCTCATCTCATTATTATTACGCTAGGGTACATTGCATTGGGTTCGGTTCGGTTCGGTTCGGTACAGTGCGCTGCAGTCAAAGGCTTGGGTATCAGGTTATCGTTCTTGGGTGTTCTTTTTTCTTTTTCAATTAGGTTACGCATATCTCTACCAGCATCCAATGTACTGAACCGAAAGCGCTCGCTCGCGCGCACGCGAGAGAGAGAGAGAGACAAGAGCAAGGTTATAAATATACGTGTCTTGTGTGAAATAGATCCCTCTGTTCACGTCTTGGATATTACAAAGTGTCATTATGAGGACCCCTCGGCTCTCTTGTGGAAACAATCAAAATATAAACGGGCTATCTATCTTCTTGTCTCATCATATATATGCATGTGTGTTTGCACATGTGTTTGTGGCTTCAGGCGCTACTTAATCTTACACCAGTCGATATCGTGGTTGTTGTAGTACTTGCTCGATTCGACTTGCCTTGCCTTGCCTTGACTGACCTCACTTCTTAGATGTCCATGTCTTGTACGAACTACGATTTCTTTCCTTTTCCTTCCTCTCCCTCCTTCTTTCGGCCGACGCTCAAAGAGGGGAGTGCTGGGATATAGAGCGTGAAAATACCACAGTACACTGTGGACAGGTGGATGTGTTAGATAGATAGGCGTGACACTGCTCCATTCTGAGGCTATGTCTATTATTTGATATCTCGTGACGGGAAGTGAGAAAATGGACTTCAGCTAGGTGTACGGAGTACATGTTACATATATGTATCAATTACTGTTTTCACGCCGTGTGCAACGGAGTATGTGAGTTCTCGGTGCAGATCTGGGGTTTGTTGGGCTAGTAGCTTCGATTGTGGTAGGATGCAATTGCGGAAGGGATGGGTGGCGGGAGATGTTTTCTTTATTTAGACTTTCCGAACTGCCAGGTGATGGGCTTGTAACGGTTTAATGGGAAAATGAGGCAATTGCAGAACTATCTACCTCGTACAATAGCATGCATATAACTAGGGCGTATGAGTTGAAAGCCCTCCAACAGATTCATTTGTCGTGCCTTCACGAAGCCATCGCTATACTCCGTCCAGCGCTTTGGATAGAGGCGTAAAGGAAGATGAAGTATGTTGGTCATTTGTTTACCTTTATTTCCCCATCCAGCACCAGCAAGCACATGTCGACAAAGTCTGGGCTGTTTCAAGAGAGATCCCAGGGAGCGCTTCCGAATCTACATTCCGCGAGGGGCAGAAAGGGGGAAAGATTGTCACAACACACACATGCATACTGTCCACAAACACGATTGGAAAATCAAAACAATGGGAAATGGGGAAGGGCCCCGCACCGTTAATTCCAGGACTTGGACACGCGTGTCACCATTGGCGGAAAGGGGCGAAAAGGAAAGGAAACATGCTCATGAGTGCAGTCAGTGAGTGGTGCTGAAGCTCATAGCTACATTATCGATGGAGTTGTCGTATTTATCAAGCAATTAGGGTTCCTGTCTTTGGTTACAAGTGAATGAGTAACTATGGTATGCAGTGAAGATCCGTCCAAACATTGCCATGCGTGATTTGTGGACTTGGGATTAATTGTCCTTATCGACTTTCATTTGAAAGGGGAGCAAGAATGGTTTCTTGCCCTCCTCGGTGGATCACCCACCCGTTGCGCTCCAGTAAGGGGAATCCGTACCGGCTTTTTCTTTTGCCTTCTGCACCAGGAATGTGACATCTGTTGATAAAGATATCAACACGGGGGCATGACCTCGATTTCTGGAAGTTCTCTTGCGCGCGGTCGTGCGTGTATGTCGTTCGTTTGGTTCGTGTGAGTTTGTGAGTGCGTTGTGTATATCTTTTTCCAAGTCGCTCCTTTACATTTTGTGTGTGTGTGTGTGCGTGCGCGCGAGACTCTTCGTATAGAGAGGGACAAAGATGAAGGTACGCAGCAATTCCTTCTTCCTAAGAATGATCACTCCGGGGGAGAGACGGTATAACAATTCTACGCTGACTACGATCAGGTTGAACGCGCCCTTCAGGGCCTCGTTCTCGTCTCGACAGTAGCAGCGGTAGCCGTCACCGATCCCAATGTAGTCCAATTGGACGTTAGGAGAACATGTGGCTGGAGATGCAATATTCAGCTTCAGATCGAGAAGATTCAGAAGGAGTTGGATTGGATTGCCGCACAATTGGTATGTATGGCCTTGGTTCGTGTCTTCCAGGTTGCGATCTATATTTGGAGACGATTAGATCGAAATCAAGTGCCACCGGCCCGCTCCCGTTCGAACGAACATTCGGTATCGCCTCATCGCAAGGTTACATTATCAAGGAACAATACCGCATGGGAGTGCTGTTTGTTAGTTAGCTTGCCACGTCGCTTGTGGAGACAAGCTGTTCTTGCTGTATTGCGCATATTGTCACGATGCACGTCATTGGAGGGAACTTTGGTCCAAGTTTTGTGGCGCATGGCGGATGACGCAGGTTGTGGCGCTGCGATATCACAACGCATCGACGACTAGGAGGGATATTCAATTGCGAGATTGTTCTATTGTTTATATAATTGACACTTACTTGTTCTACAGTGGGCACCCGACACAAACTTCGAAGACATCTCCAAAGCCGTGTTCGACACAGAGAAAGGTACAGACTCCGACGAACCATCTCCAACTCGATTCTCCAAGAGCTTCGGAGACCCCACACCCCTGGCAGAACAACCGCCCAGTTGGCCAGAAAGTCAGCAACCAAAGCCAGAACCACCTGCGAAGGAACCTATCCCTCAAAAACCCTCAGATTCAAACGAAATATCGAAACCTAAACCTAAGCCGAAGCCGAAGCCGAAGCCGAAGCCGAAGCCGAAGCCAAAACCTAAGCCGAAACCATCACATCACGACGACATCATGACTAGCCAAGGCGGTTATCGATCTGTTGCTTATTTTGTGAACTGGGTAAGTAGATGAAGTGTCACGAGCACGAAGTCACATGCCTTTGTTACTCAAGATCACCAAGTATTGACCATATATCAGGGCATCTACGGACGCAAGTACACACCTGACAAGATTCCCGTAGAGAAGCTTACCCACATTCTCTACGCCTTTGCCGACAATAATGAAGACGGCACCGTCAAGCTCACAGACACATGGTCCGATGTCGAGATTCACTACCCGACCGACTCTTGGAACGACGTTGGCAACAATCTCTACGGTAACATGAAGCAACTCAATATCTTCAAGCGCCGCAACCGCAACTTAAAGGTCATGCTGTCTATCGGTGGATGGACGTACGCCCACGAGCAGAAGCATTTCGATGGGCCTGCCGGGTCGCCCGAGGGCAGGAGGCAGTTCGCCAAATCCTGTGTGGACCTCATCCGAGACCTCGGATTCGATGGCATCGATATCGACTGGGAGTATCCACAGAACGAGGGACAGGGCGAGCAATTGGTCCTATTGTTGAAGGAGATCAGGGCAGCAATGGACGAGTATGCAGAGGCCATAGCAAACGCGGGCAACGAGAAGCCGTACTTTGAATTGAGCATTGCTGCTCCGGCTGGCAAGACCAATTACGATAATCTTCCCCTTGGAAAGGTGGGAGAAGTGGTGGATTTCATTAATCTTATGGTAAGTGGCCTCGGACGAGACCCTTTTTTTCCATTGCAGTGCACTGATCTGATTAATAGGGCTACGATTTCGCCGGATCCTGGGACAAGACATCAGGTCATCAAGCCAACCTCTACGCCTCATCATCCTGTCCATCCTGCACGCCTTTCAATATCGACAGTGTCATAACTGATTACACCGCGGATGGAATTCCTTCAGATAAGATCGTGCTCGGCATGCCTCTCTACGGACGCGCCTTCACCAACACAAAAGGCCTTGGTCAGCCCTACGAAGGGGTCGGCGAGGGTTCGTGGGAGAAAGGTATCTGGGATTTCAAGGCGCTTCCCAAGGACGGGGCCCAGGAGATGTACGACGAAGAGTCGGGTGCCAGTTACTCGTACGACGAGGGTACGCAGACACTGATCAGCTACGACACTGCGGACATGGCGAGGAAGAAGGTGGATTATATCAAGAATAAAGGTCTGGGAGGTGCTATGTGGTGGGAGCTCAGCGGCGACCGAGAGGACGAGGGAAGCCTCATCTCGACTGTAAGTCACATCCCTTCAGATCCTTCTGATTGACCTCTCTCCATTGACCCAAATATCAATGGCCATTTGTTGCTCTAGCTAACGAAAATAAAATAACAGGTGGTTGCGGATCTCGGGACCTTGGAGGCCAAGCCTAACAATATCAACTACCCAGACTCTAAGTACGAAAACCTCAAGGCGGGATTCCCTAACGACTCATGATGAATTCCACTTTGAATCATTCATGACTTCTGGACGCCTCTTGGCTTTCTTGCTTGCTTGGACCGGACCGACTAATCGACCAATCGTCCAGGAGGAAAGTAATTTGCCCAAAGAGGGAGATATACAAACTGCAAGTCAGAACCACTATTAGCATGAAAAGAAAAAGTAAACTCTGCTAGCTGCTCTTGGACGTCAGAGAGGGAGCGGCCGGGACGGTGTACTGGCGTCGTTTAGGAAGTTTTCCTTTCCAAGTTAGGAAGTGAAATATGTGAGTGGGGTATAATAAACGTTTCGTTAATGCATTGTGAACCGTTTTGGACATCCAATCCCTTGTTCGGAGGAGGGTCAGTTTTGGACTCGGTTGGACTTGACCTTTTCCAAAACATCCTACTGTGTAGTACTAAGAGCGCTTTTGTAACTACAGTCTGTCGCCAGGCGGTTTTAACCCAACTCCTCCCTTCGCCTCGCCCTCTCCTTCTAATGGTCTTGTGTGTTTGGTAGAGGGACCTGACTGTGTTACGAAAAAGTGGGATATCCCCATTCGCGTTGTAAGGCAAAAAGGGTTCGTGAAACTTCAGGCAGACAGGCCGAGAGGTAAGTATGATAAGCAGAATGTCAAGGGCAAGAATTGCCCAATTCGATAGTAGAACGTTTTGTGTGGGCAGTGGACAGGGGAGGATGGGCCGGTTTTCTTTATCGTTTCGAGTTGATGATTTCGCTACGAGCGAGTGCCGTAAATGCCGGACTATGCTCCGAGGAGGATCGAGAGGAGACTGATTTGCGTTGCATACACACGAGTGACTGTTTGTAGTTCGCGACTCCAGCCACAGTAGTGGAATGTAAAAGTGTCGTGGGTGTATGTGCCTGAGTGGGTGGGTATGCCTGGATGTCTGGCAAGGGTGTGTGGTAGTTCCAGACAGCGGACAGTGGCCCGCTAACTAGTAACCGTGTACTACCTAGGAATCTCATGCTGAGCTTGTCGCAGGGATTCCACCCTTCACGCCGCGAATGATCCACACAGCTCGGCTTGTCTTCCTCGTCAGTGTTATAGTTCACGACTACCTCTGACTCTCTCTGCAATTTATCCGTGTATCGTTCTGAATTCGCTTGTGTTTCCAACTGCAGGGTCCTAAAGAAACCCCACCAACCACGACCGGCAGCATGGAGGACGTATTGCAACGCGTAAGTCGATCTACTGTGTGGGATTATTCGTTAAACTCCATTGCTGTAATAATGGTTACACATGTTTGAGCCGATTCGTATCGTCATGTCTGTAAGTAGGTATGTATGTACATGCGAATGCCTAGAAATGAGAGGCTACTAATGTGACGGTACCTGCATAGACATACTGCCCATCTGTTCTCGAACGAGGCGACCGCAATGCACAGGGCCCGGCGTCAGGTACGTACCGTCAGAAATGCATTCTGGGGTATATTCAAATCAGCCATGCTATAGAATATTCTGCGACTATAGCATGGGCTCCGAGGTTCTGGAAAACCCCTCATGTTTGCGCCATCGTGCGTCTGAGAGATGTGTGAAGATTTGGCTGTCGCTCAAAAGGCATGATCCAAATGTCGGTCGTGGACAATGAACTCGAAAATGAGTCTGTAGCTGCATGTATGAAATGAGGTAGAGTATTTGAGTGTTTGTTCAAGCGACTTTGCGTGTTAGGGTCAGATTTCGTCAATGCAGTAAATATGTACAGCATCCATGACCATTATTGGTACGACAAAACTAGAGGCCCCGACCGCGCGAACCTATGGTGTCGATGCCTCTGCTATTTGGCCCAGGATGACCATGTTCGCTACTTCATACAGGTAAGGTCCCGTGACGATGGACTTAGAACTGCTGTTCATTGCTTGCGCACCGATTCCGGTGCGCATGTCTCTGTCGGCGGGAGTATTCGTTGATATGCGTCTTCCCCCATTAGCGTAGCTTCCCTATGTTCCAAGAATGTTTTGATTCTCTCGTTCCGATCGCCGTTAGCCATTGACGCGCGTTTCGCTTTCATCAGCTCCATGCTAGCTTCCTTATGCACCTTGTCCCGATGCTCGATGACTGTTGACGAGAACATATTGGCTCGTGTGCCCTGCATGATTCCGCCCAGAGAGACGAGGGCAAATACCAGAGACACAAACCCAAATCTTGACAGGTGCACGGTACGGGCATCGTCAGTCTGTCCTCGGTTGTACTCCCGATCGTACCATCGCTCCCAATCCTCCCAGGTTGCGTTGTTCATTGGGTCGTGACCAGACGGCCAGCTCCGCTGCTCTGGTTTCCAGTGCATAGAAGAGGCAGAGGGATCGTTCGGGTTGTGTTGGTGACCAACCCATCCCGCACCCCATAGATCGTATGCTCTACGCTTGGAGTCGTCCGAGAGGATTTGGTGAGCGGCGACGAGGAGGCGGTAGCGTTCGACACGGGTGGTGAGGGGTAGGTGTGCTACGGGCGACGAAGTACTGCGACTGTCTGGGTGGTACAGCTTTGCGAGAGAGTAGAATCGGTGTTTCGTGTAGAGGTCGCCCCTCTTGGTCGCGAGGATCTGGTAGGGTGTGGGAGTCTGGTGGGGATGGATGGGAACCGGCCAGGAGAGGTCGGCATTGTCACAATGCGATTGGGAGTGGTGGGTATGAGGATGGGTGGAGGAATGGAGGCGTGAAGCCGGGTCGGAGCTCGAACCTGAGGCATGCTGGGCGTAGGTGCGAGTTCGAGTATGGAGGTGGAGGTGGGGAGGGGAGGGCCGGCATGACGCACACGACTGAGAAGGAGGGCTATAGCAGAAGCAAGAGGGGAGACCGGGATGGGGTGAGGATAGGAAAACGGAAGGCGTTTTGGTGAATGGCATGTCTACTAAGACAGCGAGGTCCAGCTGCGGCAACGAAGAAGCATATTTCCGTGCGATGGAGGAGGAGGTGGTGGAGTGAATGAGTGAGTATGAGGTAGTAGAAGGAAGAGAGGATGAATAGACATGTACAAAGGTACCTCACTACCAGTAGATTACTATGATAGGATGATGGTATGATCGATGATGGGATGGTACATACGACATGTACATGTACATGCGATCATATGATAGGATGATGGATAGTCTATCTCGATGACTAATCCAAATGAGGAAAGGTGACTTTGCACCTTCCCTCATCCTCTCAAACCTCTTCACCTTTACCTTCACCTTCACCTTCATCTTCCTAATTCCTTTCACCAAAACCATCCTCACTAAAATTCCCAAGTACTGTTTCTCTCAGCACGATAAATGCGCTTGTTCAGCCACTCGCCAAAAGTCTCCTTCATCGTGTTTCGAAGCTGGCAAGAATATGCGCTTCTTCATACAAAGAGAGACGAGCTAATGATTTACTTTTTTGCATGACGGTATCTAGACTATACCTTCCTAGGTACCTATCCCTGGGTACGTATATCCTACTCCACTTCGCAATGGATAATAATCTACATGATAACTACCATCAAGTTATATCTACACAGCTACTTACTGACTTGGGTCATAGTTGAACCTAGTCTGCTTCTGCTATTACTCGTGCTTGCTCGTGTGCCGCTCGGGAGAAAGGGTGGGGGCTTTTCGCACACTCGCGCAATGCATCCGCCCATTCTCCAACCCGTTCGGTTTGATCTGCTTTCCCAGGGGATACCCTAGCACCCTAGATTTCGCTTCCGCTTTCACCTTTTTTTGCTTAACCCTGCTTTGCTGCAGTTGCAGTATGCCTGCTATAGTTCCCTCAATTCGTGCATGATATTCCCATCCCAAAAGGGTGCTGTCACTATATTCCACTTCACTGCCTGCGGATCGCATTCATCTCGTTTGGGCAGCACACTACTTCACTCTTCACTAATCTCTAGACAGCTTGTCGCCTATAAGGTCATCACAATCCCGTCGCTCTAGACTAAGAGACCAACTTGGCCTTCTCTTCGTTTGTACCAACCAATCTGAACAACAAACTTCTTCTATTTTCCTTACTTTCCGCCCAATTCTGCTTTTGTCTCTCGTGCTCGCACATAACGCGCCCATGTTGGCCACCATGGAGCGCTTTCCAGACCAAGACCAAAGTATTCCCGATGTAGAAAGGGACCCTGCCATCTTCAGCTCGCGACGACGTACCAACGATGACAACCCTCTCGAAGGTCTCTTCAATCTGACCCGTGTGATGCCCCAAAAGGATGATGATGACGACGACGATCAATTCGATGTCGATATGACCATTCTCGATTTTCTGGCCTACAAAACCACCTCCCTTGTTTTCGAATGGAGGTCAACCTCGAACCCATACCAGTCCGACCTGCCAAGCGCACTCGTTACCATGTATGTCCTTGTTCTTCCCTTCTACCTCTTCATACCAACTGCGCCACTGCCTGTCAAAACAAAAATTGGTGCTAGTAGACTGACTCGAGCGCTCCAGGACTGCTGAGTGGAGGAATCTCCTAAAACATAGATACGACGGACGACGTCTCAACGAACAAGCAGCATTTCGTTCCCGCCTTCTGCAGTTTGTCCTTTTGTTCACCCACCGTTTCAATCATGACAAGACTTGGACCAATGAAGAATCACTCAACGACATTCGCGCTCAAAACAAAAAACGCGGGCAATACTGGAACCAACAAGCTCTCGGCTCGGCCGCTCTACGAAACTCTTTCGATACGCACAAGTCGTTCCCACTCTCCGATGGTGCACTCGCTCAAAACCGCCACGAGCTGGCCTCCAGTTTTGGCATCCCGCCGGACCGACGGAGATGGGTAACAGATCTGGAGGGTACGCCATCACTGCATTGCTTGCTACCCCTCTTTATCGAACTTACTGCCGCCCGCGCCGACCTGGATGACGGCTGGAGACCTACCCAGGAGTGGCTTCATCTTGCTGTTGAATTCATGCTCCAGTCGGTTGTCGAGGAATACCTACTCAATGGCGCGTTTGGGAACGACCCCTTCAACACCATATTCGCTTTCGGTTGTCCCAGATTGGGAGCGGCAGACGGACAAGGCTCTGATATTCAAGCAATGCGAAGCCTGTTCTGTGACGAAAGTGACCCAACGAAGCAAGTGCATGGTTGGGCCAAGCTCAGGCGAGAATACATCAACGAGGTGAGTCATCATCTTCTCATACAGTTGTGGCAGATTGTGCTAACAGCCATGAAGTTATTACCACGCCCCGACACCTCGGAATCATTCTTGCAGGCCATGCAGCGTGCTCAGTCGCAACACCCGTATCAAAGGTTTGAAGACCAACTGCTTGACTTCCTCAAGCACCTTCACGACGGCCTCGTCAAGCCAGACTTGGTTCAGGTTGAGGAAGGTCGAATCACCATTCATGGTAATGAGCTTGACGAGGCCGAGTCAAGGGCGATGATCGAACGTATGGGTCTGTGATATCCCCCCGTAGTAGTGTTAACTTCGTTCTGGCCATGTTTGTACTCAACATGCATTTGGTATACCCTTCTCTTCTTACGACTTTCTTCACTTAGCCTGTCAGGCAATTTTGGTTACTTTGGTTTTATATGCTCTTTTATGGCACTTCTATCAGCATGCCAGCCTTTTTCTTTTTCTCTCATTATGCTCACTCCTATTATCGAGCTCAACAAAATCTCTTCATTGCGCACCTTGTATTAGTAGGCAGCCAGGTTTTTCCATGGATCGTGAATTATAAGCACATATCTTCCGATGGGTAGGATGCTAAATTACCGATGTTGAACAGATATTCTGGTGGGACTACTTGATGAGCACTGTGCGCTTTGTGCTTTGTTACCTTCAATCGACTTCCTTTGGCGTCGGCTTTGGCTGGACCTCCTTACGACATCGCTGTTACACAGCATTTGTACTTGCCTATTTCGCACGAGAAACATGCAGGGAAACGTTAGGCAAAGGTCCCAATGAGTGCAGTGCGATCGTCCACAAGTCCATTACGTCGTTGTATTTTCCACTTCGCACGGGAACCGCTTATCATCAGGCGGAAGGATGCCTGAAAAGCTCTCGAAATATTATTATAAGATTCCGCCCGGTCAGCACACTGAACCGGGGCCAGCTCATTGACCAACGGGTATAAAAACCACCCGATTGCCTACTAGTATTTGATATAGTAGGAACCTATCATGGTTCAAATCACATCCAAGACGTGTGCTGGGAGGAATCACAAGTACTCACGCGGTAGGTGAAGTGTGAAGTTGAGATCCAGAACCGGGTTAATGATTACTGCTATGTACGCCACTTCTTCGTCCCTTTCACCATGTCCTTCGCCCTTCGCCGCATAAAGGATCGAAAGTCCGTCGTCCTTTACGCAAGAGAAAAACAAATTCGTCTTCACCTTACTTAAGTGAAATCATCCCGCCTCAGAGCAGATCCTTTCCCTTGCCACTCTCGACCTTACTTCTTTGTTGAATTGAGCATCCGTAGCAACCATTCGGCATCAACGGAATAATGCGTCCCTTTCAATCTCCTCATGTGCTGCTGATTGCGGCTGTGCTCTGGGTATTACCTACCGCAGTCTTTGCTACCTCTTGGAAACCGACCATCATTCTTGTTCCCGGCTCTTTCCATCGGTCAATCGTCTATAATGAAGTGGTATCTGGGTTGAGGCGGGCCCAATTCAACAGAATCTACCCAATCGATTTACCATCCAACGGAAACGATATCCATGATCGCGAGCCAGACATCAACGCAGTGCGAAAACCACTCGAGAGAGCACTAGCCGCGGGTCAGGATGTTGTATTGGTCGGTAACAGTATGCATAGAAATCATGCTTCGGATTTCCTCGGGCTCTGGGCTGATTTGCGTAGGCTATGGCGCCACTGTCATTGGAGACGCACTTAAGGATTTCAAATCGGATGCTGTATCGGCGACAAGAGATTCCAAACAAACTCGGGGTCGAGGGAAAGTACTTGGTGTTGTCATGGTGAGCAGCCCTTGTTCATCCACTTCTTTGTTCGTCTGGAAAAAGCACATCATCCCCAATGCTAACCGATTGGCCATTCAGCTAGCTGGCTTCATACCCTACATCAGTGAGGTAGAACATCCAGAGACCAAGCTTGACGCCCGTACTGTTGCTCCCCCTCTTTTCCGCTTTGACAATAATTCACGAGTGTGGTCTGATGGTGACCCAAATCTATCCGCCGCCCAGGCCTTCTACAACCTTCTTCCTCCACATGAGAGTCAGTACTGGGCCAGCAAACTGACCTTCGCGTCTTTCAATGCGATGAACGCGACAGCGAGATGTATGCCCTCCTGATATGATCTTTACTCTTAACTCCCATCGTATTCCTATCTAATCATACTGTTCAGATATTCCCTATACAGGCGATTTTAACTGTCTGTACGTCGTGGGTCTTCAAGATAAGAGCATTCCTGTCGCATGGGCTCAGACATTTTTTGGCCAACCTGGTGCAAGATTCCAGGTCATTAATCTCGATGCCGATCATGTCATGATGTTGAGTAAACCTACAGAGGTTGTCAACATTATTCGGCAAGTAGCCGGCTCTTAGACAGTGGAGCTGTGTCGCTTGAAGATCTTGAGACGCCTTATAAGGCGTAGTGTAGTTCATACTTAGACGTAAACTTACATGGAACTGTTTGAGTGGTGAAGAGTGGGGTCGGTAGAAATACAAGGTGCTTAATCCTGTTATTGGTGAAGTGTTTGAGATTTCCCCATAGTTTTATTAGGGATACTTTGAAAAGAACGAAGTCTGCTCTATATTGCCCTGATATCAATTTGGTGACATCTCTGGCTCGCATCGAGACTACAATGCACTTGAAGATGTGAATGATCCACGTTACAAGATTGAAGACCCATCTAATATGTGCTTCTACAAATGATGTCGAGGGAAATCAGCTACCCATGGCGATAGGATGAATCATCTGAGATAAAAGGTTCGTATCTAGGTGAAGATTCTCAAACTTATGTCGTGAAATGTCGATTGTCTGTTGATCAATGGGAAGGCATATAATCCCACGAAGATGGCCTTGTCACTGTTTTGTGGCCAGCGTGCTAGCCCTACGAGTTTGGGTGATTACTAACACCGCCTTAGGACTACGCTACGCGGCTAAGCCCCGCATCCTTACCCCAGCGTGCCCAGGTCGATCTTTTCGCGAAGGCATACTCTGGACTACGCATATGAGTATCAGATAATCGCCCTCCCGTTGTCTGTCGTACTGCATTACTGCTGCTTCGAGTAAGTTCCTCTACAATTGTCATCATACTCCTCAATTCGCAACATACCTTGCTCTCTGGTTATGATAAAGACCCGGAAACAGACTTTGCCATGCAGCCGCTGATGCCTTCAACAACTCATCCGTCATGATAATCCTTGGGCTCAGGCCTCATGCATAACGATCAAGGCTAACATGGACGTGACAGTCTGGAAGTCTCTATAAATCCCAGGCACAATGCCCGCAATGCTAGAGGACCCTACCGCGCCCATCATATACCGCACCTCGGGTGACATGCCCTACCCGGTGCCTGGAGGAGTCCTCCCTCTGGACATCGGCCCTCGCCAGGTGACCCTTCGTGACAGAATCACAATTGCGACTATCATACCGTTCTCCTCGCCGGCACAGATTCCTATCTCCCTACTTGCATACTTGTGTGACCAATTTGGCAGGGAGATTGAGACTGGCCAAACGTATCCCATGGAAGAGCCGATGTCGCTAGAAGCTTTTGGACCGTATTGGTTTGGGGTTTTTGGAGCCGTCATTCTGTTGGGAGACATTTCAGGCATACCCGAGATTCATAGGATGGCACAATCTGGGAATGACTGGGAGAGGGCGTGTCTGGGCAGCTTCTATATCAAGCCAAACTATCCTGGTCGATCAAGTCATGTCTGCAACGGTGGCTTTCTGGTCACTGACGGGGCTCGTAATCGAGGCGTTGGCCGTTTGATGGGCGAAACATATCTGGATTGGGCACCAAAATTAGTAGGTACCTGTACGGAAACCTTCGATCGCGTTCTCTAATTTATCCAGGGCTACACATATTCCGTCTTTAATCTTGTTTACGAAACTAACACGGTATCTTGTCGGATATGGGACGCTCTTGGTTTCAAGAGGATAGGGCGGGTCAAAGGCTGCGGAAGGCTGAAGGGACGAGATCAGCTCGTGGATGCTATCATCTATGGCAGGGATCTTGGTGAAGACGATACCTTTGTTTCTGAGGAGCGATTTGACAAGATTCGTTTCTACTTACGGAACGGAAAGTACCCCAACAACGCTGATCGCGCGGAAAAGAGTCGACTCCGAAGTGCAGCCACCCACTACAAGCTTATTCCTGCCCAAGGCGATATTGCAGAAAAGTTGGTTCTTAAGGGTAAAGAGGTGATCTCCGAGCCCCAGCGCCAGTACGAGATTGCGAGGGATGTCCACCACAGGTCTCATGGAGGCATCAACAAAACCACAGCTGCCATCGCAGAGCAATATCATTGGGTGCGCATCAAAGAAACTGTGAGCCAAGTCATCCGGAACTGCCCCGAGTGTAGCGAAATGAACAAAGGTCTACACAATTCGCGAACCCAACGTACCAACCAGACACCGCCAGGAACGATGCAGACATCATCGAACAACGTGCATCCGATGGAACAAGTGATAGCGCCCCTTTACGGTAACAATAGCAATATGACTCGCACACGAGAAGAGTCACCGGGTCAGCAATTGCAGCTAGAAGCTGCACAGCATTCAAACGCCTTCTCCAACGACTGCTACATGCCCGTGGATCCTGCACTGATGGAGAGTCTAGATCGGAGTCAGGCCACAGGGATTGGCGACATGCCATCCCCTGTGCCTTCGCCGTTCCTGTCCGCTGGCTCTCACTTCAATGGCCGTCCGACCCGACAACAACGTGGTGCCACTCGAAAGATGACAGACATGAATGTCATGGGTTCCAATCTTCCCGCACCAATGGCGCGAATGACGGCTGGTGAGTCTATGGTCGGTATGGAGGAACGCGCTCCGACTGTTCGAGAGGAGCTTCGGCGTCGAATAACGCGCTTCCACGCTGGCCGTTAATATTTGGACAAATCGACTGATGGACAGCATTGGCTCCCTATAGCTTGATAGGTGCGAGTGCAAGGGTTGTAGGATGGATGAACGTGGCAATTACAGATATTCAAAAGCGCAAATCTGCATGTACCTTGTTGTAATGACCTCGAGAAGCATAGGTGGAGCCTGTAGCTATTCTGTTTGAACCAATGTTGGGCTCTATGTTAGTGTCTGAAAAAAAATCATTTCATCATTTCAAGTTGCACGGTGAGACTCGTCAGATGCTATACGGGGTTGGAGAAGAAAGTGTGGTGTGCTAAAAAGAACATGCTCCATTTGATATATACACGGGCCAAGAGGGGCGCAGAACTCTAAAACTGCAGTTACTCTCGCCATTGACTGACATGAAAGAAACTGTCTGCGGATCTAAGATTTTTGTCCCTGGTATGGGCCTACATCAACACCGTATTTGGCCATGAGCCTCTCCCGCCTTCTCTCTTCGTATCCTGGAGCGTAGATACCTGTGTCCTGTTAGGAAGAATGTCGAGTTGATATGATTGACTATACACTCACCTCGGCCCTCGCCCAATTCTGCAATTGTCTCCTCAAGCGGCCTTCGGCGCAATTTCTTCATTGCCTCCCTCCTGTCAACGTCGTCATCATCAGCGTTGGCTGGCCCAGCACCGATGCCGAAACCGCTTGTGTAGCCGTATGCTGCCATGACGGTGGCGACACTTGCGCCAGCGCCGAGCATGAAAGGAATACTTCGTCCTGTGGTATCATGTCAGTCTTCCAAAATTGCACATCTTCGAATCCCGCCCAACAAGCATCGGCATGGACGTACGCGAGAGACCAATGACCACACCACTTGCAAATCCCGCAAGAGCCTCGTTGTATGTGTCGTTCTTCTGTCGGAGGTTCGCCGCCGAGTCGCGTGTGAATTGGTATGCAAATCCAACACCAGCTGTAACAAGCACAAGTTAGCTTTTCATTCCAATTTTTGTCACAATGTCCTGCCCTCCCCCTCCCTCCCATTCTCCAAGCACGCCTCAATCCATCCTCAATGGCCCGTCACCCGCCGCGGGGAGTGTCAATTGGTGTATGTTGCGTACCGTAAACAGCGATCACGCCGCCCGACCGTGTGATGATGCCGGATGCACCAACATTCTGTTTTCTGAGGGCGTTCTGCACACCGGCGACGAGGGCGCCAAAGGCGGTGGTCTGGAGCGTGGTGCGCGACGTCGCAGCGAGGGTGTCTCTCGGGGTGTAGTGTTCCTCCATGGTCGCGAGGCCAATTGTGTGCGTGGCGAGCGTTCTTGTCCGGGGGGATAGCTGTGGAATTCGTGGGTTGGAGAGGTCGTCGATGATGGAGGTGCAGACCACGGACGGCCGAAAGTGCGCTAGACCTGTTTTTGGGGCATGGGTTCTGCCGGAGATATACGCTGATGGTGATTGGCTGGAAGGACGTGTCACAGCTACATCAGTAGTTACATGGCAACTCACTTAGGTACCAAGATACCTAGGTATATGGGTAGTTGTTTTGACTTGGTTGCATCTGCTGTTGTACAGAGTGCGAAAAACTGTTTACGATGTGATTGACTATTTCAGTTTTGTCTCTCTTTCGAGGCTGACTTATGTGCGGAGGATCATAGCGGTAACAAATGTTCTTGCAGCAAACAGAATGTTTGCTTGACGCGGAGTTGATGTGAGCATGCGCTTGCTGTAACCCCATGTGGTCTAAAGTACGTCTAAGATGAATGCAGCTTTGTTTGACCTGAGTTTCTCATCATAATTCACAGGAATATCGAAACTGATAGCTGTTCGCCTGCAGTGTTTTTGGGTATTGTAATATTATGTATGTAATGAGTTACGATGCGTTCCGAAAAAGGAAAGCTCTAGGGTTCTGCCACCGCCTCGCCATGTGCCACTAGACTATGCATCGTTTCGGAAGCATGACGATTCAAGGCCAGAGTCCAATCTTCAGCATTTCCTTTTTCCAAGTTTTCAGGAACTTTCTATTGAGCGCTTAGATCTTCTCTCGCGGTCTGTTTCGGGTCTCGTGATCATCTGTCTGTCGCTTCTGCGTCCAGCAAGCGGGTCACCGGTGTCATTTCTCAAGCTCCTGTTACTGCCTGCTATGCTCCACCTCTTCACCATACACCTCCCGACCTCGCTCCGCTGACGCACCGCTGCGTCCCTGTCCCCTTTTACCTGCGTATCAAACCAAGTGACAGCTCTGGGCCATATCTTACCATATCCTGAGCTCCGTCGATCATGTCTCCCCGCTCCGCCGGCGGTTTGTTACTCCCAGACCCCGGGAAGTCTCACACTAACCGCTGCTCCAGGAAAGACTGCCCCGCGGCTCCTTCACGATCTCACCACGTACGACCCAAGGTATGAGGCGCGCGCTGGCCGTAACCTCCTGACTACATCTCCTCCACACTTCGATCCTAATGCAGAGCCTACACCCGCCGTACCGTACCGAAATTGTAGGCACAACCTTATGCTCAAGCCCGAACAGAGCCAAGAACCGAACGTGGGACTGGACCCTCAATACGATACTGTGTACAAAGTTGCATCATTCTGCCAGAACTGCCGGTGGCATATAGACGTGGTGGTAGATTTTCGATGTGATGGAAGGGAAACGCCTTGTTCGAAAGAAAACAAGCACCCATTGCATCATTTCGTCTTTCGCACCGAGGACACGGATTCGGATAATGCTTTTGGAAGTGCTCAAGTCCCAAGGGTTTTTCACTTTCAGTGCTCCGGCCCACAATGTCCCGTTGCGCTGCAGATCCGCATGCGCCCACCGCGATTCAATGATGAGCACATCTCCTTGATGACGAATTCGGCACGCTTGAGGCAAAGGCTGGAGACTGCAAAACAGCTCGCTGGCGAACGTGCCGATGCAAACATGGCGAGGCCCGTGGATGCATTAGACTTCCTTACCACGTATCTCACAGACGCGCTGAAACCTCAGCCTGGGAAGGGTCGGATCCCTTTGTTGAACAGAAAGTTTCTCAAGACATTTGGCAAGGATTGTGATAATATCTTGACTGGTCTGGGATTTTCACATGCCGTGGAGAAATCTGAAGAGGGTGAAGAGGCCCAGGTCTGGCACCTGCCCAGGCCTCCGCCCGCAGGCAACCCGCTGGATGTCGATACCGAACGAACCGTGATAGAAGATGCCAGATACGAACTAGGAGTTCTGTTATTGGGATTTCCAGAAAATGAGCGGGTCGGAATTAGGAATTCGCCCGTTCTTCCCCACCCTGCCATCAAGATAGTCGAAAGGGCCTTAGGCTGTGAGGACTATGGAAAGAAAGCTGCTCTTGGCACACGCAACTCTGATCACGAAGAAGATCATCCCTACTATGCTGGGCTAGGCACTGTGGGTGATTTCTCTGATGATCTACTCTTGTTCGCATATAACTGTCAATTCCGCGTTGACAAGGATAATGCGACATACTACTTTGAGTGCTTACAATCGATTGCCATAGGGAGGAATAGCGAATGGCTCAACATGGAAGTGATGACCCTGGCATCGAAAGGCCAGGTCAACCGCGCCGAGCTCAGAAACGCATATCAGTACTTCGGTATCAACCCGCGTGATGCTGACTACATCAGCGATGAACACGTCCTGCAAAATTTCAGAAGTCGCCTTCCTGATATCGGTCCCGGCCAGGACGAGGAAGCTCGAAATGTTCTTCGTATAATAGGCAACGCCCGCAACAGTGATAGACTCAGACAAGAGGCGTCCAATGCCTTTGAAACATACGAACAAGCTATGTCTTGGCTGGGCCTAGACGAAAATCAAGCGGACGACTTCGTTATAACCATGTATTCTATGAAGGTATGTCTGGACATCCACAGATTATGGTCGTAATGTATTTGTACCTGCTTACACTTTATAGAAAGATGAGAATGGTGCAGAAGTTGCACGCAAAGCTGTAGAGATTATTGCCGAAGCACGCAATAGCGAGTTTCTACGGGACTATCTCCGAACGGGAGAGTTGAGAGCGCAGCAGATGGATGTGGGCGAAGCCTACGCACTTCTCGGTATTAGCAACCGGACCGAACGACTCGACCCTGAGATCCTGAAAGTCAATAAGATGTACTTGATTCTAGACCGACCAGGCGATGAAGCCAAATTCGAAGAGGCTTATCGATTAGTGTCTGATGACCAGAGCAAAAACCCGGGACTCTCACTAAGCAGTACACGGCCAGCTTATCCTTTAGAAACCTGGCCTGTCGGTTGCCTCAACATCGGCAATACCTGCTACTTGAACAGTGTCCTGCAATTTCTCTTCACCATCAAGCCCTTGCGGAACATGGTCCTCGATTGCGAGCAGCATCTTCAGACAGTATCTCAAGAGGCCCTGGAAGGCAAAAGGGTTGGTCGCAGCGATGTGACTGTCGCGAAGGTAGAGCAGGCACAGCGTTGTAAGTATTCTGCGCTGTATGCAGGAACAAGACACTAATAGTTGCAGTCATACACGAACTAAGGAACCTATTTCAACGCATGGTGACTGCGAACACTAGCTCAATCCGTCCCGAGATCAAATTAGCGGCATTGGCTCTTTCCAAAGATGCGGATCTCAATCTGCCAAATTCGAACCATATAGAGGATTCGGGATTGGGCGAGCTGGGTGGCGAGCCAGTCTTCGGTCCAATGCCTGCACCCGAAACCAATGATTCGGCCATGAAGGAGGACAACAGTGACTCATCCTCAACGGTTGCTGAGGCTGATACGGATGGCGACCACCTTATGGAAATGAACGATCTCGTTGGCGAGGCAGCAATCGACGAAGGGGAGAAACCTCCTCTACCAAACCGTCCTCCACCCATCCCTCCAAGGCCACAGGACATGAAAAAGATTGAGAGTCTGGCCCAGCAACAAGATGCTGCAGAGATTCTGAACAATGTTTTCGATCTGCTCTCCTGCGCGATCCAAGGTGAAGGCGTTCTGGATGATGGAGAGCAACAAGACCTGGTCAAGCGACTATTCTTCTCTAGTGTCACTGCTGTGAGGAACACGAACGGCACCATTGTTCGTAAGAGCGATCTACAAGACAACCATCTCATCTCCCCTGGCAATCGCGATCGTCCTCTGTATGCCGCCTTGGATGACGAGTTTAGCTTGTCGGAGCAAGAGCCTGAAATGAAGGATGGCAAGGCAATCATACCCACGAAATATGAGGTCATAGATCATGCTTCGCCAGTTCTGATTATTAACGTGCGACGACTGGTTTACGAAGGGGGTCGCAGTAGGAAGGACACCTCTCATGTACAGCTTGACGATCTCTTATATTTGGATCGTTATCTGAAACAGACGAAGTCGCTCAGCGAAGCAGAGGTTTTAGAGCTCCGTGAGAGGCAATGGGAACTTCGCCGAAAGTTGAGGGAGTTGGAAGCTAGAAAGAAAGAGCTTAAGGAGACGGAGGTGAAGACCGACCTTGCCGCTGCCGTCGAAGAAACAGCGACTCTTATTGAAGACTTCACCAAGGCCGATGACGACCAGTTGATCGATGTGGATGATGACCCGTTGCCTAGGTATACCGAACTCGCCGATGGGCTCAAGGAGCGAGCGAAGGAGCTTGAGGATGAAGCAAAAGCCCTCGATGAGCGACTCAAAGACATTGATGGCCAAGTCGACGGAGTCTTCGACAAGTATAGAGACCACGGTTACAGACTCCACAGTATCTTCATGCACCGGGGAGGACCTGGTGGTGGTCATTATTGGATCTACATTTACGATTTCCAGGAGAAGATCTGGAGAGAGTACAACGACGAACGAGTCAGCAAGGTGGAAGACCCACAAAAGAGTATTTTTGAACAGGAAGAGAAATATCCGGGAACATCGACCGGTGTCGTATACGTTCAGGAGGATATGATTGATGGTCTGACTGAAGCAGTCCATCGAGTACCTGAGCCGTTACTGGACCAAGATGTGGAGATGGGCGAAGTCAAGGATACAGACTACAGCCAAGTGCAGGTGATTGATGGGATCGAGGCATCGTAGTTGGAGTGAAGCGTATCGACATCCTTGAAACTGAAAGGATTGCGATTCGACTCATCCGGACTGATTGAATTATGTTTGACAACGATGAGCATTAGCGACGGTCAATGGGAAGTTCACTGTTACGGGTGTTTGTACGGGTTATAGAAGCATGTAGTACACGAAGTTCGAATTGCTGGGGTTTGGGGTTTTCTGTGACTGACGTGTCTAGCATAGCAATGGTTGCTGCTTACGGGTTACAAAAGGATAAGAAGGAGTAGATACCCATTATTCTCACGAAGAATATGTTCATTCTCTGATGCTGCTTAAGTAGTAATGGTGAATGACTATGTGATATGAAATTTAGGTGGACATAACTGTTGGTTTTCATAACGGTAGTACATTGATTCCATGATTATAATACTCGTATAAGGCATAAATCAATGGCATAGGAGGAAGGGATGAGGTCACCATTTTGACCCGCTTGGGATATACTTTTAAGCTTAAATGCACTACGTCCAATAGCAGACACGTCGCAAGGGATCTGATGGCGGGAGGTGGACCCCTCTACTCTCATCTAGTACCTAGCACTGCCTAGGTAGTTACCCCACCTTCGCCTGTCCTGTCTCTCTTTGAAATCACCCGCACCCCACAAGTTCCGTCATCGTCATCGACACTGACATCGACGTCGACATTGACATCGGCAAACGCTACCCTTCCACGTGCCTTCCGCTCTTCCTACGAGTACCCGCGAACCATCTGCCCATTGAACTACGAGAGCTCTCACGCGACATCACTAGTGCCTCCTACAAATACCCCTACAGACCTCCTTCAGTCCTGTCCACCTTATTCTTCCAATATTGCATTACCTCCACTCTTTGAATTATATACGATCTCCTGCCTTGGTCTTTATAGTTCTCAACCATATATTTTCCCTTCACAACATGGCAGCACTGAATGCCATTACCTCACATAATGGCCAATCGGATGCTGCACTCAAGGATCGTTTCTTTCGATACTTCCAACATGAGGTAACAGGTACGTCCGTTGAGCTGCAGGCATAATTTGTGTGTCAAAGACCTAAAGTGACGTGTGCATAGCATTGCAAGAGCAGATGGACCGTCTCAACACCACGGCTTGGACGGGAGGGGAGCGTAATGATGCCGTGGACCACTGCCTGGCTGGCATCGAACGACTAAATCACGAGGTCAAGGATGCGAGTAGCTACATCCCAGCTTACGACCAACGTACCTATGGCGAAGTGAGCTGTCCTTTGTGTAATTATCATGTCTCTGTGAAGTCGATCATTAACCTGTCGCTTGCAACAGGCCGTCAAAGCGCTGAGCGCTAAACTGCAAACCATTCGCACTCAGTTTGCGCCGCCGAAAAAGTTTCAATTCAAGACCGGCCGCAAGAACAATTCTGCAATATCCCTTTCCGATGCTGCTGAGCTGGCCAGGCAGAACAAGCTCGGAGTCCCCGGCTACTCCTCTGATACCTCCAACGCAAACTCGAGTTTCGCGCCAACACCCTTGGACAAGCTGTCACCAACCGAGGAAAAACCGCTGGAATTCCCATCACACGATGGAGGGAACAGCAAAGGCGATGATTTTAGTGAACCCCGGATCGATGGTACCGCAGCAGGAGTGAGGACAATGAGCTTTTCCGATGCCAATAGCGTGACGATATCCAACCATAACAAAACACATATCCTGCTGCCTACATCTGCCTCACATGCCACTTCCTCGGGAACCGTGTCAAATCTGCGTAACAGCGTCGTTGACTTGTCACCTCCTACAACAAACGGTGGGCCCTTTGCTAGCCTGACCCTAAAGAACATCAAGCGTTCCTTGATCGTTTGCGGACAGGTGACAGGTCCAGCGCACATTACGGGGGTGGAGAATAGCGTTCTGGTGGTAGCATGTCGACAGTTCCGCGTGCACAACAGCAAAAATGTAGACGTATATCTGTTCTGTGCCAGTCGACCCATCATTGAGGATTGCGAGAACATTCGGTTTGCGCCGCTTCCGGAAGCATATGTAAGCAAATTCTCCATGTTTATATTGCTAGGCACATGCAATCAGCCAGCTCCTTGGGGAGATGACATTTGTACTAATCAATTCTTTCCTCAGAACCCACCAGACTTTGCGACCATCCCCAATCTCTGGAACCAGATAGACGACTTCAAGTGGCTCAAATCCGAACCGAGCCCGAACTACAGCGTACTTGTCCCTGACGAGCGTGTCCAAGAAAAGGTCTGGAAAGAGACAGTACCAGGAGGACATAATGTCGGCCTGGACGACATTCTACGAGCCGTATCGATATTGCACTAAGAGCTTGGTTTCGGTGTTCCCTTTCAAGTGCGGCATGTAAGCCGTTGTGATTGATTTTCAACGAAAAACTGCTGTGGTGTTTTCTTCACTCACCGTTGAGGATTGATATCATGTACGATAGGAAGGTTAAAGAGTGGTATGTAGGGAAGTATGCGTGGCATACTACACATAAGCTGAGCAATTCTTATCATCATTTTCTTTTCGGTAATGTATCGTCAAAGGTGTTTTCTTCACGATGACAACAGATATGTGCAGATCATCTAAACGAAAAGTAAAAAAAAATGTCTCGTTCCTCTCCCAGTAACACGCAAAGTACCACTATGGTTGAAAAGTTCGTACTGCATGCAACCGCTTGCTACGACCGTCCTCGTAGGCCATCTTATGTCCCCAAACTCCATGAGAGGAATCCGAGGGACGAACAGCAAACTCGGGTACATGGCAACGCGATGTTCTAGGTGTTGGGACCTGCTCATAGCGAGTATGAGCCAGGTATGATAGATGGAACGGCTGTGCGATTGGTTTCGTCACTCACTCTCTCGCGATGGCTATACTGAGCTGCAGGAATTGATCTTGTCACTGAGCTCCACCTTAGGCCGCGAGGTTCTCACATGGACTTTTGCATGTGGCCCCAATGGAGTCCGCAAGCACAAATTCAACGAATATAGCATCAAGCTATTATAATCACGGGACTGGCATGAAGTGTGGGAAGCGCTACGCGAATGAGCGTCACATTGTGGGAGGGGCCGACGGAGGGAAGTGCAGGGGAATTATCATTGATCCTCAGACTGTAGTGGATTCTGAGTCCAATAGAGGAGCACAGTCGGGTGGTTGGGTGTTAATCTGCACTCAGGTGGCGCTGAAATGCTCCGGTGCTGTTCTAGGGGTATCTTAGGATTGCGTAGCCAAAATTTCTGTGGACTCGTCAGTGCTCAGACCCAAAAGTCAATATCCTTTAATGAACATACGGGCCTCTTTCTCCAGTGTGACTGTGCCGTAGCCAAATATATGCCATCATTGTGACAGTCAAGATGTCGAGGATGCAAAAAGGACCTTTCGAGGGTTACCAAGCGCAAGACTTCGACTTCCGCTTCCTTCCATATCCTCCAAGAGCCTGCCCATCCCTCCGATGTCAAGCTCGCCTTGCGCCAGAAGGGCTTGGTCTGTCCGCCGCGCTTCTTTTTCCTCTGCTTGCTCTTTGTCTAACGTAGGATCCTGGTTTCCGTCTAACGGCTGTTTCGTATTAGTGAGAATGATGAGTCTGTGATCCGTTGCGATCAGAACGTCTCTCGGTATTGCCTTGCGGGCTTCTTCTACACTGAGATCGAATTGGGCTGCAGAAACCAATGACTCTCCCAACAAGTTCAATCCTTGAAGCTTATGAGGACTGGTGCTGCTGCTCCCGGATGCGCTACGAGTTGTGAATTGTGCCAAGTTTGATATTCTGTAAACATCGACTCCATACTCTATGAGAACTGAGTCTATAGGCACACCACCCTCGGACGATGGCAAGGAAGCAATGGACAAAGAGCCATGTATCGGAGCTGAAGAGCTAGTAGTTGTGCTAGAGAAGAGGCTCTGTTGCTTCGTGCGACGCGTATTGGGGGTCATCGGCACGAGATTGCCTCGCGCACTACGCTTGGGACTTGGCTCCGAACCACTGGACCGATCTTCAGATGATCCAACGAATCCTCGAGAAGAGAAATCTGAAGGGTCACGCCGCTGGTTCAGGGTTGATGCCTCAATATCCCAGACCCCCCATTCGCCATCCCCGAGCAAGGCGAATATGCCATGTCCGTCAGATGTCCACACGGCATCAATAATCGGCTTTCGAGCGGCAAGGATAGGCGGCGTAGGTAAGCTGCTTTGAGTGCGATCGTAAGTGCTCCTGAAAAGAGCAATGTAGGCTCCAAGCTCTACTTCAGCACTGGTCTGGCCTTTACGGTGCTTGACTGCGAATGGGTCATATATCCTAGCAGTACCGGTAGCATCGGCAATCAAAAGTTGGGAATGACGGCGTTTTGGCCATTGGGCAGTGTTGAATGCAATTGTTGAGGGAGGCGTGCGGAGTTTGACAACCTGATAGGGCACTACAGGGTTTTTGATCGCTACTCCCGTTTCCGTGAGCTGGAAACGGTAGATTTTTATTAGACCACCAACATCAATAGAGTGAGAAGCAACAAGCAGATCCCAGCCTTCCGATTTCCCGTCTTCGGCAGACAATGACTGGCCATGTCTTCCAGAAGCCGCCTTTTTCCTCTTACCGGCACCTTGGGTTTCGTCATCATCGACATCCATCTCCTGGTCTTGTGTATCGGGACGTGGTTCAGCGCGTGTTGTCCAAGTCATGGCAACTCCTCTGGGGATGCTCTGGTGCCCAGCATGCGTAGGGATCTTGATGATGCTTTCCCCGAATTGAGAGGCTGTTTTCGCAGGTGCCTCCTTCGCCGCGTTTGATGGTGGACTTAAAGGTAATGTCACCACCCGAACGCTGTAATCTGCGCAAGCGACAGTGAAAACCATCTTGTCACCAAATATAGCTGGTATCGTATCTGCAGGCCGGAGTGATGATACTGCAGGTATTTGGGGAACCCCAATATGTAGGACCTCGGTATTGAGAGAAAGCCGAACCTGTTGGACGATGGAGGGATACGGTTGCTCTGGATCCAATTCTTCTTCTTCTTCCTCGAACTCGGCGGGTGGTGGCGCTTGAGCCTCCGTCTTCGCGGGGGGCTCATCATCATCGGAGTCTATGATCATGATAGCATCACTCGAGGTTCCATTGACTTTAGCTGGTTTTGTAGGCTGCTGTGGAAGAGATGCGCCGACCTTCTTGAGCGGGCGTCCACCTCTCCAAAGTATGCCAATGCCCGCTTCATGGCCGTACAGCGTGATCGTGGAGCCATTAGGTGCTTTCAAGGGATATATCTTGGCATCGTGAACGCGATGAGGAAGTTCGTAGCGTAGCTGAGTTGTCTTGCCCTGGGTCGTGATGACAGGCTTCATCGCGGTTACGTCGAAATGTGTGGGAAGCACGATAGTGCTCGAAGCTTCCAGGTGACCGAGCAACGATACTTGGTAAGCAATGTCGCTATATGGGCAACCAGAAAGATCTCTCCCTGCGTATTGAAATCGATGAAGTGGTGTTGTCGATGTCGTTGTTGTTATTGTTATTGTTGTGGTTGTTGTGAAGGAAAGAAAGAAGGTCGGAGCTCGGAGGTGAAGTGCGGCGAAATTCCATGCACGCGTCCCACCACAGGCGCGTCCACTATTAACTACTGTCGGTAGGTACGATTGCAACAGCAACAGCAGCAAAACAACAATACCAACAATACCCCCCATCCAGAGCTTCTCCTACCGAGCCCACACAGGGACGATCGATTCCAAGGTCCGCCTCCTCATGCCACGAACAGATCCCCCGCATGGCAACGCTACGATCGCTCGGGCTCCACAGGCCCGCCGCGTTGCAATATCTCATTCGGGAGGGCATTCTGGATGAAGATTGCAAAGAGACAGAGTACAAGTGGGATACATACCATGATGGAATGTCAACAGATGTCATAGACGAAATCATAACCACTCAGTATCACGTTGCATGGTCGCGGGGGGGAGTGGTGCGCAAAGTCTTCAGTTTCGAGGTTGAGCAAGAGAAGGTCCTACAAGCGCTGCTCACTTGGTTTCCTACTGAAGACAACACTGTTGCTGCATCGAGTTCTCAAGAGAGCTCAGAAGAGAGTGAGGATGGTGTTCTCAGAACATCCCTCTCAGGGAGGCTTCAGGAATCCAATTGTCAAGATAACTCCGACCGCAGATTGCATTTTTCAGAAAGCAAATCCCGAGCACTCGTCGTGTTCTTAAAATCACAAGCACACGTTTTCTTCCTCGACGGTTCCAACCATGTTGTTAACCTGCCATTTGAGGTGGAAAGAGCATTTCCTGCAACAAAGGGTGTCCTCGTTCAACGACGAATACCTAGATTCGACGCGAAACCCTCAACACCGACCATGCCGTCCGCACCTCCAAATTCTTTCCTTACCAACACTCACATGTCACAGAGTTTCTCACAAAGTCATTTGAAAACTCCACGCCGCCATAGGCATGGATCTTCTTTGGGCTTAAAACAGGGGACATCCATGAAATCCACTCCTATGGGGTCTTTCTTTCTAGAGGACTTGGTCATGAGGCCTGCTATCCCAATGAATGATGGCTTACCTCGAATATTCTCCTTTACAGACCCATTGTCAGAGTTTGGTCTAGTAGTCAACGTTACCACAGCCAGCGAGCATAGGGGATTTCTCTCTGTCAGTGCTACTGGCCATCGAAGACTTGAACCGATTGACAAGTCTGAGGAAATGATCTACATATCTGCTCAGAATGAGTTGAAATTTGATGAATCTGGAAACGATTCACCACTTCTCCTGGCAGTCACCATGAACCATGACACGAACACTTTTACCATTTGGTCAGCCGCGTATCTTGAGCCCAAATCTATCTCAACTTCAAGGAAAAACCATGTACTTCCTTCAGCCAAAAAGGCGCGAAGAAGAAGCTCTTACGGCCCTACTGCACCTGGAACTGGAGCGACGACACCAGCTGTCCGGGGTGCCGATCGGATGCGTGAAAGTTTTGGTGGTGCAGGCCGTTCCAAACCCCAGCCGCCGCCATCATTCAATGTCTCTTCGCGAATAAAAGAACGACTGTCCGACCAGGCAGTAGAGGATGCACTGACATCACAGCTGAATCCTGATTTCGATATGTCGCGACAACCGAAGGAGTCACGACGTGTCTCCTCGTTGTTGTCGAGAGCAGAGCTCTCCAACAGTTTCGACAAGTCCGCCTTCCAAGATTTGGCAACTCAAAGATCTAGTCTTGGTGGAAGCTTCGGTGCCAGTCAACGGAGCAGACACTCTATTGGCCACGAAAGAACGAGTTTTGGTGGCTTCTCCCATTCGCGAAATCGAGCATCTACGCCAGGAAGTGTCACCTCACGTTTGAGCTTTGGGCAAGCATCTATCGATGACACATTTGAAGACATGGATGAGGATACATTAGACACCCTTGAGGATTATGACGAGCTCGACGATCTGTTCTCGCCGCCCGAAGCTGGCTCGGAGCGTGACCCAATTGATGGGCTTCGCAAAGAATTGGTCATGACTGTTATTGCCGAAATTCCTGCTCAGAAGCACTTGAAGCCACATCTTCTCACTCTGAAAGAGGTTTTTTCTACCAGTCAGGTATTCGCCTCAATTCAGCATCATAATTGTATCACTCACTGATTTTCAACGTGTAGGCCCCCCCGAAAGTTTTCACAGCTGCGGCGCCCTTTAATTCTGCAGCACTTCATGAAAGAAAGATATGTCTGTATATAGTGCACGCTTCTCTACTGGGCCCCATAGAGTGTGAACTTTCTGTCACTCGTAAGCGCCCGTCAACGACAATGCCTCAGATAAAGTCGACTACTGCGCCGCCGCGATATGCCTGCGTGCCGAAATTCGTCAAAGTGCAGACCTTAAGCGGTGTTATCGATGTTACCAAGCTTGTGGATGGCCACACTGAACGAATTCTATGCTTGCGTTCAGCCAACCCCCCTGATCCTGATCTGATTGTAACGGCAGGCTGGGGCACCCATTTGCCGATTAAATTTGCAGTCGGCTCTCTCAAACTCTTCAATCCATATGCCTTCATGCGAGACGGAAAATCGAGAGCTACCGCTGGGCTCAGACGGACGATTACGGCCCCCCATCCATTACAATATCTTCCTTCAGCACTTCCAGGCGGCACTTTTGATGTGGTCGATGGAGAGTCACGGAGGCATAGGCTGCAAATGCATCTCAAGCCACGGAACCCTTGGGTGGCGCATTTGTTTAAAGTTTTATCCAAAGTTTTGTCTAATCATATTGGTGATTTCCTCCTCGAGATTTGGTGGAATATTCGTAGAACCATGGTCGACAATTTTGAATCGAGTTTCGAGCTAGACTGGGCCGCATTTGCCACAACACTGTTCTGTCTCGTTGTGCCATTTGTGGATGAACGGTCGATGAAGGCGAAAAAGAATTCGAAACAGCCTCGTCAGAGACGAAGCACTGGCACTCCTGCGAGTTTGACAAGACCAGACGAGATAGTTGCAGAGTCTTCGGCATGGGATCTCATGAATCGACGTCAAAATGCCCGCTCTGCAGCAAAGCCGTTAAGTTCAACGCCATGGTGCTGGACTCAATCTGGACTTTCACCAAGTGTATCTTCATCGAGAACATCTAGGCGCTCTCTAACAGTTAATCCAAGCCCAAGCAATGGGAACGTACTTTCATACTATATCGCCGAAGCTCGTCGCTTTCTTCAAACACCAGTAGGAAAGGCGTCAAACGATCAGTGGCGACATCTTTCTCCTTCTGAAAGACAAGATCTTCGCATTTCATGTGCGTCAGAAGTAGTGGTCACTTTACATCTTCTCCGTGAAGAAGTAAAGTTGAACATTCTCTCCTCGGACGAGTCAAGCTCTCATACAGCGGACCTAGCGCCCATACTCGCTCAATTAGGCCATTGGCTTCGCTGGGAGTCCTGGGGTTACAAACAAGGAGCGTTCTACGATCTCGATGGCGGGTCTTCTGAGCTTTGGGCTTACGAGGAATCCAGTCTTGTGAACGTAGTCAAGCTACATTCACAACCTTGGAAAGCACCTCCATCAATCCTGGAGTGGATTAGTTCAGTTCTTCGATCGCAGACGTACACTCCATTTCCCACTGTCGCAATACTGATTCGCAAGTCGAAGGCGTCTCCGCATTCATCGGTCAATATAGACGAGATCATTTCAAGTGTGACGCCTCGCACGGTCGCTCTTGACAAGTTCTTCCAGCACGTCGATAAGCTCTCTAATCCACGCAGAGCTGTGGAATTGATTGAACATTGTGGAATTACCCCCCAGGTGTTGGCCACCTTGCCCGAGGCTGTACGCGCACCCCTTATGGAAGCGATCATGAACTGCCAAGCTAACCCGCCCACAACATGGCCACGCTCCCTCCTTAAATTGGTACAACGAGAAGACCTGGATTTAACTCTAAAACCAAACGAAGACTCCATACAGGATAGCCATCAAGGCCAGTCGAATTCAGCGATTGGCAGTCATGCCAATCCATATTCATCAAGCGGAATTCGAGACGTACACACTATCTGCCAAAGCATTGACCGTGCTGACTCTGTACAATCCGCAGCTGAGGTAGAACGACACCATGTCACACGGCTGATATTCAGCGAGGACCGCCGTTTTATGGAAGCACATGCCTTGTTAGAGCCTTTGCGACCTGCCGTGGCGGAGTATCGACCTGATCCGAGGGCAGAGGAAGCAGCGATCTTGGAAGGCCAGAAGGTTCTGATGCAACATGTTATGACACGAACGTTTTCATTGCCGGTTGGCAATTCAATGATCAAATACAGTAGCAAGAGGCCGCTTTTAACCGAAAAGTACCTGCTTTTTGGCTTCTCGACATCATGTCTCATGAAACCAATGGGCAACGTAGTCACGGCTGAAAGACAGAACTACTCTGAAGAAAAATTCTTTTGGGCGTTTTTCAATGCCGGAGTCGCAGCTGGTTTGAGTATCGCGAAAGACGCTCGTGGAATTGACACCTCGTGGATAATGTACAACAAGCCTTCACAGCTAACGAACAAGCATGCAGGCCTGCTTTTAGGCCTAGGTCTAAATGGTCACCTTAAAACCATTGCCAAATGGCTGTCTTTCAAGTACCTCACGCCCAAACATACCATGACATCTGTTGGCTTGCTACTTGGTCTTTCTGCATCGTTTATGGGTACCATGGATACCCTAGTAACCCGTCTTCTGTCCGTACATGTTACAAGAATGTTGCCAGCAGGTGCCGCAGAGCTGAACTTATCACCATACACTCAAACAACAGGCCTTATGGGCATAGGATTATTATATTACAACACCCAACATCGCCGGATGAGTGAAGTCATGCTCTCCGAAATCGAATACGTGGACGAACCAGACCCGTCTGAGCCCCCGGACACTTTGCGAGATGAAGCTTACAGACTCGCTGCCGGTTTCGCATTGGGCTTCATCAACTTAGGCAAAGGGAAAGATCTCCGAGGTTTGCATGATATGTTCATTGTCGAGCGGCTTATGGCTGTAGCTGTGGCACCCAAAGCGGTGAACATAGTACACATTCTTGACCAAGCTACTGCTGGTGCGGTCATTGCGATTGCACTTATTTTCATGAAGACCCAGGACGATGCAGTTGCTCGAAAGATAGATGTGCCTGATACTGTACCTCAGTTCGATTATGTGCGTCCCGACATCTTTCTACTACGCACCCTTGCAAAGCATCTCATCATGTGGGACAACATCGAAGCCAGTCATGCTTGGATACTCAAAAACCTGCCTATGGAATATCGACCAGACCATAACTTGGCAGCCATATCCAAACTCCGGAGCAGCCAAATGCCGTTTTTCAATATCTTAGCTGGACTCCTCTGGAGCATATCTCTCAAGTTCGCTGGGACGGGTGACTTGGAAGTCCGAAATTTCCTAGTGGCGTATTTGGACCAGTTCATTCGGATCAATAGACTCCCAGCACTTCGATACGACTCAAAACTCGCGAAAAACACAGTCCGCAACTGTCAAGACCTGCTCGCGCTCTCTGCTGCTACCGTGATGGCAGGTACCGGTGATCTCGTTGTCTTTCGACGGTTACGCTCTCTCCATGGTCGCGTTTCTCCAGATACTCCTTATGGCTCACATCTTGCGGCTCACATGGCATTCGGTGCGCTCTTTATTGCTGGTGGTACCCACACATTCAGCACCTCCAACAAGGCTATTGCATCTCTAATATGCGCGTTCTACCCTCTATATCCTACAGATGTGCAAGACTCGAAGGCACATCTGCAAGCCTTCCGTCATTTTTGGGTTTTGGCTGCAGAACCACGCTGCCTTATTGTCCGCGATGTTGATACGGGCCGTGCAACGTCGATGCCCATCACTGTTCACATGCGCAGTGGCGAGAAGATCAAGCATATGGCCCCTATTCTCCTCCCAGAGACCCACTTGATCGAAAGAATCGAAACGAACGATGTCGCGTTCTGGCCTACTACATTGGATTTCGTAAACAATCCCAGCCACTTGCAGAGCTTCCGACAACATCAGACATTGCATGTGAGAAGGAGAGGCGCAAAAGATATGTACGCGTCCACATTCTCGTCAACACTCGTTGCGCTCAACGACACGCAATCTTCGCGCGTGTCCAGATTGATGTGGAATTGGATCTTCAGCCTACAGAGTCTACAGAAATTCGAAAGTGCCGACATCACCTTGATCTTGCCAGCAGATCCCTACTCAAGCACATTTTTGGACTCGTCCCTCACCGTAGTAGATGCACGACTGGTGCTAGAGGAGATGGGGAAAACCTGGAAGTTGAAGGAGCTCTGGGAGCTAAGACTCCTGTTCGAGTGGGCGGAGGGATGTGCACAAACAGGAACAGGGAGGCTGAACTGGCTTGGTAGGAACGTGGTGGAGAGGCTAAAAGCCGATGTATTAGATCGAGGTCGCAGAATAGGTACCGCGTCCAAATCGTAAAAGGATGCTTTATGCTCGAAACGATAGCCCACGTCACACGACCATGATAGGCTAGGATAGTCAAGTAGATAGCAATTAGCTCTGCAAAAACGTTTCATGGAGCAATTCATCCCTAAAGACATGATCAATTTCCCACCATGCTCTCAAACAATGCATCTCTTCTTCTCCTCAGTCCGTCAAGCTCGACCTCCAGTCTGCCCAGTTCTCGCCTCGCAGCCTCCTTATCGGCTGGGAGCTCTGCAAACACAGCTAATCTGGCCTCTAGGTCTTCGACTACCGTCCTCAGCTCCCGAAGAGCCTTCTGTTGCTCCAGCGTGTCCGCCATTGCTTCAGCAGAACTAGCATCCCCTATCCTCTTCAAACTCCGATTTTGCAATGACTGCAATGAAGAGAATCTGTCTTCGTATTCCCGTATCTTCGCCTTTACATGTTTCATTTGTCGAACTTGTTCGGTTGTTTGTCGGTGCAACGTGGGCGGTGCGCCGAACGCGGGATCGGTCTGAAGTAAGGCGAGTTGATCGCGGAGGAGGGAGTGCTGTTTTTGAAGATATCCCTGGAGAGTCTGGATGTGTGCGAGATTGTTCGATATCTGTTGTGCGCTGGATGTAAGGTGTATAATCGAATGAGCCATGCTAAGAGTATCCAGTCCAGTGGCATCAAGTGTTGTAGCTGTAGAGGTCAAGGCTGTCAAAGCGTCGGCACCGGCGGGAGTAAGATTGTCGATTAAAGCTTTCTTCATGGGGTTCTCGTCCTCGTTTGTGCTCGACTAGTTGGAAATAGTGTCAGTAGATGAGCAGGCAGTGGGTGGTAATGTAAAATCCCCAAGATGGGGAGGGTGCCAGCGGACCTTTCATACCTCATCCAACACCTTTAATGCCTCTCTCTCCAGTCTCTCAATCATGGTTCTATCTTCATCTGCACGTTCATTCGCAGTAGACAGCTCCCGTAGAACTTTCAAGGTCTCCTCGTTGCGTTCGAAGGTAGGGATCGCTCGGCCTGCGTATTTGTAGGACAGCCAGGACTCAATCTGGGCCCAGTCTTGAGTAAGAGCCCGCTGGGCACGAGCCTTGCTCGGTGAGAAGAGGTCCGAAGGGGTGAGGTCGTCCATTGCTCTGTGTATGAAGGTTGAATATGGTGTGGACGGTAGTGTAGGATAAAGTTGAAGCGGAAAGGCACAAAGGGTCCACACATAAAGTGCAGGCTGGTTAGCGCATGGTCTGTGCGAGCTACCCCGGATTCAGCCCTATCGAATGTTCGTTACATAAAGAGCTTCCCATGACGTTTGCTCAATGTATTTCCCCCTCATGAATGGCGATCCACCCTTAGAGAACATTACGAGTGCAAAGACTTTCTGCACCATACCTCTTCATCGTCCTAAGTAAGGCTTAGGCAGATATCCATAATTCTTGCCTACAACGGAAGGGAACCCTACCCCACCTTAACCAAGTTCCTCATAGCTGCTCTACTACAATCGCCGTGTTGCCTTTCGCGAGCACTATCCTCCACCCCATTCGCGGCTGGCTAAGTTCTCCCGTGGGAACGAGGGGTTTCAAGATGGCCTGGCGCAGCTCAGGACCCACAAACGAGGCGCTTATCTCAAACCTCAAAAACCATGGCCTCATTGAATCTGATAGAGTGAAGAATGCCATGCTAAAGGTACCATTCATATTTCCAAACTTGTCTAATGAGATGAGTGCTTATAATGACCCCGTGAACAGGTTGATCGTGCTCATTATGCTCCATCGTCACCCTACGAGGACTCTCCTCAACCTATCGGTCATCGGGCGACTATCTCTGCCCCGCACATGCATGCTTCAGCATGTGAGTCCCTTCTTCCTTACCTTCACCCCGGGGCGAAGGTGTTAGACATTGGGTCCGGTAGTGGGTATCTCACGGCTGTTCTCGCTGAGCTTGTGTCACCAAATGGAACGACCATTGGGGTAGATCATATTCAACCTCTAGTGGATCTTGCATCTTCCAACATGCGAAAGTCGGATCACGGCAAGTCTCTCCTTGAATCGGGGCGAGTGAAGTTTGTCAAGGCGGATGGTCGGAAGGGGTGGAACGAAGGTGCTCCATACGATGCCATACATGTCGGTGCAGCAGCCGCAGAGCATCACCAAGAGTTGACAGACCAATTGAAGGCCCCGGGCCGGCTCTTTGTACCAGTGGAGGAGGAATGGTCGCAACACATCTACGTTATTGATAAGAAAGAGGATGGAACTGTGGAAAGGAAGAAACTCTTCGGCGTGCAGTATGTGCCATTGACGGATGCCCCACCAGAACAGTGATGGCAAGGCCGTGTAACGAATCGAAGCTTTTCCAAGAGAGTAACACAGCCCATGAATGCTCCACTGAGACACCCAGTTGTGGCCAAATGATAATTTGAACTATACAAACAATCGAAAAGTTGGGTTAGGACTCTGTTCGGACATCTTTTGCTTGGTTAGGCAAGTAGGAGTGATTATCAAAGAATGGATTCTATATACATCAAACACATGGCCGATTTGTAGCACGAATACCTTGATTACATACTACCATGAATAAAGCTACTCTCATCCAAAGGGTACAGTATAGACTCTAGCAGCCGTATGAAATTACCCTTAGTGCATGCGATAGATTCATTGTGCCTGCAAAAGCTCAATTCCCAACAATCCAGCTGAGCAGTGCTTTCAACAATTACTACCGAGCAATACTTTATACCCATATTCAAGGCATATATGAATGAGTATCTGACCTCACCGTCTCCACGGTACCTTTCACTCAATTTGGCCACTATGCAAATGATGGAATAAAAAATAGCACGACAAGTTCATAGCACATAGCTGGGTTCACGTTTTGAGCATGCTTTTCTCATTATGTGTAATCCTGAGCAATATGTACGACAAAACCTCTAGTTCTGATCTATTTCTGTATTATATGCCATGCACTTTGTCAACCTACTCGACTATATTCAATCATAGTACGACAAGAAAGTGTGTCGTGTACACCCAATGTGAAACGGGTGCAATGTACTGAAATATCTAATACATTTCAATGACGCGGCCCACGAATCCTTCCAGGGCGGCGATACCCTTCTCTCCTCGTTCTGTGCTTCCGAACAATCCAGGACCACCACCAGGTAGAACTAGGACCTTCGCTTCATCTTCGACAAACTCCTTTGAAGCGATGAATTGGAACGTGACCGTAGCGGCCGCTGATGCGGGTTTCCTTTCAGACTTTCCATCATTGTCCTCGTCTTCACCGCCGAAACCAAAACCAAAAGCGTCGATTTCATCATCTTCTAGCTCGGTCACGGACGTACTCATGTTATATCTCGTGTCAGCCGCAACAGATATAACTTTTGCAGATGCCCTCACACTAGCCACGTAAATTACCACAGCAGAGCCCACGCTCAGTGTTCCGACTGCTCTTGCATCATCCCCTGAAAAAATTACCTCGATCACTTTGGAGCCTTTTGGCTCGCCCTTTGATAGTACCATGCCTTTTCGGATCCTCACAATTGCCGGGCTTACAATAGCCATATCGATGGGTGCTATTCCTATGGTCCCGACCTGACCTGCTTGCAAACTCTGTACGGGCAATCGCAGGTTTCGCAAGGAGGTGACACGTACGCGCCGCCACTCTGAGCGTCGATCATTATGATATGAACCAGAGCGTAATGCCCCTCTATTGAGTGCCCCTGGAAAGGAACGGGATGTTGGGATAGGAGAGACCTTATTAGAGCGTGTAGGAGGAGTGGTCCCTCGAGCGCTTCCACCATCACTATCGTCGGGGCTTGAATCGAATGGGTAAGGGCCAAGGAGGAGCTCATCATCAATCCTCAGTGTGCCGTGACGGAGGTGTCCACCTATTATAACGGATTGTTCTGAAGACGCAGACGTACTCGAAGCATGCCTAGAGTTTGCGAGCTGATTACCATAGACGTCTTCGATGTGGAAAAGCGTGTCTGTCACACCAGGGCGGTTCCCGAGATCGTCAGGCAACGGGAGATCTCGTAGAAAGGCATGTAGTGTATTGATACCTGTGCCGTTCACAGAGCTCGTCAGCAGAATAGGGACTATTCCAACGGGTGCCAACTTCAGCTGGTTAGCAAGCTCGCTGACTTCCTGGAAATCGCTCGCGGTGATGGTATTTAGATCTCTTCCCGAGGATATGGTAGAAGGTTTGCGAATGATACAAGGCGTTCTTCCAGCAGCCTTGATGGCTGATAGTGCCTTGGATAACATTTGCTTAAGCCCGCCCTTGGTGGCAAGATCGTATTTTGTGATGAGTAGAACCAAAGGCAGTTGTAAATTCAGGCAGAGTTGTAAGTGAGTATGCGAAAGATCCACATCCCCTGTCGCTGTACTAGGTGAATCTTGAGAAAGAGGTGGCGTACCAACTCTTCCTATGGAGTCTTCTGGATTGTCTGCAGGGATGCATACTAACGTCCAATGCGGATCCCAGCCAACGACACCACGGACAGTAGTCCGATGAAAGCGCGGATGCCCGGCAGAATCAGAAAGGAAGACCAGTCGCCCACCATTAGCCTTTGCGTGAATTTCGACCCATGAAGAAACATCCCCTGAGCCGTAGTTGACAATATGGGAACCTGCACTTGTTCCATCTGGTTCAAACGCATCGTAGTAACCTACCAGTTCTTGAGTGATGGAACTCGTCATCCCAGATGCAATCTCATGTCTATGTCGCAAAAGGCTTAGCCGGCTGCTTCCTCGGCCATTGTCTAATGTGCCTGTGGTTAAACTACCCAGCAAACTGGATTTACCAGAGCCCGTGGAACCTGTGAGTGATACACGTAATTGTTCAGTAGGGCGGTTCGGTGGAGCATGTTCTGTTCCATTGGACGGTTGACCCGGGCGAACGAGCGCTTCGGCCACCCATAACTTTCCACGCTTGACTTGCATTGGCACGGAGTCTTGAGGATAGGCATCTTCCACCCATTCGCAATCGCCTACCTCAACCATCCTCTGCACAGTCACATTGCACCCAAGACTAGACGCCATTGCGCGGAGAGTGTTAAGACTCTCCGCCATCTCGTCTTCGGCCAAGCCTACAAATGTACCATCGTCGGCTACACCTATTTCATACAGAGCACCTTTAGTATCTTCAAGATCAGGCGGGAGCCGCTGAAGAAGGGTCTGTGAGTTTGGGTTTGCTGCATCGAAGAAATGAGGTAGTACATGGTTGGTATTCGAGGGAATATGAACCGAGCATGACTGCTTCAATCTCCACCGGAGCTGAGTAGTCAATTGTTCAAGACGGTGCTGTCGTGATTCAGAAGTGGAGGCCTGAGGCATGGGTCCTATGTTTTCAATGTTGGAACGGCTGGAAGAAGAGGCACCAGTAATATCTGTACGTCGGAGGGAACCGGAGACCTGTCGACCTGTCGATGTACGTATGAAAGATCTCCTCTTTCTTAGGAGTAGATGTAATTTATACTCTGTCGGGCCTTCTTGGGGCTCTGGCTCCAATCTGTCAATGCCCACTACATCCAAAGCACCGGACACTGGTGTACTTCTTTGCGGTGTTCCGGTAGATATTGTAGGATCGTGGATGACTGGAAGGTGGGACCGTACGCCTGGAGGAGGCGTCGCCCATGGAGACGAGACCCGTGGCGGGTCGGGATCAAATGTGAAAATGGAGGCCATCTGTGCTATGTTACAAATGTCTTTCAGGATTCGCGATTCGTTCGAAGAAATGTCGATAGGATTAAGGATATGGATCGGCGGGATTCGTAGATGTTCGTTCGATAAATGACCGAATTTCAGTAAACGGTTCGTAAGCCTGGAGCATACAAGACTTTATGGGCGGCATTTTGGCGAGAGTGGTTGTAGATACTGGGAGATGGTTCGCCCTGACGTGCGAAGGTATATGCCTCCGCGTCTTAATGACCGATGATACCCATGGTGAGAGGAATCGATATGATGGTCTTGATGTTCGAATAGAAGAAGTAATGTGGAATGAGGATCAGGCGTAGTCAGCGGTAGACAGTAAAAAGTGAAATGGTGGTGGAGGTGATGGGCAGTTCGATGTTATGAGGTATCTCAGGCTCATAGGTTGGAGTCAGACACGATGGGTTGGTCCGAGCTCCCCCATTCAAAGAAAGGGAATGGAGTCACAGGTAGGTATGCCATCTGAGCAACAGCAGAACAATGATTCACATACGTTCCGTGACGAGACCTAGCTAGGCCTTTCCTTCCAATGATTACTCTTTTGGAGTATTTTGACCCAGATTGCATGGTTGCGTTTGGATTGCTGCTGTGCCCACCAGTGCTAAGTGCACTGGCAGCTTCTGAGCATCTAGGTACCTACCTGAAGTATGTAAAACCAAAAGCTCGCGCACCCAAACACCAAACATCCTGCATTTCACTGGCCAACTATTTGCGACATGTACATAATCAATTCGTCAGAACTACCATAATCACCAGAGGAATGAAAGAAATCCCTAGCCCCGAGTTTGTAGGATCATGAAGCTCGGAAGGATCCAATCCTCCCGCAGAAACCTCGACGCAGACCTATCTTTCTTTCTACCATACCTCTACCACGGAGTATAAAACTATGTTCACTGGCACGTTTTCTTTGACTCATACCGTCAACAATCGCGTGAGTCGTACTGCCTAATGTTCTCAAAATGCTAACAGTCACCTTGCTGTTAGCCAAGCATGGAAAATGCTCAATCTTGTCCCAGATCCATTCGAGCTATTTGCAACTGTTCAAAGACAGTATGGGACTGTCTCGGTGCAGCATTGGGAACACATATCAGTCCTCATGTTAGATCGATTGTTATGGATACGTCTACGTGCCATCATCATACAAGCAAAGGCAATGCGTCCTCTATGGACTGCGTCTTAGAGTAAGTTCATGATCACGTTTTGAACACGCTATGCTCAGCTTTAGGAATCTCAGCTGGGGTTCTCATCTTCGACCCAATGACTGTACTGGCCGACCCATGAACGGCAGATGGGTTTCATACATGCAGTGTCACTTCGGTCTCCCCGAAACCTGCTGCACGATGGTTGCCACGGCGGCTCAGAACACTACTGGTCTCTTTCCTTTTCATCTAGGTAGGCACTAACGAGGCGCGTAGCAAAGCCAGAAGCGTCGCTGACAGCTCCTGGGGTAACTGCATCTCATCATGAATCATTCACGGCAGATGACATATGACTCCAATAGTGAGCAACAAGACCACAAGGTAACTAGGCGAGGTCGTGAATGTGCTAAATCTGGATTTGATGTTGAAATGAGAAAATTGCGATGAACAGTCGTGGCTTGAAACGTTGCTGACCCTTGCAATAGAATGTGAGATTCCGCCTTGCAATAATCGTTGGGCAAACGTACTCGACCATCTGATTCAGGCTGCACATTACATAGTAAGTGCTTTACTCTGGATGACCGCAAGGCGAGACACAAATTAATCGAAACCGATGACTAATAAATGCGTATGTATTATACGATATACCTCCGAAAGGGCTGTAGCGATGGAAGAGGGGGACGAGGCTCAGAGATCCGACTCCGACGGTGTCGGTTTACTGCTTGCAGGTAATCACCCGACGAAGGCTGAGCACACTGCCAATGCGTCCAGAACCCCGGACACGGTGCATGTCCGATTCTTCTTTGCGATGACCATTGGGCAAGTAGCTTGCTAATCCCCACCATCATGGGGGAAAAGAGTCAGTCCAATGCGTCTGATGCAAAAGTATCAACAAGGAAAGGATGCACCTCGACCGACTTCCCAGAGCGTCCACAGAGCTGGTTGTACCGTTGCCCTAATCACCACCTCGCCTGAGAAGCGAGTGTCTCACTACCTACAAGTGCAGGTATGTATGTACACAGTACTTGTATGGAGTAGTACTTGCAGATATGCAGCAGCTGCAGAGAGAAGGGAGGTCATCGGTCGGCCCACGTTTTCCTTGGAAGCCACTTGCATGGCAGTCGAACAACAGCAATGCTTGAGAGCAAGTGCCACAGTGTTGGGTTTTCGAACCACGAGGCTGTCTTACCGAATGTCGACAACCTAGTACCGTAGGACCAGCGGTCCTGCTTGGGACATGTAATCCCCAGGATTGTGTGTGCGTTAATGCGTGAAGCAAGATGCAATCCACGGAGGCTTTGGTGGAGGATCCGCAAGCGCAATAGTCTGTCAATCCTCCCGCCTTCGAAGAACATGCCAATGCCTTCCTTCCGCGCTGTCACCCTTCTTTGGATTTGGCGTGTTGTGGCAAGTTCCTCTAGCCTAAGTGTCGGTGACAACCAACAAGATTAGGACCGTTCACGATTGTTGATCTGACAAGGGGGCGGGGAGCGAGGCCAGGCGTGGCGCCGCTGACGCGAATAGGCTGCTAAACTACCGTGATGTTTGATTGCGTGCGTCCCCGGCGTCCACAGGGCTGGATAATGGTATTCTGGCAGACGGCGTTGGTGTCACTGCAGGTTATAGCGTCCCACGAAAGTAATTAAGGTTAAAACGTTCTTTGGCACCCCCGTAGGCCACACTCGAATCACCTGTCCTGCCCTTTTTTTCTCTGGGTACGAGTAGGATTACAAGCTTCTTGCATACCAACCTGTCTATTCAGAGCATGTGCGATTAGATTATCATACATACGCATAATAATGTCTTAGGATGCAGTAACTCGTTCATCTACGCACATATTCTCTAAGGCAGTCCCTCGCACAATGCTCACCGCCCGGCATCTTTCAATAGAAAGGTAAAAGACATTGAGTATTTTCACATCACAAGACGGCTACAAACAGTTCAGCTTACAATACGTGACTACGGATAGCTGTACATCGTATCTATGCAAGTAGTTGCGTACTTATCACGCTGGCGTTTGTAGACTGAGTGGTGGCATAGTATCTTGGCACGATTGGACAGTGCTTCAACTATCAAGATTCTCCATGCTTGCATTTGACTCGTCGATAGTGTTGATCCCGCTATAGTCTCACGCATCGAATGATGGGTCGTTCTTGGCTGCTGCAGCTGCAGGGGACGGTTACGCAGACGGGGGGTATCCTACATACCATTCCACCGTACCGGCGTTCAATATTTGGAGGGCAGCGTGCACTGCCAGTGTGCCGGTTGATTGCGATACCCAAACCGAACCCTCTCTGCGCCGGTCGACATGGGTGAAATCCAAACTTGACTTTGAATGCTGTCCAAGAGAAGACAAAGTTGACGAGAGCTTTTGCGAGGCCATCATCTATGGCCCATGGAGGACACCAGAGAAAGCCTTTTGTGACACGAGACGCAGCCCTATGCATCTCTGCGTGTCCGTCCCTTTCCGCGAACACAGACACACAGACGCAGTAGTTGATGGAAAACGGGACGGTGCACCATCATCGAATTATCATTTTACGCACAGCAGACTTACACCACTTACTGCACTAGCGGGGAGGTGATTGCGACCTTGGAATACCTTTCGTACGTATGAACAGACGAATAGGATAATAGCCGACTGCGCGCCTACCTACTTGTACAGGCTACAGATCACAGGTCTACTCTGTACGATTCGCCCGAAGAGGCGTCCAGAGTCCAGACGTCCGCGCATCGAACATGCGGTAGATGCAGGAGATTGTTGGGTTGGATCGCCTACTGAAGCCTGCGTCCAACCTCCACCCGTTGCAAGTATTGTGCACGGTAGGTGCATGTACAGCAGGTGTACCGTGTATGCCTCAACATCCTTCCCGCCAGCCGATTTCCCCGCCGCCCGTCTCGAATTCGTTTGCTGTATCCCTGCAAATATCGGGTGGTAAGCCAGTTGAACCAGTACATGGTAAGCACTCTCTTTCGACTGCGGCGCAGCATCTAATCCAACCACCCAGGAGGACCCAGGAGGGACCCAGGAGCGGTTGGCATGACCGGCTTATACACCGACGTTCCGTTGGCTGCGGCCCGCTGCAGCTTGGGGCAAAAAGGGCGGTCTAGTACAGACAATCTCGTACGTTATGCGGTGGTAATTACGTGCCAAGTAGGCGTATTGGTAGGTAGTGCAATTGTCCAATTGCTGACGCTACCTGAGTTGCTCGTGCTAGACAATGTCAGTACACGGTCCAGCACATACTACCTACTGTGTACAAGTGCGTGCATAGTCAGAATATAATTTACATAGCCACCTGGTCCCTACACAGTAGGTAAGGTCTCCAAAGGTTGCAGAGGCAAGCATCGCTAGTCTGGGTGCGCTCTACTTACAAGTTACAACAAGTACTTAGCGTAGCATTCGCTAGACAAGGCCAGGCCAGGCCGTCTGCCAGCAACCAGTAGCCATATCATGCTATCATGCCATGCCAGCATCAACATCACATCTACTGTAGCTACGTACCTACGTAGATGTTTGTGCACTATACGGAGCACTCCATACAAAACTATCACTACGCACGCAGCACGCTGAGGCCTCTAGGTGGATGTAGTCATACATTGTCGACCATGGCATATGGACGGCTGTCTTTCAACAAGAGCCGCGCCACTCATTGTATCGCCATCCACTGTTGGTGTCTGAGATTTATATGGTCTACCTGATGATCTCCCAGGGTCATACTGTCACAGGTATCTCAGAGTCACGCCCCCAGGGCCCGCGATCGGTGCTATGGCCACGCATTGCAATGCTGTGTTGTGCCCGGAACTACTCCATACAGCTTGTGGACAGGCGGACCATGCAGTCCAGCAGACATGACGATGGGTAGAACTGAGGAGAGACAACGTGAGCCAATAACGTACGGTCGTAAGCTCAAGCTTTGGTCCTTTCTTCACATACGAAGCTTGCAGACAAACGAGAACTGTGTGCGCTACACGACACGAGCCGCCAGCGAAATGAGCATCTTTCAGCACCAATGCACTAAAACGGCGCAAGCCTATCATCACATCTCAAGTTCTTGCGCATTCGTTCCCCTGCCAGTCATCACATGGACAGTGATGATGTGTGAAACCAATAATGTATAGTGTGGAGAGATGATTGTGAGAAATAAAAAATTGACACTGTAAATGCTTTCTTTTCGTGCAGTATCCAACCAAGGCAAGGCACGACATGAGACAAGAGGCCACCATGAAGTATGAACTGGGCGTTGGCGCACCCGCCCAACTCGCCCCCATCTCATTTACACGGGTTACACCAATCTTTGCTTGGGAAGAATTTACCGCGCCTGCCCGATGGAGTAAGCAACTCGCATGGAGTCGACTGCAGTAGTTAGTTGGCACGGTTGGGCAGGTTGGCGACGCGCGCTATGAAGATGTCAACGGGGGGACACAGACACACACACACACACACACACAACAGACTACCTACCTACAGCCTACAGCCTACAGCCTACAGCCGACTATCTATATGCGACTACTGCGCCCAGTCCACTACTTCAATGGGTTTAGAGGCCCGATTCCATCTCCATATCATCAAATGTATTATGGACAACAACAACAACAATACAATAATAATACTCATCATCATACTCCGTGCTAATGACAATACTAATAATGACAATAATATAGTACCTGTCGTGGAAAGATGATCATTGGCCCCACATGGTCAAGTTTGCCTGGCCTGGCCTGGCCTTGTGGTTGTGGGCGAGCCAGTGGTCCACCCTCATTGAGAGTAAATATAGTTCAATCGTTGTTAGTGGGAACCTGATCTTGGTTGAGACTTTGAGAGGTGAGAGATTTCGTTTCCACGCTGTCCAGGCAGATTACTACCTCAATTAGTGCACATGGAACGTTTTTAGTATCTACGCAGTAGGCAGTAGGTATGCCCATTATCCACTACACACGTCCCTTGGTCCCTCGACTATGTACCGAGTACATTATACTAACTACCTAGGTACCTAGGTACCTATCCATTGTCATTACTCCAGTGACGAGTCTAGCACGCTTGGACAGGCTGCAGGCATCTACAAGTATCTTAGGCTGGTCCGGCAATGCGTAACCGAACACAGACGTTTCCGTCAATCAGTGCCCGTTTCTCTCCATCTTCCCCCTTCTCCTCTTGAATAGCATAGCCACGAGGCAGCTCGCATTTGGAAACCCATCGTCATATGTGAACCAACATGAGCATTGTGTGCAATCAATTGCAAGATGGCTTCCCAATGCAATTTTTCCATACATTGACAGAAATGCTTCTTTATTGGGAGAGCACCAATGCACGGAGTAGATCATGGATAAAACCATGGAAATACCGCCAACTCCTACTTTGCCATGTTGCTTCGTGCTCGGAGATCCCAAGATGACCCACGGAAAGGACTTCTTTCATCACAAATAGCATGTCATGTCCCCTCATTCCTAAACAGGATGAGGACCCTATACTCAGTAATAATAGTCGGTATACACAATAGAAGTAATTAGTACGAATCGCAATCCAAGAACCCGTAATGCTGTAGCGCCATTTAGCGTCCATGTCATACGATCCCATAAAAAGGAATTACGCGATGGAGATGCGCATCTCTTCCAACAGCAGATCGTAGGTACAGATACACACTGTGTGGATGGGTTTGAATCAAACCCATGGCTCTAAAGGAAGTGATAGACTCTCTGCTTGTGGCAATGACAACATCGGGTCGCACAACGTACTGTGTAAAATCAAAGACGGAGCAAGGCACTCCACATTAATCTCGGTTTCTCAGCGATCTTGTCGATTGTCAGGCCATTCGTTCATCGCGTCCTGAAAGCCTAGCGTTACCTAGCAACCCGCAGGGTAAGCAGCCTAGCAGGTCGTGGTCGTCCAAACCCGTCCTAACTTCCACAGTTCCACTATTCCTAGTGGTTGTACTGTGTAACTTGTAGATTGTAGTAGTGCACCAGGAAAGTTGCCTTTCAGTCTAGATCTATTCACCCTGCGCTCTCGCCTTCCCTTCCCTTCCCTGGCCCCCTGGACCCTCCGCGGGCTTATTCCCCAAACCCGTATCGTTCAGTCCCTCAAAGAACATTCTCTCATTCGTCCCGTCGGCACCCTTGCGGGTGATCAGAGCTAGATAATCCATCGCCGCCGATAGAAGAATAGGAAGACGAACGAAATGGGTACCTACAACAACAGATAGTGGGTATTCCGAGTGGCGCTGGGCCGCAAGCCGGTGGGTGATGGTTTCTATCACTTGAGCCCGCACCTTGTCAGATCTCAAGATCACCTCAGGATTACACGATCAAAGCCACTCAGAAGACAGACGAGCGGTATACAGGAAATCAAGCACAGTAGGAGAGGAACATAAGAATAGTAAGAATAAAATTGGGTATGCAAAACGCTGCAATAATGGAAACGCCGGGCCTCATGCATGGTCCTAAGTCTTGTATGGCTGACGTAGCAACATAAAGTGAAAACAAGTTTCCTCCTCCTCTTCCTCCTCGTACCATGGCGTCTTGCTGCGCATCATCGTTGGAACAAAACCATTATTGTCCGGGGGTGGTTGACCTGCACCCTCTCTTTCTGAACGCCTTTTTAGAGATACGTAAATGCCCATGTGCCCAGATCGTGACTGCGTGAGCCTGCTAGCGGGCCCGAGCCATGTATGCTCCGGTCCGCAGCTTACTTGTTGGAGCTCGAATCTGAAGTCCGTCGTGGTTTGCACTTTTCATGGGCCATATGGCCGTTCCTGGCAGTCGTCCGCGTGAATTCCGCCCCGCATCGTGGACAATAAGCCTTGGCAGCCGTGCCAGATTTCTCTCGCTGGTGCCGTAGCAGGTTACTGAAGGTCGAAAATGCACGTCCGTTGCACCCGTGGTCCCAGCACTGGGGCTTTTGCCGTTGCGGACTCAGAACACGCACAGCATTGCCAGTACCCTGGGCAGAAGGGGAAGCCGGTAGCGTTGATCCAGCAACTGGAGGAGCGAGCGACGAATTGTAGGGTGGCGAGGACGAGTACCCAGGATGAACGTGGTAGGCCGGGGGGTAGATGGAAGTCCTAATACATCAGTCAGCGACGAGTCCAAAACCTTACACTGCTAAGTGCAGCTCGATTCTTCACTTACGTCGAGTAGTGTGTCGCGTTCACGTTCGATGTTGGTATTGCGTTCATGGGAGGATAAGTGTAACTATGTGAGACTGAAACAGGATGGAGAGGCGACAGCTGATTGGGAATTGCGCTGACACGAATCGGATCTAAAGACTGTTGGTAAGGGCTGCGGGTATCTGCTGCAGGACGAAAGCTTGGGAGAAGCTCCCCAGATCTCCTTGGGTCATCCTGGACGGCGGGGCCAGAGGCATACGAAGTGACAAAAGCATCCGAGGTCGATGGAACATATGGCTCTGATGTCGGCGGCTGCGATGTACGTGACTCGGCGTACGAGTCCTGTGCCAGTTGGTCGTCATGGACAGTTGAGTTAGTCGAGTACGAAGGAACGTAAGGATCAGGCGCCGAGGTGGGAGGCTCTGAGGTTCGAGACTGCTGGTAAGGTGGTGTGTTCATATCCGGATAGCTGTTTCCATGAAGCGGCGGGAGGGGATAGTGTCCCCCAAAGTGCGAAGGCATCATGAAGTCCAACGTGCTTGTCAGAGTCAGTTACGGTCTTAGAGTCCTGTTGCGGTCCGCTTTACCTCATATCTTGCAATTGAACGGTAGGGTCCTGTGGGTGGAGGGATTGAGGTTGAGGTTGAGATGACAGACTGAAGTCGAATTCCTCAACTTGATGGCTACCAGTAGTAGAGTCTATTGACGAGGGCAGTGCGTTCAGGGAAGCTGTCGGTGAAAGTCCGTAACTGGTAGGTTTCACCAAGGACGAATCGGGCAGTGGCTCGGAAGACGAATGTTGAGGCGAATGGAGTGTGGAGAGGTCTAAAGATTGCGAGATGAGGAGGTTGGAAGGCTGGTTATGTTCTGATCCGGAGTGGAGCGGAGTGTTGCTACGTGGAATAGAATGGATGTCCTCCGCTACATGCCAGACTGGTGATTGAGGTTCTTGGGTAGGGTAATTGCCAGATATGTGGCGGGTTGATGACAGAGTTGCGGCACGGCGCGATCGATGATTCCTTAAGTGAGCTGGCTCTGAAGGCTGAACGGACAGATTCTGATCTTGACGATTCCTAAGTCTTCGTGAGATGGTTGTCGTCTTCGATTGTTTTTGTTTTGGAGACCCCAAGGTCATGATCAACGAATCGATGGTGACATGCGTCGAGAGACCGGAGCGCTAGTGGGGGTAAACATACAGCTATTGATTGTATTCCCAGATTGGCACAATCTTGAAGTGTTTATAGCAGCCTTACAGTTGAGGAGCAAGAACGCTCGCAAGGCAGACTTTTGACATTGATCTTGCTTTGAGAGGTGGCCCTGCGCCATGTCCGGGGTGGTGCTGTCGAGGGGTATATAGTGGTATAGAGAATCTGAGCGCGCCAGTAATAACTTACCGACCGGTAGCTACAGGCGTGAAGGGTTTCCAACAGCAATTTTCCGGGACTACGGCTGGTGACTGGTCGGTGCCTTGAAGGATTGAGACCCTGCAAACTTGTGCGGGCCAAGCTACCGACCGTTTAGTACAGGACAAGGACGTGCATGCAACGTACAGGACGTGCACACGCGAGAGCTGGCTAGCCTTGGGGTCAAGACTCGAGCAAAGGGACTGGGGTTCCAGGAAAGAAGATGTGGGTGAGCGCCGTGAGCATACCTAGCCTCTGCGTAGGTAGGGATCGTAGGATAGGTACGGGGTACTGTGAACCGTGTACTGTATACCTAGGTAATCAGGTACACAGTCGGTACGACTCATGAGTACAATACACCGTACAGTCTGTCACCTAGGTCTGTACCCATGCGTACCACGCTTCCTGATGCATACATAATACATGTATCATGAGAAAGGCAAGGTGGTGTTGTTGATGACGATGTCAAGATGGAAAATAGACGGTTTCAGGCCACAGTTGCTCCACGCAATAATGGATCTGACTCCTCCTTCCCGGCAGGGCAAGTAACCGTCTTTGATAGACATACCACGTTAGAAGAAGTCTCTCGACAATACACACGAATGCACATGATACCTCGATGCTGAAATCAGGCCTTAGTAGTGAAGTAGCATCATTGAACCAAGACGACTTGGAAGGTATGTGTGTACATGCATCCATTGCATGTAATGTGCATACGTTGGTTTCGACACATTTGGTGCATGTGTGTCCTGTTCTGTCTTGTCCTGTTCTGCCCGGACCGGATAGTCCCCTTGTATTGAGTTTGAGTATAACCCAACTGCTGGAGAATATAGACAGGCTTCATACCAGTCTGTTGATCTTGATCTTGCTGCATGCGCGCATGGCGCTGGCTCACTGAAGAAGCAATAGAAGGGCAGTTTCTCGCCGTCCAGAACTGTTGGTGGCGCACTGGGTCAGCAGAGCCCTACTACGCGCGTAGTATGGTGTTTCAAGGGACCCTGCCGGGTATCTAACTGATGGAAGGCCATGGCCAAGATCTGAAGCGAAAATAGCTTACCTTACAAGTACAAGTAATAATAATAAGAATCGGAATAAGACGACGATGTACGGAGTGCTAATACTGTACGAGACGTAGTAGTTGACGGGCGGTTGAAGGCGGGGCTGGGCCGTCAATGGGTTTTGGCTTTTCTTTTGGGGGAGGGGGAGGGGGACGGGGCGTTGAGAGTGTCGTGAACTTGTGAACTCGTGGAACTCGTGGTGGACGGTGGACGATGGACGGTGGCGCGTGCGCGAGAAAGAAAGACGCTGGCTACAGTGGTTAAGTACTTAGATTACAGGTACTTTTTGCTTGTACGGAGTAGATGGTAGGTATTACTTGTTGTATCCGTTTGTACCGTTTGTAGCAATCTTCTGGCGAGGATGAATGGATAATCATCCTGTGTACCTACGGTAGTCAAATGAATGCTGTAGTCAATAATTGCAAACAGTCACTGTATGGTACGCAGTACATACATAGGTAGACATACTCCGTAGAGTAACTTCGCTACTGTATGTACTGTAGTCTGTGTACCCGTGAGATATCGCCCGGTCTAAGAATCCATGCCTTTTTTTGGGGTCATCGCGCGACCCGAGTTCCCCTGGATTTCATACCTGTGCTGTGTAATGTCATGTTTTTTTTTTGGCGATAAATTTCGCCCTCCAGCGTTGCTTACTGTTTCATTACTCACTGTGCCCGATCGCTGCGACAATGGGCCGTGCTAATTCCATCTTCATCTTTGCCTCGTGTTTGCTTGCTTGCCCTGGCAGAATGTATGTACTAAACTCGATCGATGGAACATCAATGTAATTGACAGGTAAGGTGGAGGTGGAGGAACGGTCAGTGCAGGTACTGTGTGCAGTGAATCGACTGTGTCCGCCAACGAAATGTTTTTCGATGCAACAAGTAGTACTCCGTAAAGTATCATGATTGCATGTGATGAATATACCGCCTCTAGTGACTTGTTTTCCTTGTCTCAATCGTATTATTGCCGGATACCGAAACGGCGACGGCGAAGGTTTCTGGAAGCTATCGAAGGGCTTCAACCATGTCCGGTGACCTGCATATCATCCTCGGGGGCCACAGTAAGACGATGATATCTATTCCAACTTTGGAACGTCATCAATTCATCGAGCGAGCAACCAAGCTATGTACGCATTGTTGCCCCAAAGCTATGGGTTAGCTATCGCTCTTGTACCTACCTACCACTTTGAGTGTAGTAGGTGGGCTTGTACAATCATGGAAACTCGCGGGTTTGCTGTTTTGGGCATGTTTTGCGGCTGGTTGGCAGGTAGTTTTGCAAGATTCGATCAAAGCCTGGAGAGCCGAGGGTGAACCAACGTGCGCAGTCACCAGTGATCCCGGTCATGATGCAATGCTCTCTCTGTGGCCCATCTCCAGCGGGGCATTGCTGTGGTTTGACATGTTTCGCAGTGAACGCCGACGTAGAAAACCTTCAAAGGTCTACAGCTGCCCACATGCTCAAGGGAAATTGCATGTCTGACATAAGCCGCTACGTATCAAGTCTGCTATGCTCTATTGTTGGTCTCAATTGGTCGACTTGCGCCATCAGTATGTAATGCACTAAGAGTAGGAGCCTGTCACAGATTTCACAGATTGCTTCGAGAAGCTATCGGACAAGGCTCCCAGACCCCGATCGGAGGGCTGTGTTGGTTACAAACAGTAGGTATCCTACCTGTTGTCAGTGCATTAATTACTAGGGTTGTACTCTTAGAGTTGTAGCCATAGTTATGGCAAGCATGCCCAAAGCTCGAGTCCTACGTGAAGTAAAGAAACCCACAGTATGCATTCCTAAGGGTACGAGTAAGAACAGATCATTCTGGCACTGATAAGACCACATCGTCGGCTATCCTCGTCTTATCACTCAGTCGTCTTCTTCTGTCCCTGCACACTTTCCAAAAACAATTGCTGCAAGGTGGCGTTGCAAGGACTACGCCATCATCATCGCCTAATTGAGGCAGCAGGCGGTGTTCGACCAGATCACTCACAAATGCCAACAATGTCCTAGCAAGTTCCCCGCAACGTTTGAGATCTCACTTTACGAACAACCCGCCGAATCAACGTGGCGTAGCCTGAGTAGATACAAATCAACAGAGTTCTGACCGGGGTGGTAGACAGATGTTGAAACAATGCCATCTTGTTTTGCGTGTCACAGAGCCAGCCAGCCCTCGGCACGCACAGCGAGCCTGCAGAAGCATATCGTGCAACACGCCAAAAGAAGTTGATGCCATAACCCAACGAGTCTCTGCCCACCAGGGAGATGACTGGAGGCCGTCGGAGGCCTGAATATTTGCACATGTACAGGGGCGAGTGTGACTTGGTTTGATTTCACTAGCCAATTAAAGCAAGAATAGACGAAGAAGGGTCCCTCGGACAGACTTCAATCACCTTGAATCTTGATATCTTTGTAATTATGAAGTAGTTAATTACTACTACTGCGGCATCGATGTATCGCACGCCTTGAAAGTTGCAAAGAACTCTAGCTTCCTGGTTACCGACTCTTCTCAAAAGCGTCTATGACATGATTACTCAACTGAATCAGGTATCGCAGTCGATCAGGAAGTCGGTCAGCCATAGCATTCACGAAAGCTTAGGTACTTGACTGGTTAGCAGGTGTTACGGTAGATATTATAAAGACGGTAATTATCTCAAGATTCTACTTGCTTTTGGTGTCACACACACACTGGCGTCGAGACGCTCGCCAATCGATTCTGATTGCCATGGACGTCGATATGAAGCTATATTTCATGCGCATGAATCTTCCGTGTGCGAGCAGACACGGGCATCGTATCTATCTCGCAAATTATGAAAGCCTGATCCGGCTGGTAATTGAAAGGTCCTGGAGTCTGCCTTTCCAGCTCGAAACAGAAAGTTTACTTAGTCATCACAGCGAACGTTCAAGACCTTTAACTTTTTGGGAACTATACCCGACATGATCAATGACAGACTGACGGTACGGTGGTACTAGCTGATATCAGGTGTCTGTGTAACAATGTCTGGAGCTATGGCTATAAGACTTCAATGGTATGAATATGAATTGAGGATTCTGGAGCAGACCATTCATTGCGTTCGTGTATATTTGGTAGTGCTACCCGCAGAAATGCAAATCTAGTCGCGTGTTCTTTGTCGGCATTCTTACATCAAGATGTATCTGCTGCAGGTTCATCACTACGTAACTAGGCCAATCTTTCTATGGCCTCAAGCGCACGACGGAAAGTATCTACCAACTTATTGGTATCTTCCAACCCTACACTGAAGCGTACGAGGTCGGCCTCCACGCCCCACGATGCACACTATTAAACGTTAGGAGGGTAGGCGATACGAGTAGCATAAGAACTTACCCAGTCTAGTTCTCCGTAATGCGCCAATATGACATAGGGCGAACTGTGTTTTTGTTATTAACTGAGTTGACATATCATACTGTAGATGTCGACAAACCTCAATGTAAAATTAGTCCCTAGGCTCGGACCTTTCACCGTGTCAAGATTGTCGAAGAAGGTAATTGCTTCTTCTTTGGAATAAAATGTGGCAGATAAGAGACCTCCGTATCCACCGCGTACGGTGCGACATTTATCGTAATACTGCCGCGTCGGACTGTACTTTGGGTAGTTTGTTTGTTTTACTGGTACTGTTAATCAATGGTCTGCATTGTGGTGTCGTCTGGATCATCTACCTCGTGGATGTGCGCGCAAGACATCGCAAATCGCCTCAGCATTGGCATTGATGCGCTCAATACGTGATACAAAGTCACGACTATTGCGCTCCAGAAAGATACTGTCTTCGGCCCAATGATTGTCCACGTAATCGCTATTCCAGGTTTGCTTGAGTTGCTTATACGATTTGGCGCGAGGGTTCAAGACAAGACTTTGTCACGTTAGTCTCTGGACCTGGATACTCATGAGAGGGCGCTTTCACTCACCTTCCTCCCATAACATTGCTATCTCCGCTGAAAACTTTGGTCAGACTGCTGACCACAATATCCGCATACGGAAGAACATTCACGTTCATAAAGTTTCCAATGGTCTCATCAATAACCACATAGAAGTCATACTTGTCAGCTAAATCACGTATCCGTTCGATGTCTGGAGAGCGCAGTAACGGATTGCTCGGGAATTCAGTGAAAAGGGCCAGGAATCTTTCACCCCCCTCCAGTCTTTTTTCGAGATCGTCCAGTTCCTCGGAGGAGCCAAAGCCATAAAAATGAGAACCTGGGCCGAACTTCTGTACAATCTTCAAGGTATCGATATAAGGGAATCTGTGGCAAATCAATATGTATGACACAATTTGCATAGAGTAGTTGGTCTTTCCTACCCAAATACGATACTCTGGAGAGGCCCTTTCGTGGCCATGAGATTGCGGTGCGCATTGAAAATCGAGCTCATGCCACAGGGGTAGAGATAAACATCATCCTCCGAGAAGCCAGCTACTTGCCGAGTATTTTCCTCGTCTTTGCTTAATGCGAGAGCTTCAGGGAGCTCAACGTCTGCAGTAAGTGAGCCTGCGATACGACGGCGAACGGCAAGTTTCGCATTTGTTGTCAGTGATAAATCGAGATTTCTACCAAATCTTTGCTCCACGAAATCGTTGGGATCTTGAGTGTCGTTGCCATCGTTACGGACATCAATAGGCGTATCGAGATCGATCGAAGTCTGGCGTTGATACCGCCTGGGTCCCTTGCATAGACGTCGCATCCCATCAATAGTGGAAGCGTCCACTAAAGCGCCCTTTTCGAACAGACCATGGCAATGTTCTGCTCGTCGACTGGAAATTCCATCTCCCGAGTGTTGCCAGAACGCTTTGGCGATCTTGAAGCTTACCGCCGGAAATATGAATGCAGAGATCCTGGGAGAGATAATCTCGAGCTCTTCAGAGCGTTCTTTGGCTGCACTGGGGACTAGATCCAGTATTCTAGCCTGCTGACGATCTTCTGGGGGTGCTTGAGTGTTGAAATAATCCAGGCATCTTTGGGCTATCGAATGCGATGGAAACAACATGGCTCGCTCCCCATCGTGTCCATACTTCTCCACTATGGCATTGGCAAGTCGCTCGATTGCCTTATGAATGAAGAACCTTTATAATGTTAGACAGTCCTCTATTCGGTGTGGGAAAGATGTCAACCTTGGATAGCCCGTCTTCATTTTGCTAATGACCCATTCTTCGCCTTCTTCGTAGCCGACATTGGCCCTCCAAGTAGGCAAAGAAACGCTCACGGCCTTGGAAATATCAGTTTGAAACTGGGGAGATGGATCTTTCATTGAATGTCTGACTCACGTGCGCAGTCATCGGGGGTATCGTCTCCCCAACCTCGACATCATTCTCAAAAGTCGCTGGGAAAGTCATGACATCTGTTAAGAAGGAATAGCTTAATTGACATGCACGCTTGAATTTCTGCCCAGCCAAAGTAGAAATCGCGGGGTTGTATGCAAACGACAATTTACGAAGAGAAATAGTCCGGGATATATGATGGCCGATGTTCGGCTTGTAAAACTTAAAAGGTTATCGATAAAAGCATCAGCCACAGGCGCTAAGCCGCGCGCCACACCTTCTGTCCATCATCGAATTTTTTTTTGGTTGCGCAAACACGAAGCAACAAACACCCAACATGGCGTCACCCTCCTCGAAACGAAGAAAACTCCAACACAGCGAGAGCGATGACGCACGAGATCTAGCTGGACTGCCACGTCGCTCCGGAAAAGGTGTCCCCACGCGCAAGGATAATGGGGAACTTTGCGACATGAGAGACGGCGATCTCTCAGTCGATGAGGACGTCTCTAGCGAAGCGGGCTCGTCAAAAGCTGAAGAAGAGATGACCGATTCAGAAAAGGCTGCGCCTGGAAGCAACACCTCTTTCGCGAACAACGTAGAACAGAAGAAACAGCCTGTCAAGCGGCCAGCGACCGAATCTGCTGAAAGCGTGTACACCGCAGAGGTGTACAGATCGAACATGTTTAAGCTTCAAGTCGATGAGCTTCTGGACCAAATTCGACCCAATTATGGGAAAAAGGAAGTCGAATCAGCAATGCGCGCGCTTAAGGAACACATTGAGCAAATACCATCTCGTCCACCTTTGCCGGTAATGTACTTCGCTAGGTTGGTTTACTTCGCACGATAGCTAACCTATCCCAGTTTTATGAAGCTCAGAAAGCTCTGAAGGGTGAGGGTATCACCGTACCCTTCCCCCAACCTCTTCCACCCGCGGACGTAAAATACAAACTCCAATACGACCGGCCCGCAAATATCAACGCTACTGGCAGTTATCCCCTCAAAATAGCTATTCGAACAGATGACTGCGCTGTCATTGACATGGTTGTCACGATGCCACGGACAATATTCCAAGACAAGGATTATCTGAACCATCGATATTTCTACAAACGCGCGTTCTACTTGGCTTGCGTGGCAGCTGGATTACGGTCATCGGCACGAAATAAGTACAAGCTCTCCTTTGACTTGATGCATGGCAATCAATTGCAGCCTGTGCTTCTTGTCAAACCTAGCGGCGACGGCAGTTCCGCAGACTTCACGAAGTCTAAGTGCTGGATCCGCATAATATTAGCTCTCCCTGAAAATGCGTTCCCGCAGACTCGCCTTCTGCCAACATCAAGTTGTATTCGTTTACATCCACATAGCGACAGCTCAGAGGACAACGATCGGCTAACATCTTCTCCTGCCACGCCATTCTACAATGCAACAATTCAAGCCGATGCATCAGTAACGCAGTATCTTAAACTACTCCATGTCACGACCGCAAAGGTTGAAACCTTCAGGGACGCTTGCATGCTTGGACGCGTCTGGCTGAAGCAACGTGGGTTCGGGAGTCAACTTTTCAGAGGAGGTTTTGGCAACTTTGAATGGAGTATCATTGTTGCTCTCCTCCTTCAACCAACTTCCGGTACAGGAGCTTTCCGTTTGTCTTCCGGCTACAGCAGTTATCAGTTGTTCAAGGCGACCCTACAGTTTATTGCTAGACACAACCTGACCAAAACCCCATTCCTGCTCTCATCGAACAACGTCTCAAACCCAAAGGGAGATTCCACGCCGCTTCTCTTCGATGGCTCTCGGAATCTGAACATACTGTACAAGATGACGAAATGGGCCTATTATCAATTGCAACATGAAGCAAAGACTACAGTTGACATGCTCTCCGACCCAATCGCCGATCACTTCGAATCAACTTTTATCACGAAGACGAACATACTGGAATATCGCTTCGACGCTTTTATCGAAATCCCACTATATGCTATCGCGCCCGATACAGACAACAATGAACAACATGCGGCTTTAATCGACGGCTGTTCAAAAGTCTATGATTTACTCCAGCGTGCGCTCACTGATCGAGTATCTCTCATTTCATTCTCCATTCCCACCACAAGTGACTGGAGTGTGAAGGCAACAAGACCTTCTCTCGACAAGGAAAGGAATGTTTTAGTCTCCCTTGCTATCGATCCGAGCAACGCCTATCGATCAGTTGACCACGGGCCACCAGCCGAGGACAAAAAGGCAGCTGCGTCATTCCGTCAATTCTGGGGGGAGAAGGCTGAACTAAGGCGTTTCAAGGACGGCAGCATTCTTGAAAGCGTAGTATGGCCGGTGTCGAACAACTCCTCCATACTAGAACAAATCATTCGCCATGTACTCGACAGACATTTGAACCCCCAGGCCGGTACAAAGGCTACGTTCACTAGTGACCCGCTCGCCCATCTACTTCCATCCGGATCTGTTCAAGGTCAATCGAATCTATCTGCATTTTCCTCTCGTATGAATGCGTTGGCAGCACTTGAAAAAGATATCCGCGGCTTAGAAGGGTTGCCGCTGCAGGTCCGAACAATCAGTGCCGCTGACCCTTTGCTGCGATATTCAGATGTAGATATGGACGTCAAACATATTCCTGCCTCTATGGTTCTACAATTCGAAGGGTCTGCTCAATGGCCCGATGATCTGTGTGCGATTCAACGCACAAAAATTGCCTTCCTTTTGAAGCTAGCTGATCTGCTAGACGCTCACGGCAACGGTGAAAGTGCTCGCCTAGGGTTAGAGAACCCCTCCCACCCGGATCTCAATCAGGGATTCTTGGACATTTTCGTGCCTCCCGGTTTCACGTTTCGTCTCCGAATTTATCATGACCGTGAAGCTACATTGCTCGGGCGCCAACTCAAGGACAAGTTACTGGATTCTCCGTCACGCGAAGCTGCAGCGGCAGCTCTCTCAATCTACAAACATGACTATATCCACGTACCTGCCCATACTCAAATGCTTCAAAAACTCTGCACACGATTTCCGGCTCTGTCACCCTCGATACGAATGACCAAGCGTTGGTTCGCTGCTCACCTTCTCTCGCCTCATTTTGCCCCCGAACTCATTGAGCTCCTCGTTGTCCGAACATTTCTTCAACACCATCCTTGGCCTGTTCCCGCTTGTGCGACAGTAGGCTTTTTGAGGACACTAATGTTCATCAGTCGGTGGGATTGGCGCCATGTCCCTCTTATTGTTGACTTTTCGGCCGGCACAAGTGAGCCGATTGGAATGTCTGATAATTTACAGGCCAGAACGTTCACAACGGAAGACGTCGAGCAAATTCAGACCCGTTTTGAGGCATGGCGAAGGATTGATCCTGCCATGAATCGCGTTGCGCTTTTCGCCGCCACAAACTTGGACAGTGAAGGGACAACATGGACTGATAAGTCCAAGCCTGAGAAGGTCGTAGCTGCAAGAATGACAGCACTCGCAAAAGCGGCCACCAGCTCTACGCGAGCACAAGAGGAAAAGCTTCTTGCAGGCGTAACTGGTAAGCAGGCTAGAGTTGATGCGGGCATTGAATCTACCCCAGATCATCTCTTTGCCCCTGAGTTGCGTGACTATGATGTAGTCATTCATCTCTCGTCAAAATATTCAACAAAGGGGAAAAGAAAACAAACCGCAACGTTCAAAAATCTCCAGCTCCAGCAAGGCGATATGGGAGCGAAAGAGTTACAGAATATCGGGTTTGATCCTGTGCATCTTTTCACCAATGATTTGAAAGAGATATATGGCAACACTGTCATCTGGTTTTGGGACCCACATGCATTGAATGTAATATGTGGTCTGTTTAATCCAACAGTCGCTGGCCAACGTGCTTGGAAAGTCAAAGCCGATTGGAACAGCCTGCCATCTACGACGAATAACGCCAAGTCTGATGGTGCAAACTTGACAGACGGGAATGGCACGAGTATTGACGTTAACAAAGGTGCCATATATAACGAGATCAGACGTCTGGGAGGAGAGATGATACGAAGTATTGAGATCAAAGCGTGATCAATAATAAGATCAAGAGAAAAATAGTTTGAATATATTTTTGAGACTTTCCTCATGATGTTGCACGATTCAATCCGGTCTAACTCTAACCCGTGCAATCAACGCTTTAAGGATACTGATCGCACTTGTGTCTGAGAAACGTTTTGATCTACACTCCATGTCAGGAAATCGCCTTCACCAGCTTTGCTTGCAAAGCCATTTTGCCGATTGCAACTATCCATGCCAACAGTGAGGTGTTCAGACAGTTCTTAGATTCATTCTTCAGGCTGTACAAGTCGTAACAAGACGTATGCAGCAGTTTCACTGCCTAGGACACACGATTGGTGCGCGCCATTTTTCCTTATAGAGGACTATATTATGTAGGTATATATCTGCGGTTCATGTATTCAAAAGTAACATTGAGATTTGATCAAATCCGCACTCGACTTCCTACAGCCGTTTCCTTTAGATCTCCGCCACAAATTTAAGGAACGCCTGCTGACACTTTTCAGCCTGTGTGACGTAGATCTCGTGCCCCGGTCCCTGTACTACCTCGAGGCGGGCGTTTGGAATTGTTTCTTTCAACTGCATCATATCTTCTACTCTCACGGCAGCACTCTGGCTGGGTGCCAATATCAAAGTCGGAACGCGTATATCCTGAAGGTACGGTCGCGCGTCTAGTGTGCTTAGGAACTTTGCGTAGCCTGCGAGACCTTGGCCGCTCGAAATACTGATCTGGTCGAGGTACCAAGGAAGGTAGGCAGGGTCATCTATAGGGATTGTACCTGGGATTCGACTCAACGCTTCAGCCCACCCTCTTGACCCAAGCTCGCGGCAAGCACTCGGCCAGTCTTTTCTCCCGAAAGCAAATAGATCTAAGGCAGCCTGAGGGAGGTGCGTAGGCGTGGAACATACAGTTAGGGAAAGGAGTCGTTCTGGGTACCTGGCGGCCAGGATCTCCCCTAAGATACCGCCTGTAGACTCCCCCAAGAAGTGCACTTTCTCGACGCCTAGCGCATCTAATGTCTCGATGACTTCATCTAGGATTGTCTCAATTGAATAATCGTACGTTGTGTCTTCTTGAGGATAACTAGAGAAGCCGTGGCCGCGAAGGTCGCGACGGATGACGTGGAAATTGCGGCTGAGCAAGGGTATCCAGTGATACCAGAATTCAGAATGCCTCCCGAAGCCATGCTGGATGAGGATGGTGGAGGATGGTTTCCAGGGGTCAGTAAATGAATTACGGACGTAGTGCGTGCGTTGCCCGTTCTGGTGCACTACATACGTTCGACCATTGACATCAGTCTCGAGTGTCATTGTATGGATTTTGGGAGGCACCACTAATAACGCCCACAGAGGTCGTTACAATGTGCGAGGTATGGAAAATGTCCCATGAATAACGTTCAACGCATACCACTTATTATAGTGCACAATGTATCTAGATGTTCCCCACATCGAGATGAACCCCACCACTACCTTGCACTCTCAGAGCAGATACCCCAACAGTATCCTCCAACGTTTCGTTTACCAATATTGAGATGTCGAAGAAGTCATTACACATAGACTAAGCGTTCGAAAGATGAGATAAAGTTTCCTACGGTGTGTAGTGTGTACGTCAGAATTTGCCAATGCACGCCCCGGAGAGAACTTCATTTTCGATATTGTTGCCTGTTGCTATCTGCAGAGCCAGTAGCACGATACCAAAAGTAGCCAAGAGATGGGTTTACATTCAGGCGTCGTCTGTGCTCCATGTCTAGTCTTTAATGCGTGCTGTGCCTCAACAAGCTAGCCTTGTACCAGTACATAAATACTGATAATACACGAACAACTGCTCCACGATCTAAATATCCAAATCCACAGACGACCATCATGGCCGACAATATTCTCAAGACTCCCTTTGGGGACTTCGTGGGCAATGATGGTGAAGGGTTGGTACAATACCTAGGTATTCAATATGCGCGGTTACAGGACCGTTTGGCCAAACCAGAAATGGTCGATCGCTACGACGATAGAGTCGACGCAACTAAGATAGGGTAAGAGAGCTGTGCAATGCAGCGATGTGGAAGCGAGCTGACCTCACAGCCCGAGAGTGATCTCTTTAGAAGCATGCCAATTCGAACAATCCAGCCTCATACAACAGACATTGGATACACCACCTGCGCCGCCCATGTCGGATCTAGATTGTCTAAACTTGAACATCACGACTCCTACTAGGAACTCAGAAGAACTTCTACCGGTCATGGTTTTCGTGCATGGTGGAGGCTACATAATGGGGGCAAATTGGTGGCCCCAGTATGATTGTACCAACTTGGTGAAGCTTTCGATACAGCAAGGGACGCCCGTGGTCGCAATCAACTTCAAGTAGGATCATTGTTGATGCCCCCCAAGGAAATATCACTGATCGCAATAGTTATCGACTCGCGGTTGCAGGCAATCTAACTTCCGAGGAGCTTAGAAGGGCTGGTTATCCTGGCAATAATAGTTTACGGGATCAGCGGTGCGCTTTGAACTGGATCAAGACTCATATTACGGCATTCGGAGGCGATTCCGACAATATAACACTCTTTGGAGAGAGTGCAGGCGCCGGTAAGCTTTTTTTTTTTGGCTGCAGTGGATTCCTTTTGCTGACGTTCTGGAGTCTCCGTACTCACTCACCTTTTCTCAAAAGACGCTCTTTTCAACCGAGCTATTTCTATGTCGGGGACACCTCTGATGCTCAAGCCATTATCCCCTTCAACTGCAGAACAGACATACAATCAGATCATGCAACATCTCGGGCTCGAAAATTCAACTGCAGAAGAAAGGATCCATCGACTGCTCACCATGAATCCGGATGAACTTGTGCAAAAGACACCTATGACCGTTCCGCTTACCCCTTATCAGGATGGAGACATAATCCCTTGCACCATGACATTCGGCCAAGTAGAGGAAATGATAGATTCACTTCCTGGTTCAACGTGGTGCAAAGAACTATTGATCGGACACTGCAAGCACGATGTAAGATGCCAATTTCCATGTCATGAATGAAGATCGACCTAACCTCTTTACAAAGGGCAATGTTTTTGCATACATGGGCCTTGCCGAGCGTAGGAGTGGAATAGCAGCAGCTTTCTGCAAGTCTTTTTCAAACAGCCTAGGGGAATCAGCAGCAAGGGCCATTTTCGAAGGATATGGTCTCAGCCCCTCGACATCTGATGAGGTGGCATGGACAATTGTAGTGCTGTTTGCAAGTGACATTGCATACAAATTACCAGCAATCACATTTGCACAATCATTTCCAGGGAAGGCGTACTTGTATCGATTCGAGGAGCCAAATCCCTGGGATGGCTTGTTTAAAGGGTACTCTACACATATGCTCGATGCAGCTTTCCTATTCCAGAACTTCAACGATCAACTTGCCCATGGCGCACGAGACACGGCTTTCGCTCTGGCAAAGGATTTCGTGGCCTTCGCGCATGGAGCCGGGCCTTGGCCATCAACCTCTGACTCCCTGGAACCGGGCAAAGTGTACGGCCAAAGTGGAGAGGATGGACAGGAAGACATACTATTACGTTTGCAAAGGGAGGGTAGGATATCTCTTGATGATGTCAATGCCGCATGGGAAAAGTTTCTTACCAACAAAGACTGCTTATAAAGTTGTCAGCAGGAAGTAGCTGGTAATATTACCATCCAAGGCAGCAAATGGGGTGGTTGGAAATAGGTAGATCACGTCGTCTCCCAAATAGTGCGAGTGCCTCGCTAGAGATCTCGAAATATTAATTGTCTCTATTACATAAGGTATGGATTTGTAACGTCAGTGTGCATTTAGATAATTACAGAGAATTAGCACGTCAAGCCGACCGCCTACTAGTATTATATGCCCACAGCGGTAGATATGCGAGGTTTGAAGACTGTTAACTGGCACGACTGGCTACAGTACACTCGTTGAATGGCAGTTTCAACTTGTTCCAATAGTTGATTGGCACCATTGTCTATATATTCTGTACTGTACTGCAGTGTGCTGTAATGTACAAGTGAATGTGGGGCCCAATATGGCCTCCACAAAGTAGACAACTTCTCCTCATCTTCTCCAACCCAAAGAAGAAGAGCAGAAGTGACTAAATCGATTATTGTGTTGGCACCGCGCCCCTTTCCAAATAAACAAGCACGAGAAGATCATACTTCCTCTTGCTCGACAATATTCATAAGCATTTTCATTCTAGTCTAAACTATGACCAAACCAGTAGCTATAGTGACTGGTGCCGGAAGTGGTATCGGTCTTGCCGTTGCAACTCATCTCCTGACGCTCAATTACAAAGTTGTTATCGCAGATCTGAATGAGCGGACAGGAAACACTGCAGCCACCTCACTGGGCCCCAATGCAACCTTCATTCAATGCGACGTATCCTCGTACGCCTCTCAAGCACGCCTATTCAAACAGGCTTATGAATGGGGCGGGAATCGGCTGGACTTCTGCCACGCAAATGCCGGCGTAGATGATAGGCAATTGTTGTACGAAGAGGAAGCAAAGGAAGAGCTAGACGAGGACGGCTTGTTGAAGCCACTCAACACAAAGACTATGGATGTCAATCTCGAGGCAGTCATTCAAGGACTCTGGCTGTTCAAATATTACGTTAGGAGGAGTAAAGAGGCAGGGGGCGGCAAAGGCAAATTCGTTGCCACGAGCAGCGCAGCTGGCTTGTAGTATGTTTCCATTTACAGTTGTGGATGTAAGGTCCCAGACATACTAAGATTATTAGTTATATGACAACGAACCCCCAATACACTGCATCGAAATACGGTGTTGTGGGGTTAGTCCGCGCTTCAGGGCCAGTCTTCATCAAAGAAGGCATCTCGGTCAACTGCATTTGTCCTGGCTTTATCCCGACGAATTTATGCCCACCGGGCATACTCGAAGTCTGGCCTAAAGAGCATATTACACCCCTATCTACTGCTCTCAAGGCCATTAATGCATTTATCAGCAATGACGATATGACTGGCCAAGTTGTGGAGCTTTCGCAACAGAACATTTATTTCAGAGACCATGTAGACTGGGTAAATGCAAGCCAAAAATGGATTGGAACTGAAAGCTTAGCGATCTGGGATAAGGCATATGCGAAAATTCCTGAAAAGAACGGCTACTAATAGGTTTCTCAATGTACAGATGAGGACGTAAAGCGATGGTAGTCAAATGAGCATGTCTGACGTCGATTTGGCTCTCAAGCTAAAATTCCATCCCTTTCTGCTCGGCTTCACCAAAATCGTGCCTCATAACCTTCACGTGCTGTTCAGACCTAGGCGTGATCTTGCAGTCAAACTCCTCAGGGACTGACATGAAACCCCGAACCTAACAGAAACACGATGAGCATTGAACTTTAGGATAACTGTGATAATGCATACCATTACCTGTGATGGCTCAATCGGGTGACCATCTGGACCAATCTTCTTCGCGATGTTGAACCCCCATAATACTCTAGAAATGTTTATGTAAAGTGAGCGTTCCGCAACGTGCACACCTTACCAGCATTAGCAAAAGGTGTTGAACGGGCCGAAGTGCACCTACCTGGACAAACTCTGCGCCCTGCACCATACGTAAAGTGATCACGCGTGTATGGATCTGAAGCATTGATATAATCTGCTGCAGGAAGGCACCTATCAAGGTATCGATCTGGATCAAAGTCGTCTGGATGGCTCCAGAGTCTTGTATCTCGATGAATCGCCCTGTCCCCATTAGTTCCCTGTCACTCGCAAAAGAGATGTCTAGGCTGGAGAAACGCACCACCAATTCAGAACTGCGACGGATCCTTTTGGGATGAAGTACCCCTCGTACCAATCATCTTCTGAGGTAGCATGTGTCATCCCAAATTTGTTCACAGGCCTCCACCTTAAAACCTCTTTGATCAAGCTACGAACGTAGGGCAAATTCGGCTCGTCTTCCCAAGTTGGTAACCTATTTCTTCCGATGACTTTGTCCAGCTCCTCTTGTGCTCTTTGCTGGGCTTGCGGGAATAAGACCATACAAAGAATGAAGTTGTTCAATGTTGTCCCTGTGGTCTCGGAACCCGCCTCTATGAGGCCCCCGCATGTGTATGCTGCTGAGAGATCATCGATCCCGCTCTTGGCCGGATTGTTCAGGTAGAAAGTCTTTGTGAAGCAATCGCGTGCTTGGCCTGCATCGGTTTCGCGCTTGAGACGATTCCAAAGGTCAAGGTAGATCTTACTATCGTGATCGAACACCCGTTGCCCAAAGGTGCGCCAATTTCCTAAGAGCCACTCGGGCAGAAAAGCAAGAGAGGGGAAACTATCTATGGCATGAGCGCCTGGAGCACTGTCCCCGTTAGCTGAACGTTGTATTTAGTCCTAGAAAATAACCTACGTCATCTCTGTGAAGTTGTCAATTATGTCGTATATTTTCTTTATCAGTGGGTCGTCCCAGGATGGAATGCGATATCCATAGGTGACTAGCATTATCACACTGGCCGAGTATCTCCTGTTAATATGGTAAAAGTTCTCTGGACTATCCAAGAATTCTGTTAAGAGCTGCTTGGATTCGAAATCTTGCACAGGCTGATACTTGATACTCGTGGATAGGTTCAACAGTGAATGGCTATGCTTCCGTATGCTTCTCCACCTTGGACCATACGGCATGAATAACTGTCGCTGGCCGGCGCTGGCCACGTCCTGAGCTAATGGAGCCGGGGATCGTGAAGAATACACACTAGACTTTTTATCCATGAGGTCTTTCACCACTTTTGGAGAGGAAAGCCAGACGAAGTCCGTACCGCCAATCTTAGTGTAGAAAATGTCACCGTACTTCCGATGCCATTCAATCACCTTTCCTCGAACCGCCTCCGTATCCGCAAGATCGAACATGTTACCAACGAAAGGCAGGCCTTTCGGCCCTGGAGGGAGCCTACGTCTTCTGGAATCCTGACTGAAAGTTGGAGACATTCAAACAAGGAGCGAGGCCGGGGCAAAGATACCTTAATGACATTGGGGACAATGACAAAGTACACAGATAGCAGAAGCAAGACTGGCGTAATAGAGAGAATCATTAATTTCACCAGGAGGGATCCTGCGAAACCATACGTTTGTGTTTCCATCATCATCGTAATCGATTTGTGTCGCAAGCTCAAAATGACGCTAAACGTGACAGCAAAGGGAATCGGACGGGGTGAACATAATGTGATTGATTCTCTATCTCGTTTCATATGCAAAGGAATGAAACATGAGCGTTGATGTATGTAGGCATTACTCTCTGGTGGGTGCCGAGACCAACCCCAAGCCAACCCCAGCGACTCTTTGACAAGTGTTGGGGTAGCCGGTAGACGCATGACGAGCGCACATATGATAGGTAGTAGTGGATATGATATGAATGTAAAAATGTAGGTAGGGATTCCTTCCCTCCCCCAACCCTCTTCCCCAGGCGATGCCCCTCATCTAACTGTAGGTACCTTGTGCATCCCCGCACGACTGCAGAGATGCCCCACATGCGCACCTCTAGGTCAAGACTGGAGTCTGTATACTGAAAGATACTGAAGAGGCGAAAACGGTACTTATACTTGTACGCCTCTGGATGCGAAGAATTGATTTCATTCGCTGTAGTGGTCAAGGAGTAGACCATTATTATACATTCGATCCGGCAGGTAGGTGAATAGATGATTTACCTGACTCGCGCCACGTTGAATACCACACAAGCAAGACACCCCATGTGGCTGTAGAGCAAATAGGTACGCCAGGGGATCATACATGAGACTTTGACAAAAATAGAGATCAGAACGAGACCTGATAGATGGAATCTTGGACGGATTGGGAGGACTCAGGAGGCTCGGAAGTTTTATTAAGCGCGAGAAGTGCAACGCCAGAGGTGCCAGGGGGAGGGGCGCACTGGGGCTGCCGCCTGCGGAGTGGGAAAAATCCGCTTCTCACCCACACTTGAAACTGGAAATTTCTCGAAAATGCAACAATGGCCATGAAACCAGCCGCATTGTGTGGTGGCCGTAATGGAGAAGAGTAAGATATCAATGATCAATTCATCATCTCTTCCATCGTGAGATCACTTTTCCTCGGACGCACCATTCTGTTCTTTCGCTCCACTCGCCTCACGGGGCTCTTTTGATCCAGCCAATTGAGCAATCATCCTTCCATATTTCTTTTCCATTACTTGGCGGCCCAGGTCCCATAATTTAAGTCTATTCAACGATGGCTGGTGTTGTGGATAAAAAGCTGTCGCTCCTCTCACAGAGTAGCGAGGATTTTTCTCGAGACCGCCAAAGTCTGCTTCTCAGCGAGCTCGAGTTACTACTGGACTTGAGGCCAAGTGCACTACGATCTAATCTTTTGGTCCTCCCAAGGGAGCTCCGCGAAGTTATTCTGGGACATGTTCTCCCAGAATTGCCCGAAGGTGCCAGGCCAGAATTACACACGTGTCTCTGGAGTGCAGATATGCAGCTTCATGACGCCTGGAGACATGATATATTCGGCTATGACACCTCCGTACCTATGGAATACCGGATTCATCCTAGTTTGCTATCGATAAATAAGCAACTGCATGATGAGTTGCTCATGTTATATTTCCAGCGGAGTAGGCTCACTCTTCATGCGGAGCTTCGTAATTCGAAAGACGACATCTGGCATTTCGAATCCTCTCCGCATATCTTACAGCTACCTATGCTCAAGCACGTCACGCACGTACAGTTCTACGTGGAATGGAACTATATTGTTCATAGAGCGGTCGATCCCATCCAAGATCAGATCCGAATGATAAACAACCTGGTGCAAGCCATGGACAAACTCCTGTCTCCGATTCAAGCCGTCCAAACGATTGAACTATCCATCCTTTGCTTTTGGAGATGGAGCTCGTCGAAATACTACTCTCTCTCCATGCAAAACCTCTTCGACCTTGAAGACGTTTTCAAACGGCACGGGGAGAGTAGATGGACGCAGATATTACGGACGAGTACCGAATCCCCAAACCCTTCAGCGGGCGTCGGCTACCGACTAAGCTCGGAAAACAAAGTAACGGAGCAAAGTGGCGGAATACATGTGTATATATCACAAGATCTTGAAAACGCTATGCGGCCTTCACGAAAGAGCACTGTCGACTTTTATGGAAATTACGAGATCGGGGATCCTCTCCCACAGCCCGCTTATCGACATGGTGCAATGTTCTAGTTATGAACAGGGTATGGTTGAGGGAAGTTACTAGATCATGAATGCACTGCATGGAGTTTACGGAAGAGTATCTGCTGCTCTGCATGCCTTGCATTGTATTCTGCACATCCATCTGGACCGTTGGTTTGGTAATGTACATACAAGTAGAAGCGCGCCACTAAAGTGCTTCCCATAACTGAGCGCGAGCGCTCGAGATGAACATCAACCACATTGGAACCGGATAAGCTGTTAACACCGCATCATATTGTTTGGCCACGTACCACCACCATGAGCAACAAACCCACAGGCGGCGTGGATAGATGAGCTCAAATGGTGTACGCATCTTACATTTCTATGTTACCTTGAGGGGAGACTGGAGACTACGAATGATAACTACCAATGAAGACCTTCATGAGCACGCCACGAGGTTTATAATGGCTGCTCCGCGTCGACCGGCAAATCAAATGCCTTGCCATGAACAAAGTGTAAGGGAGCAGAGAGAAAAGGTCGAAGTGCAAGCAGTGTATTAGTATAGGTCATGCTGAACTGCTGAAATCAGGGGACAGTAGATAGAAGCTCCGGCATGTACACATTTTATCTTGCTGTGTAAGAAGAAGCATACAGATGGTCGGCGCAGATGGAAGGGGAAGCAGAAAGGAAATTTCTCATTCAGGCCCTCAAGTGATAAAGATTTGTGAATGAGCACTATTCCTACGATGACTTCTATGTCAGAATAACCGATGATAATAATGACAGTAGTAACAATAGTACACGTGCTTTGTACGAGCAATAGCCTATCGTAGTGAAATACATTCACAGTCATCCATGCAGATGCGGAGTTACGAGAGTTTGGCAATGAGCTCGGCCGAGGCTAACTCCACAAAAGGCGATGCGAGATGCAAGTCCTGTGGGGTCAACAGCTTACGAGCTCACAGGTACCTATCGAGATTGTCAAGTCATTATCCGTACACAGGAGATACATGCTGGTATGAGACTCAAGAGTATAGCTGTGAGGATGAGTTTCGACCATGAGTTCGATTATCGTGAGCGAATGGAATACAGGGGGCTTATGTGTACAGTGCGTGAATACAACGTCCTACAGTTAGTTATACTATCAAGTTCTAGGTACGTACCTATGTAGTACTGTATAATTAGGTACCAATGATCTACTATTACTAAAAGGAACAATCACTTGACTGAGCAGGATGCAATACGGACTTAACGGTCTTCACTCACGAAGATACTCGTAAGGAAACCCAAATAACTAACCCAAACGGCAAAACGGCAATCTGCAAAAGGCCCATCAACGCCCCAACACACACACCCCCAGCCAGACAGGCGAACCACACGCTTTGAGTAACTAACCATTACTCCCTACGAGTTTGTACATACAGTCATTCCCTGCCGCACCTACAGAACTCTCTTTCCGTTTCACCTCTGTCTTGTTCTCTCCCGCCCTCTAAATGACCTATTTGAACCCATACCCCGCGTTCTCTCCGTCACTGTGATAAATCAATCCAGTGCCGCCATCTTCTCGCTCCATAGGCTTCGTTGTTATCCATCCATCTCCACACGACGTACGCTTTCCCTATACCAACCATCCATGGTTAGTCGCAAAATGCTGGCAGTGTCCATTTTGCGTCTCTCTCAAAAAATATAGTTGTGGAGAAGATATTGTGGTCTTTCCATCCTACGTGTAGCTCACCCTTGTCATGGCGTCGCCCCTCTACAGACAGCCAACCCGAAGCGAGATCATCGAACTGGCCATGCAAGAAAATCACGATGCAGATATACCCACCAACGCCGGATCAATCTGTCCCAAAACATCTCCAGACCCGTTTCCATCCCCAGAGAAGGGCCATAATCTATCAACTGCTGTCCTCGAGAAGGACGTCGAGAAGGGCTCTCCGCTGGAATCCTTGTCCAGCGACGATGAAGAAGGAACCGGTGCTGGAGAAGTCGAGAATCCTAACATTGTTTTCTGGGATGGGCCCGATGATCCGCAGAACCCACTGAATTGGCCCTTCACGAAGAAATGGGGTACGGTCTTGATTGTTTCCGCCATCACATTTCTCACACCCTTGGCCAGTTCGATGTTCGCACCTGGCGTTCCCCAAGTTATGAAGACATTCGGATCTAAAGATGACATGTTAGAGGGATTTATGGTCTCTATCTACGTGCTTGGATTTGCGTGTGGTCCGATGAGTAAAGTCATTCTGTCGATAATTCTCGTCAATCTCCTAATTAACATGATCAGTCATCGCCCCCCTTTCTGAGATGTATGGACGATTGCCGTTGTACCACAGTTGCAACATGTTCTTCATCATCTTCACCATTGCTGCTGCTGTAGCGACCAACATGGGAATGTTCATCACATTTCGATTCTTCATGGGCTGTATGTGCGGCCATGCCTTCCCGGACTCCCCGTTAGAACTCCTGCTGACATTTGCAGGCTTTGGAGGAGCACCGCTCGTGCTTGGCGGAGGAACGATAGCCGATCTAATTTCTCGGGAACAGCGAGGCACTGCAATGGTAGTATGGATGATGGGTCCAAGTATGTGTTCGCCATACGACTTGATACATAGTAACATTTGCTAACGCAGTCATCAGCCCTCGGTCCTTGCGTCGGACCTATAATTGGCGGGGTAAGTGCTCTCAATATCGTTATGGGGTTTAAAAGAGAGACTGATTCAATCTTTAGTTCCTGACAGAAGCGAAAGGGTGGCGCTGGAACTTCTGGTTCGTGACTATCGTAGCCGGTGCTTTCGCAATCATATCGATACTGCTCATGTCTGAGACATCCGCTCCAGTCATACTCGAACGCAAGGCTAGACGTTTACGTGAATCAACCGGAAACGACAAGTTCAGATCCAAGCTCGATACTGGTCTCTGCGCCAGCGACCTCTTCCGATTTTCTATTGTTCGGCCGATAAAAATGCTCACTCGATCAGCCATATGCGCTGCAATGTCTGTCTACGTTGCCATCACTTACGCCTATCTCTACGTTTTATTTACAACATTCACGGCCGTGTTCTCTAATCAATACCACTGGCGTGGTGGGGTCTTGGGGCTTTCCTTTCTCGGTCTCGGTGTTGGATCCCTTGTCGGCCAATTTGTGTTCACTCGTTATGGAAACAAAATTGCGAATAAGCACATCACTCGTGGTGACTTTGAGCCCGAGCACCGTCTTTATATCATGGCGGGTGGAGGATTTTTCCTCCCAATCGGCCTGTTTTGGTATGGATGGTCTGTCCAAGCGCAATTGCACTGGATGGTACCAATTGTAGGCACTGGCGTGATTGGATTCGGGCTCCTGATGACCTTTATGCCAGCGAACACATACTTGGTCGACGTTTTCACTGTACATGCAGCAAGCGCCATGGCGGCGAATACGGTCCTGAGAAGTCTTGCTGCTGCATTCATTCCACTAAGCAGCCAGAAGATGTACCAAAAGCTCGGCTACGGATGGGGGAACAGTCTTTTGGGATTCGTCAGTTTGTTACTCGTACCAATACCTTTCCTCTTCATTAAATACGGGAAGGGTCTACGGGCTAGAAGTACAGTCAAACTTTGAAAAGTTATAGAATAATCCGCAAAGCATTTGGTCGGTCCTTGGATAATTCAAAACTAGAAATTAAGATTCATCATCACCTCTTTCTTTTTGGAACCGAACCATTAAAATTGCAAATCTTGGATCTTTGTCTCTGTTCATCAACATCATGACTCGTAGTAGATATCAATGTACCTCGGTCACTGAACCACAACCCCACATATGCGACTATTCCGATGGTTCGGCTACCGTGACCCAGGTAGCCCATTCATTTAGCCATATCTTGTGTCTTATTTCCAAATCGCGCAAGAATTATTTCCGTGTACGTCTTGAGACGTTGCTTCACGTAAACTTGTGCCCGAAGCTGGAAAACACCACCAATAGTCGTGTATTGCGCATCTCTAATTGACTCAACATACAGACGGCCACAAGATTACTATCGCCTTCAGTCGTGAGAGCTTTACCATTATGACCTCACTACCTACATCATACAGATCCTTAACGTACACCAAGCCGTCAACACCACCGCACCTCTACCACTCCTCTCTTACACAACCAGGCACCAACGAGCTTCTGATCAAAGTCCATGCAGCCGCGATCAATCCAGTTGATATTCAGCTGTGGGGGAACCCCGTCATCGGATTTCTGGCAGGAACCAAAGAGAAGGGAATAGGCCGCGACTATGCCGGGGTCATTGTCGGCGTTGGGTCAGCATTCAAGAGCAAGTGGGAAGTAGGCGAGGAGGTGTTCGGGCTATTCTCAAAACCAACGGGCGAAGGTACTTTCAGCCAATACCTCAAGGTGGGCGAGAACGATCCCATTGCTAGGAAACCCAAATCTTGGACCTTCGAACAGGCTGCCGCCGTCCCTCTTGTCGCGCTCACAGCTTTTGCTTGTTTAGACTGGTTGCCACCCGAGGATGCTTCAGTAGGCCAACGAAGAGTCATTGTATCAGGTGCCAGTGGCGGTGTAGGAATGTGGTGTGTGCAGTGTAAGCTGTTTTTGTCTTCTTGGATCATAGATACTTGCTGACGGCAATGAAGTGGCCAAGCAACTTTACAACTGTCACGTCACCGGAGTATGCAGTGGCAGAAACGCAGATTTCGTTCGTGAATTAGGTGCCGACACAATCATTGATTACACCAAGCAAGACGTGGCCCTCACTCTGCTCCAAAGCCGCCCGAAAAATAGGAAATACGACCTGTACATAGACTGTGTAGGTGGAGTGGAGATGTTTTCTCACTGGACTGAGTTGCTCCACCCTTCAGGAGCCTACATCACTATCGTGGGTGATAAGACATCGAGGACAAGCATGGGAGGCCCTCTCACGTATGTCACGTGGCCGTCCCAAATTCTGCGGTTCTTGTGGGGTTGGGCTTTCGGACCGCGATACGCCAATGTTCTTCTATATGAAAAGAGTGAGCTTCTCGAGAAGGTCGTTCAGTTGGCGGAGGAGAAGAAGGTCGAGGTCGCGGTGCAGGAGGTGATCGGCGGTATCCTGGATGAAGAGAGCACGGAAGTTGCATGGAAGAAGTCGTTTGGCCTCATGGAAGAGGGCAGAGTCAGAGGAAAGATCGTGGTTACAATTGATTGATTACTCCTTGATTTAAATGCATATAAGTACCCTGTTGTGTCGAGCGATGTAGTCGTCAACAATGATAGATTAACAGACAAGAAGCAGTCACAATCCTTGCATGGATCACCAGTTCTGCTTGGTAAACCGTGAATTCCAACGCTTTACGATATATTCTTGAGCATCGATACCCGGTATGTCGGCAAATGCGCTCTGCTTAAAGCTATGGGTGATTGATTCCACCAGCCTAGCATTTCATGACCTGTGGTCCTGGGATCTGGTAGGGAGTACCATTTCCGAGAGGTTTACCTTGCTTATCATATATCGAGACTTGGATACCTGGATGGGAAGCTGAATATGCGCCTGGGAAGCTCACAGTCTGATCGCCGGTCTTGGTGCCTGATCCAGAGACATTGATCTGGGCACAGCCGATATAGAACTGAGCCTCGCCGGGCTTGGAAGCAGAGTGGAGAGCGATGATCTCAGCCCGAAGGAGGTAGTTTCCAGGAGCAACGCAGGATGGAAGAGTGAAGTCCTGCCAGCCACCATTGTTGATCATACGGTCGACTCCCCATTGACCGGATCCGTCTAGACCGTCCTCGTGGACCTTGAACCACTTCAAGCCATTGGGCGAGGCGGTTCCAGCGTTATCTACCTTCGCCCTGTCATTGTATTAGTCAATATTTCATGTCAAATCTCCTAGATTTCCCTACATATAAAACATCGTTGGGCCTTTGTGAGACTTGGCGATAGGATGATCGGGGTCGTTTGCAAACTGGGAAACTCAATCAGTGCTTCGATCCTGTCCAACATGAGCAAGTGATATAATTACCTGAGCACCTCCTATTACATGGCCCCATAAAACTCCGACTTTGTCTCCTGCCTTGACGTTGATCACCTGGGTTGAGGTCGGCTGCCTGTAATTGGAGTTGCATGCCATGGCGGCATCATTGACGTTCTGGATCGGATTGTTCGAATTTGGAGCCTTGATCCCATTTAACTGGCCAAAGTCTTGCCCATTGACGCGAACCTGTTGGTTGTTAGTTGAAGCATTTGGTAGGAGTGGGCGGGCTGTAGAGCTTACACGCTGAGCGATGGTATGCGCCACAGAGAGGGCAGGGAGTAGAGACAAGACAGCCGCAGCGAAGAACTTCATATTGAACGAAGCTCAAGTACGTTATGGAGATATGTAATAGTCTACTGGAAGCGAACGACACCGGTTGTGGCGAGTGTTTATGGCGCGCTGATACCGAACAAGTCGTTGCAAGTATTGCGTTTATATACTCTCTCGCTGATCCCAACGCCGGATTTTGGGTTGGAATCGGGCACTGACTGCATTGATGTTATGACGATCAACTATTCTATCTCTTGCTTGACATTCGTGCAAGATCTCGGATCCAATAAAACAGACATTGTCATCTGTTCCCCAGACTAACTTGGCAATGCTCCCCACATTCTACTTGGAAGGAAGCGAAGCCTTAGCTCATATCTGTCAAACGGTGCAGCCTGTTATAAGCTTAATTGACGTGTTAACGTCAAGAAATCTTGTCTCGTGTGCGCATTGTTATTGGACTCCTGCCTGTGCTATTATGGACAAGCAAGGTTCGATATCAACCCTTCATATAATTTGCCGGCCCGAGAGTGCCGCACAGGAAAATGCCACTCTACGAGCACTCACCGCAACATATGCCGTCTGTATATAACTCTTGGAACCTTTGCATGACACGGTCAGGTAAATTGCCTGGTCCACATGGAATACATTTGTTTATATGAGGTTCCGGCAGTCTTTAACGTAAAACAGACATGATTGCTGAAATCTTTTCGGTTTCCCATGGGCCTAACGCGGCTTCGAGTCAAATTCTACAGCCAGTCGCCCGGTCCGTGGTAATTTACACTGATATTGGAGACTCATTCTCATTCAGAGTATCGGATGATTCCGAGAGCGATGTAGGTATAATGGTGTGGAGACGCGTTAGATCGGAGTGTTTTGAACAAAGGTTCGCCTCAACGATGGGTAGGTACCCAACCGTCCACCTCACGGCTATCAATCTGAGAGACGCAAGCAGGCAGATCTCTTTGAATAACGTATTGTACTACTTAGACTCTTCAATGATTGCAAATGCGATTAAAATTGGGGTTTGCGTCGCAATAATCAAAATCGAAAGGTATCCGTTTGCCGATGACTGTTGCGCGCGCAAAAGAAGCCCAAGAAGACCATGTAGCTGCGTAGATTATCAACCACATACACACGAATTGCACCTCACGCAGATCGGATTGCAAGAAACGGATTCAGGGGTTCCATCGACACAATTCAAGTCAGCAGATTCATGACAAGTGCCCAATGTTGTCTTCTTTTGGCTTGCGAGTCAGGAACAGACCAACATAATGGCCGGTGAGCCATTCAATTCCAGGCGCATTCATGGCATTGAGTCGACAGTGTCAATATCCTGCGGGCTTGTGGTGATACATGGCCGAGGGTTTGTGCAGATTGGAAAGGACTGCCGCAATATCTGGCATAATTGAGTCTATGGTAGGCTCTAACTAGAAGGGTTGGCCGAGAATATGAACAACAGATGAGTGAGGCTCTGTATAATACGTGAGTGCACCTTCGACCGAAGTCGCCGAGAAGGCGGAGGATGATTACAGTACTCTATTGTTGGTTGTACTAAGTCGAGCCACATGCCAATCGAGGCTAGTAATGACTCTTGATGCCATTGTCAGTGGTGATAATACCTCGTACATACTCTCAAAGGCTGAAGGAAGAGGGATACCGACGTGACCGTGAAAGGAATGAAAAACTTTTCTTTGGTCAATAACAGGACGGAGCACGGAGTACCGCGGACGCAATACTGAGGAAGCAATTATTGGAAGGGTCGACGAGACCAGTAGATCCATGGTTGAGCCTCTGACGGTGGCTGGAGGACGCCACGCCATGGTGCTGCCCATCAAGAGGATTTGCTGCATGCATGCACATCGACACGACGAGTGACTACTAGTACGAGTAACTACAATAGTTCATCGGGAGAGCCGGCAGATCATCCATCCACCAAAACCCATAAACATGGAGTTGCACATTGCGAATAATACGATAATGCAGACACATTGAAGGAATGTCTACGTACTTCCGATTTGGAAAAGATGAAGTATGGTATGATAGGACAATGTGATGGATCGCGATTTTCTGTCTCTGTCGTTACCTTATACACATTAGCTAGGTAGGTTGTTGAGTTTTCCGCCTGAATATGAACACAACCAATTGGTACCTCGTAGTATAGTTAAGTACAAGTAAGGAGGTACTTTTGTGCTTCATCTTCCGGTAATTAGTGGTGTACGGGGTAAATGGTGGCAGAAAGCTTAATCAACATGTGAAATAGTTACCAGTAACAATTGACTGTCCTACCCCGTACAGGGATGGAATTGGGAGCCAGCACCTGTTGGGTCGCACGCTACAGGTCTCGAACAGAGGCTGCGATGTTGCTAGTAAGTAGTGGTAAGAGGTAGTGTGCTGCACGATGACGATCGTTTTCAAGGGGTTTGGGGGTGATGATGATGACGACGACGATGATGTTGAAAGGCACTTGGAAAAACGTTGGCGTTTCGTAGGTACTAGATAGCTAGGTTTGTGTTATGAGTTCGGAATTGGGTTTCTACAGATAGGTATCTAGGTACCTACTTGTACTCTACTTGTAGGGTATGGGTAGAATAGATGTTTGAAAAGTGACGGTACCTTGATACGTACTCATTGTCCATACAGCGCAAAGTACTTTTCATAAACATATACATTTAGAGAGTACCTGAACATAATTGTACGAGTGCTTTAGGTACCTAGGTACTTATGTAGGTATCCAAGTCACACTGTGAACTGCCCAGTGTATGGAGTAGGTGACAGGTCACTTCATTTGCCAAGGCCGATGACATCACCTACAACAAGCTACCTCATACCTCATACCTCATACGCCTGCCTGTCACTGCTAGTCACTGCCTACCTCCTACTTCCTCAATAGTTGCGCTTCATCTTTCCACTTCCTCTTCCTCTTCATCGTCTCGTTCCAACAACCAGCAACCAAACCACCCCACCTTCTCCTCCCTCTCCCTCCCACATCGTCATCTCAACTGAAGACACTACCGTGAAACTCAATACTGATCTTCGTCTACTTTTCATGGTCGCCGTCCTCCCATTCCACATCGGCCCGAGTCTACTCAATACTTCCCCATTAACTTGTATTGTGCCATCATTTCTTGTCCGTTAGCTCGTCTGATCACCGTCCTTCACCTTGGGATCTTGTAAATCTTGTAAATCCTCCGCCCTGCACCATCCCATCCTTCCGCCCAACGTTCCCTCCTTCCCAGCAATACGAGCTGCCCCGAGTCAGAGAGCTTCACAAACCTCACTTTTACATACTCATACATACATGATAACCTTCTTCATACGGGTCTCCTCTTCATCTTCAGACAGCCATCCTCCCTACGAGTGCTAGTATATATCCAGCGCAGCACAGCCTCGAAGGAGTTCTTGCGGCCTGCCCCAGCGCATATCGGGCTATACACCGAGCACACAGCAATTCCCCAATCTCTCCCCCACCAACCCTATCTACCGTGCACGCTCGATAAACCGATAGAAGCGGCCTGTGCTTGACCGACTCACTTTCGTACTTACTCCACCAGCGTCAATCGCTCTCCTCTCCTCTCCTCTCCTCTCCTCTCCTCCCTGGCCTTCACCAACACAACTCTTCGCTTTCCGGCGCCCCAAGCGATCGCCTAACACAGGCAATTTGCTTTCGCAAATTCGCGAGGTAGACGCCTCCAGTCCAATACCACTCTCCGAATCTCCGGGAGCTAGACTTCACACCCGGCCAACAATGTCAGTCCAGCGCCCGCGTACCCCGTCTGCTGCGTACGACTCAGTACCAGCTCCCCACGATCCTACCCATTTGAGTCGCGGTTATGGCAATTCATCGCATCTGAACGTCGACGGCAACGACTTCGCTTCAACACCTGCGAATCCCTCTGCTCTCGAATCCTCACCTTTGGGTCAATCGCTCCGCACCCAGGAGTCGCAAAGGAGAGGGCGCTTCGAGGAGGAGTTTGATGCGAAAACCCGGGGCGAATCCATCTTGCTAGATGGTGACATACCACAACGTCCGGCATCACGAGCTTCCAATTTCAATCAAGGAGCTACCCCTTCGCGCAGTGGTACGCTGAAGAAAAAATCATCGATCAAGCGCAGTTCTAGCTTGAAGCGTAGCGGGAGTAGGCGGAGCACATATGCTGGCAGCATTCGCGGGGTTAGTGTTGATGACGAAGAGCGTGGATCAAGCAGACAGAACAGCGTCTTCTACACACCCGTTCCCACCACTGGCTCTCCCACCGAGATACTTGCCAACCGTTTCCAAGGTAGGTTGCTAAAGATCATGTTGCTTGCCAACTCTGGTCCTCCGTTCCCCAGTATAGCTAGCTAACTTTCTACAGCCTGGCGAAAGCTATTGAAGGACCTCATCACCTACTTTCGAGAGGTCGCCACGTCCTACGAGCAACGCGCCAAAGCTCTCCTCAAAGTATCGAACGTAGTCAATAATACCAATGCGCCGTCGTCTTTCCTACTTGAAGGTGGTCTGAATGATGCTAACCGCATCTTGCGCGATTTTCATAAGCAGTCAGTCGCGGAAGCCAATAAAGCCAGAGACATTGAACATGAAGTCATAAATCAGTTGAGTGGACTTCGCGCAGACCTAGGCCAGAAAATAAAGGAAATCAAGTCTTTGTCCGGTGACTTCAAGAACTCCGTGGAGAAGGAAAAGGAGACCACTCGCAAGTGTGTTGCCGCTCTTGACGAGGCCTTGTCGCTCATAGATTCGGATCCGGCGGCAGTCGCCGGCAAAGGCGACCCTTACGTCGTGAAACTTGGCGTCGACCGTCAGGTTGAAAGGCAAATTGACGAGGAAAACTATCTGCATAGGGTCTGCTTGCTCACCACATCTTCCCTCCGACGAGCACTAATCTGTCGTAGGCGTATCTTAACCTCGAAAACTCTGGACGCGAGCTCGAGTCGATAGTCGTTGGCGAAATTCAGAAGGCGTACAATGCTCTGGCAACAATTCTGAAGCGAGATGCTGATGAAATGTACTCGACTATCGAGAAACTTCGAAATGGACCTGTAGGAATGCCGCGGGATTTCGAGTGGAATCAATTTGTAACCAAAGACCCACATTTCGTAAATCCTAACATACCATTGCGAAGGATAGAAGACATTGAATATCCCGGTCGACATCACCCTGCCACAACTGAAGTACGAGCAGGAATGCTCGAGAGAAAGAGTAAATATCTGAAGAGCTACACCCCAGGCTGGTAAGTATGCCTCCGGCTGCGCACAGCATTCTACTTACCAAATCCAGGTACGTCTTGTCACCTACTCACCTTCACGAGTTCAAGTCGGCGGACCGCATCTACACGCAACCTCCGGTCATGTCGTTGTATCTACCGGATCAAAAGCTCGGATCGCATTCTCAACCCGGAAGCACTTCGAACAAGTTCGTCCTCAAGGGACGGCAAACCGGATCAATGCACCGTGGGCATACCTGGGTATTCCGAGCCGAGACTTACGACACCATGATGGCCTGGTATGACGACATTAAGAAGTTGACAGAAGTCAGCGGCGAAGAGCGCAATGCGTTCGTTCGGCGTCATGCACGCAGTGTGAGCCAAGGAAGCACCCGCTCGATCAGTAGCGACGGCCTCGAGGAGGATGAGGCAGACGAGGTTCCCTACTCCGCGAACCAATCGATTGCGAACGAGGCCGTGAGGGAGGAAGCCCCGCAACGACCATCTCCAGGTGGGCGATTTCCAAGCGACATTCAGCTGGACCGTGACTTACAACAACCTCTTTCGAGTAACAGCTCGGAAGTCGGTCATGATTTGACCGCTGCAGCGGGAGGACTACAGGGAACATTTTCGGAATCCGCTTACTCGAACGTACAAGACCGCACTCAACTGCAGCCTTTGCAAACCCAGGCGCCGGCCGAGAACGCCTTTGCTTATGGGTACAATGAGGATCACGCATCTCAACCCCAGCATTTGGCAGAGAACGACAGACAATTCCAGCAGAGTTTGCAGAGCACTTATCCACAACAACAATATCCGAATGCTGCTCCTACACAGGGACTCTATTCTTCAAACGCAGTGGCACCCAATCAACAGTCAGAATACCTACCAAGCAATAATGCACACAATATGGTTCAACCAACAACCGGGCAGACGTATCAGCCAAACCTGAACCCTATTGAACGACACGATAGTACATATGGTGATTGGATGGCACCTGCAGCAGGCGGGGCGGCGATAGGGGTAGCAGGTGGCGCGGCATACAATTATCATAATCAGCAACATCAACAGCAACAGCAACAGCAACAGCAACAGCAACAGCAACAGCAACAAGTACAGCCAGACCCTTACTATCAAACACAGGCTGCGCCTCTGAGCGGCGGACCCGAGGCGAATGGGACAGCGTATCCCAAGGCAGTTCCCGCGCCCGTTCCTGCGTCCATTCCCTTTGCTTCTGAGCCCGATAGTCTGGCAACCACTCCGGCGACATCAGTGAACAAGTCTTTTTTAGACGAAGCTGAGGTGGTTCCCGTCGCTACCTCATCGAATGCTACCAACGGCGGGGCGATCCCAGAGCTACGGTCATTTCCCAAAGTCACAAGGAATAATACAGATATAAGCGTTAGTGATTTACATGTTCCAGGGGAATTCCCTAGACAGTCTCGTGTATAGGGCTGTGTATTTGTTTCCCGCTTTGTTTTTCTATAACTCTCTGGTCAGGAGTTGATGTGTGGTCCTTTCAAACATCCCTCTTTCTTTGTTTCTACCAGTATCTATTCTCCACGGTGTTGAAGGACGAGGAGTTGAAGGGATACGGGGCCCGAAGAAGGGGGGGGGGGCGCAACGTTGCCGACTAGGCCTACTGTATCCGTATTTCCGTGACTGAGAAGGGGACAGGACGGCACATGTATCTTTGTTCATCACATGGCCAGTCCTAGAAGATTTACCATTTTGATCTTGTTTGCGGGCAACTGGCACCGTCAGGCGCTGATTGTGCCTGATCGAGTACGATAGTGAATCCAATTTCCATAGCAAAGCGACATCGAGGATGCTCCTGTTTCGTGTGCATACTCCGTTTGATTAGTCTTCATTCTGATATGGTCATTGACGCATGGAAAAGGAGATTCTCTTCGCATTACTCCGTACGACACAAAGTACCAGTCACCTTCAACCTTGTTTATGTCAAGCAGATTTGGGGTGGGGTAATGGTACACAGACCAGCGGTTCCACCGTAGTGCGCGCATGTATGGATCTACCCAGGTACGGAGCACTGTACTTCGTAGGTAGTGCGTACATGCAATGATAACACTTTTGGAGTTAATGCTTGCTCAGACTGATGTACCTGGGGTAGGTAGTTTGTAGTCGCATGCCCAGTTAACGGTACGTTCCCAACCAGTCATTTATCCATTAACTGTTGCACAATTGGATCGCGTCACCACACTTTTATATGGAATTGATTTTATTATGCTCGTTTGGCATAGAAACCGTGTACTACGTACATGCGGTAAGCAATGGCATTCCGACCCAGGGTAACTGAGTTCTGGCATGGCAGCAGCATGTATGCAGCGTGGATTATCTAGCCCTCTTCGCAGTCGTCACGAGAGCGAGTTCAATAGGTCCTACCCTACGATAACGAAGACTATTACCGATCCTTGGCCCTTCGCTCCGGAATGCTTGCATCGATATGCTTTGCGTCTCACGCGACGGACACCGTGAGCATGTGTGGAACATAATCTCCCAATACTTGGCTCGGTCTACATGGTGTACGGTGTACGGAGTAGACCACCAGACACCAGTTAGCAAGAGAGTTCTTGGGTAGTAATTAGTGACTAGTGGATGTTGTCCAATGCGGAATTGACGAGATTGCGGGCTTCTACATCGGAAGTGATGTGATGTGACGATGGAGTGCTACCAAGTTCGTAACGACTGTAATTATATTCTGTTGGTAACCATGGACCATAGGCAAGATCCCGGACAGAGTAACCCGGTACTCCCTCGTACTCGGTGAACCACCACACATCAACTACTAACTAAGTGCTAGCACCAACTGGTAGGTACCTAGGTAACTACTGTGTACATTGTTGATTGCATGCATGCCAAGGGTCATTTATCATCTTCTGTTCCCTCGTAGCGCGCGTTACACGCATGAGGTGGCGCCCTTGGAAGGGTTTCAGTTCCTGTCAATTCTCAAACGCTGTGGTTTTGTCGAGTGACCTGCGTCACTTTAATTTCCTTTACACATGAATTCTGCGTTTACTTGTGTCACCACTCCGTACTGATGCCTGAGGAAATCAAGAAATGAAATGAAATGAAGTGCCTGTCTGGTTGCCTCGTTACCCTCGTTGCCTGTCCAGAGTCACTCAGTCACGGTCAACGGTCAACCCAGGAACCAGGAATCTAACCAAGAGTAGCTTAGTTTACGATCTAACCGATAATGGTTTAGCCAGGTACCGATCACCGAGCATTACTGGCAACTGCGTGACTGGTGACTGCCTCCCTTACCGGAAACGAGGGAGAGCAAACAAACTTCAACTTCCCAAACCTTCAATCTTTCCTTTCAACCTTCAATTTCAACTTCTGTCTTTTTCTTTTTCTTTCTATCTTCTCTCTCTCTCTTTCTCTTCCTCTTCCTCTCGCTCTTTCACTCCCTCCATCTTTCGTTCGCTCCCTCACACTCTTTTCTTGGTTAGGTACCTAATTAGGTATTTACCTGCTTAGGTGCCTACCTTCACAATACCCTTACACTACACTTTCCTTCACCTTTGTGTCTCCCCCAAACCCTTTGTTCCTTTCTCTACTTCGGTAGTCCTTCCCTTATTGTTTCCCCCATTGTTCTTCCCTCTCTCCCCCATCCATCTACTCCGTTCACTTACGGGGAGTACAGAGTACTTAGGTACACTATAACTACCTATACCTTCCGCTCATTTCACCTCCACCTTCAGCTTGACGCTGCTGGCGTGCTCACAATTCACTGCTATCATAGTCGCTCTTTCGCCCTCGCTCACTCACTCACTACTACTACTCGCTGCTTGCAGCTTTGCCCCTAGCAACTGGGAGTGTACCTTGCTTCGCCCTCCTTCTCCCCCTCATCTCACTCTCACATTGATCGTCAAATCAGCATTCCATAAACATTCAATTCAACTCGGCCGGCTCCGTTGACAAGCTTTGAGAGCTAGTCTCGTAAGTTGTCCTTCTTCTTTGCAAGCAGTTCTACCCCTTCCTCTTGAGTATTCGAGCGCGAGCTGTCGCTCCACTCCTAGCCTCAATCAGGTAGATCTCTCTTCAGAAACCAGTTATCCCGGCGCCCACCTCCTCTTCGAGGCCCACTGGCCTCGCGTTCTGTTTGCAGTGAGCTTACCACGCCGCTGGCCGGCAATCTAGTTCTTTATTTGCAGTATATACTTGACGGATCCTTACGCCAAGTCCGCCGGCATGAAGGTCTCTGGAGCCCTTCTCACAAAGGCATTGTTGGTGGTCAGCGTCGCAGGCAGACCTTATCGTGAGTAGTTTGCGCCCCGGACTGCATCATCTGGCACGAATCTAACATCAAGTTTCAGAGATCAAGCGCGATGTGATCACCGAGGTCACGTTCACTACCGTGACTGTGGCTAATGTGGTTGTTTACGTCGATGAGCAAGGCATTCCGTACCAGACAACTACAGTCGACCAAATCACCTCTCTCCCGTCTGCCTTCGCCACGAGTGTAGTCGCCGCTCCCGTACTCACATCAGCTTCTGTAACTACCCAAGGAGCGGCTAGCGTTACCAAGGGCGACCCTCCCGTTGATCAGGTCACCGCAGAAGTTCCTGTCACGAACAACCCAGAGGCCACAGCGATTAGCCAACCCACTCAAGATGTTGTAGCACCAGCCGCACCAGCCTCATCTCCAGTACAAACCCCAGAACTGGCACCGGCACCTGTACCCCCGGTGCAATCTTCGCCATCCCCTGAGAGCCCTCCCCATGCCCCTGAGGGCCCGCCAGCTCCCCAATCAGCTCCTTCAGCCTCTCCACAGGCTCAGGTAAACGAGGACAGCTTTCCTCTTGGTGTCACCTACGATCCATTCAAACCGGGTGGTTGCAAGACAGAGGAAGAAGTTGCCGCGGAGTGGGACAAGATGAAAGATTTTGGCATTGTCCGCATATATGGAATGGGCTGTGATATTATTCCGCGTGCCTTCAAACTTGCCACAAAGTACAACCAGAAGCTCATGGCAGGTATCTATAAAACCAACGATCAATCATCCGAGAACATCGACACAGTTGTTCGAGCCCTCGCCGATGCGGTCAAGGAATATGCCGGCGGGAATTGGGGTATCGTCAGCCTCGTATCAGTAGAGAACGAGAAGATCAATGACCGGACTATGACTGCGTCGGATGCGATTGATTACATCCGACAAGCCAAAGATGCCCTGGGTGCAGTTGGATATCATGGGCCGGTGGGTGCAGTGGAGACGGCCCCGGCCGTCATCGACAACCCAGAAGTATGCAAGCGGTCCGACCTGACAATGGTAAACATACATGCATTCTTCGATGAAAACACCAAGGCCGCAGACGCTGGCGAATTTGTTCGACGAGAGGTGGAGCGAGTCAAGGAGGCCTGTGGTGGTCAGCGTGTCATCGTGACGGAGTCAGGCTGGCCTCATGATGGGCAATCCCATGGCCAGGCCGTTGCATCCAAGGAGGATCAAGCAGCAGCATTGGCCTCGATCCGGCAGAATTTCGATCGGGACCTCTTCATCCACAATGCGTTCGACTGCACGTGGAAAGCTGACTCTGCAGCGACGTTTAATGCCGAGCGGTTTTGGGGCTTCCTTTAGATGGTGGTCCATGACGAAGGCATGCCATTTGGAGAGGAGGATACAGTGCTTTGTTTCGATGGGAACGACACGATGTGGCGGGGAAAGCGTCTAGGCAATCGATTTTGCAGATGGGCGGGGCGGGATGATCTGCATTCACGGTCGAATGGGCATTTTTCGCCAATATGATTCACGATTCATGGAACATGTAGCATAATTAGGGCTTTTATTGCCACGATAAAATTTTCTCGTCAATGGACGAGAGCGTTCTTAGCTGTATGGTTCGACATTACTTGTGATGCTATCGTCAAGCCTGTGATCGTATAAAGGGAGTAGTTGTACAACAAGAGGTTGTCAGAAGCGGAAACTCATGGTGTGCGAGGGTGACTTCATTCAGGGTGCTTCTAAAGATATGCGCCTAGCCATACTGCCGCCACCGAAAAAAAAAGAACTGCTAAAAGCCGATGAAACCAACTGCCCCAAGGCAGTTGGATTTGTATACGCAGGACGCTTCTGAATAGATCCAAACACAGTTCCCCCCCCACAAGTCGTGAATCAACCGATAGCATACGTCGAGCTCGTGTCAACATAGGCAACCGAAAAGATCGAATACTCTACTACCTAAGCATCAAAAGCGGAGGTGCGATGCGGCTAGAACGGAGCCTTCGAGGCTGGCACTCTAGTGCACCATGACATCGGCGTTTCCTTGAGTGACTGGCTGTTGCGCAGAAGTCTGCTTCTGCTCACCGTTCTGCCCTGCCTCGTCCATCTCCATATCGTCATCTCCTCCTTCCTCGCCTTCCTCTTCCTCCTCCTCCTCGTCCTCGGAGTCTTCAATATCAATCTCTTCGCTGCCAGCTTCAGAAGCGGCATCTTCTTCCGGCTGGGGACCTGCGGTATCTTCAGCACCTGCCATTTCAGCGTCCTCAGCCCCGGCGGCGGCGGCACCCTCTTGGGCGCCTTCGGCCTCCTCCTCCTCCTCCTCCTCCTCCTCTTCTATACCATACTGATCGCCGTCCGCGACAAGATCGGCCTCGGGCTGGTCAGGGGGGAACTCTGGCGGTGCCGATTCCTCGGAATCCCTAGTGAGGATTTATCAGTACGCACTTCGAGTGAAAGAAAAAAACACCGTGTATTTGCACAGGGAATAGCACAAAATAAGGTATAGACAGGGGAAGAACTCACCACTTGATTGCGAAGCGAGTAACACGGGGCTTCTCGGCCAAGATGTGCCTTCTCACCTTCTCGATGACGGGTTTGGCCGGGGGTTCGAGCTGCAATGCCTCGTCCATGTATTCATTGTTGACGTAGTATCCCACGCGGACGAATTCGCGATCTTCGTATGAGCAGCTGAGCAGGATGACGGTCACGCCGATGATCTCGCTATTCGGGATGCGCGCAAGGTCGGGGGCCTCGGCCTTGAAGATGAACTTGTTCACACCGACGGGGATTGGGCCGACTAGGACGGAATCGAGCTCTTGGTCATATTCGTTTCTGGACGTGAGGGTCAGCGCGAGACTTTTTCACGCGAATGATGGAGATGGGCGAGAGAGGACGAGGGACTTACGAGGTGGCGGAACCGACGTAGGTGAGCTTCCATTCGAGATCTTCAAGTGGCGGTGAATTAGCAGATGGGCCTACGGGCGAGGACGAGGGCTGATGAGGTAGAAGTAGCTACCTTTTTGCAATTGCTCCAGGCACTCGAAGGTGATTTCGAACTCATACGGGGCGTCAAAGGTTGCAGGATTGTTCTTGACCTCCACGCCGAGGAGAGAGACAACAGACATGTTGTTGGTGCCGAGTGGGGCAAGAAGGAAGGATGGAAGGGTGGGTGGGTGATGGAGACTGGGACCGAGATGCTATTGATTTGGGGAGTGATTTAATGGAGAGGTTGTTATCGTACGGAGTACTTGTTGTCTTTAAGAGTGTGGTGGTGAAAAGGAAGAGCAGGAAGAGAGAGAGAGAGAGAGTATGTGTGTGTGTGTTTGTTGTTTGAGCAGCGGTAGTTGGTTGTTAAGGTACTCCGTACAAAAGAGTAAATTGACCAGGTACCTTCTGGGTACCTCCCGGGTACCACCTAGGAACCTTCTAGGTAAGTAATAGGTTAGAGCAGGTAAAAGTACTTGATAGGTTAATGCAAGTCACTTGGTGTAACCAGGCCAGGAAAGGGAATTCGATCAGGCTAAACCGCATCTGGGTGGGACGTGTCGTCTCGACTCAGTTCTCAAGTCTCAAGGACAGATACGAGTACTCCATACTTTCATGATAGTAATGACGCGTTATTTCTATCAATCACGATTAATCACGTTCTTATTGCTATCCATTCTCATTCTCATTCTCATTCTCATTCTCAATATGGAGTGCAGATAGATGTTATTCATTCGTTTGACGTATCTGACGTGTTCAATGGGTTTGACGTGGTCGCGTCGCGAAACCCAAAACCAATTAGATCACGTGCATGTCCGCCTCGAGCTGAAAATGCCGAATAATGTATGGACTATGGAGTCCAGTGGTGAAACCCCCTCGATGGAAAGTTGGGGGGTTTCCCGGTCCAAGAATCGACATTGACCAACTAAATAGATACGGAGTAGTTCACTTGGACAAGTAGGTCGGTTTACAAATCCAAGCCGAAGCTACAGTATGTATGATATGGATGGTTATAACTTATACCACATGTTACGCTATGCGAAGGAATACGAACCCACGATGAGGAGCAGCAGCTGGCTATCTTGATACATAAATAAATGCCCACCAAATAACGTAGCTAGGGTCTCGCATTGCCCCCCTGATGAATTACTCGTACTCTTAGTCGTAGGCTCGTAGCATGCTGCACGCATCTTACACACACAGTACACAGTGGGTAAGTAGAAGCGTAATTATGGGAAGAATTAGGTCAGGCTCGAGCTCAGCCTCAGCCTCAACGCGGCGCAATCCAGGCTGGCGCCGTCACGTCCAGCCACGAATAGTACTCGTAATAACAGTATGTACTTCGTAGTAGGACTGTACCGTGTAGGGAGTAATTGAATTAAGAGGGTTGAAGGGCGAATGATATAGATAGATACTCCGTACCCTCCCTCCTCTCTGTACATCTCCTATAACTCTCCTATTGACACTGCACGTCCCACCTTGTCTGCTGGCCATTTGAGTCACCTAACCTACGGAGTACCTACGTTCCTACGTAGGTAGATAATGGATTGTTCCCATCATTCACACCCACGATAGCTTACTGTGAACGAGTACCTCCTACGAGTAGGCTCTTGACCACAGTCACCACCGTTGTTCTGTACTGTTCCGTACTGTTCCGCAGAGAGATCTTGCGTGCGACCAACGGATTAATCACCTAGAGAGAAAATCCCCTCCCTCTACGTTTGTTGATGATGCATTAGAATTTTCCAAAGAGCTCTATCCCATTGTCATTTTCATTTTCATTTTCATTTTGCTCCTACTCTTACTCCTGCCTATACTCTTTGCATACGAGCATAGGTACTCCGTACCTAGGTACCTTGCATTGGGCACCTATCCAAGTACTCCACAACTACATACATTGGGACGTTGAAACTTGGAACCAACCCACATACACAGGGCGGGCTGGTTTGTACCTACCTAGCCATCACGATCACTGTATACTCCGTATACTATACTACAAGGTAAGTACCGAGTACAATACCTGCCTGCACAGAACCTACCTCACAGTACCTACAAAGGCTACGAGTAATTACGGCGAAGTACCGAATACGTGCATACGTTGTCGTCTCCTCCCCTCTCCCTCCTCCGGGTCTACGGTCGACAGTCTACAGTCTACCCTTAGTTAGCTAAGGTGGTTTTAATTTCCTAGGTAGCTCGTACCTAGGTACGGTGTATATAATTGGTTACGTATATGAGGTGCTTTTCCTAAAGTACTCGTAACTCGTACGGTGTACATACTTCCACCCCCCTCCCCTCCCACCTCCCGCCAAGAAACTCCAGGTAAGTCAACCTCAATCCTGAGACACTGTCACTGTTCACGGATTTACCACCTAACCTTTCTTCCTTCATTCATGCCTGCGTTCTGGTCTTTCTTCTCGCGAATAACCAGTACACCGCAGAGTACCTTTATATTTCGGGACAACGGCTGACCTTATTTTCCTCAGTCTCTTTCATCACTTTAGCCTGCTGCCCGCACACAAACCCAAACAATGAGCTACCAGCAAGGCCAACCACAGCTTGGGGCTACATTCGTTCCCGGTGGTTTCGATGACTACTATATGCCGGCACCCTCGCCAGAGGTCATTTCGCCAGCTCCTCAGCGGTCGGTTTACTCTCCTCGTCTCCCCCTACGTCTCCCCCTCTCCGATCGCATTGGCTGATGTGTTGTATGACATAGGATAATGCCTGAGGTGCCCGAGAACATGCAGGAGAACATTGCCCACATGGAACTCGAGGCCAACGGACCGCGGAATCCCCATGCGCCCATGTCGCCTCCTCTAGCACAATCGCATAATCAGACACAAAACTTTCCCCCTCGCTCGACGAGCTTCCAAAGTGACCACCAACCCGCCGGCGGCGCACAGGGTGGCCAGTCACCCTGGCCCCAAAGACACCAGAGCATATCCTCTACCTTCAAGCAACCCCCCAATGTACAACCGCAGCCTATTCAGCAGCTACAGCACCATCAACAGCAGCAGGCATCTCACGACTATAGTCAATTCGCAGCAACGAACGATACCCCCAACTTCTCCCCATTTCCTCAGCTCCAATCTCGCCCTTCAAACGTCCCGCCTTCCGATGACGAGAAGGAGGCAGTCCTCGAGAATGCCCGTTTGCCCGTTCTCAATTCCAACGATCCCGAGATGCAGCTTGCATGGGCACAGGACGCTCTATCATATGTCGACGCCGCAATGCTGCACGAGCAGCGCCTGGCCTTGATACACGAAGCACGACCCGTCACACCACAAGTGGAGCATCAACTCAGGGTCGATGCTATGAATGTGGTTAGCTTCCTTGCAGATCAACATCATCCAAAGGCCGAATTCATGCGGGGAATGTGGCTCGAATTTGGCAAGTTTGGTCTACGGGTCGACAAGAAAGAGGCGTTCAGGTGTTATACGCGCGCAGCATCAAAAGGGTATGCGCGGGCAGAATATCGCATGGGCATGCAATTCGAGCAATCAAATGACCCCATCAAGGCACTCCAGCATTACAAGCTGGGCTCGGAAGCTGGCGATTCGGCCTCTAATTACCGCCTCGGAATGATGACATTGCTTGGGCAGCATGGGCAACCCCAAGATTACGCAAAGGGACTACAGTTGATCAGGCAGGCAGCCAGCACTGCCGATGAGAATGCCCCACAGGGCGCCTACGTACTGGGTATGCTCCAAGCCCGCGAACTGCCCCAGATCAACGTGCCGGAAGTCTATCTACCTTACGACGACAAGGCTGCGAAGCAGAATGTCGAAAAGGCGGCCTACCTTGGTTTTGCAAAAGCCCAGCTTAAGATGGGCTCTGCTTATGAGCTCTGCAGCATGGGCTGCGAATTCAATCCGACCTTGTCCATGCACTATAACGCCCTCGCTGCCAGGCAAGGAGAGTCTGAGGCCGACATGGCGATTAGCAAATGGTTCCTATGCGGCTATGAAGGGGAGTTTCCGAAGAATGAGGAACTCGCATACGAGTATGCCCGCCGCGCCGCTCTAACAGGCCTCGCCACGGCAGAGTTCGCAATGGGATACTTCAACGAGATTGGCATGCACGTTCCGGTCAACCTTGAACTGTCGCTAGAATGGTATGAAAAGGCATCAAAGAATGGAAACAAGGATGCTGCTGCACGCATCGAAAGCATCTCCAAATCTCGCACACTCTCCAAAACCGACCACGAAAAGATTGCCATCAACAAGATCAAGTCGCAACATGGCTCCATGCGCGGACAACGCCCTGCGAGATTGCAAAAGGCTGCGGCGCCGGCGCTACCTACCGTCGTAGACAACAGCCCATCCGACTACGGCGATTCGCCCTCGTTATCGACGCCCACCTCTCGCTTCCCCGATCGGACGACTTCCACCACCCCGTACCCAATCTCGGACAAGCCCCCTAGTGTCGGTAGCACTGCACCAACCTCCGCGCCGTATGGCGACCGTCCGGCCACCGTTACTCCATACCCCATGGACAACGGGCCTCCCAATCTAGGCGGTGGCGGCGGTCCTAGGCCGATGGCTGGAGGTTTCGCACCAGAAGTACGCTCGGCCACCGCGCGCCCTGATGCGCGACCCTCCTCGTCTGCCTTCAACATTAATCCAAACGTTTACAGTCCCGGCTCAGGCCGTGGTTCTGGTCCTGACGGTTATGGACGTGGCCGTGGCAATATGGGGCCACTTCCTTTGCGCCCCAACACCAGCGTGGACGATATGGGACAGGGTAGAGGGAGACTTCCAAGTGGAGGGTACGGCGGTGGTCCCCCGCCAGGTGCATACAGACAACCAGGCGGGCCAAGTGCTGAACGGCCAGAGGTTCGACCGGCGACCGTTCAACCCGCCGATATTGGCTTCAACGCGCCGGACGGTCGTAACAAGCTCCAGAAACCAGGCCAGCCGATCAAGAAGCAACCGACCCTGCCTGATATTGGCTATATCGCACCTTTAGAGACCAGACAGCACACTCGACCTTCGACAGTACAGCCCGGTCAGGAAAGCAGAGGCTCGAGCCGTCCAGAACGTCCCTCAACCGCTGTTTCTGGCGGACGAACAAGCTCACGCCCCGGCTCTGCTGGACGACCCTCACAGCATGAACCGCTGGCGCGGCCAGGCACCACCACACCGAAACCGAATCCTTCACATCAGACCCCCAAGCCGAATGCAGCGCCTGCCGGAAAGCCGCCTGCTGCGAAACCACCTGTTGCGAAACCACCTGCGCCTGCCGGTCCCCCCGGAAAAGGCCCCAAAACCTTCGATGAAATGGGTATCGGACAAGCGCCCAAGGATAACGATTGCGTGAGTCAATGAAACCCAAATTTCCATGTGTCTGATTGCTAACAATAGGTCAGGTTGTCATGTAGTTCAAAATGCTTATGGAGATGCATGATGCATGATTGGGTATTAGATATCATTGGGCTTTTTAACAAGGTGATTTTGCATAGCGAATTGTTTCTAGATAGATATGGTACAGTCAGTCAAGCGCGCTGCTGTGCCTCTGACTGACTTTCCTTTATACCCATGAAAGACGAAACGATGCGTTTGAAAACTGTTGGCTTGTCATCGTCTCCCCAACTTGTCGTGCGCTGGCGTGCTTTCGCTCAAAGCCCTTGGTTAAGTCATCTGCGCGTACCTGCCATTCTTGAATGCTTAGCTCCCTTCCTTCCCTCTTCGAAATTACGACGACTCCACTCATAAAGGAACACCTACTTCGTGCCATAAACCACCTCTTTGCTTTTTCTATAAGAAAAGACCACAAAATATTTCTGTTCGAGTCCAGTCCAGAAACAAATTTGTTCCTTATCACCAATAAGGTCGATGGCGCCGCGTAAAGCACAGGTGTCGGCCAACGAAGCCGCAGATACTATTCTGGACTACTTGCGTAAGTCAAGAAAGCAGGGAAAATATCCTGGAGTGAGGACTGACAGCCTTCACTAGGGAATCAGAAGTGAGTTCACAGTGCTTTATGCAATTAGGCTACTCCAACGCGGTCCTGGTTGACAAATATTGTATCCTAGTCGTCCTTATTCAGTGAGTCCTTAAGCATACACGTACCCGTCTCGAACGAAGCAGGGGAACTTATACATCAAAAGGCCACCGATGTTTCCGCCAACCTGCATAACAAAGTCACCAAAGGTGGGTCGATTGCTTGAAGATGATGTTTCATCACGAACCCTGGTGACATCGATTTAGCTGCAGCACAAAAGATTCTCAAAGACCTCCATGAAGGTAAACAGATCGAAGGTCGAGCTTCAGGTACCTAGACCCAAAAGTGCCTTAGCAATCAACGCGCGCTGAATCGTTACGCAGGCAAGCAATGGGTCTATCATGCTCTACAGGTGCATATCATTTGTCCACCACCTGTCCTCTACCCTCCTCGCATACTCACACCAACCTCATAGGACAGCGAGGGCACCCTGAACTCTGACCAGCTGAGCGACCTCGAGTCTGACATTACTTCCCTGCGCAGCCAGACCGCTACGTTGCAAGCCTCTGCCAAGTTACTCCGTAGCACACTCTCCGCACTCAATTCGACACTGACCACTGCCGCTCTTGTCACCAATATCTCCACCATGCAGGGTGAAAGAGAGGCGATCCGAGGGAGACTGAGCATGTTGCAGGCGGGAAATATGAATAAGGTCACACCAGAGGAGAGGGAGACGTTGCAAACGGGATGGAACAAGTGGAATGATAAGGCGAGGAAAATGGAAAGCATTACGCATAATATGTGGAGAATCATTGAGGATGCAGTCCAGGAAAAGGAAGAGCGAGACAGGATCAGGGAGCAGCTAGGTTTGGATGAATGAATCGGAAAGCAGAGGGCGTTCCTCCTTGCCGATGTTAACCCTCTTCATTTAAGCCGGGCTATGATAAGAGTCTTCCTGCTCAAGGGTGGATTCGCACTCCGTACATGATAATGTTTAAGATTAGATTAAGTAATTATCTTGAACCTGCGCCAGTCGCTTGCTGAAATGCACGACGCAAAATGGAAAGCTGCATGTATGGATTTATCCCATTATACCAGGTAGTTATGCTTCATCTCGCTCCAAAGGTGGCGTTCGATCTCCTGCCAGGGCGGAAGGTTCCTCCTCTAGAGGAACACTTAGTTGTTCGAGCTCCTTCGCCAATGCTATGCCCTCCTTCCTGCCCCTTTCCACATCCACACACATCATTATCGGGAATGGCAATCCGACCAATAGTGCGAGAAACCAAAATGCCTGTCTCGACGTCAGTACTACGATCGTAGAATAGTGAATCGGTTATGGATAGTAAAAACATACGGGACGTATCTCCCCATAAGCATCTGTGATGGCACCAACAATTGCAGGGCCAAACACGCTACTCCCTTTATCCGTGATCGCGTACAACGCATAAAATGCGGCTTCGAAGCCAGGAGGAATAAGTTCACCATAAAGACTCCTGCAATAACTACTGAGGCCACCCAAAACAAAGCCATACACGGCGCCCAGAGGATACATTTCCCATTGTTGCTGCAGCCCGAATGAACCAAAGCGACGTATTGCAGGGATATAGCCGAGAAGACCGTAGATTGGAATCATTTCGAAGAGGACGATGCAGGCGAGGATCGTCTGTGAGGGGCGGAGCGACATAAATATACTGATCCGGGACCAGGTGAAAGCACCGATGATACCCGAGAGTGTAACAATAACGTTGATTAGGGCAAGCATAGCATAAGACATGCCCAAGGTGGTTTTGGCAAATAAGATAGCCGTCCCAGACACGGTCGCAATGCTGTCTGATAGTAGAAACCACGCGGCAAGAAAGGTGAGTACATCTCTCAGCATGCGCGCATGCTTTACAGTGCGGCCAAGTTGTTTCCATGAATACACTATTTCACGTGAGAAGAGATAATACGGCGTACAACAACAGAAGTGACTTACCAAAGTATGCTAGTCCAGTATGGAAGTTACTTGCTTGGGTCGCGATCTTGAGCGGTGGTCCTGGCCGAGGACGGAGCCAGAATGCAGTTGGAATGGTAAAGACAAACCACCACGCTCCAATGATGAATAGTACGAGCCGCAAACTGAAGTTCCCACTTTGAAAAAAAATGACGATGAGAATCGATAGTGTCTGCACCAGTAAAGCTGCGATGTAGCCGATCGCAATGCCATAAGAGGAGATCTTAGTAGACAGTGCCAGTTCCTGGGATGGAGTCGCATGAGAGCGGGGGTTTGGCACGGTGAGGTCAGGAGAGGTGTGGTTTCGCGGAAGTAGTGCGGTCGTCGCGTCTGCCACGCTGTCCAATACATTCTCCGAGGCCGCAAGCTCATTGGAGAAATGCGCTTCTTCGATAAGTGACGGATCGTCCAAGTCCTCATCGTCCAGATAGGATGAGTGCTGTGAGTCATTGGCGTACTTGACAGTAGGATGGTTGCGCACGAGCAGCGGTAGAAAGGAATTCAGGAGAACGAAGCTCGAACCGAAGCAGGTGTTTGCGATTATTGCCAGTAAAGCGCCGAGAATGTAGACTCGAGGAACGATTGGAAGAAATAACATGGTGGATATCGATCCTATGAAGGCGAACCAGAGCAGGAACGTCTTTCGAAAGCGACCATGATCAGCTGCTCCGGATATGGATATTATAAGAAGCGCCTGAATTAAGACGCTGATAGAGAATGTGTACATTGCAAAGCTTGCCGTGTTGATTTCGATGCCTAGTATGTAGACTACACATTGGCCTTTGTCTGGGTGAACTGGTGTGGACCAGGACGATGATGAAGATGGGCTTGGGTGAAGAGTCGATTTGCACGAAGTGGTACGGTCGGATAAAAGAACGCCATTCTCTCTCGCAAGCTGTTCAAGGGTAACGGGGATGAAGCTTCCTAGAGTTGCGGTCAGTTGTGAGGGGATAAACCTGAGTCGAGTGCAGACGCGGTAGAGTGAGGATAGGTAGGTAGGTAGGTAGGTAGGTAGGTAGGTACGAGTAAGTAGATATATGTAGAAGGAAAGATCTCGTACCAATTCCACAGACAACGAACACCTAGGTGAGTAAACGTCGATTAGCTTTGACTATTATATTGGGCGTTCCACTGAAAAGGTGGGTATGGGGAGCTATGCGGTACCTCTGCGGCCCAGCCATACATGTAGAAGCCTGATAGTTCCTTGTCGCTGGTCAGGCGGGTGTCGTCGCCCTCGAAGCGAGGTGGAGCAGTGACATTGTCCATGTCGGAGGGATGCTCTGAGATGCTCTGTTCGTCATCGGCCTCGTTGGACTGGGATGAGGATGGGACGGAGAGCTTGGAGGCTGCGGAGACATGACGGGTAAGCTCCGGGCGCGGCTCTGGTACTCGCGGCACCATGATTACATCACATCACCTGCAATGAAACATGGCGTTGCAAGGTGAGCGGCGAAGGGGGGATTAGGCAGGCGGACAGGCGGACAGGCGGACAGGGAGTGCGAAGGCGAAGGCGGAAGGCGAAGGTTGAGGGGAGGTAGGGGTTGGAAATAGAAGGAGAAGGGAAAGAATAAGAAGAGGAGAAGGACGATGAGGAGGAAGAGGAAGATGGGGAAGAGCGTGGGTTAGGGACTCTTGGTACATTAGGTACATACGAGTAACTGTACACAGTAAGAGTAGTGAACGGTACTCCGTATGTACATAGGTACTTAGGTGCCTAAGGATACATACTTGGAATTGGTACCCAAGGTGGTAAGGCATCTAAGTACCTACCTATAGTGGACTAAGTACCCACCACCCACCTAATGAACCGGGAGATCAATAGCAACCAACCTTAGGTACACAGTATGGTGACAGTAGACGAGACAAGGCAATAATCAAGTTACGAGTAACTAACTACTCCGTACCCTCGCTCGTATGAACAAGGAGGTTTTGTGTACTTGGCCAGATACTAGAGCGTGAGCTGCTTTTGTCCGTCTCGAGTCCTACTCTCTTTCATCCTCAATCCCCAGCCACGCGCGTAGTTACAACCACAAAGACTCTCAACTCTCAGTACTCCGCACTCCGTACCCCGTAGCTAATGATGAGTCGTGTTTGCAATACATCGCCTTTTAGTATTAAATTAGGTCAGTATGTTCTGTGTAATTGTACTGGTACATTCTGGTATTGTGCTGTAGTTACGGAGTAGTAGTTACTCGTTGGTACGGAGGGAGTAAGTATACTTGTACATTGGTACGAGGAGGGTGAGCCCGCCAAGCTTGGACTAAACCCGATTCGATCGGCCTCCCATTCATCCATTCCCATGCCCATGCCCATTCCCCGTCCGTCCAACAACCTCACTCACACACATTAGCACCATCACCATCACCATCACCACCACTACCAATACCACAAATACCACCATCTGCTTCGCATCACTCGCCATTTTCATACGCGCCCATTCTTCAACAACGCCCGCTTCCCTCCTTCCACGCCCTTATCGAACCCTTGCGCTTCCCCGTTGACCATCGGACGCGACTCAACTTCCTTTACCCGCACACCTCCATCGTCACCGTACTGCGAGCTCTGGCAGCTCGAATCAGCAATGAGGTAGGCTCATTATTGCAACAAACACACTCCCGCCATTCTCTGCGTTGCCACTTCCTCCTGTCGCCCCCGCGACTCTTTGCGATCCGTTTGCGCGACTACTTCCGCACACGTTACGCCTACCATCCGTGGCCCCTTTGTGCCCCCATATCCGACCATACCATACCACACGTTTCTGTCATCGTGACTTGTCATCCTTGAATCCCTAGTGGTGTCGCGCCCTCTGCTTATTGCCTGTTTCCTCGGAACTATAAGCTGCGTGAATCAAGATACAGTCGTCTTACAGCAAAAGTCCTGTGGAGGAGGTTTCGCCCAAGGTCGCGGAGAGCGACAGGAGCGGCGACCGCGCCGAAGAGCTGGAAGACCGAGGTCAGACTATGGTAGGCGTGCGCATCATGCCTAACAGCGGCGCGGACGCCCGAGACGGGGAGAGCAAGAAGCGTAATCACGAAGGCAAACTAATCAACGGTCAACAATCCCCACGCTCAGCTCTCACGATTCAAAATGGACCTAGCACAGCCGTCATGAACGGCACATCGTCTTCCAAATCACTTGATTCGGCGCTGTCTGGGCCTAATGAACTGGACGGACTACCTCCAGAGCTTGTACACATCACGTCCGAACACTACCATCCATTGTCCAGGCTGCTCGAACGCATCTCACTGGAATGTTTCAACGACCTTCAAGCCGTACTAGGTACCATGGCTGATATGCAGACAAGTCAACAATCCAACGGGCCGACCTTGAATGGACAGGCCGGCCATGTCAATGGTGCACTGGAGAACTCCGAAATCAACAAACAGAAGAAGATGCTCTTAATACAGTTTGCGCAAACGAACAGAGCAAAGTTCATCAAGCTTCTAGTTCTTACTCAATGGGGCAAGAAATCCTCTCAGGATCTCACCAAGCTGATAGACCTATTCGCATGGGGAAAGGAACAGGAAATGCACATGGACATGGTCGATAAACAGATCGAACAGTTCAAGATTGCTCTTTCGCAGGCTCGCCAATATAATCCTGATATCCGCACTGCATTACAAATTCTATCCACCGGAAAAGCAGAGTGGATTCCACATGTAAGCATATTAGCTTCGACTAATGTCCACTCTTATTTACACAATCGATCGATGGATTAACTCATTGTAGCTGGGCTATGTCCCCCCACAACCTGTCTCTTCATCAGGTGCTTTGAAATTGCTCCGGCACCTGAACACTACGGCCTCGATCCGGTTGAATGTTTACGATCAAGTCCCCCGTCCGCTTAAAAACTGGCATGTTGCGAATGGGCGGGCTGTCTTTACTGTCAGCTCGGAATTCGAAATGGAATTGCTCACATTTACCGAGGAGACTACTGAGCAATGGCATTTCATTGACCTCCGGTTACTGTTCTCGCCTGCGCCGGTCATTGATGCTGAGACATCACGATTCTGGGCGAATTTCAAACCCCACGTTGATAAGATCTTGCGAGACTCTGGGCTCCAGGGGTGTTTCGAATACCTCCACAACTTCGTTCTTACGCACAAGATAGCCATACTCAAGTCGCAAGCATACCAGCTTGCTCGATCTGCATGGGCTGGGGCCATCAAAGTCGAACCTGTGCATCGTATGCTCGTTGTGCAGTATTGGACCGACAAACCGGGAAAGAAGAGCTGGGTCGAGATCGGAATATCCAGTTGCAAGCTCAAGGGTGATGCACCGTCGTGGCGCGGGCAGCCTGTCTCGAAACTCACAATTCGCTGGTTCCGTCAAGGGACACAAGTCCCTAATATCGACCTGGGAACCGATTTCCACCAACTTTCTTTCGAACGAATACTGAAGACAATCATCTCTTTACATATCAGATACCTATTGGGTGTCACTCGAGATGCGCTGTCACCCAAGATGCCTGTCACAGCGAAGTTTTCGGATACTGAGCCTGGTGAATGCTTGCTTGGGATTTCGCTTGGTCGGCCAGATAACAGAACAACTCTGTCCGTCGAGCCCGTTACTGGCAGATATATACTCAAGCCTTTTGCATCAATATCTGCCAAAGCAGAACAAACCATTAACCAAGCGCGAGATCCAGCGGCAAGCCATGCAGCAACGGTCACACAGCTTCTTGCACAGCTATTGCAAGACAACATCCAGCATCATGCTCAGCAGCTTGGCTGGAAACTGCAAACAAGACAAACTTTAAGGATCGATACTATAAGACAGTACACCACAGCTGGTGTTTTGCAGTATTCGCTCTACTGGCCACGTGGTTGGCCATCAAAGTGGGGGTTGGTCACGGTTATTGATGCTTCCGGTGAGAACTGGTGGTTCTTTGAACTCGGCACCAGGGGCACGGAGATCCGGTACAGCGAGCAGTTACAGTTGCATCAGCCTGGGCCTCGACCACCGATCTCTCGAGCTACCCTTTCTAGCATTGAGCGGGTAGCTGTGCAGCAGCTTGCCTTCTCTGTAACCCGACGGGAATGCCAGAAGCGGGAAATTCCACACACCCTAAATATGGAGCTTGTCCTGCCCTCTGTTGCCAGACATGCTGGTGCCACCCAGGGCTGCCTTCGCGGATGGGTCTTGCAGTTGCGTACGTCAGATCTACTGGAGACCAGCGCTGAGGATGGTACCTGGCTAGAGCCGTTTATACGAGTCATGTGTCAAGGTGTCAAAAGCGACAATGGGAATATTTGCCATATTGCTTCTGGAACCATGATCAAATCTGTCGCAGCACACATGAAGAAACTCATGTCATCTTCAAGGCAGTCACCCTTCACATTCTCTGAGAACGGCAACTTCGCTGTGTTACTGACCACACCATTTGGGGACGAACTCATCACAGAGCTCAGTGCGCGATTGCGTGATGTTGATAGACTTCGATCCTTCTCAACTACGCTCCAAAAGCGCAGGATGAGGCTAAAGTCATCCTCCCTGCAACATATTGGCTTTCAGTATGGCGGATCAAGTCTTGCAACTGTTGATTTCAGCAGCCACAGCAACATCAAAGTTGATTTTGGCATCGGAAATCCACAAAATCGCATTCGCACACATCTCATCGAGATGATTAATGAACGAAGCCCATTTTACCATCCCGGCTCTAGTCACACCGGGCTCGACCAGTTCTGTTCTACTCTTCTATGGACACGTCCTACTCTAGTAACACTTGCTGAACTAGAAAACATGACAGTCGGCACTGATGAAGGTCCGAGAGTTCATGTGCACGATGTCCGTACATACAGAATCACGTACGCAAATCCAGTGTGTTCATTTGATATTCGACTTCGGACGAAAGACGATAAGGCCGTCTGGCATATCGAAGACAACGACAAGAAGGCGCAAGATTCCAAACCTAGCTCTGAACGAAATCCAACCCGAAAACGCTTGGACTCGGTGAAAGTAGCACTTGGCGACTTGTTCAAGGGACAGGGAGATGGATGGTTTGGCGTTCGCTCTGGGCTCCTTGCCACCATTGATGGGGTACCAAATGCCCTACGAACTTTGCACAAGACGGTCAAGACCTGTGCAGTGGAAGGCGGCGCACTCCCGTATGCAGAAATCCCACTAGCGGCAGGACAAACGCCGCACAACGCCGCACACGGCCACGGCCAGTCTAAGGGACTCATCCCTTCGCAAGCTTCGCATAGAGGCGGGCAAGGTCACGCCATTCAAGGGGTGGTGTCCAAGCAAACAAACGGGAAGAGGCAGGACATAATCGAGATCGACTGATACTCGTCCAAGAAACCTTGGGAGGTCCTCATAACTTGCATAGCGTTCATTATTAATCTAACTAATCTTGCTGGCAAATTCATAGAGCAACTTCTTCTGAACAAAGGCTTATCATCCTTTGGTGGTTACTATGCGATACAACGTCCCAATGACGATAGACATTCCATAATGATGTGTTCATTCATCTTTTGATTTATCGAGAATCGTAGTACCACAATCAGATACTTTGGATTTTGGAATAGATTGTACAAGTGAGACTCTAAAAGCGTGCTGCTGCTACATTCCTGGCTATCGCATCCAATGCCTAGCTACTTTTACAGAATATTCATACCCCATGCATCATTACTGGAAGTTGAAAGCCGAGCAATGGGCTAGCTGTCTATCGGCCTTTCTTAACCCAGTCTTCTAATCTTTCCCTCGTCTCCTCTACCTTGTCCTGCACCCTATAGAACGTCATGCTACTGTGCGCTTTACCGGTCTCCAGGAACTTTGAGATTCTCGCTTTTGTCTTTAGATGAGCTTCCGCAAGCGCTGGGTAGCGTTCCTCATAGGTCCATGCCAAATCTCCAACATTTCTCATGGTGATTGGAAGGACCGCATAGGCTGCACCAATACCGATAGCGGCCGGGACCGATGCTCGCAATATTATGTTACGGTTTCGTGTCAGGATAGAACCTGCCATGGATGCAACCAATACGTAAAGCGCACCCGGGAAGATCTTCTCGCCAGACTCCTTTGGTGGTGCAAGGGAGCGTATGGTGGACGTGAACGAGTGCTCCAGGCGAAAGGTCTCTGTCAGTGCGTTGTTGATAGAGTCCTCCGCGCGGGTTGCTTGTCGGTAGGCTGCGAGTCGAACATGGCCAATTTGTACCGCCAAACGGTCGGTGGGTGTTGGGCGATAGCTTTCCGAGTCAGGGACGATCGATGGGCTAGCTGAAACGGCCGCAGATGATGATGTTGGTGTGATGTTTGAAAGAGAGGAATCATCGTAGATGGGTTTGCGGTGTGGCTTGGATTATTGAATGAGCGACTGATCTTCATGCGACAACAAGGAGAGAGAGCTTACGTCGTAGGGGGGTTCTTCAGCGTGGACCTGACGCGGTGAATTGAACAGCATGCCGGCGCCTACAAGAGCGGTCATGGCCGGGACGACGGCGCGCTGGAGATAAATACAATAAGTCAAGCGCTGCGAATGGCTTCATCAATTGAACATACCTGCTGCAACAATGGTCTGAACACCATATCGATTGTGGATGGGGCGCAATGGATGGTCGTAACGGACGGGTGGTGTGGTGAGGTTCTGGGGATAAAAGGAACCTTGGAGGATGAGGCGGCCCGAGCTTTTGTCGGCTAGTGTGAGATAATAAGTATCTACATACACAGTATTGAGTACCTAACTTTACACAGTAACCTACCGACACAGTACAACTTACCTACTTAGATAGGTAATTATTGAATTTGCATCCTCATCCGCATCGTCATCGTCATCGTCCTCCTTACCCGCGCTCACAACTACATCGACACTACCACACCTCCATTACTTTGCAACGGAAAATTTGTATGGAAACTTCGGACATCCACCTATTCCTCTTCCTATGATTCGTCCTCGAGCGCCGTTACACAATGATCAAGCGTTTGGCGCGGGTCAAACCCAATCCATGGATATGTTCCCAATGTCTCAAGAGTCGAAATCGAACCCAGCGACGATGGAACAGTTCTATTGCCGCGACTGCAACGACCACCCCATCCCCGAATTCACACAGCCCTGACTTGTCGGCCTCGCTCTATGGCCTCGGAACGTCTCAGCCGAAACGAGACGATGAAGACCTGCGCAACCTCTTCGACAATTCAGGCTTCTGGAAGGAATTCCGGCGAGGTTCACACAAGAACCCTCCGACCGGAATCGTTGGAAACAGATACCTGACTGATCCCAGTGGCTTCCTCGACTTCGTCACCATCACCTTGCAAAGATGTGAGGCAGTAGTCAGGAAGGTCAGCGCCGCCAATACGGTGGAGGAATATAAGAGTATGGTGAAGGATCTGGATAGACTGAGCGACCTACTTTGTAGAGTCATAGATCTGGCCGACTTTGTGCGAGGCACACATCCTGATCGACAAATACAAGCCGCTGCTTCCAAAGCATATGCTACCATGTTTCAATACATGAATCAACTTAACACGACCACAATTCTTAACGACCAACTCAAGCGCGCAAGCGCAATACCAGAAGTATGGGACTCATGGTCTGACCAGGAGCGCGTCGTGGCCAGGATCCTCATGGAGGACTTCTCAAGATCGGCTATTGAGCTAGCAGAGGGCGACAGACAGAAGTTCGTTGATTTAAGTAATCGAATTGCGCATGACGGTTCCGAATTTGTAGATCGCATGGCCCCCGAAAAACATATTCTATCGTTCAGCAGCAAAAGGATGCGAGGCTTGGACCCAAACATGGTTCGCGCCTTAACTTCCTGGGGTGAGACGAAGATTCACACACTAAACCATGAAGCGCAATTGGCATTGAGATACGTGGAGGACGCTGATGTTCGGAGAGACATCTACATGGCTGTAAGAACGGCGAACAAGCCCAGCATTCAGCGGTTGGAGAAGATGTTGAAAAACCGAGCGCAGCTCGCAACGCTATCTGGTTATAAAACATTCGCGCACATGACTCTTGAGAATAAGATGGCAAAGTCTCCCGAGGCTGTGAATCAGTTCCTTTCTGCACTCATCGAAGACAATAAGCCAAAGGTCTACAACGAACTCCAGGAGCTGATCGAGTTGAAAAATGGAGACGCGAAGACAGAAAATTTCCCATCCCAAATCAATGCGTGGGATAAATTTTACTATACGCACCGCCTGATCTCTGCCATGGACAACAAGATCCGGCAACCTGATTATCTTTCAGCCTACTTCTCCGTTGGCACCGTTATGCAAGGTCTTTCCCGCCTGTTCGATCGTCTCTATGGCATACGGTTGGTGCCTCGTGAGACGCAACCGGGCGAAGTATGGGATGATGATGTCCGTCGACTAGACGTGGTTTCTGATACTGATGGCCACATTGCCGTATTGTATTGTGATCTTTTCGCTCGTGAAGGCAAGACGCCTAATCCTGCACATTTCACATTGCGATGCTCGCGCGAGATTAGCCCCTCAGAGATCGAGTTTGCCGCCCATACAGCCCATCCTTTTTCCTCGCCTGTCGAAGCTGCTACAGATGGCATGCCCGTGGCGTACAACAAAGAGACAAACACCTACTTCCAGTTACCCACAATCGCCCTCATATGCGACTTCTCTAACAACTATCATCCCCGCCCTACGCTTTTAAATTTTAACGATGTCCGGACTCTCTTCCACGAGATGGGCCATGGCTTGCATTCTTTCCTGGGTAGGACTCCGCTACAAAATGTGGCAGGCACTCGGTGTGCTACTGATTTTGCAGAACTTCCCTCCGTTCTGATGGAGCACTTTGCTTCATGCCCTTCTGTTCTATCATTGTATGCTCGGCACTGGGAGACTGACGCGCCTCTTCCTATGTCTGCGTTGGAGCAACGTCTTGCAATCGATACGCGCACCCAGTCGGCCGAGACGGAGGCCCAGATCCTGCTTGCTATCCTTGATCAGGCGTACCATTCCTCATTGCCGCTTTCACCATCCTTTGATTCCACGGAGATCTACCATCGCGTCTACAACGAGCATGCTTCCATCCCTGAACCCCAAGGGACTGCGTGGCAAGGGTTCTTTGGGCATTTGTTTGGCTACGGGGCTACCTACTACTCTTACCTATTTGACCGTGCGATTGCAGGGAAAATCTGGACTGACGTCTTCCAGCACAGTGGCAAGGAAGGTAGTGTGAGTAGAATCAATGGAGAGAGGTACAAGAATGAAGTGCTTCGATGGGGGGGTGGCAGGGACGGTTGGGAGTGCATCGCAGGCGTGCTTGGAGATGAGAGGCTGAGGGATGGTGGAGAGATGGCAATGAAAGAGGTGGGAAGATGGGGTGTTAGAGGATAGTTGATCACGACGTATATAAACGGGTGCCGCATCCAGAGAAATGCCAATTGAATACTCCGTACACGTTGTCGATAGAGAAGAGAGAGTCTGAAGATTGATTATAGTAGCAATTGAACCATGCTCCAAGTGCTTGCGAGTAAGTAGTCGAAAGCAGTTCACTTGCACTTGGAATAAATAGGTAGGTTGGTAGGTGGGTGGGAGAGTACGTATCTCTTATGTACTATTTACTGTGTAGGAGCGCAGTACAATACCCTAGACGTACCCGATGGGGTAGTAGGTGGGTGGGTGAGCAAGGTGAGTCCCGGGTAGCGTGGGTGTGGAGCCACTCCTCGTCCAATAGTGTGCACCAGATCAGTTCTCAAAGGCTACCAACCGTGCGAGCTTTTTTCCTAACGAAACAATAACAGCACGACTTCCATCCATTTCAAAGGGTATATATATCCCAATATTGACAAAAATCCATTGCACAGTGTCAATATATGTTCTAATTCATTTCTTGCCTTTTACCAGAAGTGACAGCGTATATGACATATCCTGTGCTAAGTAATCTTTGGAAGAGCACTGGGTTCAACCCAGGACTGGAACTTTTTTTGCCTTTTTTTTGCCTTTTTTTTGCCTTTTTTTTGCTTTTTTTTGCTTTTTTTTGCTTTTTTTTGCTTTTTTTTGCTTTTTTTTGCTTTTTTTGCTTTTTTTTCCCTCTTTTTTTTCGAGACTTTTTTCTTCCTGTGTCCACCTACCTAATTATTTCACTTAACTAAAGGAATCCTGTCATTTCCATCTCTAGGCAACCCATACTCTTTGCGTTAATCCCTGTTGTACACTGCTTATATGTTCACTTCCTTTTATAAGGATTACAGTGCTGATCTGTATGCATCTATGGTATATATTCTTCAACATCATTTTCGTTTAATTGCGCAACATGCTTGAACTAGCGACATTTATTATCCCTCTATATGTACGAGTGTTCCATGAGAATGTTTGCCTTCATTTACATCACAACATTGTGGCTCCGACCGTCACCATACAGCCCATGATTCAATCGGATGCAGTATTATATCAACACTTCATCTTGATACCTTGTCGTTTCTCTCGTTCTCTCCACTCGAACATAACTTGAACTCCTGTGAACAACGCGCCGCAGGCTGTGCAGAGGAATGCCATGCCAGAGTAACTCCCAAGGATGCCTTTGACCAGGTCTCGAAGGCCATCCAAGCCCAGAGCAAAACCGACGAGGTTCGCAACCATGAGCATAAGAACTTCTGCAACGGCCCCAACACCGCAGAGCCAACGGTAGGTCGTCGGCCGTTCCTTCCAGTTACGAGCTGGAAATACAGCGCCTGCGATAAGCTCTGGTAGCACAAAGATGGTGACCAACCAACCCCACATCAAAAGCCTCAGCTGGATGTCGTGCCATATGGCTATGAAGGTGAAAACGGTGAGGTAATTAAGAACAGATCTGCCTCTCCCCCAAAACCCAGGGGTAGCACTACCCCCAAGAGGAATATAGAGATAGCGTAGACTCCACTTATTGAAGCTTCGGTGCCATCCTCGCCAAAATTGCGTCAGAGAGTAATTGTCACTCATGCAGCGCACCATATTCTCCGGGGGATCGATGCCATCCAGCAATGCCCAAAGACGAAAGAGTCGCCAAGGAAGGAGAAGCTTTAACCATATATGTTTAAGATTGAAGAATCCCAGCATGCTGAGCTGGGCAGGTGTGTATTGATTCCAGTCTGGTTTCGCATGGAATATAGCGACCATGTACATGTAGTGAATCATGATTTCCATGGTGAGAAGACAGACAATGAAGCGTACGGTGTAAAGCATGGTCCTCCTGAACGCTATGCTGTGTGGGCGGTAACGAAGTTGCGACATGTAATCATTGAAGGTGATGACAGGACCGGCAAGGTATAACGGCGAGTACATAGCGTATGCAAAGTAATTGCGGAAGCAGAAGTCACCAGCTCTCGCCGGAATTGACACCCGATCTCGCTCGGAAAGATTGGATGGATCGAGTTGTTTCTTCTTGATGTCATCAGCTTTGCAATCTTGTGGTGGTGAAATCATGTACCCACCTCGATAGGGCTCGCAGACCGAGGGTCTAAACTCCAGTAGTAATCCAAGTTGAAGCTGATAAGCCGCAAAACCGTGAAATTGAACAAAACCTCCCATCTAGGAATGAGACCCCCGTAGCTATCGAGCACATCGCCGATATGTGAGGTAGGCTCGCCTGTCTCGGACACTCGCGATGTTGGGAGGATAAACGACAGTATAGAGGCATATGAATAGCCGCTGCACAGCTCATTTGCAAAGAGAATGCCAACATTGAAAACCCATGTTGCTACAGGTATGTACTTGCGGGGTACGGCTTTACATATCTTGTAGTTCAGGGCAAGGATCGCCAGGACTTTGAATATAGATAAACCGTGCAGAGCTATTAGGAAAACCGAAGCGAACGGAATGTCGAAAGAAATTCTTTGCTCAAGGCGTGCTTCGGCCGCAGCTGCAGCGGTTAAGCCCTGCGTTAACTGCCCAGCAGATGAACGCACGTGCGTATAGGTGTCTGCTCTCCAGAACGAGTCATACGCCTTTCGCAATAGCGGATGCAGCAATATAACAAGGAATAAGAAGGGAAGATTTTGACGGAAGCCAGAGTACTGAGCATCGGAATTGTCCTATATAGCTTTAGCCAGAAAGGACTGCATGTCTCAACCTTCGAACATACCACCTGGCGACCGGGAATCCAACCTTGAGAAAGCAGATGAGAGAACTTGTTATAGTTTGGATGCGATTCTGCATCAATTCAGATATGCAATTCGATCTTCAAAGAAAGGGACATGAGGAAACAAGGGGGAACCCCTACCTTGGGACACTTCAATTACAGATTTAAACATACAGGGGACGCTGATTCCTATGACGAGATAGTACAGGTAAAACTCTCTCGTTTTCCACAGCGGTCCCTGCGTAGCAAAATCTGGTGTCTTCTCGGGTGCCGAATGACTCTGGACTTGTCCTGGCTTCGCTGGTTCATGGTTGGCATCTTCCAGAGCCTCCTTTGGAGATACGGTGGCTGGAATGATGAACCGAGTATCCAAAGTCGAGAGCGAAAAGAGTTCGGAAAGGGTCTTTAATGACATGACGGATTTATAGTAATGCCTTGACCATGCTGGAAAATTCCGAGAAAGGTGAATCGCTTGGTGTTGACGAATATCCTCACCTATCCTATTGGAATGCTCGTAATTATCATGGGCTTACAGCGATGTAGGTCCAGATAGCAGTATGAGTGAGATGAGTCCGCCTTCAATGTAGTATTATGTATTATGGCAGTAGCTAGTATGGTGTTGTTGTTGTTGATGATGATGCTGATGATGGGAGGGTATGAGGTTGGGTTTGAGAGCAATGTGTTCCGTACACTAATCAGAATAGTCTAATATCCATACCAACGTGAGTGGCAGGCGCGCGCCCCAAGCGTCAAAGTTTGGAACTGTTGCGACGCGCCCCGTCCATCAACGACCTCCCCTCCTTCCCACCCCCCCAACACCCAATCCCATCCACATCAAATTTCGCTACCACAATCGCAGGCTTGAGATTTAGGTGAGCCTGCCTAACCATTGACACGCCCGCAACTCATCTGTTCATGTGCCGAGTGGTGCACTTCTAAGGAACAACATTGTCCGCTATGGCTTCAACCAACGCGCCCGCTGCTGAGTATGCTGGAGGTGCGAAACAACACCCTTACCTTGACCACGAATCGCTCAATTTCTGACTGTAGCTAGACGAGGTATCTGCCATTGTTCTCGACCCGGGTTTCTCTACCATCCGCGCCGGTTTCGCAGGCGAGGACGTCCCCAAATCCGTTTGCCCTTCTTTCTTTGGCTACACCGACGCCGAGTCCGACTCCAAGTCGCAGTTCCTCTTCGGCGAAAACGCGATCCATACTCCGCAAGCAAATCTACAGATCAAGAACTATTGGGGCTCTGACGGCATAGTGGAAGATTGGGACGCTGCAACCAAAGTGTGGGAATACGCCATTACCTCCCGGTTGACCAGTACGAAGCCAAGCAATCCCCTGCAGAACGGCTTGAACGAAGGCTCTAATGGGAATGGCGATACTATGGACGTCGACATCGAAAACGTGGAGCAGGCGGAGAAGCCGCTTGAAGACAGTCCATTGCTTATGACGGAGCCCGGCTGGAATTCTTCCAAGGCCAGAGAGAAGTGTATCGAGATCGCGATGGAAGAGTGGGGGGCGCCGGCCTTCTATCTTCAAAAAACAGGAGTTCTAGCAGCATTTGCCTCCGGGAAGGCATCGGGAATCATCATTGATATAGGCGCCTCGCACACCTCTGTTACGCCCGTGCTAGATGGAATGGTCTTGCGAAAAGGTGTGCAAAAGTCTCCCTTAGCCGGCAACTTTGTCTCCAACCAGATTCGCATGCTCTTCAAACAATCCCAGCCAGAGATTCCGTTGACTCCACACTACACGGTGAAGTCAAAAGTCCAGGTCGATGCCGGCGCACCGTCACAGGCAACTTACAAGACTTTCGATTTACCTCCGACTGACTCTTTCCGCCGTCTTGAAGAAGAACGAGTCTTGACCGAGTTCAAAGAGTCGGTCGTGGAGGTATGGCCTGGCCCACAAAGGTTCAACATGGGACCGAGTGAAGAAATCGCCAAGAACCAGCCAGGAAGGCCGTTCGAGATGCCCGACGGTTGGAACCAGGTTTTCACGGCTGATAGGTTCCGCGTCGCTGAGGGCCTTTTCGATGCCAGTGCCGCGCTGGTCGATTCGGATAACCCACGGCCCAAGGATGAGCACACAATCTCACGCCTTGTACAAGCTGCCGTCCAGCAAGTGGATGCTGATCATCGCCCCATGCTCTTGGGTAACGTTGTGGTCACAGGAGGGTCCTCCTTGTTGTATAAGCTCAACGAACGCTTGACGCAAGAAATTAATACAATCTATCCATCAACGCGAAACAAGTTGATTGCACCCGGCTCGGTGGTGGAACGAAAGTATGCGGCGTGGATCGGTGGTAGCATTCTTGCCAGTCTAGGAAGCTTCCATCAACTATGGATATCTAAGAAAGAATACGAGGAACATGGTGCGAGCATTGTGGAGAAGCGGTGTAGATAGACGCATCTTTTTGGAACATTGAATCGGAGTATACAGGCGTCTCAGTGTGAACAGTATAGTGTGGGCCTTCAAGGGAGTACGAAGCCCCACCGAGTCTGGCCCAGGTAATGTGTAAGGATAAGTACGGCAAAATTCCATTCGAATACTCTTCCCCATGGTGGTAGCATGAGATCGTCTGGATGTTAGAATTATCTCAGTATTCAAAATGTTTATCGGAAGGTTGATTTTAACAAATTCATATTCATCAGCCATGCATGAGTCTCTTTATCTAATGACTAGCAAGGGACCTCTGGAACAACCATGCCTCGGCCTAGGTCACATTTACTTTGGTGTAGAATGATCTACCAGAGCTTGCACTGGCTCCTATGGCCACCAGATATGGGATTCGAGCTCACTGGTCTACGTCCATGGTTTCTGCTGTGGCAGCTGCACCGTCGTCCTTCAACTCATGAACTGTGACGTATTTGCTTATCTCCTCCCTCGTGATTATCTTTTCGTTGAGCACTGCCGTTGTACCCTTTGCAAATCGGTAGTTCCTCTGCTTTGGCTGGCGCACGTTTGGTGTTATGTAATTCCTGAGTAGTGTTGTCTTCTCTTCAGTAATGACTGCCACGTCAACGTTGCTACCAGACCCGAGATCATTCCAGATACCGGCTTCGATTGCATCCGCGCAAAGCTTTACGGCGTCGTCCCTAGTGAGCTTGCTCTTCCACTGCGTCTCAAACACCGACATGGCAGCCAACGATCCGGAGCCCATCGTGACGTACGGAAGCTTATCTGTAGAACCGTGTGCGTGGACGGTGAAGAGGTGCGCGCCAGTAGGATCAACGCCAGCCACGACTAGATATGCGCCCACATGGCCTTGGTATCGGAAGAGGTGCTGTTTCAGCATAGTCATGCATGTGACAACGCGTGGCTTGCGACCGGTGGACAGCGAGTGTAGTTCGAGGTTGGAAGATATGATGGCTGTGGTGAACTCAGTGTCAGCGGCAGTTCCGGCACCGGCGCACCATATCTGAGGTGCAATGTAGTGCAATTTCTCGCAATTCTGTGCATCTTGCAGTTAGCCAACATCTCGTTCCTGGACAATTGCCACAGCGACATTGTGCATGATATGGATTGGGGTCCTGGAGGACAAGCGGCCTACCTTATCTGCCACAATAGGTCCGCTCGTGGCTCTTGTATCGGCAGCGATTACGACACCGCCATCGAAGAGACAACCCACGATGGTTGTTCCAGTACTCGTAGCTTTAGGTAGCGGGACTCCTTGAGCATGGAGTGCGGCATTACGGTTGTGGTTGCTGAAGTCGAATCCTGCCATGGTGTGAAAGCAGCAGAAGGCTCGTCAACGGGAAATCCTATCGTTGGCTTGTGATGTAGAGTGAAAGGACGCGTGGTAATGGCGGAGATACTGTGGTGGAGAGCGGATGCCGATGCCAATAGTGGTGGTGGTTGGTAGTGGTGATGGTGATGTAGTTAAGAGTGAGAGTGAATGTCTGTCTACGCAGTAACTAGGTAGGGGAAGGTTGCGTAGCTGATTGGTGCCTGCGCGGGGTGAGCAAAAGGTCCAAGCTCCTCTACCTTAGGGTAGTTAGCGTAGGTACTGTACTAACTACCTACACAGTAAGGTACGAGGTAGGTGCGCGGGTACTTTGCTACATACACTCTGGGTCTTGGCATTCTCCGGTCCAAACATTTCATTCCAAACTTACCTACCTACCTACCTACGGCCTGCCTACCTACCTAGTACCTCCACATACACAAGAGAAACAATTCGAGCTGCCTTTTGCTCTGTGTTATGTTACAATAGAGAGAGCGTCATACCTACCACATCTCCTCTTCGTCCGCAAATTTCCATCAAAGACTTTCAGCGCCCCCCTCCCCAAGTTCACCGCGACTAGCAACGCGCGACTCCTGTCCTTCCTCTGCGTTCGCCGCGTCCTCGTCCTCCCCAAATCTGTAACGACGGATCCCCAATGCGCATCTTATACCGCTAGACTGCAAGACCTATTCCGCGCAAGATCCAACCATAGCACGTCGCGCAAGCATGGCCTTCCGGGACGCGCCGTCTCTCAACGTCGGAGCCGAGCTGGAAGAAATCAATACAGAGGTACAGTCGTTCTCATGCACAGTGACTCAGGAACTATCACGGTATTGTGTGCTTCGCTAACTCACAGCATCAGGCACTCGGTTTTTCTTCCATCGGCGGCGACAAGAAGCTCAAGCTCCTATCTTCACCATGGCCTACGGACAGCCTGCCTCCTTCATCCGCATCTCTCTTGTCTGTAGCGTCAGCGCATCGCTTGCTCGCCGCGGCTGGGCCCGACTCTCTGGTCATCACATCAACAGATGCTGTGCGGAAAGCATTCGCTAACGAGTCTGGCGACGACGATGTTATATCCACATTTGCTCCCGATCTCATCCTTTCCTCGCCTCGACTTCGCCATGTCTCTTTCTCGTGCGACGAAGATTTCTTGGTAGCAACAGCAGACAACGGTGGAGGTCTAGCTGTGTACACTATTGACGAATTGGAGAGGAAAATTCAAGACCATTCGTCGCTTATTTCTCCCACCGAGATATCAACAGAGCAGATCCCAGTGCGGACCCTCTTGCCGAACCCGAAATTCGGCCAGTACTTTGCTGCTGTCCTCGATACTGGACGACTTCTGGTCGCTGACGTCGACAGTAAGAAGGTGTCGGTTTTCCGCGACGATGGTGTTACGTGTGCGGGCTGGAGCATAATGGGCAAGGCGGTGGTGGCAGGTTTACAGGACGGTACAGCTGCCCAATACAGCGCCGAAGGAAATATAATGGCTACGATCCCTCGTCCACCTGACGTGCTTGAAAGCTACATAAGTACGTGTGAAACTCCCCTCTCAATTTTGAGTTCTTGATACTTACCCATCGCAAAGCATCGGGCATCTATTGGCTCAGCCGCGACGTCTTCCTCCTCATACATACACCTAGGGGTGATTCTTCCGATGAGTCTGTCCGAGAAGAATCTACTTATCACATTGTCAAGGCCGACAAGCAACGAAGCTCATTTGAATTTCATAAAACACCATTCGAGCTACTATTCCCTGCCAATGGGAGTCCGTCAAGAGATTCTCCTCCCCGCTTCTGTATAAATAGGTTACGCAATTGGGAACCGCATCTTGATGACCTTGTTATCTTAGGGGCATCGAATTCAATTGACTTTGCGCTCTTAACCAACACAAGTGCGCCCATTGCACCAGATCAGCACATCACGAATGACTTCACGGTCACGTCAATCAGCGAGGATAATCGTAAGCCTCAGCTTCCACAGATGATTGGCGATGATGCAGGGGGCGACAGCGTGCTCATTGGTGAGAGCGTCGACCTATCCAGCACGGATAAAGTTACCAAACCAATACCCATGGATGATGAGTTTCTGGAGTCCCCCAGCCCGCTTCCAGCATTCTATGCCCTCAACCACCAAGGCATCCTGTCTGGATGGTGGATTGTGTATGACAATTCGATTAGGGCAGGCACCGCATATCCAGGTCTTGCGTCCACCGTAGAAGCCCAGCCTACGACGCCTGCAGCAAATGTTGTACCAAGCGTAGCTCAGCCAGCCCAATCATCAATATTTGGTAGTAAAGGAACCCCAAGTGGCACCCCCTTTGGAGCTCCGCCTGGCTCAAATGGCTTTGCCACCAGCAGTGCTGCTTTTGGCAGACCTTCATTCGGAACCGCTTCAACACCAAGTCAACCTAATTTACCTACGTTTGGCGCGTCGTCTTCGTTCGGTAAACCTTCATTCGGGGCCACTTCAGCACCAAACCAAGCTAGTACGCCTACATTTGGTGCATCGTCTTCGTTTGGAAAACCATCGTTCGGAACAAACGCAGTGTTGGGTCAATCTACTGCACCTACTTTTGGTGCAACATCTTCCTTCGGAAAGCCTTCCACCTTTGGAGGAAGCAGCACACTTAACAAAGCCCCTTCTCCATGGGGCCAAGCAAGTTCAACCGCACAGTCCCAGGGCCAACCTCTATTTCCTGAGTCTAAGAAGAGTGGAGGTTTCTCAGGATTTGCTGCACCAACTGGAAGTTCGGGATTTTCCAGCTTTGGAAGTGTCGGTGCAAGTACGAATCAGTCACCATTCTCATCTCTTGGGCAAGGACAGCCGTCTTCTTCAGGCTTTGGGAAACAGAATGGTACGGCGCCTACCGCGACTCTCGACTCTGCGGTATCTAAAGGGTTCGGCAGCTTCAGCTCTACCGTGACAGTTGGCTCCCGAGAAGGATCTACATTGCCACCCTCCTGGGCGGGCACACCAGCAAATCAGAGTAGTTCGATTTTTGGTCAGGAACAATCCTCATTCAGTAGCGGTACAGATACCACAAAGCCCACATCTCGTGAAGAAGTAACGCCCACTCCTCAAGCGTCTTCTCCGCAATCTAATGAAAAACCCACAAGCGTTTTTGGTCTCGGCACAAACGGGTTCAAGCTCAGCTCTTCTTTTAAGCCTGATGAAACCTCCAAAAACGACTTTTCAAAAACCCAACCCTCGTCATTCTCTTTTACTGGCGACCTTTCATCTGCCCTTGGCGCACAGACTCCTAACACTCCAATCAAGGAGGAAAAAGAAGAACGAAAGTTGCAGGATATACCCGCTACACCCGCCTTTCCCTCAAGCGATGCTGCTGTCCCGTTACCTAGCGCCACACCGAAGGATCCACCTCCTCGCAAGTCTTCCTCACCAAATGCGAATGACCAACAATCGACTGATGTTGATTCTGCTCCCTTGCCTCCTGATTTTATAACATGGAAACCTTCGAAGCCAGTCGATGATGACCTTCCCCCTCTTGCAGGCAGTCCTGCTATCAAAATAGAAGCTCCGGGCTCCGATGTACCTTCTTCCCCCCTCGACGAGAATGACGACGACGATCTGTCAATCGAAGAACAAGAGGACGATCCTGAGGAGGAGGAACCTTCGCCATCGGATGCCACTCGACGCGCTCGCTCTCAAACGTCGGGCTGGTCTCTTCAAGACAGTGTGAACCAATCTCGACGCATTCCCCCCGCCGCCCCAACACCCCCAACCATCAAATCTGGTGCTTCGTCGCGGTCGGGTGATGAGCCCCGAGGCCCACCAAAGAAACCGGACTGGAAATTTGGCACACTACCCGCAAAGCCGACTCCACAATCTCTCTTTCCGGAAGCGCCTTCTGCACAATCTACGGGATTTCCTAATCCCTCAACCATATTCCCTCCATCAAATCGCACAAAAGACCAACTACGCTCTCCCAGTCCACAGAGGGCAGCGTCAACGTCTATACTAGGCACGAGGCGACAGCAGCAATATCCCCAAAGCACCGCGTTCTCTTCGTCGGTACAACAGCAACAACAACAACCGAAATCTGCAGTCGCTCGATCTGAATTGTCCGACCTATCTGATAGCGAGAACGAACGTATCCGCGAAGAGCTTGCCAGTGAGGTAATTCCTAGCAGCACATTAGCGGAGTTTATCGCGCATCAAGACTATGCCGGCGCAGTCACCAAAACGGGTACTCCTGGACAAATTGAAATGCTATATCGAGATATCAACAGCATGGTGGATACTGTCGGTCTGAATAGCCGCTCTTTGTCATCATTTGTCCAATACCATATAAGTCGTTCGGAACGATCACGTGCAGACCTTGAAGAGGTTGTTGATCAGGGCGAAGACGGATCTTGGTACGATCACTGGTGCTTAGGGGAGATTGAAAACCTACGAATGCTCATAGATGACTTGGAATCGGAATTGAAAGACGGGAGGATCCAGAACGTTGTTGACAAACTCAGCCAACTTACTAAACTTCTGCGTGATCGGGCCAAACTCCTGACAAAATTAAATGACATCCGCCGCCAAATCATTTCGCGTAAAGACCCTGAAAGGGCCGAAGAACTCCGTACATCAGCTCTTCCGAAGGAGCTCTCTGATCAACAGAAGACATTGAGGATTGAGTATGCTCGGTTGCTCACTTTATTGGGCCAGATGGAGGAAGCGACACTTCTATTGAAAAGCAGAATTTCAAGCAACCATGCCGCCACCGGGAAAAGTACAGCCGTACCAACCGTAGAGGCGGTGAAGAAGACTGTCAATCGGTTGATACAGATGACAGAAAGCAAGAACAACGACATCATTCTTTTGGAACAACAAATGCGGAAGGTGAACATGGATGATAGCCGCCCTTCATCATCGTCGTCATCCTTGCGCCAGGTTGGCACCCCACCAAGATCCTCCAGAGCTGTAACAAGGCCGAACCACACACCAAGAGTGATGACAACACCTACCAGTCGAAATAGAATGAGTATTGGGAGATTGAACCGCAGCGTTCGGACGCCAGAGATACATCAGGCCTCACCTGGTGGGTTTGGGCTGTCCTACGGGACCGATGACATATCTCCCCTGGAAGGTGGTAAATCGCTGATAAAGCTCGCAGACCGCCTAGAGGGTGAGAAGCTAGGTATCTTGCGATCAACCGCCATGAGAAGACAAGAAGTCGCCCAAAATCTTGCAGACACAATTTGTCAAAAAGGCGTAAAAGTGACACGGATTTCATAAGAATGATTTCTCGGCGTTGCCATCTTTCCACAGTTCACTTACTCCCCAACACTCGAGAGAAGATCCGGAATTAACATGGTTTGTTCTTTGGTGCCTATGCTGTTCCACGTTCGTCTTGTGTAAATTACAGTACCAATATCACAAATTAGCTAGTGTTTAGCATATCAATAAGTTTAATTCTGGATCACCTGTCCCTATCAGATCCCATATCACAACCCTCATCCACGGCACCAACACTACCCAATACGTATAAAGCGCTTCACATGAAGCGCTTTCTTCGTACAAGCAATGCTTATCGCAGTACCACCAGCAGTTGCATAGCCACGCTGATCAACTTTCAACTGCTCAACTACCCCGATGAGTCATGGAGTCTGGTCCTGTGACCCTCGTGAAGTCGATGACTTGAACACAGCCAACCATTCCTCTGGCAGCGATTTTCGGTACATCATCCACGCATTGATAACATACTTATTTTATTTTAAAAAGTTCACAAAACATTACGGAAGAGTTAAGGCGATTTTGGTAAGCTGCACGATGTACTTCATTAATTTGACATCAAGGCAATTGATGCTTAACTCTTGTTAGAGTAATAGCGAGAGTAGGTAAAAGCATTTTGCGCACTTAATTTGCACAGCATAGAGAATACAAGAATAGCATTTATCTATCTGTATCTGCAGTGTAAAACCACCGCCATGGAATTGAATTGAGTAACTGGATGACCATCGCGAGGTGTCAGGTGTGGATGGGCCATTTATCAGCTGAACCAACGGTGAGGCTTCACTCAATGACTAGTGTGCGCTCTGTGACTTCCTTTGCTGCAGCAAAGTTGCCACTCAATGAATAGATGGTTTGAATGGCAAACGCTGCCTCTGCAGTAAAATCATCTGTTCTCTGCTTGGGCTGTGCATATTCGTCTGATACAATTCCCGTCTCCTGGCTGCCAATGTTAGACTCAATACACAACTTGTAGTATTGTAGCGCTTGGGTTATAAGTCCTAGGCTATGCCAAACTCTGCCAACATTGAAAGCCGCTTCCGAGTAGTGCTTTCTATTTGTGCTTTTGGTGCGTAATTCATAATACTTGTAGACGAATGAGAGACCTTGTTGGATCTGAAATTGCCGATTCTCCGACAACCGTTTCATCGCGTGCTGAATGTACGCGACGCCAATGGATAGGTTGAGCAGTGGATCTTCTGGAGTAAGAGCATATGCCCGAAAGTAGCAATTAAGGGCAGCTAAGTAGCCACCTCCGCACGTGAGGACATGTCCGTACAGTGCAAATAAGGCCGGGTCGTGGTCTTTCGCAAAATCAACGAATTCAGAAGACACTGTGTTTTTCGTGTTGTTGGCATGGTCGCCACCTCGAAAGTTGAAGGTCGTTCGTTGTTCAGGATCAAGTATCGCATAGTCCATGGTCTTAACGTATCGCATGAAGAATTTGAGTGATGCGCCGGTGGAAAATCCTTCTGGAGCAGAACACATACGGTTGACGCTACCGTAGATCCTGAAGAGATCGGTACTAAAGGGATATGCACGCATGAGCCAGCGGGTTGCGGAGCATGCCTTCAACGAGTCTTGGAGGAAAAGGGCACAGGCAAGTTGGCAAACGTGGAGCCGGTGCTGGTAAATCTTTCGAGTAAACACATTGGACTGACTCGCTAACTCGATAGTACTGTAGCATCGATGTTCGTCGCCCCTTTGGGCCATAAGAACAGCGTACTGGGCGAAAGTTTCGAACCAGGTGTCAAAATGGACACCATAGAAATGCTCTGGCGTACGATCTGGCTTTTGTGTGATTTCGGGCTCCTCTTCCCCGTCTTCCACCTTGTTTGCAATCACAGCAAGCACCATTAGCGCAGAATCCTTCCATATGTCTCCGTCAATCTTTGGTCGAAAATACCCTGTGAACTCATGTTTTTTATCGTAGTAGAATAAGTCAAACGTGGAAAATTCCTCGATGAGTTCGCGAGCGACAGAAATATACTCATTTACTGCTTCCTCTGACCCACGCTCTGCCTCGCTCGAGAGGACTTTCAGTCGTTCAAAGCTGGCGACGATGTCTCTATGTTGCGCTCTTGTTGCCTTCAGCTCCTCCGGAAACTCGCTAGCTAGGTTGTTTAGTTTTCGTCTGAAAAGCCGATGGTTAATAGCATCATTAGGTACACCTGTGCCGGGAATTTCATCTGGTAGAAACGCTTTCAGATGACGTCCTGGCATCCGATTCTTCACGCGGAACAAGCCGGTGTCCGGCCGTTGTGTCATTGGCCCCAAGGAAGGTATTTGGTCGACATGCTCATCTTCTGACTCATCTATATCTTTCGTGGCAATCTTCAGGTGGCGCAAATGCTTTGTAACTCGGGTTCTCCTTGTACCATGCTTCCCTCGGGCTTTCTTTCTCTCCTGGAAAAGGTACTCCTGGAGATCTGGTAGACCCTCAAACCCGATCCTTCGAAGTAAATGGGCACCACCGCTCTTGTATACAGTCTCGGCTCGTCTGAATGCAGCATCGTCCATGTCATTGTCCTCGAAGAACTTCGCTAGCACAGCCAGTTCCTCAAGCGAATCGGGCCTCCAGTTGTCGAAAATCGGTAACATTTCATCTGATCTATCGACCAGTTGCAGGTTCCTGTAGGAGCTATACATTCCAATGAAATCCTTCAGCCTCATTTCCTCGAATAATTTATCATAGACAGGCTCATAGAATTGCAGAGCCTGGTTATCGTGTCCAGATGCATGAAGTGCTCCCGCAACGTCGCGGAAAAGGTCGGGATAGTCGAATAGAAAGGAGTGTGGTCCATTATCATCAGGTTCAAGCATTCGGAAGTGATGCAACGCCTCCGATAAATCAGGCGGATCACGCTTCAACCGGAACAACCCCATTTTTACTCTTATCTCTAACGGCAGTGTGTCGCCGTACCTGCCAGTAGCAGACGAGCTAGTGAAGGCGGCAACAGCAACGCGTCTCGGGGTGTCCCCAAGGTCAAACTCTCGATCATCCAACTGGTCATCCCAATACGTCTCAGATTCTCTACCTTGGATCCATCGGGATAACGTTTTCGATCGCGCTAAGCCACGATCGAACGCGCCAGATTTATCCAGTAAATCCAAATAAACATTGAGCAATGACCAATCCATATTACTAGAATGTGGCTCGTCGTGAGACAAAAAATACGCAATAGAGGTTTCAAACGTTGTGATGATCCTTTGTAGGTGAATTCGCGTTTGTTTCGCGGATGAGGTGCCCAAGCTAGCCATCATCTTCAAAACTTCATCGTCAGATGGACGCATGGTAAGCATCTTTCGGCAGAGCTTTACGGCCCTGGAAACATGGTTCAGCTGAGCCTCAATTTCTAGTTTCTGTTGACGTGCGTCGTAATTATCTGTATCGAGGAGAATAATTTGTCGTAGACACTCGAGCACTAGTGCTGTTTTGGTGACAGTATCGTATTTTGGGTACTCCTCTGGGTCAATCGCCTTGATACGATCGATAATGTGAAGCCATAAATCTTTGTCTCGTTTCGTTGGTGCACCCACGATTAGCGCTTCAAGTTCTTTTTGCCCATTGCCCATATCATGGTAGATTTCGGCGAGTAGGCTGTGAGCAGCAAAGATCTCGGGGTTCAATTGAATCGCTTTGTTCACACACTTGATTGCTTCCTCGTAATCTTTGGATAGATACGCATCGTTTGCCCGTCTCTGTAAATCTTTGAATTCTGGTCCAGGGTCCGCAATCGCTCGAGGGCCCCGTCTTCCTTTCTCTTTGCCTCTTTTCCTCCCGACCTCTCGATCCCCATCACCTGTGAGTGTAGAACCACGGGAACCGCCCCTGCCCCTAATCGCAGATCTACCTCGGCCCCGTCCTCGGCCCCGTCCGCGACCTCTGCCCCTGCCCCTACTTCCTGTGGTTCGTGCCCGAGATGCCCAGTTCTCATCCTCAACATCATCCTCTTCTTCAGCTTCTTCATCTTCTTCAGGGGATTCTTCCTCGGGTAGCACTTCGTCGAAATCGTCCTCTTGATCGTCAGCATCAGATGTTGCGTAGTCCTGATCAATTTCTGGATTATCATTCTTGCGTTCAATTTCTCGCATCAGGCGCTCCTCCTGTGCCTCTAAGTCTGCTTCGTCTTCATCACTGCTATCTTGATCATCGTATTTCTGCAACAAGGAATTCCGATAGCCGGTGGCTAGAGACGAATTGAGGTCGTCAAAATCATCATCATTTTCGTGACCAGGGGCAGGAATGAAACCTTCGTGGACGATGGGGCTATTAGCTGTGAAACCGTCATGGATGAATGAGCGAAGCCTTGCTGCGTTGAAAGTAGTAATATCTGCAGCGGTAGTGCTTGGAACAGTTACTGCCACCGGTGTTGGCGTGAAGTCTGCCGCTGAGACTGGAAGCCGGGCATCTTGATATAAGTGTAGCGGCGGTCGAGCCTGATTACTATGCAAGAAATGGGCATTGAGGTGACTGGGATCTATAGTTCCAGAGGGGTAAGTATAGGGTGAGTGGTAGGATCCATGTAGTGAGTCGCCATGTGATCGACTATCGGGGAACTGTTGATTAGCTAGCAAAGTCCTTCCGGTGGCGCTGTTCGGCTGTTCCACGACGATGGAGTTTGCAACTGATACATCGGAATGGCCAACTGGAGTGTCCCCTATCGAGGATCGGAAATAGCGCGAATGTCGCTGCAACCATGCCGCGTCAGGTGCTTCTGCGGGATCCATTATCAAAGACCTATTTCCTTCCCTGCGCTCTGTTCCCTTAATGCATTTCTTTTCAGTCAGGCTGATTCACGAAATGCAGGTGATCAGTTCAAGCCACCAATGAGGGATTTGACAGCAAGATTGTTTCATTGCTTGGTGTATCTTCTGTTGGCGTTCTTTTGTGTTGGCTTTCGCGTGTGGGAAAGTTGCAAGAGGAGAGTCGGGAAACGAGTGAGATATGGCTTGGCGGACGTTGAAAGTAGCTCCATGCATTCTGCACTAGCGATCCACTCGTGCCACTGTTCGTGCGAATAGCAGCCTAGGTAGGCAATTGATTACCTCAGCCGTGCTTACCTACCTGGTAGTTACCTGGCTGGCAGGCCTGTAATTCATCATTCTCTAGTTCTGGTTTTGGTAACTGAGCCAAACCAGTTCGAAAGCATGTAATTACAGTCCTAGAAACTTTCTTTTCTTGGGTCGACCTGGAAGACAGGAGTCATTTTACTGTCACACGCTCGAGGTAATCTCTCATTTCGCTTTTGATCTTCTCCTTGTTACAGGCAAGACCAGAACATTTCCAGATTACCCATACTCCAAGCCAGTGTGATTATATGGACGAGAAGATGTAGTATCAAAAATGATCTAATTGTCCACAAGATGAATCCGAGCGATGGGCTGAAAAATAAGTGATATTTAACGAGTAAAGAAGCCTTTACCCACTCTCTTCGGTGCCATCAGTTTAATTACCAATGTTCAAATACAATGTGGAGTATACAGAATTGAGTTTCAATCCCATCAGGGGAGTCTCATATGCACAAAAACACCCATTGCCTCTTTCCCAGAATAGAACGTAGAACCGTAACACCTAGCAATGCTTCACATAGACAAAAGCTTATACATGCCCTTCTCGTCGATCTATGCCAACTAACTCATACTCTCCAGCTCCATCACGACCACCACCTCTCCCGGCATTCTCTATATGGCCCACCTCAGTATCCTCTATCGATTGATTTGTTGGTTGTCTAGCCTTGCCACCAAAATTAATGGGTCGTAATTCACGCCACTGACATGCCCAAACACCAAGAGACGTCATGAGTGTAGCGCTGCACAGTTGTAGGCCCCACCAGAAAAGATTGGACGGAAAGGCGTGTGAGTACAATGAGGTCACCACGAGGTGAATGAAGTGAACAGTAACCGCAAAATCGAGAACGAGCTTCGAGCGCGCTATGAGTAGCAAGATAAAAACAACACTGGTCTCTAAGTCAGCTAATGGGGAGCTTCGCTTTTCCCTATCGCAGGCGCTTACCAAGCCAGGCTGTTCAACAACCAAACCAGACCAAGAGTCCATCCAACAGTGGTATCGCCGCGGAGGCTACGCCAGCTGAACAGCAAATCGGCGCTGATTTCTTTTCCCGCTACCAAGGCTGTGAATATGATGAGAACTGCAGCGCAGGCATAGTAGGCAACTTGGAGGATTATTATCTGCGAAAGGATCCGGGTTGGCGACAGATCTGAGAGTGCGCCAGGTCGAGGCGGGCGACGTCGACGTGGCATCGGCCTTAAAGAGTCGATTTTGTGTCACTGAACATACACTCAAATAGCAAGTGATGGAAGATTATGGGGTAGGAGACGCCGTGTCTAGACGGGTGTTCATGCAGGCATACCCCGAGGGCCGGCTATTTGTTTCCCCGCGGCGGTCCGTTCCCCGACAGCTACCAACAATAAGAACATCACGCAACAAGAACCGCAGAGCATTAACACCATCGAATCAAGCACCAAGAGTGAGTTACTCTACAATTTCGATTAGTCGTTTTACTTTTGACAGACTTCCGACTGACTTGCAGGAACTTTGCATGAATTAGCCCTGCACTAGGTCATTTCCAAACCGAATCACATCATGGGCTGGCTACCGTGGAGCTCGTCAGACGGGAACGATGGCGTGAAGAAAACATCTGGTGGCGCTTTCGAGTCCCCCAGCCGGACAAACAGAGTCAAATGCTACGAAGCCCGCGACGCCTTTTTCGAATGCTTGGATCGCAACAAAATTTTGGACAGCATCAACACAAAAAACGGCCAGTCTGCTGCAACGAGAGCCTGTGGACAAGAAGACGTTGTCTTTGAAAAGAACTGCGCACACAGTTGGGTAAGTTCCTACCATGACACCTTGTCAGAATGCTATTCCGTCGTCGTAAAGTAAAGCTTACGATTACCTAGGTGGAATACTTCAAGAAACAGCGCGTCGTAAACTACCAAAAAGAGCAAACCATCAAGAAGATAGAAGCCGAAGGGGGAGATATCGTCGCACCACAATTACCTACCCGCCAACAGAGTTGATTCTATCATGATGGTTTGTATATTTTGTACGATATTTGTAATGAGTACGGAGCTACGAAACTTAAACCAAGACTGTATCATGTAGGTACTTATGATGTTCCCAGCCCAAGGTAACCTCCATTGATCCATTCCTCTGAGTCGAATACTGCTTCTGCCGGAAGTGCAAGGCGTCAGCATGTGATCATGCATATTGGTGCTGAGGTCATATCTATAATCTTTGAACAACTGCATCTCGTACGCCAACATTTGGTCACAATAGATATATACGCATTGCAGTAGGTACGATCTATCAATGGGAGAGTTACATTGCTCCTCAGTAAAATAGAGGCCATCCCTCAGGCATTTGAAGGCTGTGTCGTATGTGATCGAACGTACACGAGATACAGAGTAGTGTCCCATACTATCGATAGAGGAAAAGGGTTGTAATGTAAGAATAAGTGAACTGTGTGAAGGCGGTACGGGGTGCCATCAGGGGTCTACCGTCCTCCTACTCCATGTATTAAAGATGGTACGGAGTACGATATATCTTGGAATATCTCTATGCTTTAACTAGGAGGTGAATCATGAGTACGAGTAACTAACTATGGTTGAAACTGTTGATCCACGGGGCCAACCCGATGTGCCAACCCTCTCCTTTCGAAACACTTGGCGATGGAATGAAAAAAGGCACTACATTAGTGCCATCTATGAATTCTTAACTAACCGAAATAAGCCATGCAGAAAGTCCCATCGGGACTTGTGATATTCTTCTCAGAAGAAGATCCTAATCGCTCATTGGTGAAAAGGGTACCCTTGTGCATATGAATCTACCTTGCAGGCTTGCACCAACATTGTCCATCCGTTACCCTTGTAATGCTAGTATGATCGAAGGCTGGGAGAGCGCCACTGACATCATGTACATGATTGCGGTTTGTTTTCTGAGCTCACCAGTACTGGGTAGGGAAAAGTGCAGAAGGATCGAACTCTTCGCGGAAAACATCCGCCTCAGACAGTCCTCCCTTTGAAGAATTCCCTGTCACGTTATGTTCAATTGCAAACACCACGTCTGTAAAGACTCCACGAAATTCCTCTTCCTCGAACAGAAGTTTCCTCCACATCTTTGCCACTTCTCCTACTGGGTTGCGGAAGATGGGGCCAACACCAAACGCACCAATGCAAAGACTGGTGTGTCCACAGTAGGAAGCAATGCGGAGAACAGACCGCATTTTCTCTTTCATGAGCTCTTTCTCTTGCACGAAAGAATAGCATTCACCCGCCTCATCAAGTTTTGGTCTTCGTATAGGCGCAACGGATATTACTGGGAGCCATCGCATTTCTTTCCAGTGTGCATAATTCTGATCCGGACCATCTCGGAAAACATCTACACATGAATTAGTTTCCACGTTACTGACGTACACTGACATAAACGTACACACTTGCGGTGAATAAACACCTCCTCGTTGAGGAATTGGATAGAGGTTGTGGCCCGGTGAAAGGTGGACAGCCCACGGCATTGTGAGTGCCTGAACAAGATTGCTTCTTCGGGCGAAACATTCTTCGGGTGCCATCAACCCAGATTCCCAGTCACCGCCTGCACGTTTCTCATTTGCCATGTTCACGACAGGAATACGTTTCGTGAGTTGTTGGTTAGAGGCATCCGTTTCTGAGTATTGGTACCAGCCAAGAGCGTAGTCAACAGGATCGCCTTCCACGACAGCTACTCGTAGCCTCTGCTTTGACTTCTTATCTGGGGGTATTTTGATGGAGGCTGAGTCGGTGTAGAGGTAAGAGGTCACTGGATCTTTTATGTAGTGCTTCAGGATAAGAGGCATATAATGCCGTTTCGCCTCTCCAGCTATATCTGACGGCTTCTGACGGGCCGGAGGCATTCTATTTGTGCAGTAACCAATGTGAGAAACAGATCAGAGACGACGAAGTCTGGCAGTATAAAGATCTTGACAAGGGGCTGCCCTGGCCAGGCGGTTGAACAATAGAATGAAAAGTGAAGACTGATCGGTTCCAGATAAGGTGAAACGGGCGAGGTATTCGAAATTTCGATGAGTACATCTTTTCCAAGGGCGTGAGGTGAAGGGATCTTAAAAGAAGTGGACTAGGAGCTGTTCACTAGCATGCACCGTCCCGCCTATTAACACACGATTGGCAGCCGATGGCGTGTCTGAAGGACAGGTGGAAATCAGCCATACTGCATATTCAAGGTCATAAACACGGGCGGCATCCCGCCGCCATCGCGCAGTTGTATCGAGGTGCAGCATGAACCAAGACCTGAGTAGTACCTAGTACAAAGTAGGATAGGGACAGATCATTTGAGCTCCGGAACCGAGCGTTTCCTAGCAGATAGATCGATGCGTGCTGAGGGAGGCGTATCCACATGTTGCTAGGGTCGTGGCTCAGTGTATCTTGTGGAAGATTGGCTGGACGAGCTCGATGGCCACGCATGTCAGTCTTAGGGTACAATGAGCGGAAAGATGATTCAACGAGGCGACACATGCGGGGCATTGTGTGAGAAGGACCATGAGTATGTACTCCGTACAGACGATGGAAAGATTTCTAGGCCTGCCGACCTACCTACATGCAGGCATGGAGATCCAGATCTGGGACCGCACGATGACGGCCTCCTAGTGAGATCCTGCACGAGTAGCGCGTCGATGCTCGGTAGAGGGCTCCGGATGCTGCAGGGATGGAGAGTTTTTGCGGCACAGGATTGGCTGTTACCGGATTTCGCCCATACTTCCGCATACACAGCAGTGGCTCATGGTTACCGTCCTGTCCTGAGGACGTGTGTGTATCACGTACTTTGTCTCACCAAATGATCAACCTGGATGGTCTCGATCGCGTCAATTTCAGCAATTGGGACAGCTTCAGGGCGAGCATATCCGCACGTTGTGACCCGACTGAGATTGTGGAAGCTCATTGGGCGAATCAACAACGACGACGATGACGTTTCGCAGGTTTAAGAGAAGTGGAAAAACCCCGAATGGAGATGGGACCTCGTGGCTTATACAGAGCACTCGTATAAGGCTTTGACTCCAGTGCTTCGTACATACAGCAGGGGTATGCCACTTGATATCATTGTTAAACGAACATTGAAACATCTGGGAGGGCCACCACGTCGGTCTGTGTTTCCTGTGTGCTTTGCCCTATCTGTGTGTCGCCTTGTGTGACCAAATGGAACACTCCCTAGCTCGCCAAAAACAAATTGCATGTGACTTAATTATGATAATGGGAGTACGGAGTACACACTCTATCAATATTGTTAACCTGGCATGACAGATACTTGGGTTTTGGTGCGCACAACTGCATGTATTGTACACCGTAGATACCGCAATTTAAGTAGTGCTTCTACCGTGACAGCTCTCGTGCGAATGGGATTTGCGGTTACAATACGTCAAGGACGCGCAAGGGGCTCTATACGCTATAGAGTGGGGAAGCAAGGCTGTCGTAACAGTACATACGCCGTAACAACTGGCTGCAAATTTCCACACATGCAGTACTCCGTACATTTGGCCTTTCATCAAAGCCTAGATGTGTGAGATAAACACTGCGCTACCTCGTCTACGGGTGGATGACAGTTGAAGTGCCACGATTGATGGGAGGCGGCGCCGGGAGTGACTCCCAGAGGCCCGTAGGGCGGGGCCAGCTGGCCATCGAGTCGTTTCCCTTACACAAACAGATCATGGATCGCGAATCGTGTGCGCCCTAAATCGAGACGTCCAAGTCATCCCCGCCATGGATCATGCCACTAATTACTGAGAAGCTAGAGAGAGAGGCCCCAGGCAAGCCGTAGAGTATTGTGTGTACGAGGTAGATACACCGTACACCCAGCGCCCATGTATGGCACGCCTGGCGCCAGCGCTGAGCGCCCATTGCCACACAAAGATTGTGAGACACGAGTGTAGAAGCGATACAACGAGTACGGAGTAGTGTCACTGGCGATATTTGCAGGCGATACTTTGTACTGACGATACTGACAAGACACAATCTGCAACTCCTACACAATAATCGACGATCCACGAATCTCTCCTAGCTACTATTCCAACTCTAGATGCTCTTCGATGATACTGTACTGATGTTAAGGACAACGGTGCGGAGTACGGAGGGCTAAGGTTGGATAGGAGACCTTCCATCGATTTCAAGGTGAGAGCTGCCATGCTCGGTGCACGGCATGCAGCTTGTGTACTCCGTTTATGAGATATGGTATGTAGGCAGCGACAAGTCTTCGAGCGCTTCGATGATAGTGATGTAATGAGCAATTAGGCGTACCTTGCTGCTAAGGTACAGGTATAGTTAGATACCTAGCACTACTTAGTACATACCTAGTTACGAGAATGTACGAGTGTGGTAGTATTAGTTGGTTGGTTGCTGTTTGGTAGTCTGATCTAATTGCTGATTGCTCAATGCCAAGCTTTGCAAAACCCCCCCCGCCCCTGTTGCTCTGACCTCTTATCGTTCAGAACAGTCAATCTACTCCATACTCATACTCTTATTCCTACTGCACCATACAGATAACCATACTCGAAGCTTTCAGTATCCCGTTAGGCGCACCCTGTATTGAAAGCAGCATCTACCCTAAACTCTCACCCCTTGGTAAAAAAAGAAAAAGGGAAGAAAAAGAAAAAGCAAATAGCCGAACAACATCCCGGACTGTCCCCGACTTTCCCATCAAAGTGTTTTATTTTTCACCTGAACCTGTTTTTCCTTTTTCTTTGAGGACAAGGGTAAGGGTACAATAGAAAGAACGCAGAGAGTAATCGTCTCTGGTTACCGCAACAGTTTCAACAGTAGCAATAGCGGTGGAAGAAGATTACGAGAGAGGGGGGAGAAGTGTTGAACAAGGACAAACACGGCGAAAAGAGGGAGTAAAGCAAGAAGAGAAGGAAGGCGAGGAATAGCGTCGAAAAGGAGCAGTACACGACGACACCACTAAAAGCTACGAGTTTCGAATACGCCAATGACTGCTAGAATTCTCCACTTGTTGCCTCATCGGTTGTCCCGACCTCTGCAACAATCTTCACAATGCCCTTTCCGCGCCGTTGAATCTCCTATTCCTCTGGATGCACTTTCACGGCGCCGCTCACGCTTTCACTCCACCCTCACTCCTATTTCTATCGCCTCGCTCTTGAACCCACAGCCTGGTCACTCGCAGCACAGCTCCATCATTACAGCCGATGCTAGTGCTGCTCCATGCATTACTGTAAATGGTTTCGTTCGATCGGTGCGGAAACAGAAACGTGTGGCTTTTGCAGCAGTAGGCGATGGCTCAAGCCTGCAAACGATCCAGGCCGTTTTGTCTCCAGAGCAAGCAGAAAAGTCAGTCATCGCCCACTTCTCGACAACCCCATGCTGATCTACTTGTACCGCCAGTCTATCTACGGGCGTAGCTGTGGCAATCACCGGCCAGTGGACTCCATCCCCGGGGCAAGGCCAGACACACGAACTAGTGACGAAGGGCATACGCATTCTAGGGGGCAATGATGCTGCTGTAAGTGGGCTGCCGTTCATATATACAAGCTGTCCGCATCTGCAGAGCGATTCTAACGCCAAGGCAGTCAAGTCCACTGCAGAAGAAGTACCAAACATCAGAGTACCTACGCACACTGCCTCATCTGCGCTCGCGTCTTCCGTTCAACGCTTTACTTCTGCGACTCAGGTCGCAGGTTATAGCCCAGATGACCCAACATTTCTCCAATCTTGATTTCGTGCAAGTTCATCCGCCGCTGATAACATCATCTGACTGCGAAGGCGCTGGTGAGGTTTTCACAGTGTCCCCAGATGCAAAATCTCCTCCGAATTGCATTGCAGATGGACAGGCCGCTTCGAAAGATCAATTCTTCCAGGCACCCAAATACCTAACAGTTTCGAGCCAACTCCATCTAGAAGCGTTTGCCCAGTCCGTCAACAAAGTGTGGACATTGTCTCCCACATTTCGCGCGGAGAAAAGCGACACGCCTCGCCATCTGAGTGAGTTTTACATGCTAGAGGCGGAACTCACATTTGTAGAGGACATGGCAGAAGTCATGGATGTGGTTGAGGATATGCTGCGCGCCATCGCGCGACACCTCCAATCCTCTTACGTTGGTCAGGAGCTGCTCCAAGCTCGAAGAAAAAAATCCGAGCCTCACGACGGCGATACGATATCCGAAGCTGGTTTGGCGCAAAGGTGGCAAGGCCTTGTGGATGGGCCCTGGCCACGGATCGAGTACAATGAGGCTATAGTGTATCTTATGGATGCTGTGGCTCAGGGTGAGGTGTGTTTCGATTTCCCGCCCGATCACGCCGAGGGTCTGCAAACAGAACATGAACGCTTCTTAGCCGAGAAGCTTGGGCGCGGAGGACCGGTCTTCGTTATAAATTATCCTCAAAGTATGAAGCCTTTCTACATGGCGCCTTCGAAAACAGCAGATGGAGACACTCGGCAGCCGACGGTCGCTTGCTTCGATCTTCTAGTGCCGGAGATATGCGAGCTAGTAGGCGGCTCGATGAGAGAGCACCGGCTGGCCGAACTCGTTCAAGCCATGGATGAACGTGGGCTCCGGCATTCGATGTCCGGCCAACTTGACGGCCAGATGTCAGATGGTCCGCTTGAATGGTACCTTGACCTCCGCCGCTACGGCAGCGTTCCACACGGCGGATTTGGATTAGGGTTCGATCGACTTTTGTGCTATCTATCTGGGGTCTCTAATATCAAGGATGTAGTCAGTTTCCCCAGATGGCATAAACGGTGCGACTGTTGAAGATGGCCGCGTCGTATTCTATCGGGCATGGAAGTAAGAATCTGTAAGATTGCCGTGTGTACGAGGTATATATGTCAACCTACCTAGGTTAATGTTATAAGAATATTCATTTTCCCTTGATGCTATGTGCATACACCGAGGTGCATCAAACTGGGGACTGGGACGTCATGCGCCGAGTTGGGTTCTCTTTCCTTTTGTTCGTGAAGGGCGACAGAGGAAGTATACGAGCCTGTGGGTCCCGACGTCGGGTTGATCAAGCTAGTAAGGTGGGAGGAGATGCGGAAATGCAGCTATCGTGGAGGGGATATTGTGGTGTGAAAAGAGGAAGCACATCGGGGTCTCGGAGCAAGACAAAAGAGGGGAGTCAGTATAAAACGAACGCACGAAGTATTCACTCGCAGATTGTATCCAAATGCTACAAGAAGGACAGGGTTGGGCATAGGTACCTAGCCCTAAACACCTAGGTCTAGGTAGGTTGGTAGGTAGGTACGTGGCATGGAATAGGTTCCCAGGTACTCTATACCCAGCTGACTGCCCTAGGTGCGGAGTGCGGAGTAGATGCCTCCTCATATCTACGTTTTCTTTTCCCTTGTTAATTTGTGTTATATACTCCGTACTCGTTATTGAATGAATCGATAGGAGTATACGGAGATACTGATTCCTAGGTACCTACTGTGTAGGGAGTTGTAAAGCGAAAGAAAGGAAAAATAAAAATGAGAGGTGAGGTGGGGCGGCGGAGGCGGCGGCAGCGGCGAGGATTCTTGTTATCAGATCAGATTTTTCATCATCCTAGTCACCCCAGTCAGCCCAGCATCTGATAATTTTACCCTTGACTACCTAACCTTACCTCTACTCGTACCGTGCTACGAGGTACCTAACCCTAGAGTGACTAGGTACCTAGTTAGGTAGTTTAGGTTTTAGGTAGTTAGGAAGTACCTGGGTACTTGTGCTCCCTACCTCGCTCAAGTTCCAGTCAATGTACTTGGTACCTACCAAGGTACCAGGAGAGTAGGTATTGCCATAGAAGAATGAGTTGTATATATTCAATTACTTTGTACTCCGTATATACACAGGAAAGAATAAAGAAAGATTAATGTCAATGGCAGCATCTTCGAATTGTCCGTCTCCTCGTTTGCTTTTGTCCTTGTCCGGTGACGACGTTTCTCGTTTCTCATTTCTCATTTCTCGGTTTTCTCCATTGCGGCCCTCGGCGCTCGGCCCGCCCATAAGAATTTCCATCAGTGGCTGGGACCAACTAACTATCAAATCTACTCGCAAACTGACTTAACTACTACCACCCACCTACCTACACAGTAGTTACGTATACATACAATCTTTAGACTCATCTCCTTGTCTCTACAGGACCATATCGTACCGTACTCCTACCGCACCGTGTAGGTACACTGGCTACCAGTGTGTACCTCAAGCGGGATTCGTTCGACCTTCAAACCAAACCTACCCATCCATCTACCAGCCTACCTGCCTGTCCACCTATCGACCAACTATCTGAACCATAACCAATCTACAACACCTACTGCTACTCATAGACCACGCCTGGGACTACCTACCTACAGTAGCTCGTCATCCTCATCGCCAATTCCTACCAGAGGCACACAACAGATCAGGATAACAGGGTAGGCTACCGGTATCTCGACCTCTCCCCCACGCTCTCTTCCGTCGCCTCCTCTTCCCTCCACTACAACCTTCGACCTTACGGCATCTGACCTTTCGTCGCCCGTCGCACGTCGCCCGTCGCCCATCGCCCATATCGCCCACACATACTCACTCACTCATCAAGCTGGCACTCGAAGCCCCGTCGCGAGCATTGCCCATGGCAACCCATGGCCATGCCGAAGTCCACGAAGCAGAACATGAGTACGGCTCCCCGACTTCTTCGCCCATTCTGTTCCCCCTCCTCTCTATAGTTCCCCATGAAGCCCAGGGCGCTGACATGGATCATTCTAGCTATGAATCGCTACCGCCCAATTTCTCCCTTTCCGCAAACATGGTCGCTGGCGCGTTCGCCGGCATCGCGGTGCGTTAAAACAAACGGCCCACAAAACATGGGACTATGGTGCTGATGCGGCAATAGGAACACTCTGTCATGTATCCAGTCGATCTGCTGAAGGTGCGTTGATCCAAGCTGCAGTCGGAACCGCATGCTGCCGCTCTCATCTCACTTGCTAACGAGCCCAAGACCAGAATGCAAGTCGTAAACCCCTCGCCCACCGCCATGTACAGTGGCATTTCCAATGCCATGATCACAATATCACGAGTGGAAGGCTTTCGCACACTGTGGAGGGGACTGTCAAGCGTCGTACTTGGAGCAGGTTCGTAAAGGGTTCCTGCAGCTATGTGCATAATCCTCTCTTAAACTATTCAACAGGTCCAGCGCATGCTGTCTATTTCGCGTCCTACGAAGCTGTCAAGCATGCCCTCGGTGGCAACGAGGGCAACCAAGATGAGCATCACCCAATTGCAGCTGGTTCGTACTGATCCGCCAATTTTTTTTAAAAAAGAAAAAGACATCAACCGCTAATCGCCTCGCAGCTGCTAGCGGAGCCGCAGCCACCATCACCAGTGATGCACTGATGAATCCATTCGATGGTAGGAGACCCACCAAACCCAATGTCCTACACAGCTGATCTCTGTAGTCATCAAACAGCGCATGCAGTTACATGGTTCAGTCTACAAATCCGTCCCTCACTGCGCACGGGAAGTCCTTCGCACCGAAGGCATATCCGCATTCTACGTATCCTATCCCACGACCCTGTGTATGACTGTGCCTTTCACTGCGCTTCAGTTCATGGCATATGAGTCTATTTCCAAGGTTATCAACCCGACCGGCCGATATGATCCTACAACACACTGCACGGCAGGAGGTTTAGCGGGTGGCTTTGCCGCTGGTCTCACGACACCTCTGGACGTCATCAAGACATTATTGCAAACACGCGGAAATGCCACAGATCCAGAGTTACGAAATGTTTCTGGGCTATGGGAGGCAGCCAGAGTCATACATCGTAGAGAAGGCTACATGGGGTACTTCCGAGGTCTGAAACCTAGGATCATCACAACCATGCCTAGCACTGCCATTTGCTGGTGAGTCGGATGTTCGACGAAGGTTTGCAGAATTACTGACAAGCGTTGCTCAGGTCGGCCTACGAAATGGCAAAAGCGTTCTTCATCGCACGGGGAGAAAATAGATAATGCGGGGCCGCAATAACTCCACTGCTGTGAATGTTTGTGGTGTGTAATTACCTAGGAAATTCCGCCCGGCCCGTTGGCACAAAATAGAGTAACGCCTTGGAAGCGACCTTTCCCATGTTCAAACGGGGCAGAGACATGGATACGCAAATTTTGGGATATCTAGACGGAATGTGGGAACATGTGCATCGCTTTGGGAGTCAGATCATCAAAAGCGACTGGATTTATTATGTTCATCCCCCTCTCCTCACCTCTGCTCTTCATCTTTCTGTTTCTTTCCTGTTCTTTTCTTATCACGCACCATTTCATTTCGTGGTCAGTTTTTGGGGGTCTCTGTCGCATTTGAGCTATGAGTTGGCGTTTGGATGCTCAGTTCAACAGGGAGCGTGGGCAAATCCCTACTGTAACATACCTTTGAAATATGGAATGACTTCAACACGACGTTTGGTAGGCGTAGATGAATATATACATGTTCACCCCTGGCCATAGCATAGCCTAGGTTGTCTTTGTCGTTTTACCTACCTAGGTACCTAGACGTAGCTAAGCAATGTTACACGTACCTGTTCACGGACTTTTAGCACTTCTTGCACAACATAACTCAGGCACCTACCTAGGTACTCAAGTCTACGGAAACTCAGGAATAATACGAGGTAATGTTCAATGTTGTTCAGAGACTGCCTACTTGTCCCATTGGTTTCCCAAGGTACATACAAGTACGAGGCGTGCGAGGCGAGGAGGGTACGCAATCGATAAGACCAAGCCACCCACCTCCGCCATTTCTTCTCACTGCAATTACTCCGTGCCACCCTACCCTACCTACCTGGTAACTATTATCGTCTGGGTACATGGCATCCAGCCACAACCCATCTCGAGGATTTTTCAGTTGACTCTTGCATGGCGAAGTCACGGTCGAGGTCAAGATTGAGAGGTTGACTTGCACTGTCTTGCCCTCAACAAGTCTCATTCTCATGACATCGAACGATGAAGAGCACCCAGACGCTACGTCACAGTCGCCCAATTACTGGTCTACCACCTAATCACCGCTGCCACTGCTACATACTGCCAGTGTCACTGCTACACCACAGCAATAACACGAATCCCACGCTCACATCCTTACGCCCACTCGCGCTCTGGCACACCTGAAACTCTCAATACCAGACTCGTCCCGCCAACCTCGACAACAGCAACAAGGCCGTCCTGCTCCAGTCCAAGACTACAGTGGATGCACGCGTAGGAAGTATACGCACTCTTCCTGCCACCATGCGTGCCAATCCCTCGACATCCATGCAAAAGACATATGACGAATGCTACCTTACCTGCTCCACGGCCGTGTATTTCGAAAGTCAGGTTCGTTACCCACTGCAGGCGTAATAATACCCCAAACGCCTACAGGCGCACCGCTAATCTTTGTCCGTTGCAGAACAACGAGGCTGAGGCTCTTCGTTCATGGCGGACCGCGCTGGACCAGATCTATTATCACAATGCGTACCGCGTTTCCTCCAACTATCGCCCGAGAACCGAGACAGAGAAGGCATTGCATGATTCCCTCCGTCAGTTGGAGTTACAATGCAAGGAACGTGTAGATCTTCTGGAGGCCTTGAAGAGAAGTAGAGAGGATATTGATGAAAGTCTCCCAGCATCCGCCCAGAGTTTGAAAACAATAGGCACATCCACAGCCTCCGCTTCCTCCAAAATCCCGCAGCAAGTATCAGCACAGGCAGACGATGCCGGTAACTTGAACTGGATGGGCGGGGGCACAGTTCCCCCAGTTGGCTATTCAGATATTTCACGCCCTCCACTTCCGCATCGACCCGCTCTTCCGGTTCGTAGGAGCTCAGGTACCGATTCTCTTCGCTTGAATAGTCTCACGGAGGCCTCCAGCAGTCTCTCGCTCTCTCCCCAGCCTACAAATCAGGACAAGAAGTCACGTACGCCGTCGCCAGAAAAGAGAGGCCGTATGTTGCGTACATTACGGCCAGGCAAAGACGGCAGCAAAAGTTCATCGTCGAAATTGCCGAATTCGGCCAGAGCCAGGCCACAGGCTGCTGCAAAGGCGGCCACCCAGGCTTGGGAGTCCACCACAAATGGCTATCCCAGTCGACCTCTGCATACGGAGACTCACAGCAGTAAAGAATCGCCTGGGCGGCCTAACATGGCCTCAGCACCATCATCATTCGATCGGCCTGGTGCCGGTCCAGATTCTGAGAAGCCAAATATTACACCAAGACATGAAGTATTGTCATCATCGTCGCATCCTCTCAGAACAGGCGACTCATTGGAACCGGAATCATCCAGAACTACACGTCAGCCGCAAGGTCAAAGTGGAAGTAAACAAACCGTTGCTACACATTTGGTCCCTCGGTCCCTTCCAAAGGATCTGCCTGCAATCACTCGAGAAAGCCCTTTCACGACACCAGACCGAGCGAACACTGCGCACAGGCAAGGCCCACCGCTTTTGTCTTATAGAGACGAATACTCGACGATAGTGCCCAAGCGACGGGTTGTCGCGGGCGCTGCTGCGGTCCGATCATTCAGTAATTCAGTTCAAGGCAATAATACGTCGAAAACAAAGCATGATACGCGGTCTTCGACGCAGTCACCCGCGTTGGTTGAAAACTATGGAAAACGCCATGTGCCTATGAATCCTTTTGGAGCAGACGCGTTCGATGCTCCAGGTGCCCAAAACCCAGAAATGCAGCAGGAATTCCAGGAGGTCAAAACAAAGGAGCCATCGGCTCGTGCCGACCTACCCCCCACGCCAACATCGGAGGCTGGAGAAACTAGCATTTCAGAAACTGGCTCGGATGAATGGAAAACGCGAGTCAAAGCAATACTCAAAGATTTACCGCGTGGAGTTGACAAGTCGGCTGCTCAACAGATTCTCAACGAAATAGTCATACATGGTGATGAAGTCCATTGGGACGATGTCGCAGGGCTTGAAATTGCAAAGTCTGCTCTGAAGGAAACAGTCGTTTATCCATTTCTTCGGCCAGATCTCTTCATGGGCCTTCGAGAGCCCGCTAGAGGAATGTTACTTTTCGGGCCACCAGGAACGGGGAAAACCATGTTAGCCCGAGCTGTAGCCACAGAATCGAGGTCAACATTTTTCGCAATATCGGCCAGTAGTTTGACCAGCAAATTTCTCGGGGAATCTGAGAAACTTGTGCGTGCTTTGTTTGCTTTGGCCAAGCTTCTCGCTCCCGCAATAATATTTGTGGATGAGATTGATTCACTCCTTTCCTCACGTTCAAGTACTGGCGAACACGAAGCGACTCGCCGCATTAAGACTGAATTCCTAATCCAATGGTCAGACCTTGCAAGGGCAGCTGCAGGAAGAGAACAGACTGAGAGAGATAAGGATAGAGGTGATGCAAGTCGCGTGCTTGTCCTAGCTGCAACAAATATTCCATGGGCGATTGATGAAGCTGCCAGACGCCGTTTTGTGAGGCGACAGTACATACCACTGCCCGAGGACCATGTAAGAAGGACGCAGTTACAGACCTTACTCGGCCACCAGAAACACGAATTAAGTGAAGAAGACATGAACCAGTTAGTTGCTTCAACAGAAGGTATGTCGAGCCATTTGATGCATTGCCTCGCGCACACTCCAGGTGCAAAGCCCTACTAAATCATCACGTAGGATTTTCAGGTTCCGATATCACAGCGCTAGCCAAAGATGCAGCTATGGGTCCACTACGCAGTCTCGGCGAGAAATTACTGCATATGACGATGGATGAGATCCGTCCTATTCGTTTCGAAGATTTCAAAGCCAGTCTCCAGACCATTCGGCCGAGCGTGAGCAAGCAGGGCCTTAAGGAGTTTGAGGACTGGGCGAAGGAATTCGGTGAGCGAGGTGGTTGATTGCGCCCGCAGAACACATCGCGAATCTTGGCGGTCTCGCTGACCTTTAGAATCCTTGTCTACTGTTGAGTAGTAAGTCGACAGAGTAGTGCCTGGCTTGACGCATATGGCAATTGATTCATTCAATCAATCGTAGCTTAGATTCGACCTGGAGTAGATTAAAAATATGGATGATCAGCTTCCAGAAGCAGAGTTAATTGACCGATTACCGATACATCGTATCATTCGTAGCAACTTGTGAATACAACCCGGAAACCCTGTCGAAAGAGACAAAGGGTCGGTCATGAAGGCAAACTTAACGTGAATTGCTGCACGTTTATCAAGACGTGCTAATTGGAACCAGAGTGGGTTTGTTAGATGGGATTGTCAACTCTCGTTGTCGCTTTGTCTTCTCGATACTTTTGCATAGCTATACTGTACCAAGTCAAGCAATATATAGACATCCCAAACGACATAACATACAGGATGGAAATGTCTGTCATCTAATGTACAAGTAGTGACGAGGCTGTTCTTGAACTCGTTGGGCATCAAATCACAACGTACAGTCTGCTAGATGAGCATAGTTTCACCATGTGATTCTACTCCTCGTTCGATTTCACTGCATGAATGGTGACCACGACATATACCCATACTTTCCCACGGCCCTCGTCTACCTATAATGGAGTCGGTTAAGTCGCGCGGCGAACAGCCTCATGTGCACGTTTTCAATGAACACTAGAATCGAGTCAGACCAAACAATTACTTTAGAGGTAAAAGTACATCATGCTATAGCCTCCAAAATCCATCAGAGCCCAGTGCTAGAACACTTATAGGCCAATGTTGATACACGTGGTAACCACGGGTTGAGGGGATGTTTGGCATCATGATAATATACGCTGCACGAATGACACCATTTTCCAGAGCTCCGAAGCCATGTTTTCTTGACATCCTGGAATGCGTAGCCGCCTGATTTTTTAGACCGAAAGTTGAAGGCATATGGCTATTTAAGCCCAGCTCTAGTCATCTTTACGGTGTGTGTGATGGGCTGTAGGATACCCTTATTCTCCAGAGCCCCGAGAGCGGTGCCTTGGGTCCAACCCATTTTCTCTAACAGACGTCGACCTTTATTATCGGGACCAAGCTCAGGAGCCGATGCTCCCACAGTATCTCCGTCCCTGTATGACACTATTGCACGCCCCTTCGCATTACTCCGTGGAGGCCGAGGCGTGGCACTTTGTAGCCGGGTCTTGAATCGCCTCTGACCCACGATATCATCGAATTCCTCGTCATCGATCCTTCTCGTTCTGAGTGTCTTGGACAAGACTGTAAATCTATTCGCCCCGTCTCCACGCGACCTAGAGCTCAGGCCAAGCTGATGAACAAACTGATGAATCACAGCGCGGCGCTTTGCTTCCATCGGAGGCAGTGAAAGAGTCTGCATCTTAGAGAACATGAACTCGCGTATCTCTTCCGTGACTTCATTGAAGTCTAGGTACTTGTCGTTCGGGTTTTCTGCTCTTCCTTTCCGGCCAAGTAAACCCTGTTTTCGCAACTCCTCTCTCTCGGCCTTCTTGAGCCGTTTTGTAGCACGGTCCTTCTCCCATGCGGCCTGCATCTGAGAATTCAGGTCCGAATCAGATAACTCCGGGGGCATTTGACCTCGACGTCCCTTTTTTCTTGGTCGCAGAGATGGACGTTCCGTGTCCATGATGTCAAATCCATCATAAGGATCCTGTTCGAGCATTTCTGCCATGGCAGATGCAACAGGAAACCCTCTTTGTGGGCGTTTGCTCTTTGAATAGGGACGCTTCCATGATGCTTCTCGATGATGAGAATCGTTCATTGAAGCAACAGCTGCGCCATGTACATCATCGTGCCCAAATAGAACAATGTCGTCTGATCCCAATCCAAGTTCCTCCTGCTTCTGAAGTATTCGTGCGATATGTTCATCATCCATGTCCCCATCGCCAATCACACTAGGCGACAAACCCGCGTCCTCAAAGGCGTTGTCATCATCGTCGTCGTTGTCATCGTCGCCTTCATCTTCGTCGTCATCCCAATCGCTAGCACCGAGGCTGAGCGACTCACTGTCGCTTCCACTAGCAGAGACATTAGAACGGTAGCGCTCCATGTGTGAGGATTCGAATATCTCTACAAGCTCCAGCTCTCGGGGCGTTTTGACTAGCCTGGCGGGGATCCAGCGTGCATCGTCTAGAGTGTGTCCATCGTACACGACAAGATACTGTAGACCGCTCTTGCGAGCTCGTTTGGAAACAATGCGCCTGATAGGTTCGGAAGAAACGGAACTGTACGAGGTACTGATATCTCCTAGATCACGAATCAAGTCTGAGTCCCATTCATTCAGCTCGTCAATATTTTCAGCGATTGAGTTTGCCTCGTCGGCAGAGCTGCCCTGTTCACCATCTGTTGATTCTTGAGTGGGGACATCCTGGCCAACATCCAGCGCTCGGCGTACAAAGGAAGCCTTAAGACTATCTTGTACATTGAACTCCTGTGTGTTTTGTAGGTAGTCATCCATAGCGGCCGTGGTAGAGTCATCTAGGAATGTGGCCATTTCAGGTCTGTCGGAAACTGGAAGCCAGCCAATGCCGGGTTTGGACCGAGACTCCCAAGGTGTTGTTCCAACCATCCATTTGGACTGTCCACCCAGTCGTTGGTTGAAGTAGGTCTGGACAACGCTGTCTTCATCAGGATCGGGATCGGACATCACCTTTGGTGATGAATTGCCTTTGGCCAGGATTAGTGGAGTTCGATGCATCGATATCTAGGTCGACATTACCTCGTGACTGATTCGGGTCGGTCTCTTTTTGGGGTGCAGGGGCAAAATTTGAGATTGTTGGAGCAGGCATGGCAGATCGCCCCTGGAAGACAATTTCGTCCTCGCTGCTTGAATCAGAGTTCTGTCCATGAAGCTGTGGGCTTTCGCTGCGAATGCTCAATTGTGCAATTGCTGATGCAGTGGCAGCGGCGACAATGTGCTCTGGCTCTGGCTCTGGCTCTGGTCCGCGAACTTTGATGGCGTGACGACCAGAAAGAGACTCTAATGAGATGGCTGTGTCCTGAACAGTCTTGAGACCAACAGGCAGGGCCGAAAACTCCTTCTGAGGAATCGTGCCTTGCAAAAGGCCGGCGCTGACGAATTGAACGGGGCGGTGACGAAGCTTTGTGCCTGACTCAAAGGTATGAGTACGATGGCCAGATGTAAACCTTGCTTCTTCTGCAAGCGAGAAGGCATGTGGAATGTCTAGATGTCGGATTAGAGGAAGCGATACTGGGCGAATTTACTCTAGGTGTTACCTCGACGGGAACGATGGGCGGGGGGTGTCTGGATATTGCTGGATGAGCGCTGTGGCAAAGGCCTTGGCTTGTTGTTTTTGCCCTTGTGGCCCTTCTTGGGCTTCTTGCGTGGCATTGAAGAACCGGGGCAGATGGCTATCTGCAGAGTCGAAGATACGATGCGACTGGTGCTAGGGCATGATGAGTTTCGGATCAAAATGGTGCTTGTGATGAAAGGGGGGAGATGGTGAGAATTGGGTAGGGGTAGGATGTGTCGATCTGTAATCACAACGATGACCAGCTAGGACTGCTATCACCTGCTGTTGTTGTTCTTGTTGTCGTTGTTGTTGTTTGTTGTTGCTGCTGCTACTGTTTCTATGTAGAGAAAGGATAATGTGGGATGGCTACCTACATAGGGAGAGAGAGAGAGAGAGAGAGAGAGAGGAAATGTGTGTGTGCGTGTGTGTGGCGTGGAGCAGTAACGGAAAGGGATGAAAAGAGTGTGGTGTTGGTGGGTGATAATTGTGGTTGTGGTTGTGGTCGTGGTTGTACTTTCCACCCACTCAAACTCAGAGAGATGAAATGTATGACTGCTATGACATGACTAGGTAGGTAGTTAGGTACCTAGTTATGACTATGACTATGACTATGACTATTATGATACGAGGTATGGAGTACACGCTCTAGTATATTATGAGAGCAGGTACTTCGCTACTGCGTACCTAGCTAGTTACTACTGTGTGCTAGGGTAGTGGGGAGTTTGGTTATCGATAAGAATCTCGGCTTTTTTGTTTTGGGAATTTGGGAGGCGCATTTAGCACGTGATTATATAGTCAGTCATGGCATCATGACTATACCTCATACGTACTAGTAATGTTTGCCTCCATGAGTCAGCCCCTCTTCCTCTCCCGAGTATGGCAGTACGAGGTATGTACGTACATCGGGAGTTACCAGGAAACAGTTCATAACGTATCCATCATTCCGCAGCCATAATTCTCCACAACACCGTTCAATTTTTAATACAACTACATTTTTTCTGGTCTGGCCCTTATTCATTTCGATCTTTCCAACCATTATCTGTCTTATTCTACGTGTATTTGGTCGATGGTATATTTTTCCTTTTCTTCCAAATACATTGTCTTGATCGACCATACAATGAACTCCTCAACACCAAGACACAACTTAGGGCAACCACATAGATAATACTCACATGTATCAAGACTTTTCTAACTCGATAAGATAATCGAGACTGGGGAGATAGAAGTTTGTTATTCATGTGCACACTAGTACTTTAAGATATGGGTGTAGAGTAGTAGGTTGTTGGTGTAGCATGTGACCCGTGACCTGTGATGATGACCTCTCCTCTTCCCCCGCCCTGCCACCCCCATACACAGTACATACCTAGGTACCTGTTACCTAGTAGTTACGAGCTACCCCAACCACCCTAAGTGAAACTACCTGTACTCTTCTTGTACCTTCCTGTACCTCCTGGTACCATCTTGTACGTACTTGCACCTTAGGTACTCGTAATAGCCGGGGTATTTGGTGAGTCTGTATGGTTGCCTCCCCCTCTACACCACACATCACACATCGCCTCCCATCACTTTGGTCATCATCTCATTATCCTACTTGGACGAAAGACATGCAATAGGACACTCTCTCGTTATCATCGTTTACGTATATTAGATATCTATCTGTCTATCCATCTATCCGTCTATTGTTGCTGTTGCCTACCTACAGAAGTATTCAGGTAGGTATGAGGTAACCAATCTACCTACCTACCTACCTAACAGAAGACAGAGGTACCTACCAATACTCGCGGTAACCCATCTCCCTCCGCTCTGCAGGCACTACCACCCCTCTTCAGCCCTCGGTCGCTCATCGCTCGTCGCTCATCACTTATCGTTCTCCACTCGCTCAGCTCTCCAACGCTCGACGCCCAACACGTAGCTCTCCATAATTACGCTCCCCTCTTCCACACCACGAGAATGAACGAGTTCGAGCGTGTTAGCCGAAATATTGTCCGTACCTTTTACGATCCTCTCCCTTCAAACGATTCGAACTCGCCCGTCTGGTGTCTCGGAGAGCAATACTCATCAAGGCCACCACCAGCACCAGCACATGCGAGCCCACCTTCTCACTACAGCACACACGTTTCTGCCACGCAAACTGATCGAGCTTCCGGTAAAGAAGACGATAGTTGGATACGTACAAGCTTAGAAGAATCGGAGCGCAAGGAAGCAGCACTTGCAGCCAACGGAGAGGATCCGTCCCAGTATGGAGGCTGGCCGCACACATTTCTGGACGACTTCGAATCACGCATATGGATGACCTACAGATCTGGCTTCGCCCCTATACAGAAGAGTCAAGATCCGAAGGCAGTCGCATCCATGAGCTTCAGAGTACGCATGCAGAACCTGGCCCAATCTGCCTTCACATCTGATGCTGGTTTTGGTTGCATGATCAGGAGCGGGCAGAGCATACTTGCAAATGCCTTGTTAGATCTGCGTCTAGGGAGAGGTAGGTTATTACTTCCTCACTAGTAATCCACATATTCATCGTTACAAAACAAACCCGTGATAAATCAATAGATTGGAGGCTCGTCAATGCTACACCCCAACGAAATGACCGAGAAATACTTTCACTATTCGCCGACGATCCTCGGGCCCCCTTCTCGATCCACCGATTTGTTCAACATGGCGCAGCTGCATGTGGCAAGTTTCCCGGAGAATGGTTCGGTCCCTCAGCGACGGCCCGTTGCATCCAAGACCTTGCCAATGCATACGAGGGTACGGGCCTCCGTGTTTACATATCGGGAGATGGCGCGGACGTCTACGAAGACAATCTGAAGCAATTAGCTGTCGACGCGAATGGAAAATTTGTACCGATGTTGATACTGGTGGGGACCCGACTTGGAATTGACAAAATCACCCCCGTATACTGGGAAGCGCTCAAAGCAGCGTTGCAGATGCCCCAGTCGATTGGTATCGCAGGGTAATGAACGCAACTGAGATCATCTGTACTGTTCTTGCTGATACAACTAACAGAGGCCGACCCTCAGCATCCCACTACTTCGTCGGCACCCAATCGAATGATTTCTTCTACCTTGACCCACACACAACCCGCCCGCTCCTGCCCTTTCGTAATAGCCCGGCAGAGTACCACCCGGATGAGGTATCATCTTGTCATACCCGGCGAATTCGCCGAATCGAGATCCGTGAGATGGACCCGTCGATGTTGATTGCATTTCTGGTGAAGGATGAGGCAGATTTCGACAGATGGAAGGAGGCCGTTGTAAGCGTACAAGGCAAAGCGATCGTTCATATCAGTAAGAGTCAGCCGCCACCACGTGGTGTGGAGCGCGCGGGCGCCGTGGACGAAGTCGAAAGTTTTGATGAGCGCGAGGAAGGAGACGATAATAATGACGATGGCGATCTTCTCTAATTGAACCATTTCCTGAACCGACTCTGAGCCATGGAACATCACACCAGCTGCCCACTGACGGTGCTCACTGAATCAGACACCAATAGACAAGAAGGCTTTGAGAGGATAAATTAATCGGGGTTGGTCACTACCAAATGGCACTGACGAAAATCAAGTCGCAAATAGACACTGGTCCGGCGTTGAGTTTCTGAGAGGAAGAGATGGGCCAGAGATCGGTAGACAAATAGCTCAGTACCTGTTTGAACACCCCGCGACAGTGACTTCGCCGGATGCCACAATCTAGAACTTGCGACCCTCGTTCCTCGTTGCGCAAGTGGCGTCAAATTGGCGAACGTGAAGCTTTGAGACAGCGAAGCAGCGAGATTAGTACAACATGCGATAGTGTAGGAAAATCAAGAAGACAATGAAGATGAACTTGAAGAGATGTTATTCGTCCGTCTGCAGTGGTATATGATACAGCCGGTATTGAGCCCCGAAAGTCATACCGGGAGACTCGCGGACCCAGTAAGACAAGCAGACCGTCCCATGATCGCATTAAAATGACCCGTGAACACCGTCACCCCATAACCGCCTCTCATACAAGCAAGATCGCCGATGAGAAAGAAAACCCAAGCAAGAAAAGCATCCACTACCAAACCCTTACTTTGTAGAGGAAGAGTATTTGGTCACGGCCTTGGTGCCCTCAGACACGGCGTGCTTGGCAAGCTCACCAGGGAGGATCAATCGAACACTGTTCATGGGTTAGTGAATAGGAAAAAAACGCGCAAGTGAGAATTGGGTCAACATACGAGGTTTGGATCTCGCGTGATGAGATGGTGGACTTCTTGTTGTAGGCAGCGAGCTTGGATGCCTCGGTGGCGACACGCTCGAAGATATCGTTGACGAAAGAGTTCAAGATGGACATGGCGCGGTTGGAGATACCAGTGTCGGGATGAACCTGCTTGAGGACTAGAGAGAAAAAACGCGTTAGTCTGATGAACCCAATGCGAAAGACGCGACTTTGGACCAGAAAGCAAATCCACAGCGCATCCAAGGAGGATGTGTAATGGCAATGCAAAGTGGCTCAAAACTTACCCTTGTAGATGTAGCTGGAGTAGGTCTCCTTCCTGGACTTGGTGCGCTTCTTCTTCTCGCCAGAGGGAGCGGCAGTCTTCTTGCCAGCCTCCTTCTTCTCGGCGGGGGCCTTACCAGCCGGGGCCTTGCCGCCGGTGGTGGGAGTCTTCTGAGCTTTGGGAGGCATTTTGAGGTGTTGGAAAGATTTGCGAAATGGGTTGATGGGATTGGATTGGTTGGATGATGATGACGATGTTGGAGTGAGAGTTAGTGTGACGGCGATAGTGGTGGTGACGGCGTTGGGAGTTGAGTGTCGAGATGAAGGAGAGGAGAAAGGTCGTCGAGGCGGGGAGCGCGCTACTTATGGGAATCGCGCTCTTGTTGTGATCCGGGCTCTCGCGCCTGGCTTGGCAATGGGGGCAGGCGCGCGACCTCTGCTCTTCGCTCTCACGGTTGCTTACCTTTGCAGCTTGCACCCACGGGCCACCCCACGGGCCACCCCTGCCACTTTCTGCCCTCTCCTGCCCTCTCCTGCCACCTATCCCCTATTGAGTGTTGTTTGGGTCTCGTCTGCTTACCCACTCCGTACTAGCCTTGTCGCCCGTGACCTCTGCCTGCGCCGTGCTGGTACTTACCCCTACTACTGTGCACACTCGGTGTGTTAGGTACCTTAGTATGCACTGTGTACCCCCCCCCGGTACCGTCACGACCGTGTGTAGCTGCTGCTGCTGCGAACCCACGCTAGTGATCTCGCGCACCCAAAACACGCCGCGCCGTCACTTATAAGCCGCGTCCCCCGCCTCAACCACGACCTTTTCCTCTTCTTCATCCATCTTCTCGACACCAAACCGCAACCACCGTCACCGCTGCCAACTGTTTTTTAACCTCCAGCTCTTTCTACCACCACATCCAACAAAAACTTACCCACCTTTTCCAACCTTTCAAAATGACTGGAGGCAAATCCGGAGGCAAGGCCAGCGGCTCTAAGTCCAGCGCCCAATCGTAAGTACCCAGTCATTTTCTCTCATTGCATCCTTTACCTTCATCGCTTCTGGGGTTTGTCGCGTTTCAAAATTTGGTTCTTTTTCCACTGGTTCAATTGGAATCATTCAAACCTTGGATGCGATTTCAGAGCTTGACGCGTCATTTCATTGAACGCGATCTGGATGCATCAATTCATTATGTGGTTCCTTTGCTGACTCCTATTGAACAGGCGTTCTTCCAAGGCAGGTCTCGCCTTCCCCGTCGGTCGTGTCCACCGTCTTCTCCGCAAGGGCAACTACGCTCAGCGTGTCGGTGCCGGTATGTTTAGTTCACCAGTATCAGCAACAGTGTATTGACATTAGCCAGGTGCTCCCGTTTACCTTGCTGCTGTTCTCGAGTATCTCGCTGCCGAAATCCTCGAGTTGGCCGGTAACGCTGCTCGCGACAACAAGAAGACCCGTATCATTCCCCGTCATCTTCAGCTCGCCATCAGGAACGATGAGGAATTGAACAAGCTCCTTGGACACGTCACCATCGCCCAGGGTGGTGTTCTTCCCAACATCCACCAAAGTATGTACCCCTGTGGGATCTTGTGTTTCGTTCACCTCGTTAACATTTCTAGACCTCCTCCCCAAGAAGACTGCCAAACCTGGCAAGGGTCCATCACAGGAGCTTTAAGCGCTTGATCTTCTTTCTTTGGCGCGGTGGTTTATGGGTGTCTTCTTTCTGCAATGATAATGGGGTTCGGTCTGGGTTATGGGTCCACGGCTTTTTCTTGCACAGGGTTTGCAATATCAGAGCTGTACATTACATCCTAATCGGATGAGATCACGAGCTTGAATTAAGCACGGAATTACTTCATTTTACTGTACAAGAATCTTGTGACCATGAATATGTTACTTGACTTTGGAAGTTCGCTCCACGTGGTAAGAGTAGTTGTCACTTGTCGCGACCTGTGAAAGTTCATCCATCGATGGGATAGCGCTTTCGGAAATGAGATCTATATACACTGCGAAATCTCCAGTAATCGGCATAAGTAATAGTCGCTGAGAACCTCACAAATTCATCTGTTCGATTATCGGCATAGATTATTATGGAGCTTCCAATTCAATTTGTGTAATGTTGATAAAATTCAGTGTTCATGTGGCTGGAAACGAAACCAGCATCGGCGTTTGCTATCTGAAATCAGTTGTATCAATTCGATTGATAGAGCATGGCCATGACTGGCAACAGTGACAGTATTCGAGTATGTACAAAAGTCCTCCGTATTTTCCCTCCTACAACGTCATCTTCGGTGGGGCTGTTATAACGTTAAATATCATGCAAACATGTGGGCATAAGGTATACTCACGGTCGAGAATTGGTGCTGGTAGGTTGCGCTCGTACTTGGATCCTAATATTGTTATTACCAAAGTGTTACTGTCAGTTCAGAGAATTCGCATAAACCTACCTCCTGGGGCTGTTGGCGGACGGTACGGATCTGGATGCTTCCACTTCTCCAGTAAAGCTTCTGTCTCCTTGATGAGTTCCTGGCGCAAACATTAGCACCCGTCTGTTATCCTCAAACACCCATTCCGTATCTATTGAGCTCCCGGTGGCTGTCGTACCCGTTGCTGTCGCGGTTCGGTCACATGCTTATTGGCTTCAAAAAGACCACGTATGTAGAGAGCCTGTCCTCTCCAGAGATATCGGTGGACAGCCCAGTCCAAGGCCAGCTTCAGGGAGCGCCTGTAGAGCCGTCTGCAGGCTTGTTAGCTTGGCCTTTTCAACCGTCGCATTCTTCGTCATAGACAGACGTCACTACTTACAGGACAGATATTTTGGTGCTCATCCTGAGCCTATTTCGATCTATCGAGATCAAAGGCGATGCTTCGCTGTTCCAGATGCAGCTATGCGGGCGTAACGCGGAGGAGGTTGGATGTTCGGAGCCGGTTGCGTTGCGATGAGGTTTGAAGCTCCTGTGGTTGGTGGTTGTAGCCGGTGCTTAGTCATCCTGCGATTTTCGCCGGGTGCAGGGAACGTCAGGGACTCGCTCATGATTGTACACTCATCCATACTCCATTTCGTTATTGACACATCTCGTCTGCCTGCGTAGTGCTCAATTCCATCATGTATTGCATTCGTCGCGCCACAAGCTCCTCCTCACCGTTGCGGTCTGCCTCGTTCCTACGGTCTTGTCGTTCCGTGCCCCGATCCATAACCTCCAGCACAGGAGCTCGAAACTACTCAGCTGCTTCCAGAGCAAATGCATCTATTTTACTGTCAAGCTCTCTTAGGTGGGTAATTCTCGCTTGGGTGATGTTATGCTAGCTAAAAAAAATACTACAGTGGGAATGCCAGGCAGTTGACGCTCCCGCGCAAAGTGGACTTTGTCCAATACCGCAACTATGGTCCGTTCGATGGCTATCAACCTTCGCCTTTGGAATACAGCTAAACTTAAGGTTAGCGGATACAGTTGTCAAGGTGCCGCAAATGGCCGAATCCATTACAGAGGGCACTCTCAAGCAATGGAGCAAACGTACGTACAAATCCCCTCCTATCGGAGGCTCGACCGTTGCGACTCAGTAGCTTACTGCTGGCACACAGAGGTCGGCGATTTCGTCGAGCAGGATGAAGAAATTGCCACTATCGAAACAGACAAGGTATGGCCGTCAGGGACTGGACGACGTAATGCGCTTTCATTGACTACCTCAGATTGATGTTTCCGTGAACGCTCCTGAAGCAGGCACAATCAAGGAGTTCCTGGTCAATGAGGAAGATACCGTCACTGTTGGACAAGATCTTGTCAAGATAGAGCTAGGTGGCGAACCATCCGCTTCGTCGAAGGCCGAGGCCAAAGAGGAACCCAAAGAGCCTGCGCCCAAGGAGCAGGAGACGTCCTCGCAACCGGAAGGCGGCCAGGAGCAGGCCAAGGAACAATCTAAACAGGATGAAGCCCCACAGCCATCTAATCAAGAATCCAAGCCCCAACAATCCCCTCAAGAAGTCAAACCTGCTCAGCAGCCCACTAAACCCGCTCCAAAGGAAAAGGATTCGGATGCCAAAAAGGAATCACAACCGGGCAATCGTGAGGAGCGTCGGGTATGTGAAAGATTGTCTGATCATGGCCATGTTACTGAGACTTGTAGGTGAAAATGAACCGCATGCGCCTACGCATCGCCGAACGACTCAAGCAATCCCAGAATACCGCTGCATCATTGACGACTTTCAACGAGGTAGACATGTCTTCCATTATGGAGTTTCGCAAGTTATATAAGGATGAGATCCTAAAGAAGACTGGTGTCAAACTTGGCTTCATGAGCGCGTTTTCACGAGCATGTGTTCTAGCCATGAGAGAAGTCCCTGCTGTCAATGCATCTATCGAAGGGCCAAACGGTGGCGACACCATTGTGTATCGTGACTACGTCGACATCTCGGTGGCTGTCGCTACTGAAAAGGGACTGGTCACACCAGTTGTGCGTAATGCTGAATCTCTAGAGCTTGTAGGCATAGAGAAGACCATTGCAGATCTGGGAAAGAAAGCCAGAGACAACAAGCTTACCATCGAAGACATGGCCGGCGGAACTTTTACCATAAGCAACGGTGGAGTTTTCGGCTCTCTCATGGGTACCCCAATCATCAACTTGCCCCAAACCGCTGTTCTTGGCCTACATGCTATCAAGGACAAGCCCGTAGCTATCAATGGCAAGATTGAGATTCGACCGGTACGTACTCGCATATTGTGCCGTAGAAGACTGACTGATTGCAATAGATGATGTATCTCGCTCTTACCTACGACCATCGTTTGCTTGATGGCAGGGAGGCTGTCACTTTCTTGGTTAAGGTTAAGGAATTCATCGAGGATCCCCGCAAGATGCTTCTAGGATAAGGGAATATCT